AAGTGCACCTCTTCTTCACTCGCACCTTTGAAAGTAGAGAGGCTTTTTTCACATGTCGTAGGAGCTAATCAATCTGATTAAACACGGACTAAACGTGGATCGCTTTATTTTAAGTTTAAGATTATTTTAATGGTATTGAGGAAAATGTTGCATGTAAACACAGCTAATTACTGCTAATTATTCAGATTAGCGCCACAAGAGTTCAGTGACTGCGAGGCAAAACGCCTCAGAGCGCCCTCTACTGACCGGCTGCTGATTGTTAAGTGTCTCTCAGTTTATGAAATCCATTCCTGGGTCCAATTGCTGCTTTACTCGCCACTGAACACTTCCTGTTTATTGCACTAACATCCAATGATACTACGGTTTATAATGCATTTTACTTTACAACAGCACCTTTTGAATTCTGGGTTTTATAACACATTATAACTAAACAACTTAATCGAATTATGGAGGCTCATAGAGGACTCATTCAGTGTGGAAACAAAGAAAGCCTGCTGTACTATTTTGACCTAAAAATCTGTTTATTACCAACAAAACTCGGCCTTACAGCAGCTGTCTTGATACTTTTTGAAGTGTCATGAACCCCAGAAATTAAAATATGTCTTATTTTATACTGGACATTAGGGTTAGGGTTAGCTACAAGTTGTTCTGACTGCGGATAAAGATTGTTATAAAGCCTTATAAAAGCTTTAATCAGGTGTTTCTATAACGCATTATAAGTGGGTTCATATGAAGTGTTGCGGTTGTTCCTGTTTTTGTCTCTCGGCCTCCTCGTGTGTGGTCGCTCTCCTGGTGCATTTCTGATCCTTATTGCTTCTTTCAGCACAGGAAGGTCCACACTGCTGTGCACAGTATGGCCGCTGGTTTCAGACTGCATTTATGTCATCAGCGAGTTATAAGGCTCACTCACCAAAATACCAGAGGCGAGTGTAATAAGGTGGAAAAGGGCAGGGGGATCATATTCTCCATGAGACCAGTTCCAACGGGGCTTTTTAGCATTCCAGGCTGGGCTCTGCCTGCCTCCCCGGCTTCTTTGGAAACTCGTCTGGCAGCAAACACAGCTTTGAAAAGCTCTTATCTCCTATCTGGGCAGGAGTTCCATGCACCGAGATAACAACCGCTATCTTATCTTGCTGTGTTCGTTAATGTCACAGCTTAAGGGGCTTGTTCTTCCACTTGCAATGGGGCTTGCAGAGCGGATTGTTTGCAGATTAGTCAACACAGGCCTCTGGAGGTCTTGGAGCTCGTTCAAAATGCTTGTCTCGTCCCGCAGACGTTCTTGTATGCGCGCATTGGTGTGTTGGCTGCCTCCTGTTCCTGCTCTGTGTCAAATGGCAGGAGTTCCACACAATGGTTGGTAAGCATCATTACACACACAGCGAGATCTACAGCTCAACTTATCACATCAGACATGCTAACACACAAAAAAATGTGAGTGATAGCCACACAAGGCTAGCTCCTTTTTCAGATGTTTTGTTATTATTCCTCGCTGATTAGCTCTGAATTTTAAACAGTGATACATTGTGAAAACATCTATTAGCTCTTATCAATCTAGGAAAACAGTCAGCCTGTAATATTTCATGTCTTTTGTCCAGCCAGTGTGTCCAGATTCATGATCGTCCCTTTGTGACACAAGAGACAAGGCGAAGCTCCATTGACTTCAGCCATCTGGCTATCTCACACAACCCTTGGCTACACAGTGGCTCACTCAGCGATTGATTGGGGGTGCCGAAGGCCAGCTATTTAACACATCAGAACAACAAGTGCTGCTATCAAGCCGGCCCTTCTCATGCCTGGTTTCTGTGCCGCCCAAGAATGTCTCTTATCTCCTCCCTTCTGCTTGTTGGTTTAAGCCAGACAGCATATGCCCACATTCCCCACGTAGTGCTCCGTTGTGCCTCTGGTGCAGCCTGCACGGACAGAAAAACAGGTTGCAACCGAGATCTGATGTGGGATGCAACCCTTGGCTGGTTGGCTGGTAAGAAGTGAGGCTTAAAAAATAAATTTGGCTTCCCTGTTGCCGCCTCTGGGAGGAATGCAGCTCAAGAAAAAAAGATGCATTTTCTTCCCATCATGCTCTCTGCAGAAAAAGACTGACAGCTGAAAATAAAGCCCCATGTTCCATATCATTAAATCCCGCTCTCTCACCTGATTACATTCTTATTAGTGCCTCCATTCTTCTCCCATTATTGTTACTTCTAGTGAAACAGGCCTGATAATGTGCGCTCGCTCGCTAGATGCACAACCTGCTCATTCCCATCTCTGATTCTTTGTTGTCGCCAAATGGTTTTTAAATGAAAAGTGTGAGCGCGGTGTAATTATAATTCTGGGGGTATTATGAAATCAAATATCACAATGAATGTAATTTTATTTGCTTGTAATCTCTCTCACCCAGGCTAATAGGCGTTTTCAAAAGGGCATGCTCAGGGGGTTTAAACAGCAGACCATCTCTAAAAAGAACGGCTGCTCTAGCCTCGCTCTCTCTCTCTCTCTCTCTTCCTCTCTCTCTGCTTCTGTTCTTTTTGTCTTTGATATGCAGGCAAAGAGCTCGACAGTCTGGGAGACGTGGGAGATTTGTCGGCCTGTGATCTCCGAGCCTCTCTGACAAATGAGCGCCTTTGGCAGGGCTGCTGGAGGTACGGCTCCTCTGCCCTGCTGGAATCCTGATGAGACTCCTCTGGAGCTGCTGGTAATGAAGTCAGGGCACAGGACCAAACTGCTGCCAGGAGTGACCTTTAATCTGCTCACATGCAGGTCACTTGGCAGGAGATGACTCAAAAATATACGTACACCTTTGTGCTTTTTAAATTTTCCCCCAAGACGTTTGGAAAAGACACGGTTACACCCTCACAACCAGGAATGTGCTGCATTTTTAAAAGCAAATTTAATCTAGAAATACTAATTCAATAATCTGTGCTGCATGTCACGGCTGTTGAGAATAGCTCTCATTCATATTTCCAATCTCCTGTGACGGCTGATGGTTTATCTGTATTCATTTTTGACTTGTGGGGTAATGTAGGATGCAATCACCATCCAGTCAATCTTCATTACTCTGGACTCAACTGCTCCACCAAGCACACAATTGCTCGACATTGATTTCGCAGATTCTTTCAGTCCATGTAATTCCTCACACAAGGAGCAGTAAAGATTTCTCTTTATGTGTGTCAGTGAAATGTAAGATGTTAACAGATTATGATGTAAAATTTTGAATCCCCTGATGGTAAATGTTCTCACTTTAGCGCCACAATGTGCAGGAAATAGCTGATATTGATTCTGGACATTCCCGCTCCGCAGTGAGGAGTCTTAAAATCACAGTGCAATCCAACATGGTCGCCTTTGAATCCAGATCTCTGCTTCACGGGGGCAGAGTAATGATTCACCGAAAGAACAAGCACTACCCCTTGTGGCCCAGCTGGCCCAGTGCAGCATGGGTAAATGGCACCTCCAGCTGCTTCTGGGCCCCTCCTGATAAGTTAACCTTGTGATAACATGCTAATGCCTGATTAATGTTGCCGTAATTAGACACAGCTTTTCACACTCAGTTAAGAGGACATCCTCCAGCAATTAGCCTGAGCCGGGGAGAGATAATTTCAGAGAGCACAGCAGAATCACGTTCCTCTGCTCGCTTCCATTCCCACTTGGCAACATTAAGGTTTATTTCCTCATTATTTCATTTAATTACTCGTTTGATGTTTTATACAGCTGCCACAAGTAATCTTTGATCCAATTAGGAAATGCTGATTGACAGTGTGGGTGTGGGATTCAATAAGCTGCATTCAATTTGCTGCTGTGACCTTATCGGAAGATCTGCAGAGGATTTTATGTTAGACGCTGAATGCCAACTTAAAATATAATAATTTCCCTCAGGAGTGTATTCTGCATGGAAGGCATACCTTTGTGTGCAGGCATGTGTGCATCTGTATGTCAGCAGGCAGCATGTGTTTGCAGTCTCCTCACCAGACTTCTAACAATGAGGAATGAACACATTAGTGAGAAGAGGCCCCCGTGCTCACCAGCCTCCTCACTGCCCATTAATAATACACTGCCAGGGAATAGATGGAGGTTTGAGGAGATTAGCCCTGCATTAAGGGCTGATTTTCTATTTTCATTAGAAAGGCATGTTTTTTTAACAGGAAGGATCAACCCACTGGTAAATGGACTATAAAATCTTATGTCAGGAGTATCAGAGCAAGCCTCGCAGCCTTTCAATGTGACAAATTTCACAACTGATTCACTTTATTTATGGACAAGCTAAAAGCAATAAGGATGAAACTGAAAGAGCTTTTTCTATTTTATTACTCTGAATGTGCAACAACTGATACAAGAGGTTTTGGGCTGACGTGAAAGCTTTTCAAGTTGGTATGTCGAAGAGTTTTGTAAAAGCTCGCTCTAATTGACCCCTCTGACAGTTATGGAGCAACATTATCATTATTTAAGACACCATGTTTAGCTCTTTAAATTGTCTTGACACAAATGTTGGTCTCTTTGAGTCCATAAAAGAGGAATCTAGCCTTTAATCAGCTTAATGCCACACTAACTGGATTTGGCTGCAGTTTGGTACCAAGCAATCAAAACTTTTTAACCAAAAATCAGACTGCTACAGCTGGAAAACAACTGCATTAACAAGAGGAGTTTACTGGTTCAGGGGAGTTGATTTCACTTGCGCACTGACATATGTAAGTATGAGCTTGTTTTATAAATTCACAGTGGCGTACTCAGGGTGTTTATGTGGCCAGGGCATCAAACAACTGACAGGCACCAGCTGTGAGTCAAGAAAGACTTTGTGATGAAAACCTCGCAAGTAAACAAGTAAAATTACCAGTGAGGCGCTTCATTACATTTAAACCGTGAAAGGACGCACTAGAGGGCAAATTATCACACTTCTTTTTAAATGTGAAAGGCGTTTTGTTGACATTTTATCTACTAGACAGTCATCTCAGGGGCACTTTATGTACATTTTATACACTCCAAGAGCATATTATTATTATTATTATTATTACTATTATTCTGTATTGTACTGAATTATTGTGATCTTGCTGTACGGAGTAGTGGTATCAGCTCTATGCCTGATGGGCCTGATCTTGCTGATCTTAGAAGGATCAAGCTTCATCTAGGTGTTATTTCATTGGTACGCAAACCGAACATTGCACTTTGTTTCTGCATTTTATGCACTCTGCTCATGCAAAAATACTGGTATGACTGACATATGCTTCTTTTACCTTCTAAATCTTCTTTAATGCTTTTTACCTCCTGAACAGTTTTTTATGTAACTGTATTTTATTTTATTTCATGATGTATGGCCGTGGTTTGAATGCCTGTGCCTGCTGCAACCTGATTTGCCCATTTTGGGACATAATAAAGTTGAAGTTGAAGTGAATCCAAAGATGATTTTGTTCAGTTTTAATACACTGGAAGGGCATCGACCAGAGGATTTTTCATGTGATTTTCACTAAATGAAAGATAAAAAGAGTGCTTTCAATCATGTTTTATCCACATTGTGTATAAATCCTAAATTTAGCAACCTCAGCTTTGAATACTGTCTCTTTCTAATTAAAGATGATCATTCTAACAGACACAAAGAGCATTAAATTACTGATTTTACATTGTATTTGGAATCTCAAGCTAAAGAATAAGACTACAAGCTACAGTCTTATGGAAAAGCCCACTTAAAGGTGAATTGATCATGTGTAGCTAATTCCCTTAAGAGTAAAATGTGGGTTATAACCACCCCTGGTCTCCTCTGCAATCCAGATTCAGTCTTTACTTTCACTTTTATTTTGGTAAATTTTATTTAAGTAACTGTACTTACACTTTGGCGGAGTCCTTTTTCACTCTTTCCACCTCTGATGGTAGTAACTTGCCCATGCTCTCCTCTGGAAAAAACTCAATGTTATGTCGGGGTTCAGTGTCCTGACTTGCCCCTCCTCCATCAGCTGATGACGGTTTACAATGTCAACTACGAGCTTAGCAGGAAGTCTATCTAATGTTTGACTGGATCATGGGAAAAATCTGTTATGAAGACTAACTGGTGCATCAAACGGAGAATCTAACTGAAGAGTAAGTGTGAGAGATATTAGTTTGGGGTGTTTTTCGACGTTGCTCTCTTTGCTCTCTTTTCTCTAGAATACTACCGTGTGGTTCGTCTGCTAATGTTAGCAGCAGCGTTAGCTTAGTGTTACCAACGAAGTTGTTGTTCATGTTGGATATCGTAATAAACCTAACTGGGTCCTTTGAGGAACATTTTGTCAAACCAATAATGTTCGTTAAGTGTTGGAAAATATTGCGTTTTCAAGCATTAGACGTAAAAAAGTCAGTTAGTAAACGAAGAAAAGACAAGCGTTGCTAGGGTGTTAGCACTTTGTGCCCCAAGCGGGCTCCCGTACCGAACTTCATAAGAAACTCGTTTGGTTTTATTTAACTTCAGCTATTTCACAGGATGGATTCTTTTTCCTGATATTATTCTGAAGTTTTATGTATCAATAAAGGCTACTCTTGAATTCGGCATAAAGAAATGACAATTATACAGTAATGAATTTGATAACGACCCAAATCTGCTGAGATTGCTGCAGTGTTTTGTTGGCTGAGGTCATTGAGTTCACATGCTACTCAAACAAGTGTTAACGGTTTTTCGGATGAGCACCGAGATGGAGAGTGGATGCACGGATTTATGTCAGAGTTTAAAAAAATGGAACATTGTGTTATATTCGGCTTACATACTTTTGGGCAAATATTAGATTTGTATTCAACCAAAGCACCTGTTTCACAACCCATCTTAATATGCGATTTTGATAAACCACGTTGCATCATAACGACAGGGTAATCCCATTCTTTCACTTTCCCTTTGCGAAAAAATGCCTTGTAGTTAATAAAAAGTACCTAAAATTAAGGTAAAAGAAAAAGAGAAACTAAGACCAAATAGGGACTTTTAGTTTAGTGTTTTAAACCTTTGTTTAAACTTGTTTCTTAATTTCAGACAGAAATTGCTGTGGGAGATGGAGAGCTCTAAAAGAGGACAGCCATGGGGAAAGCTGGTTAAAGTGAACTCCAGCGAGACTGTCCTGCTTTACAACAGAGAGTGCACAGTCGGCAGAAAAAAAGGTTGGTTTGCGTAGCGTTGAATGAATATCTTAAACCTGCTGTCACACAACCCCTACAGTTTGTTATCCTGCTTAAAAAAGTTCTCAGTGAACACAGACAGACCCGTCTAGAGTACAGACATCACTGTCAGTGTATGGAGCTTTAAAAACCTCCCCCTTAAAAACACAAAGAGTTCTTCAGTGCAGCAAACTTAGACAGCCTCTTGTGATGATAACAAAAGGCCTCCATTGAGAACATGTGTGCAGAATATAAAGTAGATTTTTTTCTTTGTATGGGTTTTGCTTAAGAAAGGGTTGGGCCTATATTCCCCCTTTGTCTGATTTGTTGTTGAGAGCCATTAAGGTCTGCTTTATTGCAATGCAAAGTGACAGCTTTGAATGGAGAGCTCGTTTTTAAAAATGTAATGTCATTGTTGTTTTATTTAACAGCACTGTTACTCAATTATCATATTTGCAGTTTATGGTAGAGGAAGACAAACATATTTACTTCAATAACTACATAAACCCTAAACATTACCCAGTATACCCTCTTAAAAGCTCAAAAATAATCTGTATTATTTCTGTTTATTTTTCTAACATCTGCTTCTTTTTTTCTTCTTCAGGGTGTTATTTATCTTTTCCAGCCAACAAACTGGTATCAGGGGAGCACTGCAAAATTGTGCAAGATGAAAACTCAGGGTCAGCATGGCTGGAGGACACGAGGTACTGCATGCTTGATGTTCTCCCATCAGTAAAATTGAACAATAATACAAAACTGGAGTATTATTTTATTGTTTAATGATGGACTGAACTGAAATTATCTAATTTCTGCAGGGTTGTATTTGTAAAAAGGAATACTCTTGAATTTATTTTGTATATTATTCAAAATCAATTCCAGAAAAAGTTGGGGCCCTGTGTAAAACTTGATAAAATCAGATTTTAAGAGTTTGGGAAGGATTTAAATACTGAATTTAATAGAAAACAGTACAGAGTAACTAAACAAATGCTGAAACTGTCAAATGTTATTGCTATATTAAAAAGTTATTACATGGTTTTCAAATCAGACATGACTCTGTAGTGGAAGTCACTGCATGGGCCAATATCGCTTCCAAAAAACATACTTCCAATACAGTTTATTGCTTCATCTATGAATATAAATTAAAACTACTCTGCAAACAGGAAACCACATATTGTGTCCTTTCATACATCAAACTAACTGACCCCTTTTTTGTTTCATTGTTTGCTTTCTTTTGTTTGTTTCTTGGTCTGCAGCACTAACGGCACGGTGATCAACATGTCAAAACTGGTCAAGAAGCAAACTCACGTCCTGCAGAACGGTGACGTCATCTATTTTGTGTACCGGAAAAGTGAGCCAGAACAGAGTGAGTAATACTTCATTTTTTCAGCCATGAAAACAAGCGTTAGCATAAATTATAAGAGGCAAAAGTTGACATAATTTTCTCCTGTCTGCCTGTAGATGTTGCCTATGTTTACCACTCAATCCAATCAGAGCAAACTGATTCACAACTGAGTTATGGTAAGTAGTGAATACATTCTTTGTTAGATGCAACACTTTTGTTGCAGATGTAGCATGTATTTGAAGCTGCTATTAGTTATTAGCTATTGCTAATATATAGCAGTTGCTATGCTAACCAGTGGCTAGTGTGGCTACCTTGTATTGTTTACAAGATATTTACAGTCACTGCAGTTAATAATAATAATGATAAAAACAGAAATATAAACAATATTCATATGATTATATATATAAATGACTTGGTTGAATAGGTTGAATTTCTACCCGGGTTACACAGGTCTTTGTTGTGCCTTTGTTGTAACCTAATATTATGATATATATGTAAATCATTAGTGTCGGAGAAGAGGTGGGACTAGATAAGTTTCGGCTTCTTCCCACTCCTTTTTGAACCTGGATAACTTCTTATCATTTGTTGTTGTATTCTTTACTTTTTTATTATTATTTTTTTATATGTTCAAAATAAACTTCAATCAATCAATCAAACCTCCACTCTTTATCCAACACTCAGACACGGAGCCGTCAGCCTACAGTCCAGCTCCTGTCCAACAAGCAGAGACGGAGATGTCCCTCTCAGTAGAGCCTGTGCTGCTTCCAAAAGCTCCTCGAGATCCATCCCAGGAGGAGCCTCAGCCTTCCACCTCCTCGTCCCACTTAAGTATCAGAAGCTCTACCACTACCGGTGCCATGGCGACGACCTGTCCTGCTTCTGGTAGGTTCTCTGCTAAAACACAGACAGGATTTGACTGGAGGGACTTTAAATAATAACCTTTTCCCATACAAAAGTACTGCACAACACCGTCTACATTCACCTTTAGAAAGTTTTCTGGAAGTTTGTAGATACATTTTGATTATTTCAGAAATATCTTTTAGTTTCTGCTGTAGAAAATATGAGGGGCTTCCCAGAGTAGTCTGCCGATGTTATGGTGATGATAGGACTTAAAGATGGGACTTTTTCTCACAAACATAGAGCCTGAAAAATACCCCTCCGTAAAATCCCAGCATGCTGTTCGAACACTTGATATTTGAGTCATTTTTTCTGCTTTGCTAACAGGCTCAGTTCTTTAGCTTCAAATTTACAGACATGCATGAAACTCTTGGTAAGACACAGATGAAGTGTTTTTGCTTGAATGAGTAACTATTTATTTTTCTCAACAGTGTAGACTAGCTCAGGATGATCCTGTAACTTATTCATCTGTCGTTAGAGGGGGTGGATGTAGACTCTCATTACATAGATTTCATTTTTTAATGTGCCTATGTGCATATTGGCATGTTGTCAATCCAGATTTGCCTTATTTAAATTTTTCTGACAAACAGTCGTCTGTGTGATCAGTCAATAATTACTAAGAGAAAAAGAAGCAGAGATGGGACTCTGAAGTATTTGTGAAGATGGTTTTCACTGATGGAAATAGACGTACTGTTGTTGTCAGCTGATCAACACTCAACTTTTAAACCTGATTGAACCCTGACTGTTTCCTGAGAATCCTCTGATCATGATCGTGCTTAAATATCAGCGCTGTCCTGTCTGCACTCATCTGCTCTGTGTGTTTACTAATTCCTCCCAGGTGCTCACCCTGAGCCGTTTCTTTCCATTTCACTAACCTTTAAAACTTCAAAACTCTCAGCACCATCACCTGGTAGAGCATGCACCTCAGTTTGACCCGCTCTTTGCCCTTTGATGCATTACATGAATCTTACACACAGAGCTGTTATGAATGCTGTATGATAAACTCATCGTCACCTTTTTAAACAAGTTCAATGTTGATTAATGCTCAACAAAACTATAATATCTTATCTAAACCGGTTCTGTTGTTCTTGTATTTCATCAGGCAAAGATAAAGATGCTTTCCCAGCGCCGGACCAAGATGTGGACAACATGGAGCCAGAAAGCAAGAGGAGGAAAACTGGTGAGTTTAGTATTTTCCAACAAAAAGCTAAACCACATATTCCGATTGTCCTCACATTTTCCGCTGTTTTTGTTAGCAGTGTGATAAACAGGAGCCGCCCTGTTAGGGGTTTTCCTGTCTGTGTTGTACTTTTCTCTGGCCGCTGGATGAAAGGAGAGTTTAAAAAGCCAGATAAGCCTTTAATCTGCATTAAACAACAGTTTTACTGTAAATAAGGATGAAACGGCAACACACACGCTATCTCTCTCTAATTCAGTCTCTTCCACATTTCTGAAAAATATCTAGAAAATGTTGCTTTTCATGCGTAGAGTGGAGTTTTTCCATTGGAAGAAGGATGCAGGTGGGTGGGGGCCTAGAGATGAGTCCTCGGGGGGAGGACATGATAACAAAAGTTGACTATAATGTAAAAAACAGAGGCCTGCACTATGATGATGGTGTTTTTATTGTACAAAGCCACATGTAAACAGATGAATGTGAATAACTCACCGTATTTTGAAAGTCATTCTTTAAACTTTAGATGTTTTAATTCCGAGTGTTATACGCCTCACCACGGATTCACAGTAAATGCACGATTTTAACCATAATTCTCCCCCACCCATCCATTTGTTGTGGAAATTACTTCAGGGACAGGAGGAAAAACTCTGGACAGAATCAGGGGAAATTTCAGCTGTTAACCCCTGAAAAAAGTTTTCATGTTTTGTGCATTTGTGAATAAACCTCAAGACTCCAAACTCAACTCTTAAATATATTAACACTTCAACCTTGAGCTTCTCCTAAAGCACGGCCCAGGAAAGCCATGCTGGAGACACCATTACGTGAAGCAGATTGAGTGGAAAAGGTGCTGTTAAATATAGTAGCATGTAACATGCAGCTATTGTGTTCACAGATCAAGATTATAACGAGGGCCTGCCACACACCTCCAGAACAGACGTGACCACTTCAGCTGAGAAAAGTCTGTCTAAACCACCTGTGGAGGGAGCAAAGACGGACAAGATGGAGGAGAGCCTGACGTGTGTTATCTGTCAGGACCTCCTGCATGACTGTGTCAGGTAAGGGTTGAACTCTTCTTCTTCTTCTTCATGTCTAGGAAATGTGCCCACTGTTTGTTGTAATTCTGAGTTTCTGCTGTTTGCTTCAGTTTGCAGCCCTGCTTGCACGTCTTCTGTGCTGCTTGCTACTCAGGCTGGATGGAGCGCTCCTCACTTTGCCCCACCTGCCGCTGCCCTGTGGAGAGAATCAGGAAGAACCACGTCCTCAACAACCTGGTGGAAGCTTACCTCCTTCAGCACCCAGGTTTGTGCAGACGTGAAAGAAGTAAAAAGTGAAGGGCAAAAAAAAACATCTGGCCCACTAACTGCTGACTTGGTATTGTTTCCACCTTTTTGTGCGTTTATTCCACAGAGAAGTGTCGCAGCGAGGAGGATCTGATGAGCATGGAAAGCCGTAACAAGATAACTCAGGATATGCTGCAGCCAAAAGTTGAGCGCTCGTTCTCAGACGAGGAGGGCAGCTCAGATTTCCTGTTTGAGCTCTCTGACAATGACAGTGACTCCTCAGATATCAGGTAAAACAAAAATGGAGGATATAAATGCAATAGGCAGTGACTGAAGAGCAATATGAAAGTGTACCATCCTCGTGAACATGTTCCTTTATCCTCCAGTCTTTGTGTTTTGTTACCAGTCAGCCTCTGGTGATGTGCAGACAGTGTCCAGGCTACAGGAGGGACTTCAGTCAGATGCTGTTTGCTACAGCTTCAAACTACTGGCTCCCTGGTCTTCCCGCTCCACTGCAGGTCGTTCCTCCACCCAAACCAGCAAGTGAGGAGGGGTCAGAAAAGCCTGCAGGGGAGCAGCCCTCAACATCCTCTGATACTCCCTCAGGTCGTTACGATTAAAGTTTCGATTTTTACACTGAAAGGAGTTAATAAGAAGTTATAGTGTGTTATGAATCTGAAAGCCCACCTAACCAAATCTGCCTGACTCTGAACTCTTTACATTTCTTCTGCCCTGTGCAGCTCCACAGGAATACTGCTGCCCCCCTCAAGGCCTCCATCTCATCTGCACCTGCTGCCTCCAGCCGATGCCAGACAGACAGGCCGAGCTAAACAGCCAGCAGAGTATCGCTCAACAATGTGAGCGTCCCCCTGAACTTCCCAGTCCTCCAGTAGAACTCTAGTCTGAGGCTGTTCGGTATAAAACTGCATTTGAAAATTGTAACTTGTTCCCTAATATACTGATAATCCCTGTCTGTGTTGACAGGTATGCTGTGCCAGCGGCCGTTCTGTCACATGTACTGGGGTTGTCAGAGGATCGGCTGTCAGGGCTGTCTGGCTCGATTCAGTGGTGTGTATCTCTGCCAGCAAAACAGAAGGATCTCAACCGTCTGTCTTATTGTAGAGTTGTAGACTTGGAGCCGTGTGAGGTCTCTCTAAATGCAGTATTTTGTGATGTTCATGGTTGTCATCCTCGGAGAAAGAGAACTCTTGAAAACTTTATTTTATGATATACACTTTATAACAATTAGTGCAGGGTTCAAACTCTTGTAATTTTGTGCTTAGAGTGTCATTATTAACTTGTTGTTTTGTGCTTCAAATGGAATTGCAAATAGCTGCCTTCTAATGGCCAGCAGGGGGCCGTGTCACTGGTTGCACGCTTTACAAACAAATTCCTGCATCAGAAACTATTATATATATATTACTATTTTTTAAGTTGTTATGATATTATGCATACGGCCCCTCGTGTCCTGTGGTATCAGCTGGCAGGTCATGCCCCTCAGTTTGGGAGTCACTACTTTAGGATGTCTTCAGGTTGACGAGTCACCACAACAGCAACCTGCCAAGATAGAGGTGATGGAGAAGGCCATCCAACCTCTTGTCCTGATGTGATCCTGAAAAGATGGAAAGCTGAAAAAGAAAACCTTCAAAAAAGAAAAACTTTTTTGTTTCAACACTCTGTTTATCTTTCAGATCTCAATCTCACAGACAAATGCTTGGATGGTGTGCTGAACAACAACAACTATGAATCAGAGATCCTCCAGGTAAGAGGGACTGCACGCACATGTCGGATATGATTTGCAGTTTGGCGGCTGTTTATTTATTTTTCAATTAGACTTCCGTACTTGAAAAGGTCAGTGGAGTGAAGCGAATAAATCCTGGCTGCTTGATTGTAGCCGGTCCAAGTGCCGCCAAAAAGATTTAGAGACAGCCTGAACCTCTTTGTCAAATAAAAGGCACTTGTTTCTGTAAGCTAAGAAAAACAACATTGCAGAGTGTCATCTTTCTAAACAACCTTGAAACGCATGTCTCTACATACTATCATATAATCTGCTGAAATGATGAAGTTTGCATGTTTCCATTTCCCACCAGAACTACCTGACCTCCAGAGGGAAGACATGGAGAGACCTGCTCCAGGAGTCCCTGCAGAGCTTACAGCAGGGCCAGTACCACCTGACAGGTCAGTCTCAGATCAGTCACATTCACCTCAACACTTGTTTATCAAACATTGGTTCTAATGCGGCGTAACCAAGTCCACACTAGTATTTAAAATGAGAGTCCCATCCTCTACTCTCTGTGTATCAGATAACCGCGTCTCTGCAAACACCATCACATGCTTCTGCTGCGGCCTGAGAGCGTTCAAGGAGCTGGCCTACAAATACAGACAGAACATCCTTCCATCTGAGCTGCCAGGTTAGACACAGCTCAACATGTCTGAGTCGTTGTCATTTTTATGCCTTTGTGAGCGTGTTTTAAACTTTTTTTCCTCTCTCTCTCTCTCTCTTTCTTTAAAACTCTTTCAGCTGCTGTAACAGCTCGCCCCGACTGTTACTGGGGACGCAACTGTCGTACGCAGGTGAAGGCGCATCATGCAATGTAAGTGTTCATGTTTAAAACACCTCATGGAGTCTCTTCTTATCTCTGAAAGTAAATCTGAGTAAAGGGACTTTGCTGTGGATAGAGTAACGGCTTCTTGTATGTAGTTCACTCATTGTACCACTAGAGGGAGTCATTGTTTAAGTACGTACCTGAAGAGTTCCTGTTGTAAAAGTGTCATTTCATCTCATTGTGATATTTTCATTAAGGGAAAAGCTTAATTCATGTGTTTGTTTATCTTTATTTTATCGACAGGAAGTTCAACCACATATGTGAGCAGACGCGGTTCAAGAGCTGAGGGAGCCGAGCGGTTAGCGCCCCAAACCCGAGTGTCAAACAGAGTCCCAGGGGCACGATCTTAAGTTGTGTGCTGTATGTGTCCACGACAGAGAATTGGATTTCAGATGTTATGCAACAGCCTAATGCAGAATCTACAATCAGCATCCATTTACAAGCTCTGATCAATGTCTTTCTGAGTGAAATAATGCTATGCACATAATCATGATATACATCTATGTTTACGAATGGTTTGAGCTGCTATTCAGAATTTAGACCCGTTGAAATTAAGATACACGTTAATGTTGGATTATGCTCTTCAAAGTTCATGAGGTGTTTAACCACTAACTGTTCAAGCAGATTCAAAACTCTTCCATCCTCACACGTCCTTCAGCTTATGTCAAAATATATATTTCTCAAATTGAGATCTAGTTTTTTGGTCTGTTGTCATTAAGACATAAAGCAGCTGATGTATGTTTACTTTCTTGTTGTGATGTAATATTAAGTGTTAGGTAAGTAGAATATAAGCGAATGATTACATCAGAGTTTAATAGCAGCACAAAGCTGGGCCAAACACACAATCTGATTCCAAACCTCTTCAAAAAGTACTGAAAAGCGTAAACGTCTCACCTCTGAGGGACTTTCTTGTTTTACCAGGGTATTACTTAATCCCCAGACGGGGGCAAAAAGCCACGTCAAACCCTGTGCATATGTACTCCGGCAGATTAATAATCCCTTGTGATATTTGTATAGGATTTGGAAGGGGATCAATGTGTTGTAACCCTGTCAGAGGGCATGGAGGGGGCCTCTGTTGTATGCTTTGCTCAGGATAATCATCTCAAAAGGTGATTACAGTGCAGAAGGGACCCTTTCTTAGAGCCTTGTAGTAAGGGCTAAGCTAGGATGAAATGCAGTTACTCATGTATGGTCTTGAGAGGAATAAATAGGCAGCACTCCAGGAAACCTGTAGTAGTTGATTTAGCTGAAGGTGCTGGTGCTTTCAAAGGCACTCGCCCATGGTCGGAGTTTGCACGAGCAAAGTGTAATTGCAGAACTAACAGTTTAGAGAACTGTGCCAACACAACTCAACAGCACTGTGTCGATAAGTTTAAAGTAGCGGATGTTATTATAGATGTTATAGAGTAACTCTTGAGAGTTTTACTCAGATGTTTTGAAGGTTAAGGTTATTTTTGATCCTCAGGTACACTAATCTGCTGCGTTGTTTTTGAAATAGCAGGTTAACCATGTTTGGTGGTTAGAACAGTCCTGTGTTAACATGTGAACACTGTCATGTTGAATCCGATGGCTTCCTGTTTTAGACTATCACAAAGTACTATCATGCAAACATGCACAGCTGGTATTGATGTCGACTGAACAGAGTGACAAATCAGACATAAGTTTAAAGAGGCCTTACATGTTTATTAAGGAAGTATATAAAGTTACAGATTAAGTTTAGGAGCATCTTGATCAGGATCTTCATCCTTTGTTGTGAACTTCACTTACCTCTGGTCCATTTGTATGATTTTTGCCATACAGATGCTGGGATTATCGTGATTATTTTTTGTATTTCTGATTTTTTTTCTATTAGAGATGAATACTACTATGTGCAACATGATTCTGCATTGTATACCTACGAGGATATTTGCACATAATTTTGTCTCACACAAATGGAAAGGCATCTTCAAGGGTACAGTGGGAAGAGCAGTCTTTGTCTATAATGTGAGATACTGATATTCTGGCTAATTGTTTGTTTTGTAATCAGATGAGTTTAATTCACAGAGAGGAAATATGCATCAGAGGGAATATAGAGGTTTAGAAGAATATATCTCTGATAGTTTACCTGATAAATTGTAGAAAAAAGGGTGCTTTTTAAAAATCTATATTGTTAGTACCACGAGCCATAGTAAGTGTGGATACAGGATGTTTGATTTTGAAGTATAGCTCTTCATATTTTTGTTGTAGATGTTGGTGGCAGAAGGAAGGGGTTTGTGAATGGGCACTTTTCTGGCCTCTGCCAGAGCTCCTGAGTTAATTTGTGGCGTTAGAAAGGAGGTTTAGGTGTGTATTTTTTTTATTTGTATCCCTTGAGTCACGGTGGGTCCACACTGGCATTCCTTAGCGGCTCAGGCCCTCAGCACAAACCCAGTCGATCCCCCGACGGTGTGGCTGAGTTTTAATTATTCCCCACCGGAGATCTGGGCAACATAAGCCAACAACAGTCCCGAGCCGCTCCAATCAGGAATTGGTATTAAAGAGGCTTTGGTTGAGTGCTTTGCATTCTCCCTGGTGTGTGTGGGTGTGTGAGTGTGTGTGTGGAGAGAGGTGGAAAGGGAGGCTATGTTGTATACTAAGGAAAATATTTACTCACTTTGTGTGCAAGAGTCTGGACCAGGCTGCTCAGCAGTATGGGAGAGGCAGGTTTGATTCTACCTCATCTCAGCTCCCGAAGACGAGGGGAGACTGAACAGACATCCGCGTCACAGTCACATCAGTTTAGAGCTGGAAATGTCCCCGCTGATGCCTGTGACCGATGTCTGCAATGCACTATTAGAACATTTAGTCTAGACTATAATCAACCTCTAGTTCAATCTTTTATAGTAACATTAGGCACATATTAAATGTTGAGAAAACAGAGTTTGTTAAATGTTTCTTTATGTTGTCCCGTATGTTGTATTAGCAATGCTACAGTTCAAAATGTAAAAATTGATTTGATTTTGTTTATCCTAATAAATAAAATACTGATGAAGCTGTTTGAGGAAAATACCTTGATTGATTTCATAATCTCTTGATTTCATACTTCTGATGATGAGATTTCGTGTTTTATCAGGAAAGCAATCCTCTAAATTCAAATGAAACCTTAAAGCTACAGCCTATAAACAAAAGACTTTAAAATAGTGACAAAACTTATGTATTCTTGATTTGTGTGAATAGTCTGCGTTAAATGAGACAATATTAAAAGCTCCAGTCAGGAGGTTTCTGGTTCTGTCGCCCCTGATCATCCTGCAATAACACCAAAGACACCACAAGTGATTGACATAGCCTTTATTAAAACTTTACATAAATTCATAACTCATTTTAAATACTATTGTGATCACTAACGCTCTCTGTATACTACATAATAGTGTAAAGTGTCACTCTATATGCTTTTGCTTTATTTTGATTTCCCTTTTTATAATCCAGGATGAGCCTCAGGTGTACATAGTGCGTCTGTATATCATCGTAATATTCGTGTACAGTCTTTGCTCTGCAGAACACTTTTGGGTAACAAGTCATTGAATGAGCATTCAGTATCCGGCGCTAAGAAATAAACATTAGAAAAGACAGGAATCTGGCACAAGCAGCACAAATCCAGAATGAATGAGCTATTGAAAGCAAAGTGCAATGGTTGGAGTATTATAACTTACTGAGAAGCATGGAACTGGTTAATGAATCTGTTAAAAAAACAAATACGGCAAAGTGCTCCCTAAGAGTTTGGGGTTACGGATAATCGCTTAGATAATACTTTTTTTTGTCAACACAAGCAATCATTCATCTTTTTTTAATCACATACTACCACAGCAGTCATTGCCTTGGCATAATAAGCAGCATATTATTACATCTTTGTCCAAACACAAATATATAAAAATAGAAAACAGCTAGAGTGAGAGGAATATATTTGCCAGCAGCAGCTGAGGCTACAGTATATGTAGGAATCATTTTGTAATAGATGAATTCAAAGTAAAGAAATGAAAGGTTATATATTTCACAAAGTGGCACTAACAGAGTTCAGAAATGTAGAAACTGGCCCACCAGAGTCCCTGCTCTTTTCACCAACTTAAAGCCTGTGTGGTCACATGTGGTTGGTCACACTGCACAGCACTGTGGACTGACCCAGAGACGCCTCGCTGTTACTCACTTTGTGTGACTCGTTGGACGGTAGTGGCCCCACTCCTCCAGAAACCTGGCTCCCCCACGGCCTCCACTCTGGTCTGGCTCTCTGGCTCTGTGGGCTGAGGCTGCTGCTTCCATCAGCAGGCCTCTTCTTTTCACACATCCCCCTTATTCCTCCATTCAGAGCCAAAGTGGGGGCCGGGGTCTGGTCTAGGTGCTCAGCCGAGACCAGAGGCTGCCGGTCCTCCTCTTCAGAGATGGCGAACACCGGCACGCTGATGTGATCAGCCTCGCCAGGGAAACGCTTTCCGGCTGAGCCGCTCTCAATCTGACACTGGGCGGAGGAAGAAGAGCCAGGGCTGGATTCAGAGGGGGAGCCTGGGGCATGAGGAACCACAGAGGCCTTCGCTGGATCGGCTGTCCCAGAGAGCAGACCAAAGCAATGCCCTGTGAAGCGGGAGCGCCGCAGGTTGCTGGTGGAGTTGAGACGCCGCTGCCTCTGGGCGGGCTGCGAGAGGGGGTAGGAAGCGTTGCTGATAGAGGAGTCAGATATTATGCTGTTGTCCGCATTGACCTCCAAATGAACATCAGAGAAGACCTTCCTGCTGTCGCCCTCCCTGCAGTCTGTGACCAAACTGGATGGAGTCTGGAAAGAAATGAGACGGTTTTGTATATATCTTAAAATTAATGAATACAGACAGAAGAGGGCTTTAATGTTATCAAGGTTCACGATCAACCCTGATAGTAACAGTCTGCTTTAAGTTAGAATACCATTCAATAACCTCATGCGTGTAGTTAACTTTTAAAAGTTGGATATTATCTGAAAAAGCTGAACAGAATTTGGTTGTTTGCAACTCATTAAAACCTTACATTAAATCAAAAACAGTTTAAAAGACAAACAAGTGTTAAAAATTAAGCTGTTTTTATGTGAAGAAATTATTCTAAAAAAAAACTGGAGGAATGTCTCCTTCTTAAGTGATTTGCAAAAGGTTAGTAACATGATTGGATCTAAAAACAGCTGTCCAGAGAGGCTGAGTTTCTCAGAAGTAAAGTTAAGAAGTTCACTGCTCTGTGAGAGACACATGAGCACATTCAGCTATTTCAGAATAATGTTCCTCAGCATAAAATTGCAAAGAATTAGGGGATTTCATCATTTAGAGGGCATAATATTGTTAGAGGATTCTGAGAATCTGGAGACATATTTCTATAAAAAGGACAAAGGCAAACACCCAAACTGGATGGCTATCATCTTCAGCTCTCAGACAGCAGTGTTTAAAACAGTCATGAGTCTGAGATGGAAATCCTGACGTTCTTTCAGAATATCATGGAAGATGCAACCTCCACTCTTAAGACAGGGTCCACCTGACTCAATTTAACTCTGATAGCAAGGAGATGCATAAGCGTCCACAAAATGCAGGGAGTACATGTTTTAGAGCAACATATGCTGCCATCTGGATGAGGACTTTTTCAAGAGAGACCTTCATATTTCATGAGGACACTTTGCATAAATTACAACAGAGTGACACTGAAGTAGTAGAGTCTGCTGCTGAATTGGCCCTTACTTGCAGCCCTGACTTGAAATCCATCAAAAACATTTGGCACATCATGAAACAAAGAATACCAAAACTGAGCCTAAACTGTTGAACAGCTGAAACTCGATGTTAGGAAAGAATGGGACCAGATATGACCCCAGCAAAAAACCCAGCCCTGAAAAGAGAACCCTCTTCTCCTGCTTAGCTTCACCATTTATTGGAAAAAAATTCACAGCATTTCTGTCCCTCTGGACCTTTTTCTAAGTGTGTTCTCAGAGAGAGCAAGGTTCTCCTTCCAAGTCTTTAGTTACACGTCCTACGCATATACTTAATGAGATAGTTGGATGTGCAAATACCTCTCTTAAAACTCTCAGAACTCCAGAAACAGGTCTCCTCTGTTCCCAAATGTTTACAGTGTTGTTCAAAGAAGAGGTGATTAAGTACGAGGTAAACATGCCAGTGCTGCGACTTTTTAAATACTAAGAAAAAACGGTTTCATTTTAATTTTTTTATCATACTATATGATGAATTTTTTGCTGTACAATACTATGACATTTATGTCAAACTATACTGTGACATATTTATTGTGTTATACTATGACATTTTTATCATACTTAACTGTTATATTTTTATCATACTATACTATATTTTTTATCATACTTAATAAGAATAAGAATAACTTTATTAATCCCTGAAGGGAAATTCAATTGTCTGTTGTCTCACATAATATCTCTCCAAAAAAGTTATCTATTTACACAAGAGTTATTAAGTCTGATGGCTGTTGGTACAAAAGATCTTCTGAATCTTTCTGTCCTGCAGCAAAGAGAGAGGAGCCGTCCACCACCATTCGCACTATTGTGACATTTCTGTCATAGTTTTATTATTATTATTATTATTTTGTGGCTTTGTATTGTGGTATCATTTTTGTTCTTATTGTTGTGGTTGTCCTTTATAATATTCTATGTATGTTGTTTGTGTATTCCCTGTCTAATTTTCAAACTATGTTTCCGGGTCTTTGTTGTCAAGAACTGTGATTTAATGTTTTGTTGTCATATTGTGGCTTCTTAAAAGTAATCCACTGTTTTCCTTTTAAAAAACATGTTAATTCTGCTTCTATAAAGAAACATTGAAAAAAAAAAAAAATTCTGTCATTTTTTTTCATACCATAATAGGTTATTTTTTTATCATACTATACTATAGCATTTTTTCATAGTGAGATATTTTTTTATTGTACTATACTATGACATTTTTATCATGCTATACTATGATATTTTTTATCATTCTGTTCAATGACATTTTTTAACATAATTGACAATGACTTTAAAAAAAAAAATTTAATCATATTATAGTATGACATTTTTGTCATACGATACTATTACCTTTTTATTATATTATAACAAGACATTTTTCATCATACTATACTATGACAATAATCGTCATGTATTACTATGAAATTTAAATCATACTATACTATAACATGTTTATAATACTATATTATAAGATTTTCTTCATACAATAATATAAAATTTCTCACATACTATACTATGAATTTTTTTAATCATACTATACGATGATATTTTCTTCATACAATAATGTAAAATTTCTCACATACTATGCAATGATATTTTGCCATACTATACTACGACATTTTTTATCATACTCTACTATGACATTTTTTAACATACTTTACTATGACTTTTTTTCATACAAAAATATTTTTTGACACTTCTATATAATGACATTTGTTAATATAAAAGTACTATTTTTTTAACAGACTTTTCTACATTTTTATCATACTTTACTATGACATTTTCTATTACGCTATACTTTGACATTTTTATTGCACTATACTAAGACATTTTTTGTCATACTACACTGTGACATTTAATCATGCTTTACTATGACATTTTTATCATACTATACATTGACATTTTCATCAAACTAATCTACAACATTTCTTATCATGCTATACTTGGACATTTTTATCATACTATACTATGACATTTTCTTTAAACAATTATTTAAAAATTTTAACATACTTAACTATGACATTTTTGAACATACTTTACTATGACTTTTTCCCATACAGAAATATTACATTGAAATTGAACTATACTATGACAATTTTTTCATCAAACTATACTATGAAATTTTTGTCATACTATACTATGACATTTTTATCATACTTAGATATGACATTTTTTATCATACCATACTATGGCATTTTTCATCATACTATACAATGACATTTTTGGTCATGCACTATGACACTTAAATCATACTATACTATGATAATTTTGTCATACTATACTATGACATTTTTATCATGGATAACTGTAACATTTTAATCAAACTAAACCATGAAAATTTTTATCATGCTATACAATGACATTTTTGTCATACTATTCTATGATATTTTTGTCATACTATACTATGCTATTTCTATCATGGATAACTGTAACATTTTAATCAAACTAAACCATGAAAATTTTCATCATGCTATACTTTGACATTTTTGTCATACTATACTATGACATCTAAATCATACTATACTATGACAATTTTTCTCCTACTATACTATGACACTTTTTGTCATACTATATTATGACATTTTTTACCATACTTAACTATGACACTTTTTGTCATGCATAACTTTGACATTTAAATCATACTATACTGCGACTTTTTGTCATAGTATTCTTTGAAATTTTTTCATACTTCACTGACATTTTTTATCCTACTATACTGTGACATTTTTCATCATACTATTCTATGACATCAATAATCATGCTAAACAATGACATTTTTATCGTAGTTTACTATGACATTTTATCATTCTATATTATAACATTTTATAACATACTATACTATGACACTATTTGTCATCCATTTCTATGACATTTTAATCACACTATACTACAACTTTTTTGTCACACTATTCTATAACATTTTAAGCTAATTTTAGTATGCCTTTTTTATTGTAAAATACAAAACAATTTCTTCATCATACTATACAATGCCATTATTTATCATGGATTACTGTAACATTTAAATCATACTTTACTACTACATTTTTGTCATACTATACTATGACATTTTTATCATACTTTAAAATGACATTTTTTTTCATACTATACTATGACATTTTTATCATACTATACAATGACATTTTTGGTCATGCATTACTATGACACTCAAATCATACTATACTATGACATTTTTATCATACTATACTGTGAAATTTTTCATCAAACTAAACTATGAAAATTTTTATCATGCTATACTTTGACATTTTTGTCATACAATACTATGACATTTAAATCCTAATATACTATGACAATTTTGTCATACTATACTATGACACTTTTTTTTCATACTATACTACGACATTTTTATCATACTACACTGACATTTTTCATCATACTATACAATGACATTTTTGGTCATGCATTTCTATGACACTTAAATTAACGACATTTTTGTCATACTATACTATGACATTTTTATCCTGGATTACTGTAAGGTTTTAATTGAACTAAACCATGAAAATTTTTTCATGCTATACTATGACATTTTTGTCATACTATACTATGACATAAAAATCATACTATACTATGACAATTTTTGTCATACTATACTATGACACTTTTATCATACTATACTATGAAATTTTTCTTCATACTATACAATGACATTTTTGGTCATGCATTACTATGACACTTAAATCATACTATACTATGATATTTTTGTCATACTATGCTATGACATTTTTATCATGGAATACTGTAACATTTTAATCAAACTAAACCATGAAAATTTTATCATGCTATACTTTGACATTTTTTCATACTATACTGTGACATCTAAATCATACTATACTATGACATTTTTTATCATACTTATCTATGACACTTTCCATCATGCATAACTATGACAATTTTTCTCATACTAAAGTACTACTTTTTTGTCATACTATTCTTTAACTTTTTTTCATACTTCACTGACATTTTTTATCATACTGAACTATTTTTTCATTATACTATTCTATGACATTATTAATCATGCTTAACAATGACATTTTTTATCCTACTATACTATGACATTTTTGTCATACAATATATGAATTTTTTAACATACTTTACTTTGACATTTTGTCATTCTATACTATGACATTTTATAACATACTCAAGTATGACACTTTTTGTCATGCATTACTATAACATTTAGATCATACTATACTACGAAAATTTTGTCATACTATACTATGACATTTTTATCATACTATACTGTGACATTTTTGGTCATGCATTACTATGACACTTAAATCATACCATACAACGACATTTTGTCATACTATACTATGACATTTTTATCATGGATTACTGTAAGATTTTAATCAAACTAAACCATGAAATTTTTTTCATGCTATACTATGACCTTTTTGTCATTCTGTTCTATGACATCTTTCAATGTACTATACAATGACCATTTTCATCATAATTCACTGAAATTTTTAATCCTGCTTCTATGACATTTTAATCAAACTATACACTGACATTTTTTCCCCTTTGATACTGTTATTTTTTTACATAATTAACTATGAGATTTTAAAATGTAATTTTTCTCAACTTTCTATACCATGATAATTTTTCAACATTTTATACCGAGACATTTTTTGTCATACAAAAATAAGATACTTTAATCATACTATACTATAAATCTTTTGTCATAATTTATTATGACATTTTTATCATACTTTACTATGACATTTTTTTATCATTATATACTCTGACATTTTTAACATACTATCCTATGACATTATTTTCATACTATGCTGATATTTTCACCATAGAAATCTGACATTTTGTAAACTAAAATATGATAATTTTATCATACTATAATGTGACATTTTTTTAATACTATACAATGATATTTTTATAGCTCTATCCTATGACATTTTTTTTAATGTAAAACTAAGAATTTTGTTTTGCACATACTACACTATGACATATTTTTATACTGAAGGAAAGATATTTTATCATAATATACTACTTTTTTTAATTTAATGTTTCTTCTTGAAGGCTCCAATAAATGTCAAAATGGAGATCCAACTAAAAAATGGCTCCATAGCACCCCCTACGAAATTTCAAATTTTAAGCCCTTCCCCTGTTTGAAAATTTGCGTTTTGAGATTTTCGCCCATTTTTAAAGCTTTTTTTTAAAAGGTATCTCCTCCTAAGGATTTATTAATAGAAAGCTGAAACTGCATAGGTACCCATAATAGTCTGCTTTAAGACTGAAGTACAACTCTTCACAAGGAGGCTTATTCTGGCAACAGCGCCCCCTCAAAGAGAAATATGGCTTTTTGCAAGTGGCCACCTCCAGAGCAAACCATTTACACTCTTGATGTTATTTCTCTTCCAGTCCGTTAGACAGACCTTGAAGAAGACCATATCAAAAAGAGCTGTGGAGAGAATTGCACCGGGGATGGCAGGTGGTGTGAAATGGTGGCAGTGTGCTGGAGAGGTGGTTTAAAGAGGTAGCGGTGAAACAATGCTCGGGTTCTTTGGAGGGTATTATTGTTATTATTCAGGGACTTTTTTTCCTTAATTTGGAGAGGGGCAGGAAGTGGGAATACAGAGCAGAGAGAGGACAATTTTTAGGACTTTAAATTGAAAGCAAATTAAAAAAACCCATCATGTAAACACTCTGGTACTGACCCCACCACCTTCTCTCTCTATGAAAAACCATAAAATTGAAAAGGAATAACACAAAAACATCGAATGTATGTGGTACTGACGCTGTCCACCAGTTTGGTGAAGGGACTGGTGGAGTTCCAGCTGCACCACTTCTTATGCAGCTGCGGCAGTGGAGGGAGGAAGTCCTGGAAGGTGCGTACGCTCCAAGCTCTTGGTCTGGCACAGCTGCTGCTGCCTTCCTTTGCAGATCTGGAACCATTTGGGGAGGCTGCTGAGTCCGGTGAAGGCCAATCCACTGCAGGGCCAGGACCAGTGTCACTGTGCCGGAGGAACCTCTCCCGCTGCTAAGACACAGAATGCATACGTCTATGAATTATGAGACAAACACTGCATGTCCATGGGTTGCCATGCAGGAAACTTCTCTATGGGTTTACAAAGCACATATAAATGCAGAGTGTTAAAAAGCAAAGACAGGCTGCAGATATGAATTTATGAATACCAAGTAAAGAAGTACAGACAAAAAATTCCCCTGGGAGACCAAAGGTTAAAAGTAAAGAGTGACCGAGAGAGGATAAACAAACTAATTAGGGAAGAAGACGACCACACAACATAAATAGCTTGCATATCAGAGGCTGCATTATACTCAAGCACTCAACTGCAGCTAGAATGGTCAATGACCTGCACTGAGAAGCGGGCTCGTTATTCAATCATGCACGCATCTTTGGTATTGAGCGATGATGGAAAGACTGGACTCGATAACAAACGCACTGCTTCAACAGAGGGGTAATGATATCAAGTAACAATCAGATCTGTAGATTTCACTGTGTACGTCAGCCGTCAGGAGAGAGGAGGACTGAGAAGTGAGAGATATTTATACCTTTTCAGTCACAACTGAAACAGTCACAAAACTGCTCTTAATTGGCAACCAGCCTTAATGATCTGTTTAACAGTATCATCAATATACGCAAGAACCCAAGTGTTAAGAGTCAGGGGATTAGACAGGCTGGAAGTCAACAGGTTGCACCTGTTATATTACCTCCTCGCACCTGAATTTCTCCCTGCAGACTGTGTTGTGTACTACATTAATGGATTAAAAGACGGAACTGCGCTGATTAGCTTGGCTTTTGTGAACACAAAGCCTGCCAGCTGAGCATGTGTTGCTCACGTTCTAATCTCAATCATTATTTATTAAGTTTTATTAAAGCTGTCAAGAGACCAGCGGGGGCTTTAGAATGATTCGAGTCACATTTGTGGTGCTGCGTACACAAAAGCCTCACCATCTGCACCGCACAACACAGGCCCCAACCAGTTTGAGAGGAAATATGTGATTGACGGGTTTAGATGTGTAGAGCCATGTTATCCATGCTGATCGGTCAGCTGCTGTTGATCAGGGGAGGAGGGGGGGAAGGTTTAAGGGGTTGCAACCATCAGACATAGTGTGAGTCAAGATAATCCTTCACACAGAGTCACTAGCAGCTAGCTTTGTCTAGACAAGAATTAGCTAGGGGTTTAGATAAAATGTGCTTTTGGTCATTAAAGCCCGAGGAACACAATGGCAACCTTTAGATTTGACACAAGGGGTGAGGAATCAGCCGCCAAACACACAGTCGCTTACCAAATCTGGTTCCAAAGGTCGGGGCTGAGACTTTTACAGGGTTTTGGGAAAAGCTAAACATGCTTCATACGACGGCAGAATTAAATCTGTTTGATTGAGACAAAACTGCTAAACTAAGTGCTTATGTCATATTTCTGTTGAGATTTTAAAAGCCATAAATAAGACCTGAGCTGCCATCATTAATATAAAGAAGATAAATTTACCTGTTAAGCTCTAAAAATGAAATGAAAGTTTCTCAAAACTGCTGTGAGGAACTTTTGATAAGTTATAAAACAGACCAAAATGAACGGTGACATGTCCCTGTGATGCACAAAAGCAAGAGACGATTAATATCAAGGTTTACAGTTTCTTTATTATGATTTTTGATCCTCTTAACTTCTGCGAGGGAATAGGTGCACTGAGGAAACAGCCTTTGTTACTTTTCCCACAGAAAATGTTCATGGTTAGTGATCAATGATAGGAGGGGGAGATTTCATGTGGATAAACACCCCTTTACAAGGACGGGACAAAATAAGCAACAGTATAAGGGGTACCACTTTGTCCACACTGAGCGAAAACTTCGTCACAGCGGCTTTAAAGTAAGAATAATGTCTGAATTTAAGAAACTTTAGGACTTTCTTTACTCCAATGGCAGATTTTCTAACTCATCACAAGTGAGTGAAGTCTCAGTTTTGGCTTGTATCATCTTGAAACAAAACATTTCTCCAGTCTTGTTAGGTGACGGTGGCTAAAGACAGATTTTCTACTTGAAAAAAAAAGGAGCTTAGTTTTGAGTTTTTGCAGAGGACCATTTTGATCCAGACTTGATTCGATCATACCGCCAACAGCAAGAAAAGGTTTTAGTGTTCTCATTTCTTTAACTTAATTAAAGCTCTTCTCAGTGAGGGGCCCGCTGCAAGAAAATGTGATCAAACTGGGGGTTCAAAGCTGCTGTAGGTCTTTATATGTGGGGGGTATGTGGCATCGAACCAACACAATAACACGAAACTCGTCTCAGTGACATACAGAGGATGAGTTCTGCACTTTTTTACAGACCTTCGCCGCTGTTAACGCGAGCATCATTTCTCTAACATTATTTACATGGACGTCTGCATCGAGGACACACACAGGCAGACCACACACTGCGGGCCAAAGCGTGCATAACACACACAAACACACACACACACACACACACACATACACACACACACAATTGGAGCTGGGAATCTGGCTCTGTAGATAATACTCCATTAGACTAGGCCGCACAAACGCTTGCCAGTCCTTCAAAAAGCTGCCAGAGCTGTTTTATGCCAACTCTTATTCCAAGGGAATACAAAAGAGAGAAGAGACAAAAAATGTTTGCTCAAACTGACGCTTCTTCCTCAATGTTCCTCACATCTTTTAATTATCCCCGTTTCCCCATTTATGTCCTCATAGTTTTCATAGTTTTAGGTTGTATCGTGGGCGATGCCAATAAATGGTGTCACTCTTATTAGGGACACTGGGTCAACTAAAGTAATGAATGGGCTGTCACCTCTGATGTTCGTTCGCTCAGAGACTCAAAGATCATTTGCCCAAAGTGAGGTGAACACCTGCTGCGATCACGGCTACATTTCCCCCTCAATTTACACCATCAAGGCCGGTTTCATATGAGGCTTTGGAGCCTGGAGAAGAGATGAAACACAAGACTACGGTTATGTCAGCAGCTCAGAGTCGCTGTAGGTGAACTAGGCTAAATGCTAATTAGGACATGCTATCACTCTATAGAAACTGCTAACAAGACTACATTTGGTAGTAATAATGCTGAACATGTTGAATATCTTGGGTAAGTGTATTAGCAAGCTTGTGTTTTAGATTGGTACCACAGACAGGTAATGTTGCTGCAAAGATGGCCTTTTTGAATGGGTGTGTATGTGGCGACCAGGGGCTTTGCAGCCAGCCTCAAGTGGACACTTAAGGAACTGCAGTTTTTAATCGGTCTGGCTTAGCACCATGATTTCTATTGAAAAACATCCAAATAATGGTCAAATGAACACTACTGAAAATTAGTTAATGTAATAAACCAACGTCACAGTCGAGTCATAACATAACGGGTCCAAAGGAGGTGCCCCCTACTGGCCCTTAGAAGAATGCAGGTGAAAAAAACAGCAAAACTATTGTTGTAAACTTCATGTTGGCACAAAACCCTCATCCTCTAGTGAATCATGCAAGAAATCCATGTGATATTCGTCAAGATTGTTGCTGAATATAATACCTTTGAGGAAAAAAAAGTGCTAATCCAGGTGCCCAGAGTTTCGCACAGATGGCTGCTGTTAATGTGAGGTGGAGGAGACGGGATTACAGACACACATCAGTCTGATTCGAAGCAGCCCGAGAGTCCAGAGTCCAGCCTGAGCACGAGAACAAAGCTCACACTTCCTGCACAATAGATGAAAACCTATCTTTGAGGGCGTTGATTGTCCTCATAAAATGGGCACTTTTGGGGCTCAGCAGGAGTTTCCTGTTGATTCTAGCTGATATGAGGAGTAGGGTGAAGATGGACTGGATACTAACGACATTGAATCTCTCACTTGTACTCTCCCATAACACATTCTCTTTAGTAGTATTTGTAATATTTAGATTTCTGACTTTTAGCTGGTTAAAATTTCCCTCTTTCACTAACTGGGACTGAGTTTCATTCACAAGTGACAGCAAAGACAACAGTGATGGGATAAAACGGGGGCCTTACTGTGTGAGGTGAGAAGGGTAGCCTGCTTGGGCTCGGAGCTGAGGACACAATGAAAACCTCGTCTGCACCGAGGTCCAGTTCAGTCAGACCGCTGCAGGAAAGGTCCACCTCTTCACTGGGAGAAGTGTCTCCACCAGCACTGACTACAGGGACACAGGAAAAACTGATTTGACATGTGGTATAAACCAAGAACATTGAATGCAGTTGGATTAAACTCAAAAAAGCTGGTTCCTGTTGATTCAATCCTGCTGTCACCTTCCTGACACTCTTCCACAAACTCATCGGGTGCAATGATACAATGATCTCGACTCCTTTAGTGTTTACAAGCTGAGTGTTTATGTGTAAACTCCTCACACCGGGTCTGGAGCACACACAGAGGGGGACTGTACTCCCCTGTTGTTCAAACTACTCCCAGGCTGCTTTGTGGGTTAAATGCCACAACCCACAAATCTCCCAGCCTGGGTTCAGTCCCACTAAGAGTGAGGGGGAGAAGAGCCTTCGGATTGTTCCAGGATCTCTCCGAAGCTAATGCAATTTTCCTTTCCATTGAGAGCTGCAGACCCACCCAGGGTTCACAGAGGGTTCCTGGTACACAGTTTGTTTTCATTTACTGTAATATCTTCTGTTAGGTAAATCTTTCCTTGAAAAAAAAAAACTCTTGGTGGGCAAGAGAGATTTCCTGTTTACTGTTTCCAGAAACAGATGTGGCAATTTGCTTGGAATAAATAGAAGAACTGACTGTTCACATGAGCAGAAATAAACACCATTGGGAGAAAATGAGCACCACAGAAATACCATTCAGCAGAAAATCCAGCCCCCAGTCTTTGATTGACAGCTCATCTCCAGAGAGTCATCACATGAACGGAGACTCTTCCCTGAACTCCAGGCCGCCTCACTTATAAGTGACGGCATTAAAACTTTATCATGTTGTTTCTCTGCCAGGAAATAAAATAACGGCAGACTTTTACTACAGAAGGTATCATTATCATTCCTGAAATGATTCTTGTCAAAATTTTAAACACGTTGTAAATATAAATCAAATTAAATGGCATTCACAGCCATGTGCAATTATGGGCGCTGAGCTCTCTGCAGTATCATATAACTATGAATCCTGCTGGAGGATTCAGAGCTAACAGAGTTTACATTCAACACCATCAGCATGAATGATGGACTTGTTTTTAAAAAGCTAACGTCAGCAGTCCAGCAGGTCCGTCTGTCATTTGTGTGTGTCCATTCATGTGCGTTTGTAGGTGTGTCCCGCTAACCTGTGTGCGGTGGGCTGTCGTTGTTGTTGTCCTGCTCTGTTGTTGCCTCCAGATTGACCTGATTTTCAGCCATCAGCTGCAGCTCGCTGACCTCAGCCCCGGTATTCTGGACGCCCTCTGGCACCTACAACACAGTGTAATTCATACAGTGGAAACGGCCTTTATATTATTATTATGTTTCTACTCTATTCTCAGGCTTTAATGAGTGCTTAATGGTGTATTAGTATTAGTGTAAGTACTAGTCTTAGCTCTTACACTGCAATAAGATTATGAAATGTATTCATTATTACACAAATTTAAAAAAAAAGGCATATTCCCCCCCAATTTCAAAAAATGTGCAGTACAAAATGTGATAGTTTGCTTAAAATTTAAACCCAATATGTCATTAAAGAAAGTAAAAAGAAAACATATCAGATGTTGAAGCTGAAAATGTTATTGTCTTGTGAACAGTAATCACAAACAATGATTTTTGGAGGTGATTTTGAGCCTGTGCAGTGACGTCCACTACAGAGATACGGCTGTTTTCATAATGGCTTGCAGTTCAACTTGTTTTAAGCCTTGTCTCTTTTATACAGACGTTCATTTTGAGTGAGAAATAGTTCCACAATTTCACTAAAATCTTACTCAGCGTTAAATTGTGATGCTTTATCGATACCTAGTCATGGCACCGACCAGTTGCAAATCAACCTTCTTAGTCGGGAGATATTCTTCTGGGTGTTTTTTAAGCATTGGTTGTCTCTGTCTCATTTTTTAATGCATTTTTCAAAACATGTCGCTGACATCAACTTTACAATTAGCTTTGATTTTGCAGAAAACAAAAAACTGTAACACCTGACATGTTGTCTTGCACTAGTTTCAATTAAATATGGGGTTCAAATCATTTGCAAGCCATCAAAATCTGTTAGATTTGCACTTTACACAGCTCTCCAATGATATTGGAATAAAGGTTGTACAAAATCCAGAAAATAATGAACCCACTTTCAGCCTCAAATCATCTTGTCTGTTGATACTTTGTGCAACAAAGTGACAAATTTTGCTGCAACCTTCTAATCTGCAACTTTATATTAACAATAACCACAGTTTTGCACGTAATACAAAGACTTTGAATGATTTCATACTAGTAAAGAAGTAGGTGAGTAAAAGTAAGAAGAATACACATATTCCCAATATTAAGTTTCAATAAGGAATGGAGAAGCAGTGTTGCAGCAGTAGACAGTGACCTCAAATAAGATCCTGTTTGTTTACAAGGATGTCTGACAGATGAATAATGCAACACAGGATAGGATAGGAGAGCATGTGGAGAAGACGGTGGGGAAAAAAACTGAGAAACATGGGAGTGCCGTGAAGTAATGCAAAGTACCTCAGAGTTGCTGGATGCACAGGAGCTTGCTCTTTTTGGACACAGTTTGGGTCTGGAAAACATACAGCACCACAGCAATTCAGTTTATAATTACAGACATATCCAAAAACCAGCTTTTATAAACGTCCCATATTTTTCTCACTCTTGACAGAGTTTTCCCAAGAAGAAAAAAAACCTCTTCTGGTGAACACAATTTGAGCAGAAATGTAAAAATGCGCTCCATCCCAGCACGACTGCACCGACTGTAACCACCTCACTTAGTTCATAATAGCTCCAACATACCCGTGGCTGTTTCCAACTCAATAGTCTTCTATTGTGGTGTTGGATGCTGGAGGAGGATGCACCACAGGCTTGCATTCACACATACCACAACTCTAACAGTTCACACAGTGGTTGTTACTGAGAAGTTCCTGCTATGTATTGCTTTTTCAAGTGGAAAAGCATCACTGTCACTTCTTCACGGCTATAGCTGTGAAAGAAACTTGATGCACAGACGGATACTTCAAAAAACGCAACAATAAAGAGTAACAATGACGTATATGTGGCATTCCCATGCATACTTCAACTAGTGAGGCATGCAGAAAAACTTGAGCAAGTTCCCGCTTATTAAAAATTTCTCTTACAGCTGAATGAGTCCATTAGCAGCCACGGTCAACTGAGGGCAACCCCTGCTGTGACTTTCATCCACCTTTGGCTGTTTCCTGACCAGAGAGGACTTTGGGAATTAATCTCACTGCTGCACTAAACTTGCAGGATCTCGCCTCGCTCGCCAAAGCTACTTTTTTCCCCCCCAAGTGATTTCTGTTGAAGTCATTTAAATTAATAGGAAACCAAATGAGAAAAAATCGCAGCTACCGAGGCTGCTCCTGAGCTCGGTGTTTCATGGTTATGCGTTTCCTGGCTGCTGAATAACTTGAGTTGTTGTTCCTGCTAATTACACTTTAGTTTTATTGAGCACATGCTTCCAATTTCCTTGACATTAACATTGAGAGCCTGTGGAGTTATTGTGTCTAATGGATGAGTTGGAGACACCAATCTGCAGTTGAAATTAACACATTGCCCATTAAACAGGGGTCTCTCCCAGAGCGAGCAGGGAATGACGCAAATCTTAACCTTTCTGGATTTTTAATCAACTTACAAAAGTCCAAATTTAACCCCCCAACTCGGGTTGATTTCCCGGTGGGATGGAAAAGAAAGAACAGCTTGTAAAGTACACCTTATTATTGTCTGACAATAACATCAGCACCAAACTCTCACTGAGTTTCAACTCCTCCTGTCCTTTTTTCCCCCCAGATCTCCCCGCCCACACACTTTCATGCAGCCTTTGCGTTTTTGTGTGCTGGAATTGATGCCAGGTGCTGCACCTTGAATGTCCCTTTCTTTAGTGAGAATGCACCACATCAAGGAAGCCGCACAGTTGCAGCCAAACCCAACTAATCTCCAAGGGTCACCACATCAAGGACTCGGGCTTCCAGCTGAGTCAACTCAACAAAGTGGTGGCTCCGTAATGTATGTGCAACTGTGTGCGTTTGAGTGTATGCGCACTTTTCCTCTCAGGCCAGCCCGCTATAACTCAGGGCTGAGATAAAAAAACAAGACTTGAGTTTTCTCACAGGAATATCAGTTACCAACAAAAAGAATTTGAAGCTCGAACTGAAGAAAAACAGACACTGCCCATATTTAAGCGTTAACAGCCATGCTTACGACTCTTTACGGCTGTTCTCAAACACACTGAAGCTGTTTGATAATGTCAGTATAAGCCCCCAGGAAGTTCACCGGACTCTGAAGGCAAATTAACACAATTACAGCTCCCATTACGTTACTCAATGCACAGTGGCTGAAAAAGACTTTTTCACACCTACTTAAGTTGTTAAGCTGCAGATCAGCTGTTAAGTGTTTTTGGGTTACATCGACATCCGAGTACAAACAATTAAAAAGCCTTTAATTAAATATTTATGCAGCCTAGTTTAAGGATTCGGCAGTAAATGTCAGTTTATGTCAGTTTTGGCGATCCTTGTGGATTTATCTTGTTCCTAACGCTGTCTTTACTTTTCTAAGTCAAAAGGAGACATCAGAAACAACTTTGGTTTGTTTTAAAGCAGCTTAAGCCTCCTCCTAGAAGCTTCATCATGCAGATCTGAAGCGCATGGCACAAAATGAATCAGAGCAGGTCTGACTGAGAAAGATGGAGATGCAAAGTGAGACGCGGCACTAAGAGAAGTTCCTCTGCTTTTCACAGGTGGGTTTTTGGTGCGACATAAATTGAACTAATCAGCGTCTGCTCTCCTGTAAGAGTCAGGAGCGTATGCAGATTTCAGCCTTTGAAATTCAACAGAGCCAGCTTGAGCCAACACGTTTAACTTCTCTTCTTCCACTGTACATCTGAGAGCACTGAGAAGAAACAGAGATCACCATAACTGCGAGTTATTTCAACTTAAAACAGTTATGTCATATCTAACCCAGCAGCAGACTTAAGGAATACCCTGCTCCATAAAGATCCTTCCTGAAGAGGACACTCAATGTTTGTATAGTTCACTATCCAAGGTCGTGACACCAGATCACCTTGGTGGGCCATCTCACATCTCCAAGAAGCATTAGCAACAGTTGCATGTGGGTGTGTCTCCAGAGACAATCGACTTACAACCAATCAGATCAATGCAGCATGAGACGTGGGTCATCATAGCAACAGAAAATGTAAACAGACAGAGGCATGCAGAGGACAGAAGCACATCTTTCTAAACAACGGACACTTTAAGTTCAGATGTTTGTTCGTGTTTGAATAAAAATACATCATCTGGTATTTTTAGAACAACACAAAAGCAGATTTAATTGATCGTCCAGTGACAAAAGCTGCTATTTTGGGTGTTTACGATATGGCAGCATGACAGCCATTTAAATTGTTTAATGTTTAATTTGTTTGTATTATTCATATTTTATAATATTTTCACTACCGCCATATGTTTAAATTGTTTGATGTTGCTGTATGAATACAAAAAAACAATAAAGATATGTTTAAATAATAATAATAACATAAATTCATCTGTTAAAAGATGATATGTAATATGTGGATTGTGAATGGGTTTTCTGCCTTTTCGCTGCAGAATGAAGGATTGGTCAGAAACTCAAAAACCGTCACAACTGATAACAGGTTTTATGTTTTCACTTCATGCACCCGATTAAACATTTTATAACAATAATATCTCTGTACACGTTTCCTGCACTTTCTCTGCTGTTTCTGTCTCTTCTTTCCTTCCATAAACAAACATAAACAGCTGATCAAAATTATAACAGCTGATTTACTGGAGTCTCAGATTTTAACCAAATCTTTAGCTATGAAGTATTGACCAATCAGAATCATGTATTTAACACACTCCAGGAGCTCGACAGCTTTTATGTTTCAAACTTTCTCTGCCTCGGTTACCTGAAAATGATGCAGAGGGCACTTGTTAGTATCATAGCGAAGAAGGCAGCTCCACTCACAGCAGCCAGCAGAGTGTCTACCTTACTGGCTGCAAGAGCAGTAGCCCGATGGTCCCCCCCTGGCTCTGTCAGGTTGTGGTAGTGGAATAGAAGGGCGAAGCCACGGCCCCAGTGGGTGGTGGTGATGAGCTCCATGATCACCTCAACCATCTCCTGACTGGAGCCAAAAACCAGCTGGCTGCTCGGAGGCCGGTTGGAGCCACAGAACCTGGAGGAGAAGGTGATGAGGTCTGAGATGTAGAGGACATCGTGGGGGCAGGCGTCAAGAATCGAGTGTTGGGTTTCAGGGCTTACAGCTGGAGTTTCAGTGGAGGGTGGAGGGGCTAGGGTGGTCTCCTCCACAACTGGGTTTGGGTTCGAACTAGGACTTAAGTCTCCTCTTAGGTGAGATAGGGAGGCAGAATTGACGTTCTTATCTCCTGCAGGCACAGCCCCAGGTAGGAGGTGAAAAGAGGGAGGAAGTGGCGAAGAAAGGCCGGATGAGGCATTTGCAGATCTTTTAGCAGAATTTGAGATTTTGGCAATCTCCATCTTTGTTGACTGTTCCTGGACCACCACCTGCTTGACGTCCCCATCCTCAGAGGACTGCCTAGTCTTTGTGACATCCCCCACACTCAGAATCATGGACGCTTTAGCCTCTGACGAAGTTTCATCAGACCCTATGCTCCCAGGTGTGAACGTTACCTCTCCATCTGCCTCCTCCTCCTCAAAATTGGGGACGGCGGAGTACTGCGCAGCCGGGTCATGGCTTTCAAACACGTCAAAGTCAAATATCTCCAGAATGAGCTGGTAGTCAACAGGCACAAAGAACTGCCAAACACAGTGTGTCCCAGAGGAGTAGTTGTACGGGAAGCCAGGAGAGAGTATGAGACCTTGGACGTCCACCACATCAACCTTGGCGCCACAGTCGAAGTAAACCTGAAAGTGAATAATACAACGTAATTCAACACCCAGTAAATTTGTAGACTATTTGTAGAGCCATGCCGTGCAACAACAACCGCAATAACATCCAATCTAAACAGTTCATATTAAAGGGATATTCCAGCATAAAACTAAGTTAGGGTCAAACACTCCGTAACACCGAGTTAGATACCCCCTCAAGAGATGAATGTTGCTGACCGCTTGCTTCTCTAGTTATACCAACTTTAGTAACGACCACACGATAGGAATACACAGCAGTCTGAGGAGCCATAAACAAACCTCAACCAAAACACCACTCTATAGCCACAAATAATGCTCAGAACGGCACCTAACTTCATCAACAGTACATATAGGGTCCCAGCAAAAGCACAAGCCACCAAACATCTTTTTAACGTTGCCTAATTTCTTTAGCAAAGAGACTAAACACAACTCACCTACTCTCTTCCAGCAGCCACTTGTTTGTGGGGGAGACCTTGGACGAGTCTATCACCTACTGCAGCGGGGTGATGCAGCTCAAGGAGGAACATTTATGATAATTTCTTTATCATTTCCTTGAAGTAATAATCATCATATTAATCATTTTGCACGGCAGACGCGGTAGTTCTTCTGCCTTAGCATCTCGGTCTGATCACATTTCCATGAGGTAATGATCATAAATGCTCTTCCTGAAGCTGCGAAACTCCGCTGCACTTGGTGATCGACTCATCAGGCCTCCCCCACAAACAAACTGCTGCTGGAAGAGAGTAGGTGAGTTGTGTTTAGTCTCTTTGCTAAAGAAATCAGGCAAGCTAAAAAGATGTTTGGTGGACAGAACTATGTCTGGGACCCTACACTGTTGATGAGGTTAGGTGCTGTTCTGAGCATTATTTGTGGCTATAGAGTGGCGTTTTGTTGAGCGTGTGGCTCTGTGTATTGCTATTGTCCAGTCCTTACTAAAGTTGGTATAACTAGAGAAGCAAGTGGTCGACAACATTCATCTCTCGAGGGGTTATCTAACTTGGTGTTAAGGTGTGTTTGACCCTCACTTAATTTTATGCCGGAATATCCCTTTAAGTAATCATAAAAATACATCTAAATGTATTTGTACTTCAGAGTCAGCTGGAGTAAAGATCTGTATTTAAAAGCAATAATAATATCCCACTATCTCTGAGCTCTAAAGGCAGAGCTCAGCACAAATACTACCTTACTGAGGGCGTTTGATTCCCACCTGTGCCACCCATACTTGCATTCCTCTTCCTTTGGCATTATGGGTAAAAGCACTAACCAGTATTGAATTTCACTCTGCCTGGATGAGTCATGTGTTCACATAATGGGCCTGAAGTGATTAAGTTCTAAATGTCAAAGGCACCAACAACAAAGGGAGCTATCAGCAAATAATACACTCAACTTGTGGTCTGATTACTCTCAGACATAAACTGAACTATTCAACCCTGCTGTTCTGCCTTTTTATCAAAGCCTCTGCTTTGCCCGTATTGCCTGCTTGGGTAACCCTGGGGAGGGTATTTCTTCAAACATGCTAGCTATAATTCGTTCCAGGTGTGTGGGGATGTAAGGGGGACCTGGACCTAAGCAGAGGCAGATGTGTGGCTAGGCCGGGGAGCTAAGGACCAGACCTTTGTAGGGGAGCTGTGTGTTTATGAGCTTTCCTGTTGGCCTAAGATCTGGACTGTGGGAATGACCCAGACTGATGGACCCCCATGCCAGACAGGTAACAAACCAACACCCGCAGGCGACACTTGTACTCCAGACTGAGCTAAAAGGATAAGAGATCACTTTGAGATTGTTTAGATGAGAGGGGGGACAGAGGGCAACAAGGGCAACAAGGAGAGCTCTAGTCCGTGGAGCCAGACAGGCACTTTGATGGCTCTGTGGACAGTCCGTCCCCATCCAAATGCAGATATCAAAGGCATTCCTCAGGCGGTATATTTAGAGAAGCAAATCTACATTCAATTTTGAATCATGGCTGGAAGAGAGGACTTGAGTCATCAGGATCAGACCAAAAGCCCTTGATGAGGCTGTTAGCCCCACAGTCAGGCTGCAGAATATCAGACTTACAGAGGGAAGAGGAGGGTCGCATGATCTGCGTAACTAAAGATAAATCTTGTTTGGGTGGTTGTTTCATGTGTCTGTTTTCCTCCTTAGATGAACAACTATCCACTGAAACACCAGGTTTTATTGAGTTTTATATCTATGAAAACAGTTCCGTACATGCTTCTCTGAGACTCAGCCGCATCGCCTTCCCTTTGTGTACAGGTAGTCAAAACATTATCCAGAAGCAGGTTGCTACTCCAAAGTTATTTTTGAGATCTCTCAGGTGTTTACTCTCTGCCGCAAAACTGCAAAATATTTGCCAAGGGCAAAACCAGCACTTAGAGCTGATATTTCCACCAACTCTGCAGCTCCACTCCACTCTTGTCTACACTGATACTTAAAGTCTGCTGCTCCTGGCATGCCAACGGCTGGCACAGTCTGTCGAAATACTACATGAAAATGTTGGTTATGTCTCGGGGCAAATACTTTATCTTTCTGGGCAGACGGCAATCTGAAGTACACTCAGAGGAGGGCCTTTGGAGGTACTGCACAGGTCTACACATACAGTGATAGTGATTTTATTTGCATATAAACAAATAAGAGTAGCATGCAAAGTGCTTGGATCAAAGTTTCATTGAACAATAACAAAGCACTAAATCAAGCACTTCTAGTAATGCATGTGAAATTGCCTCCATCTATATTAAGTAAATCAACCAGCTAACTCCATTATAAGCCAAAGTTTCCCAATTATATTTCCCAACAGTATTTTCTTGTTTTCTCCCTAAGTGGCATTTGGAAGCAATTACATTAGCACATGACATGCTACACTTGCACTGCCTACACACTTACAAGAAATTAATGCGATACAGCAAAGAATTACACGGATGACATTTGAACGGGGCAAATGCCATTCCTGCTGAGGTTGGAGGGAGTAAGCCGATTTGGGGTTTGCAGTGTTTGCAAGGAGGTTGCGCAATGAGGGGAACCACTTCACAATATGGGGGCATAACAGGGGGGAGGAAAAAGGACAGCGTGTCCCCTTTTAGGGCAATATTGACCAGTGGTGAGAAAACATGTTTGTGCCTCTGTCTTTGCCCTAAGGCTGCCTTTCCAAACGTGTCTCCCTCAAAGACTTTTGTCAGGGTTTTTAACTCCCAAATAATCACAAAAGTTAGAATATAAAATTAAGAAAATTAGGATGTTGCAGATTAGTATGTTGTTGAACAATATGAGATCTTGCGTCTGATGAAAGTAAACCGTTCCACAGACAGAGACCGTGTCATCTCCCCCACCAGGACGAGGTGGCTGGGAGGTCCCCACCACCCTGGGATGAGCATGCTACACTAAACATGAAAGGGCCCCAAAGTGCCACAGTGTCGAAGGGAAATAGGACATTCTTATAATGCCAAACATCTCAGTTCTGTTACATCACAGGCCGCTCCAATGGCAGGCCGCTAATTATTCAAGGATGCCTTTTCTCATGGCCTAACAATGGGCTGCAGCGCTGTTTTACTGAGCCACTCCACAATCAGGGAGGGGGGATAATATTTTAATGAAGTGATGCTAATAAGTACAAGGCAGGCCGAAAGTTTACATAAGTGCCTGCTGGTCATTGCGCCCCAGTTGTGCCGCTGACAGGGGATTTCCTGGACAGAAGTAGATCATCTATGCCCATAATTGTCTGAAATGACTTGCTCAGTGAAACATCAGACCAGCTGCTGTCATTACCGAGAGGCCCCTCACATAAAGTATTGTTCTATCATTTTCACTTTGCGTCACTACATCCTTTTACATAAAAGTTTCACATTCCAGGATGGGGTTCATAAGTGTGTCTCATTATAATGAGGAGATTTGAACTCATTGACTTATGCTCAGAGTTCACTAGAACTTTTTTATTGTACACTGATACAGAACTATTTTAACGAGGATCATTCTCAGGTCAGAAAATAAACTTGCAAAAATACCAGTATGAGGCAAATTGTTGAAATAACTAGTTTGGGTATCTAATCTCAACTATAAAAAAACTTGAGTCAACAACTCTGCATCCTAAATGACCTCTATATTCTATGGAGTTCTGCAGGGTTCAATTCTAGGTCCTATATCTTTTTATTTTGTATTATAAATGGAGCTTCCATGCAGACTGGTTAGCTCTTTTAGTGATACTTCTTAACACTAATAGACTGATGATATGCAGCTGTATTTTTGCAGTTAAGTCAACGATATGAATTTTTAATTAAAGGTGAAATTAATTTAAAGGTGATTGAAAAACATTTTGTTCTATTTCTACAAAGTTTGTTCAGCCCAATTACTTCACGCTCTACTTTGAGGTGATAAATGCAAAATCCTACAGAGGCTGAGATATGATTTTTATTTATCTAATAAGTGATTATGTGAGTATTTTCTCATGTTAAAAGTCTAATTTTTCATTTGTTTCAATGACCTCCCCACAGTGAGTGTAGCACATCTGAAAGGTGTTTGCTAATTGCCATCAAATAACAAAAGAGAATGAAACCTTAAGTGCCAGTTACCCATAAAACTGGTACAGACAAGGGAAATCCAGGACTGCTTAAAACACAGAGACCTCTTTACAGAACTTCTTTTAAAAAAATTGACAAAGCTGGATGGATCAAAATGAGGTCAAAGGGCAAACTTCGGCAGATAACGAAGCACATTTACACAAAAAAGTTTTGCAGGTTTGTCGCCGAAGTAGAAACACTCTTTGGCCTCCCAGCTCCAAAACTGTAAATAAGCTCTTACAAAAACCTAAACCTCTACTCCTGCAAAAACTAGTTAAATCAGTGCTATCAACCAAGAATCTAGAATTACCTATCCTTAACTGAGTTTGAAGATGTTACTCCGGCTTCCATCTGTAACTTCTGCAAAATGCTGCAGAAGGGGATCACTTCACTGGTTTCTTTCTTTTATACAAGATGCTGTTCATCAAATGCATGATCCTAAACTATCTTAACCTCTTATACTGCACATTTATTAAGTTTTTACCAGTTTTCAAGTTAGATATTTTCATTAGGGTCTCTTGAGTATCCTCAAACCAAGAGTTATCCCTGTACCAGCCCTTTTATACTTCAATATAATCTAATAAAATGCCTTCCCTCTATATTACCCTGTGTTTCTATCCCATACAGAACTCAGCACTCTGTCTGTCTGCACCTTTGTTGTCAGAAAACTCATTCACCCTCTGACCTGTCTTTTTCTATAAAGATGTACAAGCCAAAAACAAAACTCTGACCTATCTGTTGGCTGCAACATGTTTTGTTTTTTTTAATCCCACCCAGGCTGACGACACCTCTGTGAAAACTCTGCAACACGAGCTGGCTTCTGCTGAAGTACTGTTAACACACACATACACACACACTGCCTCTCATGCACAAACAGCCCAGGACTGGCTCATAAACAGGCAGGCGGGCCCCTCAAAAGGGGGCAGGAATCCTCACCAGTCCTGTTTACTGGAGGAGAAAAGTGACACTGCTTCACAGGCTAACGCTTCCGAAGCAGCAGTCCACTCAGGATGCTTTACAACCACCATCGAATTTCTCAGCATCAGCTTCGCCTGTTTGCTCCGAGTTAGTTTTCTATCCCGAAAGTAGTTTGACATCTCATCTCAGAAAACTATCCAGAACTTCTTAAGTCATCATATGTCAGAGCAGGTATTGAAAGCAAGAACTAGACCGGATTATGTTGAATTCCTTTATGTGCATGAAATCAACAGTGAAAATGCAACAAACCTCTGCAAAAGCCCTGGTGCAATGTGCTCTATCAACACAAAACAGACACTGTAAGGAGCTTTATCTCCAAAACTAAAAAATCTAAACATGGTTTCTGTGTTTGTGCAAATTTCCAGTCCTCAGCTGGAATTCAGAACTGGAAAGCCTTTCCAGGATATCATGAAGGGCTGCAAACAAGTCTGAATCCTTCTAGATTAAACTTCAGGAAACCTTGTTTTTACTGCAGTATATCACTTTTTTTTTTTTTTTTTTTTTTACAGAGACCTTCAACTAAAGAGAATTCAGATCGGGGTTTTTTAAGTTTTAGACAGCAGCTGCATCTAAATTCAGCCAAAATGCCCTGTTTTTGTTTGCATGATCCTCCAAAAAAGAAACAAATTGAAAAGAAGCTCCTTGGCCTCATCCTCCACAGCTGTGAAGAGTGCTGATACTCGAGCCCAGGATTTATCACATATCTCCCGTGTGATGTCAATGCCTCTCCCGGTGGGCTCATGTCAGTGGCTCTAGTTCAAGCCAGGGTGAGTTTACAAACAACTGGTGTGGCGGCCTGATTAGGCCCAGGCATTCTAGGGTCGCTCTCGTTGGCCACCGCAGGGCTGGCTCAGCACATTTTCACCACTGTGTGTGCATCATGGGGGACTTATGAAAGGCCTCTTTGAGCCCAAGCATGTTTGATCAACACTTTATTTACAGAGCCATCACGAGACCTTCACTGTAACATACACGGAAAAGAGTCACGCTGGAAATTATTACCGCCGTGGTTCTTCTCTCTCACACAGATATGTGACCGGCTGAGCGAGGCCAGGCCAGTGCAGGCTGTCGCTTCCATGTTTGCGGTGTGAAACCTATTAACATATTTCCTCTGAAAATAGCTGCTGCTGCTGCTATGATAGCTGTTAAACCTGTGGAGGTTTGTGGTGAATCCTGACCTGATCTAGTCTTGGGTTTGAACCAGTTTGGAGAAATCATTTCTGACTTTTTGGAGCCGGATCCAGTGGGTGAAACTATGATCATTAGTCTTCCTGCAGCAAGTTAGTGAGAATCCTGATAGCACAGGACGGCCTGGAACTAAATGGATGCAGAAATCATCTGATGAAAACAACATTTCCTATTGCAACCACAGCATCAGGTTACAAGAAATCCTCATTTATCAGGAAGAAACAGAAGTTTTAGCAGTAGGCTTTAGCAGGTGCTTCACCACCGTATAAAATATTCCCTCAACTTCAGGACCAACATATTTCCTCCTTATTTACATTATAATAAATATATACATGTAAATTCATTTTTAGATGTATCAAATTACTTCCAGTTGCGTCCTCGAGACGCATCAGAGTAGCAAAAGCACAAACAGACATAGAAACAGGTCTTTCTTTGCTCAACGGTGTCGGCATGCCGTGGTCTGACCAGCCTATTGTTGTGTTTCCGGCTCACCAAGGAAATAATCCCATTATCACAAGAAAACAACATTCGTAATCTCGAGATAATCAGCAAAAAAAAAGAAAAAAAGGTTGTGATCTCGAAACACAAATGAAATCTATTTATCATCATCGGAAAAAAAGCATGATATCTTGAGAAAACTATATGAATGAGTCAAAATTGTAAGAAAACTAGCAAAGATCAGTGGTTATCAAGAGAAACTGAGTAATAAATTCAGGGATAATGTAGAGTAGACTCACTGCAGTCTAGTTAGGGTGAGCAGGACAGAAACCAAAGGGTTGCTTTGCCAAAATAACCCATCCAACAAATATTTTACACGACTACTTATTAGTTTAATCACTAACCAAACACCGAATATTGATAAGGAAATGATTTTGTTTGAAAATTGATTAGATTTCTTGTTGAAAATAGTCTCCCTGGTCTGTGTAGACCTAAACCAAACATTTCCACTGATGGTAACCAGGACCAGATGAATCTATAGCTTTTTTTGCCTCATCTTTGTCAGACTCTTTGACCCTTTCTCTTCAAACAAACCAACCTCAAACTGATCAGACTTCTTCAGCAGATTGATTTAATTACAGTAGGTCTGTTAATGTGTCTGTGATTAGAGCTGTATCCATAGCAACAGTGAACTATAAAGAAATAACAGACTGTTTTCATGAAGTCTTGACTATTCACGATGAAGTATTTAACATGGTTGTGTTATAAAGTATATGGTCAAGCCATTTTCAGGGGTCACAGTTTAACACTAAACTTTTTATACCTGTTTAATTTTGTTTATCCCTCCTCCTTTGAGATTAGAGGCTGCTACTTCCAAGAAACACGGGACAAGACTGCATAATTTCCCTTTATGTGGAACTGCTCAATCAGTTACACTCGGAAAAATCTCACATGTTGGAACACATACAATTCTTAAAAAAACAACACGTAGGAAATAGCGAAGAGAAAGAGGCATGCATGCCATACCAGAGATATCCATATCTCATTCCACCTCAGTTCAAGGATTATGTAAAACTGTGAGATGTTTCCTTCAGGGCAGATCGTAAAAGACCTTCAAAGGTATTCAAAGAGGAAAGTGCTTCTGAGGTAATGGTATTTGACTCACTCTACGCCTGGGATACTTATGTATGCACCAGTTCAGACAGTCTCAGCCTTTTTTATGCAGCCTTACATACGGTATCAAGCTTTGGTGAACGCCAGTAAGTGCACAGATCTGATGCCAGGACCGAATGTGCCAAAAATATCAGCTAGTTTTGGGTAAAATGTTAAGAGATCATGACAAAAATGAGTAATGTTCGTCAAAGCGAGCAAAATCAGAGTTTTAACCATGACATAATGAACATTTCACCAACTCTCAATGGGTGACTGGTCTAAAACTGCAGGCAGGTCAGTTTAGCATTTGGACTCTGATGTTTTAATACTTGCAAAATGTAGCTTGGCATCTTTGGATTGCAGTTCATGTTGCTCCAAAACCTAAATGCACTGTCCATGATTTCCTAAAAGAATGTGAGGTTGTGATTGGTTAAGACACAGAGACGTTTCCTACTTCACTCCAGTGGTTACCTGTTTGTACGGAGCATTTTTAACTGCTTTGTGGATGCTGTGACAAACTGCTCTCACAAACAGTGGTTGATAGATGTGATTTTAAGCCCTGGTGGTGATTTACACTACAGAGTCATGTCTTCTCTTTTTAACTGCTGCCTAGGAGCCTGAAGATCACAGCTGGTATCAGAGATTTCTCTCGTTTCGTGATACAATGTACTGTACTGGCGCATTATTTCTGGATTTGCTGAACTACTACCTCACCCAGCCTCTCACAGAGGGGTGAATCTTTCTCCATTATCACTTCTCATCAACTCAGTCTCACTAGAACTCCTTTTTTATGCTCAGCCATGTTATTAATCTGTTGCTTTTTGGGGTTTTATTATTGATTTGTTGTCTTGGTACTGTTTTTAACTAAATAAAGTCTTTCAATTATCCACAAACTGTTAAATTCTGTCTTTTTCAATATTTTCTACAGTTGAGTTATTTATCTACTAACAGCAGTTTGAGATTTCATGGGTGTAAAGGTTTCTACGTGTTGTGATTTAACCTCTCACATGAGTAGATCAACCACATCAAACAAACGACTGAAAACCAAACAGGACAGCTCCCCTCGCCGCTTCTGTCTGACTCTCTGCTCTCTGTCCTTTTCATCCCCTCTCCTCTGCAGCTCACTGCCACACCATGACATGTTTATCTGTTGACAGACTGTGTGTTTCTGTTGTCTGATAATTTATCGGAGGAATAACAGAATTCCCTGTTCGTCTGGGTCTTACAACTCCATTCAATCAGAGCTGAGAGTCCTCTCTTTCCAATGCAAATAAAACCTCGTAAAAAAGACGCAGCAGCAGAGCAACAAAACATGCGATCAAATTCACTCTTCCTCGTCCGCAGGGCTGATTTGTGGACTGACAGACTTGGACGCCTCCCATTTTTTTTACTGAGGGGGATAGAATAAATTCCAAGCTTGTTTATGCTGTTCCAAAAATCAACTTAATACAAAAGGGGAGCGCAGGACAAAGACATCATTTACCGTGCCCCCTCAGGCAGATAATTGCAAAGATAGTGAGCACCCTATGCACACAGGAACTAAAGCTGGAGACGCTGACAATTCAATATACCAAAGGCTTTTGTTGTCCAGTTCTAAGAATTGCACTGCTGAGCCGCCATTGTCCATCAGCGGAAGAGGACGACTCTTGACAGGTGGAAGCTCCTCTTTGCTAAATGTGGTCCTGATGTGCTGGTGGAGGTCTTTCAAGGGTAATCCTGCGAGGTTGTTACATCAGCCGGGGCTACACATGGGGTCGTTTTGCGTCATGTATGAATTTTAAACTCAGTTTGTAGTCCAGGTTTGAGGTTTTTCAAATGAAACCTGTAGCATGTGAGTTTATACAATCTGAAAAGTCTTCCAGCTTAGTGAAAATGAAGTAGTCTGCATACTTAAAAGCAATCACTCCAGGGTTTCAACTCAAGTAATATTTGATCATGAGAGGAAATATTGTGTTCCAAGAAATGGAGCTGCCAAAAACGTCTTATTGCAAACTGTCATTTCACCCGCCTCCTCAGCTGAGACAGTTGGAATAGAAATGACAGCCATAGAGGGGACAAAATATGGATCAAACTGTCTACAGGAGCAGGTTTTGAAGTCCAACCAGCTTCCATCTGAGAAAAATTACTGTCACTGACACCTGCCAACTTACATTTAGACGCTCTTGACGTCTTAACAAACTGAAATGTTACTTTTTTGGCATCAACACAACTTTCAAATCAACTTAAAAGCCGCCATAAACAACTAAAGCCTGACTAACCAGACAGGAGCGTTACCTTTACCACAGGAGAAGCTAAAACATGTCCAACATGAATCACAGCCTGATTGAATGAAAAACATGCCCTAGAAGCAACCTCTGACTGCATGCGTCCCCATTTTTATCAGACACAACCTTTTGATCGTGAAGTCTTCGCATGTCAGAGACAGAGCTCGTGGAGTCTGCTTCAGTGAGACTGAAAGGTACAACATAAGGTTTGCATGCTCTCAATGTGGTTCCCATTTCAGCAGTTTGGACTCTGCATGCCATTCCCTCACTCTGTGAAGTGCAGAAACATCAAAACATGCCTGTGCCATCAAAACATCCCTTTGAAAGCCCTTAAGGATATAATGTCTCATGAAGTATGCCAAAAACTTTCATAACTTTGGCGTGAATGGCAAAAGTGGACTAGAGTAAGTCAGCATGATGTAAGGTGATTAGAGTAGTCTGGCTATGGCTAACGCTGCAGGCTTTTTTCTGGATTTCACTGTTCTGCACAGTCTAAAAGCCCCTACAGGAAATTATATTCATGTAAATAAATAACTACAATGAAATTTCCTCTTGGAAGTGCAAACAGCACTTTTAAAAGAAACCTAATTTACAGTAGTTGAACTGCATGAGGCGGGTGTGTTGTTTGCTAAATGTTATGAAGAGTGCAGACAACACTGTGACCAATCTCAAGATGACTACAAAATCAATCAGATAACCGATTTATGCATTACTCTTTGTTTTCACACAGCTTTCACAATTCGGATGCAGCGTAAGACAAGATAAGCTTCCGTGCGGTTTCGTGATCAAATTGGACCTAGGCCAAACTCGATTGAAAAAGTTGTCAATCCATAATTTGATGACTAAATGCCATTTTTTTCAACACCCAACTTCATTAGGTTGGAAGTTGGTCGGACCAGTGGGTTGTTTTGGGAAAAACGGCACAAATATTTTGCAAAATAAGTCACATAAAGTGTTTAAATGTCAACTTTTATACATTTGGTTTGCACGCACCGCCTGTTGCAACCGCTCAATACGAGGTACTGTATTTAAGTATAGCAGAATAATTGACAGGAGAGACGACAGGCATTTAAATCTGAAATGTGGGGTGAACGAGTGTCTTTTCAGATTCAAGATGCACGCCGGACGACAGGTTTTCACTTACAGATTCATAAATCAACACGAGTTAAGCCCCATGAAGACAGAGTCCGAACCGAGATGCAAACAAACACTAAATATCAAGATTTACAAATGAGGTTCGTTGCCTGACTCTCCTCACAGAAGTGAGCCCAACACTCAGCCTACTAGAGGTAGGCTTGTGAAATATTGTCAGCTTGTAAACAAATGTCAACTTACTTTCTGTGCTACGCATCCCATGACGAAGAGAAGATATGTTGTGGTAAAAACATGCCCTCCAAGCGACGCTACACAACTCATTTTCCTTTGATTGTTCCTTTTTAATGCGACGCACAGTGAACCGTGTCCCGCTCCTCTGTCTCCCTCTCATTCACCTGAAGTGTCGGGAGCGCGCATCCATCGTTCATGGACGAACACGAACGCAGGACCAGGCCCCCTCAGCGTGAAAAAACACTCATAAGCGTGACTCTGATTAACTCAGAGATAAATTATTATCAACGTTTAAGAGTTTCATATTATTGATCTCCATTTTTTGTTTGTAATTTGGATAAATTTGTGTCTACATCTCAAAGAAACTTGTCTGATTTGATTGTTTTTCATACTCATATATAAACATGGTTATTTAGACTCATGAGGACTGAGCTGCATCATTATAGTGAGGTCCTCAAAAACAAGATTATTTATACACTTTATTATCCTGATTAAATGTCTAAAAGAATAAGCAGCACAGAAATGCAACAGCTGAAGTTTATTGCAGTTTATTGTGAGGCCCTATCCTGGCAGTGTTCAGCAATATTTCATAGCCAAGAGGTTTACTAGACCTACAGTGTTAGTAATACCCAGAATTCTCAAATACTTCATAAGAACATACTAGGAAATCCTTGCCTGATCTACAAGGCTAACTTAGAAATTTCCTCCTGTGGGTTAGGTCTTTGACAGAGACCCAAATATAAGGACTCAGTTGGCTGATCGTTCTCCCCCTAGGTTCTCAAATAAACATTCACCTTATTATTATTACCTCATGCATCCCTCTAAATGTGACTTAATTTGATGAATTACTCACAAACTATCTCTAAAATTGGAAGTGAAACAATAAATTGATAGAGACACTCAATCAGATGGAAAAGTATTCTGTTTTGTGATGAGGTTAGGGGAAAATTGTGGTTTTTATTAGTTTCAACCTACTCATGCTATGCCCTGTGTCGTTCTCAATACTACCACTAGATGGCACAAAATACAAACAGTTAAAGAAATGTTAATCAGAGTCAGCTTTATAAGCATGAAGCCGGGTTCTGGCTCCAGTTTTTTGTCACTTTGTGTCCAAATATTAAAACTATAGATGTTAACCTAATACGTACCAGACCACATAATACATGAAACAACACTAGCAGATTTAAACAGGCCTGGATATGTGAAAGGGCAAGGAGTGCTTCATCAAGTTGTCTACAGGACACATGAAAGGTAGAATAACGCCCCATCAAAAATATAACAACAACAACAACAACAACAACAACAACAACAACAACAACAACAACAATAAGAGAAGTTGTTATAATTTAAAAGGATTTGAAATATTTAAAAGGCCAAGATTTTTTAATTTGAATATTATTTTATCAGGTCTTAACAGGCAGATCAAAGTACCGTGGAGGTGTTAATTACAGCCCCCCAAATGTCCGCGAGGTGGCAGCAGTGCGCCTATGTGCAGTTCAGAAATAAGCGAAGAAGAGTGTCACAGCCTGGTAGTCACAGATGTAGACGTTGGGTTTTGTGATCAATAAAACTGGTTTTATAAAACTGACCGTTCTCCAGAATGTAATGTTTTTTAATCAACTGATGATTGTGAGGAAATCGGCGCTACAAACGCTCTAGTTTTTGGAAACGGTGAAATTTTAGGGCGCAGATGGAGGCTAACGCAAGCTAAAGTTTCGGGTAACAACATTTAGCACCTCTGAGTTTGTGTCAAACATCCACCAACCATGGCATCAGGTATGACATACTTAGTCCATTTATAACACCGAGTAACTTATTATTAATGCTGCTTGTCATATAACAGCAGAGAGTTACCTTGTTTCATTGTTTGTAGAGGATGAAATCAACCTGCTGGTCATCGTCGTGGATGTGAACCCGATTTGGTGGGGAAAGCAAGTCCAACGTGAACCAGAGGTAGTGATTTTAAGCTGAATCAAACTTTAACCAATTTCAGTGACAATGTTTCTGTAATGATGACTGTGGCTAAGTTAAACCCCTCTGCTCTCTTGTCTGAGTCCAGTTCACCCTGTCTAAGTGTGTGGATGCAGTCATGGTGATGGGGAACTCACACATGGCCATGACCAGGACCAACAAACTGGCTGTGATCGCGAGTCACTGCACAGACAGGTAACAGGAGATGTTAGTGAACAGATCAGTTTGCATTGATTCAGTTAATGGCTTCCCTGTGTGCCACCCCATAAATCTAGTTAGCTAGTTAGAAATATTAAAACTTTACTGTAAACTGCTGGTAAACACATCTGTTGTCTCCTTACTTGCAGTTATTTTCTGTTCCCTGGTAAGAGCTGGAGTGGCGGGGACAACGGTGGAGAGGATGCATCCTCCAGTGGGGATGGAAAATATGAACTCCTGTCGGTCGCTAATAACCTGATTGCTGAAGAAATCAGGAATGTCATGTCAAAAAGTAAGTCTGGTTTCATGTGAGATAAACAACTTCAATCGACTCGTGTTCTTGTGACGTGGTTTTGAGTTTCTGTGAAATGCTGATGTTACTTATTTGTTGAAATTGACTGTGTGTTTTATGTGATCAAAGCTGAAGTCAGGGGAAATTCAACTGAGACTCTCCTGGCTGGATCTCTAGCCAAAGCTCTTTGTTGTATCCTTTCATGAAAACTGTTCATCAGTTTTACTATTTATGACAAAGATACCTGGTGTAGTTTTAGTGTAGTTGTGTTTGGTGACTGAGATTGGATTTGTACATCAGCAGCACCTAAATTTTTCTTAACCCCTTCAAATTCAGACATTCACAGAATCTCAAAAGAGTTGGAAGGTAATTAAGTCCCTGTTTTTAGTAGCTATAAAATCCAAATAAAGAAGTTATGATTTGTTTCTTTCAATCTTAACTTTATGTTGTGTACTCCTTCTCATTTGTAGCTGGACAGGAGATAAAATCAAGAATACTGGTAAGTCCTAAATGATCCAGTTTTGTCTGTTCTCATGTCTCATTACTGTGATTGCGATCACAGTCTCCTTATTTACCTGTACAGGTGATAAAAGCAGCAGAGGACTGTGCCCTACAGTACATGAACTTCATGAATGTCATTTTTGCTGCCCAGAAGCAGGTAAAGTTTTCGATTTTGCTTTTGATTCAGTCTTCTGGTTTCTTCCAGAGATGCTTGTTGAAGGTAAATAACACCTTAGATTTGTGTTTTTCAAACAGAATATCCTGATAGATGCCTGTGTGTTAGACTCAGATTCAGGTCTCCTCCAACAGGTACATTTTCTGACTTTGTAACTCAATCCAGATAATCATCCATATAAATTGCTCATATGTTACTAATTCTTGTAAGAGTCCTTTATATGTCCAGCGCAACGAGGGTTTTTAACCCTTTTTGTCTTACAGGCTTGTGACATAACTGGAGGACTGTATCTAAAGATACCACAAAAACTTGCTCTGGCACAGTACCTTTTGGTGAGTGTTTTAACCTTAGACACGAAAGTCAAGTTCACGCATCTCACAGCTTCAGGGCCTGTCCACGTGTATAAATTTGGTGTGTGAAGGACTTTGCTGTATTTGTGTTCTGAACAGTGGGTGTTCCTGCCTGACTCAGAGCAGCGCTCACAGCTGATTTTGCCTCCGCCTGCGCATGTCGACTACAGAGCGGCGTGTTTCTGTCATCGTAACCTGATAGAGATTGGTTACGTGTGTTCAGTATGTCTATCAAGTGAGTCTTATTCTCATTGTCAAGATTAATTAATTATTAACAATCTTAAGTACACAAGTGAACGCTGTTTTCATGGTGGTGCCTTCTCTTGTAGTTTTCTGCAACTTCAGCCCGATCTGCACGACATGCGAGTAAGTCTTTTTTAATTGTGCACAGAAAACTTGAAATAACTGATTGATTTTTTTTTCTCTTATGCGTCACCATGGTGATTAAATATGTTTTTGTTTTCAGGACTGCCTTTAAAATTCAACTCCCACAGATGGTCAAACCCAAAAAGAAGAAACTCAAGCAGGCCACATGATGCTGGCTGCCATCACACTGCTGTGGAGTGTGTATGATTCTCATTTTGATGCCCAGAATATAACATTTCATTTGGTTTATGAGACAAGAGGTAGCGACATTTTAATTATGTCCTGGTGTGTTAACAGAGGCTGAGACTTTACCAGGAGCTGCTCTCACGAAAATACTTGATAAAACTCGTCTGATATGAGTTTCAAAGTCCATTCCTGAAATTAATCCAAAATACCTCTTCTATTTAAACTGTTGACTTTTGATTAAAGTGTTCTTTTTACAAACCTCCAGCATACTTGTGAATTTTTATTTTTGTCTTTTTCTTACTTATATAGGTTCTAGTAATTACGTCTATTTCACCAAATCAATGTGAAGGGGGTAAATGTTGACTAAAATGACTACACATACTAGTGTCCAGCTTTCAAACAGGCCAAGGTGTTAAAATCATAACTGGTCATTATAATCCATGATTGAAAAGAAGTCTTTAATAAAGGCAGTATCAGAGTTCTCAAGTCATTCCCCTTATGTAAGCGCATCACTTCAGTACACTGTAAGATATTTATACTATTCTTCATTAACATAATTTATCATGTAAAACCACTGTTAACCTCAAGTACGAAAAAAGTATCAAGTAATGAAAGGAAGTAAGTAAATGACATTTGCAGAGTGAGATCCATGCCCCCTGAGAGCATCAGCACTTTCAATCAACAGCAGACCGGATAAACCTGAAAGATAGTTCAAATAGCCGTTTAAGGAAGCAATGTTTATTCAACTCAAATCAGCAAACTAATAACAGCTCTCCAACTGAAGAGCTTTTGTGAATTCAGCAGACGGAAATGTCAGCATTATGTACAAAGTCAGTTTGAAACCATCCGTGGATAATCCGAGTGAAGGAAGCGCTTCATAACTGAGAGTCTTCAGATGTCACAGTGTTTATCGGTGGATCGGAACGATGTTGCACCTGAAAAAAAGAGAACAAAGAATTAAGTACTTCATATCTTGTTCCAACAACAATTTGAAAATCCTGAATGCATACATCTACTTGGCAAATATGCTAAATGTAATTTTACCAATATCACTGGTTTTTGTTAAACACCTGTACAGAGTGATTCATGTTTAGTCATCTCACCCAAAGTCTCAACTTTTTTCCTTCTCCTTGATATCCATGTTTGTACTGGACTCTTAAACTTTTTCTCTGTCTCCTTTGAACTGCATGAAACTTTTGTGTGTCTGTCGCACATACCCCAGCAGACCTCTGCCTGACCATCGTTGTGGAGTGAGGCTCATCTGAGCTTTCTGTCCGGCCCGGATGACTGTGACACGTAATGGTTTCTGAATGAGGACACGACAGAAGAAAATATTCAGACAGTTCAGCAAAAAGTGATCCAAATCTACTGAATACAGTGCAATCTTAAATCTCAGTGTTTCAGGTATAACTCTGGGTAAAAAGAATACCATGACTAAAACACACTGAGTGCAAAATGATGGAAAAAACATGTTTAAAGGGATATTCCAGCGTAAAATGAAGTTAGGGTCAAACACACCTTAACACCGAGTTAGGTGAATATCCCTTTAATTGCTGCACAAAAAGAGACAAGCAGCTATAGAATGAGTCAGTATCTTACCCCTTCACTGTGTTGGACCACTGAAGCAATGTTCTGTAGGTTCTTGAAGTTCCCCGAGTTCACAGACCCAAACTCGATGACCTCGTCACCAACTCTGAGCCCCTTCCATGATACAACAAAAATAATTTAGCCACATAAATGAGGAATTCTGAAGGTATGCCCACAGATATAGAACCACAGTCCATGTCACTTACTGCTCCACAGGCAGGTGAGCCTTGAGTCACAGCATCCACCCGAGCAAAGGGTGAAGGAAGGGTGACCTCCTGCTCCATCGCCTCCCCCTGGGCTTCTGCCTCATCCTGTTCTCTTTTTGCTTTCTCTCGAGCGTGCAGTTGGTGCAGAGCTTCTTCGATCTCTGCCATGATGGCTTTGTGATCATTCTGTAGGCCTGAAAGACATGATCAAAATTTAGACGTGCAACAAGAATAAGCTTTGACAAATACTAGAAGTGCAAAGTTAAGTATTTGGCCACGAAGGAAGTAAGGGAAATGCTTTTGCCTAAATAAACATTGAGAACACAATAACCTGGACCACAAGCATAAATTTAAGTGTTTTACCTAATGTTTTATTTCGAACAGTGGCCGAGAATCGCCACTGCTGCAAATAGAAAAGAATGCAAAAGAAAAAAGCCACAACAGAAGTTACCAATGCAAAAAAATAAACCAAAACCTGCTGCAAATAAAAAAGACATTGTTGTGACAAAAAAGTCACAACAAAGGTTATCGACACAAAAAAAAAGGTTCTTACTGTGGAAAGAAAAGGATGCAAAAAAAAAAGAGGCCACAACAGAAGTGAGCTGCCGGGGACCAATTATGATGATGCACCGGTGTTTTATGATCTAAGCACGGAAGACGACGGCGAGAAGACGAGCAAAGAAGTTAGTGGAAAAGTTATTGTTTAATTTCACTACGTAAACTTTTAAATGTGTCATTTGGTTAGGCCATGTAGCACCTGAGTCGATATGAAGTTGAACTGAAGCTCACACTACACCGGCATCCTCCAGCTCACTTCTGTGGTTTGTTTTTTTATTTGCATCCTTTTATTTTCGCAGTGCCTTTTTTTTTTTTTACCATCGCCACTTTTTCTTATTGTGTGTGTGTTGTTCCCTTCTGTTATGCCTTTTTTGTTTTGTCTGCATCGTTTCTTTTTTTTTAAATTTGCTATAGGCTTCGGTTTCTTTTTTGTTTGCATCCTTTCATTTTCACAGTTAATAACTTTTTTATTTCCATCACAACTTTATTTTGCGTTGTTAACTTCCTTTTGTTTTTATTTTTTATCTGCACCATTTATTTTTTGATTTTTTGCAGCGGGCTTTTGTTTTTTGCATCAGTAACTTCTGTTGTGAGTTCTTTTTTTTTGCATTCTTTTTTAATCTGCAGCGGTGGCGGTTCTCGACTACCGTAGAAAACACTGGAATCCACAGAAGACTTACATGAAATATTATGTCTCGCTGTTCTGATCTGGTATAAATTGACATCTGCTCGTGGGTAGCCCTCTTCGTCAACTAGGGGATCTTCCACTCCGACACCTTGCTGTATAGAGACACAAATTAGAGATTAAACTTCACTATCAGATAAAGTCCATGAGCTCGTGTTAGCTAAGTGCTATATATCTATGATTTAACTGATCTATGAGACAAACTTACGTCCTCCAAAACATCGTAATAAGCTTTTATCTGTTCTTCTATTTCATCTTTCTTCTTGACGAGATTTCTAACATCCTCCATGGTTATTTCAGACTTTCCAGAACTGTTTTCCTCTGTCATCTTCATGGCTGCGCACTGCTGGTGAAAGCAAAACAGAGAGAATACTTCCGGTATGACACAAAAACAACAAGTGACGTCAGTTTCTCCTTCTTCTGTCCGATTGGTTCGTGGCTTTGAGGAGGCGGTACTGCCCCCAACTGGACGATGAGGGGAGAAATATTATTAGATATTTTATTTCTTTTTTAAAGCGCTTCCTTAATTCATTGTGTTTAAAAATGTCTCCTCAATATTTGTTTGATTCTACTTAAATATTGTGAAACGAATTGCCACTCGAGATTAAAACACCCCTCACTCTTTCTACTTTTAAACCACGTCTACAAACTCATTTTTATTCCTTGGCTTTTAGCTCAGTACGAGAGTTGTGTGATCTCTGTCCTTTTATGTCTTTTAAGGTCCTTTCGTTACTTTTATCTCTTTAATGCTTCAATGTTTTTATTTCATTTATTTTATTTCATTTTTAATGTTTTTTACCTGCTTTTATTTATTTCCTCTTGATGTTTTCTGCAGTGTCTTTTCTTTTAATTTTATAATGCAGCACTTTGATAAACTTTAATGTTTTATATAAACAATGTGGATTGGGTTGGATTGGATAAATATATGTTATAATTTAGCTCATGTTTTTATACATTTTTGTTAAGTTTCTGGCCAGTATGGTGGTCAAATCTTTATTTTATCTGAAAATGCCGCTTAAGAGTTTTTTTTATGGTCAAGTGTTTAACAATTGAAAAGTCTTTTTTGTTAATTTATGGTGATGAGAAGAAATTGCAATAAGATAAAAATAAAAATAGTTATGCATTTTAGGCTACCCACAAATTCTTTCAACCACCTTCCCTGAAAAAAACTAGTGTTGTTGAAGTAAATGAAAATACTAATACTTAAAACCCCTAAAAAAAAGACATTAACATTTTTGGTTTTGTTCTATTACCTTTTGCGTCATTTATCTCCTTTTTCCTAGATACAATGAAGAAAACACCCAAACTCATGATAGCAAATCATATAATTCAACTTTAATAAAATACTTCATAAAATAATCATTATTACATTAACTCCTTTCATTTCTTTAAACATCCTTCAGTAATCGTAAACTGCAGGTACCTTCTGAGAACTTCAGCAGATCTGTTAAATAGTTTTATCACCAGGCATGTTATGTTTAAACAGACAATGAAGGCAGCCTACTGAAAACATTTACACAGCTTTGAAAAATAATGCCTGAACATATCCCTGACTTCTTCTCTATCATTTCTCATTTAATAAATTTATGAATTTCACAGCAGTCTACAGATAGGCACACCGGTGTACTCTAGTTTAAAAAAGTGAGTGTCAGCCCCTTTAAGTGTTAGGTGTCATTCATATGAGTGATGAGTACCCTGAGTGCTTGAATATTACTTCTGATCACGGCTGATACCAAAACCTGGAATGTGCTTTTAGGGCCCTCACCTTTAAAAAGGATATATAAGTGCAGCTCATGTTTCAAAACAGTCATCAAAAAAACTTCGGTGCACTCTGAAATACCTCCTTCATGAAGTTCTCCTTCATGTTTCTATGGTTGGAACTTGTGCAAATGTGGCTTCAAAATATAATTCTTTATTTGTTACACAGCCTAAAAGTGTTAGTGCTGATGATCAAAAAAGTCAAGTAACGGTTTTAGTGTTTTTTAATTAGTACAGCTAACAGTCTGTATCTTTTGGTCCTGCAAGTTTATTCTCAAGCACCAACACCGATGGCTCGCTGTTAACCAGTTGCTGTGATGCATCATGGGACGAGGATAAAGAACCCTGGGAAAGCTCAGACTGAGTGGTTAAATCTTTCTGTACCAGAGCAAACTTGGCTGTGGCTTCATCTAACTGAAAATTAACCGTTTGGACCCACTCCTGCAGCTGCATGTTCAGAGCATCCATTCCTTGGTCCAGCTTCTCCTGTCTGCCTTGCAGCTCCTCCAACAGGTGTTGTGCGTCACCGGCCACCTGCAGCCTCTTGTTTCGAGCAGCAGGAGCTCGCTGACGCAGCATGTAGCCGTCAAACTCTTCAGGGCTGAGGTTAAGTGCTGGTCCGTCCAGTTTTTCGATGAAGGCCACAGCACAAGACTAAAATGGGAAAAACAAAGGCAGGAAAATTAGTGCTTAACAGACTTTGTAAGCTGTACGGAGAACCATGCTGTGGACATACCAGGTTTGTGAAATAGTAGCCGCTCTCCCCTGCCATCAGACTGTGAGGGAGACCAAAACGAATCACATACTGCATGTTGGAGTGAAGGCGAGGAGGATTCGCCTTCAGCACTACATAAATTAGGCCTGACAGGAAGTCATCAGCATTAGCAGGCTCGCTGTTCGAGGTGGAGAGTGCTTCAAAGACGTGTTGACTGCATTTGGACACACATGCAAGTTTGTCCTGAGGGGCTCTTTTGGCATCCATTTCAATTATAGCTGTTGAGGAAACAGAGTGCAGGATGACAAGTCAGTAATTATCTTAGTAATTTCGCAGCATTTCAATGCAAGACAAATTGTTTTTTTTTGAAAGAGGGGGAAGATCTATGACACTTTAATGTCAATCTACGAAGTAGGAAACATAAAAAACACTGCAGTTTTACAGTAGAAACATACCCTGACATTTAACTGAAAGATATGAGAGTACTACAGTGTACTAGTCTTCTCATCTAACTTGCCTCAGGATAGTGAATACACTAACTTCCCAAGATATTAAACTGTTTCCTTAAACTTGATTCACCTGTTATCGCTGGCAGAAAGGGGTCGCCTGTGACTGAAGTCTGTTTATCAGGAAAAGGCACACTCAGCATCTGTGGAGTTACCCAGTTTAAGGAGCTGCAAAGTAAAAAAGAAAATTTGCACTAAACAGGGTTTTCAGGTTGGATATCTTGATCATATATAAAATCAGAACTTTCATGTTATGATTACCGTATTCTTCTCTGAAGGACTAAATCCTTCTGCTCATCATCACAGCTGTCATGGCAGAAGACCCATTTGTGCAGTCGTGTCATTATTAACTTCTCTACATGCTCCATTATCTGAGTGATCTGAGCCTCAGGAAAAGCTGAAAACAAGAAAAAAAACTCATATTTTAATTCTATCATGCTTCCAAAACAGTCCAAAAAAGAATTAAAGTAATTTTTACTCACATCTAAAATATTCAGCAAAAGACTGGTAGAAATCTTGCACAAGATCTGACTGCTTCTGAACAGGCAGATGCTGTAAAGATGAATCCATGATCAGTAAAACGAGGACATACAATTGAGAGTAGTCATGTGAATTTGTCTGAACAGATAATTACATGGTAAGCTTCCATTGTGTTGAGAAAAGCTGTACATCTGGACTGCAAGCGCTGAGAGGAGGGACTCCTTAGTATCTTTAGGAAACCGGTGAAGTCCCCGGGTTCGAGGCTCTGATAGGCTTTTAACACATTTGTAAAGGTCTCTGAAGACTCTGCAGGGACACCATGTATTATTATTCCAGGCAAAAACAAAGAAAACTTTTTGTGTGTTCTCGTGTCGATTATACGGGATTGAGGAAAATGAACTGGACAACCTTGACGTTTCGGGGGTGATGGGCTGCCCCAGAAGAGTCTCCTCATGGTGTTAATCCGACGACCCTTCTCTGTGCTTTTCTTCTCCTCAAATTTGGAGAACGTGAGAGGAGTTCCATCATTGCTTGGCCTGGAGGGAATTACAACATCAGCTATCCCGATTCAGTCACTGTGAATCTTTTTGTATTTAGTTATCATGTGCTGATAATTATTTCAATGTCAGTGTAATCCTGACATATCTATTTGGTACTTAGACTTCAAAAGTTACAGTGTTTAGCAGTTGTTGTAGTTTGAACCTTCTTAATAGTTTCCATTAACTCCTGAGATACTTTGATGCAGGGCTAATTTCCCTCGATATCAATATGAAACATGGCCAATATGCTTTTCAATAGTTGACATTCTGCCATGTTTTGGTCGACTAAATGAATGGCCAATGAAAAGGGGAGTGGTTCCGGGTCTGCTTTGCAATGAACTAATCGGGCTGAATTAGAACCAAGTAGCAAACAACTGCACAGTTGCAGGCGGCAGCTACACGCAACCACAGCACTTTAACACGTGAAGCCGACAGCACTGTCGGTGAGAAAAATAGAAAATGAGTGCTACCCTTGGCAGAAGTGCAGATGAAGACTCAACAGATGATGACATCGTCGACAACACTGGCACGAAAACATTGGTGTGGAGGCATTTTGGTTTTTTGAGGTCGGACATGAAGCAGAGTAATGTGTACTGCAGATTATGTCGAGTACATGTCCTTGCAAAGTCGGGGAATAACTCAAATCTTTTTCATCACCTGAAGCAGCGCCATGCGGCAGAGCATGCGCCATGCAAAAGGTTACAAACCCCTGAGCGGAGCAAAAAATATATATATTTTGATGAACTCTTTCCCATATCGTCCAGCCCTACTTTGACATGAGTTCATCTACACACCAACTCAACGCTGACATCATGCCAGCGTCATTCCAGCTGACACATTAGTCATACTATTCACGCTACTCTGTGCGTTAGTGGGTGATGCTCATTAGGAGCAGGTTTACCTTGTCTCTTGTCTCTGAGCCGATGCCGGGCGTGCCCGCTCTCTCCAGCACTTAGAGCAGAAGCCTTGCCACGCAGGGTTCCCATAATATCCACAGGCATTCTTGCAGAGCAGCTCCTGCTGAGAAACTCTGATTCCTCTCTGCTTTTCTGTCCACATTGTAGAGATCATTCATGTATTTCTTCTTCCTGTTAAACCTGTAAAACCAAACACATTTTGAACAAATTATACAGATCTAATGTAGATTCTTTAACATTTTAGTTAAATCTTTTTGTTGAGAAAATACTTGTGAAGATCCAGTATTACAAAACCTTTTTAGTCTTGCTTTTAACTAAATGTATCTCTTTCTAGGTTTAATGACAGGATCGTCTTTGATTGAGCTATTTTGGTGCTCTTATTTTAGTATCTTTTACTGTGGCTTTTATTTCATTTTATTTATTATTTCTTAAATTTCATTCGATGTTTCTTTGTTTTTAGATTTCAACCTTAACCTCCAGTGTTTCCTTATCTTGAGTTTTAAAATGACGTTTCCTCAGTGCGCACGTTCCTGTTTCCACGAAATCAAGCCCTTTTGAAGTTTTAATTCTGTTTCTGATGCATTCAGATCGTGGGGTGGGAATGAAGGGTTGGGCTGGGGTAGATTTGGGTATTCTTTGTTTCTCTTGTTCCTTTTTCTGTGTAAAGCACTTTGTGTACTTGCTGTGTATGAAAAGTGCTGTATGAATAAAGACTGATTGATTGATTGATTGATTGATTGAAATCTGTCCAGATTTTCCATTAAACAACAAAAAAGTGAAAGAAAGACCTCAGTTTTACGATTTCTTCCAGTCAGAATCTAACATGCGAAGGTTCTCCTTTCCCCAAAAACATTAGGATTGCTTTTTTTGGCCATAGTTTGAGTGTAAGACATTGGCTGTAAACTGGTCAGGGAAAACCTCCTGTCTCTTGTTTCTGACTCTACAGTAGATGTCAGTGTGCTGTTATGTAATACAGCCTTTTTATGACAGGAAAACCTTTCAGAGCTCTTAAAAGTTTCATTTTATTTTGACAGCAGGTAGATGACACTTCAATTAAAAAACACTAAACTGTTAGTATGTCTTAAATGTTCTTTTAAATGCCCTTTAGAGAGAATAACAGCTGTGTAAAAGAGCTGAGAGAGGACTGACTCCCAGCTTCAGGGCTCTGCGGTGCCTGACAGTCAGCTGAGCGGATTGGAGATAAGAACCAGCCGGCTCATGTTAGCTAACGCTGCTTTCTTTGCTTTAAACTACTTACACCGAACTTCAAAACACATTCTAATTCAAACAGTCTCCTTGCCAATGTATTCAAAAGAGTTATTTACCTGTTATCGAAACGCTTCCTCACCTGTCAGCGAGTTACTCAAAGGTTAATCGGTTCCTTATCGGAGTGTTTTTCTTCCCATCTGGTGTCTGAGCCGGTTCGCTCTGATCATCACACGGAGACAACAGAGATAAGCTCCCGGCCGTCTGCCTGTCGATGGGGTTTTCTTCAAAAGTTTTTGCTGAAAGAGAAACTTAATCGGACGAGAGCCGACCCGGAAGTCAGCTGATTCGAGACCGTGTGCAACCGGAAATAGTTTCTGTGGAAACAGTGAACAGGAAATGGTGGGATTTCAATTTAATGGGTTTTCAAAGCGACTGCATCAAAAAAATAACAGCGAATGAGCTCGTTTCTTCCTGATATGTAACTTTTATTTCTCATATGTTGGGGAATATTTTTATACCTCCAGTTTGACACCTTTAGTATGCATGACTGTCGACTATAAAACGAAGAAAGGCAAAATAATTACTATGGTCAAACCAAGGGACACTTAAATCAGCGTACCCGCGTATTCTAATCTTTATGATAAATGCAGTCAAACTATCCAGAACGAGCGAGCAGGAACCATTGGGACTTCTGGTTTTCAAAATAAGATGTTACCGATCCTGAACGAGCGAGCAGGTACAACTAGAGGTGTGTCCTAAATCGCATACTTCCATACTAAATACTAAATTGAGTATACTAAGCATACTATGTACTCAATCACGCAGTGTGTGAGTTTCAAGGGTGCAGCGCTGTCCCAAATCGCATACTGCCAGAATCAGCATTCTGTGGCTAATTCTGCCCCTATTCACAGGCTAGCTAGCCTCGCTGGTTGTATAGTCCATGAGCAGGCTCCGCTTGTTATTTTTATATGCCATGAGTAACGCTGCGGAACCCGGTGGCTACTAGCTAACTACCATTAGCATTTGCAATATCGTTCGTAGTAAAAGACAAAAAACAGGTTACACCACAAATGTACTCAAAACGATAAACGCTGGCGGTGCTTGGTGGAAAGAACATATGTAAAAGGCAACTTATTACACAATGCTCCCAGGTTGACTGTTGCCGACCCACTGGCACCACAGCCGTCTGCAGCCAATCTTGGCCAATTTGAGTACGTCATCCGGGTACTTTTGCATACTCAATTTTTGCATACTAGCCGTTCTTTTTTCCATTTTGAGTTGAGTATACTCAAAATTTTAAGTATTTAGTATGGAAGTATGCAATTTGGGACACACCACTGGACTTAAGGTTTTCAAAATAAGATGCTAGAAACGGTAAATGAAGAATTTCTGATATAAAATTGTCATAACTATACACGTGCTTGGCCGGTAAGTTATGACAATGCTTTATATACTTGAGAGAAAGACACTTGAGAGTCAAGTGGAAGAAATTTCTCTAAAATGATGCAGTAAAAATGAATAATTTTCAGTGTGTGAATATTTAGGGATGCCTTAACTCAAGTACATCAATTCTTCAGTTACTGTTTTAGCATCTTATTTTGAAAACCAGGAGTCCTATTGGCGCCTGCTCGCTCGTTTTGGGTCGCTGACTTGACCACGGTAAATAATTTAACTCTAAATTGTTTAATGGTGGTGTTAGTATTCCCTAAAAGTACAACTACTTTTTGCAATCTTACCGCACTTTGCTTGTCAACTTTTCGGCTATTGGTCACAAAGGCTTTGTAACTAATAATTCATCATATCATGCTTTTAATTTGAAAACAACTGACCGGATAACTGTTAAGAACCGGATAACTCGTGGGCACCTGTTCTGTGGTAACTAGGCAACAGACGCTTTGTAGGACCAACGTTAAATTTTCTTGAGAAGCTTTTCTTGAAGATTCGTGGATTTACGAAGAAAAAAAAACAGAAAGTTATCGTCCAAAACGAAAAAGTGTGATCAGACATCATGTCTTCTCCTGAAGAGAGCAGGAGGACAACAGGAGAGACAGAAAAAACTGAGGCTGAGAAAGTCCAAGAGATTGGACATTCTCAAGTTTACTCTTCAACCAAAGAAACACTTTTCCCAAAGACGACGGCTCAAACTAAAATACATGCACTGGTGAGTTTTTACCAAAAGTATATTTAGAAAAAATGTACACCACCTTTTGTTTATTGTGTTGCCTTAAAAAAATCCTTTTATGAAAAAGATATCTTAAAACAGACTTTTAACAACACTGAATATTTTCTCTTCACTCAGTCACTGGAATGGATGTTTGGAAGAGAGCCAACCCTTCCCGTCTTTTGTCTGCAAGACCATGATCAGCTGGTGGTCCTCTATGCTGGAGCTCATGTTGGAGTCATTTACAATCACACTGTAAACTCCCAGCATGTTCTTCAGGTAAAACGTGTTCAGTCAGATTTTGAGGTTTTGAGAGAAATGTATTTGAAAATGGGGATGGGACATCACCAGATGATTTCACTGGTGCTGTAAAGCCACATACAACTCTTTATAACAATATGATGTTATCTTCTCAGGGTCACTGCTCCCCCATCTCATGCATGTGTCTGAGTGAGGACAGACGCTGGATAGCAACAGCTGATATGGGCTTGGAAAGCACAGTCATCATATGGGACTCCTACTCTGGGTATCCCTTGTTTTTTCATGCATTAAGGTATTTTTGTTGATTTAATTCAGCCTTTAATGATCCCACAACGTCTGATAAATATTCCAGCATCCCTGTACATACACTGTTTGATTGCCACCCCAAGACGGGAGTGGTAGCAATGGCATTTTCGAGCGACACAAAACAGCTGGTGACCCTGGGGGCTGAAGACGATCAGGTGAGTTTGGCAGCATGAAAGGTAATGTGGGAGGAAAAATCTATATGTAGTTTGACTACATGAAACCCACAGGCCTCACTTGACTTTTTCTGATACATTCAGAGTGTGCCCCTCTCTGAAATGTTGAACTTGGAAGCTTTCAGTCATTATGTCATATGAAATACTAATCTAAATATACATGGTTTATTGGGTTTCATAGAATAACAGTTTGAGTCAATAGTAATTGAAGTTTCAAAATGTATGCAGCATAAGGTGTGCACATTTGATCAAGTAGTGGTTGGTAATGTAATTGATTTCTAGTTAACAAAAAATATTCAATAATTCTGTCTCCATCTTGTGGTAATGTTTTGACAAAATTACAATCATCTCACAGCGCATATGTATTTGGGATTGGACAAATGAGTCTGAAAGGCCTTTGTGGTTTACTGAACTGAATCCTGGATATGGTTTTCAAGTAAGTTTCTATCATCTTAGAAACTATTAAATGTCAAATTAATGTAAAGCTGATTTACAGAAGTTCAAATACTTAAATGTTGGTTTGTTTTTCAGAAATACATCACTTTTAATCCAAATGATAGCAGTCAGCTGCTCAGCAGCAGTAACAGCCAGGTGTTATTTCACAGCACAGTAAGTTGAATTGACTTTTTTATGTTGCTTAATTAGAAATAAGACCACGTATTGTCTACTCCAATATTCACCTGGTACTTTTCAGGCCCAAGGAAGTCTGCAAACACATGCCCTGAGGTTTGACCAGGTAAAGATCATGACATTTTATAAAGGATGATGTCAGACTGTTAATACTAATCAGATGAAAATAAGTATGTTGATTAAAATAGTTCACACTATTCCTTTTACATTTATTTTTTACAGTTTGGTATTCCAGTGGGCCCTCAGTCCTCTCCTGGTATCTCTAAAACTGGGAACATTTTTATAAACTCTCTGTTTCACTGGAGAGAGCCTCAGGTTGTAACAGCAACTGCAGACGGCAACGTTGTGGTGTGGGATTTGATGGAAGACTCTGATACCAACCAAGGCCTCCCCAGAGTTCACATCCTTTCACTTCAGAAACATCCAGTCACCGCTTTTACTGTGACCGAGGGGTAGCTGGCTACAGATAAATCCATCATCAAGTGTTTATTGAACAAAAGTGTATTCACTGGTATTGATTCTTCATTTTTGTGTTTCTTTTAACCTCTCAGCTGTTTTGTTACCGGTGATACTCAAGGCCATATCAGGTTTTATGATGAAAACTTCAAGATTCTCGCTGAGTACACTGAATTGAACTTGGGCGCCGTTTTTTCAATTTCCTTCTCCAAAGAATGCACAGAGGGGTACCTGGAAGACTGCCTTCTGACAGCAAAACCATTTATCTTCAGGTAGAAAAAAAGATAAACTATAGAATATGTTCCGCCCAAGTGTTCAATGCATTTTGTAAAGCTGTCTTCTTCTCCTTTTGCAGGAATTTTGTTGTAGCTACGTTCAGTTCCAGAGTTGTACATGTAAATGCACAAAAAGGCATCCCTCAGCTTCTCCTGGATGAGGATTGTGCGCCCCTACATGCAGTGGCATGTCACCCCCAACAGCCTGTTGTAGCCATGGGAAATGACAGGGGTGTTTTGCAGTTGTGGGACTACAGTAGCAAAGAGATCATCTGCAGGAGGGTGTTTGAGACAGAGAAGCAGATACAGTGTGTCACTTTTGACCCCAGTGGTGAGCCAGTATTCTTACAAGAAATATTACGTTGAACCAGTTTACCCCAGCCAATACATGAGTTTGCAATATTGTCATTGAATGTACTGAAGAGACTCACTTTTTTTTAATAGGATTATACCTGGCAGTCGGCTTTGGCAGTGGATCAGTTTACATACTGAATCCTCAGACTTTACAGTGTGATCCAGAGGAGTGTTTTCAATACAGTAAAGCCAGCATCCATCACATGACTTTCTCAACAGACTCTAAGTATCTTGCCACAGCAGTGAGTATAATATAACATTCACAATTCAAGTGTAGCATACCTAAAGTATTGTCTGAATTTTCAGTCATGGCCATAGTTTATGATTCTAAGGCCAGTCAATACTCTCTTTAACATTTTTTGCATGTTTAATTTTCTTGTTTTCTTTTAGGATGATGGAAAAGCAGTGACCGTGTTCCGCCTGCAGACTAATACAGACTCCTCGCCTCGTTGGACATATTTGGGTAGATATCAGTCTCACTACAAGCCCATCATAGACCTCCTTTTTGGTGTTCACCTGGACAGTACCCAGCCCAGACTGCTGTCTCTGGGAATGGACCGCAGGCTGGTGGGTGTGCTTTGGTTGATTTTTCAGTGCTTGTGATGCTGCCTCTATGCCACTTAACTGCACGCTCTCCTCTCTGTGAATGTGTTGGGCTTAATTCTAGGTGGAGTACGATTTGGAAAACAGTGAAGTGCATAAGCTTGTCATCTTAAGCTCTGAGCGCGTTGAGCAAAGTGCTGTGCCGATGTGCATGACTTGGTACCCTCCCTTCAGTGCAGAGCAGTTTCTTCTTGTTGCCTCAGATCAGTACAAGATGAAGCTTTTCAACAGCACCACCAAGATGTGCAGGTCTGTGAATGACTGTAACAATAATTTATTACTTTATTTCATCATTTCTCCAACTCTTGCACTAATAGCAATATAATCTGTGTAATCCTATTAAAACAGAAAGACTCTACTTAGTCCTACATACGGCTCTCCTGTTAAGAAAACAGTCGTACTTCCTGTGTCCAAAGAGCCGGATACAAACCTGTATCACCTGGCATTCATCACAGACAACAAGGTCAGAGCTGTAACTCTATTGTCTCAATTTCATTTCATAATCTGCTTCATTTTTTAAGTATTTCATAGAATCATCTGCCTGTTAAATCCAAAGTTGTCTTTTAGAAAAACAAACAAAAGCCAAGACTGGTCAGGAAAAAAAAGTTTTATCAATGTCCACATCTATAAATGTTCAACTTGCAGCTTTTGCTCATTTGATTTCTCACCTGCGTTCAGTTGAGAGTACAGCTAGCAAGGTGGAAATTAAAATATTTAACAATCTGGGTTTGTTATAATTATTAGATGTAGTCATGTTTAAGCTAAGATTTGGCAAGCAGACATGGTTGATATTACCTCTGAAACTGTGTTGTATGTCTAGTTGGGTCTCCAGATTTTGCCACTGGATGGGAACCCCTACAAGTCGAATGCTCTGATCTGCCATCCGACCGGAGTGTCTGCTTTTGCCTGTTCCTATGACGGACGATTTATTTTCACTGCGGGAGGATCTGACTGCACCACCCTGGCTTGGGAGACAAACTTAGAGTAAGGTTAAATAGCATCCTCATGAAAACCAGGGGGAGTGCATGAGCTGGTGATAATCCTGTTTTACTGCGTATTCAGTGCACTGAAGGCAGCAGCTGCTCTAGGAGGAAAGGACCTTGAACCCTTTTACAGTCTTTTAGAGGGAGGAAGAGATGGCAACTTCTACAAGGTGAAAAAAAATTTCATTTGCATTAGGAGCGTGTTTCCTATTCCCCATTCTGACGGAAGATTCTTGATTATCTTAACTGTGCCATCTTTAGGAAATGGAAGAGTTCTTCTTTTTCTGCCAAATGTGTCACCAAGGCATCGACACAATGGAGAAAAGACAAGTGTCAAACAAGGTCCCTCTGTCAGAGGTGCCGTCTCTCATGAGAGCTTTGGGCTATTTCCCCACAGAGCAAGAGGTCCAGTGTTTGTCTGACAGTAATATCATCACATACGACTGTTTTCACATCTCCAACCCAAACTCACAAACTGCTAAATTTTTTTTTTGAACAGATAGAGGATATCCACAATGACGTCAAGTTCAGCAAGTATGCAGAAACGGGGAAGTATGTGACAGATATTGACCTGGAAGAGTTCATCAAGCTGTTTGTAAACCACCGACCCGCCTTTGGCATTACTAGCACTGAGCTTGCCCAGGCTTTTCAGGTCCTTGGTGGCTGTGATGGTACAGGACAGACCACTCTGCAGAGACATGAGCTGCTAAAAGTCCTGCAAACTAGAGGTAAACTGCAGGCTGTTCAGATTAAAATGATCAGTCTGACCTTTTTTTAGTCGTGTTAGTGTCACCTGACTGAGAAAAATGTTGATGTCCTGTCCAATTGCCCAACATTTTGAAGTGTAATTTAATATAATTTTAATAGGAGAACACATGACTGAGGAGGAGGTGGCTGAGTGTTTTACTACGCTTTTGAAGCTCAATAAGGAAAGAGGGGAAGAAGAAGAAAAGGAGGAGGAGGAAGAAGGTAAAAGGAAATAAATGCAGTAAATCTAGGGGCGTGTACAAAAGTTATTACTTCCCGAACATGATCCGGTGATTTTTTATAACATCTGATAAACACCTTTGTGTGGGTTTGTAGGTGGCGATCCAGAATATTCATGGCAGTGTGCCATACCTGATGAGATATCTTTGGAGACATTTACAGATGACATCCTGGGCTTCCCTTCTTCTACAGAGAATCAAACAGGTCTTCCCCACCAAAGTGATGAGAGCAAAAGGCTGTCTGCCAGTGAAGGAGAGGATGATTTGACTCCTACTTAGATAATATCCACATGACACAATACATTGCAGCACCAACAGTGTCTGGTCTACTAAAGACCAATCTAAACAAACCATTTCATGATGCAGAGATATAAATTTAAAATGAGCATTAAAACATATTTTCCTCACTTGCTCTGTTTTTATTTGATTCTATTATCACGACTGACTGGTTACTACTGTTTGTATGAAATGATCCAATGTGTCTTTATGAAGCTTTTTCTCAGCAAGATTTTTAGAGAAGACAACTTTGACATTTTAACATGATGAACTTGTGTTGAGCTCTGGGCTGAGCATCTCATTTGTTTCCATTCAGAATCACTGCATCAAGTCAATCATAGTTTTGTCTCTAACTCGTGTATCTGCATATATTTCAAGATGTTGTTCATCCCTGCAAACCAACAGAATGAGTGTAAACAGAACTGTCTTGATAATATAGCATGCCACAAAAAGTGGTCTCCTATGGTCAACTTACCCCGTGTATGGAGTAAGTTGGAAATGGTCAAAGAAATTGATCATGTGACCAAATATTTAGGAGATGGGCATTAATTCACGGAGTCTGTGAAGGTTAGAAGCACATGGGTGAAGGGGTTAGACATTTATTTACAAAAAAACATAATTTTTCTCTCTTGAAAGTGAACTGAGTCTGTCATATGTTTGATATGAATTGTGTTCAGACCAAAAAAGATCATTTTAAATTTGTTTTATACATCAATTGTGGTATCCATGAGCTACAACATGAGGTCAAAACATAAACATAAAAAGTCCACCATTTTAGCTTAGAGGACTAATAAAGTCATAGTAGTTCTGGGGTAACTGAGAAAGTAAAGGAGTCTGATGAGAGGATCAGAGTTTCAGTTCTGATTGTTGAAATGTTTTTACTTTTCATTTTCTAAAATGCAGATCTGTGAATGTTCTGAATCACTTAAAGACATTCTCATGTTCAAATGACTTTTTACAAAACAGCTTTCTATCAGTTTATCAGTAACTCCATACACTGGGTAAGTTGAGCCGTATCCCGACCATCTCCAAGCAACAGGGGGTGACTCAACTCACCCCACTCTCACCTTTATCCAGTAGAGAGGAGGAACAGCTGGAGAAAGTCCACGCAGACCCGTGGATCTGCTGCTGCTCAGACCTGTCTGTAGCTGCGTCCGAATTGCCAAGTAGTAGTCGAAGTAGTAGTCGAAGTAGTATCTAGCATGTCCGAATTGGCCACCGGAGCGAGTAGCATGCTACTTCAGATACTACTTCAGATGCTAGACACGCCCACATTGTAGGTTGGTCTCGGTGCATCCTACGGGCATGCTACTGACCCAAAATGCACCGCGGGCTTCTTCTTCGTCCTCTTAAAAGTTGTAGAAGCGCATGTGATGCTAGCGCCACCAGCTGCTCTGCCTATTTAAAAGTGTCGCGAACGCCGGCTGGCCACAGCAGCGCGCACCATGTCGGAGCAGCAGCAGGCGGGACCGCAGCAGTACAGATGTAAGTTTCATGTAACTTCACACACTGTCCTAAAAAATGTGCGGTTGTATCTCTTTGTCATGTCATGGTGTCATATTTGCCCAAGTAATCATTTTATGAGCAAATATGTGGCGACATCATGGAGGTAAAGCTCACTTATTCCATCATTAAACTGCACAGCTGCAGTACTACAGCCAGGCCCGCAGATGAGGAGCTTCAGTTACCACTGTCTGCACGGGCGCAGTACCTACTCTCTGCCTGCGGGGGTCGTCTTTCCCCACCGCTCGTCTAGTGTGTCCGAATTGGGCCAACGTTTTTAGTATGTAGGAGTAGGATCTAGCAGTAGCACGTAGCAGTAGCATGTAGTATCCGAACGGGCAGTTCGGACGCAGCATGTCTCTCCAGGTTTATTTTGAGTCTGTGGGTGGGTGGGGCTCTGACGCTGACCAATCAGAATCGCTTCAACAAACGAACTTCCTGCTCGGGACAGAGGAGCCTGAGAGCTGTTTTTTCGTCAGCTGGTCTCCTCGACTCCAAGTACGTCAAATACTTTCCAAGAGAAGTTCGGTTAGGCCGCTAACTTCACACAGAGAGCTCGAAAATGAGTGAACCGAGGACTCGGATTCAGCAGCTCGAAGTTGACAAACTTTAACAGAGTCCGCTTCTACCGGTTCCTGTGGCGCTGCTGAAAAGCCTCATGAAAGGGAGAGTTTTTATTGTCCTAGCTTGGTGGCTAACGTTAGCTATTTGTCTGCTGAATTACCGAGATGGCAACTAGAGGAGAGATGGCTCTGCGGCAGAAGTACCGTCGCCCACCGGCGTGTATTAAGCAGGAGCAGGATGACGACTCGGACGCGGAGGAGACACACCTGGGTCTGAGGAGATCCGACGGGCTGGAGTCTCAGATCATCCACAGCGGACACTTCATGGTGTCCTCTCCACACAGCGAGCACCCCCCGAAGAAAGGCTACGACTTCGACACTGTCAACAAACAGACCTGTCAGACTTACCACTTTGGCAAGGCGAGCATGTCACACCTGTCCATAGACGCCTCCCTCACCAAACTGTTCGAGTGCATGACTCTGGCGTACAGGTAGGTGTTACAACACACCTGAACTCCCACGAGAACTTCATTTCAACCTCAGTTATGCTGCACGGGTCCTCCACTAAAATGCATTAGGTTTGCAGGAATACTTTAATGCATGCACGGGACACCCTGACCCGAAACTGCAGTCACGAGGCTCCTTTTCATGGAACTTCCTGCTTGACCAACCATGATCTGTTAGTGGAGTGGAGTGGTGACAGGAGTCCTCAGCTGAAGTGTGGCATTCTTATCACCACTTAAAATGTCTGTAAAAGTCTTTTAAAACTAACTCAACACACACAGATACATATTATCACAGTTCAATTATCATAACTCATTATTATTATTATTAAAACCTTTTATCCTCAATAATATTTGTATTAGTTTTATACAGATTATACAAAGGAAACACATCACAAACACCCCCTTTCCCTCAAAACCTGCCTACTGCGGGATATTCCTATTACTGTGCTTAAATAACAAAAATATATATTATACATTATAATATTTATTTATAATAAATAAATAAATCAAGAAAGTACAAGTAAGTGCTGGAATTCAGGTTTTGTAGATCTTGAAATACGTAAGATGTTGAGGAATAAAAAGTAGAAAGAGAATAAGTTCAATGAACTACTGTATGTTAAGAGAAATACAAATGTAGACAAGTCCCTGAAAACTGAAAAAGTCCATAAAGGAGTGTAATTGTCATTTTAATATCTTAGAACTGCTTAAGGTGCCCCCCACAACAGACTTTCCTACCAACATATCAGTTTTGTGAATCGTGATGTCTAGACTTCCTAATTTCCCAGCAAGATACAACATCCTGCGGGATTCTCCAGGTGTGAAACATCCCCACCACCATCCCAGGGGGGTAGAGTGACGGTCCCCACAGAAAACAAAAGATGCCAACATCAAAAAGCCCCATTCCTTGCCCTCTGAGGGGCGGTCCTCAAGCATAAATGTTCATGTTTCCCCATGTCCTGGGTCTTTCTTGATTCTGACCGCTCGGATGCAGATTGACCTTTTCTTTGCAAAGAAAATAAAACCTTGCCGGCCGGCAGAAGTCTCTATTTCATTCTTCACCAGCAGCAACGGGAAAAAACTTCCACGACAGGAGATAAGAATTTAAATTGTATGGTTTTAAAACATCACAGAAATATAATATTTCAAAAAGAAAACAGCTAGAAGAGGAGAGAGCTGATTCAAAATGATGAGAGTTTCTGAATGTGGTCTAGAAAAGGTCTGCAGATCTTTTCGAATTTTCTGTCATTACCCGCACCCGAGTAACGAATCTTCTCAAGGTCCGAACAAGACATAAGGTCTTTCAGCCACTGACCATGAGTGGGCGGGGCAGCATCCCTCCATCTAAGGAGAACCGCACGTCTGGTCAGGAGGGAGGCAAACGCTAGGGTTCGGCTCTTAGTGGCCTTTATTTAACCAGGTTTGTCCCATTGAGATTAGGGGTGCACCGATCACAAATTTCTAGCCAATCACCGAGCAACAATCTTTAAAAGGCTTGAGTCATCTGAAGAATATCCTCATAAATCGACACGTACGCACATGTAAAGACGGCCAATTTACTTTACTGTGTAAGACACAATGATGTGTTAGAGCTCCACAGTTTATTATAAACCTCAGAGCACCATGATACACACTATCCAGCATGTGGAGGCATTGAACAGAGGCAGTCATGTATAACATATCATCGTAATCAATAATTGGAAGAAAGGTTGACTCCACTAGTTTCTGTTTTCACCCTAAAAGAAAATCAGGACTGGTTTCTAAAGTAATGGGCTGTATCAGCTTATCATGAACAGGAGGCCCAACTTCACATGACTTGAGTGAAACTTTCTATCAACTTTATGTTTTTGTTTTAATTCCAGTCAAAGTAGGGCAGTTAATGTTCATTAAATAGATTTAATTCAGAAAAACACTCGAACCTCAGATGTACACTCTCCACAGTGGGTTCATTGTGAGACATTTTGTCTTGTGAGGTTGAAGCCTGATGACGTTCAATCACAGCTGTACTGCCATTAAAGAGAAAGATCTTTGTTCTAACTTTAGGTGGAGCGTGTTTAACAGGAATTTGCCTCAAGTGTTGAGCTGAAACCACCAACAGGAAAACTCACAGGAACTTTTACCTGTCAGGTCATATTTGAGTCAGGGTGTGCAGCCTGCCAGCTTTGACGGTTTCTTTTTAACCACAACAGACGCCTTTTTTTTCTTTTGTTTGAACAAGCAAGAGGCGCAGTTTCAGACTTGTGTACTCATTTTTTCATAAATAGTCATATTGTCTTTTTTTTTTCTTAGCTGAACCACTGAGAGTAGACTCTGTGGTTTGATTCCTGTTTTCATGTAATGACCTGAAGAAAGATTATGGACCCAAAATGCTCAAAAGAAAATAGATGATGTGGTTTTGAAGAAAGTGATGATGAACTGAGACAGTACTTGCAGGATGAATTACTTTTGTTTGTGGCCGGCAGCTTTCCCAGAAGGTGAGAGTAGATATGCTCTCAAAACCCTTTGCTGAACCTTTTGTTTCGTCTCTATTGCTGCTGAAACTTTTTAGACGAAAGTGAAATATGATAAGTTCTCCAGCATGATTCATTGTTTATATGCAGTTACAGTTTGGATACAAATCAAATGTTGGGAAGTTGTTTAAAAAAAGAGGGGGGTGTATTATGCTACCTCTGGTTCTCTGTTTACAGGTACAGTACAGGCCAAAAGTTTGGACACACCTTCTCATTCAATGCATTTTCTTTGTTTTCATTACTATTTAAATTGTAGCTTCTCAAAACTATGAATGAACACATGTGGAATCATGTGCTTAAGAAAAAAGTGTGAAATAACTGAAAACATGTTTTTATATTTTAGATTTCTCAAAGTAGCCACTCTTTGCTTTTTTGATAGCGCTGCAAACTTTCGCTGTTCTCTCAATGAGCTTCATGGGGTAGTCACCTGAAATGGTTTTTACTTCACAGGAGTGCCTGAAGTAACCCTGACAAGGTACTTCTGTCATCGAGAGCAAAGAGTGGCTATTTTAAAGAAACTAGAATATAAAACATGTTTTCGGTTATTTCACACTTTTTTTATAAGTAAAAAATTCTACATGTGTTCATTCATAGTTTTAATGCCTTCAGTGACAATCTACAATGTAAATAGTCATATAAAAAAAAAAGAAAAGACATTGAATGAGAAAGTGTGTCCAAACTTTTGGCCTGTACTGTATATATAATGTCACTGTAGCGCTGGAGCAGAGCCAGCAGCTTAGAGGATTCCCTCTGACTTTACAAGTGGCACCAACTTGAATTCTTTGGGAAGACTATTTTTAGAGCAGGAAAGCACCACTACCTCTCACTGTTCTGCTGTTGTCATTCATCTGTAAAGGAGAACTGGGGTCTATTTATTTACACCGGCTGCTCTGTGAACTTTCCCCCTGTGATACTCTTTCTGTTTCACCGAGCGAGGTCTGAAGAGTCTAAAGTTTGGTAACGGCTATGTTTTTAAAAAGCCCAAGTTTGAATACACTTTTAAAAATTGCTTGGTTTTTGGGCGCCATAATTCAGGGGCGTGTCTAAACTGACCCATGACCTGAATATTTGTGTTGTTTTCTCTCAGTCTCTTTCATAGCAAACCAACCTCGGTGGATTCCAGTCTACCTCATTTCCATTGCTAGTTCTACTTTTCAACATTATTCGTCAGGATGACTTGTACCTTATTTGTTTGTTCACTTATGTTGTTTGCTTCTTGGCTTTTTAGTGGTAAACTGGTATCTCCCAAATGGAAGAACTTCAAAGGTCTAAAACTGCTCTGGAGAGACAAGATCCGCCTTAATAACGCCATATGGAGAGCCTGGTACATGCAGTGTAAGCGCACCACACCTTCTTTGGTCATCATGTAGCCATAAATATTGACTGTATTGTTTGGCATCGAGTTTGAAGTAACACTTCAATATCAAGGACGCCAGGATCTAGTCTAAGAGTCTTCGTCTTTACATTATTAAATCAGCAGCTTTGTTATATCAACAGAAAACCAGATCCAAATATTTGTGGCTTGTTCAGAAGCTCTTTTCATGGACCAGGTTTAACATCCAGGATCCCTCGTCTTCTTGTATTTTGAGAAAAAAGTGTTAACAACAGTTGTGCCTTTTGTAACAACACCTATCTGGTCTTTATATTACATTGTTGTGTTATAAAATATGTTAAAATTGCCGTAATTTGGGGGGAAATAAATCACATTGACACAACAGGTGACTCCAAACTTCTGAAACGCAGCATAGCTATTTCTCTGTGTGCTTAATTTTATAAACAAAAATCAACTGAAGGTAACCATAAGCTTCTTTTCCTACCTGCAGATGTGGCGAGAAGGGCGAATCCCGTCTGTCACTTTGTGACTCCCCTGGATGGAACTATGGACTTGGACATCAACCGTCCTGCAGAGGTAATGTGATCATTCGTGTCATGTGCCCTCTCATAGATCAGTCCTTATTTAAGCACATGAACATTTAGTGTAAGGTTTTTGGTTCCCTTGTTACTTCCTTTCATTGTGCTGTTTGTTGTTGTGCTCTGATGATTGTTTCCCATCTCCCGCTCTGTTGGGCAGGCCACTGTAGCAGAGGGGAAGTGTTGGAAAAGGAGAATTGAAATTGTCATCAGAGAATACCACAAGTGGAGAACATACTTCAAGAAAAGGGTAAATTACTGTTCACTTTTTATACGCACTATAAAATATTAAATATTCTTTTAATATCTGTCTATATGATACTCACTGAGTCTTTACAGTTACAGAAACACAAGGACGATGACCTCTCCAGCTTACTGAAGGTATGAACAAATGCATCATGCCCAGCCCACCTTAGATAAACGCAGCAGGTGTTTGTTTAACCAAATGTTGTTACTGAAGTGACTGATCCTGCTAACGCAGTCACCTTCACAACAGTCATATATTTTTCACACATCTCCATTAACTTTGTGCACAAAGTACTTTTGACACCACCTTAGTTTTTAACTTGCTTTAAGACACAAAAGTAGTATTATTAACAGTGTTAATCCTTTTTTGAATAAATGCATGAAACTGTAGTTTTTCGTGTTGGCTGTACTTAACCCTGCATGTGAGTGTGCCATTAACCTGCTCGGTGGTTGCATCTTAAACACTCGAAGGGACCCGAGGAGCAGATGTCGCTGTTTGGGGAAGTCTCTCCAGACATGCTCCGTGTCTCCTTTTATCAGGATGACGACACAGCTGCACGACGCCTGCCTCGAAAGCATAACGAAACGCCCGCCCCCATGGAGATGGACTCCCTCTTTGACATGGATGTTCTGATGTCGGAGTTTTCAGACACGTTGTTCTCCACGTTAGCCTCACACCAGCCCATAGCCTGGCCCAATCCGAGGGAGATTGGTGAGAACTTCATCAGCTGTCTTCTCAGTTTAATCAGTAGAGACCGATGGTTTGTACGACGGAGTATTAGGGCCACTTTAAGAAAAAGAAATTTAAGACTTTGAGATTAAAGTCATTAATTTACGGGAATAAAGTAATTATAATAATAATAATAATAATGCATCAGATTTCATATAGCGCTTTATCAGAGACCCTCAAAGCGCTTTACATTGGATACATCATTCATTCGCTCACACAGTCACACTTTTGGTGGTGGTGGAAACGTGGCTGCCATTCTGCGCCTACGGCCTCTCCGACCACCACCACACAACACTCACAATCATACACCAGTGGAGGACACACACTGGTATGTACGAGAGTAAAGTCAGAATGAAGTCCTGATATTCTAACCTGCTGTTTAAGATGCCAGCTGTTGAAATGAGAGCCATGGAGCATTTCGTGAAAATGTACTTCAATATATGTTTCTCAAACAAGGAGATACTTAATCTTTTGGCACATCAGCACCACATTGTCATAAGAATAGTAGTAAATGTAGTAGTTGATTATGACTTTATTCGCTTAAGTAATTTCTTTATAACAACTTTATTCTCATAAGTAATGATTTTACTACGACTTTATTCTCGTTAGTAATTACTTCATATGACTTTATTCTCATAATTACTTAATTCAACTTTATTCTCATAAGTAATGATTTTACTACAACTTTGTCCTCATAATTACTCAATTACGACTTTATTCTCATAAGTAATGATTTGACTACGACCTTATCTTGTAAGTAATTACTTCATTACAACTTTACTCTCGTAAGTAATGATTTTACGACTTTATTCTCATAATTACCTTATTATGACTTTATTCTCGTTAGTAATTACCTAGTTATGACTTTTATTCTCGTAAGAAAGGATATTATTACCCCCTTTTCTCATAAGTAATGATTTTACTACGACTTTATTCTCGTTAGTAATGACTTATTCTCGTAAATTAATGACTTTAATCTCGAAGTCTTAATTTTCTCGAAGTATTAATTATTTTTCTTAATAAGACCCTTACACTCCATCGTAGGTTTGATCTATGTTCATCTTAGATATTGTTGTTTTCAAGCTTCTTCATGTTTAAACTGATTAACTACATTTTTCCTAATCCACATTTCCATCATGTCTGACCTGCACAGCTCATGCAGGGAATGCAGACATGATCCAACCAGGACTCATCCCCTTACAACCCAACCTTGACTTCATGGATTCCTTCGACCATCTCCAAGGTAGCAGTAAGGCACCTGCCACAGCAGCAGCAGCAGCAGCACACAAGCTAATAGTGCACACTTTAAAATAATCAAGCACACGTTCTGGTAACTCTGCTACAGCAGTTGGCTTAGCCTAACACAAAAGTAGTGTGGTTTTACTAACCTCTAGCTAACATAGAGACTCTTGTTCCAGACTTATTTCACAGCCTCCGTCAGCCCATCTTCCCTTCTGTTTCCCCCACTGCATCATCTGTCACCCCTCTACCCAGCAGCAGCTCTCAGTCACAGGTAAACACCAATCCAAGGCACAGTCCCTAACACACACCACCGTCATGGAAGTTTGTGCGAGACTTTATATTCCTCCTTGATTTAGGTCTTCTGATTTTTGATCCCGTTTACAAGGATTTCTGACAAATCTTCCACCATCTATCTGCCTAAATTTAATTTAGTTATGCAAAAAAAAATCAATTTAACATCATAATCTTACTAAACTTAATTCACATAGCACTTTTCATACATAACTTACTGCTGTACCTGCTTCACATTAAATTTGTAATCTAGTGGGAATCAAGAGCCGACCAAATTATGGATAAACATTTTGCTTCTTTTTCAAGCTTCCTTCATCCTTAAATTTTCACATGAATTAGTTTCTTCAGTTAGATTTTGGAGAAAGTATTTCAGAGCTACAGTTGGGTCCATGAATGCAGCTTTTTCTCGGGTCTCTGTCTGAGTTTTTAGCACACAAACATAACTATTTAACTCACTCCTAGGGGCTGGGTTTATCATTGGCAAGTATCAAAATGTGGTCAAAATGTATTATCCAGTTATACAGAAAACATTGGAACACTATATATATATATATAGAAGTTGTGATATGACCTTGTTCATTTTCGCCCATTGAAACCTTTAAAGGATTTTCTTGTAGCAGCAATATTTTTCAGATGGATTTTCTAACCTCAAACTTGGGAAATCGGTATGGAGCTTTATCTTGACAACTTGAGTCATTCGCATTCTGCATTTGCTTGAGATGTAAAAGTAAAGTTGAAAGTCTCAGTATTTAGAATCAGGAAAAGACAAATGTGTATTAATGTAACTTAAACCACTAAGAACAGAGCTGTGTCTCTTCTTAATCACGTTCCTCTCATGAAAAATAGAATAAGTTTTTGTTTTTTTTTCCTTTTCCTTTGTCGTCCCTCGACAGGCCCAGCTTATGTCCTCCATGCAGCTTAATACCAACCTCATTCCCCCTCCTGGACCCCTGCCTATCCCCACCCCCATGGCCAGTCAGACCAGTCACACAGGTGGCAGGGATGCTGTCTATGTACAAAACTATATGCCTCTGTTTCCTGGGCAGGTGGCGCCCAGTGAAGCTGTAGTTTCCCCTCAGCCATTGTCTCATGGTTCTCTGGCCCAGTGCCTCTCAGATCAGGACATGACTTCAGCAGCATCCATGGTGCCTTCCCCCTTGGACAACACCTCGGCGCTGGGTGAGACTGCAGTGCCGTCGGAGATCACACACAAAGCCCCCCGTTCTGTTACACCCAGTATCTCAGCCACCACTTTCAGCCAGGGCTCCGAGTATAGCTCCATATCCTCTCAAGCTCCCCCTCCTCCTCCGTCCCAGCTCCAGCCTTTGGCTTCTTTGCCAGCCACTCCTGTGCAGCACCCTCAGACTTTCGCCCTGCCACGCCCCTTACAGTCAACAAGTGCCAACAAGAACCGCACTGTGCAAAGGATTGCTCCTGCTAACACAATCCCCTCCTCTCACCTCATCATCACAGGTGTGATTCCTCCTAGTTCCTGGTTTTGGGATCTGATTTTGATTCTGTATTTGAAAAATTGTGCATTTAACAATGTAAATCCTGTGTCATTAAAATACCATAAAACAGTGCAAAAGCATTTCTCATCCAGTCATGTAGATTTAGAGAGATTAGACCTGCAATTAAACAAATATATGTGTGTTTCTGCAGCTGCTTTATGTTGTCATATCCCTGAGCAGTATGTGAGACTCTGTTTAGGCCAATATTTGTCTCTATCAATTGTCTTAATATCTGGTAAGATATAAATACAGTCTGAATTTTGCTAATAAGATGAAAAATCTGGTACAGGGATTATTTACCAAAGAGTTTACCAAGTGGAAGAGTCTAAAAGGACTTCTGTTTATTGACACAAATAAAATAACACTTCTGTGTCTAATTAACTCTGATTGCACTTTCAGGCCCTTTTCAAGCTCAAGCTAATGCTGTGATTGTTACACCAACTCCTCTGAAGGGAGATGTTGTGCAGAATACAGGAGTCGTCCTCACTCCTCACCTCGCAGGAGTAAGTATCCAGAGTTGAGGTCTTTTTGTGCAGCCAAGACAATTTCATTTTTATTTTTCTCGATTATGTTTTGTACAGAAATGTTAAATTAAGCTGAAAAAACACTTAAAAGTCTTGGTCTAACAGCTGTTTCTGCTCATGTATTCCAGGCTCCTGGTTTTCACATGGTGTCCCAGCAGACCCCTCAGCCCATTGTTCCCAAAGAAAAGTCTTATTCCTCCAGCCGCAAAAACCAAAAAGCCTCATCTAGTGTCGGTGAGTGACTGTGCTCCACAGAGACAGATAAAAATCACTAACTGATTATTGCAAGTTTTACAGTTTTGTTTTCTATTCAGTTCACAGTCAACCAGGATCAGGTCAAGGATCGCCATGTGGGTTAGATCAAGTGCCCAGCCCACAGGCTCTGATCAGCAGCAGCAGTACCCCGCTAGTAAAGAATGAACAGAATCAGGTTTGTGTGTTTAAGTTTCTGAGAGGTGGGGTAGTCAGGATCTGAGGAAGAGGGAGAAATCTTGAATGTAAACTCTACCCCTCCCAACCAGTTAGCCCCGCCCACAAACAGACGCTCCTGCTCGCTCGTATCATTTCAATTAAATTCAGATATAATGCAGATAAATACTGAAGATAATTACAAATGGGGCCCAGTCAACGTGAAAGTAAAAAGCATTGGTGCTACTGTAGATGCCAACAGACTACCAGCAAACACAATGTTTGCAGGACTTCTACAACTAGGATAAAGTGACATAGTCCAGGACCCGAGGGAGGACAGTTTAGCGATGGCGCTACAACACGCTACAGCAGGTCCGTTTGACAAGAAACACTTCTGTTACAGACACTTGTCTTACTTTGTTAAAGCGGTTTACCTGTCCAGCAGAAAGGTTACAGGGTCACCAAGATCCCGAAGTGTCCCCCCCGTTGTTTATGCGTCATTGACGTTGACCCGGCTTTTTTAGCTCTTGTCCGGTCTACCTCCTTTTTAAGCGCCCGTTTTTCCACCAGAGTCTCCGGTATTTACTCCGTTTTCTTGCTTGTGTTGGTCGTCGTGGCTAAAGGAGGATTCAGACAAGTTTCTGTACTTTCTGGTTGGTTTCTACTGTCAGATATTGTAGCACGCTAACTTTGTTTGGGCTCGTGCACGTTATCCGAGGATGTGGAGCATGCCTCGCAACACGAGGGAGCAGCGTCTGCCTCACAACCAATCAGGTCGGGGAGGTGGAGAACGGCTTTGATTACAGTCAAAAAGAGTGGACCATTAAAAAAATGTAAAAAGTTGACTATATAGGCATAAGAGAACACAGCGATATCGTTATATTCCCAAATGTTATCAATAACTAATAGCTATTGACTGATATTAAAAGCTTTTTTGTAAATATTCCACAAAATAAAAATGCATCTTTAACGACTTCCTGCCTACCCCACCTTTTAAATCGTATTAGTTTCCAAGTTTATGCTGAGTTTTAGTCCTCGGAGATAAAGTGCAAAGCCTTCACAGGATTGAGCAATAATGAAAACATCTGAAATATGACTGAGAGGCACATTCATGTGTTGAGCTCTGTCCATAGAAGTACATAAATCCCACAGTAGATGAAGTTATCAGACTGACTTTTATAACCTGGTAAATGATAAAGCTCTTATATAACATCTGCCACATTTCATCTTTTCGACCAATATATGACCCCCTCCTACACACATGCACACACACACCCATGATAAACCATGATAAATGTATCATCTCCTCTCTGCTTCTCTGTGACAGGGCCGTAGGACAACACACATAACATCTGAACAAAAGAGACGATCAAACATAAACATCGGCTTCAAAACACTCTGCAGCCTCGTACCCACGCTGAAGTCGCAATCAAATGTAAGTGTCCCTTTCTCTCTGCTCGTTACCGTTTTTGACAGTGTTTAAGCTGAGTATTTCCTTCTCTGTATTGTTCACAATTTAATCAATTATCCTCTCTTCTTACCGTCTCAATAAACTTCATTTAGATCAGTAATGCAGTCACGTTGCAGAAGACAGTGGAGCACATTGGGAAGCTCCAGCAGGAGAGGTCGCAGTTACAGGAGGAGGTCAAGAGACTACGAGAGGAGATCGAGGAGCTCAACACCTCAATAAAGTATTTGAAAACAACATTTTACTCAACAACATCTCTCCTGTAGTGATACAAAAATAACCAACACTTTACATGAAGTAACTCACTGCTGCTTCCTCCTCTGCTCTTTCATTCCCAGCTTGTGTCAGGAGCAGCTTCCTGCAACAGGAGTGCCCATCAAGCGGCATCGCATCGACCACATGCAGGAGAAATTCAGTGAATACGTGAAGAACCGAACTCTTCAGAACTGGAAGTTCTGGATTGTATCCTTTATTCAGAGAGTTGACGTGATTACTTCTCAGAGAAAACAACATTTTACCTGACCAGATATGAGGTGATAGTTACACAGTAAAGGTAGAGATCATAAGATGTAAAGATAATTACAATTCTTCTCACCTCTTGAAAACATGTTTCACTTTTGTGCAACTTAAACATCCAATTGATGCAGAAAGTGGATTGACAGAAACTACAGGCATAGATATTTGGGTGAGGAACTCAAAGAATTGATCTCAGCTCACACGCGTTGACTCCCGGTTGCTTCATGATCCTTGACTGAAGTCCATTTAGTTCAGCATCATCATCAAGCCCCTCTTTGACTCATTCAACGGGATCGTGTCGACTACAAACCAAGCCGAACTCTTTCAGACCACGCTGCAATGGCTGGATCATCACTGCACTCTCCGAGCGCTTAGACCCAGTAAGTCAAACATGGAAACAGACGAATGCAAAAATTTACAGCGCAGTGAAAGTGCCTTTTATTGCACGTGCATCTGTATTGCTGCATAATCCCCTCAAATTTGATGATAAAGTGAATGATTTAAACCTCGATTTTTGTTTTCCAGTGGTGCTGAGTACCCTCCGCCAGCTGAGCACAACCACATCTATACTCAGTGATCCATCCCTGCTGCCTGAAGAAGCCATCAAAGCCATCACGCACACAGACGTGTAGCCGTGCTCTCAGACTAAGCGAAACAACTCGGTAATAAGCAAAAGTACATATCACTACTTTACATTTTCTTCGTTCAGCAAGGATCCCAAGTCTTCCACAGATGCATTACTTCCCTGAAAAATGTCTGAAGCAGCATTTTGACTCTGTGTGGATGCTGGTTTTACACTTATGTTGATGTTAAATTGAATATTGAGGATGGTGCACACAGGAAGCTCCTCCTTTGACATCAGTCATTGTGCAAAAAGTAGTTTTTTTTTATTTAATGTTTGAGCGACTGCTCCTGCCTTCGCCTACTTTAGGAAAAGATCTTTAAAATATTTCATTAGAAGGCGGTGCTGGTGGTTTGCTTTTAGAACAACAGTATATATTTAAACTTTATCATATGTAAACAGAAATGTGTTAAAAAGGGAAATATTGAGTGATTGTCCATTTTGTTTTGTTTCTTTTCTCTCAGATGTATAAAGTGTTTGTTTGTGATGCTTTTTTTATCACAAAGGAAAATAAGATAAATGTTGGTTTTTACGGCGCTAGCTAGCAGTATAGTTTGTGTTTATTTTGGAGGGTTTTGAAACCTCCCAGAAGGGCTTCACATCAGAATGTCGAGGGTTTCCTGAAACATTTGTTGAGTACTTTAAAGAGGGATGAGAAATCCATCCCTCGTTTACTCAGGGGAATGTTATGTTGCCAGTGAACAGTTGTAGTTTCCTGGAGTTTTCCGTCCATGCTGAACACTTACAGTCGTGCTGCGCTCGCTCACAACAGTCCTCATAGGTACAGTATGTCACACACGTGGGTCTCTACTGCAAGCTGGAGCAACAGTTCCTTGCAGCTCACTCAAGGATAGACTCTTCATGAACATGCACAGTGTTAGAAGATCTCAGCTGAATGCACAGCAGCTGTGGGCGTCTTTTCTCGTCTTTGCTGCTCACTCAGGGCTGTGCTGATTGTCATGATTCAGCTCTGAACAAATGGATCGTGCTCGGCAGGAAAACCTGTTGTCTGTGTGGTTTTGATGTTTCCGTGCTGTTAAACTCATTATTTTGTGTGTTTTAATGGCAGAAAAAAAATCTGTCTGCATTGCTTGAAGAAACAAAACAGAACAAAAGCCATATCAGACGAGTGTCCCCGTCCATTCTGTTCACTTTTCAGAGTCATTTTTTAACATGATCGCTGAATTCTTGAGAGGAGGCCTTCTTTTAGTCAGCACTTCTGGCTTTCATCAGCCGATAAACTAAAGTGACCTTGGGTATCTCTGCAGGCTGATCAGTCTTCCTGTATTTTTTTTTTAACCTTTTGGTTCAGCACTCCTCAGGCGGACAGAGTTGGTTATCGGTGTTTGTGCTTTCTTTTCTGCAGAACTACTGAGTTTACTCGTCAGTTTTTACAGTTGCAAAATGCACCACTCATGGTTCATATTTAACGATCGTGCAGCTTTTTTCTGTGAAGTCTTTTATTGTGGATTACAAATGTTTCTAAACTGAGTTTTTACTTCTCTACATGTCAAGACAAACTCTCCATGTTGCTTTCTTTGCATTAAGTTACAGGCAATAATCAAAAGTGAAACTTTTTTTCAGCATTCAAGGCAGGGAGGTTTATTTTATGTCAAACGGCCACGTTTTCATGAGTGTGTTTGGGGTTCTTTAGCCTTTATTTTGAAAGGACAGCTAGTGAGGGAGATGGGGAAATGTAGGGAGAGAGTGGAGGATGACATGAGACCCCTGCTCTACCAGCTGAGATGAACCAGCTGGCCTTAAGGTGGACAAATTGAAGCAGTGTTTCTTTTTACACTAAGAAATTCAAAAAGCACACGTGAATGCAGCTTTTATGAATAAAGAGTTCGTTCTTAGCTGGATAAATCTTTCCCCTTCAGATGATAAAACCTGTGATTTTACCCCTAAGTTGTGTGAGGACATTTTTTCTCTGATTTTAAGTGTGTCACCGACTTTTATTTGTTGTTTCTGTCAGGGGGGGTTGGTAACAAATGATGTACAGTATAACATTGCAGATTAGATCTGCACACCCTTTTCCCCTGTAATTTTAGTATTTTATTTTTGTCTGTTTTTAAGAAGATGTTCGTATGCTTCATGATCAGAGTGTTTGTTTGTTTTTTTTCTCCTACCAAGTTCATGTTTTCATGAAACAACTTTAAGGATGCCTTACAATAAAAGCAACAACAACAATGGCAATTTTGAATTCTTATTGCTTTATTTTAATAACTTAATAAATATCCTGTTCTGAATAAATATTACTTTGTTAGCAGATACTGACAAAAACACATTTTCTCATAATTTAAATCGGGTTGGGTGTAGAGAGGTCGGCGGCGGCCGCGCTGAGTCGCTGCTTCAACACCTGCAGCTCACATTTGACGTACAGGTGACGCTCCCTGTCGTCCTCAAACGAGGGTAAACTGCAGCAGTCCAGACACAGTTTCTGATCTTTCCAATGTGCAGTGTCCTGAGCCAAATGACTGATGTTCAGCAGATGAGAAGAAATCTTCTTCTGGATCAGTGGGGATATCTTCTTCAGGCGGCAACCAGAGGAAGCAAGGTAGGCTTCGATGCTCTGCTGTCCCTGTCCCACCTGATCTGAGTGGTTGATGGACTTGCAGGGGGTGTTGAGGAGGCTTCCGGAGTCATTCTGCAGGAGATAAAAGATGCTCATGAACATTCCTCCTCATGTTTTGTGTCTGTTTTTTTATCCAGTCAGTCAGTGAGTGTTGTCTCATTTGTATGTGAAAGTCTTCATTAGAGCAGTCATGCACAATAATGATCAAATTTTATACTAGGGGAGACCGGGGATAGTTGTAACACGGGTCAATTACCAAACTTCCAATTTCTCCAATAGGAACAAGTTACGGATCACCTGACTCACGCTGCACATGCTTAGTCTAGTCCTTGTTCCACATGTGTACATGTAGGATCCTGTGGTAGACTCAGACAATTCAAAGGTAAGAAAGTAGCTTTTTTTTTTTAATTCAGATATTTTTATGATAGCATTGCCTGCTGTGTAGTTGAACTCATCAAACTTGAGTCACGTTTTTTGTGTGTCTATGTAGATATTTTTCTTGAAAGTTGTTCATGCCAAAGTTTTAGCTGTTAGCTGTAAAGTAAGTTAGTTTCTGGTGAAAAGGGTCTGGGTTGGCTGTAACAACAATCTGTTTCTTATATAATTATTTAATTAATAAAGTTTTGTCATTATCCTGATTTTTTTATGTTACATTTCACTCCAGGGTTTGTTACAACTAACCCAGACTATGGGGTAAATTTTAACATTTCTCTCCTTGGACTTTAGACTAAGTTATGCATTGTCTGTTTGTGTTGCAGGGGTAACTGCTACAGCCTTTAACAGCAGACACATTTACCTAGTTTGTATCACAGTTTGAATGCATTGGCTTAAAGGAGCTCGGAGATACAGACAGAAATGTAAAAAATGTAACAACCATCCCCGGTCTGCCCTACTTCAAAACTTCAGAGATAATGTTTCAAATAAATGGGCTAAAATCTTGCTTAGCTTCTTTTCTGCTTGGTATAAACTTTGCAAACTTAACCCTAAAATTAGTTATTAAATGTTATTTTATGAGCCACAGTATTCATGATAATAACGTTTTGAACTCTGTACAAACATCCAAAAAAATCATCTCTAATAATGAGGAACCCAACAGCTTAATTAAAGCACAATATTTATCTAATTTTCAAAATAAGTTCACACTAAAAAAGTCTTACCATGAGTTTCAGAGCGCTCTGTATCTCCTCCTGCATCATCTCGATCATCTCGTTTACGACCCCGGCGTCTCTTCCTTTTCTTACACTTCTGCAGGGTGCTTGTGTGATCAGCAGGCACAGGAAGGTGAGTACTGCAAGTGATACAAACGAGCACACATGGGAAATGAGAAAAAAAATCATCTGAATACTCAGACATACGCAGCACAGGCAGAGATAGAGAGAGAGTTACATCCTGAGAGTTTGAAAGTTGAGCAACGTCTCCCAACTGCAGAGGTTAAAGGACCATCTGCATGAAGAAAAGACTCAGCTGGACTCTTACCAGTAAAGAAATCCATCACACCAGCAGGCTTTGGTTAGCAGTAGGTTATTTTCTGTGGGGACACTTTCTCTGATCCCTCTTTTAAGGATCATTTTTATCAGGACTCTTGTGATAAAATCAGGTTTGATATTTTCCCTTGTGTTTTAAGTTTGGTATTTTACAGAAAGAGTCATACAGGATTTAGGTTTTCTGTTTTGGGAGTTCCCTCTTCGGAGTCTTTTCCTCAGAAAAAAAAAAGAAAAAATCTTCACGTTGTGTGACAAATGTTCCAGCCGTTCACATATCTGATTAGATCTTTAAAAGTCAAAAGGTGTGACAAATAATAAAAAAATGTCTGTGTCAAAGGGATTTCCTTTAGCTAAGTTTTACTGATTGTGTCTTTATTACAGACTTATCAGGGACTATCAATTAAAAAATTAAAAAACAAAAACAGCTTGATACTCATGTCAGCTCCAACCCCTTTTTTAATAAGTCAAATGAAAGTAAGCGTAAAAGGACAATGTGTTGGTGAAGGTTAACACGGATATAATAATAATAATAATAAAAATAATAAAAATAATTAACATGAAAATAATAATAATAATAATAATAATAATAATAATAATAATAATAATAAATATTTATAATGCGCCTTTACAGGTGGTCAAAGACACTTTACAAAAAACACAATTTAAAATACAGAAAAATTTGAGTAATAAGACCAACAATGTAAAAGGTTAAAAAAGACCCAATATGAAAAGACAGTAAAAGAACAGTTCACAGGATAAAACCTCATTTAAAAAGGTGTTTTTTTTAGAATTGATTTGAAAGTATGGGGGTCTGTTCAGTCTCGGATGGGTTTGGGGAGTGGATTTCAGAGTGTGGGGGCGGCAGCAGAGAAGGCTCTGCCCCCCCACAAGTTTGGTTCGATCTAGAAAGTGAAATCCAAAGGTGTGGACTCAAATCACTTCACCTGGACTCTGGTCAGACTTTGGACTTGACAAAATCCTGTATGACTTACAACTTGACTTGGACTTATGAAAAGTGACTCCAATTAAAATCCGCCTGCAGAGAGAGTGTTGTCTTTTTCGTAGACCGACTGTCACACAATCCTTCAGGCCCGAACCTTTTTAGAGCTGAAAGTTAAAACTCTTTTTTCGCTGTTATTCTGTGTTTTAGGTTTTTTTATGGACTCTGCTTCTTTAAAAGTTTAAAGCCTGTGACTTGAGACTGACTTGTGACTTTTGAAACAATGACTGTGTCTCTCCTCTAGGGGCACTGTGCAGGTCACGTATTATACAAATGTAAACAAGTACCCTTAAAGTAATATTTTCATCCCAGAGGCTTAGAGATTTGACAGTTACTCTTGAAAAGCAGATTTTAATCAGATTTTATTCATATTGGTTTGTATTGTAAAAAGTTATTACGTGCAATGTTCGGTCAGTATGCAGAAGCAGGATTTCGACCGCCCATTCCAAGATAAAAAAGAGTCATGAGAGATAGCTGACAATCAGGGTAAACTTTAAATAAATAGATGAATAAATACATACATAAACAAATTCATGAATAAATAAACAGGTTGACTTGAGTGTTCTCAGGATTGTTAACAGGTGGGGTGGAAATCTTTGCCTATGAACTTCTTCATCCACAGTCTAGAAAAGTAAATGATTCGAAGACCAATTTTCATCAGGCTGAAATTGTCTGTGCTTGGTATGTCGACCGGACAAGAGTTGAGGTTATGGTCTGAATTCATGTGTTTTTCTGCCACAGCTTTAAACTGATTATGAAACTTTTGAATATTGTTGATGATGCCCTTGTGCTCTGAAGAGACATTTCCCATGATTGCCGGCAGCTTTTCGAGGTAACCGTTGATCGCACACATGGAGTCCAGGAGTTCTTCGATGTTGTCCCTCACCGGGAAAGTTATTCCCTGCAGCACCGAGTTGTTCGATTTGTAGTTTGGTGGATTACTGCCGAACATACAGCTGATCTAGGGAGGAAGTAAAATTCATTTTAACAAACTTAAAGACACAATGCAGGGCAGCACCATCACGTTTTCACAACTTTAAAAAAAAAAAAGGTTTATCAACGTACATAATCTTTTTCTGCTTTCAGTAGATTACAGTAGATCGGGCCAACTCTCTTCATGTCCTCCCGAAGACTCTCTACTTGGATCGGTCGAGAGGCGATGAACGAGATGTTCAGCAGCACAATGCAGGAGAGTAGGAGTTCTGCAAAACATTACACATAAAAATCATGATAATGCTTTATAAAAAGTTAAACCTGAACCGACATCAAAATCATGTAGAGGTCTGAGATAAAAGCCCTACATTAAAAAATAAATGTTATCAACGACATAGAAAGAGAATTGAACACTTTAGTCAAAACTCAAGCGGATGCTGGTCCAGAATAAAACAGTCTCGAGGTGAACCTGTGAAAAAGGCCAGATGCTAAAACGTGTTTGACCCTTGTAGGTTCATCTCTCTGTACTCTTGTGAAGAAAACTCTCAAAATGTTCGACTCAGTTCTTTTTCTTTGCAGTCAACTAAAGAAACCATATAACACTAGAAAAGCACTCGGAGAGCGCAGACCTCCGCCAAGCAGCTCATGTCCCCCCTTATACTGTGATTCACACCAAAACTTTTACTGTTACGTGTCTTTTATGAACTTTTATTTGTGTTCAAACTGGTATGTTCATTGTTCATAATGTTCCTAAAACAACAAAGCTCATATTAGATACATAAATGCATGATTTATTATGCAATATTTGTAAGCGTACACTTCCTTGTATCTTTATTGGTTATCTCTCAGCATTGAAAATTCCAAAGACACCCTTATTTTTGTGTGTTCTGGATCACAGTATCCAGAATTTTGTCTGGATCAGGATCAACCTTTGACACCTCATAAAACTCATTGAGATCCTTTTGTGTCATTTTTTACTAAAGACTCTGGACATTTTTATAGAGTTAAATGCAAAAATTCCAAAATTTGCCCTATCTCACAATGATAAAGAATCCTTCAAAAAATTCCTGGATCCAGAAGACGATCCGGATCACCACCAGAATGTAATGGGATCCTCCTGGGGCTGTTACTTTCTCTGTAAAGCTGCTAACAGGCAAACAAACCAACGCTACCGAAAACATAACCTCCTTGGCGGAGGTAATAATGTCATTAAAGTCAATGAAAGTTACGTTTTAACCGTAGAGAACAAAAAAAGCTTACCTTTACCACGAGACATGATGACTTTTTGAATCTTGTTGCAGATGGTCCGTGGCTGGTACAGGCTGTGCTTATATATCAAAACCAGAGTTCATGCCATCCTTTGGGTGATGACGTTTTTGTGGCATTATCAACACGAAAAATCTCTTTTTGACTGTTCTCATCATGCAAGTGAAGGGCGGTGGTAACCACAGTGGCAAAATGTGGGGTGGCCATTGAAGCTGCCCCGGATCTATCAATGGAAACCCTGATTTTTATCTTCTGAACTCAGCTGCATGTGGATGTCCAAATTTTATTGACACAACCATGATCTGTTTTATTATAAAATAATGCAAATTATGTTTAGAGCAAAATCAAAAATGCTCCCTGACTCTATACAGAGGTTCTTTTCAATCCAGGACAGGCCGTATAATCTCAGAGGTGCTCGCAAATTTACTGAACAAAAAAACTAAAAAAGTACGAAAAGGAGATGTGTCTCCATTACTGGAGTTAAATTCTGGAATGATGTCAACATAAATCCAAAAACACGTCATTCTTTTTTGGTTTTTAAGAAAATGGTTTGTAAAGCTATTTTTGAAGCTAATAAGTGCGATTAATTATCTGTTTTTGCGGTTTCTTTGCTTTTCTGGAGGTCGATAGCCTAAAAAGTTGACAACACAGGACAGGCTTTTGTAAACAGTCTGCTTCTGCCTTTTCAGTCAATATTCAACACACGATTCTTGATTTAGTGATTTTGTGTGAAACGTCAGTATTGTGTACAATATTTGGTGTTGTCATGACTGAATGAACGACTACTACTACTACTAGAGAGTTGTGTAAAATGCAATTTGACACATCTAACTTTGTTGCGTTTGCATCACACACAGCAATTGTGATTCAAATACTTTAAAAAGCATAGAAACACTTAAAAAAACAGCAAAGTAAGGAAACTTTTAAGCGTGTTTATCTTACATTTAAAGGATAAACTAGGGGCCTAATCATATCCTATTTTTCTTGGATTAAAACCCTTTCTCCTGTTTCCTGTTTCTGCCCCAGTGACTCCTCTTTTCTTTGACCTGTGACGTTGTCCAAACTATGATGTATAACTCAAATACCAGATAAAGGATTTCCAAATATTAAGTCCTAGCCGTGAGGTACAAATAGTGGAGAAACCACTACAGGATGTTTGCACATTTCATTTCAGTTCCATCATGAGCGATTGCAAACTGAGATAATACAGCGCAGTGCATCAGTCAGTTTACACACATGCAAACTCTGCAGGCTGTAAGATTTATTCCACCGGTTTTTAGATAAACATTTGATGCATTTTGCTCTTACATTCAAACAACAGCAGACACAGGAGAATCATTCTTTGCATTTATATTCATGTTGCTATTTAGAGTCTGAATCTCTGAAACATCGCTCCTCCTGTTATCTTTTTTTGTCTAGACATATGTAAAAATATTTCTCTGAAAAATGAAGTTTCCAGTTTCCATCTGTTGAAATCTGAGGTCATGGACTTAATGACAGCAAAAGGGACATTCCCGCTAGTTGTCCTGTTCCCTTGAATGACTGAAAAACGTATTTTAGTGTCATAAACCTGAACATTATGAATGTTATACTGATAACTCCGGATGTACAGCGTGTTTTGTGCAAATGAAGCTTTTAACATGATAAACTTAATACAGAGGGGATGAACTGCTCCACTTATTATGTTAAAGTAACTCTGAGAATTTGAAGCTCGTATATGATCCTTTTTAAATGTTTTATTTAAAGATAAGGTTTAAAACTTTAAATACTGGGTTTCTTCAGCTAAGTCCGTTTCCAAACCGGAACCAAATTATATTAGATTCAACTTTATTGTCATTGAACACAGTACAAGTACAGGAACAACGAAATGCAGTTTAGCATCTAACCAGAAGTGTAAGGTCGTAAAGTGCAAGGTATGTACATATGGGCAGTGCAGGTACGAACTGAATATACTATTTAGTGCAATGAATATGCTAAAAATATATACATGGTGTTGGTTACTGCAGGTATGAATAGGCTATACAACAAAATAAATAAATATCTACTGATTAGTGCAGGTGTGAAAAAGAGAAAATGTTGTTAAACAGTGGGTGGGTTGAAGAACATAAACAGTAAGATATTTAGGAGTAAGAGTAGGAATATGTATAGTTATTAAATAAATAGTTGGATAAAATATGTGTATGCAGATACAATGGAGTGTGATTAGTCTTAGATGTCAAGCTCAAACAGCAAATGTTTTTTATTTAAATTGTAGAAAAGGAAATAAAATAATACGATCATGTTTACCTAGTTTGGCCACAGGCTTTCATGCCCACATTTGGATGAGGTTAAATAGCCGATGAATAGCAGGTGAACACGGCTCTTCTGAAGTTGACCTTTGGCCTAAAGTAACCCACACCTGACAAAGTATTGTCATCCAGCAGTTTTAATGTGGCACCACGCTTACAGTAGGGAAAAACACATTTGTGAAACATTTAATAACAGGCATAAGTTTAGCACATAGATAAACAAAAATCATATAATTATGATGACGTAATGGGTTCTGTGTAGCAAATCGTGTTTAACTGACATTATAATGGAGCAGTTCGATTATAGCAGTCCACTTCTTAGCTGTAGAAATGTAACCTGTAACACATATGAGCTGAAAAAGTTGAGCTGATCGAAGTTTTAACTGGTCCAGACTCATGGAGAGACCTCAGCTGTTGCTAGGAAACAGAGAGCAACCTGTAAACAAACACCAGGGGCCACAAATGAAAGCTGCTGTTCTTCTCTTCTCCGTCACAAACTGGCAAACACGCTCTTTCTTTGACCAGCATGAGCTCAAACACGATCTCTGCGGTGTTAGAGAAGCTCATTCGTCACCTGTGTCTGGAGAACTTCCCCTGTGGAAATGGCAGCTGGGTGAGTTTTCAGCTTTATAAAACCATCAGATCTTTCTCAATGCTGCATGGACAGGTTGGGTTTTTTAAATAGTGATACTAACTTTGTTCCCAGAGATCAGCTGGTATAAAAGGAGCAGAAACAGAGGAGACTGACACCCTCCTGGATCTGCTGAGCTGCCCGCGCTCTCCTTGGTGGGACGACACTCTGTGGAGTCCTCAGGCTGCGGCCTTGAGGCAGCTGGCTGTGCTCAGACCTGAACGCCTGAACGCTGACTTTGTTTACAGTTACTTTACCACACTTCGCATCGTGGACAAAGATGTGAGTGGGGTGAATTTTTACTTTCAGATCTTTTCTTTGAAATTTGTGTTTCAAAGAGACCAGTATAACACCCCCCTTCCCCTTCGTTTTGATCGATCGATGATAACGTGAGGAGAGCTGGGGCTTTCCTCCGCATAACTTCACCATCAAATCTAAAATTGATCATCAAAGATAAACTGGAAGCAGAGTAGGAAAAAATTCACAAGAGCAGAACAAAATTTACATCAAATCACGTGTTGGAAACATGCGTGAACACTTGCACTCTGGTAGGCTTTTGATCACAATTAACCTCCACAGGTGCTGCAGTCAGGTGTCTGTTTTATTCTCAAAATTTGTTCAAAACCGACAAAGAGGAATTTATTTTTGTGTAACTTTGCCATGTAACCTCCAAAATAAACAGAGCATCCAAAAGTACATCACATTTCCCACTTTCAAAGCAGCATGATGGCTCCTTGTTAAAAAAAAAAAAGAGCCACACAAAGTCGAATAATTCTTCATGTTTTCTGCAGAAATATAAAACCTGACGTTTTGCTTCTGTTGTCTTCAGGTATCTTTTGTCGATGATGGTCTGTTACAGTTCTCAAAGCTGGAGGAATTAGTTCTGAGTGCGAACAAAATTCATGACATTCCTGGAGGAAATCTTCCCAGCACTTTGAAGGTGGGTCCTGTACCAGCTTGCTCTGCAGCTCCGGGGATCGAGTGTTTTCTTTCTTTCATTTTTTGTAAGTTGGTTATATAACAGAGTGAATTAATGTTTTTTTTTTTTTTGTGAGGCACAGAAAAAAAAAAAAAAACCATCAGTGAGGAGGAGATTTACAATTTATGATGCCAGTAACCAGCGTTGTCAGGTAGACGTCAGAACGAGCCGTTTACTGCACACAGACAAAATGAGCCTTTCATTATACTTTTTTTTTTTTTTACATTTTTCAAAGTAATGATTAAAACTGAGTGTTTTTTTAATAATCAGATTTAATTTTATTTTCAGAATTTACAAAGAACCATACATCATTTTAACTCAAATTACATAGAAAATAGGGCAGCATCTGTGTGTGTGTGTGTGTGTGTGTGTGTGTGTGTGTGTGTGTGTGTGTGTGTGTGTGTGTGTGTGTGTGTGTGTGTGTGTGTGTGTGCGTGTGTGTGTGTGAGTGCTGTATGTGTTGAATGGGGGTTGGGACGGTGGGTGGGGTTTGGCATTTGTTTTTTAATTTATTTTATTTTATTATTATTATTTTTAATAACTGTGAGAATGGACAGCACTTTGTGCCATGTTCCATGTATGAAAAGTGCTTTAAAAATAAAGTTGGATTGATTGATTGATTGATTGATTGATTGATATCTTGTTTTTGAATGTTGCTGTCACTTCCTTAGATACACATGATTAGAACTTCAAACTAAGTGTTTTATTTTATGGAACAAAAATACAGGATGTGATTATTTGTCTCACACCTTACATGTGAGAGTTTGTGACATAATCAGGAAATACTTTACGCACAGATCTGGGTCGATTACAACCCAACATGAAAATTCCTTCTGCTAACTTTAAAGAGTGACTCATAATCGAATCTTCTAGTAATTTCTATTCAATAATCGGGGAATGCCCCACAATGCAACACTCATTGATCAAAGTGGAACAGCTTAGTGATAAAAAAGAATGATGATACCCTTTTTTATTTTAAAGGTTTTGGAGTTATGTGCCAATCAGGTCTCTTCTCTGACCGGTCTGGTCAGCCGCCCGCCCCCTCACCTGCAGTACCTCGGCCTCGGCTCGAACAGACTCGGCTCCTGTGAAGACATTTCTCATCTCACAGGAAGACACTGGTTAGCTCTCACACACTGACACAGGAAGATATCAGCTCAAACAGAAACAATGTTCTACGTGTGAGACAGATTTCACACTTTTTAATGACGGAGTGAATCATCCACCTCCTGAAGCAGCTCTGGAGTTTTCCTGTCAGAGTGTATGGGTGGTGAAGATCTTGGTGAACCACATCAAATGAGTGTGGTTTCAGTGGGAGGAAGGAGTTCGTAAAAGTGACCCTGATCCTCTTTTCGGTCAGCTCATATCAAAGTTATGAATAAAAACTTTATTTAAGAAAACAGGAAACACTTCAGAGCTCTGATAAGCCTGATTATATCATGTGAGAAAACTGTTGAGGGGAAATAAATGTGTAAAGATTTTCCTTCTTATCATCAATTCAACATTCAAACGCAATCCAGTTTATACAAATGAAATTCACTCCACATTCTTTGGAAACACCAGACTCAGAATTTAAATCAGGTGGACGAGAAAGGGTTTTGGATGAGTATGCAAGGAGTTTATTGCCCAAAACAACAAAATATGAAAATTAACTTTTAATTATAAGTTTTTAAAATGTCTTTACTTTGAAAGAAACTCATTACTTAAATAAAATAAATGAAACCAAATACTAAACCATGGCTGTGTCTGACCTCAGGCCTCGGCTGGTGTGTCTGGACCTGAGCTACAGTGAGTTTGAGGACCAGTGGGCCCTCCTAAATGCTCTGTGTACGCTGCCCTGCCTCAAGACTCTGGTGCTGGAAGGAAACCCCTTGACTCTGGCGTCCTGCTACCCCGGCTTCACCGTGGATAGTCTGCCGCAGCTCTCCTGTCTTGACGGGTCATGGATTTCCCCAGAGGAAAGACACGGTTTTAAAGGCCTGACAGAGATGAGAGGTCAGTCTGCGGATGAGTGGATGTCTAGTTGTGTTTTATTTGATTACAGCCTTTATTATCGTGGTCCTTTTCTTCCTCACAGATCTGATAGTGGAGTGGGCATCGGCCTCAGTGAGTGTCGGCAGAATGAGGGGAATCCCAGATCCTGTGATGAGTGTGGATGAAAATGCTCCTGAGTTTCCCCTCGTCACTTACAGCTACTACATTTCCTACAAGTTCCTTCGTCATCAAACTGCTGCTAATCTGGTGACGTTTCCTCTCCGCACTCTGCAGTCTCTTCCTCTCTGTGTTGGTTTGACGCCCTCCAGGAAGTCACACTGTTGGCTCGCTGCACTCAGTTTGAGTTTTGACATATTTTATTGGACATCTACAAACTTTAAGGCGATTTCTTGTTATTAAGGTCACTCATGTTTTTGTTGGCAGCTAAAAAGACTAAACCTCCTGAAGCAAACCCAGTGAAATCTACAAGATAGGATTAGGGCCACATGAAGAGGATAAAATAAAAAATAATTACAGGAACAAATTAAAGTCAAAATTTCATGAACAATATCAAAATTTTGAGATAACAAAAAAACAAAGATTTTAAGATTGAAGTCGACATGAATAAAATTGAGATTTTGGAAATTGCATCAAAATTTTAAGATTAAAATCGAAATTACCAGATTAAAGTTGTTATGTTTTAAACAATGTAGAAATTTCGGGATTAAAAACTAAAATTTTGAAATTAAAGTCGACATGAAAAAAATTGAGATTTTGGGAATTAAATAGAAGTTTTGAGATTAACATCAAAGTTACAAGATTAAAGTCAAAATGTAATTAAAAATATAAAAGCCCACATAAATAAAGATAATATTCGAAATAAAAAATTAAAATTTTGAGATTAAAGTCGACATGAATAAAATTGAAATATCAAGATTAAATCAAATTTTTTAGATTAAAGTCGAAATGTCATGAATAATGTTTAAATTTCAAGATAAAAAAATTTAATTTTGAGAATAAAGTCAAAACTTCAAGATTAAAGTTGACCTGAATAAAGTCGAAATTTCATGAATTAATGGAAATTATGAGATTAAATTCAAAATGTTGTGAATAATGTCAAAATTTCAGGATTAAAAAAAATTACAGTTTTGAAAGTAAAGTGGAAATTGTGAGATTAAAGTCCACGCAAATAAAGACAAATTATTACTCTAACCAAAAAATCCAAAATCCAAGAAAAGGCACAAGGAGACACTGGGGACACTGGGAATACTATACTGGGGATACTGGCATACAGACACACAATGAACCAACAAAGAAACAGGGGAAGACAAGGACAAGATATATTAACACAGGGAAAGAAGCAACGAGAGGCAGGTGAGACACTGGGACACAGGTGCAGACAATTACAGAGGAGGGAAAAGTGAGGAAGTAAAACAAGACTAGAAACACAGGGAGTAAACTACTACAAAATACAACAGGAAACAGTGAAAACTGATACACAGAATATAACACTGAGAACATGAGGGACACAAACTGAAAACTCACAAGACAAGACCACAGGGGAAGAGGAACAATAGGGAACAGAAACACGAGGGAAAATCACAAAGAAAATACACTAAAATCACGAAACAAGGGGAAAAAACTAAATCAACAGAACATATCATTACAAAACGATTCTCTTTTTTTTGTCTGCTTGCAGAAGTTGGACCGTGAGTCCGAGTGTGATTCAGCACCTGCAGCTGAAAGAATGGAGAGTGACTCAGAGCTGCCATCAGTCCAAAACTGTGAAAAGTCAAACACACGAGACTTGATGGTGCACACTCAGGAAACCTGCTGTGATGTTTCTCATGGTAATGAAAAGCCCCTCCTAATGTGAGCTGTCCAGGCTAAAAATTTATAACTGCGCTTTCATTGACAGAGCTGTTTACATAAGAAGATAAAATGAACTTGAATGGCATTCAGTTTGGAAACAGCATCAGTATGATGAATTTGACCCCATCCTGTACCCTGTTTATCTGGGATTTCTTATCGTTTTCTGAGGAATTCAGACAACGCGTATCAAGGCCATGAAAATGTTTGTTTTTGTACATGCATCTACCACCGAGCGCCACTTTGCACTTTGTATTTCTGTGTTTTTTTTCCCCCCAGTGTCACAACACAGTACGCCAAAGCTGGCATGGTCGGAGAGTATGGACTTCAGTGACACACAAACGTACGCTGTGAGGGATCTGAGGGGTTTCAAGAGATTCCTCAGTCAGGGACTTCAGCTCAGAATTGAGTTGGAGAAGGTATAGACAATGAGGTTTGGAAAGAGGGGGGTCGACATTTGTATTCAGAATATTTAGTAAGACTTATATTTTGGGATTTTAAATTCAAGGTCTTGTCATGGCCTGCACCTTCAGAGGACTCCATAGCGACCAAACCAAACCAAACTGCAAAAGAGAAGAAAAGCGGGAAAGGAAAAGAAGTAAGCTTATCTTCAACCCCACCTACCCACCCACCCACCCACCCTACCCCCTTAATCATCAAGTACACTCCTTAACATCCTTTATCAGTTTTCCTGAGGGGAAGCTCCCACCTAAATTACTCAAATCTTAACTGGACCCTGCAATCAAGTTTGATTTGTATTTCACTTTTAAGCTTCACAACTCTGTCCTGTGTGTTTCCTAATCGTTAGCTTGTGCAGTGATTGCATAAAACCTCTTCACAGTGTTCTGCCTTTTTTCACTTAGATAGTCGTTATTACTTCTACAGAGTCTCAGACTTTGGCAATATCCCAAAGTTACCAGCTTAACTCCCTGCACAGAGTTGAAGAGTTTACTCTGGTTATTTTCTGTAGACTGAGGTGACCGGATTTCTGTCATGAAGATACGAGGTAACTGTTGTTCTAGTCTACATCACAGACTGTGTATCCTATGGACAACTTGCAGGGGGGAAAAATGTATGTTCTGTGTGATAAATTTCTAAGGTTTGTCCACATCTTCATAAGCTTTGCTGGCAGGGACGGGATTTATGACCTATACTGCAGCCCGTCACCAGAGGGTGCTGTTCTCAGGGTGGCTTTACCCAGCAAGGGGGAAGACGGCGTCCATTCTATCTACATGCCAATTTTTTTTTCTCATTCATGAAACGCTTAAATCGGGGACATTTCCAGAGACAGTTTTAGGCAGGGATCGGGAACGTCTGGTCACCTTACTGTAGACTCAACACAAACGATAATTTCTGTCTCGTGGCTCATCTGTGGAAATAAAAGAATGCAAATAAAAAAGCCACAACAGAATTGAGCTGCTGGGAATCACCACATGAATGACTCCCACTAGCTGCAGGCTAGGCTGTGCAACCCTGAATGGGATAAGAGGAATAGATATGATAACAGATGGTAGTGATACATGAACAGGTAGATGGATGGTTTAAATTGGAATAAGCTGAGGCTAATTTTACAAACTCCCACAATGTGTCTTTTTTAGTTGATACTCTGCTCGAATATTTTCTAAATGATTTCTCCTTTCATGTCCTCAGACCCTCAAATCTGGCTTTACCAAAGATAAGCCGAAAGACAAAAAGAAGAAACCGGCTCAGGAGCTGGTCCAGGATGCTCCGATCACAAGAGTCCTGGCATCTGTCCACGTCCCCCTACAAAACCTGCTCAGAGGAAGTCACAGGATTGATGCCGTCTGTGACTTTGGTGTTCTTTGCACAGAGCCTGTGGTGGGAGCGACTCCAACATGTGAGAAGGCGAGTTTACCGGCCAAACAGGCTTTTCAAGAGCGGGAGGGAGGGTAGGAAACAGGCAGCATCTTTTAATAGTTTTGTTTGGGTTTCCAGGATCAGGGAAAGACCATGAAGGAGAAGGGATCGAAGCAAAGAGGAGGCAGCGGGACCAGACGGAAGAATTCAGCAGCTTCAAAAGGTTCAGTATTCATCTAGAGAACACAGGCAATCCCTCTTCCGACTGTCTCTGAGGTTATTTATTCAAAGTTATGGTAATGATGACTGTAAACTGGGAATGTAATAATTAAAACCCAATATAATGTTCTGATTTATCAGTCACTGCAATCCTTTTTATCGTCTGCTCAAAATCCGGGATCCTGTCTGTTATTGTCCTCTCTAGGCAAAGGAAAGGAAAAAGCCAAAAATGAGGTGGATGTTCACAAAGATTCCAAAGACTCTGTGGAACCAGATCCATTGACTGTGGAGCTGAGAGTGGAGCTGGAGAAATGGCAGTCTGTATCTGAAGCTCAGAGAGTTCTGGTCTCAGACGTAAACTCCTGAACTGGCTCTGTCAGACTGTCAGTAAACTCCGTCTTTTCACGTTTCTTTAACTGAGTTTGGTCTTCAAAGAGAAGTGAATACAGAGATATTTTTTTTAATTTATACATAAATTCCTTTATTTCTTTACAGATATTCAAAACATTTTAAAAGAATGCCTTATTTTTCAATAATTCCTTACAGAAATGGTCTTTTGATTGCAAAGAAACTTTAGAAAGGCCCTTTTACTGGAACTGAGAGGTTACAGAAAGTGTGAAGTGCTTCAATTCTCACCAATCATCCAGCACTTCCTTCAGGTAGACCATAAAAAATCGTTCTCTTACAGCCAAATAGCCCTGGGTTTCATTCCCCTCTTATTACCCCTCACAAAATGATGCACGTACTATCAAACCGTAGAGTACATAGTATTTCCAGACTTAAAAAAATAAACTATAGCTTACCTTTTTTTGCGCAAACTGACATTGGTTTTTCACTGGATTCATTTACAATTTGAAATAAACACCTTTTATGATACTATATTTTCTTTGTAGTCCCCCAACAAGCTGTGCAAACAATGTCAGGTTGTGATAAGTTTAAAGATCTGAAAAAGACGATCCCTTCCCCGATAATGATTCATCCACAAACAGAACCCCGACACTCACACAAACCCAGGATACCAAACCGTTTTCTTCCAAAGACATGTTCAATAACAAATATTGTCCACTGCTGTGTGTTTGTTTCGCCTGGATGGCAGAGTTGAGTTTGGAAAGAGATGGTGAGGAGACTGTTCTCCTGTAAGAGCGCTTAAGGACTGGCGTGTACGATAAAGATGCTTGGCAAAAACAAGCACATCAAACGCGCACACAAAAACCAAAACCCTAAAAACACCGCTTGATGGAAACATGATGTGCAAATATATTGATTGTGCGAGCGAGGGTGGAATAAAAAGGCTTTAGAAGGTCTGGTCGTCGTTGCAGGTGTCCGTCCAGTGGCCGAAGACCTCACAGATGTCGCAGTAGGGCCGTTCTTCGCCCTTGGTGCCGTGGTACGTGGTGTGTGGAGGGGAGTCGGACATCTGTGTTTGTGTGGGACAGTCCTCGGTGTCATGGAGGTCGAAACAGTCGCAGATATCGCAGAACAGCCGCGGGGGGAGCTTCTTCTTCCCGGATTCTTTGTCGTGGCTGCAGAAAAATGAAAGAAGCTCCATGTAAGCGTGACTATCCAGTGACACAGGAGGCCTGGGGAGGTCTGTTGTAAACAGGACTTACTTGTCATAATTATCCATCTCACTTGGACTATTGCCATTGAGAGCAGCAGCGGCCATTTTTTCCAGTTTGTCGCTCAAGTCCTTGTTCTTCCTCTGGAGATCGACGATGACTGAATTCAGGAAATCGATCTGTACAGCACATAAAAAAACAAGCGTGAGTGTGGCTTATGATGTGTGGTCCATTATCTATCAACACAGTTTCCTGCTCAGCACTTATAATAATAGAAGCTGGTGTTATTTACTGTAGCGTGCATGTGTGCTCTGCCTCTGTGCTGTGACATGAACCACAAACAAAAGTGACTCTGCTGCTATATCCCTGAAATAAGTTAAAGGTGGAGTAGGCAGGAATCTGTTAAAGAAGCATCTTTATTTTGTGGTGTAATTACAAAAAAGCTTTTAATATCAGTCTTTAGCTATTAGTGATGACATTTGGGAATATATCACTGTGTTTTGTTATGTCGGTGTACTCAACATTTTGATTTTTTTGAGCAGCCCGCTCTTTCTGACGTCCTCGAATAATGTTCACGAGCCCAAATAATGTTAGCGTGCTACAATATCGGACAGTAGAAACCAACCAGAAAGTTCGGAAAATTGTCTGAATCTGTTTTTGGCCACGACTGCCAACACAGGAGGCCTTAAAACTGAGGTAGACCAGTCAAGAGCTAAGAAGCCGGATCAACAATGATGGGGGAAGCTTCGGGATCTTATGGACCCTGTAACCTTTCTGCTGGACAGGTAAACCGCTTTAACAAAGTAAAAGTGTCTGTAACAGAAGTGTTTCTTGTCAAACGGACCTGCTGTAGCGTGTTGTAGCGCCACTAAACTGTCTCTCTCGGGTCCTGGACTATGTCACTTCATCCTAGTTGTAGAAGTCCTGCAAACATTGTGTTTGCTGGTAGTCTGTTGGCATCTACAGTAGCACCAATGCTTTTCACTTTCACCTTGACTGGGCCCCGTTTGTAATTATCTGAAGTATTTATCTGCATTATATCTGAATTTAATTGGAACGATACGAGCGAGCAGGAGCGTCTGTTTGTGGGCGGGGCTAACTGGCTGGGAGGGGTAGAGTTTACATTCGAGATTTCTCCCCAAAACTGGCACTTCCTCAGATCCTGCTAACCCCACCTTTAAGCCACTCCTGACTGACACGGTGAACTGTTAGTGAGGCGTTAGCCAAAGAAAAACCAGAGCTTGAAATTTATCACAAGTAGGTTCAGTAAGTAGATGTGCTGTCTACTCGGCAACTACATCAACCTTAGTTTCCCTTTTTTTTCAGGAGAGATAGATCAAGCTTGATTTGTCTTTGGAGGACAGTATTTTTCTAAAATGTGAACTACGGAACAAAACAGTGGCAGTGAGAGACAAACATGCACAAGTGAAGCTGATGAAAAACATGAACAAACCGCTGCCTGATGGTGGTGTAGCATTGCCAACATCAGAGACAGGGCAGAGGAGAGGAGAAGAAAAAAGAAAAAAATGAGATTTAAATTAGGACCTCCTCCTACTGCCAGACAACACAGTCAAGTCATCACTGACACAGAGCATACAGTATAACATTTTAGAATAAAGAGAGACTGGAGGATAGGAGGAGGAGGAGGAAAGCTAATGACACACACTCTGACATCTCCACCACTGCGGGGGGGAACACTCGATCGGTAAAAACGGGATACTGATCGATTCGAGAAGAGCTGAAGTGGAGATTCCTTTTAATCTTGTGATTCACCTCCGTCAAAACATTATACTGTAAAAGCCACACAAGTCATCAGTTAACTGCTACATCAGAAGTACTTGTTAGTATAAGTCTGAGTGAGCAGCACAGTCATTTCACAAACAGCATTCAGTAAGGCTGTTTCCATACCACTTCCCGCTTTTCATTACAAACATGAACGAGGTGTTGTGTACAATGGGAAAACTCTCAGAGCAGAGGTAGGGAAAGAGTCTTTACGCTGAATGTATGAATGAGAAAACCTGTTTTTAGCCTGTTTGTTATAAAATGAGAGGAAAGATACACAAACCTGACTCTCTGCTGTCTCCTTATCCTCCCTTAGTTGGTCCAAAACTGCATCACCTTGGAAAGAAAATCAGATACCAGAGTAGAAAGGTGATCGTTTTAATTTTAAAGTCGCTTTACAAACAAATCACCTGTATTTATCGCAGAAATATTAATGTCTGAGTCTTACCTGAAGACTGAGTGATGGTGTCTGGCCCTGTGGTCAGGTCCTTCTCCAGTCTCTTCACTCGCTCCTGTAGGTCGCCCTTGTCCCGCTCTAACGCCTGGATTGTACCCTGCAGTGTCTTAACTGAGGCACTTTCGCCACGCAGTGCAGCAAGCTGACAAGACCACAACGAATACGATATTTCTCCAATGAAATTTTACACTTCGCTTTTAAAATATTAATTTAATACTGGGAGAAATATCACACACTAACATGAGAATAGCAGCAATAGAAGTAAAAAAAGTTTTGATAGTTGGAAGTCACAGTGTGTTTGTCTAAAGGCTTGTCGATGTCGTCTCACTTTGTAGCCTGCTTGGATTTATTTCCTGTTAGCTTTAGACTTAGGACAGCACACACTGCCGATGACAGATTCACTCTTACCTCGCTCTTCAGGTTTTCCACCTGGTGGTCCTTTTCTGAAACTAAGGCACTGTTTTTGTGGATGGACTGTTGGAGGGCGGCCTTCTCCTTGTCAAACTGCTCCTTCAAGGTGCTCTCACTGTCATAAACACAACACGCTTTAAGCCACTTTAAGAAATTGATACTTTTTTTGTTGTTTTCAAAAACATGCATGCAATACCAGCAAAAGAAACACTTTATAAATCACTGTAGACGTATAACGAAGCAGGTTTAGTTTCATATTCTACTTCAAACCTGTTTAACGTCTGCCCTAACTTGTTCCTAATTCTGTGCTAACTTTTCTTTCTTAAATATATTGGTACAACATGAAAATAACAGACATCAGAGGAGAGGCGAGAGGTACCTGAAGGCATTATGTGGCAGGCTTTGAGGGGAAAAAGCAGCATGTCATACCATGTACGTCACAATAGCATTGCACTGTTTATTTACTATCATCGCACAGGCTTGAGCATTTCCCCTTTTATGACAACACACCTCCAAATAGTCGTGATACTGCTGAGAAAACTCATACATCTCAGGTGATTCTTCGTTCTTACCTTTGCTTCATCTCTTTCAGCTGTTTCTTAAGTTTGGAGTGTTCATCTTTGAGCTGGGAAAAGAACAGTGAACACAGTTACGGTGAGATGATCATTTGCTAAAACACAAAATCATGACTTCACAAAAAAGACTAATTATTGCACCTTGACAACATCACTCTGGCCTTTGTGTTTCTTATCAAGCTCTTGCGTCAGCTTGCTGTTCTCATCTTGCAGCGTTTGGAGCGACTGCGCCTTCGTGGAAACGGCCTCTTTGAGCTCCTCACTGAATATACACAGAATTCAGTCACGACAAAACAATCAGAATCACATGGATAGTATCTGCTAGATTTTAAAAAAGTCTCTTTCCCCTCTCTTATGCTTTTGGATCTAGATTTTATAATTAGATCATCCTATTTAAACAGAAAACAATCCGATACATCAACAGACGAGGACGTAGGATGAACTCACATTTCCTGGCTGAGGGTCTTGGTCCTCTGAGTTTCTGTGCAAAGCTGCTCCTTTGATACTTTCAGATCATCCTGGTACTTCGACTTTTCTTCCTTCAATTTTTTTAGCTATACCAAAAATGACATTTATTAGTCATAGAATCTCATCATATATCATTTCTCTATAATAGAGTGTGTAATGAGAAAAGCGACACTGCTGGTTGACACTGGCACTTCTTACCTGAGTCTCCACCTCCTGTTTGGAGCTCTGGAGCTCCTTCACCAATGATTGAGCTTCATTCTTCTCCTGCATCAAAGTGGCTTTCTCTTTCGTCAGCTGTTCAAGAGCCTCAGCAGTCTTGCCGGAGGCCTCTAAAGCCTAAATGATGCGAGGGCAGAAGATTTGTTCAGAACAAAAGCTTCCCATTAAAAGGATAAGAGTGAATATCATCGAGTGTGAATATTTTTAGGTAGAAAATAACTATTCAGAGTGCAGGATTTGACCTAAACTAATGATCTCATTTGAATATTATTCAATAAATTACTAACATGCTTCATAAGAGCCATTAAATTACTGATTTAGACTCAAGTTTTTAAACCTGAGCTCATTATTCTTTTTTTTACTCTGAGAATTACCAAATTAAAACTGAAGAGGGGAAAAAAAGAGTGTTATCACTACGATACTCTACAGCCTGTGGCCTCAGAACGGATACTGATCATCCTGGAAAAAACTACAAGAAATGTTTGGTCGTTCTTTTTGTAGGCTGTTTATGTGGGACCTTCTCAAAGTTAAATAATAATTCAAAGCTTTTTTGTTGTTGTTGTTCTTTCATAATCCCAGAAAGCTGCTCTGTACCAAAACATTTTACCATCTCTGTTCATGAAATTGAAATCTTCAGGTAGTTCAAAGATGATCTACATCTCTGAAACTCCAAAACTGGAATGAATGACATTATCTGGAGATTATTTAGGATAGAATCTATAAAGCAGAAAGTTCAGAACAATTTCTGAGAAGTTCCCACATCATTAACTTGTGCAATAATTTATTCCTAGATCACGTTATAAGCCCACAGGCACAGGCTGGGAGCTAAGGAGTGTTATAACAGCTGTTAGTGAATGGAAGATGAAAGTGAGACACGAAAACCAAAAGGCAAAGGAAGAGGGAGACAAACAAGCAACATGCAGTGAGTAGGAGAAATAGCCCCAGCCACTCTAAGGTGCTGTATGTGCGTCAGTGATCACTACTGGGGGAGGAATACCTCAAGCTGCTTAGAAATGGCATTTTTGAGTTGGCTGTCAAGCTGCCTGACTTGCTGGGTAGCTTCATCTCTCTCCGCCTGCAGGACATCCTTCTGGGCTGTCAGGTTTGAGATACTGGTGGAAATCTCTTCCTTCGCAACAGCAGATGCTGAAACCTGTGCCACCGCAGTTTTGTACTGCTTTTCTAAAAGCTCTTTATCAGTTTGTAGAGCCTTGATATCAACCTCAAGTTGTTTCTGACTGGTGTGCAACTTCTCTATCTCTCCCAGGAGCTTTGTTTGTTCTAAGAGCCAAGTATCTCGGCTTGTGTGGAGGGAGGAAATTTCCTGCTCCAATTTACAGCGTCCAGCTAAGAGGTCATCCTTCTCTGTGGTCAGGGCACTCCTCTGTTTGTCCAGATTTTCAAGTTTAGACGATAACTGTTCTTTTTCTTCTCTTAAATGATGGCCGGCTTGTTCTTGCTCCTTCAGCTGCACTCTCAACGCCTCCATATCTCCCATCAAAGACTTCTTTTGCTCATCGGCGTTCTTAAGGTTGGAGGAAATCTCTTTATTTTCTTGGTTGACGGTGGACAACTTTTTCTCCAGCTCCTCGATTTGTTTGGAGAGGCTATCCTTGTCAGACATTACTTTGCTCCTTTCACCGGATTCAGCCTGTAACTGTGACTCGAGGAGGAGCTTGGCCTTTGACTCTGATTCAGCCTGACCCTTTAACTCCTGGATCTCCTGAAGCAGGGCGTGGTTCTCTTTCATCAAGGACTGCACTTTTTTGTTCGCCTCGGTCTGCGACGATTGTAACCGCTCACAGTCTTTCGTCAGGTCACCAACCTTCTGAACGAGTTCTGAATTAGACTTCTCTAAATCTGTTTTCTGCTTACTTTGCTCTTGAGCGAGTTCGGTTTTGCCTTTTTCGAGAATCTGAATATCAGACTTTTGTTTCTGCAGTTCATTTTGGAGGTCCAGCTTTTCTTGTTTCAGAGAAGTGATCATTGCTTCAGTTTCATTTTTCTGTCGTTTCGTTTCCTCGAGTTTTGACGTTAAGTCAGACTTTTCTTGAGTGCTGACAGCATTAGCTTTGGAGAAACTGTCCAACTGATCTTTCATTGTTCGGATATCGCTTGCTAGCTTATCTCGCTCCAGAGAAAGAGCATTTTTCTCTGATATGGTTTTCGTTTGCTTCTCTTCTAATTCTCCTTTCTCTCCCACCAAACGCTCATAATCCATCTTCTGCTGCTCGAGTGCTGAATCCAGACTCATCTTTTCTTTTCTCACAGTATGAAGAGCCATCTCTGTTTCAGAATTCTGCAGGAGAAATGTCTTCTTCTCTTGCTCAAAAGATGACTGTGCTTCTTTGAATTTTTCGTTGGACTGAGAGAACTGTTCTTTCGTGGTTTGGAGCTTCTCCTTTAATTCTCCCACTTCTCTGAGGAGCTCTTCCTTCTCACTACAGACTTTTCTCTGGGTGGCCAGAAGGTCCTCTTTCTCCTGCAGAAGGTGAAGCCTCTCTGAATCAGTCACCTGACTGCTTGTCTTGAACTCCTCCAGCATCTGGGCCAGGCTCAGTTTAGAGGCTTTAAGTTCTTCACATTCACGGACTGAGTTTTCTAAATCTTTTTTAGTGGTACTGAGTTTATTCTGGAGCTCCTCCTTTGCTGTCTTAAGGTTCTCTTTATCCAACGCAGCAGCGGTGATTTCCTGGGACATCTCGGACTTCTCTTTCGTCAATGTTTCGGTGAGGGCCTGCAGCTGGGTGTTCTTCATTGTGAGATCTTCTTTTTCTAAGTTGGAGGTTTTGAGTTTTGCCTGTAACTCAGTGTTCTTTGCATCCAGAGATTTTTTTGCGTTTCTTGCAGAATCTCGCTCTAAAATGAGATTGTCTTTCTCACACGTGAGCTTTGACTTCATTTCTTTGAGATCTTCTTCGAGGCGGGTCCTCTCTGTACAAGAGTTTTCATAACTTTCCAGTAGTTCCTTATTTTTTGCTTCAACTTGTTGGATGTCCTGTTGATGCTTTAGCAGTGAGTCTTCTAGCTTAGCACTCTTGCTTTGAAGCTTCTCGATTTGGGCCTGGTGTTCAACTTCATTATGTTTCAGTTTTTTGTTTTCATCTAGGACTTCTTCATGACTATCTCTGAGCTTTCCCAGCTGCTTGTTCAATGACATAGTTTCTTCATCTGATTGTTTTTTGTTGTGAAGTAGTTCCTCTTGAGTTTTTGAAAGCTTATCTCTGGTTATTAGCAGTTCCTCGTTCTGGACTGACAGCTCCTGGTGACTTATTTCAAGGTCAGAGAGCTTAGTCTGCAAAGCTGAACGCTGTTTCTTGAGATCCTCTTTCTCAGCCTCGACAGCCTTAATCTCCTTACTATACTTTTCCAGATCTAGACTCTGGTTTTCCACTTTTTTGCGCAAATTTTCAACATCATGCTTGGAGGAGTCAAGCTCAGCAGAAAGTCGCTGGGAAAATAAAGATGAAAGAAAAAAAGGAGAGAGGGGGTAGGGGGGCATAGATACAGGTAACAGTAAGATGAATCCAAAAACAAACCGAGTGGATATATGAACAAAAGTGGTATGCAATTGGAAAGGTTAAGCTGCAGGAAAAAAAAGCTCAAAATGGCAAAAGATTACTCGGAAATGATTTTCAAAAATATGAGAGGTAGAACATTTTCACTCCAGCTCCTGAATTTTTACTAGAACATGGGAAAAACGCGCTTTAAAATAGCACTTCGATTTGTGTAAGGCACAGTTGTAGATTACTTATCAAATATGAATTATCAATTATCAATTATGAAAATTAACACAGTGTATGCATAATTGTGATTTTGAATTTTTAACAATCAAAAATAATGGGTGTTCTGAATTGGGTAATTTTTGTCAATTATCATGATTATAAAATCCAAAAACAGTACTTCTGTCAGAAAGTGAAAATGTTCTGCTTTAATTAAATATGAGGCTAATAAAAATGAGAGCAGGGGCAAAAATCAGTTTCAGTTTTGGTTAAAGCAATCTGAAAAAATACTTAACCATTAGCTAAACATGCACTAAATCACTGTGAAATCAACCCAGTGTAATTACACTCCAATGAGTGACTGGATGACAACTAGTTTCAATCTGTAGACAATTTCTTTATTTTTGGAATCATTATAAATTGCCCTTAAGTTAATCTTTGAAATGATTTTGCCAGTTACATCCCTGCAAGCAGAAAGCCCACAGCACCGAACAGATGAAGATCAGATGAAAATGAGAAAAAAAAAAAGCTTAGGAGCCTCATTGTCAAGGAGGGAAGAGGAGCAACAAATGAAAATGTTGAGGATCACAGGGTTCAGGGTTCAGTTTCTGGTAGTGATATATGTTCATACAAAGTCCAAAAAATTTTCCTGCAAAGCTTTATTCTTGTTCTGGTGTTTAACACTGGCACAATAACACCTCTCATGATGTTTAAAGTTATCAAAATTTCATCTAAATAAAAGGACAGATCAGAATGCTTGAGTGGTAATACATAACCTTTGGACGATACACATGTTCCTCTCAGAAAGGTTTAAACATTTTGATTCTGCACCTTTGAGGGGGTTTGTGCTTACCTGAGCTTGTTCCTTGTACGGCTGCAGCTCAGATACCAACTTCTCCAGCTCCTGGGTTTTATCCTTTGAGGAAGTGAGCTCCTGTTTCAACTTATCAACCTGACTGTTCAGCACCTCGAGCTCCTTCACATGGAGATCTGAGGCATCAGAGATGGATTTTTCATGTGAGCTCTTCAGCTCCTCGATGCTAGTCTGACCCTGCTTGACAGTCTTCTCCTACAAAGCAGAAAACAAAGACCACATTCAAATATTAATCTACCTCTGAAATCACAGCTAAACCGCACAGCACAGTCACCCAGCTATTCCAATTTTCCTGTTTGTAAAAGGTTTTCCATGTTTACAATTAAGTTCATTCTTCTTCTTGCACAAAATAACAGGTTGTGGAGTGTTGCCCTTTGATACCAACCAAACTAGCAATCTTCTCCTGAAGGCTGTTTATTTGAGTCTGATGTGTATCTTTAGTTTCTTTCAGCTCTTGCTCCTTGCGGGATTGTTCCTGCTGGACTTGTTCATTCAAGTGCGCCACTTTCTCCTTCTCCTCTGTAAGTTGATTCTGCAACTCCTCAAGCCTCCTGTGTGAAGATCGAAAAAAACTCAAATTATGTGTGAAGGGACTTGTTTAAACTGACAGGTTAGGTTAGTGAGAAACAAATGGACTTTTTTCATATAATGTCCCAACAAGATGTATCCAAGACTGACAGTTTTTTTAAGTCGAGTAATGTTCCAACATGGGTGTAAGGAAAAGCCGAGTGTGGTACCTCTCTTTATGCTTGAGGTCTTCATTCATTTTGGTCAGCTGCACTGAACTATCACCTGAGGCCTTCATCATGTCTGAAATATCATTCTCCAGCTTGGTTTTGTCCTTGGAAAGTTGTTCGAGCTTTTCATCGGCAACCTTCAGTTTCCTTTCCAGCCCTATATAAAATAAAGGACAATAATACGACAATCAAAAACACTGCTAACTCTGAGGGGAAAAAGTTCAACACAGAAAATACAGCTCAATGTTCTCACCAGAGAGCTGGCTCTTTAGAGACTCTGATTCTGTGGTCAGGGATGTGCACTGCTCCTCTTTCTTACTGAGCTTCTCAAGTGTTTCTGCGAGACAAAGACTCAACATTTTAGATCCCTGGAGAATCGATTTGATAAAAAAAGCAGACAATACTAATTTGTCTTACTATTTCTCTTTCATTTACCTTGCATAGTTTTTGATGAACTCGTCTGCTGCTCTGTGATTTCAGCCAGCTTTTGTTTCTGTGGGGAAACAATCAGTTACTTCACTTCCAGTTTATAAATACTACATTATGATCATCTGCAATTCAACAGAAAGCCTCACCAAGCCTCCCAGCTCTTGTCCCAGGGTGTCCTTCTCCTGCTGTACAGTGGTAAGACTCTGCTGTGAAGAGAGCACTTCTTGCTGTTTGCTCTCCAACTGAGAAATCAATTCACTGACCTGTATCACATGTCAAATAAAACATACAGTGAATGAAACAGAAAAGACGTGTGCACATCTGAATATTTGTGAAATTATGGGTGATTTTTCTGGCAATTCAATGCAACAATATCAAAAGACAGACACACACCAACCCTCTAAAAGTAAAGGTGAAGTCTTCAAAAAGGAAAATAAAAACCCACCTTGACATCCTGGCTCTTTCCTTCGCTGTGAACCACGTCTAACTGACTCTTCAGGGCCTGGATCTCCTGGTTACCTTGTGCTACTTGGTTGCGCAGAGCGACAACTTCCGCCATCTTCTCTTTGGTTTCGCTCTCCTTGTCTTGGGCTTGCTGTGCTAATGTTGCTTCTTTCTCTTCAAGCTCCTTAACTCTCAGTTCTGCTGTGTGAAGCTTTCCAAGAACATCCTCCATCTCCACAAGGTGCTGCTCCTCTACTTTCTCGACACTAGACCTCAGTGACTCCTCCAGCCGCTCCTTGTCCTCAGTCAAAGACGAGAGCTGTGTCTTTAGGGTCTGCCTTTCTTGAGTCCAATTAGACTTATCAGCTTCATGTTTGGCTGCAGCGTCCTCTAAAGCCAAATTGTGCTCTAACTTCAGCCTCTCTAATGCACTTTTGGTTTCTACAAGTTCCTCCGCCTGGGCACCTGCACCTTTGCTGAAGGACAGCTTCAGTTCCTCCATAGCTTGCTGGTGAGAGGCAACAGCAGATTCTAACTTGGACCGCCACTGCTCAATACTTTCAGCATTCTCCTTCTCAGCTTGGCTTATGCGCATCTGCAACTGCTCATTGTCACCGGAGATCTTCACAGATGTCGCCTGAATTTGGGCGACTGTCTCAGTGTGGCTCTTTTCTTGAGCCTCGAGCTTTTCTTTGTACTTCACCAGTTCTTCTTGCTGCTTCGCTTCTTGAGAAGCCAGCTGATCCCTAAGAGAGTTTATCTCTTCCAGAAGAGGAGAAAGAGCTGAGTTTGAGTCCTCAGAGCCCTGCTGGGTCCCGAGCCGAAGTTGCAGGTCAGCTACTTCTCTTTTCCGAAGTGAAAGGTCCCTCTCGAGCTCCATTATGCGGGATTTTTCGGACACAGTAGCAACCTTTAAAAGCAGAAATCTTATTTGGACAAAGGAGTTCACATTTGAAAGAAACAACCCTCTACATGCTAACACAAGTGTCACATTCTTACTCAGACTTTACAAATATAAATCTGATTGGTGCACTGCAGCAATTGATAACAAAGCACATGATTATAACACTGTGTTGTTTTTGGACTAATTAATGGTTCAATTGGTTTGTTAAATAAAGAGGGCACATGACCACTGATTCTACCATCAAGGTGTTACACTGACCTCTTGTGGTTACGTCGAATATGATCCAAATAACAGAAGCAAACTCTCAGCATGTCTGAAGCTATAAGCACTGTGTTCGACATTTTCCAACATCTTATATCCTCACACTTATAACCTATAAATATTGATTTGATATTAATCACTGGAATAAGGTGCGGTATGAACTCAGGAAAACTCTCAGGACTACTATCCTATTGATCCAACTTAGCCTCGAATAAGTCCTTGTTATCCATATTTAAATATGTCCACTGCATTTAATATTTACCTTTTGCTACTACGACTTTACATTTTACTGCTTAGTTAGGACAGGTCAATCATTTCATCTACATCAATATTTTCTTAGATAATAAACGAACATGAACAAACTATTGTACAAAAGAATTATAGTTATCCTAATATCCTGTGAAGCTGTAAAACCCTGAGGGGAAACAAGGCGTAGAGGTCTGGGAGGTGGAGCAGATTTTAAGACTGGCAAGACGCAGGGACACCAAATAAGCAGGACAAATGGATGCTGGGAGGGACTGGGGGAGTAGAACATAGGATAACTGAGTGGATGATTAGCTGGGACGGAGGAGAAGTGTGTCTGTCTGGTTAAGCAGCGATACTGTTAAAGCAAGAGTGAGTTCAGATTTGGTCTTTTCTGGTAAAATAATGTGAGTAAAAGAGTTACGTGTCAATAAGCTGATGTTTTTTTAGTAACAGCTTAATATGGGGAAAGACAGGATTTCAGAAAAAAAGAAACTAAAATCAACTGTAGCCAAAGTCTCAAACTGTGACGCTAAACTTTCAAATATTTACATATGATGGGATGCACTGATTTAAGCATTAAACAAGTTAAGTATGTGTGTTAGTTTATTTTTTTGGAAGTAGTGCTCTCTTATGTTGGGCCCTAGAAAGTTCAATGTTGGGGTTCATTAACTGAAAGCCCAAACAAAGCAATAGATCCATTTACTGCTTGACACCTCTCTGCACCCTTGTTTCCATTTTTTGGCCACCATCCCAGGCCCAGGCCCTCTTTCCCAGCAGCACACTGCAGAGCAGAAATCATTACCCTAGTGTCTTCTAACTCTCTTTGGAGTTTCTCAGCTTTGGTCTTTTCAAAGAGCAGGCTCTGTTCAAGCTCCTTAATGTGGGCATGCTCCAGTCTGGTCTGCGTCTGTTAGTAAACAAGGGGGAGAGGAAGAGAACACACCAGTGCCACCATCACATGCCAGCCCAACACAGACAGAGAGGGAAGGAGGACACAGAAGAGAGGGTGGATGGGATTGGACAATGGAAGTTGTGACATGTATGTATAAGTGTGTGTATGGATGCGTCCTTGTGTATGGATACTTGAGGTACTGAGTGGGATGAGGGAAAAGATGGATAAGTGGAAATGGGATGAAACCCCATGCAGAGATCTCAGGCTGTGCCATCAACAGCTGCACACTGGGGAGTAGGTGGGAGAAGGGTGGAAAATACTGGACAAGCAGCAGCAGAGGGGGGGCATGTGTTGTGAATGTGAGTATGTTTAAAGAGGCAGTTTAAAAGTACCCATGCAAAATTCACACCGTGTCAACAAAGCACATTCATTGTTATGATACTTAGAAATCTTACAGTGTGTGTCAAGCCGGCAAGAGAGTTAATTCAAATGAGTTCACCATATCATGAGAAAGCAGTGATGGATGTTTCCTGAAACATATCTTTCAATCTGAGCTCTTAGTAATTCATCAAACAGAAGATATTCATCGTTAGGAATTTTTATGATTTGACAACAGAAATGGATTTGAAGATTAAAGCTTCGTGTATTTAATATTTCTTTCAGCTGAGCCATTATTATTTCTTGATGTTATAATTGTTCAACTTACAGAGCCAGATGCCTCATCAATACCCGCACTGCTTTCTCTCTTTGGGTAAGGCCATTGTCCACTTCGCATGTAGTCAGATATTATGAGTAACAACCAGTGATAGACCACCATGTGTAGGATTTGTGACCAACTTAACAGAACAGTCTTAACACACAAGCATCTCCAGATCAAGAAACAGAGAGGTTCCCCTTTGACTCCTTGTTGGGCATGTGATGAACAAGGTTTGAAGCATTTTGAGGTTTATTCTAAAAAAGGAAATAGCACCAATTTTGTATGCTATGTCAAGGCCCATTTCTTGTCACACAACATTAATCTTCCATGGGCAGAACTGAAGTTGTCTAACTAAGTGACTGGTATAATACATTAAAAGTTAAGAATAAAGGTAATGAAGTTCATTTTCTAGATACTTTAGATGAAAGAAAAAATTCCATGAATCCATTGTTCAAGATAAATGGAGTGTGTCTAAACTATGTTACAGCCGAGCGCGTCTACCTTTGTATCTAACTCCAGTTAAGTTCTTTATCTGAGTTTTTTCCCCTTAGCTGATAGGGAACACTGAAAACAGGTCTGTGACTGGGCAGTGAAATGACAAGGGAGCATCTCCAGTGGTTCCATGCTGAGCACTGGACCAACATGAAAGACGAGGACGAGAAGGAAGAAGAAGCAATAACATCACATCACTTAACAGGGAGGCACTGAGGGTTATAGCACATCATTAGTTCACCTTCAACAGCTGGAGTCAAACAAGCTTTTTGATTCTGGCCTATTCAGATTTTTTGTTGTTACTGTATTTTGAGCTGCATGCAAGTTTTTAATCCACAGCAGTGAGTTAAAAATAATCTGTTAGTTTACAAGTTAAAAAAAAGAAGATAAGGGGATATTCTAACCCTGTAGCCCTCATTTTTAAACATCTATTTTGAGCTTGGACACCTTCAGGGCAATTGAGATGATCCCTGTGTAGAACTGTGGAATAAATGACAAATCCTCCATCAGATATGAACATAGAAACCACTATGTGCCAACACTTTGCATTTCATAGCCGGGGAAAAATACATGACTCACCAGAAGAAAAATAAAGAGCCTACAGTGAAATACTGCAGCACAATAATGTGGAAAAGAAAGTGCTGACTGTCTTCACGAAGCCTCAAGCTCTAATGTCCTCACAAAAGATCATCAGTTTTTTCTAAATATCTTAACATGAATAACAAATATGTTTTGTGAACAGTCCCTTTGACTAATAAATTACATATCTACATTTAACCTTTAACTGGTTTATTCTTATGTGTCCATTTCTGGTTTGGACATGGCCTGGCGTAGTCATTGAAGGCTCAGTTGTTGGTGCAGCTCTGGGTGCATTTGGGAGCATATCAACTAATATGTGATGAAGCCAGGATCAAACTGCCCATGCAAACATGCCCTCTGAGACAGCACAGGGGTTTGGCTTCTACCGCTTCCAGTAAAAAGAGATAATGCAAATGATTTGTGTGGACTACACTGAGGCTCTCTGACCATAAATTTGACTGGACCTGCTCTGTCCTGCATTAAAAAAAAAGTAAATTCATTATTATTTAGATGTAAGGTGAGGTAACCCTGATAGCCTGACTGGAACACCTGCTACTTAAACTGATGTTAACTATGGGGTTCTAAATTCATTGGGAAAGTGCTTAAACTAATTCATGAAATACCAAAAAAAATGGAAATGTTTTATTTTCAATCTAATCACACACTGCTATAAACAAATCAGAAAATTGTTTGTAAGGAGCCGATCCTGTAAAAACTGCAATTTTTAATGGATCTTTGTCGTGATTTTACCTCCAGGTCTCCTTTGGTAATGCAAGCTTCCTCTACACGGAACTGAAGGTCCTCAACTTTCCTGTTAAACAGAATAAAACAACAATCTTTGGAGCTTTCTTGTTGTGGTCTCAACACATCTGGGGAGCAAACTGTGTTTAACTTTGATGATTGAGATTACAGTTAAGCCAGTTTATCCAAACAGCAATTACACGTTATATCCCACAAATACATTAAATTAATACGATAATAACCAGTGTGTCTTTGTCAAGTCCTTACCTTCGCTCCTCCTCCAGCTGGTTCAGCAGCTCTACTTTATCTCTGTCTGCAGCTTCTACCAAGGCACGTAAGTGGTCCATCTTAGTCTCCATCTTTCAAGAAAAGGACAAATTTTCATAAATAATCAATAAATGAAGGTTGATTTCAAGGGAACCTTATTGTGAAGATGATGCAATATCAAAAAGGCTGTTGTTACAAAACTCTAGCTAGACTGACTTGCTCCTGATCATCCCTGAGCAGGCCAATTTCTTGCTCCATCTCTCCCGCATGGCTTGTAGCCTTGGCGACCTCGGCTCTCTCCATGTCCCTCTCAGCCATTAGCTGCTCAATATGCTGCTGCTTTTCCTTTAGTGCCTCCTGCAGTGCTGTAGTGCCTGAAATCTTACGATTGTAGCGAGATGATGTCTCTGTTAACTAAGAGGAGACAGTGGAAAAGAAAGGTCAGGCTGGTGAGGGCACACAGAATTTGAGATCGATTTTCTTACGTTGCTGAAACTATGAGTGTGGAAGTCTTACCAGGCCTGTGCGGCTGGGCTTGGCACTGGCTGAGGATGTGACAGAGCTCATGGTACTGATGGAAGAGGCACTAGGGCTGCGCTTTAGCCCTGATGGCGTGGCCACCACTTTTCGAACCGTTGTTTTTGCTTTGGCTGGTGTAGTGGAAGGGAATCCAATGCGTGTGACTTTGTGCACCGGCGCAAACAAGCCATACTTAGGTTGGCACTGAAAATATCTGCAGACAGATAATGAAGTCAAAGTTTACATGTGGTTGACAGGAATAACAAGTCTTTGTTCACATCTATTTGCTTTCGTACCTTGTGCCTGCCACTGCTCCATCATTCTTTCCCAAGGGCTCATCTAATTCCACTCCACACCACTCGCCTTTAGCAAAATCTGTTTCCCCGAGGAAACGTACCACTCCAGCTTTTGTACCACCGACCTGTAAAGAAAACACAAAACATTAGCCAACATTTAATCTTCTCAACTGATGAGAGAGGCTGAAAGAGTAATCAGCTTTGCTTTGTAATAAACCCTAAGTGAGATAATTCCATCAAAGCAAAGGTAAAAGGCATCTATAGGCTTTTTGCTCTTTTACTTATGAGAAACGGAAAATGTTTTTTTTTTTTCAGATTGTTGTATAATTCCAATGTAAGGGTTCCTGCAGGGACTAAGCAACAACAGTGTGTGTGCAATGCCCTTACACAAGCTGAGCTCTCGTCCATGCAAGATTTAAGACTGATCCGAAATAGTAGAGTGGGTGTACAGCACCAGTCTACACCAAGTAAAGGTAAAGGAAACTGTGAAGGCATGAACTGTTCTTGGTAAAGCCTTTCATTCTGACTGAAAGGGACATTTGTGAGAAGATGTGCCGTTTGTTTTTGTGATTAGTGGTGTGTTTTGTCGGGGGCCTGGAAAGGACTTTCCTCAGACTATTTAGTCAATCTGTAGATCAGAGCTGTAAGAGGCGTATGCTGGATCTTCATGTGAAACAAATATGCTGCTCAGGGGTTTGCGGACAGTCATGTGATTGGTTAACCTAATGCAAAAGCATGCGGTGGATTAGGAAGAAAGCAAAGTGCCCACAAAGATTCAATCAATCCAGCAGGGTTACACACAGATGGTTACCGCACTCAACTGTTGACTAAAAGGTAGAGGTTTTGTGACATAAAGTGACCATGTTTTATGTGTTAATTACACAGGGTTTCATCAATTCTACAACTCCTAATCAAGGATTGTCTATGTGAATATCAACGGCACTGAGACACAACATTGAATCTGTAAGACTTGATTTAAATATTCAGGGTAGACAAAGAACAATTTTCTTCTTACCAATACTCGATCGCCCATCTTCAGCTCTCTCTCCCCCTTCTTCACTGAACCCGTCTCAGACAAGTTGGAAACAGATTCACTATTTGTGCGTGCGAGGTTAGAGGATGGTGTAGCCGGTGTAGTGGTTGTCGTGGAGGCCTTCTTGGCTGTGGTTGAGGGTAATGATGACTTTGCAGCAGGCGTGTGTGAGGCCACACTACCGACTGAGGGGGTGGGGGACGCGGCACGGGAGGGTGGTGCGGTTTGAGTTCCATTTGCCTCCCCTTCTGTGCGAGACAACTTGGATGGACGCGTAAAAATCCCCCGTAGTGCTTCACACTGGAAGTACCGCACCCCCGCGACAGAACCGTCATTTTTCCCGATTGCCTCATCTAGAACAATCCCTGCCCACTGTCCTGGGGCGAACTGTGTCTCTCCCAAAAACTGTATGTAGCCGGGCTTATTCCCATTCACCCAAACTCGCTCCCCAATCTGGAAGTTCTCCTCGCCACTCTGAGGATCTCCTCCACTGGCACTTGCAGCTGATTTGTCTGTCGCAGCCACTTTAGCCCCTGATGAAAAATAAGGGAGCAGGAAGAAGAAAGACTTAATCGAATACAACTCAAGTTTCACAAGAGTTAGGACACTATGCTAAATGTTTGTAAAAACAGAAACTGATGGTTTGAAAATAATTTAAAACATATGTTTAGTTAGAAGTAGTGCAACATATTCGCCAGCTAGCGTAAAGTGTAATTCCATGAGGAGTGTTTCCACATCCTAGATGGCCTTCAGAGGGGTGCCCCTGGAGGCCATTTGTGCAGCAGCCTCATGGGTGTCACCCAGTACTTTCTTGCAGTTTTTACATTGTAACCCCCCATCCTCTAGGAGTGGAGGTTTGTATTGGGATTCCCCCTGACTCTGTTGATATCCTCAAGCTCTGGTCATCCAATACTTTAAGTTCAGGAAGGATGAGATAGAGCTATGATGAGTCACCCGTGTAACGACGGTTCTTTGGATCCTGGATAACCGCCAGAGCATCCAGTCACTCGGGATCCACATGATGACAAGAGGACTGCTGGGGCAGATCGGGGGGATTTTTTTGTCTTGTTTTACAAAAACCTCCATTACCAGTTTTCTCTAAAGGTTAACAAAATCATGCAGTTTTAAAACCAGATCATACTAGTCGGGTAAATGTATTCACTAACTCTCTTAAAAAAGCGTGGAGTAAACAAACATTGAAAGGACTTGAAGTTTGTCAGTTCATACTACTTTTGAACATCTGTAAATCATCAGTCTGATTGACAATGGACGACTGTAAAAACTCTAACTATGGCATCAACAGCAAGCAGGCAAAATGTTGGTCTCTGTACTGACAAAAAAGAAGAAAGTGCAGTATGTCATGTCACAACCTAAGAAGCAGCCAAGGACCTGACTATGGTAAACATTCAGCATAAGTTGAGGAAACTTTGGAGATAGTTACCTGTGCTGGGGTTGGTCTTGGGCGCTGTTGTTCCAGGTGGTTTAGCTATTTTGCTGGGAGCTTTGATCCCAGTAGGCTTAGCTGTGCTCATGTTTCTTTCCTGTTATGTGTTCGACCCACAAGGTTTGTGTCCTAAAGTGGGTGCAGTCTGGTCCCAGACCATCAAAACAACTGGTTGAAACTCTGATGGAGAAGTTGTTCTCCCTGCGCCAAAATAAAATAAACTGGAAACAAAAAAACAAAAACAAAAACAAAACAAAAACAAAGAAAGGGAGAAGGGAGAAAAGGTGCAGCCCGCAAAAAGGACTCTGTATGGAGAGAGAAAAAGGAAAAGACACATTTAATTTTCACTCCGACACGTTTTTACTGAGCTGCACTTTCATAAATTAACTTTGCAAGCTACTAATTCTGTCGGGGGTTGAACTGACAGAATTAATTAAATCAGGAGTAAACTAATAAATAGACACTTGAGCCCTGCCTCCAAGAGTTGCTCAGTGACTTTGTGCATGGTGCTCTGTTAATGGAGGAATTTTGTTTCTATTATGACAACAAGCTCCTCAGCACACACCGCGTCAGTTCGACCTAAAAATACCTTGTCAGCCGACATGCAGTCCATGTTGCTGCCATCATGATCTTGTGGATAGCTTATCATCTGTGACCTTGATCACAATACCCAGACAGTACAACAAACAGGGTCTCACTTAATCTATCATTCTGGCACACAAAATTATACAAATCTGGTTGGCAGCTTTTTCTGAAACAGGATTACAGCAGAAACAAGACCACCACCAGCAGCAGCAGATTATCCTCTTCGCCAGATTACCTCACCACAGAAACTGATTGGCGGAGTGCTCTGTTTAAACACGGTCCCCATGTTTGACAATATGATTGAGTGTGGCATTGTGAACCTTTTTAGAATGAAATTTCACCTAATAATTCAATAAAACAAGAGCAAGACTACTGACAAAATACTTTTTGATCAAGGAAAAAAACACAGACAGGCTTTAAAAAGCAAGTATTATATTCTTTTTGTGAATATACAGTATGCACATGTTTAAAAAATTAGTTGCACGCTGTCATGAACTCGATAAAACTGTACTTTTTCCAATAATGTCTACCGCCACAGGCTATGACTGTACAGAAAAGGGAAAAGCTTCATCTAAAGCAGGAAAAAGGGAACCAACATTTGTTGTTGCTTGCACAATCACTGATTAAAAATGCTTCCATTATCCTGGGGGGCAAAATAAAAAAATGTTTTTAAAGTTTAAACGATTCAACATCAATAAATCAATTTCGCTTCTCTAGCAAAGTCAATCTGTTTTGAGGTCTGAGGCGGCCATGACTTCACACAGACTCATGATTTCACACAAGGATGAAACTGAACATAGAACTTGTTCAACAGCGTCACACAAACATACCTTTCATTCTTTGAAGAGGGCCTACGAGCTTTAAAATGTATCTTCACCAAAATAACCAGCAAGACAGAAACACCATCCCTAACCCTCCATATATTCTTCTCTGCAGAGGATAAAGGGTGTCCCTCAGAAGACAGCGACCTAGTTCAGACTCCATGTTCCAGTTTTCTCCTGCTGTGCCTTTGAATGATACTGATTAAAGCCCTCAGGTCAAGAGGAGGCCAGAGACAGAGAGGGTTTCAATGGTTGAATCTACACAGCTGACATTAAAGTCACGCTAACAGTGCCTCCATGTGACCTGAAAAAACTCCGGTCTCCAGCTCAACTGACGGATATTTTTGGTGTAATATGATAGTTTCATTTGCATTGTGGTGTTTACGTAGAAAAACCACAAGGCTTAACTTTGAGTATCTTGTGAACATTAATAGAGATGTTTCAGCTCTGATTGGTGCGCCAGAGCAGTCAGCTGAAAATGATCCACTTAGTCTGGAGAAATTCCCGCTGCAGTGGCGTTAATCTTTGGCTGCCGTCTCTCACTCTAATCTGGAGCTAGGAGGAAAGCCAAGAGACGATGTTTTGCAGAAGAAGTAAAGAAATCAATAAACCCATGTACAAAAAAGTAGATATTTAAACACACCAATCTTGTGGTGTGTTTAGCTTTACCTATGTGGTCTGGTTTCATTATTTTCTTATGGAAATGGGTGGATGGAAGTTCGTAAAACAGAAGTGAGATTTTCTGTACTTCTCAAATTGAGTACAGACTTGATCGGCTTCCCTTTTAGTAACGACAGAAGCTTTACAGACTCAAGTCAATCCAAGCAACTCCTCTAAACAGCTTGTGCACAATTTATAAAGATTTCATTGTCCTCCAACAGTACAGCATGTTGGAAAACTTCTAAAAGGATACAACAAATCTAATCTGAAACCATAAATATTCATATTACTGTTACAAAGTTAGTTGACCGACTGCCAAGGTTACTCACACATTCTTCATACATTTGCCAAGCCTTTTTTTGCTGACTGCAAGAGCGTAAAACCACATATGATACAGATGTCAGCTGAATCTGTTCGTAACTCCCTTTCTATGTCAGTTTCCCAAACAAGTATTTGTCAACTGGTTAGGTGGGGGGTCACCAGTTACACAAGCCCCTGGGCCTCCATTCCAAAGTGCTTTACAGGCTAATATTAGATCCTGACATCAACAATATTAAACCAAGTATAAACAGATTTCCCCGAAATACTGGTCCAGCTTTCAACAGTGGTTAATATCTGTCATCCTTCTCAGTTTCCACACATTTTTATTTCTGACATTTGTATTGCAGTCAAGAAAGTTCACTCAGGACAGTGGGGGCTGGATTTAGTTCAAATCTGACTTTTCTTACCACAATAAAACAGAGCATGAAAAGTGTGGATTCAATTATGTGACCCTCCCTACTGTGCTCTTCTTTTGTCCTCACAGGGCCAAATAAAGCTCGGATTTTTCCTTTTTGAGGAAACACCTGCAGGGAGGCTTATGTATGCCCTGAAATAAAAACAAGAAGTATCCTTGCAGCAGCCCCCTGACCTGACAAAAACTTTTATCATAAAACATCCGGCAGGGAAGTCAGTGTTACTAATTATCACCCCAGTGTAAAATCCAGAGACTTTACAGAACAAATCATTTGTTCTAAACAAGAACACAAAGTAATTCTAACATCACACCATGTAGCTTTCACTCCATCGAGACGATGCCAACTAATGATTCATATTAATTAAATGTTTATCAGATAAGAGGCTGATTAAGACATAATCTGACTTCACCTCAAGTGTAAACCATTGTCTAGCACATCCTGGGTTTCAAATCCAGAGTCCAAATAAGACAAAAGAGCAGCACAGATGTAAAAGAAGACACTTCATTTAGTCTGAAACCCATCAAAGTTTAATTCATCAAATTAATTTACACCAATACTAACTCTGGACAGCGTACTGTCATGTTCAGAGGTATGAAAATATGAAATAGTCTTTCCTCTGTCATTACGAGATTTGCCAGTAAATGTGTTTAAAAAGAAGGTATACCAATATCAATGGGATTTGGATTACGAGTACATTTATCTTGGCCTTTATTGATGTCTTTTGTATTTGGAAATGTATTGTCATCATGATTTTAACATCTTGTATAATTCTCCCGTTTGGACTTTTATAATTTTAATGTATACAAATGTTTACTGTCTTCTTGCGGACCCCAGGAAGAGTAGCTGCTACTTAGGTAGTAGCTAATGGGGATCCAAATAAATTAATAATCACAATGACTACAAACAAGTTTAACTACTTTTAGTCTCCAATTCAATTACAAAATACCTAAGTCACACCTTAAAACCGCAGAACTGCCATGAGTACATTCCCTTACTGCACAGCAGTCTGCCTGACAAACACACCGACCAGTCCATAACAGTATGACTACTATGGCAATCTAATACATGCCAATACAACTCTCCTTTTCACACTCTCTTCTTCTTTATTTTTGTTAACATGGTCAATCAGGTGATAATTGATGTTAAAGCTGTAGTGGGTGTCGCTGGTGTGCAGGTGTGCTTTATTTTGAAAGGTGTTCCCACATGTTTGTTCGTGATGAGGACAAAATATAAGGGACACCTGTCAATACAACACACTCCAGTGCATCACCACTTCATCAAAATAAAGACACTTCTTAAAAGTAGACTTCTAGGTCGAGCTCTTTTAATGGATTTAATAAGATTTCCAAGGTGTTCCTAATGTTATGGCTGGTCTGTGTGTAATAAGGTGTGTCTATGCAGTTGTGCTGGTCAACGAAGTGGCCTGTTCTCGTCCCTAACCCTGTGAACGCTAACACGAGCTAACGGACTGAAGGCTGTCGATGAGGTGGCACATCTGGACGGAGTAGAGCCTCTACAAGAATCCATGCCAGATCACTGACCTCACCAGCTAGCTACTTGTCAGTCACTCACATTAGAAATGAATCAGAAAGGTGTGCACTTCCACATGTACTACCCGGCTGACAGCAGAAAGTAAAGCGAATTCCTCTAGTCCCAAAAGTCTCAGCAATGTCACCGCAAATCCAGCAGGACGCACTGCTGCTACGAAGGACGGTTTCACAGTTAAAGTTCAGATCACCTGAGAACAAAACCAGCGTTTAAGATTATCGAAATTGATAGTTTCTGACTGAGGTATGAAATGGATCCCTGTCGATTATCACAGTAAGAACAGATATGATTAGTTGCTAAGTAACGTTAGCAGGGAGGCCCGAGTAACGCAGGAACCCGGTGGTTAAGACCAAAAGGGCTGGTTAGCTATAGCTAGCTAAACTAACACCTCAACTCACGTCTACGCTACCTGTACAACTTTCGCCTCACGAGAGTTTCCTCGTTCAAAAGCGGTGAAATGACCACCGAGTTCGCCTAAATACACGGCCCCGATATAAGCCAGCGAATACTGACCTGTTATGTTTCCTTTCAGCCAATGTCTTCAGAGGAAAAATATCACAGCTAGCGTGCTAAAGAGGAGAACCGCGACGACTAACGCTCGGATCAGACCCACGGAGGCACAGCCCAGCAGCGAGCGCACGAGCTGGCTGTCCAACGGCCGAGACGAACGTCAACTGTCGGTGCCGGCCGAAGATCGTTTGAGCAGCGAGATGACACACTCTGCAGCGAGATGACACACTCTGCCGCGTTTCTAAGAGATCAAAATGATTTTACACAAGAACAGCACTGCCAATAACGATAACACTACAGCGAAACAGGATAGGACTATTTATGTTTAATTTAATTCTCAATAATAACCAAATTAGGTAATACTTTACAACAACCATAACCTATATATGGTAAATAGACCATTTATAAATGGTAAGCAGATAGTTTATTAATGTTTCATCCTCATTTATAAATAACATAAAGACCATTAATAAATTGTAAATTTGACAATTTTAAAAACCTAACCCTAACCCTAATTTTACAGTTACCATCTAAGTAATGTTTATAAGTGGTTTAAAAAACAAATATTACCATGTCTTTTTTTAAAAAATAGAGAAAATCAGATACTCAACAAGCATAAACTTGAACAAGGTCTACAACAAGTGGCAACCATTTATGGACGTTTTTTTGCCACAATGTGATCCTCCTACACAGACACACCCTCTACCCCTTTTTTTCTTTACCACATAGTTTATCTGGTTCCCTTTTTTTTCTTCGAGTGTTGTTTAGTCTTTAGGTTATCAGAAAAAAAAAAAAGCACCTTAAATACACATATGCAAGGGTGTATACAAATGTGTTCAATGACCACACCAATGTATGCTGATGTAAGTAGAGTAGTTGTAGTAGTAGTAGTTTGTTATCAATAAAAATAAAAAATAACCATTTATAAAGTGCTACTGACACACGTTTTAATCTGGATGTTTTACAACCCTATAAAATATTTTATTGTTATATTTATTATTCCATCTATTTTAAACCCTATATAAACCTTTAATAAATAGCCCATTTATAATTAATGAAAATTATTAATCCTAATTTCATTGCTTGTTAATGGTAAAGGATCTGTTAACTTACATTAATAAACTATCTATATGCTGTTTTTAAATGATTAAACATTAATAAGCTATCTATTTACCATTTATAAATTATGGTTATTGTAAAGTGTTACCCCAAATTCACAAAGAGACGTTGGGGCGATAGAGAACAAATGTAAAAAGGTGGGTTTGAGTGCAGGTTCTCTGTATGTGTCCCAGATTTGGCATTGATTCACTGTTAAAACAAATCTGTATTTGATCTTTTTATGATGCCTTATCGCTGGTGGGTGAGTTTGGGGAGAGAAAAAGCACAATGGTTATCCCAATACTTAAATGGTATTCTAAAGAAATATAGATCGGCTTTCTAATGCAATGGAAAAATGCAATCAATAGTGGTGCGATGTTATTTGTAATGTACATGAAGCTTAACTGGCTGATTATGGCAACAGAGAGTTACAAACTTGTATGCCTTTCTCTGCTTATGATACCTCACAAACAATCAGTCTTGTTATCATATTATTTTTTTATATAATTGTTTTATGAAATCGAATCCACATATAGCAATGGCTGCTGTAGCATGGGAGGAAATACAAACATATTTGCTTTGTATTTTCTGAGTAATTTAAGTGAGAGAGAAATAGAAAAGAGCATTCAAAGGCATGATTCCACAATGACTGTTGGTGATATATTGACAATTTTACAACTTTTACAATTAAATGAATAGCAAAATGCTACTGTCACAAAAACTGACACCTACAGGTCAATATCTACTTAACTATGGCTGTAGTAGCATCCCTCAATGTATATTTATAGATCCAATGTATGTACTGTAAAGACATTTAGTTTGGTAAAAAAAAAAACAAAAAAAAAAACAGCTAAAACACACGCCTGACAAGATGGTCATGAAAATGAAAAAAAATATTTGATTAAAAAAATCTGTGCATCATTTTGAACCTGATGTAGAAAGTGTTTTCTTATTTTTTCTTTGCCAAACTTCGAGGGGAGCATTTAAGCAAATCTCTGATCTTCAAGTATGTCCCTGTAGCTTCTGCAACTTCAGTGAATTCTGGTGTGTTTTCAAATGGAACAATGCCAGCTGCAAAGTTGCTCCGATGAGGAACGGCTGTTACTTTCTCCACCTGCTCAGGAGAGGCACAATCTCCACCTTGAAGGAAACCTTGATCAGGCGTTTTTGGGATGATGTCCTTAAGGCTGACTGGATCAGGGCTCTGTGGGTTGTCATCTTGAACTCTGACTGGTCCTGGGCTCTGAGTGATGTCATTTTTTACAGTGACTGGTTCAGGGCTCTGCGGACTATCTTCCTCAACTTTGATTGGTCCGGGGCTCTGAACTTCCTGCTCCCTTTGATTGTTATTATTTTGACAAGTAACTGCAGGTTTTGACATGTCCATTGCTTCATCCACCTCTTCTGTTTCTGTGTCCACATGCACAGGTGTCGACACACTTGGTGAACTGGGTACAGGAGTTCCAGTTGCAGGTGTCTCAGAGTCACTGTTGGTGGCAGTGTCTGCATTCTCCAGAGCTGCCCAGATCAGCCTTTGCTGCTCCTCTAGTTCCTCCAGTGTCAGCTCATCCTCTGTCCCTTCTGCAGTTTCATCAACCACAGCCCAGCTACGCCCTCGTAGAGCTGGAGAGCCGTTTGTGGGTGTGGGTGGAGGTGTACCTTTGGGAAGAGGTGGAGGAGTGGGTGTAGCAGGAGGAGTGCCCTGGGGTAGAGGAGGAGGTGAACTGAAGCAGGGAGAGCCAGGGGGCAACGGCGGCTGGAACTGGAAGTCACCTTGGCCATGAGTGTGATATGGTATACCTGGGTCTGAGAGAGAACATCAATACTGTCAGCCCAATGTGGAAATTAGATGAACAATTAATAGACAAATCAGCCTGTTGAAAAACCAACAACTGAGGATACACTTTCACCTGATTCAATGTCCATATCGGAGCTGAAATCAGAGCTCCGATCAGGACTGGACTTTGTCTTCTTCCTCAGCTGAGGAGATGAGTCGGATTCAAGTGGTCTCTTGTTGCTGTTGGCACCAGGCTGTTAACAGAACAATAAATGAAATTAAAGCTCTGCAGAGATGTCAGTCATCACTCATTCTCACTTCGACAGTTAACTGATGGTGCTTTTAAAACTTCAGTGACTGGCATAAATAATGTGCACTCAGATTCATACAATTGAATAGGATTTTTTTTTCAAGTAATCCAACTAAAGTCCCTTTTAAAGGACTTCCTTTTATTGCTTGGCCACCTTACAAAACTTAAAACATCTACCGCTATATTCTACTACTTGCGAAGGAACATTTATCACTGACACATATACTACAGAATTATTATATACAATAATTCTTATAGCTTTTTATATCTGCCTGTATTGCTAACTGAAAGTTTGGTTGAAGTTGTGCAAGACTGTCAAGCTGGAAAAAGACATTAACTACATAATTCAGGAGGAAAACATCCAGCTAGCCAACAATTTAAAAATACTTACCATAGGGAAGTTGTTGGACAGGTAAGCTGCATAGTTTTGCTTCATGTGGCTGCTCTGCATTGGAATAGAGCTGTACTGCATGAACTCCTACAGGCAAGAAGCATTTTAGTTTGATTACTCAAACAGTGTACATATGACATATATTAATGCTTTTGTAGATTAACAATTTAAATATAGAAACGGGCATCCAGTAATTATATGAGTTTACGTGTAAGTTTGACGACAAATCAGATTTGACTGCAACAGAAATAAGATCTGATATATCTACACTTCTTCTATCTACACACTACTAGTGCTGTTTTTAACATAACAATAGAAACGATTGTATGTCTTACGTCTTTCATGTGTGGTGCAGGTACATTGAAACCTGGGAAATCAACCAGTTTGGAAACATCATAAGAGATGTTCTGGGAATTGGCTCCGTCTGTTGCATTACCATCATTTGAAACTAGAAGCAGAAAAGACACAGTTTTAGACTAACCTCCGCTCTTCTGAAGCAATCCTATGTTGTGTTTATTCAAAGGAAAATGTAAGACTGTATAAGCTTTGATTAAAACGTACCATCTCCATCATAAAGTGCTAAGCCCGAGTTTTCCATCTCTGCCTCTTTAAGCCAACCTGGTGGGTAGCCAAGCTGCCTCATACGATAAATGAGGGGAGAGAGGGTGCTGCCATCAAGTCCAAGTGCCGACAACAGCTCCTCACTATAAATAAACACAAAATGTACAACACTGAATCATCAAGATTAACTTGATCTGGATATGTTGCATGAGTTTAATATTTTTGCTCTGACACATTTAAAATGACATTCATGCCTCATGACTCCAGCCTTGTATTTAGCAAAACGCTCTTCCACTTCATCAGCATGGTATCGCTGGTTACTCTGCATGGCCTGGTTACTGTTCTGATTAAACTCCTTTCTCCGTTCATTTATTGCAGCCATGTCTTTGGGCTAAGAGGGGAACAATGCAAACAGAAAGTCAATGAAATAGTGACTTCTTAATCGACTCAGCCTTTTCCCATGAAAAAAACAAACAAAACAAAACTTGTTCTTACCTTGGGACAGTCTCTCATCTGATGAGTGCTCAAACCGCAGTTGAAACACATAGATTTTGGTCTGTCATGAACAGATAAGTGACAGGCAAATTATGTAACTTAATGTGTCTACATGAACTAAATAAATGTTGACTTTATAAATAGAAAATTAGTAAAACCAGACCAACCTTTTATCTTTCATTTCTATTTCCTGTCCATCTGTGCCAACGACTTTGTTAAAAACCTGGTGATAACTTTGCAAAAATTCAGGAAATTTACATTTGTGGAACACAAATCCAAAAAAATCATAATGCAGACCCTCAACACTGTTAAACACTTCTTGTAAAATAAGGTAGACTTTAATTGGGATAATTTTCTTGCCCACAATGGCTAGTCCATGTCAGAATAGCTTTCTGTAGCAAATTCAAAAGAAATGATTTGACAAATACAGCTGTCAGTATCTGGTAATATGTCTGTTTCTCCTTCATAAAGATACGTTGGGACCTCCCATCCATCTGTCATCTGTGGGTTTTCATTCACCAGGGGCTGTCCAAGTTTATCAACACTAAAAGTAGTAAAATGCAGCACACTTCCAATCACCTGTGACAGGGGGAAAAAAAGAAAATGATTCATTAATGTGTACAAAAACTAAACATTTTCTCCCCCCTATTTTGAGAGACATTGTGTAGTATGCAGACTATGGGGAAAAAAAGCAAACTCTCACTTTGAAGGATTCCGTTGTTGTTTTGACACTTGTGGAAGATGACTTTTGCGGATCTTCATCCAAGGCGAAAGCTGAATTCTTCACAGGGGACAGAGAATATTTTGATAAGGACAGTTGGACTTCTTTTGCTCATGGTCATGTACACTTTGGATAAATACCTGGGGTTTAGTGTGATAGAGGCTTTTTTTCTTTTCATTGCCTTGGTTCTGATGCTTCAAAATCACACCACAGATACTGTCTTCAATTTCTTGACGACATTGTCTAAAAAGGAGACATTTTATAATGGTAAATATTCATAACTCTTGTATAAATAATACATTTTTACACTTCTCTTTACATTTTTTCACAGTCTCTTTGCTAAAGAAATCAGGCAAAGTTAAAAAGATGTTTGGTGGCTAGTACTATGTCTGGGACCCTATATGTACTGTTGATGAAGTTAAATGCTGTTCTGAGCATTATTTGTGGCTATAGAGTGGCGATTTGGTTGAGTGCGTGGCTCTCTATATTGCTATCCTGTGGTTGTTACTAAAGTTGGTATAACTAGAGAAGAGAACGGTCGGCAACATTCATCTCTGGAGGGGGTGTCTAACTCTGTGTTATGGTGTGTTTGACTCTAAATTAATTTTCCGCCGGAATATCCCTTTAATTCTTTATTCCAGCATTTCCACACGAATTTTCTTATTTTGTTGTTGTTTTAGTTGTTGATTCAGGTGTTCATAACGGCATGGGTGTATGACTTTGACAGGGATCTGATAGGTAGACCACAGGAGAGCAGCTTTAACAACTTAATGAGTGAAAGTATTCTCACTTTGCAATAATGTTGTTGGTATAAAGGATCTGAAGAACTGGTCCATCAATGCTGACATCCTCCACAGTCACCCCGCTGTAGAATCAGAGGGAAACATGCGTTAGTTTCGTTGTCAGTTGCGTTAATTTGAAGCGTTTATGTAAATATTAGCGTGTTACCTTGGTCGTGCGAGGATGTTTAGTTTTCTTCTCAAGCCTTTATGTGATGTTTATGTTAAGGGAAAGATAGAAAAAGATAGAAAACATACTAGAATGGTTATAAGCAGATAATTCATGTTTTGTTTGGAGTCTCAGTATGCTAACCGACATCAACTGTTAGCCGCGATGGAGCTAACTCCAACAGAAGGATATTCTCGTCAGTTAGTCTCTGAATGTAATCATCACACTCCTCCAGTCTGCTTCGGAGCTGGATCATCTCCTCCTGGGTCTCCTCTTCATCTGCGGTGCCAGCTGGGGGCAGAAGCAGCGGAGGAGGAGAGCCATCGAGCTGCTGAAAGAGCTCACTGTCCCCAAAATCCACTTCAGCCATTTTTACCCAGATCACCATCGTACGGAGCTGGAGTTCAGAGGCGAAATCAACTGCTCTCTGCGTTCATTGGTCAGCCGTGTGTCACGTGGTAAATACATGCAAGGGGGTTTCCTTTGCCCAATTTGTTGTATTTCAGGTTAAAAATAAAAATATAAAACCTTAAAGAAATGGGTCTGAATCTACTTTAAATGATTGCCAAAGAGATGGTCAACCAATTGGGAAACACTTTAAATACATTTTTAACCAACATATTGAAGAAGTATAAACATTTAGGGGAAAAAACAGCATCTACTGTACTTTGAACAGAATGAAGTGGTTTATTAAATAATCACGTTTTTAAATGTAACATTAAGATGGCCTGAACAGGACCCCCCTAATACGTTGAATGGGTAGCAATCCTAAAAAATATTTATATAATGGAAAAAATTAAATATATATATTAAAATTACAAAAAGAAGTATTTATGGAAAGATGGCAACCATTAATGGAGGTAGTGGGATAACAAATGGAATGTTAACATATAAAACCTTAGAATTGTTTGTTTTTGGTATTGAGCTAGATCATAAATGATTCCCAGAGGTAAACGATAAAGATATTCACAAAGGGTCTTTATGTAAAGGGAATTCATAACCCGTGATTGGTATTGTCTTTGATGTATTAATTTTGTCTTGCTTTTCTTCGTTATTATTTGTATTTTTTTTCTTTTGTCTTCTTTGTTTGTTTGGTGTTTTTTTTTTTCTGGTTGTTGTTGTTTTTGTCTTTTTTTCTTCTTTCTTGAGTTTTCTAAAATTTTGTTTTTTCTGATTTATTCATTTACACGTGTATATCGATATAAACAAAAAAAGAAAAAACAAAAGGCGATTGTTTACTAAAGCCACTTGTAAAATTAATTGTTCTAATGAGTGTTGAATTATCATTGTAAACGTGGATGTGAGAAAATTAAAAAATTAAAAAATCACGTTTTAATTGAAATTGAAAAAAGAATATTTTTCAACAGGTTCGCCACTATTTAAAACTGCTTTGGCCTGTTAGACAGCGCTGAGGGCTTAAAAAGCGCCTATTCTGTTTCTGTTCAGTAGAGCTCCTTCGTTGGTCGGATCGGTTTAATCTATTTCCTGTTGGTATCAGTATTCAAGTGAAACGTCCCCCGTTTTTTCGGGGAATGAGACATTTGTAAGAAACTTTATTTGCACTTAACCATGTCAGTTTGTCCAACAATCCACCTAACTTTTCCTCAGTGGGACGGGGGCTCCCGCCAAATTCGCTTTATTTACCTAATGAATCTGACGTCGTTCAGGTTGACAGAGTGTCCGGATCAGGTGAGTGAATGTTGTCTCAGCAAGCAATACAAGAAATACTAAGAAGATGTGGTTTATGTGTATTGTGTCCTTGTCTGTTTCAGAGCCCCGCTGTTCCTCTTTATTTAGGAGCTGATCTCTTCTGTAACACTGACATCCGTACAGAGAACCATCCCAAACACCACGCCAAGTTTGCCAAGAAAGGACTGGCAACTAAGATACACTTTTCCTCAGGTAAGACACGAAGAGAGAGAAAAAAATCAATGCTCACACCTACACCCAGTAAAGCTTGACAGTGTTTTCTTTCTGTCAGTTTTCAGGTTCCGCGGGTTAAAGGTTCCTACTGTAAATAACAGCCTCTGGTTCTACAGTGTTCAGGGACTTTTTCGAGTTGCCTTTGAAATGTACAGTAAACAAGAGCAGCTGGCTGTGCTGGAAAACTTCCAGGTACAGTAGAGATCTTTATCCCTTCATATACCCTTTTTAAATTAATATAAATAATTTTGATATTGTCTTTCTTTTTTTTCATATTTTAATTTTCATCTGGGAGAAACATACAAAATGAGTCCAATCACAATTACGCATTTGTGGCAGAGCAAACAATCTTCCCCAATAGACTAACATATTCTCCCATCTATTACACTCCCTTTCATTTTACAATATGTAAAGTAAGAACATTTGAACAATGGATGTCACATTTCCTCATTCTCCACAAGATCTACCAATATCAGTTTTCAGTTGTTCAAGTAGTTTAATAGTCTGGTACTTCAAGCCACGTATCAGAGGTATTTAGAGCAGTTCAGGTCTGTGCTCTTATATATCTGATCCATTTCGACCAACATCTCTTAAATGTCTCCGACCGTAGTCTCAGAGCAAATGTCAGTCTCTCCATAATGTAAATTTCGTGAACACTTCCTTGCCAGTCTTCCAGTGTCGGTGAGTTGGGTTGTAACCACCTCCTTGTTATAGTCTTCTTTGCTCCAATCAGTTACATCTTCATTAGATATTTGTCTGCTATCACTTGAGTACGCAATGCCATGGTACCGAAATACATTAAGCTGACACCAAATTGTATAGTTATTTGAAATATGTATTCCAGACAATCATGTATATCATGCCAATAAGACTTAAGTTTAGCTAAATCCGAACCACACATCCTCCAACAGCTTAATCCACCAATGTTGTCTTTCTTACAGAATGTATGGAAATCACAGATCAACGACAGCCCTTTGGAAATGAGTTACAGCCTCAGTATGCAGCTGGATTTTACACCATCCAGCAACATGCATGATGCATCATCAAAGCATGAAAAGTCGCACCCTGGGCTGTGCCGCATTAGCCGGGAATCAGAAGATGTGGATGGCAGTCACACCGGTGATACATCAGCAGATCATAATTATTGTGTTTTTGCAAAGCAAACCCCGCACACCAAAAGCACACAAGCTGTATTCGCAGTAAGGAAGAAGTTGGAGCACTTAGATGAGAAGCTCTCTTTGAACACTCAAGGCTGCACAGACTATCTAGAGACGATCTTGCTGCTTCTGGAGAATATAGATCAGTGCATAAGTGGGCGTCTGGAGGAAAAGGATGTCAAAGACACTGTGTTAGCCCTTTTAAAGGCTAAAGACTGGGGATGTGCGTATTCCAGTTCATTACTTAGTTGTATTGGACGTTGGCTTGGTCAGCAGTTTCATGCAGCCAACAACAGCATCAGCCACAAAGTGGAGGGCTTCAAAGTTCATCATATCGAGCAGATCAGTGACTTGCCACCTGCTGAGGAATTAGCCACAGAGCTGTTCCCAGAGGCCATGCAAACACTTCTGCTTCACTGGATGGGTTTGAGTGAGGAGTCCACTCTGGTGAAGAGACACAGTGAATACCCAATCCTGCTGCTTATCCTTGAGTTCGCCAATCACAACCTCATCACTGGTGTAGCCCATGTGTTGTATTCAAGCCTTATATGTAAATAAAATAGATTTTTATGTAGTTGGAGACATTGGGACTTGGAGACTTAATTCAAATTCAGTCTAATAAATTCATATTTTTCAAATGCTAAGTGTTTCCTTTTGTCCATAGGACTGTCCAGGATTTGCTGCTCATTCTTGAACCAGGTTTTCGAAGACATTCTGTATTAAACGATCTTCCAAAATAAGTAATTATCAGTCTTTAATCTATTAATATACTGTTATTGAGATGTTGGCATAGGAAATATGTTTAATCCTCACCCAATTTTTCCTACAGCGATAACTTTCTTTGTACAAAACCTGACAAACCCACACAGATGCCACACAAAACAGGAATCAGTGAGGATTAAAAAAACCTTGTTCAACACAAAAGTAATTTATTTTCGACAACATCTGAAACATGTGATTCCTCTTATCCTGCACATTTGTATCTGTGGCAATTATGAAGACAACACATTTACAACCCACTGTGGTGATATCAGCAGGTAAGTTGGGGATTCAGATTAATCTACACTGACTTCAGATACTTTCATTGAATGAATGTAAACAGTTCACTTGAACCACTTCGTATTCAGTGTATGTTCAAACAATCACAAATTAATATATTTGAGGTTAAAAAAAGCTACCATAATGTTCAAACACACGTCTAACTGTAACCAGCATCAACAAGTCCATCTGATGCATCCTTTTGCAAAGATGTTCAGACCCTTAAACACTGAGGCCAACTCAGTGTCTGGCTATTTACATTAAAATGTCCCAGTATGCAAGGTGTTTGTCAATAAATTACATATTCAGAGCAACATCCATGCAGGCTTGAAGGCAAGCAATGAGTTCATGGTCCTGTACTAATAACATGAGTGGCAAAAGGCAGCGATGTCTGGCTCTAGATGGAATCCATCCCACGTGAGAAGGAGGAGGAAAAACCAAGGCCCATTCCTCTCTGGGTGTGAGTCTGAGAACGAGCCATTTCATATTGAACATCAAGGTTCCTGAACATCTCCTCCTGCTTCTGAAGGGTCTTTATGCCCTCATCGTTTAGTGGTTTGGAAGTCTCTGCCTCATCCCCCTACAAAGACAAAAGGAAATATAATTTAGGAAATTTGAAAGTTAAAAAAAGCTCATGCTGAGGACTTAAGTAGAGCACTGATTGAGGAAACAAAAGTGGGACTTACTTTTATACCCATTAGTTTGCGAAATTTAACATTTTGGTCCTTGTTTCCAAAGTTCAGCTTCTCCCACAACTCAGCTGTCTGGGACTTGTCCTTTGAGTTTAAACAGAAGTGATTAGAATCATACAAACATTGTGCATTGAAACACCATTCTATCATAGTCAATTTTATAATTTTAAAGTGGGATTATGACTTGCATTTTTGTGACTTTTTAGATGTTATAAGAGGAGTCATCACAAGTAAAACTAGTGGATACAGAGAAATTTAAAGTTTCAATCTTACCCCCTCCTTCTTTCCCTGCCATAGCATTTTCCTCTTTTTCTCCTGCTCTGCAAACTTCATTGGATTTACAGAAGATGGGTTGTAATAGCTGGGCACAGCAATGCCGGTCTCTGCTAGGGTTTTTGCTTGAAGGGCGGCCATCTGTGCTGCCATAGCAATCTGAGGTGTGACCTGTGTCCCAGAAGCCAACAGTGCTGCGACATTGAGCCCCGGGTTTGAAGCAGCTGCCGCAGCAGCAGCAGCAGCTACTGCAATGGGTGCAGTCACTGAAAACAAAGACAGATCTGCGTTAGTCATTGACGGACTAAAAGATCAAAGTTTTACTACATGACTAAGTCATCGTCTCTCACCTGCAGCTATCTCCTGCTGTTGCTGCTGCTGCTTCTCAAACATTTCCTTTTCCTTCTGCTCCTGCAGTTTCTTCGCTCGCTCTAGTCTGGACAGAAAAAGAGTGAAGATCACTTTCAACATTGGTTAAAGCTCTGCTGTGCTTACTGTTTTTTTTATAAAGACTAAAAATGCAGCCTGTTAATGAAATAACATGTTGGAGACATATGCCAAACTTAAAATGGGAATTACCCTTTTTTTTCTTAAGTTCAACAGGGACAGAAAGACTCAAAATGATGTCAGAGCAAAATGCAACAAAAGTCCCCAGCCAGACTTCAAATGTGCACGTTAAAAGTTACATAGTCTGTGTCTGAGATACCAAGGCCACCAGCACTTCCCACTGATTTCCTTGTTTTTCAACCAATGTGATTTACTTTTACAATTTTTAGAAAGTGTAACACTGTTTCTATGACAGCAAAAGACTGTTCATCTAAAACATTTGTCAAATGTGCTGCTAGTCCATCCCCATCTTAGTAATGTAAAATTATGGTGACAGATTAGGATACAAAATAACTAAAGGGATGTTCTTTACACAAAATACTCTCTCTCTACACAGTCACCAAACATTTATTATTTTGCTTTTACAGGCTCACTGCAGCTTCCTTACTTCAGCCCCTTCTTGAGCTACTGAATTTTATTTTCTGTGTGAGAAAAGAGACCTGGCCAGTCTAAAATATTTAATATTTCTCCTCGAAAAACTAAGTGTTAGCCTGCTTCACACAGGCTGTTTGGTCTATATGTAGGTGTAGCTTTGGTTGTTGAACTGCTCTTTGGTTGTTTACTTACTGCAGCTTGCCTAAAACTTTGGGTGGTTCAAACACGAATTAAAAAAAAAGAAAGAAATACATTTTTAAATTCATCTGGTGATCTAAAATTATTTTCAGATCCACCAAAATGAATGAAATATTAAGATTTTGCTTCTCTAATAGTTTTTTGTACAGCACAGTGTTTTATAAATTCCCTGTAAGCTGTTGCCTTGCCTTCTGGCCAGGGCCTCTTGTGCATCCATTGCCGTGTTTCGACCTCGAAATGCAGGAGTGTTAACAGACCTGCTGCGACTCCTTTTGCGTACTTTCTCACTCCTTTTCTTTCGCTCCCTGGTGGAAAAATAAAGGAGACAAAATACTGTAAATTAAACGTAGAAATAGTTTCATTTATGCACAAGAAAAACTTATCATCACTTCATTTCTACGAGAAAAGTTAACCCTGTACATCCAACCCACCTGCTTTTACTGCGACTTCTGCTATGATGACGATGTTTGGACCTAGAACCTGAGCGAGACCTGGCCTTCTTCTTCTTGTCCCTGCTGCGTGATCGTGATCGCCGCTTGTCTCTACTTCTGCTGTGATGCCGCCTGAAAGCATTAAGATCAACTGACTTTAGCAATAAATACTATTTTTAATAAATGAAGAAACATACAGTGTTTGTTCATCTTACAAACCTCTCTCTGGAGTGTGACCTGGACAGGCTCCGGCCTTTTGAAGCCTTCCTGTCTTTGCGCCTGGACCGCTCCTCTCCATTCTCTACCGACAGTCTCTCTGGCTCTTGCTGCTCATCTGTTTTTCTGTGTGATTTTGATGGCTTCTCTGAGTCCCTCTTTCGTGCCTGTTTTAAGAAGAAGTTGTCTCTTTCAGGAAAATAGTGCAACAAAAAGAGTTAGTACCATGGCTTATGGCAGAAGGTATGTAACAAATTCTGAAAGGCTGAAAAAATCCTTGTCATTTCAAATTCACTTAACATTGTGTAACATTTCTAGAAGGCAATTCTGAGACCATGATTGCGAGAGTGGCCACTTTCTGATTCGTTGGTTTACACAAATTACAATATTAATGTAAGAATTAATCAAACCTGCATGTTTGAACCTCTCGTTGCTGAACTGTGTGCATGCAAACCTTAAGAAATGAAGAGCTACTTGTGAAAAACTGGCAATCTAGCAGTATCGTCAGTTTATAGTAAATGCTTTGAACCTGAAACCACTGAAGTTAAATTAGGGATGGGCATCTGACCCGCTTTTACATTTCCACAAATCATGTCATCCAATCCGCAGAAACCATGTTAATCATTTGACAATTATGTATTTCTTCATCAGAAATTTCCACCTGTGTACTTTCCTGTGGTTAATTTCACCAAGTAACCACTCAAGTTTAAATACGATAGTATCATAATTGCAGGAGACGTCGTCGTTAGTCAAATGTCAGATATCAATTTTAAGACCGAAAAATTGGTCTGGCTTTAAATACCTTTAAATCTAAATGAGTTTATGTTTGGATTCAAACTTCAGTTAGTTTAACTATGCCCATCCCTAGCTGAAAGAGATGCAAGGGTAAATCAAAATGTTTCTACTGAAAGTGTGAGACATACAGAGTTTAAATGGCAGATAGTTACCTGTCCCAGTAGTAGACATATTATTTTGCTATGTCAGCAGGGTCTTCTGTTCAGTCTCTTCGTGCATTAGCACGCTGAGTATGATTTATTGTAGAAATGTTATCATGTGATCTACACACAGGATTTAATAAAAAAATAAAATAAAGAAATCTACTCTTCACCATTTAATGTGGCAACAAACAATGACACATATAGAATGAGACATGTCAACTTTGGGAGGGTAAAAAGGGCCCTTCCATTGAAGCAAGCTCATCTATGTCTTTTGTTTTAACTCTGCTTATAGTAGCTTTTGCAAACTAACAAAACATACTCACCTTGACCAAAATCAATAAGAAATACAACTTAAGACCCTCAAAATCATAACATATCTGTTTCTAATCATAGAAATAAAGTATTAATTACCTCTTTGCTCCTGCTACGACTCCTTCTGTATTTCCTGTCACCTGAAACCAAGAGAAAGCAAAGAGCTGTCCATTAGACTATGGGTGCACATGACTGCGAATAAAAATCAAGAACAACATCAAAATAAAACATTTCAATAGATACATCTGGTGAGTATTGATGTATTATTTTTCTATGTGAACTGAATGTTTAGTAAACTTACGTTTTCTGTCCCTGGAGCGTGACCTTGATCGTGAATGGTGGTGTTTAGAGGTTCTTGGAGATCTCGATGACTCCATGCTGTGTTTTTTTCTGGGATGAACTGGGGAGCCTGTTCTGGTCAATTCGACAGAGTCATTGTCACTCGCCTAAAAGAAATTAATATAAAAATGGGAAAAAAACATTGATTGCAAATCTGTGCAATATAGTGTGCTCACTTATTGCTAATAGACTAGTTTGAATTCCTCTCAAGGGCATGTATAAGCCTTATAACCTTGTAAGAAACTGTTGATGCTACAGGTCCACTGATAGTGGTCTCACAACGTCCAGTGCCAACATATAGAGAGCAGATTGGCTGAAACCCAGTATCATGCCATGGTTTGCATTTTTATTTGACAGACTACACAGTTAAGTACTTAAAACTAAGGGGAAAAAAATCTGCTGAAACTGATTTAAGATGTATAATAATTAGCTGCCCCTGGTATTGGCTCATTAAGAATGACAACAAGAAAGTTCTGGATAAATGTCCCAGTCCCACCATTTATTTTAGCTCGTGTTTCTAATAAGCTTCAGGCGATTATCTCAAAATGCCATCAATCGCTTTACTATATTACTTGCCCAGTGATCTTAAACAAAGCAAAACTATAGCACAGTTTAAAAGTAAATTAAAGCAGAGTATGATTGAAAAATACATCCAAAAGTGATTTTTGTTTTAACAAACTTATGTGTAGATATGTGTATATAGGTACGGATGTATAAGGTCTTTGCTTTAGTATTAATGATTAGTTACACATTCGTGCAAGACTTTAGAGCTTTGGTAATTTCTTAGCAACATCAGAAATTCTAAAGACATGTAAAAGTTAAACAAATAGGAAGAAATGAGAGTAGGTACATAGAAGCTAAATAGCTTCAACCTACTCCTTTTGCACTGTATGTATATTTAATCAAAAAAATACTACAATACATTACATTGGGTAACTGATTAATCTGTGTTCTTCTTCTACTGTAAATGAGACCAACACTGTTAATGATGATCAGCACCATTTCATAACGTGACTTTTCAATATCATGCCTATTTATTCTTGATACTAAACCAGATGTTTATGCTGAAATAGGTTAGTTGGGCGACAAAGTGAACTAAATTGGTGTAATATTACTCAACCTGTTCTACTGGATTATCAGTTCGTCCTACACTGACCTAACAACTGCTATTTACTCGTCAACCTTAAATGTGCAGAGCAACATTTGCACTGCCCTGAAGTGATATTTTAATAATAAGTTAGTACTTTAACGCCAAAAACTCAACGAAATGGTGACGTACAGTGGTATCTGGTCGCTTTATTTTGGTATCTTCTAATCAGTTTTACATTTGCCCTTTTGCAGATCTTAAAAGTAACTGCTATGATGAAAATGATATGGCAGGTTTCGACAACGTTTTAAAAGGTAAAACCCTTTAGCTCACTCCAGCACAGTCCAAAAATAAGATCCATCTCCCAGGCCATCTTTGCACAGATCAGACTCTCTCATTGCTGATTCAAAACACGTCGCGTCATGACAATGCTGACCGGTTCGACCACTAACTATCTCACTTATATGATCTAGATAAGTAGAAAAAGGTCGGTCAAACATAACAAATGAGAACTGGCCTGTATGCTGACCACTTTAGCTGTATCAGAGGACGTTGGTCATTCATACTCCATTAGAGTTAGCTCGCTAAGCTAACTTAGGCTAACCGCCATCTTTGACAAAAAATATTTCTAAAGGACCAAGACGATTGGGTTTACGCTCTTAATACAACACTGCCCTCAGATTAATCTTATTTGTCGTTGATAAATCGCACTTACCGACATTATCTTGCAACACGTCGTGTATTTTGACACAGTAACAACAGTTTACTGTGCAAACGGACGAGGAGTCGCTGGACACCAAACATCCGTTACGCAGCTCAGCGAGATTTATCTGGGATGCCAGGTTTCACGTGATGTATCCCCCATATTCAAGCAGTAGCCGTTAAAAACAATGAAAGTACCAGTAAAGTTATACCAACTCGCAATAATAAGATGTATTTCTATCAGTAATTATACAACACAGAGCGAAGGCTCTGAAAGTTTGCTAAAGTGGAATAACATAATAAATAACCACACTGTATGATTTGTCACTTTCTATCGTTTTAAGTTTTTTAAAATATGAACATTTTGTAAATGGTGGCAAATTTGCCCGATTATCAATTCACTAGTGTTATTTTTAGTTATATGTTAATACAATTTATGAGATTTCCAACCTGGCAACCCGTCACGGTTCCTCTGACATTCTGGCCCCTCCATGTCTGCATTTCAGAGCTTTTAAAGCCTCTGTGAGGAGATTTTCAAACGTTATGAAACAGGCTGAAATAAGCAGTGATGCCTTTCTATGATGTAAAAAAAAAACCCAAATGAGACCATTTTGGCCGATGATTACATTTAACATTTACTATATCCTATTCCTGCAACTGTTGTGAGAGATTAGGTAGACTGGAGAAATAGCCTTTTTACTATTTCCACAGCAAATGGACGTAATGGACTGGCCCGAGGTCTCCCTACAAACAATCAGCTGCTGGAAGGGAGTAGGTGAGTTGTGTTAAGTCTCTTTGCTTAACAAATTAGGCAAAGTTAAGAAGATGTTTGGTGGCTAGTACTGTGGCTGGGACCCTATATGTCCAGTTGATGAAGTTAGGTGCTGTTCTGAGCATTATTTGTGGCTATAGAGTGGCGTTTTGGTTGGTGTTTGTTTATGGCTTCTCAGACCACTGTGTATTGTTATCATGCGATCGTTACTAAAGTCAGTATAACTAAAGAATCAAGCAGTCAGCAACATTCATCTCTCGAGGGGGTGTCTAACTCGGTGTTACGGTGTGTTTGACCCTAAATTAATTTTACACTGGAATATCTCTTTAAGTTCTTTGGAACTGGGTCTGTGAGTGCTTCTGGTTGAAATATTATCTATTTTGTTTTCATACATAACGGGAAAAATACTTTCAGAGAAAATGTTCATCATTTTTATATTTCAGATTTATAAGATTTACGGATGATTGGAAACAGAGATAACTGTCACTCAGTATTGGGAGTATTTTAACGAATCTGCTGTTTTACTTCATACCAGTAGATGGCGGTGGCGCTCCTTCATGTTTGTTTTTTCTTATTGATCCGCCAAGAAGAAGAAGAAGGAGGGAAAACCCGCCAAACTCTAAAGCTGTCATAACTGTTCCTGCTTGTCTTCTTTTTAGTGATGTAAACTCTCTAAATACTTCAACTGTGGTGAGTTATTATCAACTTAAACTATCGTCTGTATTGCACTTTTTAAATTTACATGACGGTTCACAGTTATTAGCAGTTTGTTCAGTCGGTGTCTTAACTGCCGGTTGAATTTGTTGCTTTAAAGCGTTAAAATAAAGTTGACGCTCAGCCGAATAACTTCTGAATGTGTCATTTTACTTAGATCTGTAACAATGGCGACGTGGGGCGACGTTGAGCTTCTGACCAACGAGGACACAAACACAGTCCGTCTCGGCTCTGTGTCGAGGGATGAGAGTGGGAGCGGCTTGTATCAGGTGGACACGCTGGTCAAGATCTCCACGGCCAGTGAGGTAATGACTGTCCTCAGTAACATCAGCTCAAACTGAAACTTCTCCCTCTTTTCAGTCATTAGTTTGGGATTCTAATGACAGTACTGCTACCTGACTGGAGATGGGAACTGCAGAGAGTCTCCTAGGTTCCTGTGGACCTGCCTGACTCCAGCTGTATTGTTATGATTGTCCTCCTCAGACCCTGAGCTCCTTCTTCTCTTGGCATCCTCTGGACTGTTGCTGCAGACATGAACATCAGCCTCACTGACATTAATAACGTAAAACTAGAGTTAACTTCTATTAGGCCTGCTGACTGTAATCACATTAAATTAATTTGACATAATCCATAACTACTTATATCCTGATCCTGTAAACTGAATTCATATTGTTTCATCTTTACTTGCTCTTTAACCACAACTTTGTATGAGCCATTGTTTTAAAATTGCTGCTGTCCCCTTTCTCTCTCGCTCAGCCTCGTTCTCTACTCTCTCTCCCTCCCTCTCTCCACTCCTCTCTCTCCCACTATCCCTCTGTATTCCTCCCCAACCCAGCAGCAGCTTGGTGGCTGTCTAGCATGAGTCTGGTCCTGCTCAAGGTTTCTGCCTGTTAAAAGGAAGTTTTTCCTCGCCGCTGTCACTCATGTTAGATGAGATGGGCCGAATCCCATTTTATGGTTGGGTCTTGATAATTCATGAAACAATGAGCGTGGTCTAGACCTGCTCTTTTTCTAGACTCTGCGTCTTGGGATGACAACTTTTGTGAATTGGCGCTATATAAATAAAATTTGATTTGATTTGAACTCTGTTTCTTTCAGGTGCAGACAGATCCCAGTCTGTTTTCCTCAAGTGGTTCAAACTGGAGTATTGTTGTCGCTGACAGGACAGTTGTCCTGTTTGATCAAAGTTATCAGAGCATCCTGCTGCTTCTTAACTTTGGTATGTATTCCTGTCAGTTGCTCAGTATGTTACAATGATTGATGACATTATCTCTGTTGGCCCAGTCCAAGCAAATGGGTCTCTCATGAGGTTGGGTCTCTTGCCATATCTTTCAGAATCGGATGTGGATGCTATTGACGTATGCATGGATGGGCAGTTTTTGATCGTCTGTGAAAGAAATGGAAATCTTAATTTGATCTATGTCCCGCACAAGAGTATCCTTCTAACCAGGGTATGAGCGAATATCAATATTTTTAAGGCATCTGTTTTGTAAAAAGTTATGATTCACTGTTACACTCTACCTGTCTGATTTCATCTATAACATATTAATGATGCCATCAACTGTTTTATAATCCTTCTTGATGTGTTTAACTTGTGAATATTTACATGTGGCTCATTTCTCCAGGCCCTGGTGAAGAAACCACCCAGTGGTGATGAGAAAACATACAGATATCTCCTCACAGAGAAAGACAAGGGATCAGAAGGTAAACAGTTTCTGATTATTAGAGAATAACATTAAAAAAGTGCTAAGAAAAAGTAATCAAAAGATTCAACCTGATGTGTTTGAGCCTGTGCCTTTAAAGTGTTGGTGTGGTGTATTGATGACAAATGTTTATCTTTTTATCTACAGAGACATACAATATGTTTCTACTCATGAGGGATGGATTTTTTCACATTTCTAATCTTGCTTTGGCAAAGATCCAGACAGGTACTAAAGAGACTTCTGGGTTTTGATTAAGTTATTTTGTTGACCAGGTCCAACTCTGATCTTTTTTTTTGTTGTTGTTGTCACAGCTGTCGAAAAAAAGGATGTGGGATCTTTGCAGGAGGTTCGTTGAAACCTTGTTCGTACAATACAAAAGCAAAATGCGTGTACATGTTTGATAAAGTGAATTTTAACCCCTCCTCTCCAAACTCACAGCTTCAGTCTCAAATCAAGATAGACTTCTGCTCCACCGGGGATTACCACGACGAGGGCTGCAGTACAGCTGTGATGTTCAGCTTGGACCATGAAATCCACTTAATGATTGGGGTGAGAAAAGTTGTTGATAACTTTACTATCTGCTGTCTTTGTACCACGCACAGTTACAGTTACATGCAAGTTCTCAAAAATCAAATTGTCTGACGGAAAATTAAAGGGAATCTATTAAAACATTATTCTACTATTAAGGGTAAGATTGAAACCTAACTTGATGCTTTTTATTCATTTTAGATAGAACGTTTTGTAATAAGACAATCTAAATGTATTGGTTGGAATTTTCACATTATTCTCTTCTCAGGGGGGAGAAGAGAATGTTCTGACTCACTGGATGATGGACTCTCATCACACCAAGATGCACCTTGCTCACTCTGTCGACGATAGCCTGATTCCAGGTGTGCACTGTATTGATGCTGACTTATTTTTTATCATCTCTGTATTTAACGCTGAAATTACAAGTGATGAATATAGGAGTCTGTGTTTTGATTTGTGTGTTTGCTGCAAAGGTGTGCGGAAGATGGTAGTGGAGGAAAATCTCTTGTACATTCTTGACAGTGAGGTGAGTGAGTTCTGTACTATTTCCTAATTTTTTTTCATATATAACAGAATTTGGTTTAGTATGTAAAAGTACACGAGCAGTGCCTGAGTTTCTCTTTTAATGTTGATTATTTCTCAGGACACCCTGAGTGTTTGGGACCTTCATTTTCTTGTCATGATTCACTGCTGGCCAGACCTTTCCATCCATAACTTTGAACTCACCGCAGAGTGCGGCTCGTACGTATCAGAGTTTTGTCTCACATCGTAGCTGTGATTATAAGAGTTTAATTTGTCTAAATAAGGATGAATATTTACACTTAATTTCTGTGTCACAGGCAAGACAAAGGCAGCATGAAGATGATTACGCTGACAAAGCAAGACAACAGTCAGGTAGAAGAACAACTCTCTCATGGAACTGAAGGTGATGTACGGTAATCTGAATTCCTCATCTGAACTTAACTTAAGCTTCGTAATTTTTCAGATCAACTCACTGCAAATACGGTTCCTGCCCTCCATGACTATTTGCTACTCCCTGGATGTGTCTTCAATCTCCTGTCTGGTCCATACAAAAATTAACATGGTAAATGATTAACATCAGTTACAGTGTGAGCACTAAATCGACATGTTTTTGCACATTTAAGTAAACTATTTCCTTCTGATTTCAGGATGCCATTTATTTAGTTGAAGGAATCTGTGAGAACCCAGAAAAGTAAGACTTGTTTTATTTTTGGTTTTCTTGTTTAAAAGCTCTTGAGAGTATGATGGCGTTTATAAATGAATAATGTTGTTTTTGCATTCTGACAGTCACGGACAGCCAGTTTCCTCTGTGGTTATCAGATGCTTCACAGAGGCTTTGCCGGAGAACAGGTAACAGTTTTATTCTTACCAGTGTTCGTGCTTTTTTCATTACGAATGACCGTTTGTGAAGTTATGTTTTCATTCACTTCACTTCTTTTCGGTTCCTAGACTGAGCAGGCTTCTTCACAAACACATGTTTGAAGAGGCTGAGAAGTTTGCCATTGCGTTTGAGCTGGATTTAGAGGTAAATATCCGCTTTATTGTCAGTCTCACTAGACAAGGGTTAAAAAATATTCTGTGATGTCTGATTTTGGGAAGGCAGATATTGCATAAGTGTGTTGCAGGTGGTATAAACAACTGAAACTCATTATTCTTTTTGTTCAGCTTGTTTACAAGGTGAAGCTTGACTTTGTGCTGGAGCAGCTGGCCTCTGCGTCAGTGGGTGGATATGGACAGGATGTGTGGTCTGAACTTGTCAATGAGGCCAAGACCAACTTGATGAAGATTACGGTCAGTTAAACAAAGTTTATAAAAGTATTTTTGACTATAAACCCAGAATAATTGGGCTTAAACAATTGTGTTTCCTAGGATGAACATTATGTGGTGGACTACTGCCTCAAAGCGCCATGGCCTACGTTTGATACAGCAGAGAAAATGCTGAATCACGCCGCTACACGATACTCCTCCCTTCAGATCCAAGAAGCTTTAGCGAGGCTGGCAACTTTCTGCAGCCTGCACGGCCCCGAACATTTCAAGTAAGTCGTCATAGTCTCCTGTGTTAATTGTTCAACGCAGAAAATCATGATTCTCATTTTACCTACTCTGTCAATCATAGTGGCATCGCTTGGATTGAGTTTCTGAACAGCACCGATGATTTAGGGGACATTCTGACCCACTTAAGAGAAGGAGACATGAAGGGTGCACAACTCCTGTGGCTCAGATACGAGGTAGAAAATCAATTCATGCCCTTACAAGAGAAAAGAAACTCCAACTATGTTCTTTGGGATGCACTTTATCCTTGACAACAATGTGTTTTATGGTCATTTTTAAGGTATTTTTTATGCTGAGTGCCATGTTTTGTGACAGGGTCAGATTGCAGGAGAGTTTGACGGGAAAAAGTTTGAAGCTGTGCTCGGCGCCATCCCAGAGGACACGCCTTCTCAAGAGCTCTGTCCTTGGTTCAGGACGGTTTTTGTTCCTTTTGTGAGACGAGTGCTTCCATCAGGACAGGTAGTGAACCTTTTTCTCTGAGATAAAACACACTGCTGTCTTCTGATAGAGCTTTAAACAGTCTTTGTCTGTGTGACTTTTAATATGCTCTGCAGAAAACCCTGGCACGATGGCTGGAGCAGAGGGCGAGGAATCTTGAGTTAACGGAAAAGGTGAAGAAAATCTAATAATCGGTCTACCTGTACATGCCAACCCCATACAGAGAAACTATAGACCTCAAAGCAGGCTGCCTATGTTCAGTTCTCATCTTTCTCCAGTTTTCTTCTCCATTTACTGTCCTTTCTCTTATTAAAGGCATAAAAAGCCAAAAAAGAAACTAAAGTAGGAAACGAAAGAGATGTTTTGTTTGTTTTCACGTTCTTTATGTTTGACCTTGTACCTATAAATTGAATAAGCTGAAAATATCAGTCACAAAATAGTTAAACTTATAAATAAAACATCTTGTTGAAGGGTGCTTGGCCCCAAAACGGATTGGACATGGCTGTGCTTGGTGTGCCGTCTCCGTGGAGCAGCATAAAATCTGTAAGTAGACCACATTTATGACAGCCTGTACCTCCATGTGACATAAAAAAATAAATAATCCCTGGACTGTGTTTCTTTTTGCTTTTAAGGAGGATAACTTTGATTGCAAAGAGGTGAACAATCTCAAATCTCTGGTGTCCAACCTCCGACTGCTCCTCGACCTCCACCGGAAATACAACTGCAGGCTCTCACTCTCAGTCTTCGAGAAGGTGCGTCACTTTTACTGAGGCATTTTAAGTACAGATAAATATCTGATACTCACAGCATCAAAAAAAGTGTTTACATTTAGATTTTGGAGCTGTATTACTTGTAGATGTCAGTGAAGAACTGCAGAGGATGCATTATTACATGGAAATTACAGTTAATGATCTTCATTAACTGGTGATGAAGCCCTGATGTCCTTTATATTGGAAGATATTCAAGATGAAGTTTTTAACCTGTATGTATTTTGGAAATCACATCTCTGTTGGTGTTTTTCTTCCTTAAAAAATTGAAGATGGTTTTAAACTGGGTTTGTTTGTGTTGTGTTTGACAGGGGAGTGTGCGCAGCGTAGCTTTCTTCATGCTGGACAAAGCACCTGCTCCAGAACTGATCCCCTCCACAGTGGAGCGCAGCGTCCTGCCGTATGCTGAAGAGCACGAGATTCCGATTGATGAACTTCTTCTACAGTATATCAAGGTGAAACACGAGCACCGCTAAGTCCACTGGGAAAAAAACATTTAAATCTTGACATGCATGAAGATAAACTCTCTTTCCTCTTAATCTGATCTTTGCTAGGATCTTTTGGAGCGCTGCAGCTCTCAGACCACGACACTTTTCACAGAATGGGAAGCCAAGGCAGTGGCGGTGCTGGGCTGTATGACGGACACAGATGTAGGTTTCTGTGACACTTGTGTGTTTGTATGATCAGCAGTAACAAAAGCCCAGAAGTGAAACCAATAAAAAGACTGAACTGTTTACATCATTGTGTTTTCTACCAGCTGATGGTAGATGCTGTTCTGGAGATCATGCAGAAAGCTGTTGTGCCCTGGAGTAATGTGATTGAAAAGCTGGTTCAGCAGTACCTGGAGATGGATGGACCTAAGTATTATGAATTTTTAACTTTAATATTTCTTTATAAACGTGATGATATTAGCAGTTTCTACATAACCCTCTTCTACCTGATACATTAGACAAGAACTTTTGAAGGAAAGCTACCGCCTGATGGAGATCAGGAAGCTTCTCAGAGGCTATGGGATCCGAAACTTCAACCACTCCAGCACCACTCAAGTTATGGTGAGTTAAATTTCATCAATCATGTTACAAATGAGAGCTGCGGTGCCTCACTTTAAACTCTGTCATACTGTGTATCTCCCACAGACACTGATAAGACACATTGTGAAGCAGGACCTGCCCATGTCTTTAGGAGACTCTCTGACCTTAGCCGAAGCGTACAAGCTTCCAACCTCACAAATACATTACTTGTATCTCATCCAGCTGATTGGCCTCGGAAAGGTTTGTTCGATTACGAAATTTGAATGTTTTTGTTTGTTTTCATGGAAACATGACGTGTTGAAAGGAAACCTTTGGTGCTGCTTTCAGACTGAGGAATGCATGAACGTCCTGAGGAAACTGTCCTCTGCAGAAGCAGAGTGTGTGATCGAGCATCTCACATCCTGGGCTCGGCTGCAGCTGGAGGACAAACACCACATATCAGATGAGGTGAGATGCTGCCTTCTAAGTTGGTTTAGAGGATTAAAGCTCAGCATTGTTAATTTTCAATTTTAGGGTTACGATTTGATTCTTGATTCTTTTCTTTTTCTTACAGCACAGAGGCCTATGCCATCTTTAGACTAGCCTAGTCTACAATCATTGGTTTTATTCATTACATTTTGTAAAGTAAATCTTATTTCAAAAGTTGGGCTACATACAAGTGATGCAATTTCCATTATTCTTGTGTAATGTATCACATTAGGCACTAATGGTCAAATTTAAATAATTTATTAATTATTATTTTAAAAAAATGTATAGCCCAATAACATTTGTAATAGCCTCAGCATGAGCTGAGGTCGGTGGAAATTTTGTTTTTAATAAGGATGCAATGGTAGGCTGGACCAGTGATGGTGTTTTCTAAGTTGTTAAATCAACACCTTTATGATGCCAGCGAATGTGTACTGCCATGTTCATCGTGTCACCCATTGTGGGGTATGCTACACGCACATAGCATAGTTGACACACTGTTGTCTTCTTGTAGACAACGCAAACGTTGTTGACATAACTCACCAGAAACGCAAAATATTTCCATACTTGAGATTTGTGAGAGGAAGGAGCAGCTTCAAGTTCCGGTGCTGCGTCTCCTTTATCCGCACTGGCCCTGGTGTCATAAGTGGCGTCGGCTTGCGTTAGCTACAATGGGCCACATGGACATTACTTAGTGCAACCCTGCTATATACAAAATCATTCTAATCAATTTCCCCTGCCTTGGTGCTGTTGATCTAAAAACAGCATCTAGTCAGTAGAGATTGATTCTGGCTTCTTGTACTAATATATCTGAACTGTCTTTCGGTCTGTCTGCAACAGCACAAGAAACAGCAGATGATCATAGCTCAGGTGATGGTGGAGGCTGTGAAGTACCTGCATATAACTCAAAAGTGTAAGTACTTTTCTTCTCGTTTCCTTAAATGTTTGGAGAAAAGGAACTAGACTGTAAATAACACTATAATGAGAGGAAAGAAAGAAATGAATGTTCAAGAGTGACAACAGGTTTTATGTTCTTTACAGGTGATGCACTTAAAAGCATGGAGTGTGAAAACAACCTCAGTATGTTCAAGGCGATTGCCCACCTACAGGTGAGCTTCACATGGAGAAGATGTCGTTTGTTAATCCAGCTGTTCTTGACACGGATGATTTCAATCCTCCTCTCCTTTGGTCTATTTTTCCAGGAGGACTTTGATGTTTTCTTCACTCCCTCTAACTATGAGGATCCAAACATCCAAAAACAGATTCAGGAGCATCACATCACAGCATACGAAAACACCGTGGGCAGACAGTCATCTAAAGCAAAGACTACGGCAGCTCCGATCGTGGCGAATGATCCTGACGGCAAAACCAAGAAGATCTCCACAGAAGCTGGCCTGCGTCGTCTGGGAAGGCAGCTGCAGCAAACCAAACAGGAGCTCTGGTCTCACTTGGCCTTGAGAGCCCTGCGGGTGGGCAAGGTGGACAAGGCCCTAAAGATCCTAAGGTTAGCCTGTGCTGCTGCATGAAGAGGCGTGGAAACTGATGGGGTTTGCTCTCTTATTACAGATTGTTTATGTGAAAGTGTTCTCTTTGTTTTCTCTCCTCTCTAACCCTCAGTGAGCTGTATGAAGATCACTACAACACCAGCACTGGGAAGGTTTTGTTCACAGCAGCAAAGACATTATGTCAGATGCTGGAGGCTGATGATCCCATGGTGATTCCTGAGGACAAGGACCTGCCGGCAGTTATTCACGATCTCGCCTGCCAGGCCATCACTGTCTGCCACTCAGGTAGGGAACACGTGTATATTTTAGTAAAAGTTAGCAACGTTTTATCTGCGTTGGATCCCTGTGACCCGGGGATTTCACTGCATGCAGATCCGCTCTGGACCGGCAGGCGGATCAAATACGCAAGCATACAGCACCCACTGGATCCGATCAGCTGCAGCAAGCGTAGGAGAAGCGCTTGCAGTATAACTGATATTTCTCGTGAGACTGGATGAGATCTCGCGTGTTTCATGATGAGACATTGAATGAGATCAGCATTTTATATAAACACCCAGATCCCACAGCCCTGGCCCCTCCCATTACCTTGTGAAGAACAGTTCTTCTTTATTCTAACTTTATTTTATTTTGAAAATCAACCAGATATTTTACTCTGTAGCCGCATACAACTTCCGCTGCTGCTCGTGCTGTGCTGCAGCGTCAGGAAAAAATAGAAGCCCTGCAAATTTGATCTGAATCCTGGTCTTTAAGAGTTAAAGGGCACTGATGCTCTGACGTTGACATCCTACATATGTTTCTTCATATGAAAAGTCTTGAGTTCGAGTGGCTGCTGTCTGTCGGTAAAGTCAATATTTCTACACATCATCACAGATCTGCTGCTGGACTGTCTGGAGCTCTGCAAATGCACACGGATAGCGATGGATGTGTATCATCAGTGTCAGTTATCAGACAACTACGGCTTTATAGCCAAGGTCAGTAATATTATCTCTGGGAATCTATAAGGTGAAATGAATTTCTGCTTGTCTTTTAAAACTTGTGAAATAATCCAAATGAACCAAGTTTTCTTGATGCTGTTATGTCTTAGGATTTGGCCGTGGAGGCAGAAAAAGATCCGTACTCTCAGTGGAGTTTTCAGGATCTCTTTAATGAAGACTGCATAGTTCTGGACCCAGTGTCTGTGCTGCCTGTCCAGTACGAAATCACTAACTGCCTGCTGCCCATCTCTCATGGTAGGAAACACAAATTCATTCTGGTGTCTCATTTGTGATTTTATCTCCTTAGCAGGTCTGTAAGTAAACACTTGTCTGTGTCTCATATTGCAGATACCAAACTGTACCCTCTGGACTGTTCCTGTCTCTCTCACTGCTCGTTTGAAGACGGTTCGTGTCGTATACGTGAAAGGCTTTTTAAAAAATGTGGAGGTTGTTTTTGGAAAAATTGACCCTCTGTCTGCTCCGCCCACATTCAGGCTCAAACTATCTTCGGCCCCTCCTGGATCCCCTGGCCAACATGTTGCAGATGTTGCAGGAGTGCAGTCAGCTGGAGCTGGCCTTCAGAGTGCTGGTCAACTCGTACGGCAGCTGCCTGCAACACGTCACCTCTAATGTTATGGACATGGCGCTCAGTGTGCAGGTACAGAGGGCTCTCAGCGACACTGCCATCATTTACAGTTTAGGTTTAGATGTTTAAAAGTGAAGATGTGGTGTCAAAACTTCACCTCTAACTCTTCTTCCAGCTTTACGATAACCAAGAGCTTAAGAAGTACAATTTATGTTTGAACAATCTTCGAAAGACAACCACTTCATCCCTGCATGCTGTCGCCGTGGCTCTCTTAAACAAGGTGAGTGTGCTGTTGATTCTGACGTGAATAATGAGAATCTGTACTTATGGATCTTTCTAAATAACAATGTCTTTTTACTCTGCGCTGCAGGTGTTTAACTGGAGGGTGGTGGATTGTGATTTGGCGATTGGACTCTGTACGCTCCTCTCCAAAGCAGAAGTTTTTAAGATACTGTGGAAGGTTATTGACAACACCTGGCAAAACTACGACAAAATCTTGGTAGGCATTGGGATCATTATCATCTTGTTTCATATTCATGTCAAATATTCTTCATTTATTTTATTATTGAACTAGTTTTTAATGGTTTTAACTGCAACGTAACAACTCCAAAACTAGCTATGAAAACAAATCAAATTTAGGGCTGCACAATACTGTTAAAACAAAAAAATAGGATTATGATTGGTTTTCTCTTTGCAAAAACAATGCAAAAAACAAACAAACAATGCAGAAAAATCGACCACGTAAATATGAGGTTTTAATGCACATATTAAAAATGACCAAGAGTATTTCTACTAAAGAGGATCAGGGCCACAAGAAGAGAAAAAAATAATTATAGGAGGGAGATTTTTTTTAATTTTCATTTCGAGATTAAAGTCGAAATATCGACTTGATTCATGTCTACTTTAATCTTGAAATTTTTATTTTTTTAATCTCGAAATTTTGACATTCATGACATTCGACATTTTGTAATCTGAAACTTTCAATTTTTTAATTTTTAATTTTTCAAGTATTTTTGGGGCGTTTTTTTTTTTTTTTTTTTTTTTACCTTTTGTTGATAGGATAGATTGGAAATATTGGGAGATAAAGAGAGACGGGGGAGAACATGCAGCACATGGTTGGGGCTGGACTCGAACCCACGAATGTGTGGTCCCCATACGTGGGGCACACTAGCCCACTCAGCTATCTGTGTGCCTCTAATTTCAATTTTTAATGTTAAAACTTTGACTTTATCGACATAATTTCGATTTTTGAATCTTAAAATTTCAACTTTAATCTCCTTCCTGTAATTATTTTTTTCCTCTTCCTGAGGCCCTGATCCTCTTTCGTAGTATTTCAGTTCATGCTACATTCAGCAGAATTCCTCAGTGACTTTTCTTCTTTGTTTCAGGCCGTGGCCAGGATAGGAGCCAAGCTCTGCTGCCTGTACAATGAGGCAGAGGAAGAGGAGAAATTCCTCTCTGTCATCACTGATGCTGAGTGGGGCATAAAACTCAGCAAACTGGAGGTATGTGGATGGAAATCTCAGAGTATTAATGCTCCCATCTGTCTTACAGTTTTCTAAAGAGTCTACCCCATAAAAGATTAAACTCATGCTTAAAATACACAACAGTTTTTGTTAAATTAAATTCTAGAGACCAAATTCACATTTTTTTGTTCTTTTAAATTACTTTGGAGCAAATATATTGAGACCGTAAGTGAACTCAGATGAAGAGGGTGAGTTAAAAACACATTGAAGAGTTTGTTGTGGATGTTATCTGTAACTTCAGGATAGTAGTATTAGGAAAATTTTCTGTGATGTTTCCAGATTCTGATTCTTCGAACCACTTTCTCAGACTCTCAGACTGTATAAGAGGAAGAAACTTCCTCTGACAGATGATCCTTTACACCATGTCTGCTCTGCTCTAGATATCCATCCAGCCAGTTTTCCGTCAGCAGCCTGAGATGAAGAGAAGCCTGATCCCAGATATGGTGAAAAACAGGAAGATTACGCCGGACATCATCCTGCAGTACTGCAGGTTCGATACTGGCCTAACACTATAACCAAAATCTTTGACTGACTCTTTAGTGTGAACTGTAAACAAATCCTTCCTGAAATGTTGATTCCATCCGCAGCACTTTTGGTCTGGACCGTGATGATGTGATCAACGAGTACATCACCACCTTACTACTGCTCCAAGAGGATGAGGAGGGCGGTGGTGACTTGGGTACAATCCAGGAGGAGGTACAGCCTCTGTGTCATGCAGATGCACTTGAGCAGGTCCTGCAGATCATCCCCATGTTGCACAGCACCAGTGAGCTTACAGATAATCTCTGTGCAGCTGTATTCAAGGTTTGTGCCTGAGAAACAAAATATGATGCAAAAATCTTCCTCAGTAACATAATTTCTGACAAGATAATATCAGTTTGGCCCAAAGGCTGATGAAAGAGAGTTAAAATAACTAACTGTGGTTTCCATCAAACAGCTCAGCCCTTACAACTATGAGAGAATCGAAGTGGTGCTGAAGATCATACAGGCTGCAGATGAGAATGTGACAAGCTTCTCTGTTAGTCAGGTAATCAAAGGAAAATGGTGAAACTAACGACTCTTTGACTTGTTCGTATACAAAGCGATAAATCACCCCACTTATTTCTTATCATCAGGCGATGGGTCTTCTTCAGCACCTGAGGTCCTACAAACGAGTTTCACCTCCGACCAACGTGGAGAACACGTATCTTCTGGAAAACAGTCAGCTGCCAAACCCCCTGTCCTCCAGCAGGCTGCCCTTCCACCTGCTGATGGAGAGCAAACACTACTGGAAGATCATCTGTAAGAGAGCCAATTTGATTTTTCACACGTTGACTGACAAACTCTAACTCTCTTAGGTTTGTGTGAGTCTCAACACGTTAAACTCTGTCTGCAGTCGTAGGATGTTTGTTTTTGAACCTCAAGTGTTACTGTGGATAGTTTAAGTTAGTAAAGGACATTTTTAACGCTTAAGAAACTAAAACAATTTTTTTTTTTCCGAGCAGCTCCTGAACTTAGTGAGGAGACCTTCCCTACAATTCTTCTGATTAGCAAACTAATGAAGGTAAAACACAGAAATCGAACCCTTTACTCATCGACATACTGTTTAAAAGAAGGTTATTCAGATGCTCCTCTCTTTCCAGGTGAGCCTGGACAGACTTTACATGTCAGCTGCCAACCACGTGTTTGAGAAAAAGATGAAGCCTTTGATTTTAGAGCAGAGGAAAAAGGGTCAGACTCACGGCTACAATAAGGAGACTTTCAAGGTGGCCAAGACCATGATTGAGTACATCCTTTGCATCCAGAGCCCAGAGTGGGCTGCTGTCACCGCTCACAAGATCACCCAGGAGCTGCCAGCAGGTCGGACCCACTGATGTGACACACTGCCTCTGAACTGCAGCTCTGTGTGTATCGTTCTCTGAGTGTTTCCTTTTTTATTTCAGGCCAAGAAAAGACTCATTCGCTGAAGTTCTGTTTGGCTCTAGGAGATGCCTGGCTCAAAGATCCAAACCTCGATGTTAGTATTTGGGATTTTAACCTGCAGAAATAAAACAAACTCTTAAATCTGGACCTGGCTAACTTTTCTTAAACCCTTTGGTTGTAATCCTGATCAGGAAGCAGCGAGAGCCAAAGGAGAGACATTCCTGTCGAAGCTGAAGCTGCAGTTCCAGCGCTCGGCCACTGAGAACACTCTGATAAGCAGCCAACTAAACAGCCCGGAGCTTCTGAAGCTGACCGGGCTGCCGGCCCGACTCATCGTGGCCCTGTATGAGCACAGCAGTGTGGAGCAGCGGTACAGAGATGCAGGGGGTCAAACTTATCCTGGTGAGCACACCGTGTCATAGCAGTCTAGTCAGGCTGGGCGATATGGCCTCAAATAAGTATCACAATATATTGATAGTTCACCTCGATAACGATAAATGGACAATAACTACTCCACAAGCTGCTCACCCCCTACCAAGTTAACTTCGTCTACTTCAGCCGCCGCTACAACTTTTGAACCGTCCTCCATCTCCTCACCTGTCTTTCCCTCTTTGTTATGGACTGGATGTGGTGGAGTCAGGTCTCTGATGTAGGACAGTGTCTCTAAGGGACATGAGACCATAGCCTACCTAATATCTACCGAATGTCAGATTTTTTAACGCATTGTACCACATAAAATCGGTCAGTAAGCAAAACAAGTAATCATACATAAATTGTGCTGGATTATAAGGCGCACTGATTTATAGTGCGTCTTACAGTCCAAAACATAAGGGTTTTTTTTTGTTTGTTTTTTTAAAACCAAATATACTGATATTGGCAAAACGACGTTGGTTATTGTTGTAAATTTCGGTATCTGTAAATTTTCGGTTTATCGCCGAGCCCTACTTTAAATCCATCTTCCCGTCAGACTGAAATGCTTTTGCCGTCATCCTTTTACAGTGTATGTTAAAACTGTATTTAACTGAGTCAGTCGTCCTCTCTGCAGATATTCATGCAGTGGTGAAGGAAATAGCCTCCATCAACAGCGTGGATCTCCTGAAAATGCGACACATGATTTTAGAGAAATGGATCTGTAAAACCGGACCTGCTGTGACAAAGGTGGGTCAATCAGAACCAAAATATTATAAATGTTCTATGTATATTTGTCATCGATCAGCTGTTCATCTGGACCCCAGGAAGAATAGTTGGTACTGCAGTAGTAACTTATGATCATTTTTCGTTCATCAGGATATTTCTACATATGAGTGTGTCAGCAACATTGAGGAGGACCCGGACTTAATGAGGTTGAGACGTCACTGTTTTCATTTCAGCATTTTTGCAGTAATTGAATAATGAAGAGATGTTGATTATGTGTTTTTCACTTCAGTAACTCCTGTTGATGAAATTTAAATATACATTTTTTTCACAAAGGTAGAGTACTGTTTAGCAGCACGTATGTTTTGAAAAAGCTCTAATGTGACCTTGGTGCTCTCAGGGTGGTGTACATGCTGCAGTCCTGCACCGTGGATGATGCTGTCCGGCTTCTAAGCCCTATCTTATCTGCAGAAACCTGGGTGAGTAACAAGTCCAGTGACTCGGTATATTCAAAGTCTTTCATCAGTTTAAGATTAGACTATTGTAATGCATCTCCCAATCATCTCTTAGTCGCCTTTAACTTGTGCAAAATGCTGCTGCCCGTCTCTTAACCAACACTAACAGACGTGAGCACATCACTCCTGTCCTCAGCTCCCTTCATTGGCTTTCCGTCTCTTACAGGATTGATTTTAAACTGTTAATGTTTGTTTTTAAAGCTCTTAACGGCCTTGCCCCCATCTATTTAAGTGAGCTTTCGACCGTTTGGGAGCCTGGTAGAGCTCTGAGGTCGTTAAACCAACTTCTGCTGGGTTGTTGTAAAGGGTTGTATAATAAAGAACATTTACATTTACATCTCTCTGTAGCCCCTCAGCTCAGGGCCTCGTCTGACCTTCTGCCATCGAACTCGAGCCCTGCTTTGTCTCGTCCGTCTCGCGGATGCAGCCACTCTGGAAGCGAAGCTGCAGATCCCCAGGACCAAAATTCAGTGAGTGGATGTGTTTTCGGTTTAGTAGCGAATCAAAAAGTACATTTAAAGAGTTGTGTGGGGTGTATTAATTCTTTAAATTCATATTCTTTTGCAGATATTACCTGAAGTGCTACATCTTTTTATCCCAGCTGGAGGCTTTGAACATCCCTTACTCTGTGCAGTCTTTCCTCAACAGTCCTAAAGAGGGCTTGGTTAAAGGACTGTGGAAGAACCACAGCCATGAGCCGCAGGTATGTTCTTTCTTAATCTGAGCTTCACTATCCCATAAATATTACAATCATGCAGGAAGAGTGGAGCACCTGCTTTCTTTTCAGGCTGTGCGACTGGTGGCAGATCTGTGTTTGGAGTATCAGGTGTACGACGCTCAGCTGTGGAACAGTCTGCTGCAGAAGCTGCTGGGATTCAACTTGGTGAGGGGCGAAAAACTTTCAGCTAGGAGAATAATTTTATTTAAATTAAAGAAAATATGTGAGATAAACATTTTATAACCATACGTGACTTCCTTTTCTCAGATCAGCCACCTTCAGAGGGTGCTAGAGGCTATAGTGGCAGTTCCAGCTTTGTGGGAGGTAACGTCAGTCATGTTCATGTTTTTTCCTCCTCATTCATTCTCTCCTGTATGAACTGCAGACAGTTAATGTACACCACTCTTTCAAGAGTAGAATGTAAATCTTCAGAGCAGAGGGATTTGTTTTACGAGTAAATTTGAGGCCAAAATCAAAGTAGGTATTTCATTTTGCATATTATTGTATTTATTTATAACCATCCAGTCAGAGCAGGTGTGGAGCTACAAGTAAAATGTCTCTAACTGTTAAATTCAATTTAAAATACTTCAGAGTTGCAGAGTTACTTTTGTGATGTCTTTATCTTTTCTTCAGATTTCGAGCTTCTCTCGGACGTGGAGGAGTACGATCTTAGCACCTTTTGTCTCAGGTGATGGATGAATGTGTTTGGAGGCTGAGTGATCTTGTTATTATTATTATTATGAGAAATGTGATGTTCGGAAGTCATCTGTTTTTCAGCTTTTATTAGGGCTGGGTGATATGGCCTCAAGTCAATATCACGATATATTGAGCCATTCACCTTGATCATGATAAATGGATACTTGATAACGATACTCCACAAGCTGCTCACCCTCTTCCACATTAACTTGGTCTACTTTAGCTGCTACAACTTCTGAACCGTCCTCCATCTCCTCACCTGTCTTTCCCTCTTTGTTACGGACTGATGTAGGACAGCGTCTTAAAGGGACATGAGACCATAGCCTCCCCACACACACCCAAAACCAACCTTTATTTTTTTGACACCGAATATACAGATATGGACAAAATAACCTCGGTTATTGTCGTAAATTTCGTTATCTGTAAATTTCCGGTTTATTGCCCAGCCCTATATTTTATTCATATGCATTGATGCAAAGAAGGGACATATGACAGAAATTTTGTAGGTTTTAATCTTTAATCATCTCTCTGATTTGTGACATGTTTTGCAGAGCCTCTGATACGCTCCTGAATCTTTTTTTCTGTCTGTTTTCTCATCAACAGCCTCCGTTCCTCTGAGTCCTGATCAACAGACGACACTGTACAGAACCTTTGTCCTCCTTCTCAAGTGAGCTTTCAGTCTGTTATTCCACTTCAGTCTATTCCAAACATCCAGGTTTGATTTACTGATTCATGCTGTGCCGTCATCTCTCCTCTAAAGGTGCCCTTTCCTGCTGAATCTGGACCTGATTGGAATTGCAAATCGCTTCGCACAGTTCAATCTGCCGGCCTTTGCTCTGGGAACTCTGCTTCTCATCCCCTGTGCCAGTAAAAAGGCTCAGCAGATCAAGGTGAGTCGTGAGAGGAAAGTTGGACTCTGATCACAGAAGCATGATGACAGTATTGTGACTGTCTCTCTCTCTCTTTGTTGTTTTACAGGGTTTTCTATCAACATGTAACCCCGTCACTGTCCTTGAGCAGGTGGAGGATCTTATGAGCACAGGAGAACTGGCAGGAATCCCCTCACAGGTCAGATACAATTCAGCTTAAATTACACTTTAGTCTTTATCCTCAGTCAATGTTTGAGTTTCACACTGAAACTGAAACTCGAACATGAAAGAAGAAATCTTTTTTTCAGAATAGTGTTTTTAATAAGATTTATTTGCAATCAAGCAAGTAAAAAAGAAAACATGTAGTACACTTATGATGCTGCCTCAGATCCTGTGATTGAATACGTCACTTTTCTGATAGTTTATGTGCTACTGTGGTAATGGTTAACCTGACAAACAGGAAGAAATATTTCTGAAGGTGTGAAGATTCTCACAGCGATTCTGCAGTTTAAAAATGTGTGGGACTTTTTTTAATATCGCTGCTTTTATCGACACAAAAGTTATTAGAGAGGATTCCAGCCACATGAAAACATGCAACTGTCACTATTTATTTTTCATCATTTAATGTTTGATTAAACAAAAAAAAAGAAATGCCATTGTTGAAATGTTTCCTCAGATCAGGGAAACTGTGATAACTTTTATCAGCCAAAGTGGACAGCACCACAAACTGTTGAAGACCAAACACTTGGAGCATCTGAAGCAGCTCGTTGTGTCGAAGGGCAAACCCAACCAAGTGAAGGACATGGTGGACTTCCTGATCAGCCAGAACTGGTAAGTTCTCTGAGTCGAGTGGGTCTGTCAGCACAACAACACTGTCTGTAAACATTAAAACAATGAAAGCTGTTCAGAGTTAGCTGCTTAGTTTATTAAAGTTTTAAACTAAATCAAAGCAAACACTAGGGCTTAGGTTCTCAGTGTTCTTCATCTTTCTTTTAAAGCTGACATTGTTTAGCTCTTTGAAGGGATATTCAGGTGTAAAATTAATTTAGGGTCAAACACATCATAACACTGAGTCAGACACCTCCTCCAGAGATGAATGTTGCCGACCGCTTGCTTCTCTAGTTATACCAACTTTAGTAACGACCGCACGATAGCAAAACACAGCTGTCTGAGGAGCCATAAACAAACCTCAACCAAAACACTACTCTATAGCCACAAATAATGCTCAGAACAGCATGTGGTCGTTACTAAAGTTGGTATAACTAGAGAAGCAAGCGGTCGGCAACATTCATCTCTGGAGGAGGTGTCTGACTCAGTGTTACGGTGTGTTTGACCCTAAATTAATTTTATGCCGGAATATCCCTTTAAATCTGGATCTCTCAGTTTAAAATCTTTTAAACTCTTCTTCAGCCAGGATGATGCGGACTCACTCGCCCGTGAGTTCATGAAACAACGGGGAAAGCTGCAGACAAATGGCTCTCCATCGCTGAGCTGCTTGAAGGTAATGAGAGCGAAGGTCAAAGGTCATTCATCCGGTGAATTCTAAAACACAGTTGAGCTTAAACAGATACTGAAATGAGGGATGCATGATTAGAGTCCATGTAGATTCTCATTCATAAGAAGAAAATCACAAACATGTCTATTATTTATCTATTTTATACTATCTCATTCATGATTAGAGGGTTAGTTTTGCAAATTTAACCTTATTTCTTAGCTGATGTAGCTGTACATGACCAGGCGGTGCTTTCTGACCGACAAAGTGTAATCATTTTGTCTTTGAACAGTAAGCTGGACCACAAAGGGTTAAAAGCTTGAAAAATTACTAGACGGAAACTTTTAGTCTTGTTTGGTTTTCTCTAGTAGGTCAAAAAAAACTTATTTGATTTGATCATAAGAAAGTGTTTTTAATACAGCTGGGGTGATAATATGATGAGTTAGCTGTGGGTTTAATGGTTTTGAAATATTACCTACATTTTCTGCATTCATGAAGTTTTTTACACTGACCAAAGTCCAAAAAGAGTCATGATTCCACTCTCTTTTTTCTCCAGGAGTTTCTCAACATGGAAAATGGAGTTTCAGGATGAACTGACACTTCCTCTCCTTCTTCTTCTTCCTCTGTTGCTCCGTTTATGAATAAGCGAGTGTTTCGGGCTCAGATGCAACATTTTCACTTCACCATTTATCTTTCTGCTCCTCTTATCATATGTGGTTGAATGTTTTCATCACTGGTTTTGTAAGAAGAAAAACACAAACATGTCTATTATTTATCTATTTTATACTATCACACTCTGGTTTGTATATTTTACCTGCCGACTCAGACACAGTAGGAGAGCAGTTACTTCACATGTCAGTCATGTACAGTTACTCTGGTGTCAGCAGTCAGTTCAGAAGAAGTGTCTTCATGTTAACTGTTCGTCTAATTCTTCGTATTCCCGTCAATAAATCGATGCTTGTAAATACGTTTCTGTCGAATAACAGGATTTCACAACCTCTTCATTCCACTCAGCCACAACTTTGAGGGATGACTCAGAATCATTTCGAACCCGAGTTCCCTTTAAATGGTAATACATGTATTCATGGCATTTCTAAGAGGAAGCAGCACCCTTATTGAGGCATCTGTAGAGTGGATCCGCTGATCATTGAATGACTCAAGATTTAAAGACTTCTCTTTAAAATTCACTTGAACTTCACGGTTGTGGAAAACAACCTGAACAAAAGTAATACTCTCTTTATGTGTGGTGGTGTCAAAATTAGACACATATTCATAATTAAAGCTCACCCATAAATCAAAGTTAGTTTTGGAAGTGCTTTAGTTTGGTGTTAAAACATATTTTTGAAATAGTGACCAAATATCCAAACACTCAAACATGCATCAGAGAAATTAGAAACTAGCAGGTTTGAATGTTTCTAATTTGCCTCGTTTTGTTAGTTGTGGTTATCAGCTGACTCTGAGTTCCTTCTTTTACGGTCCTGTTCTGTAGCTGTCTGCACACTAAAAGGTTAAATAATGTAACACCTATGAAGGTGTTTCTGGTGTCAAGTTCACGGCCCACGTTTTGGAGCTCAAAGATTTTTATCTGTTATTAGAAAAATGTGTCAAGGTGCACATGAGAATTGAACACCTGTTAATTCCTCAGTGAAAGTAGTTTTCTATAATACAGCAGAAGGAGTTTGTTGTACAGTTGACCAACAAGAAAATATACAAGATTTGTTTTTGTACTTTAACAATGACCTTCATTTCCCAGTTTGATCACCTGATATCAGATAGACGCTAGAATAGTCTTTACATGCAGCAAACATCTTAGTCATCTTGGATGGAAACTCATGACCCATATTTCAGAATAAAACCTTAAAAAAAAAGATTGTACAATTCAGAAATTTATTTATTTTGAGAATCAAAATCATGTTTCAGCATGAAAAAAATGAATTTATCTAAGAAAATATACAAGATTTCTTACTTTCATTCCAAAATGTTCATCAACTCCCATTTCAGGGACTCTGAAAAGCGAATAGTTTGACTGATTTTCTCTTCAGATCAGAGCAAAATTATTTTTATTCATAAGCACAGAAGTGGAGTTAAGCAGCTGGCATGATTCTTATTTTGAAAGTTACAGAATAATTTCTTAAAAAGTTAACTGGAAATGTACTAATTCAGAATATGCATGTTGAGATGCTGCAAGGATGATAATTCTGAAGACTGAATCATTACAAAACAATCATGTTTCATACGATTACAAGAGTCTCTTCAGTGGAGTGATTGAAAAGAATAAAAAATACAGTCTATATTTGTTTTCTAAAGGATATATATATATGTATATGTTTTTTTTTTTACAGTGCAATGTCTTCCAGATAAAATATAAAAGCAGAAGAGTAACATCCTTTTCGGTCCATCTGGAGCTGCCTCCATCTCTGGTTTCCTGCTGTCTCTGTGATCACAGCTGGCTGAGTGTCTGGGAGCCCGTGTCTCGAGATTTCCTCTCTGTGCTCTCTACGGTGTCTGCGAGGGGCAGGCGGAGAGCTTTCCTGCAGATGTTCTTGAAATTAGAGCTGGAGAAGTAGTAAACCACGGGATCCAGTGCGCTGTTGAGATAGGTCAGGCTGATGGTGATGTAAAAAGCCGCGGTCAGGTCTTCCAAAGCCTGGCAGACCTCAGATTCTTTCTTGCTGCCGGATAACTTGCGGGTTTTGATCCAGATCAGCAGCTGCACGATGTTACTTGGAAGGAAGCAGATGATGAAGAGAGCTGCCACCACTGCGATGAAGCACAGAGCCTTCCTAATCCTTACATCCCGGTCCATGTGCCTCCTCCTCAGGTGGACAATAATGTGGACTGTGCAGTAAAGGATCACAAGCAGAGGCATATAGAAGGAAAAAGTGAACGCAAACTTATGCCAGGTCAGATTATGTCCGGGCTGAGTCTCAATCATGAAGCTCTCACAGTAGGTTGTGTTGATATGTTGCAAAGAGAAGACATGAGCTGTCATGGAGAAAGTGAGCAGCCACAGCAGCAGAGCTCCACACATGGCTTTGGAGACACTCAGAGAGTTGATGGGATGATGAGGATGCACCACACGCATGTATCTGTCCACAGCGATCGCCATTAAGAAGATAGTGCTGCCGCTGCGGTTCATCGCCAGCATGAAGAGGCAGATGTTACACAGAGCTCCACCAAAATTCCACTTAATCCCAGAATTGTAGTAGCTGGCTCTAAAAGGCAGAGCCACACTGAGCAAAAAATCAGCCATGGCCAGGTTGAAGAGTAACACTGTGCTGCTTTTCCAGGGTTTCAGGTGGAACCAGAAGATCCACAGAGCCAGACCATTTCCAAAGACCCCCAAAACAAACTCTGACACCAGCAGTGGGGGGAGCACTGCGATCAGCTGAGTACCATTGAAGTGGCATAGCATGTTGTCGTTGATGTCGCCTCTGGCTGCAAATCAAAAGATCAAAATTCTTTTGAGGACTGTGCTATAAAAAAAAAAAAACATCTGAACGAGAAATGGTGTTTGTGGTTTTAACCTTTAAAGGAAGCCGAACTCGTTCTGCTTTTTATGTTTTGTCATATGTGTCACATCATGAAGATGTGGGTGGGTACAACAGAGCTGCTTACAGGAAATAAACATCCCCGGTTCATAATTAACATTAACAGTTTAATAAATAATGAAAAAAAAAACAGCCTGCTTTAACCAGAAGTAAGACTCTTAGGTTTGAGTTTTGACACTGTCCTGTAAAGAAAAAAAAAGGATTATCTTGAGATGGTTTTCCAGAAATAACCTCCCCTATTTCTGCCTTTTAAATGAGGCGTACTTTTCGAACAGTGAGGCACTAACAGCCCTGCTGAGAAGGAAAGGAGTGTTTGCTGCTTCTTTCTGTGCAGAACATCACAACTCTGAAGCTGTGAAAAGCCACAAACTATCACATTAGTCTTTTTCCCCACTTTACGTGACATCAAGATACTTCGGCTGAAAAACATCAACTCGCAAGTATTTTAGATGTGAGAGCCAAACCTAACCTCAACCTGTGGTGCAGCATTGTGGTATATTGATGCTTTCCAGCGTATTCAAAAAACAAAACTAGACCAACAAGGGTGTGAAATGAATGGTGACCACTGCATGAGACTAAGAGAGTCAATACATGTCTCTCAGTCTCATGATTGACTCAGCATGTCCAACTCATCCCAGTGCTCAAACCGCTGATATCAGGGTCTGGATGAAAATGAAAGTATGTATATTAGTCACCTAGTAGATTTGTTTTTTTATAGGTTTGATTGTGTTGATGTTGTAGGATAATAGCCGAGATTAAAGTGCAGCTTCTTCCTGCTTCTGGCGATGAAGGGATGTGAAGTACTGACAATTTCAGCACTTTTAAATCGCACATTTAAGAAAGAAAAATCCAGAACGCTCACAGTTCAAAGTCACTTCCAGTCTGAGCTGCCTCTTACAAGCTTAAACATACAGTACAGGTGCAGCTTATTAGACTGAGGTCGGTCTGCTTCCAGATCAAATGCACAGAAGCACATATGCATGTTCATATTTACACATCTATCACATATGCAAACAACTGAGTCAATGTGGATGGACTCTTACAACCAGCTTTCAGAATAAAAAAAACTGTCTCATCCTTAGGAATAGAAATAAAGAGCTGAAGTTGCTCCATTTTACAAGAAACTGGGAAAAAAAACACTTCACAACAGCCTTAAATCATGTATTTTTAATCAAGATTAATTAAATTTTTGACTGCATGTTTAAATTAACATTATTGTTCATTCCCAAACAGTTTAGACAACTTTTCTACAAACAGATATCTGCGTTTCAGCGAAGCGAACAGTCTCTTGTCTCTCAGTTGAAGTCGTCTCGGCTGAAAGTTCTTTCAAACTTGTGGCTTCACTTGTTGCTTTTTATAGTTGACCACGGTGGCTTTGTCTTTGCAGGAACATAGCCGAAACCTCACAGATATCTGAGTGGTGTGAAGTGTGCTCACACGTACAAATGAAACCACAAAAATACAGACGGAGGTGTTTTGTGATGCATAGCTTTGTTTTGACTTTAACTTTTTCACATTGGAGGACAGAGTCAGTGAGAGTTACTGTTTGTGTCTCACTTTGTCAGATGTCTGCTGTGTGCTTGAGTGTTTAGTGTGCAGGTGTGAATATGTGGGTGTGGCAGGTTAATTCAGATCAACTCTGTGGTTGATTTTTTTTCTGCTTTGAAGATTGAGGTGAAAGATGTGTAGAGGTGGAAACTTGGCAGAGACCGTTGGGGGAAGTTTGACACGTTGATATTTTTTGTGTTGTCAGTCTTATTTGGAGACTCTGTGTGTAAACACTGAGCTGTTTTGTTTTTGGTTTTCTGAGGACAGTCCGCTTCCAGATCAAACGCACACAAGCACATAGGGGAGAGTGGGGTAAGTTGATCACTACATCAAGTCCATCCTGGTTTTGTCTCTAACTAGTGTATCTGCAGATATTTCAGGAGAATGAAACCAACAGAATGAGTGTAAACAGAACTGTCTTGATAATATAGCATGTCAAAAAAAAAGTGGTCTCCTATGGTCAACTTACCCCGTGTATGGGGTAAATTGACCATAGGAGTGGGGTAAGTTGAGCCGTATCCCTACTACTCCACCACTCTCCACCCCAGCCCTCCCTCACCTTCTCTCTCCCTAAATAACAGTCACTTCTTCACATTCATGTGTATTTTTATCTATTATACACTATTCAACTGGTACAATAATTCTTTTTATTATTATTGCATATAACTGCTAAAAAGCTGTTTTGTAAAAAGTCATTTTAACATGAGAATGTCTTTAAGTGATTCAGAACATTCACAGCTGTATTTTAGAAAAGAAAAAGTAAAAACATTTCAACAATCTGAACTGAAACTCTGATCCTCTCATCAGACTCCTTTACTTTCTCAGTTACCCCAGAACTACTATGATGACTTTATTAGTCCTCTAAGATAAAATGGTGGACTTTTATGTTAGGTTTTTGACCTCATGTTGTAGCTCATAGATACCACAATTCATGTATAAAACAAATTAAAATGATCTTGTTTGGTCTGAACACAATTCTAATCAAACTTATGACAGACTAAATTCACTTTCAAAAAAATGTTGTTGTTTTTTTGTAAATAAATCTCTAACCCCTTCACCCATGTTCTTCTAACCTTCACTGACTCCATGAATTGATGCCCATCTCCTAAATATTTGGTCACATGATCAAGTCCTTTTACCATTTACAAGCAACAGGAGGTGGCTCAACTTACCCCACTCTCCCATATGCAAACAACTCAGTCAGTGTGAATGGACTTCTAAATTTTGTGAAAGTGCTGATAAGTCATGAATAGGCCTCTGAAATTTTGAGATTTGTAACCGAAGACTGTCGCTATGTCAAAACAGTTTAAGGAAGGATTACATGCACAGTTTGTGAATCTCTACTGCAGCCTAGTGGAGAACTATCAAAAATGATTGCATCTTGTGAAGCAGGTTTTCTCTCCTCTGAAAGTGACCGTAAAGGAAGTGAAGAGGTGTGAAAATTAAACACTAAACATGCAATGAAGTTATTCTTTTTCACTTAAAAAAAGGGGTGCATTGTGCTTTAAAAGTATTGAAAACACAAAAGAAGTCAAAACAGATTCAAACAGACAAACACAAACAATACTTTCCCTTTTAGACCTACGCTGACATGCTGAATTATCCTCACCACTCATCAGTCACATCAGTCTCTATCACGTATGTTTAGAGAATGATCTGAGCTGGATTCTTCACACACTGATATATCGAGAAAAAGTGTGTGTGTGAGCATGTGTGTGTTTGTGTGCAGTGCAGAAAAAATGTGAAAGAGCCAGTACGGCCTGCAGGGCAAATGTGTCCTTTTGTTCCCTTCTCCTGTTGTCCTGTCCGCCCTTGTGTTTCCTTCACCTGCATACTCAGGAACAAAACATTATGGCCCCTACTCCACCCGCCGCAACAGACATGAAATTCCTGTCATACAACCTTGAAGGAGGTGAGCTCAAAATGTACATAAAACATTAAAATGTTAACTCTGTCTTTGCCGTCTGCTCTTTGTGAGAATCCTAAGGAGAACTGAGTGTTAAAAATTCAAGTGTACAGACTGAGTTAAAAAATGTTGTTTTTTCAGAAGTAGGATTGTATGCTGTTAACTGATTGATCTGAAAGCCTGGGCTGAGACATGATAAGAGACGAAGAGAGCAGGGATTGAGACACACAAACAGGCTCGTCTACATACTTCTGGTCATCCGGTTTGTCAGCCGAGATGAGTGAAGTTAGGCAAAGAATGACACACACAAAGAGCCTTGTTGTGTAACTAGTTATCCTCTAGAAATGTACGGAAAAAAAGGCTACACTAACACAATATGGTAAAATATCCCTCATGAATATGTGATGGTTATTGAATCCAAGAATCAGAGCAGCAGATGAGTGACAATGACCGATCTTTTATTGACTCTTTGACCCAATATAGCAGCTCCGTCTATAAAATCAGACAGATTTCCTTTGGTAAATTCATTATTTATCTTTACTGAACGCCAGGCTGTTAAGTCAGGAAAGTACTGCTATAGTAGGGGAGACTGGGGCTTGTTGTCACACTTTTTACACTCTTGTATATTACATGGAATCAATACATCATATGTAAACAAAATGTGTACCAGATGAAAGACCAAAGTCTCAGGTATATATTTAATATTTATGTCATTTCCATATCATGTGTCAGTGCAGAGTTATAAGTAATCAAATAGAGAGTGTGAACATGTGACATGTTGACCCCCCAGTGGGTAAGTTGTTTCACTACATGGGGTAAGATGTCACAGTGGATTTTGCAGCTTATAAAACAAGAACAAAATAATTGTTGTTTTTGATTTAGAAAAAGTCATTGAACAAACGTTTACATAAAATATTATACAACATGCTCTTGAATTTTTGAGCGCTGTCTGAATCTGTATTTTGACTGGGGTGGATGTTTTGCAGTACTGAGCCAAGGTATGGTAGTTGACATTAAAGTCCTTTATTGTACTCCAGATTGATTTATTAGTTAGGGTCACCTGTCAGACTGTCCTCAGTATCATTGTTTTTCTTTTGTAATTCCTGACCATGTCTTTACACTTTCTCCCCTCCTTTAAACCACTCTTTTTTTCTGTAAAAATAAAGTCAACATTTCATAAAGACAACCGCTGATAAACAGACTCTTTATATTACTTTAAATCCCTTTAAAACATGTGATAACTAACCCCAAAATGGCTGAGACATGTTGCCCCAAACTATCATGTTTGGTAATTCTAGCTCTGGTTTAAAGTTATCTTAAAACAGAACAATGACTGAGGTATGACAGGATGCTTTAATCTCTCCTCTAACAAGTCCACATGTATCACTGTGAGGATTTTAATCCGGAAGAAGCTTATTTTAAAATATATAAGGTTAATTTTTTTCTACTTTAGGTTGTGTGAAATGGTTAACTGGCGCTTATCTCTGCTCACAATGAGCTCTTCTTAGACAGGATACAACCCCTGACCATGTACAGGAATAAAACTAGTACTCCACTTTTTAGTTGTGCCCTCTGGTGGCAAAGATAATTGCAAAGTGACCATTTATTTATGTGACAACAAGCCCCGGTCTCCCCTACACGTTGCATTAAATGTCAAAATCACCCTCAGACAGGCAAACAGGCCAAAATTAACTTTGGGTGCACAACTTTCTCACTGCCTACTTGCTGCTATACTCAATGCCTTCTTAATAAATATATTTAATATAGTATTGAGTCTGTTTTCATCTAGTTTTAATGAGGTAAATCAAATGAAGCCTGTGAAGTTCATTTCAGTGTCACAGCTCATATTTCCTTGTGTTACAGGCCGCAGCCCACCCAAATGTTGTTGGTTCATCCTCTGATTTTAATCTGAGCTTCATTTCCTGGTTCAGCCTCTGTCACTGCTCTGTTGTTATTGTAAAAGCAGATGCAATCTCCGGATTAAAAGAGAGAGAGAGAGAGAGAGAGAGAGAAAACTGAAATAATCCTCATTTCACTGAGGCGACGTCACCGTTTACAGCCTAAAAACGGAGGGTAACCAAAAACACCGAAACACCCACAGAGCAATGCGAAAATGACAGAGCGGATCTTAATCACACATCAGGAGGGAAATAGTGTCGTGGGTGTGGGAGGATGTCCGCAGAGGGAGCAGACACGCCGATGATGATAAAGGTGATGATGATGATGATGATGGTTTTCTCCACCTTGGGGGAGGATCCGTGAACGTAACGCGGCGCAGACACGCTCAGTTCGCATTTCGCTCTTCCTCCTTCTTCTTCTGCTGCTGCTGAGCTCCTCCAGTCTGAGTCCGGAGATGCTTCACACACTCATAACCTGGACTGGAGAGAGGAGAAAACTCTGAGAATTACCGGACGGTTCGGGTGATTTTTGGCTCATTAGGTCTTTTTTTTTAGTTGAATCCATCGTCGTGGAAACTCGAGGATGAACACTTTGAACGCCCGGGTGAGGAGCAGGCGGACTGAAGCCAGCCTGGGAGCGGAGAGAGAGCATTTTGACAAACAGCAGGTACATTTTAGAAGACATTTAATCCTTCATGATGGATAAAAAAAGGTTTATTCAGAGCTTTAGTGGCTGGGCTGGGTGTTTGAGATAGTCTGTGTCTGTGTCTGTGTTTGTGGTGGTGGCGCACCGCATAGGCCACATTAACACCTGACTATTTCCCAGAGAGAGAAACACCTGCTGAAATCTGAAATATTAAGAGATTTTATTATTATTATTATGAGTAAAAAAATGAACAATCCTTTCTATAATCCTCTGTGAAGTGTGTCCATCAGTATCAAGCTGATCTAGTCCTTCCTGTTTGACCACCTGTCCTCCCTCACACACACACATTTCTTTTTTTTTAACAAGCCTGTGATTGGATAAAGAAAAGGATTGATCACATTCCTGTAAAAAAACCTTAGAAATTTAATCCAGTTTTCTTAGAAAGTGAGCACTGAAGGAATGAGGAACATACAACAGGTGCTTTGTGGTTGGCTGATTCCTCCCTGTAGTCATCCAAGTCAACTCTAGTACGGTGGCCGAGAACCGCCACTGCTACAATTAAAAAATAAAAATAAAATAACAAAAAAAAAAAAGTAGCGATGGAAAAAAAGTTAATTACTGCGAAAATAAAAGGATGCAAAAAAAAATTTACAACAGAAGTTAACGACGCAAAAAAAGAAAGTGGCGATGGGGAAAAAAAGTTACTTACCACGAGAAGCCATCACAGAAGTGAGATGCCGGGGACTAATAATAATGATGCACTAGTGTTTACGATCTAGGCACAGAAGACGAGATGAGAAGACAAGCAAAACAGTAAGTGGAAAGGTTATTGTTTAATTTCGCTTCGTAAACTTTTTAATGTGTCCTTTGGTGAGGCCGTGTAGCACCTGAGTCGATATGAAGTTGAACTGGAGGAGGCCGGTGTCGTGTTAGCTTCAGTTCAACTTCATATTGACTCAGGTGATATATGTCCAAACCAAATGACACCAAAAAGTTTACGAAGCGAAATTTAACAATAACCTTTCCACTAACTACTTTGCTCTCCTTCTTGCCATCGTCTTCTGTGCCTAGATCGTAAAAGACCGCTGCATCATCATTATTGGTCCTCGGCAGCTCACTTCCGTTATGGCTTTTTTTATTTTCAGTGGGCTTCTTTTTTTCATTTTTTTTTGTATCAGTAAAGGTCCTTACACACCGGAGCGTTTTTTTCGTGCGATTATTTCGGATGTCAATATTTTTTTCGAACCCGTATCCTGTCAATACAAGCGTTAACATCAGCGACATTTTCCCGTCCTGTGATGTTGCGGCATTTATTTTTTCGTATCACGGTCGAATTTTCTAAAGTTTTGCATACTGTGTGTCCACTTGTGACCAATCAGATTGCGTGTTGTTGCGATGTCAGATTCACTGGTATATCCAACATGGCCGACCTGCTGATTGTTAACGTGTCGGAGAACAGAGTACTTTTTGATAAAAGACACAAATATTACAAAGATAACCACCTGAAGGACGACTTGTGGAGAGTCATAGCGTCAGATTTCTCATATGACGATGGTTTGTGTTCTTTAACAGTTTGATAAACGTCTTTGTTTTAACTTTCATCTGTGCTAAGTAACTTTAGCTCGTAAGCTAACCTGTTCAGATACAACATACCGTATGTATTTTCACTGTAAACTCAAACTCAATCACAGTGTTGTTGTCACAGCACCATTAGGTCTCAGTTGTTACCTTACATTTATGGATTATAGTTTAATGTGCTTATCTGGTACTGACCCCGACTCAGTACATGCTATCATGACAGACAGACATCTCAACACTAGAGTCTAATCAGGACCGAAAAACACTCAGTCTGCTGTTGTGTCAGTCTTTTCGCTTTCGCCCGGGACGTGTCTTTATGCCCCCAGAAAGTCGCAAAATTGCATTGCGCTTGATGGCGCATCAAAATTCGCCTTTTGAATATTTCGTAATTTTGCGTCGTATATTTGCGTCGCTCCCAGCCCTAAATTCCGTTGTGACTTTTTTTATTTTGCATTCTTTTCTATTTGCAGCAGTGGTGGTTCTCGGCCACCGTATTCAAGTCTCTCCCACCGTCATGCATGTGAGGCTGACATTCATGGATCCTAACGAGATTGTTTGAGTCTGTTGGAGGTGAATATGAGCAGCTGTTAAAAAATGAAGCACACACCTAAGTTTGACTAGGTTTGAAATGAGCTTGACTAACCAAACAAGATGTTAAACAGCTGCCTGAGTTCAGACGTGCTTCACAGTCAGTGTACGCTCTCTAATAAAGGGGTGTGCTTTTCAGCATATTTGCTTTGTGAGCACTTGACCAGAAGTAGGCCTGAGGTGTTCATCTCCCTAAAATAGATAAAAATAATTAGATGTTATATTGTTGTGATTTCTCTTCTCACCTTTTTCCTTATTTTCAGCATATCTTGGTTCACTGATTGTAGAAATGGTCCATTTTGGATCAACACAGGCCATTGTTGCCTCAATAGTTCCCATGCTGTGTGGCAAATATTTAACATGGCATGGTGTGAGTGAAGGACAAGTGTTCAAGCATTTGAGCTTATTCAGTCTGAAGTCAAGAAGTGAAACGAGTTGGATTAACATCTTTGAGTGGTTGTTGTTAGTAATATGACTGACTGACTGAGCAGTGTGCTCACCTGGTTGTTTACTGGGCAACATACAAATAAAACAGTGGGAGAAAAAAGTCCTGATTTCTGCTTGGCCACCTTCTGACATTATGAAGGGAGGTTTGAAAAAAGACTTAAGCTGAGTTTCCAGGTATCTGTAAGTCACTATTTCATTTTTAAACGCTTTTAGGCCACGTCTTTACTTTGTACTGCTTCAAAACAAGTGACCAGTATTATTATTTTTTACTTTGAAATAACAGTAGCTGTTTGAAAGAGAAAACAAATAAATTCATGGTTGTATAGTCACAACATCTGATGTCAGGATTCAATCAAAGCTGAGCCAAGTTTAACTTAGCCTTTCTATAGCAACTACTGAACAGAAACATGAATTCAGATGTGGTTAAACTTTAAATAGCCTGTATTTAAATATGTCGATTCAACAGGAAATATGATGCTAGATTTTCTGTTTTTAACTTCTCATGACTCAGACAAGAGTAAGCCATGTAATGTGACAAAAATGAAGTGAAAGATAAGGATGGAAAAAAAAGATAACAGGGGAAAAAGTCAACCACAAAGTAAAATGATGTAGTTAAATACATGTCTAAGACTAGGACTAGGACTCTAAGACTAACGCTAAAGTGAAAGTGAGTAATCCTTGTTCTATGGTACAGCTTTTTTAAGTCCTTCATAGTTTGTTTGTTTTTTGCATTTAATACTCCTAATAGTTTTAATTTAATAAAGTGAGTTTTAGTTTGTTCAGAAACACTCATTAGTATCTTCTCCTGAAGCCTTTTGGTACCATGTATTTCACGTAAATAAAGAGCATAGATATCTTATTTGACTCAAACTGTACATCTGACGAATAATTAAATAGCCATTTAATTGAGACTCATATATTTGATTAGGCAGCTGTTTGTGTGTTTCTTTATTAGATGAGTATTTACTGTGAGTTTCTCAGTTCTGCTGATTCATCCGGCACACAACTCCTCTTCTGTACTTCACTCCCTCTCCAGTGTTCGCTGCTCTGTATGTCGTCCTCGGTACCAAGGTGAAACGTCTCACACAGTGTCCAGTGTGTGTGTCTGTGTGTGTGTGTGGGTTTGTGTGTGTGTGTGCAGTGTTTGCTCACCCTCGCTCCTGTTGCCTGAGTGAGCGCCCATGAGAGTGGAGGGGGGATGGGAGTACCACAGGGTAAACACAGGGCGCCTATATGAGTGGGAGTGAGGAGAGAATTAAAAGCACTTTGGTTATAGTTAATGAACTCGCTCATAAAAAGTCTGTTTTGTTAACCTTTTTTTAAATGAATCTGGAGCTCTGTGAAGTTTCAAAGTATGTTAGCTAATCCTGATTACATCTGTGTCAGAGTCGAGTGTGAAAAGGTGTCCACATCGTTCCTGTTACCTCATCTGCATGTTCTCCTCAATATAAGACCTTCAAAATCACATCGTAGCTCTGATATATTACAGTATTGATGGGTAGTGGTTCACATTTTTGTGTCTTAGCTGGTGTAATAGCTCATAATTATGAACATCATGTGAATCACAAGCTAACTCACCAGCTCTCTGATGGGGCCAAGAAGTAATCCGGTTACTGACAAACAGTTCACTTTTTGATGAATATTTTTCAGAGTTCGTAATTCAATTAGAAGCCAAACGGAAACAAAACTCAATTATAAAACAAGTTGTAGGAACCAAAATATATTTGTTGAAAGTATGATTTCTGTAGGTACGTCACTTGAGGGATGTTTGGAGGGTTATTTAAATCTCACCGATGTAGTCATACGATGGGGTTTTAGGTAAGCTCTGATAATTTTCTGTTGACTGTTTTTCACTGTTTCACTCATCCTCATTTTATCGTATCACTTTTTCATTCAAAAGCAAACATTTGGGCCCAGATCAGTGTGTTCTCTTTTCTTTTTTGGAACAATAAATTACTTTTTTAAGACTCAAACTGGACTGATAATTGAACGAGTCACAGATGCAAGCGAACCTAAACCCCAGCGGCCTTTTTGTTGAAGGAAAGCAGTCGCTGCACAAGTTATAAAGCTCTTTCCTGAAATTTTGTGCCGTCTGTATGTACTGAAATATTATCTGTTTACAAATGAAAACAAATATCTCACAAGCGTTTGCAGATTTACTTTTGACCTGGCGTGTGCAGTTTTCACTGTCATGTTTGTATTTTTAGTCTCACATGTTAAATAGAAAAATCTCAGGAATTGCACTTTTGCCAAAATAGACCTATGGTGTTTTTCAGGGGGTGGGTGGGTAAGTGCCTTTCTATGAATTTTACATCTTTGGAGGTTTGATTTGGGTTGATATGGAGCGCATCACTCAGACTTTGTCCTTTCAGATTGAATCTGGTGTGTGAGTTTGTTGGTTTGAGTTATTACTTGTGTTGATATGGGAGAGACTGTTGAAGAGGAAGGAGTAAAACTAAAAGAATTTAATAAGATACCACGATAGCCTTGTAAATTATTCGCTCTGAGGAAGAATATTGTCTAGAAAAAGTTGTTAAATGTTTCAAAAGCAGAGTTTGTTAAACTGTTGGTATTTCCATGTCGAGCTACCCTCACCTTCTGTGTTTGTGAGCTGTGGTTAATTCTGTTTGTGTCCTTGTCAGCCAGATCCTCTGCAGCAGTCTGTTGAATTAAGCTGATAAGGAGATGCAGTAAGTGCGCTCGCTGTGGTGCGTTATGTCCAGCTATAGAAGCAGCTCTTGTGTAGTAGAGATGATGATCAGGCTTTAACTCGCTCTGCCTCACCAAGATTTAAAGGCTCCAAAAATGTTGCTGAAAGGTGGAGAGGAAGAGGTCAGCAGAAAGGTAGGCGGTATCGATGCAGACTGTGCCTTGAGTGTGGCTACAGTAATGCTAGCTGGCAGTAGACCTTATGGCGGTCCTGGGGGATTAGTCCAGGCTTTCCCTCCCTCTCACTTCTCCTCTCTGCAGCTCGGGGGATTTAGTGAAGCCTGAACCAGATGCAGAGCTAACTTGTCGAGCTGCCACACGGTTGACGGTGTCAGCATGTCCGGAAAGCTTCGAAGGAAATTCTCTGTTAGTGAAAAACTTTGGATTTGATCTAACTTACCTTTGACCATGGCTCTAAGGAGATGGTATCTGTGTGTGTGTGTTTGTGTGACCTGTGTGGAGGTTGATGTGGGGCTTGATAGTGACACTTGTGTCATGTGCTGTAGCAGAGCTTTACTGAATCCTCAGTTACAGTGATAATGTCAGAGCGAAACTAAAACTATGAGAGCTGTAAAAATCAAGGAAAGGCATTTGATTAAGCAGGATATATGTATATGCATGCTTAATAATGACTATGTGACACCAATGCGTGTTTGGGTTTAACATGTTGCTTTTTAGGTGTATGTTGAGCATGAGTTACAGTTACATTTCTCCTTTAATTTTTATTTTCCCAAGTCAAATTTTAATGCTTTTTCTCCCCCATGAGGTTCATCTGATTCTTTGTTAATTAGCTCAACTTGTCGCCTAATATTTCTGACCTTGATGGCTTATTTGAGATTTGTATACCACAGTCAAACAACATGATTTGTTTCACCAGATGCATGCCGATGTAGATAATCACAGGGTTGTCTTTTTCCATCATTGACCCTCATAGACATATGAAAATATCCCTAATGCTTCTAATATTCTGTAGTTTAACGTAATTATTGGAAGATGAAGGTTATTGAAGTGAATTGAAACCAAAGACCAGTATGATTCTGTTACAGTGTGGGAGTGTGTTTTTGTTTTTGAACATAAGCTGCAAAGGGGAAATAGTTTAACACATAACTTAACAACTAGAATAGTCGACAGATAAATAGAAGAGGGAAATGGTGCCAAATTTTAATCACCTACCTATCATTGTTTGGTAGCTAAAGTTAGAATTTAGCCACTCCCTGTCTAACGCTGCTGTTTGACGCTGTTACACAACAAGATATGAAAGGCGTGATCAGCAAACACTGATGTTAGTTAGCTAAGTGTGCAAGCCAAAGTAAGGTGACCAGACATCCCAGATTTCGCCAGCTGCAAATTTTTTTTGTTGGCTGGTAGGGGAAGGTCCCGCCTCCTTCACCTCTGATTGGCTGGAAGTGCTGGGTTTCGATTGGTTATTCCTTATGGCTGTGAAACGTCATCATCTGTCGGGTTTGGAGATTTAGAAGTGCGATAATGTTCTGTAATGTTCTGTTCTACGTACAGAGCCAACAGCCCGCGCTCGGCTTAGCGTATGTTGACGTTTCCAGCTCTTCTAGCCAATCAGAGGCGAAGGAGGCGGGACCTTTCCTACCATCCTACAAAACAAAATATCACTCCCAGGCTAAAGGGAGTGAATTTAAGCATTTTAACAAAAACATAACAAAATGTTGCGTGTAGACAAGAAAAACGATTGTTATGGTAGTTGAGTAGGTAGGAAGCAGGAGTAATGCTGCGGACGAGTTACTTCAGAGGTCAGATGTCGGAACTGAAAATGACGTCACACCCAAGTTCCGAGCATTTTAGTTACCAATTCGGAAAAAAGCCAAATCGGAGGCCTGAAACAAGATGGCTACATCTACAAAAGTTATTGTAGCGCTTGCCTTATATTCGGACTTGGTAGGTGCTAAAATAACTTTCATAGATGTCGCCATCTTGTTTCTGCCTCTGATTTTGCTTTTTTTCTAACTTGATAACTGAAACACTGGGAACTCGGGTGTGACATCATTTTCAGTTTGGACTTCTGACTTCTGAGGTAAGCACGAGTAAGCATGTTGAGCGCAGTCTTTGTATTTCTTGGTCACCTTAAGCTGCTGTAGTGATGAGTATGTTTCACCTTCACCTCATGCTGCCACTGATACCCTCCTCCTCCTCCCCCTCAGTCCTCTTCCTCTCGCCCTGCTCTCTGACTGACAGTCATCCTGAATGTACTATGAGCGTCTCCCTGCAGCCTCCCTGCTCAGCAGCCATCTGTTGAGGCCTCAGTGCCAGCCTCTGTGTGCCAGAGCGCGGCCCCCATCCAACCCAATCTTCTCCCCCAGCTGTCCGCCTTCCTCCCCAAACAAACCCCTCATTGTTACGCGGGCCTGCATGCTCGCCCGCTGCACTTGCCCTGAGTAAACGAGCGACTAGCGGTTCATTTGCGTCAGAAGCTTGCTGCTGGGGGAGTCTCCCACAGACCAGTGCACCCATCTCTCTCTATGAACGCCACAGTAGATAGACCTCCTGGACTTAGTTGCATGGTTGTGTATATTTGATAGATCTGTGTGTGAGTAGGCGTGGGGGATACTCCCTGGTTTTTGTAATGCTTAAAAGAGGCTTTTACTGGGTTTGCCTGGATTATGTCCCTTCCTACTGATTTGAGATTATGTTACAAAGATGTGACATGGATACTGAGCTTTTGTTTGAGGTTAAGGCCAAAGAAAACCAGGGTCTCTCTGCTGCTCCTCGTCTTCGTCTACATATTATGGCCGGTTTTAAACAGGAGGACGACTGTTATACAGACGAGGCTGAGGTTTAAGATGCTGCTGCTGCAGTAATGCTTTAACTGTGCGCTGGATTAGTTTCTTATGTAATGCTGATGCTAAAGCCGGTTTGCCAACATCCTAAAGATACAGCAGTGTCCGAACAGATGTAATAAAAGGATACAAGCCACAAAACAAGAAGAAGATAGTTTGTATTATCGTGCATTTGTGGATTAGAGAGCATGATGTTTGTTTTTTTTAATGACTAAGGTTTTGTGTCCTTGAATTTGGGCTTGTGTGAGTTTGGCAGTCATGATTCACAGATGCAGACCAAATTTTCAAACCTTCACTAAAACTTGATTATTTCTGCACGTTCAAGTCAGATCCTCTGCAGGCCTTTTGTTATTTGAGCAACAGTCAGACTGGCTTTGTTTCCAGATTGATGCACTTAAGTGAAAAATCGTGCGGATGCATTATTAATGATAAGTAATACCGACACTCCAGAAAGGTCAGTTTGACAAAGAAATTGGCGCTAATAATACGAGAATTACTGAAACAAACACTTTCTGCATTTTAGATTGTATGAGCCATTTTATCTGTATTATTTTTTGGGTTAGAAAAAAAAAGAAAAAGGGAACAAAGGAACATGGGACAGTTCTTACCCCTAATTTTGCAAGTGGTTAACAGAGAGGTCCACATAGTCTGTTTATTAAGCTTCAAGCTCCTTAAACTCCATTTCCTCAATTTTTGATGAAATTTCGTCCATGTTCATCCACTGACAGCCTTTTTCCATGCAAAAATCACGACCTTGAATAAATAAACATCTCCTTGTTCTATTACTTTCTCAGGTATGGCTCCCAAATACATGAACTTGGGATCTCTTTGAATAATATAGTGCAGGATTTTTCCCAGAGTCTCGTTCACTTCAGTTGTATCTTTACACATGACCAGAAAATATGGGTATGAGTGGCGTCTTCCTGGCCACACTGCCTCCAACAGTGTTGTATTTTTGTTTAGATATTTACCAGTGATATGTGGTGTTAGAAAGAACGAGATAAATTCTTCCATCCAAAAAGACGCCAGTTTTGAGAATTAGTAGAGGTGTTTTACACATGGAGAGCCACTCATCTTATACTCATTTCTAATTCCTCCAAAAACATTTGAAATGATTTGATTATAGAAAAGAGAGAAATCTAAAGTTTCCCTCCAAGTTTCAGAGTTCTCACTCAGTACCTGACAGCAGTCTGGAGCTGCTGGAGTCTTTGTTTTCGCTCACTTGAGTTGAACACAAAACAAACTCCCTGTATTAACTCTTTGCCTCCTCTCTTTAAGCTGTAAAGTCATGAACACAGAAGGGGAATAACTGAAAGGAGCACTCTACTGTAACACGACCACACTGGTCTGTGATCATATTGCTTTCTGGTTCTCCTGTGCTGCTGGACCTAAGGTTCATTTAAATGTGGAGAAGTATATCCAGGAGTGAAGATCCAGACTCGGCGTGTTTGTGTGTCACTCCCTTCCTGCTCCTTTTTTCAGCGACCCTTGTTCTACCTGTCGAGCAGGTTGTTTGTAGCAGCTCACTGTGTGTCTTGTGACGATCGGTGTCTCTCTCTTAGGCTCATTATCAGGAGGATTTATGAACATGTGAACTTGGGATTTGTCTGTTTTAAACTGAACTTGTATTAAAAAGAAAACATGAGATTGAACCCTCCCCTCATTCATATCGGTGTGTCAAATTAGTGACATGAAAAGCAGTTGAGTCACACTATTTTGGTCTGTAATATTCAGTCAAAGTGTGAGGTAAGAGCAGAACAATGGGCGATACGGCAGTGTGGGGACAGTGCAGAGTCACTGTCCGGCTGAGTCATCGCTGTCGTTGCAGCACAGGATGTTATCTGTTTAACTCCTGCTCCTTATTTAACCTGAATTTAACTCCTCTTTCCTCCTCTTCCTCTTCCTCTTCTCTTTTCAGCTGAGCAGCATCAGCAAAGCCATCAACTCCACAGAGACGCCTGTGAAGGAGAAACATGCACGACGTATCTTTTTCAACTGTTAAGATCAGTTATACAGATTTCCTGCCTGTTTGCCTTAAAACTGAAAATCTTAAGCATTGCATAGCTCTTATTTTGTCCTCCATATCTGCACAGTCAACGCATACTGTTACGTTATTGTGAAATTGGTGCATAACAGGCATAAGTGACCAAGCAGTCTTTTTAGTAATAAGCTCCAGGACTCCTTCTGTGTGCTTCTTTAACATAACAACAACAGGAATCATCCTCGGGACTCACAGGGAGAAAGGAGCTTACACCTTCTGGTCTTACGCTCTGGGGTTCCCTCTGGCCAGCAGCTCCATCCTCAGCTGGAAGTTTTGCCACGTACTGCATAAAGTCCTGCGGGACGGACACCGCAATGTAAGCGCAGAGCAGTCCTTTTTTTTTTTTACTGCAGGGGGAGAGGGGGGATATTTTGGGCTTTTATGACTTTTATGAAGAGAGAAGAGGACAGCAGGGGAAGTAGGAAGTGAGGGAAGAGCAGAACAACCTCTAGAGCACATAATATCATAGGGCTGGGCGATATGGCCTCCAATCAGTATCACGATATATTGATCAGTTCACCTTGTTAACGATAAATGAACGATAACTACTCCACAAGCTGCTCACCCACTACCACATTAACTTTGTCTACTTCAGCCGCTACAACTTTTGAACCGTCCTCCATCTCCTCACCTGTCTTTCCCTCTTTGTTACGGATGTAGGACAGCGTCTTAAAGAGACATGAGACCATAGCCTACCTACACACATCCAAATGCAACTTTTATTTATTTACATTTTGACACTGAATGTACCGATATGGGCGAAATTACGTCGGTAAGTGTCGTAAATTTTGGTATCTGTACATTTCCGGTTTATCGCCCAGCCCTATAATATCATATTCATAGATAAGATTTAAAATGTGTGTACCCAGTAGGTGTTTTTATTCAAGGCAAAGGTGTTTTCTCTTGTAAGTAATCAAATCCCACTTTTTCAAGAGAATCAATATAGAATGATGAACTAAAGTAGGTCTATATTCCTGAAAAACAAAGAGAGGATTATTCACTGAAGCTGTCACGTGAACAGGTCCTTCAAGACTGCATGAGACACCACAGCTCTCTGGTTGAAATTGGGAAACTATGGGTGAGTCTCAGAATCTTTGTTTTCTACCTCAGCTAAATTGAAAATGTCTGAAAATAGTAAAGAGTTTTAAAAGTAAGCTTCAACAGGATCTGCATCTGTCTGACTCAGTCTCTTTTAAAATCTTTTTAATGTCGGCTCATGTGATTCTTTTTTTCAGAGCAACCTCCACGACAGATACGGACAGCTTGTTGTTCTGTACACCAAGCTGCTTTGTACAAAAATGGAGTTTCACGCGAAGGTAAAAGCCTCCTCTGTTTTCAGTCATGAGTAAGAAATTAATGAACGGTGTGTGTATGAGAATAAGACCTCAGCATCCAAAAATGTCCCCCTGCAGCACTCAGAAATCCCACCAAGCCTGGAGGTCACAGATGAGGTCCTGGAGCGCACTGCAGGAACCGATATTAATAATGTGTGAGTGTCCAAGTGTTGAGCCTTTATTGTTGATAATAGCAACAAGGCCGTTTTTTTCTCGTTTGATCTCACAGGGTCACGTCATCGTTGTGTCTCAGCGGAGCCTCTTGTCTGTCTAACAAAGGTATCAACTTCTCTCCTGCAGGTTCCAGCTCACAGTGGAGGTGTTTGATTACATGGACGCAGAGCTGAAGCTGGCCGAGACAGGTGAAAACAAACTCCTCCCACCTTTTCCCCGATCCGACTCTTCCAAGGAAGTGAAACTCGAGCTACAGAGGAGAGCTGCTGCCCGCTGACATTATCTATTTATGCGCTAAACCCACTCGCCCTTTACAGAAGTGATGTTAGGGACTCTTGTCTTGGCTGTTTTCAGCTGTATGACCTACTTTTCTCTCACTTTTCTTGTTGTCCCTAATGGATTTGAGCTGATGAGGAAATGCCTGCAATTAGGGGACATTTGGTTGATTTCCTTCAGTTTAACTGTGGCGGTGTGCTTTTCCCAGGCCTGCAGGGTGGAGTCCTAGGGTCAAGTTTCAGCACTATAAACAAATTTTGCTGCCATACTTCAAAATATACTCTGATTTGTGCTGTGGAGTCATTAAATGTCACCACACCAGTTTTTTAGGCGTCAATGTGCGACAGTAATCCTCACTTTCTAAACCCAGACAATAAGCCCCCCAAACTTAATGTCGTCTTTTTGCTCTTCCTGATCTCTCCTCCAGTAATCCGACAGCTCAACACATCCATCGCCATCTCCACCCTCACGTCAGGCCAGTGTCGGCTGGCTCCTCTCATCCAAGTGATCCAGGACTGCAGCCACCTCTACCACTTCACTGTCAAGCTGCTATTCAAACTACATGCCTGTAAGAACAAATCGAACAAAGTCCCACTCCGATCTTTTTACTACTTAAAGTGTTCTCAGTGGTCTTTAAATTGTGATTATGAAGTTTTTAGTGTCATTTTCAAAGACTTTTCTTCTGCAGAGCTCCAGTAGCTCATCAGCAATTCACCTCTGAGTTGTGGGCGGAGTCAGCGCTGCTCTGCACACTCCTCTTCATGCTAGTTTGTAGCCTAACATTGCTGGTGTAGTTGAAGGGGCAGGTAACATAGGAGCTATTCAGCTCTCGGACACTAATGTCTTTGGGGACATGATGAAAGTTAATATCATAATTAGCTTTCTTACGAGCATTGCAATCCGCTAACACACACACTTGTTCCACGATCGTCCTTTTTACTTTTCCAAGTTTGGCTTGCAGAGCGGGGCTCCGGGGGTGGAGCTCGGATTTGCTACGTAAGAAATCTCACTGAGGCCCTGTTTATTTGCACCCGATTATATTTAAAACATTTGCTGTGTTCGAGTTACCTCGGAAGTCAGAAGTCTGAGCTGAAAATGACGTCACACCCGAGTTACCAGAGTCAGAAAAAATCGGAGGCCTGAAACAAGATGGCTACATCTACGAAAGTTATTTTAGCGCTTGCCTTATATTTGGACAAGGCTACCGGTTAGTGTGAACAAAAACTTTTCTGGAAACGTAGTGGTGTGCGTGCAGTTTGTTTTGTAAATGGAGAAGGTGAAATGTCCCTTTATGAAAATAGCCAGGCACGTGCAAACTTAGTCTTAATCTGAACATGTCGTTTGCGTCTGTGAGAGATTCACAGAGATTTGAATTCAGAAATACTCAGAAATAGAATTTCACACTTACTTTTCTCATGATATGTCCTGTAGCATCAGAAAAATGACATCTGAACATGAAGATTTTCATCGGAGTGGGTCTTTAAAATTCTGGCATAGATTTTCAACGTGTTTCTTATCCTTGCAGAAAACAAACAAATGAACTGTAGTTTTATTACGGGCTTTTTTCTTGTTATATGTTCCATTTCTGTGAGCATAATTCAAACATCGATCCATGTTTTTTTAATGTCAGGTCTCCCTGCTGACACTTTACAAGGACACCGTGATCGTTTCCATGACCAGTTCCGCAGGTAGGTCACCCACACCTTCAGACTGTGACTGAATAAACATGTAAAACAGAGAGAATAATGTTATTGCTAAAAGAAGTGTGCAAACATAATATAATCCTGCCTCACCCATTCACCACAGCGCTGAAAACAGATGCAAATCTGTCCCTCGCTGTCCCCAGTCTGTGTCCCTGTACCAGACTCTGATTATGTAACTGATTTACTTTTTTAAAGGGCTTTTCATGTCGCATTCATCCACCCACAAAAGGACTTAACACTGATTCGTCTGTGGTGTTTGTACATGAAAACAAAATGAGAGTAAGTTATCGTTCTTTGTCCCGCAGTCTGAAGACCTTCTTCAACAAAGCGAGAGACATGCTGTACTTCAAGAGGCTGATCCAGATCCCAAAGCTGCCTGATGTAAGAGCACAGAGGGATGACTTCAGTTCTGACTCACAGTCTGTATTTTAAACTCCAAAGATGTCGCCGAAAAAACCTAAAAACTGCTGATGTTAGCTACAGTCCATAAGATACCCTCATTAAATCTATAGACAGGCTGGTGAAACGCCTATATTTACTCAGGTTTGACCTTTTACCCCCTTTTTTCTGTCTCTCTCTCAGTCTCCTCCAAACTTCCTGCATGCCGCCTCGCTGGCCAAACACGTAAAGCCGGTGGTGGTGATCCCCGACGAGGATGAACCGGAGCAGCAAGATGACGACGACGATGACCCTGAGCCGCTCATCGAGGTCAGCGACATGTCCTCATCCAGCATGCAGTCCCAGCCGCAGGTGAGACATCAGTTACACATGCATGAGTCAAAAGATGTGTACACCCGTTAACCTCATGACCGCCGTAGAGCTATTTTTAAATTTATGATTCCACTTTTTCAGCAACTTGATATATTTGATCAGACATTCGGACCCCCAAACGGAGGCTTCGATGACAGGTGAGCCACTTATTTTAAAGTTACTTGTTTCAGTCTGATTGTTTTGAGTCGGCCCCAGCACACCATGACTGTGTTTTCTTTCTGTGTTTTCAGGGATCTACAGATCGAGAGTCTGAAGCGAGACCTGGAGCTGTTGAGAGCCGAGCTGGAGAGAGTCAAAGCAGAGGTGAGGAGTGTGGAGCTGGATCACCTGGTGTCGAGGTTTCAGACTTTTTTCCTTCTCTAACAAGGAAGAGGTGTGACCGTAGATGGCATAATTATCTGTGTGCAGAGGAATCTGGGTCATGTACTGGGTGGATGAAAATGCTGCTTCTGGCATGAGGAATGTGGCAAGTAGCCTCTGAAAGAGACGAGGTCGTCCGCTGAAGAGTTTGGACACTGCAAAATCAAGCGAACAACACTTTTCTCTTTTCTCTCTTTTTCCTGTCATTCTTGTTTTTAGTTTTTTACCCGCACACCAGGTCAGGGAGTGAGATTTAACCGTGTCAAAGGACCAGTTAGTGAAGTTGGTCAAAAATAGTAGATCCTTTGAAATGAAAAAAAAGCAAAGTGGACTCTGGAAATTTGATCACAGGTGGACATCAGAAAAGAAAAACTGTCGATACTTAATCCCACTGTAAATAAAGTTAGTGCTTGTACACTCAGACTAAAAGATTAATCGTGAGTTTAAACGTCTTTTTCTTCTTCTTCCTAAAGGCTCAGCGCTACATCACTCAGCTGAAGTCCCAGATCAACAGTCTGGAGGCGGAGCTGGAAGAACAGCGCGCGCAGAAACAGCGAGCTCTCGTGGAAAACGAACAACTGCGCATGGAGCTGGAGGCTACGCGTCGCCGAAACGCAGAACACGAGAGCCTGCAGTCGACCTTCATCGAGGCGGAAAGTAAGACATAAAGTCAACAGTCTCTCTGTTTGTGTCAACAAAATGTTGTTGTGTTTGTGCATCAGCAGTGTCGTCTCGTTTCTCTACGCAGAGCGAGCGCAGGCCACCGAGCAGAGGTACAACAAGCTGAAGGAGAAGCACACAGAGCTGGTGTCCAGTCATGCTGAGCTGCTGAGGAAGGTACAAACACACTTCAGATCGTTGCTTTAGATTCCATGTCAGTTCCTGCCTGTTTGTACATTAAGTATACTCACATCATGCCAATTTTAAAATCTGTGTCTTTTAGAGTAGATTTTAAAGTTCTTTTGTTAGTTTTGAAAGCTCTTAATGGTCTTGGTCCTTCCTATTTGTCTGATTTGCTTTTACCATATGAGCCTGGTAGAGCCTTCAGGTCTTCAGGTGGTGGTCTTTTAATTGTTCCCAAAATAAAAACTAAAACTTGCGGTGAATCATCGTTCCAACATTATGGTCCCCATCTGTGGAACAGCCTACCTGCAGACCTGAGAGCGACACCTACGGTTCATATTCTCAAAAGTAAACTAAAGATCGACCTTTTTAGTCTGACTTTTAGTTGAATTTAGTTTTAATATTTTAATCTGCATTATGTGATTTTAACCTATTTTAGTCCGAGAGTAAATATTTTGTGTTTTATAACCTCTTTTTTTATTTGATTTGATTTTAAGACTGTTTTAAGTAATTTTAATGCTTTATCACCTTTATTTTATTTAATCATGGTTTTATCATTTTAGTCCTCGATCCAGTGTTTCCTCATCTTTTTTAACTCAAGATAGCGTTTCCTGAATTTCCTGAATGAGGGTTGGGAGGGTGGTTGGGGTTTGGTATTTATATTTTTATTAATTTTATTTATATATAAAAATGAAGATTGCTTTAAAAATTAAGTTTGATTGATTGATTGATTGATTGATTGGTTGACAGAGTGCAGACACTGTGAAGATGCTGTCAGCTACACAGCAGACTCAGGACGAGGTGGAGAGAACCAAGCAGCAGCTGTCGTTTGAGGTTGACCGGATAAAACAAGAGGCTGACATGAGGGTTGGTGGGACAACAGTTTGTTTTGAGAAACATAAAAGGATGGACTTGTGAGGATGTTCTTCAGCGATATTTTGTCGTCACTGTAGATGGAAGAGCAGAAGTTTGAGATGGAGAAGCTGAGGAGAGAGCTGAATGAGAAGATGGCAGAAATGACGCGGATCAAGGCGACTCTGCAGAGCAGTGAGATGGTGAGTGTGCACCTGTATCAGACTGTGAAACAAGAGCGAAAACAAGCCAGTGCATCATGGTTTAATATTCAGAGTGTTCACCGGCTCTGAGTCTGAAAGCTTGAGGCTCCGCATGGACTTTCCTCAGACACTCACAGCCATCTGCCTCTTCTGGCTTCCCTCATCTCTCTCTCTCTCTCTCTCTGTCTCTCTCTGTCTCTCTCTCTCTCTGTCTCTCTCTTTTTCAGGCTTCAGTGCAGGCGAGCAGCTCTATGACGGCTCTGCAGGCGGAGAAGGAGCGTCTGATGCGGTCCGTGAGCGAGAAGGAGGCGGAGCTGTCCTCTCTGCGGCAGGCCGCGCAGGTGCAGCAGTCGTCGCTTCAGCAGGAGCAGGAGAGGAGCAGCAAGGAGCTGCTGGAGCTGCAGAGCAAACTGCAGGAGAAGGTCAGTCAGGACGCTCGAGCAGAAATCAGCAGTGTGAGCAGAGAGGCTCCGCTTGACGTGCATTTAGTTTGATTCAGCAGAATTTAAAGTCGGCCTCCTTCAGATGAAGAAATAAAAAATCCTGAATCATCCTGAGGGTGACTGTGCATTTTTGTGCAGTGTGCTGGAATGCAAAGTTAAACAGGGACAAAGAAATCCTCCCAGCTGTAGTTGTGTCAAACTTCAGTTTTTCTCAATTTTGTCACATTATTAGCACACAGTCCAGATTTAGTACACCACAGAGTGAACTTTAGATTGCATAAGCTGTCCAAAATTCAAGAACAGACTGAGACAGACCAGGAAGAGTTCACTGCAGTGTAATCTGGAGTCTGTGCCCTAACTGGTTCTTCTGGATATAAATCTGGGCGGCACATGAACTCATAAATGAAACGAAGTGAGCTGTATAACCTTCATTTCTACCTTCATGATCTTTTTATGGTCTTCTTAGAGAAAAAGGTCCATAAAGTATCACCCAAGGTCAGGAAAAATATAATCCCTTAGTGTGGATTTTACCAAAATCAGGAAAAGAGCGAGACTCCACTCTGTCAGGTTCTGGGCATTTATAAAGCCTTAAGATGAAACATACAGGATCCGTATTGAGCGCGTTCCGTCAGCGTCGCGTCTCTGCTCCATAAAGCGTCACTGTCTATCGCATACAGGATGTGTATTTGAAGCATGGCAGCAAACGACGTGTTCACAGCAGGTTGTTTTTCCTTTCTGTGGTCGATTTCCTGTTAATTTTGATATAATTCAGTGACTGTTGAGCCTCTACTGCACATGAAAAAGCAACATGATTTTACAGTTTCGTTTTTTGCAGGTTTGCTGGTGTTTAATAAAGTAAACTATGTTCCTTTATGCTGTTACCTTCAGACAGAGTTAGCAGTTAAATGTCCTGTTGGGTCCACATGGATCAGGGATTGACCATCAGATTGTTCTGTGTTACTGATAAATCCATAAACAGGAAGTATTTCTCATCTATACCAACTGATCATAGGCTGTATATACTGTGGACATCTTGGTTTAAACTAAGTGTTTGATGAATATGTTCTCTCATTCAGCTGACCATGGATAGAAGAGTTGCATATATCAGATATCAATCTAGTCTAATGTATATCTACGTTTGCATGTGTGTGTAGTCGAGTCAGGAGGAGCAGCTGAAGCAGAAGCTCCTGGAGGAGCAGTTTGCTCTGCTGCAGGGAACCATCGCAGAGGCTGAAAATATCATCCAGGACGCCGTGGCTAAGCTGGATGATCCCCTTCATGTACGATGCACCAGCTCTCCAGGTCAGACCCCTGATTGAATCACTTCATGTCGGGCCTAAAGGAAAAATAATGAATCAAACGGCTCTGACTGTGTAAAAACAACACGCTAGCCTTTATATAACCAGTATTGTGTGTCTCAAAGTTTTTTCTTTCTCTGTTTGACCTCAAAACACAGATTACCTCATAAGTCGTGCAGAGGCCACACTGGGCTCCATAGACAAAGTGAAAAAGGGACATGCTGATTATCTGAGTAACATGAAGGGTAAGTTTGCTCCGCTTTTATTTGACATGATCCCACTGACCTGAATGTGGGAGACACGGTTTTATTTTTGACGTGGCATCATGTTCTCTCTCTGTTTTCTGCTCCATCCAGATGCTGGAGGGCTGAACCGGGCTCTGACCCAGTTCTCCCACTTGGCTGCAGATACAATCGTCAACGGCAGTGCCACTGCACACATGGCGCCCACTGACCATGCAGACCGTAAGAAAATGGCCTATCACTTCTTTGGCGTTATGCAAGTCATAATGCTGTTATTTTAGTTAGGGTGACCAACCATACGTCCTCCTCTACCCGGACATGTCCTCTTTTGGGGGGCTGTCAGGGTTTGTCCAGGGAAGTTTATAAAGTCCTTAAATGTCCGCGGTTTTACACTGAAGTTTTCAAGTTTGTGTCACGTGGACTTACTGAGTTCGAAGCACGTAAAAGACACTTAATCCGACCGGAGAAACCCTCAAAATTAACCCTTTAATGCCTGAAACCACAAATTATGGCCAGAAAATTCTCATTTTTTGAAGCTGAAATGTTTATTTCATTTACTACTGAAAACCAAAAAAATCTAAATATCCTTAAAGTTGACAAATATATTTAGTTATCTTGTTTGATACATTAGATATTTTTGGAAACTGATAAACTACAAGAGGACATTTTTATCATTTATCGGACTGTATCAAGTTTTTTTTTTTATAATTTGTTGATCATATTTGATACATACTATTATAAAAGCATGTATCAAATATGAACCAAAAGGCAATAAAGGGCGACCTTCGTGCGACTCTATGACTCCGCCCCTGCGTAGTCCCGTCCTTTTTTTGAGAAGTCAGAATATGGTCACCCTATTTTAGTGGATATTTCTTCACCGTTTATTCACATTTAGAGACACGTTGTTGCTCAAGCCTTCGTTTCAGAGACAAACGACAAATTTGTCCAAGCATAGTTACCGAAAGTTGAATATTGCTCTTTAAACCCTGCAGGGCTGACAGAGAACTGCAGAGGCTGTGCCAATGAGAGTCTGCAGTTCTTTAAAGACCTAAAGTCCAAGACGTCCCTCCAGAGGGCCGACCCGGCCTCCATCCGCTTAGTTGTTCAAAAGATCCTCCACTTGGGCCAGGTGAGAGTCACTCTACAGACAGTTTTCAATCTCACATAGATGGACTCGGACACTTATGAATGAATATTTGACTTGAACTATGATCTTTTATTTCTCATCTGGTATCAATGCTGCTTCACACTGTTAGTGTTTACAAACTTAGTAGCTGTTCTTGTTTAATACACTCGCTTTACTTCTCCATTATAGCTACTTCCACTGCTCTGTGGTCTTGTTATTGCCCCTTGGGGACAAATAAAGTTCTTTAATTGATTTGAGTTTAATGAATGCATATATCAAGTAGACTCTGTATAGCAGTATGTTATTTTGAAGGTTTTTTATTTGCAGATGGTCGCTCTGCAGAAGATTACTGTCACATTAAATATCATCACAAATATGTCCTTGTCTTTACGACATTGTCCCCCGTCCTTATCTGCTGCCAAGCCGTGGTTTAGTGCGAGAGTGGACTCTTTTATTAATTATCAGTGCAGAGTCTGCTAATCTTGTGAAAGCTTGCTGAAATTATTGAGACAGATGCTGCATTGTACTTTTTATTCATACCCTCTTTTACTCAACTACGCCTTATTTCTCTGTGAACTAACTCATCATGTTTTCTCTTGTTGTTTCCAGGAGCTGCGGCCTAAAGGCATGGATGTTCGTCAGGACGAGCTCGGTGATCTAGTCGATAAAGAAATGGCTGCGACATCAGCAGCGATCGAAGAGGCCGTCCGTAGGATTGATGTAAGTGACGTGAATCAGGACAAGTGTGGTATTTTGTTAGATAACCTGGATTACATCTAAAGATGTCATGTATGCTGGTTTTGTTTTCAGGAAATGATGAATCAGGCACGAAAAGACACTTCAGGAGTAAAACTGGAGGTTAATGAAAGGTTTGAACATTTTTTGTATCTTGATAAGATAAAAACCGTTCGCATCATCCATCAGAGATAAATCAACATCACAGAAAAAGACCACAGCATGGATCAAAGTTTGATTTTTGATTTAATATCTGTACCGTTTCTCCTTTTGATTTTCCAGAATCCTCTTTAGCTGCACTGACCTGATGAAGGTATGATGTGTTTCAGTATGTAGTAACTAACTTCCAAATCGCTCCAGCTGTCTGACCCACAATGCTATGTCGAAGTAACGCCAATTAAACTCTTTATTCTTGCTTCTCTTTTGCACAGGCCATCCGCATGCTGATCATCGCATCCACAGACCTGCAAAAGGAGATCGTAGAAGGAGGGAGGGTGAGTCACACCGTTCTTGTTTTAAATCCAAAACTGGCAGCTTGGTGTTTGGACTTTTAACAGCTTTAGTTTTTGTGATCAACCATCGCAGATGCTTTTCCCCTCTCAGACACAAACAAACAACTAAAAGGACAAATGGTTGTGTTATTGATTTTGTTAAGGGTGCAGCTACGATTAAGGAGTTCTACGCCAGGAACTCTCGCTGGACTGAGGGACTCATCTCTGCAGCCAAAGCGGTGGGATGGGGAGCCACAGAGATGGTGTAAGTAAAATGAGAATACAGTTTATACATGTGTGCATCATTAAAAGTAATTTATTCTTTATTTTAAAATGACACAGTCAAATTAACCGGGATTCCTCGTGTTACATATTAGAAACTTTTTTGAGTTGACGGTGAAAACCTATAGCCCACCTTTTTTTTTTTTTTTAAAAATCAAAGAAAGGCATTGATAAGGGAATCGTTAAAGAATTTAATCAATAAGCAGAATTGAAGAACTATTAACAAAAGGAAGAGTGAAAAAATAAACATATAACAACAACCCAAATCCTGGTCTCTGGCTGTTCCCCTTGACTTCACACAGACAACTGAATATAATGAGGCGTTCAATCAACAACAATTACCAGCATTTGGCCTCAACTGTTCTCCACGAAGGGTTGGGCGCCCGGATCATTAAATATTAGGTTATTGTCTGTCATGACTATGACTATGTCAACCTGTATTCTGTCACGGTAGAATAATTAACCAAATTTAGCACAAAACACACACAGACCTGGGGTAGTATTGTGTGTTATGTCAGGAGGAGATGTGAAATGTTAACGTATAATTCAAACTAAACAAAGACATGTCACATTTGTGGGATTGATGTGAAATTTCTGTTATATAAGTGACAAAGTGATTGAGTCGCACGCTTGATCATTTGGAATATCCCAGCTGGTTTTGTGTTTATCTTGAAAGTAGTTTATTCAAAACTCACCTCATAACTTTTAGTTATTGTTTGGGTGTCGTGGATTGAAGCTGTTTTTTGTCTTTGTCCTCACAGGGAGTCTGCTGATAAGGTTGTGCTGCACACAGGAAAATATGAGGAGCTGATTGTTTGCTCTCACGAGATCGCTGCCAGCACAGCACAGCTGGTTGCTGCCTCAAAGGTTATAACCCTATTCCAGAAAACATACACTGATAGATAAATTCAAAGTTCTGGTTTGACTTCAGGAATACACAGCAGTGTTGTAAACTAATTTCCAAATTTATTGTCGTGGTTTTTGTTTTTTTGAGGAGGGAGTTTGATGTTTCTTCATCCTATTACAGTTACTAGAAAAGTCATTCTGTGGCTTTAACTTTTATTTATCTAATGCCACACTTGTTAAAGCTGTCTCCTCTGCTCTCAGGTGAAAGCTGACCGTAACAGTAGGAAGCTGCCGGTCCTCCAGCAGGCTTCTCGCCATGTGAACGAAATGGCGGCTAAAGTGGTGGCTTCAACAAGGACGGGCCAGGAGCACCTGGAGGAAAAAGGTGGGTCCACTTCGATTGTTATGTAACGGTTGTAGTTTGTGATGAACATTTGTTCAGTAACACTTTTCCTGTGCAGACACCATGGACTTCTCTGGTATGTCCCTCATCAAGCTGAGAAAAGAAGAAATGGAGTCACAGGTAAGACATTGGCTTCAGACAGTATTTCTGTTTACAACTGGAGGCTGTTAATTCATATTGAACGAGCACATGCAGCTGTTGAGAAGTTAAAGTGATGTTTACCACTCCCGAATGTGTTCTGTCACTCAGGTGAAGGTGCTCGAGTTAGAAAGTAGCTTGGAGAATGAGCGTCTGCGTTTGGGCGAGCTGAGGAAGAAGCACTATGAGCTTGCTGGAGTCCCTCTAGACGAGGCCCCCGAGGGCAACGGTGACGCCTCCAATTCTGCCACCATGTCACCAAAACCCAGCAAGCCAGCACTGATGAAAAAACCTGCGCTGGCCCAGAAACCCAACACCCTACCCAAAACCCTGGTAAGGCTACATATGGATGTGTGCGGCTTTAAATGAGACCTTAAGACAGACCATCTCCACTGTTACAGTAAAGAAATCTGATACAAACTGTGCATCGTCATGTTACAGGAGATCACCTCAGAAAAACTGTTTTAGTTGACTCAAATGCTGCTTTCATGTCACCTTTAAAGGGATATTCCGGCGTAAAATTAAGTCATGGTCAAACACACTGTAACACAGCACCTAACTTCATCAACAGGACATATAGGGTCACAGCCACAGCACTAGCCACCAAACATCTTTTTAACTTTGCCTAATTTCTTTAGCAAAGAGACTAAACACAACTCACCTACTCTCTTCCAGCAGCTGCTTGTTTGTACGGAGACCTCCTGGCGAGTCCATTGACTGCAGCAGGGGGAAAGCAGCTCAAGGAAGAACATTTGATTGTATTTCCATGAAGAAATGATTATAAATGTTCTTCCTTGAGCTGCGTCACCCCGCTGTAGTCGGTAATGGACTGGCCCAAGGTCTTGCTACAATTAGCATTATTTACTTTGAGGTGAGCACGTGGCTCTCTGTATTGCTAACGTGCGGTCGTTACTAAAGTTGGTATAACTAGAGAAGCAAGCGATCGGCAACATTCATCTCCCAAGGGGGTGTCTAACTCGGTGTTACAGTGTGTTTGACCCTTAATCAATTTTACGTCGGACTATCCCTTTAATATAGCATGATGTCTGTTTTGTTCTGCAGTAAAGACGTGTAGAATAACTAAAGATAGATACAATCTAATTAAGATGATACTTTGGTACCTGTTTTGGACATGTATAGATACTCATCTTGTTGGTGACTGATTATGTGTCTTTGTCTTGTGTTCCAGTTAAAGTAAAACCCGAGCAGAAGAGGAAAAGGCTCAACTCTTGAATGCTTGGATTGACCGAGAGCGATTGTCTTTTTGTGAAAAAAGATGGCTGCTTTAAGTTACAGGCTGACAATCCTCTGCTTTGACTCACTTTTTCCTTTATTTGTTTTTTCCTCTTTTGCCATGAAGCCTGACTTTTGACTCTTGATGCCTCTTAGGGAATTCACTTTTTTTGATGGTACATTTTATGCCATCACAGCAAAGCCCCTTTTTTTAGCTCAAGTATTTGGGATCAAGAACAAGAAAAGGTTAATATTTTAGTTTAAAGCTGTGTGAAAGTATTTTTTCTGCTTTGTGTAATTTTTAGATGATTAAAGACTCTTTTAGAAACAATCCTCCCTGATAATATCACATTGACAGCATATCTTGTACACGTGTGTCTGTAGTTTTTACAGCTTTGAACATCCTCTTTGCACACCATCTTTGCATTCATCATGTAGCAAATCACAATTTTTATGTACAAAGTGTGCTTTTTATGTTGTTTGGCTATCTGGAAATTGAATTGCACACGTTGCTGCGACAGTTTTACATACCTCTAGCGTTGCCTTTATGATGGATAACGTTTCTGTTGTGTGCAAAAGATCTTTCTTTATCAACACTAAGAGATTGTCTCTGAGGCCTTGAATTTTACTGTACTACAGCGTTGAATGATGCGTGTAAAGACACATAGTCTGTATAGGATTGCTCGACTTAAACCAAGTATAATTTATATGTACACTCACTTCTTTATGTCCCTTTATTAGACAAGAGCCTGGACATTTTGTTAAAGCATTAAGACCTAATGTTTGCACAAAAATAATGGATGTAGACATCCTCAATCATCAAACGCTTCTTTCACCTGAAGGTGGAGATCTAGGGTTAGCTTGTGAAAACTATGATGGTGTTGAAGTCCTCTTTGCCTCTGGGAACTTTTCTTACAGGGTCGTAAAAAGCATCTTTTTATGTTCTGTCTTTCCTCTGATTGAAATGTCTTTATAAACTCAGATCTATTAATATATTTTAGTAAAGATAATGGTGGTTTCTCCTTGTAAGAAGTGTAAATGTCCAACACAAATGAACAATAAATGTTTGATTTAAAAGCTCCTGTTTTACTCCTTTGTGCTAAAATTAACTAAGTTTTGTTCAATATGATGAAGTATTTCATCGGCAATGGTAAATTATTACACAACCAGAAAAGAAATCAAGATTTTTATGTTGAACTTATTTTGGTTTCATTATGAAAAAAAAAACAACGTGTGACTGTTCAGGTCATTTATTTCATTCTCTGGAAGCAAAACTCTTATGTTTATTCGTTATATTTTCTTTGTTTTATGTAGAAATACATAAATATATATAAATATTTTCCCCCCTATTTTGTTTCGTTTTCTCTATTGCTTTTATCCTGTTGTTTTTACTCTATACAGTGTCCTTGAGTGTCCAGAAAGGAGCTTATGAATAAAATTTATTATCATTGTTTTCCATCATTTTTATTATTTTATTTTTATTTATTATTTTATTTATTTATTTATTTATTATTATTGTTATTGTTATTATTATTGTTATTATTATTATTATTATTATTATTATTATTATTATTATTACCCGACCACAGGCATAAAAGGCTATATAACGCGAGTTATATCATGACATGCGCAGATGGACTTTGAACTGACGTGCTGAGCTGCTGCCTTCAAGACAGGACTTTTTTTTCGTAAAACTGAGCTTCAGCCCTTTAATCATTGACTGAACTTGTTAAAGCTCACTTCTCATCTATTATAAGCCTCATGTACTTGCTCTTTTTGTTTGTTTGTTTGTTTAATCGGTATCAACTCGCAATTTTGCCTGTCTAACTGAGACAGACAATCTATAAAAGTTTAATTCTGTTTACATTAACTTAAAGTTAAACTAAGTTGGTTTTCCCCACCGCTGAACCCTACGTTTACACATTTCCGTGAATCCGATTGAACGCACCATCAGGAGTAAACTCACCAGTCCGGACGTTGGTAAAGTTGAAACTGTCAACAAACTGAAACAAGTCCTGTCAATGTTCATACACGCCTCGGACAGGCGTTAACTAGTTTTTAATCAGGAAAGGTGAGTCTTTTCTGTTAGTAAGAGGACTCAAAGATATGTTTAGTGTCAGAGGAGTTTTTAAGGCTCCGGGCAGGCATGGAAACGAGCGTCATGTCCGCGCTGGACAGACCCGCAGCAGAGCTCACGGTCACGGATGTGTACGACATAGCGGCGGTGCTGGGACAGGAGTTTGAGCGGATCATAGACAAGTTCGGGTGCGAGTCTCTAGTCGGGGTGGTACCCAAAGTGGTGCGGGTCCTGGAGCTGCTGGAGGCCCTGGTGAGCCACGGAGCCGCCAGACAGGAGACCGAGGAGCTGCGGAGGGAGCTGGAGAGGCTGCGACAGGAGAGGAACGAGAGGTTCAACCAGGAGAGGAAACACCAGGAGGTCTGTCAGTGTGTGTTTACATAGAGTAGGGGAGACCGGGGCTTGTTGTCACATGGGTAAGTTGTCACATTGCAATTATCTTTGCCACCAGAGGGCGCAACAAAAAGTGGAATACTAGTTTTCTTCCTTTACATGGTCAGGGGTCGTGTCCTGTCTGAGACGAGCACTGTCGCTACCTGATTCGTCCCAGATCTGTACTGCACATGTGCAAAATATACGTCACTTCCTCTAGTAGCCGTCTTTGCGACAGCTCAGGAATTCTTTGCCCCTCACGGTTTGCGACAGCTTCGTCACTTGTTCGACAGCTTCAGCATCAGCGAGCTCGCTAGTCGCTACAGTCAGTCAGAAAGGGCGCTTCAGTTTATCACAGCCCATGCACCCATCCCCAACAACAAGCCCCGGTCTCCCCTACTTGTTGACTTGACTATGGTGCCATGGTGATGGAGAAACCATTGTGTTCAGACACTTTTATGTTTGATTTTTTTGTTTTTAACATTTATGCTACGATCATCTGCTCAGGAGCTGGAGCTGGTGGAGGATGTTTGGAGAGGAGAAGTTCAGGACCTGCTATCTCAGATCACAGAACTTCAGACAGAGAACAAGAAACTGTTAGTGAGCCTCTCACAGAAAGAGTCCCCCATCACAGAGGAAGACCTACAGAAACATGAGGGTTGGTGTTTGATTGAAGCGTATACTCGTCTCTATTTGAGTGTAAAGTTGTTGTGATGCCAGAATTTTGACAAGTTAATTCAAGTGATTTGTGAACCAATTTCTATATTGTTATAGTAACACTGATCTGAAAGACCTCTGCTGTACATAACACATATATTACCTTGTGTAATCACGTGAGGTTGACCCCTTTCCTCTGAGTGCTCTCACGTTGACCTGAAAAGAAAGAGGGGCCGTAAGGAAGCTTGTAAAGGAGACTATTTTTGAAGCAGGTTGAAATACGGCTCTTGTGTGAGACGGACGGTGGCTGCAGCTATACTTAGAGTCAGAGCTACAGTTTACACAAATATACACACACAAAGACACACTGCTTATGAACATATACATCAGCACGAATGAGCACTGCATGATATGTTTATTCAGCTTACACACACCAGACGTACATTTAAATACATGAAGACCTTTAAAGTCTGTAAAAGACCATTTTAGAGTGTATGCTAGATTAATCTATGTCATGCTTACTGGTCATTGTAAATACTTTACAGAACTTCTATTTTAATTTCCTACTTTGCAATCAGCTGTTGCTTTGTGAATGTTTGTTAGAGTCTGGTGTACATCTAGGCTTATACTTCAGTCATATAAATGTCTACAATTTGTACTGAACAACCTCTAAAACACTAAAAACTCAAGATTTTTTTAACAGTACTGTGTCTCATTTTAAATTCAACAGATGCTGTTAGTGTAAAAAAATGTTTTCTGTCCTTTTTATGACTTTTACAGGAATGTCAGAGAAGGAGAGGCAGATGATGAAGAAGCTGAAGGACCTGGTGGATAAACAGAGGGATGAAATCCGAGCTAAGGATCATGAGCTGACACTAAAAAATGAGGATGTTGAAGCGGTGAGGATTTCCAACTTAAACAGTTCCCCTAAAAGCCCCTGACAAATGAGTTTGAAGTTGTTTTCTCCCAGCGCAGTTTGTGAAGTTATAAACTACATTTTTAAACTGTAGCTCCAGCTGCAGCAGCATCGGCTCATACGGATCAACCAGGATCTTCGTCACAGGATAGGAGTGTTGGAGTCTCAGGGGAAGGCTCTGATCCAGCAGAGGGCAGAGCTGGAGGCTGCAGCTCAGGTCAGGCAGCAGGAGCTGGGGGCTCTGCAGCAGGAGGTGACAAGGCTGAGGAAGGAGCTCAGGGGGTGGGAGCTGGAGAGAGAAGTCGCCACCATAGAGGAAGCCTCACTGGGTAGACCTGTGTTGTCGTCATCTACATCACCGCTGAGGGAGGTAAGAAAAATGAAATAACCATGATCAGGCGGTGAACCATTGAAAGATATAAGTTCAAACATGTTTAAGTCATAAAAGTTGATTTTTGTTTCCAATCCAGTCCTCGACAGCAGCACCATTAAACTCCGGTAAACCAAACTCAGTGTGGGAGGAGTGTGGAGGAGACCCCGACTTCCTTGCGAACTGTTTTGGGCATGAAAGAAGTCCTTCTCCCCTCACCAAATCCTCACATGGGGACAGTAAGAAAGAGAAAAGCAAAGAAGAGGAAACATCAGCGATGTTACCGGTAAAGCCTTAACTCTTCCTTTGTCATAGCAGACCCACTGTAATGCTGTTTATAATACACACAAAGCATTATCACTCTATCATGCTGGTGTGTCCTTTGGACTTCACAGAAAACTGAATATATTTAACTTTGGAAACATTATCAAATGTTCCCTTTTTTCACTGTAGACTGCGTCAACTGCAGCAGAGCTAGAGGAGGAGACGGACAGCTCAGAGGAGGAATCGGACAAACCTCGCTTCACCCTGCAGGAGCTGCGGGATGTTCTGCAAGAGAGGAATGAACTCAAAGCTGAAGTCTTTGTGCTGCAGGAGGAGCTGGCTTATTACAGAAGGTACAGTCACTGAGAAATAAAGATTTGACTTCTGGGAATTGTATTTTTGACTGATCCTAGTCACAGTTTCTTCTTCTATATTTCTCAGTGAGGATACTGAGGATGACTTTGACTCCTTTGTTTGTAAACTACCCGCTGCACCTTGTCCCACCTCCACCGATCAACCTGAGTCAGGAATAAAACGCCTGTGAGTAAAGGTTTCTTCATATTCTTGTCATACTAGCATTAAAAACTCTGCATATATTTTGTCTAATGTGATGTATTAGAGATGAATGTCTATTGTGGCTCACTAATACAGATGCTGCTATTGCTTTCTACATTTTCCTTCTGCCGGCATCTTATTTTTCCACGTCTGTTATCCTCTCTGAACAGGATCTTCACAGCCATAATGCCGATGGTGGCAGCTGGTCTGCTCGCAGATGACCCTACACTGTTACCAATCAGGAGACTTTATTTTGTATAAACTTTTATGTGTAAGTTGAAATTCTATGTTTCAGTTGCTCTTTTTTTTAAAACAAACCAGCGTGGTCCTTTTAGAAACAAGTTCAAGTCAACATATAAAAGAATGGTTTTGACAGGAGTGATGAACTATGATGAATGAAAGACTTCTGACATCGCTGGTTTATGCTTTGACAATGCATTTGGAAGCATTTAAGCTACTTTGTTAAGAGCTTTAAATGAGTTTATGCTGCTAAAAACTATAACGTGTGTGTTTTTAGACTCTTTGTTGATCCAAACACTCATAAACAGTCATCGGTGGGTGCATAACTTTAAACAGTATATAATCTTAAATAAGCTTTGCTTCATTTGTTGTAAAGTTTTTGTTGTGTTCAGTAACTGGAAACTCATTCTATCTAATGCTTGATCAAAACTCTTATCACTGTTATCATTCATGTTTATTAGACGCACCTGTCAGGTTGAATATATCCTACAGTGTGAGCAGTGATTTTTACAACTCTTACAACCCAAAGAGTGTGTCTTTTGTTGTTTAAATGTCTCTGATGTTGTTTTGTCGTTAATCGTTTAATATCAAGCATTTGGGTCCTGTTTTAAGGTGCTGTTGCTTTATACTAATAATACTGATAAAACATCATCTTAACCTTCTTCAATTATTGTCATTAACCCCTAAAATCTGAGGGGATTTTTATTTATCTGGACATTTAATAATTAACTTAAGGCTTTGTGTATCAGTCACTTCTTTTGATGTAGACTGCAACTTCTTTAATTAAATCTCCTGTGAGGAGTTTTTGATAGGTCATGAAACTCACTGAAATGAACAGTGATGTATCTCTATGAGGTTTTAAAGCTAATGCAGTATCTGCATAGTCATTTTTAATGTCTGTAACTGCTATGAGGAGGGAAAGGTATGCTGAGGAAACAGCCTTAGTTTACTTTACCCACAGCAAATATTCACAGTGAGTGATACATTTTACAATATAAAGACAACAGAAGGAGTTTTTGTTGTGTTTGTGAAGTTGTTGTCTTTCTAAAAGACAAGGAAATTAGAGTTTCCACTTTGTCCACTGGGGGCACCAAAGTCAACAAAGACAGAAAGTTCCTCAGGTGCTTAAGTCAAGGTTAAAAAATTAAATCACTGTGCTCGAAATGGTTCTCATATAAGGGGACAGCTTTAAAATAACCAACAACCAAAAAAAATTTGATAAAAGAGAAGTTTGAAAACACGTACAATCGGTGTTGATGTGAAGTTGCATCTGTAAAAAATCAGACACAGAGGTATATTGACTCATAAAATCAACTCAAGCTAATACAGAAAGGTGTTTTTTGTTTTTGGTCTTATTATGAACCTCTTCCTAATCTCTCTCTCTCTGTCCGAGGTCTATTTTCAGGGGGGCGTGTTTTCATTGAAGATGCAGCCACAGGACTCCAGCAGCCATTTAAGGCTGAGTAGAGGGATTAGGGGAGAGAGAGGAGAGCGGTTAGAGGTTAGGTTTGGCTTGTGTCGGTTTTCCTCAGTTTATTAGATTTTTGTTTTCAGCTGTGTTTTATTCTGCCATCCTGCTCTACACCCTCTTTGCCCTCCGTTCATCCTGTTGGTAGGGGAGTCTAAAACCTTACAATAAGGTATAAAAATAATAATGCTAGAGTTTATTTCTATTCTTTGAATGTTTATTGCGTTATTATCAAAACAGCTGTGGCTTAAACTGTCATACCAAATGTTGAGGAAGTTCCATTAAAGTGCTTTAAATTAATTTGTGGTCTTGATGTGATTATAATTTTTTTCTTTCAATTCTTTTAACAGTAAGTTTGTAAAAGTCGAGTGAAAGAAAGGGGAGCAGCGATTACTGCAGAGTACCAATATGTATGGCACTCTGCAGTACTCCAAAGTCCCCCTGGGGGTAGATATATCCCTGTTTGAAAAGCTCTGATCCTGATATTGTTGTGCGATAGTCTTATTTTTTTATTAATTCAGCTGTAAAATAATCGAGCTACTTATCACAGTAGGGGAAGAGTGGGGTAAGATGAGCCATTTTTCATATTTCGGATCACTACATCAAGGCAATCATAGTTTTGTCTCTAACTAGTGCATCTGCAGATATTTCAAGATGTTGTTCATCCCTGCAAACCAACAGAATGAGTGTAAACATAACTGTCTTGATATTACAGCATGCCAAAGAAAAGTGGTCTCAACTGGTACAATAATTCTTCTTATTATTATTATTGCATATAACTGCTAAAAAGCTGTTTTGTAAAGTCTTTTTCACATGAGAATGACTTAAAGTGATTCAGAACATTCATGGATGTATTTTAGAAAAGGAAAAGTAAAAACATTTCAACATTCTGAACTGAAACTCTGATCCTCTCATCAGACTCCTTTACTTTCTCAGTTACCCCAGAACTACTATGATCACTTTATTAGTCCTCTAAGCTAAAATGGTGGACTTTTATTCTAGATTTTTGACCTCATGTTGTAGCTCATAGATACCACAATTGATGTATAAAATAAATTTAAAATAATCTTTTTTGATCTGAACACAATTCTAATAAAACTTATGACAGACTAAATTCACTTTCAAGAGTGAAAAATGTTTTTTTTTTTGTAAATAAATGTCTAACCCCTTCACCCATGTGCTTCTAACCTTCACAGACTCCATGAATTGATGCCCATATCCTAAATATTTGGTCACATGATCAATTTCTTTGAGCATTTCCAAGCAACAGGGGGTGGCTCAACTTATCCCACTCTCCCCTATCAGTTCAGTTCATGATACTCTTGAATGAGTATTTCAGCTAACCGGACAGTACTGTATTAAAGGTGTATTCCTACTTTGTAATACACTAGTCAAGTGTAAAAACGTGGAATAATACCTCAGAAATAGAAATATCACGATGATAACGACGTTGAGATCACGTGTCTTCTCGCCTGATAGTGACGAGTTAAAAAGACGAGAGCTGTTGTACACGGTGGCACTATTTAGGCTTACATAGCCTCTGTACATACATAGACTGTATATACTTCTACTTCTATATACAGTCGATGGTCTGTACTGTAAAAAACGAACCCAGAGTGTGTGTTGAGGGAATCCTCTTGACTCGTAAACGATCCACACTCACCTGTCGCTAGGATACTTTGCCCTCCTCTGCTGTCTACACAGTCACGTTATTGGTGGATGAGTGATGGGGGAAGTGCTGTTGCTCGAGAAGTTAGTTACCCTCTGACTGTGTGTCTTAAGCCGAACACAAATAGAAAGAAAAAGTGTGGTTTTAGCGCATTTTTTAGTAGCTGGGGTAGTAAAAGAGACTTTATTCCTGTGTTTTGTTTAAATCGAGTTTTTCCGTCATGGAGTTTGGTGAAGAGTCATCGCCCGCTCTGGCTTTTGAGAAGGACGCGTTTGAGCTGACTGTAGAAGATGTTTATGACATTTCCTATGTGATCGGCAGAGATTTGTTGAAAATAAGCAGCACAGGCGAAGAAGTGTCGGATTTACAGTTCAGAATAGTCCGGGTTTTAGAAATGTTCGAGACTTTGGTGAACAAATACAACTTATCTCTGGAGGAGCTGAAAATGGAGCGGGACAACTTGAAGAGCGAACTGGACCGGATCATAAAGGAGAGCTCCTCCGGGCAGGCCACAGTGAGTCCAGTCTTTATTTACAGTTCAGTATCTGTCAGACATATGAAGTGAAGAGTCTGGAGACATTTCATATCTTTGTCCGCCAACCAAAGCAAACAGCGGGACCGAACCAGCTGGTGGTGGACCTGACAGACCCGAACAGACCGCGGTTCACCATGCAGGAGCTGAAGGAGGTCCTGCAGGAGAGGAACCAGCTGAAGGCCCAGCTCATGGTGGCTCAAGAGGAGCTGCAGCTCTACAAAAGGTGAGCTGCTGCTGGAAGATTTATACCTAAGTTAAATGATCATGTGACCTCCTTTTTAAAAAGTCATGAATGTTTCTCACCCTCCATTTCTAGACATGAAGACATTTTCATTAAAATGCAAAAGTTGGACAAGGTTTAAGCGGTCTGAGGAGCCATAAACAAACCTCAACCAAAGCACCACTCTATAGCCACATATAATGCTCAGAACAGCACCTAACTTCATCAACAGAACATATAGGGTCCCAGCCATAATCCTAGCCACCAAACATCTTTTTAGCTTTGCCTGATTTCTTTAGCAAAGAGACTAAACACAACTCACCTACTCTCTTCCAGCAGCAGCTTGTTTGTAGCGAGACCTTGGGCACAGTCTACAGTGGAGTGACACAGCTCAAGGAAGAACATTTATGATAATTTCTTTACGGAAATACAATCAGACCAAGACGCTAAGGCAGAAGAACTACCGCGTCTGCAGTGCAAAATGATTAATATGGTGATTGTTACTTCAAGGAAATGATAAAGTAATGATCATAAATGTTCTTTGAGCTGTGTCACCCCGCTGTAGTAAGTGGCTGCTGGAAGAGAGTTATTTGTGGCTATTGAGTGGCGTTTTGGTTGAGGTTTGTTAATGGCTCCTTAGACCACTGTGTATTGCTATCATGCAGTCGTTACTAAAGTTGGTATAACTAGAGAAGCAAGTGGTCGGCAACATTCATCTCTCGAGGTGGTGTCTAACTCGGTGGTATGGTGTGTTTGACCCTAAATTAATTTTACGCCAGAATATCCCTTGAAGAGTAACCCCAAGGCTACACTGAGACCACTCTGATAAAAACCAAGAAAACTCAGCATGAACAATGCAATACATTCTGCATAAAGAGCATCATAAATCTGTGTAAAATCCTCCTTTTAGCGTGAGAAATAACCTCCAGAAGAATGTGAGACTGTACTTTATCAGCCACCCTGAATATCAGTATCCCAAAGTAAACACCTGTATTCAGAAACAAGGCCTGATTTTTTTAACCAGATACTGAGTTATTTATCTGTATTTGTAACTTATTTGCTACACAGACTCCACAGGCAGTGCTTCAAAATATATTATTTAATTTGTAGAAGTGCAGGCCTTCAGTAATACCCCGACACTGTTTCCCCTTAGGTGGCCTTGCATACTGATTATAACTTTGCTTGTGGTATATTTCAGATCGTAGACCTGAGTTATTTCTATACTTGCTGTATTTTACTCACTCTGAGTTACATTATAGCGTTTACTAAATAATAGACACTGCTGCTGTTTCCTTTGAGGTGATTATATACCTGAAATCAGCTGCTCTTGACACTTCAAACAGTAGTATTGTCATGTGTTGTGTGGGCTCGTTTTAATTTGGAAGGAGAGATCATTTGTGATATAGTGTTGATTTTTTTACAACACTAATAAAAAATGGTCTCTGTCTGCTGCACCCTTCTGTAATTTAGTCTGTGAAGGATCGTTTTTGTACTGATGGAGCTATTGAAACAGCTTTAGTGTGGATTATTAAATTTGCCATGGCTGTTACATGATCACACTGAGTCCTTGTATAATACTACATGTCAAATTTTATTTTTTGGCCAGAAAGTGACTATTTGATGTACAATGCTGGACTAAAATGATGTTATCAAAGGCACAAAAAATATAAGTAGCAGAAATATGATGGGCTGATCCAACCAGGGCCCCATTTTTTCCACTCGATTCCTATTTTTTCAAAACTGCTGAAACTAGTTTTGAAGTTTCAGAGATTAATTCAGTCTTGTGTTTAGCCTCCATCTTCTGTTTTCCAGCTACTTTTGGTAAAAGCTCTAGTCTCTTTCCTCTGCAGTGGGATTCTGCCACAGGCTGAACCAGCCATGGTGGAAGTGGATCTGAACGCACCAGAAGCTACAGAGAGCAGTCCGACTACGCTAAATGATGCAAAAGAGGAGAAGACAACCATAGGCAAACTGTGAGTAACCAGCAGGAGTAGCATCTGAAAATATCAAGAGTTCAGACTAAAGTAGTATTAAGCAACTTGAATTTGTTTCTAATTACATGCTGTCATGAGCTGTACACCTCAGATGGCGAGGTTTCATGTCAAAGTTAAGCGGTAACCACATGATGTTGAAGCGAGCTGGTAGGAAGAGTGTTCTCACAGTCTGTCTGCTGTCTCCTAATGATATACTTGTGACCAAATGCATTCATGCTGATGCTGAGGATGTTTGTGTGAGAGCCCAATGAGAAAAATAAGAAGTAGGAAACTAGCAGAGAGTCTGCCAAAGTGCTGCTGCTGCTGCTGTCAGTAATTACAGACATCATGACTCAAAGTTTCTTTTCAGGGCACTTTAATTTGTGTTCCACATTCACCTCCCTGTGCTCCTTTTACTCACTCTCAACCTTTTCTGTGTTTTTTTTTTAGCTTTTCATTCAGGCGAAAATAAGAGGAAACTTCAAGAGAACGGACCAAACAGGACATGTCTGCACAACTATGTGCTTATTAAACCACTTTTATATCGACTATTTTTACTATGTGAACTTGTCGATCGAACAAGCACTGTGTTTTGTACTGGAAATTTAAGCCTCAGATGGTGTTTGGTAATTTAGAGATGTTGTCGGTAAAATCATTTAAAAGAGGATTTGATGTAGATATCAAAAGAAACTGGAAAGTATTAATCATGAAGTGAACAAGCATTAGTGATTATGTTTCATGCAGTCACTTAAAACCAAGTTATTTATGGGCTTAAAGGCTAGATCTTAAGTTTTAAATGACAAAATTAGGTCTTTTAAAGGACTGGATGTTTGTCATCATGAAATGAAGGATTTTTTCCCCAGAATTTGAAGCATTAGTTTGTTACTGTATTTGAGTTGGACCATATTTCTATGTACTGAGTTCAGCTTCAAATTGCATCATAAAATCACAAATATTGATTGAGGGGTAGAGAAGTTTTAAGTTTAAGTGAATAGCAGAGCATAGACCTTTATTTGTATGTTTTAATCTAGTCTTCAAAATTTACTCCACATTCCAATTGTCTAGTCAGTATTGTGTTTTTGAAGCTGCAGATTTCTCAGTTATAATGAAAATTGATTTTTTTTAGATTTAACAATAACAGTCAGGCTTTTGTGGTTTTGACCTAAATGGAAATAAAGTTGATTACCCTGACGTAATCATTATTTCACCTTGTTTTACTGTTGTGACCCCTTCACATTACTCACTTAAACGGTTGTGATAATTCCATTTAACAACCCTGTGGGATTTATCCAAACATGACACCGACAAGCCCTGGTAGATCCTCTGCTCTTTTACCCGATAGCTTCTTTGTTATATTATACCTTCCTCGCTCCAAGTTTCTTGTGCATTTCCACACCATCCGATATGAAGAAAAAGAAAAAATGCTAAGTATAAGAAAAAGACGCCTTTTCAAATTTTACATTTTCCACATCAGGACTCACTGCAACTGCAAAGAACACTCAGCATTGTTTATTCATCAATTTACAGCACACCAAATAATTTACAAAAGCGAAACTGAATTGTCAATTACATTATGTCTTTTCGAGGAGACTCTGCTTTTCAAGCCTTCATCAGTCTGCTTCAATGTGATTATTAAAAAAAGATATATAAAAAACATAATTAAAAAATGCTGTTGCATGTCTTTGCAGAGTCAAAGTTTTAGCCTTATTCTAAAACAAAAACGTTTTTTTAATATAAAAAAAAGCATGTCGACTCTTAAGCTGTAACATCTTTTACACAAAGCAGAAAGCACCAATTCATCTGACATATGAGCACTTCAGGAGGAGAGTCAGTATTTGAGCCAAGGGTGAGCTGAGATTGCGTCTTTACTCCGATCACCATAGTCGTAGAGCAGCTCCTCCTCTGCTTTGATGTCTCTGGAGGCCACCAGGATCAGATGAGGGATCCCATCGATGGGGTGAAGCTTAGTCTGACAGTTTCCATTTTTACTGTGGTTGATCAGTCTCCCAAGACGACTCGTTTCTTTTGTAGCATCCACACTGTTAAAAAAATATAAATACAGATTAATGCCTCACTAATAGGAGGAATGCACAATATTACTGACATGGTATCAGAGTGGGCAGCTTGTTCAAATTTCTGCTGATCTAAGAAAAAGCAGAAAAAAGTGATTTGTTAGATATGTGCATGCAGTGACGGCATGCGTGTGCAGACATGACCGTATGGAATACATTCCACATGACTGGAAGTATTTTAAGGGGTCATGAACAACCAGCAGACACATGAGTAAAGGAATATATTCACAGTAGAGTAAAATGTCATGTTTTCTGTCAGTTTCCAAGACAAATAGGTTGTCACATTAAGAGTAACAGGTTGATTCAATTCTAAGAGACCTGAAAAACATTTTGTATATATATATATATATCTGTATTAATATTGGTTTGAAACAAAATGAGTTTGAAAATATCTGAATATCAACTGGCAATAATCTGGTATTGTGCATTCCTAACTAATGCACAACTCCTGTATACATGGGAAGTCAATGTCTAGAAAATTTGAAGGATTCATGTCAACTGAAATCTTTATGAAACCACTGATTTTTTTTTTTTTAAAATAGCAGACTTTAAATGTGGAGAATTCATGCTTTTTTCTCCTGTGGTGATAAAACTCTGTGGTCGGCATCATTACAACTAAAATAGATGCAGCTGTTTCACAAAAAAGGGAAGCATGATTAAGAATTTAGAGTATTTTTACAGCTGATTCCATTTCCTACATGCTGTACCTTCGATCGACAACACAGGAGTCAACAACATGTAATACCTCAAGTGCATATGAGTGTGATTTAACCGCTCAGCCATCAGGGCGCCAAAACAAATTGATTTCACACACTGATTCTGCATATCCAAGTTTGCTCATGCATGTGGGATGCAGTCATAACTCGTGAGAACATATATAAACACAATTAGACATAACTGTTCAACTTACCAATAGGTTTTAGCTTGATACTGGAAGTAGTACATGTAGCAGCCTGTTTGGGGATCCTGAGTGTACAGCGCCTCTCTCTCTTTAGCCTCTTCTAGTTCCAGCAGGTCCCCGTGATACTCAACCACAAACTCTCCTCTTCTGAAGCCACTGGTGGCAAATATCCCTCTTCCTTTGCCTTCTATGTGTTTGACCTGTCCATTAAAAAACAATAAACAGCAATTTTTAAAACAATGTGGTTCATGACATTTATCAACTACAAATTTACGACCATTAACTACAGAACGTATACTGCATTCGTTTGAGAAACACATAAAATATCGATAAAACCTATAAAATATATTTTAACAATTATCAGATTTGAAAACAATAAAAATACAAGTAACAAAATGGTAAAAAAAAAAATACAGCTGCAAGTATTTGGCCTGAATGTAGCACAAGCTGTTGTTGAACCGTTGAATATTACCTGCATTCCCTCCTCAATGCCTTTCTTTATCAGGTCATCAATGTGTCTGTGTTCTTCATCCTGTTGACAGTTTCAGTAAGTGGGTCAAACTCTGGTCATGCAATAGTGCACACTGCTCATAGAAATGCTTTCATTTAAAAAAAAAAATCTGCAGAAACACGTAAACAAATATTCTGTGTAGCATTATGAAATAACTCTCAAAATCACAACACAAGAGACCATTTGGATTCAAACCTTGAGTTCTGCCTCAGTCTTTCTGTTACTTCGTCTGATGGGAAAATAGTCTGTGACTTTTCTGTTTTGGGGAGCTTTATTCTCTGTCCTGAAAAGTAGGAATCAACTGTAAGTTTTTGATAAATAAATAATAATCGGACATCTTTATGCGATTCAGCTCAGTGCAACAGAGGCAGCTAACTCACTTTTTTGCTCCAGGTTTGCGACCTCTACTCCGATGTTTGGATGCTGTAACTTTGCTGACGGCTGCAGGTCTGACATTTGTGTGAACCGTGGACTCTTTCTGCTCCGATTGATCAGTGACTGGTTCTCTGATCCCATGACAGTGCAGAGCTGTTTCCACATTTTGCTCTTTGAACTCACAACTCTCAGAGTTTGTTTCATGAGGGACATCTAGATGAAGAAGACAAAAATAATGAAAATAAAAGGCAGAGTTAGGAAATGTTTCTGTATTTCAGAGACAAAAAAGGTATAAAAATGAAAATCATTCTCACCTTTTTTTAGTTTTGACATGCCCGGATGAGTTGTATCAGATTCATTCCCATCCTGGATCAGCATGCTTGAACTGTCGCTTAACGGGGATCTTGGTTTGCCTTGGGTCCTTAAGCTCTGGGAAATTGACTGCAATGTTCCTACACAGTCCTGCAGAAATAATCGACCAATGTCAAAAAAGGATGATGATGAGTAAAATGAAAACCCAATTCCATGAGACAATGTGCAGAGTCCTGGATATTAGTGTTGTGTCGTTTGCGAACGATTCGTTTAAGAGAACCGAATCTTGTAATTGAACGTACTGAACCGAATCCCTTCCTCAAATGATTTGTTCGCTTCTCACTTCAGTTAAGCTGTCAGCGGCACAGCTGGTATGGCACGCAGCATTGCCAGGCAAGCAGCCAGGGAACAAGGGACAGTATGCACCGACGACTGAATCACTTGGTAAACAAATCACACATTGAACTGCCCTCTCTGGAATCATTTTTGTGGGCAAACCTAAACCTAATCTTTTATGTGAACTGATTCTAGTGATTCAGTACACCTAAAAGAACTGCTGTGCTCATCACTACTGTATATCGCTCTCAGCTTCCACCCGCATACATCATGTGAATTAAAGATACCCCACATTTAGAGTTCAGCGATTCTTGTTGCACTGCTTTTTGTAGGTAAAAATCAGGCAGTTTCCTGAAAAACCCCATTAAATCCAGAGGAAAATACAGCAAACAGGCTGCTGGCTGATGAAGAATTTGTTTTGACTCTAGATGGGATTTGTAAGCATCTCCTTGGTAACAGATTTTTCCTTATTCAGTGGTGTTTGTGCCATAATAATAATGATAATAGGATGGCATGATGAATAAACATTATGTTGAGGAGTCCAGTCAGAGCTTTTAGATATTGTCTTTTTTTTATTGCAGTGCTTCCTTCATTTAAAGCTCATTTTAAATCAACCTTACAATTTGTAGATGTATGTGCTCCTAATGATTCAGAGCTATGGCTCTAAATGGCTATTTTGACACTTAAAATACACAGTTTTGGGTCTAAAGTTGAGTAAAAACAGGGTTTGCGGAGTGTCAAAGGTCACTGTCTGTTCAGACGAAGAGCTGCTTCCTTTTGGGTGATGATGCATTTACACATACTCTGACAAAAACTTGTTTCCCAGTTTACTTTGTGAGTATTTATCTGTGGTTTTAAACAGCCAAGCTTACCTTGTTAGTGTTTGGTTTGTTTTCCTTTGTCTCCTTCCGTGAGCTGACTTTATTCTCAACGCCGTCCTCGGGCTTTATGTCGATTCTCAAAACAGTTTTCTTTCCTACATAAACATTGATAAAAATAAATAAATCACTTTCTTGTTCACACATTACTCCTAAACCCATAGTAACCGGTGGGTTTCATTTATTTATCAACATGCGCTGCGTCTATTGAAGCTCATCTGCTCCATTATTTACCCGGTTAACCTCGTCTGTCGACTAACATACATGAAAACTAACTAACATGATGTTCCGTATTTAACATAAAGACAATAAGTGAGTAAGATTACCTTTAGCCATGTCAAATCCCAGAATTATATCCAATTTTTCGCAGTTTACTTCACAGTTTGTGCCACAAAGCCCATCAGTCCACTCCACCTCGGAGCAGAGCAGTGAGAGCGTGATGGATTTAAAAACCATACCGATCCTCTGATTGGCTGTTGCACCTATGTGGGAGGGGCGTGAAAGGATAAGAGACGCTTTCATTGGCTGTAGACATGGCTGTCATAAAGTTGGTCTGTTACTCGAGTGCCCGTTGAGTTTAATACATACAACTTAATTTATCTAATTGAGGGCATTATAGTGGAGCTGTTTTTACATTAAAATTTGAGAAATCATATACCCAGTGGGATGAGTCAATTAAAATAAATGCAATACTAATTTACAATATAGTTTATATTATTTAGCAGTGGAAACAATTTATGAAATACTTAAAATATTAGATTAAGATAAACCTAATGAAGTAGAGAGTCATGTGAGCCACTAATGTATCATTCTTACTTTGGCAAATGCCCTAATTAAAATTCCAGTCAAAAAGGTTAAGACCATAGACTCTATATGGTCCAGACACACCACTTTGACCTAAAGCAGTGGTTCTCAACCGGTGTGTCCCAACCCAAAAGTGGGTCACAGACACGTTCTGGATAGGTCGCAAATAGCTGGTCAAAAAAGTAAATATTTAATGCGCATCTGATGTTTGACATGTCTTTTCTTTTGAAAAATAGCTGGTAACCTACACTTATCTATAGCTTTTGTTGTTTACCTTCTTATCTGCCTCCTAAGGGTGAGGGTGTGTGAGTAGAGGGGGGGTGTATGTCATGACCTTCATTGTTTTTCAACATGCTTTGTATATGAAAATATCGATAGAGTTTAAAAAAAGGATGCATTTATGTTAAAGATTAGGGTCTTATATATACATACATATATATACATATATATATATGTGTGTGTGTGTATGTGTGTGTAAAGAATAAATTTGCTTGGTTTAAATTCTATAAAAGCTGGTCGTGACTTAAGGACAATGGGAAAATGTCTGTCCTAGAGTAAGATCAGTTGAGAAGGAGATGAACAAAACATGGTCTTTAATTTCATTTTCTTAACATCCTGTTAAGTGTTGGACAAACTGATGAACATTGTGTTCCAACTTTACATGAAGTACACTTTAAAAAAATACAAGCCTGATTCCTTTTGATACCGTTCCCAGGTTTGATTATTTTGTCTTTGTCTGCATCAAATAAAGGCCAAATCACATATCCATGCCTTTATTCTGAATATTTCAAACAGTGTCATTTCCAGGTTTAGAAGCTGTAGCCAGTGTTTCTTTGAAAAGTCTTTTTCTCTCCAGATTCTCATTGACCTTCCTCCTCTTCTCTTGTTTCTTCATCATGGACTCTTTCTTCTTGACCAGAACTTCACTGAGTTCTCCTTTTTGTAAAACATCAAGTTTCTCTCTCATGATGTCCCGTGCACGCTTTCTGTTTATATCCACAGATCTGGTTTGATGGCACTACAGGGAAAATTACACAAGTAAATTAATTTTAAAATGACTTCATGAATTTGGTTGCCAAAAATAAATGGTTCACTTCTGAGTCATTTATACACTTTTCTGGAGCTTTTGCCCATCAAAGATTCCATTTTTAGCCTGAGCATTGAGTAGTACAGTGGCCGAGAACTGCCACTGCTGCAAATGAAAAAAGAATGCAAAAAAAAAGGAAGTCACAATGTGAGTTAGCGATGCAAAAAAAAAAAAAAAAAAAAAAAATACTGCGAAATTAAAAGGATGCAAATAAAAAAAGTCACAACTGAAGTGAGCTGCCGGGGACCAATAATGATGACGCACCAGTGTTTTATAATCTAGGCACAGAAGACGACGGCGAAAAGACAAGCAAAGAAGTTAGTGGAAAGGTTATTATTTAATTTCGCTTCATGTACTTTTCAGCGTCACTTAGTTAGGACATGTAGCGCCTGAGTCAATATGAAGTTGAACTGAAGCTAACACTACATCGGCATCCTCCAGTTCAAGAATGGACGATGTCTGCCTCCTCAAAGTAAGTTTTTGCTTTGTTAACTTCTGTTGTTTTTATCTGCACCGTTTCTTTTTTTTTTCATTGCAGCAGGCTTCGGTTTCTTTTCTTTCTCTTTTTTTGCATCTTCCGTTGTGACTTCTTTCTTTTTTTTTACATTCTTTTTTATCTGCAGCAGTGGCAGTTCTCGGCCACCGTACAGTAGTTTTCATTAACTGCTAAACTTGTATTTTTGTCACACCTAAAAGATCTATGACACTAGCCTGGATTGTCAATTGTGTTACTCTGACTTGCAGCAGATTATCAGCAGTGACTTAAACATCAGTTTTCAATCAATTTCACCTTCACAATGGTTCCAGTGGGGATATGCTTGAGCACCACACAGTTGCTAGTCTTGTTGGTGGCTTGTCCTCCAGGTCCAGATCCTCTTACAAATTGTTCTTCAAGCTCGTCTTCATTCAGGGCTGGCAGCTCTATCAGGTCCTTTTTACCGGCTGTAAAAACACGCGTTAGCCCGGGCAGTGGAGGGATATTCGGTGAACTTCTCCATATGATCCGAGTGGAGGTTCGGTACAGAGAGTTCATGAAGGTGGAAATTCTGGACATTTCCTTCAATAAAGGTACAACAACAAGCTGTGGAGGGCGCAGTCAATCAACTTACTGACGGCATTACACTCGTAAGTTTCATCAATAGCATTTAAACGATATAATTATTGTTATAGAGTGTATAAACCGCTATAAAAATGAGCGTTACGACTGTTGTACATTGTGTTTCTCATAAAAACACTCATGGCTTATTCTACGCCCCTCATCGTTCATCCAATCAGCAGCCGCCATGTTCTTCTTCGTGGCCAGATTAACAATCAATTCTAACTCTCTGCTGCCGACGTTTGTCTGTCCGCGGATCAGCTCACACAGAGGTAAGAAAAAAACACATTTTACAGCTTCAAGTCTACAACTTTTTTATTTATAGGTCGGTGTGGTATATTTTACTTTAATAAGCTCGACTGTACGTGGATGGTAAAGTCGGAAATTATCAAAAGTTTCAGACTTTTAGTGAAACTTTCTGCGCGTCTATGCAATTAAAAATGATTAGCAAACAAGTACCAGGTGTGAAGAACTCGTCATCCTCTTCCTCGTTACGTCATATGAAACACTTTGACAATTATCAAGTTAGGGGAGAGTGGGGTAAGTTGAACCACCCTCTGTTGCTCGGAAATGCTAAAAGAAATTGATCATGTGACCAAATATTTAGGAGATGGGCATCGATTCATGGAGTCTGTTAAGGTTAGAAGCACATGGGTGAAGGGGTTAGACATTTATTTCCAAAAAACAAAAACATTTTTCACTCTTGCAAGTGAATTTAGTGTGTCACAAGTTTTATTAGAATTGTGTTCAGACCAAAAAAGATCATTTTAAATTTGTTTTATGCATCAATTGTGGTATCTAGGAGCTACAACATGAGGTCAAAAACCTATGGTCTCCTGTGGTCAACTTACCCCATACGCGGGGTAAGTTGACCATAGGAGACCACTTTTTTTTTTACATGCTATCTTATCAAGACAGTTATTTTTACACTCATTCTGTTGGTTTGCAGGGATGCACAACATCTTGAAATATCTGCAGATACACTAGTTAGAGACAAAACTATGATTGACCTGATGTAGTGATCGGAAATATGAAAAATGGCTCATCTTACCCCACTGTCCCCTTTATGGTTATGTGCAATGGTTCAGCAGGTAAAATATAGCGATAAAATGGCTAACATCATGTGATAAAGTAACATCATGTGATAAAGTAACTTTCTGCAGCCATAGTCTACAAAATCCGCAAGCTTAATCACGTTGTGATTTTTTTAAAAAGGCAAATAACATTTCAGAGTGTCTGTTACTTACTTGATCATTTTTTTCATACTAAATAGATAAGAACAGATCTCATTCTTACTTATTCAACCCAAATGTTCCCAATTTTAGGTTCATCATTTTCATTGTGTTCTTCAAGACTCCAAAATCAGGCAACTGGACTGTGTACTGTCTGTCTACACAGTCCCATTGCCTGATTTTGGAGCCTTCAAGAAAACCATGACCTGGATGAATGAGAATCTACATGGACATTTTCATTTTATGAAGTAGTTAGCCTATTTAAACATTGTAAACCACGCATGGAAGGAGAACTGTTCTCTATAATTTTGGAGGACTTTCTGAAAAGGCCCAACTCATGTTCTAAATATTTCATACTGTAAATATAAATATATATTTTTTCAGTTTTAAAACATGTCCACATGGGGCAAAAATGGGCTTGACACAGTGTTTCCTGTCTTCTCTCTTGACAATGATTATAATTAGTAAATCAGGCAACTATGTAGGTCACCGAGAGCAGACAATCTCTCTGATGACCTGTGGTGACATCTCCCAGAGATTGTGGTGGAGGAGCTGCATTACTAATTACTTGAGCTTTATCTTTAGTGCTCACACAAAACTGGTTTCCAATCCAGTACAATACAGTATAACCTTGAATGGCCTGCTGTGAATCTTCAGCAAGGCAAGAAGAGTTTAAAAGCTTTCAGCAACATCTCAGCAAGAGGGAAATTCAGAACGCTTCACTCTAGAAAACAATCAGGAGACAATTAAAAAATAAAACACATTTAATACAATATTTAAAAAAAAACATTTAAAAGGCATATAGATTCTAACTGTGGGAATCCCCAATCTTGATCTGACAGGCAATAGTCTGTTATTGTGGTTAACTAAGGGCTTGTAAACTGTTTGTCTGATAGAACATTTTGTTACACTAAATGTAATGTACACTACACTACACTACATGTGAACTACACTACATGAAAAAAAAAAAAAAAAAAAAAAAAATATATATATATATATATATATATATATATATATATATATATATATATATATATATATATATATATATATATATATATATATACAGTATATACGTTTATCGTTGTTGTCATCGGTTTCAAACGTCTTCTCCAGCAGGGGGCGCAGCGCTATCAGACCCGCTCTCCTGAATGTCTGTATGAGTTTTTGCTTCGTCAAGTCGCTTATGAAAATCCAATACCGGACGTTATTTAATGAATCCTTCAAAATAAAGTCCGGTATCTGTTTTGGGTAAATTGTACTGTATGAACCTCAGTGAAAATATTCAGCATCATAAAAGCGTAATAACTATAAAAGTTGTATTTTAATGAACCGAAGCAAATTGTGTTTACAGTGGAACAGGATTCTCGGACTGCTATCATTCATTTATTTGCGATTTTCTAGATCCTATGAAGCGGCTTTTGTTGTGAAATCCAAACGGAACTGCTTTTGTACTCGTGTTGACATGATCCTGTGTTGTGTCGTTGTGACTGTGAAGTCTTGCAGCGGTTGTTCAGACTTGAGGAGTGACAACTTACGATGGCGTGTGCTCTTCTTCTTCTTCATCCGCTCACTCCTCACTCCTCACTCTTCCTGCGGACGGAGGCGACAGCAGCGGCGGGGTTCAGCTAAGCTGTCAGCCGTTACATTTTAACCTCCCCCCGGCACGAGCCCAACCGCCAACTCCCGCGCGGGGTTGCTTGGATATTCAAGGACATTTTAACGTTGCCATAGCTACTTTGGCCTTTTTTTCTCCTGTCGGTTGAGGAAATCCAGCGCGTGGTTCTCGGGCGCAGCGATGTGGCCAGATTTAGTAAACACGAGAAGAAACGGCGGCTGATATCGTGTAAATACGCTTCTTCTTCTTGGATTTACGATGTTTTTCTGCGTGTCATCTTTACACGTCGTACCCACTACCCTGCCTCCTCCTTCAACACCGAGGGGACAAATGAACGGAGACATAAAGGTCTGCTGCTGCTGACTTTTCGATGCATACATCTGAATTATGGCATCATCTCCACGCCTTTTGAAGTTAACGGCTGCTTCGTGCTGAAAGACACCCGTGTTGGAGGTGAAAGCGGTGATCCTCAGAAACACCCCCGGTGGCTATAGGTGGATGAACTTTTGACTCCCTGAGAGCTGTGGTGTGGTAAAAGCAGAGGTGCATCTCTGCTGTGCATCAGGTTCAGGTATGTGTTGAGCATTGCCAGCCATCTATTTGTCATTACAGTGCTGCCATGTTGCTAGGTAACTAACTGACGGTGGGTTTACTCTAGTTCAGATTTGATCATCCCCACATCCACGGATGCAACGTCACCCTCAGCAAATCTTATTTTACAAGTTTTTTATATCATTACCATAATCTGTCATTTCTCACAGTGTGAATTTCTCATCTTCCTTTGGCCGGAAGAAGTGAAGCATATTTTTCTGCTCCCATGCCATGGCCCGTGGCTGTCACACAGGCATGCTCGTTAAAGCCCATGAAATGTTGCCTCTTTTATACTCAAGCTGATCTGCAAATAGATACACAGTCATGAGTGGAACCTCTGCTTTCAAGGCTGTACTCTCTCCTCCTCTTCTAGTGGCACTTAGGTGCAAGAATGTGTTAAGACCGTGGTGCAAATTACAGATAATTTTCCTGATTTAGTCTAAACCTGCTGTCCACAAGTGAGTATTTGCACCCTCCAGGTCCCTTCCTGTTAAAATCCGACTTTCTGAGTTTCAGCATCAAGAGTCACTCCACTTGACTCAGCATGGCCTGGATGAGTCACTGAGGCAGTGCTGACTAGGAAGCTGTAGCGTCTGTTGTCCAGATGATGATTCTGTTGTGAGGGCAGGTGACCCCTGATTTTTTTTTCCAGCATTGCATAATACCTTTGAGACAGTGTTTTAATCTGAGACTAGTTTTAGATTCACCTGTGTTACTGGTCAAAAAGGCTCAGCCTCAGTGAGCATGAACCAGCCTACAATTATAGGGACAAATTCCAAGGCCGGTTATTGTGTCGTTTCTGGGCCAAAAGAATATCCTACGAGTTTGCACAAAAGGGTGTAATCTCTCCTTGACATGTTCAAACTTGCATCCTGCCTTTTAAGGTTGTGAAGGTTGTGTAACACACTCACAATTGGAGAGGGGAAGGTTTTTTGGCAAGTGCATTTCTCCTAAATTAGATTTCTGCTGAATTATGGCTAATTTGCTTTGTTTTGAACAAAGGTCTTTGTCTGATGAGTCACTTTTTGTTTTTTGTTCTCAAACAAACTTATTCCATTAGATTTTTTTTATTTATCATTGAGCTGTTCTAGTTGCAAACTGTTACAGCACAGAGATATCAGGGATATTACAAGATATTTTCTCATACCATTCATTTGTGTCACAATGACCTACACCGTAAACACACTTGAACGATGTTGCAAATGATGTTCTTCAGTTATGAAGTGCTGCTCGGATGATTCAGGACAGAGTGCTTGAAGTGAAGGTTGTACATTACAACATCAGCATTGTTGGCAATGAACTCTATCAAATCATCTTGAAGTAACACCACCCGTCCTTCCCTACCAGTCCTTCCTGTTATGACCTTAAAGATCATGTGGAGGTTTCTCTGCGGTAAACATGGCAGCTCCTCAAGATATTTGCCTAACCAGTTTTGTGTTGTGGATGTTCTTCCCTCCCCCAGCAGACACATAAATACACATGTGTTTGGCAGACAGGCACGGCTGCACGACAATCCAAAACTAAAAAAACAAAAAACCTCCTCTGGGAGTTTAACGCTTTGATGAAATATTTATCTTCGTTTTCTCAAGAAATTAAAATCTGTGAAGCAAGTTTCAAAACCGAGTTAAAGAAAATCCGTTTTTCTGGTTAACCTGGTTTATTAAGGTTGAGTTTTGTCCTTTAGTCTGCTCCTGTTTTGCTTTAAAATTTTAAAATGTGGCTTTTTTTAGCAGAACAGTTTGTTCAGGTAGTGATGAGTCTGATTTGTGCTCTGTCCCAGTATCCAGCCAAATTAAATAAAACCTCCAAATTTATTGATAGCAGCTCCTAAACTCAGTGAAACTGTGGACTTGGATGAGAAAGTGTAAAATTCCCAGTGAAAAGAAAACAGCACTTGTAATTCAGTCATCATTTTAGTGCTCCAGTTTGAATTACAAAAACATGACCTGTTGATTTTGTGTTTTATTATTTGGGTCAGCACCAGTCGAAGTGACACAATCGATGTAAATTCACAAAGCGAAAAACTACACAGTCCTCTGGCTGAAATGATTTACTCTGTCCGTGCTTTCCAATAATCATTTCTCCTTTTTGTTGCCGTTCGAAGCAGAAGATCACCATAAATTTGTGCCTCGGTACCTGAAGTGAGTTTTGCATCTCAGCATCTTGTTAAAATGTTTGAATGGGGCATGTTTGGTTTAGAAGAAACACATCTGTTAGTTTGTTTGCAGTTCTGTCAGTGTTGGCATCATAGCTGAGTGAGATTGTTTTAAGTCGACATGTTTAACCACCTTGAGCTTATCGGCAGTGTATTTACTTTCTTAGCGCCTCTTAAAGTAGTAATACAGCTACTATAATGTTTGAAGTTGAAGTGCTTCTCTGTGCAGTTATCTAGTGTTGTTTAAAGTTGGTCATAAGCAAAAGTTTGATGGTGATTCCAGTAAGACTTTTTAGTAACCAAAAGTTAAAATTCAGATTTCAGCCTCATTGCTTCACATTTGTTGCTTGTATAGTCGTCATTGTGGCTTTCTTGTTCCCTTTGAGAGATAACCATACATGGATGTTTTGAATGTTTGTCTGGTTTTAGTCATGAATTCGATCGTCCCTCTGCAGAAGCATATCCTCATCGACCAGACTGAAGTAGTGGCAGGTGTGATGCATCTACAGTAAACCAAAGAAACTAACAGGAACACTCTGAAACCTGAAACTCTCTTTGATCCACAGCAGACAAACACAGTAGTATCACAGACGGAGGAAGAGTGGCGGTGATTATGAATCAGTCCATCGTCTGCACAGTTGTGATTTTACACCTGCCTGGTAAAGGTTTTTCCATAGATGTATTTTTTTTTGCTTGAATTCAAGTTGTTCTCAAGCCAGCGCAAAAAAGCAATGTGGAGACAGTGCCGTGACCTGTGTGACAAATTAGGATAATAATTTCCCACTGCATCCAAATAATAAGCTAATGTTTGCTCATCATGACGCACAGCTCTCTGTAATAAGAGTAAAATCACCGACCACTCCACTGATGTTTTACAGTCAGAGGAGAGCCTGAAAGCCTCTTCATGGTCAGGAGAGAAACACAGTGAGAATATGTAAATACATGCTGTTTATCTGTGTGGAAAATTCCTGACAGAGAAGTCTGTTACTCGTGAGCATGGGCCCCAGCTTCGTTGGAGTATTCATAGTACTCTGCGGTATCTTTATGAGGGAGTATTTTAGTTTTACTTACGTGTGACATGCTTCCTGATCTTCACTACAGCCCCCAGTTTGCTTTATGTCTATAATTGCTTGAGTCAATAATAAAATCACTAAACAAATGTACAGCAGTTAAGAGTTGAGGAAACAGCATCAGGGACTTCCTGTCAGTTTAAGTTTGAATGACGCGCGTCGCTGCTCACCACATCTTCTGGTGAAGTTTGTGATCTATTTGAGCTGCTTATCGAATGAGACAGGAAGAGCACAAAAACAACAGGTGTGAACACACACATTGCTTTCACTTCCCTGTTTATGTGGCAATCTACATTTTCTTAATCCTGCTGCTTACTTACCGCTGGTTGTGTAAAAACCCTGTTGACCTCTTGTGTAATGTAGCTGTTGTTAGTGCTCTAAACGAGAAGAGTGGTAAAGTCTAAGTTCTTTTTCTCAGACCGTACTGTGTGTACTATGTGGAGGTCCATTGCATACTCTACTGATGTGTCTTGTTTTACACCCACCATTCACACTACACAATCACTGTCACTCCCAGTGTAATCTGTAGGCCAGCTGATAGGGATGTAGTGAATACTTAGTGAGATAGAGCCGCCGCTAAGCTGATAGCCAGCCAAGGACAATGTTCATTTTTTCGCAATAGACTCCTCACATTAATACCTTCTTTAAGGTCATACTGTGTGCTTAATGGTCAGGCTTGTACCCTATGAACCCTCCAGGGCTCATTTCTCACAGTAAGTGAATTGGTCATGTGGTCGCACATGATTGCTTAGTAAAGTTGTAATGGTTTGTAATGTAATTTACAAGCTGCCATGTTATTTTTATATTCTGTTTGCTGAATGAGCTGGCAGAAAAAAGGCTTTGCTTTTGAGCCGCATTAACAATAAGTCTTGAATATTATCTCGAACTGCGTGGTCTTCATTATTTTTCCCATGGCTGACAATAACTTGCAGGTACAGAGGCCTGTGTAAAGTTGCTGTCACGTCTCTGACAGTCAAAGGATACTGGTCTGTGTATGCAGTGACAACACAAAAGGTGTTCACTTAACTGTCCGTACATTTTCCCACAAGTGTCCTTTGAAACATTGCAGTAATTGATGGTAAAGAAGCATTTGAAATGATCCTTTTCTCTCTTTGGATATGACTGTTTGCAGTGACCTGGTCGGGTAAACATCGCAAAGTTTGTTCAAGGTTTGTTAGTCATACATGTATTATTTTATTAACCGAAACTCCACCATGACAGGGTTTTTTAAAAATACATGAGTGTTTCTTTCCCCAGTGAAACAACAGGAGAGGTTGACGGTATGAGTCTGTCTCTTAAGGTTGGAAATTTCCATTCAGTTGAGCCCTGCGATCCTCTGCATATGAAAATATACAGAAATAGCTGTTTACTTAAATGAGGGCATGTCATCTATGTAACATAAGACGTTGTGATTTTTAACCCATGTCTGTCAATAGTATCCTGTTGGTTTTATTTCTGCCAGTGTGAGTGTTGGTGGGGATCATCATAAATGTCACTTGTTGCGTCTTCAGGAGCAGAGCTACAGTTAACTGATCTGTCTCCGTCAAAGTCTCACTCACAGTCACAACTCGGCGTGGTTTAAACTCAAATGTCACACCACAGAGGCATGTGCTGATCATGTCTTTTCTCCTGCGTATGAGAATAGAAGGTAGTAAATGTGATTTTTGGCTGTACGCTGAAAAATTAATGTGACATCATGACTAGCATGAGTTATTGAGGTTGGTACACTTGTTGCCTTTTTATCATGAAATCTTTAATTATTTTGTATTTGACCAACTTTGATAGTGGGCAGGTTTACACAGGCAGATCTCTCACAGCTCCCCAAAGGAAATGTTTCTTTCCAGTAATAAATCAGTGTAAACTCCAGGTTTGTGTGTGTGGCTGTGAGCTTTATGGGGTTTGAAGCAATCCTAGATAACCTCTTTTAAAAATTATAACATCCTCTTGGGGGGTCGAGGGATGCCTCTCCAGCTGGCTGTTTATCCAGTCTAGTTTTTAATTTAATTTATCTTGAGTGGACATTCAAGCATCATGACAGTACTTCACATGAAATCCCATCATGCACCTGGGTGCTAGCCAACCGCTGAATGGAACATTGTGTTTTTCCTGCACCTCCATCTCCATAGACCCACTTCTTCTTCTTTTTTAACAAGCTCTCCCATCTCAGCTCTTTAGAACAGAGCAGGTTATGCTAATAAACTGTTTAGCTGTTGATAGAAGCAGCAGGGGGACAACCTACCCTCCCCATCCCAGATGAGCACTCCAGTGAGTGGCACATTATTGATAATGTACCTACTATTGTCTGGGAATAAGACAAAGACAGAGGCTTTGTTTAAGCTGGCCTAACCATGTCTCCACCCCTCTGGTTGGATACCTGTTGGAAATGTACTAAATGCTGGTTACCAGGGAAGGTGTGTGGTTGTTTTAGTTGTAATATTCATCAGACTTGTAGAGGAGATGAAATCGAGGCGTTCTGATACACAAAGCTTTCAACAATATCAGCGTCTTCTGGCAAAACTGTCAATCCTAAATGATGTTTTAGATAAACTAATTAGTAATGAAATATTCTTGGAGTTCATGTCAGTGGACTTGACATTATTTCTTATCTATGTGTATCCTTCCAGATCAAACAGCCTTCTTTAGTCCTCTTGTATTTTGTGTCAGTATGGATCACACGTGTCATTTCACATTTGTTTACATCTTGTCCCGCCCCACCCCCACCCCCCTGAGCTCTCTCTGAATCACATGGATCATGTAAAATGAAAGCGACAGTGCTTCATCCAGTCACTATACCCACACTCCCCTTTCTGTTCCACTGGCCACAGACACCTGATTTCGCTCAGCTAAAAATAGACTCCTTCAAACCCCAACCCCCCCTCCTCACTGCCCCCCTCACCTCTATTGCTTTTCTTCCTCACACAGACTTTTATAGGGTAAGTATCAACAAGTAATGCCCATTCACAGCCTCACATCTCCAGTCGCAGTGGAGTGTGTCTGTGTGGGAATCGTCACGATCCGTTATGGTCTGAGACTGATAAGGAATTCCTGTTTTTCTCGGTGAGCTCTGACTGAGATAATAAAACTTGAGCATGATAAATCTGGGTTTTCCACAGTGCTGTAAACGTGACCTCAGAGCCCATCCAAATGTTAGCCAGAGTCATAGGACCACAAGCATCTTTGAAAAATGGCCTTTTATGGTCAGTGTCAGAAACAGCTTCTGTCTTTGGTCACTTTTTGGGAAGCTTGCATTAATCGTGCTGCACAAGAGGGTTTGAGGTATTTCACCACAGGGCAGCTGACAGCCTTCAGTCTACTCCAGCAGAGGTTTTTTCATTACTGACGGCTGATTTTCCTCAACGCAAGGTGCCCTCTGAATAAAAACAGCCATGCTCATTGAACGTGTCTGTCTGAGCTTCTTTAAACTTAATTCTGGTAGAAGTTTAGACAGATGAAAAGCAAAAGTCGAGGTATTATTGTGTTAAGATCAATGCTGCTGCTCCTGTTATGAACCAAATCGCTGCTCAGTCAGTAAAATTAATCGATTAGTTTCACATTATGACACATGTAAAGGGTTTAACAGTTTTATTCTGAGTCTCTCTGGGTGGAAGTTGATTTTTCAGTCATTTTGAAAACCAGACACTTTTTATTTTTAACATTTAACATCGTTTCATTTCTCCTTTTTCTACTAACTTCTCACATTAGTCTAGTCTCGCTTTAGTCTAACATCTTTTTATTTTTCTGTTCTGCTGTCCCCAATTTAAACTAATATTTCCAGACCTATTTCCCCCCCATGTCACTAGAGCATAAGAAATTAGGACGCAGAGAGTCATTTCTTCCAGAGGATTCAATCAATTGAACACCAGTTTTCTCATGTGTTTCAGCACATTCGTCACACTCACCACTTCACAGCTGAAACGGAAGCTAGCGTTGGTTAAAGTCAAACTGTAAAGAGAACATGTGTCGCAACCGCTCGGGTCATATGGCCTTTTTTTAAATCCTCTGTGTCATGCAGGTAATGGAAAGTTTATCTTTTGAGCAAATTACAGTGAAGCACTAAACAAACGTACTCTAAACCTGCATGTGAGGTCTGTGAAACCCACATATAGTCGACTATATTTAGACATGTGCCTTCCACCCACTGCTGTTTTTTAATCCTTCATTTTGCTGTACAGAGAATTATCACCTACATACAGAAGATGAACGCAGAAGCGTCTCTTTAGGTTGTGCTAAACTGAATCAGTGAGCCTTGCTGTAGCCAGAAGATAGAAATCAGAGTGAGGTGAGGAACACATGAAAATGAAAGTGGAGACACAGAAGAAACAGGAGAAAGAAGTATCAGCCCCGACAGCATCTCGTCTCTTCTTTCCCTCGTCACTCTGACTTCATCCAGCTATCCAATAAGAAAAAGAGCCCTCTGTGTCTCCATGGTAACCCCCCCCCCTCCCCATTTGTTTAAGCAATGATGAAGAGAGGATAAAAATGCAGGAAAGAGAATATGTTTTAGCCTTAGGAAAAGTTTGATAGAGTATAATCCATCACATTTTTCATCTTTGACCGTTTTTCAGAAAGTTGCCTCGACAGTTATCGGATAAGCGATGAGGAATTCTTTTATATTTTTAATTTTGTAAAGCACAAATAGATTCAATAAAGTAATTAGTTTCTGTTTACATTTACCTTCTAGTTTCATAAACTTCGAATTTCCCCCAAAGCCTCCAAACTGCTGCTGTTTTGTGAACCCATCCTTTCAGCACTTCAGAGTGGCTTACTGTTTCACTTTTAATGTCAAGTACCTTCTTCTCTGAACACCCTCCTCAGTCATAACAAGCTGGTTGATTGTCAGCCAAATCCTGATGTTGGAATAATTGTCACAAGTGAACCTGCAGCGTTCTGTGATAGACTGATGATGATGATGTAGGTGTTAGCTGGCAGCAATACCAAGCCTCAGCCTCATCATCATCACTATAGTATTTCATATTGTTAACGCTGCTTTACACCAACGTGAGAGACTGCTAGTGGCAATGATACTTGAGATCCATTAGTTGTTACTCTTCCATGCCTCTTTGTGCTCAGCAGTGGGCTCCACATTAGCATGAAGGCCTCGGTTTGAATCAACATCTTGTCGCTATAACACTGAAAGGGGCTGATGGAGATGTTTGAAAGAGATTGTCTGAATCTACAAAAGTATTTTCTGCCCCAGGTCGTGTACTCTACGTGAATTGGCTAACGGGATGGACAAAATGTTGGAGTTGGGACACTCTCATTTTCTATATCTGTGGAGGAGTTACATAAGTCTGCTCTCTGCATGCAGGCTGTGCGAGGACTCACGCAGAATGACAGCGAGGGGAGATCCTCATTTAACCTTGGCTCGTAACAAATTAATCCAAATGTAATTTGCATATAAGGTCATCTAATTTTGGATTTCAGAGCAAAGCACAGCTTTGATTAGAGATAGAGTTGGTATGTAACAAGCCCGTTTTGGGAAACGCTGTGATGATGAACACCACTGAGGCGAAAGAAAACAATGGCTCTTCTTATTAAAGCGGCTTAAAGTTCCCCACAGTTGCCAGGCACCAGATTTATTTATGAAGAATTTTAATTACATGCTGTTGGGGTATCTAATCTAAACTTTACTTTTCCATGTGTTCAAAGTTTCACTTGTGCTGTTCAGTGATCTGCCTCGGAGTCAGTTCCTGTTTTCCAGGAGATTTCGTGCAGCTATTCTAATAAAAACTCAACACCCGGCTATATTTTAGATTTTTATTAGACAGAACCAAAAGGATTTGTTTCGGGAGTTGTGACATTTTAACTGAGGCACCTCTGAGTCCGCTGCAACACACTTTGGCTTCCCTAATCTCTATGCTGACTTAAAATCGATTTGTTTGACTGTTTATCTCTTTCCATACACAAATCATTTATTGGGGAATGAGGAAAAGTTCGACTTTTCCTCATTGCATCACGGACTCAGCTGTGTCCCTGCTCTGTGGTGCTCTCCCTGTGTAAACAAAGATCCATTTAAGAAGCAGGTCTTACTTTCAGGGCTACTGTGGGAGGCAGAGAAGGAGGAGGAGCACCACGGCGGAGATGCTAACAGTATTTTTAGCTCTTCTCTTGTACTGAAATGATGAGTAAAGAACAAGGGCAGGTTTTACCTCCCACCTCCTTGGCCTGTGGAGGAACACGAGCATGAGGGTCAGGAACAGTGATGGTCTTTTTATAAAAGTGCAGTACTGATGCTCACAGTATATCCCACAAACCATCATTACTGTGATTTTCCATTGTTGTACCCAACATCTAACATGTCCACAGAAGCTGGTTACTCATGTTTTTATTTGTTGTTGTGGTTTTTGTTCTCCTGAGCTTTTATCTGATCCTAAAGGATCACGTCGTTTTTTTAATCTCCATTTGTCTGTTTTGTTTGCTCAGCTTCAGCTCAATTTTCAGTCTCATATCCAGACTAAAACATTTTCCTACGTTTGTTCTTCATCTCTTTGAGATCATCGTTTGTTGAATCAAACAAACCTGACCGCCTTTTTGTTTGCTAACCTTTGGGTCGTCTTTGGAAGTCAAACACTGTAAAAGACAGTTGTTTTTTTTCTGACAGTCTCCACCTAAACAGGTCTGTAAACACTTTATAGATATTCTACTTTCTGTCCCAAAGGAGGGTTTAAAGGCTTAGGGATGAAAAAAAAATGTAATAGTATTATTAAAACCCCACACCTTTACAAATGTTGTATAGATAAAAGCTGGAGCTCCTCAGGATTTCATTTAACACCATAACATGGACAGATTAATGGGGGGAGTAGAAGAAGCCAATATGGAGGGAAAATTGCGTATCCAGTTTTCTTATCCCTCAAGGGTGCAGATTTTATAGGCTGTAAATCAATTTTGTTTTCAGTTATCTGCACCTCTCTAATTTATTTTTTTATCTTGCTTATTAATGATGTTTCATATTTGCCTTTATTAGTGACTCAGTGGGACAGAGGGGGATGATCTTGGTACACCCTGTTTTAAATCAGCTCTCTTCGGTCATTGCATATGGATGGTAACTCCCTTGGCTCTGGCCGCAGAGTGCACACACACACAAACACACACACACCAGCACAAACAGCATTGTCTTAAGCCTTTTGACATTTTAACTGGATTGGTTCGTAAGCCCATCAACTCGATCAAGGGTTCCAGTCTCAGGCCGGCGCTGTGTTTGCCGCAGTTGTCATAGCTTGAGTTGTCTCCAAAGTGTCAACGCCATGTGAAAGTGAACTGTGAAGGTATTTTCAGCGGTCCTGGGGCTAACATTTTCCACTTGTGATTTAAAGGGGGCCTGGCCTTGAGTTGGTCATGAGGGAACCCCCTGCCCCCCTCCCCTCCTTCTCTGACTCCACTGGGATTCACCACCTTCTCTGTCGCTCCACCTCGTAGTGGCGCTCTCTAAAAACAGGGCTAAATTTAAAGGGGCAACACCATTGTGGCCTTTTGGGAAAAGGCCTCCTGTGAGTCAACACCTCCCTCTCACTTTTCTGCTTTGTGTCAACAGCAGGGCCCAGCTGCTGCTCTCTGTCCCGTGGTCAACCTGCCTGCTTGACGTGTACGTTTCAACCTTGAGCTATATGTCGCACCTTCAGACAGAGCGAGTAAAACCGCTTTCTATTACTGTGATACAGGACAGCCTTGGGAGGCGAGGAGAATGGATCTCAGAGTGTAGGGCATGTTTGAGGTCTTTGTGTGGAAGTAAGAGGTGTGTCTGTTGAATGGAGGAGCCTTTGCATTGGGTTTCCCCATTTAGACCAACCACTTACCCTGCTGTGTAAGGTGAGCAGACGCACACTGCTTTGAGTGTCTGTTTAATTATGCCGTCTCGAAGTGTCACGTCAGACCCATTTAAAGGTTTTAAATCTGTTCGAAGAGAAGCTTTTTCTGTCGTTGTCTTTTTTTTTCAAGTCTATTTCAAAAGGTGAGTAATCGTACTTAAAGACATACTGGTTTTGTCCAGAAATACCCCTAATTGTCAATCATATTTTCTGATAAAGTCACAGATTAGGTGCAGTGTCTCTCCATTGATGGTCACGTGTTTAACAGGCAGAGAAAGTGATGCTGCGCAGAGGTGCAAATCGCAGTTTTCACTCAAACTTCTTCCCTGTTATCTTTGGCTGGAGTTTCGTTGAAGCACGAGTTGGAACATCTGAGGCTGCTGTGCGATAAGCGCTGTGCACTGGGGTGTGCTGCTATTGCGTCACTGCCTAGAGGGGAGCAGAGACAGTATTTTTAGAAGGGAATGAGCATATTCTCTGAACAAACAACGTCAGGCACTCTGCTTGCGTATGCTAGGATTATTGTGACCAGGCTATTTTTAAGCGGTGTGTGAGAGTGCTTTTTTCTGGGTCAAGCATGGTGCCAGTCCTCTCTCGTGGCTGCTGATGGATAGAACATTACAGGGCCGGTTTTCCGCCCAGCATCTGCATCAGCCACAGTGGAAAGAGTCGGAGAGACATGACTTAGAACAACCAGAGGCCACTCTAAGGACAGGTCTGTGCGAGGAAATCACGTCAAATAGACCTTGAGATTGCTCTTGTGGGAAGTCTAATTCAGAGGATCATGTTTAGCTGAGTTTTTATCATTTACCATGAAGCTTCGAGGTCATAAATCTTAACCAAAGCCACAGTTATTTAATTATGTTGAACTGTCAGTATCTCAAACTGTCACCAGTAATCGACACAGTAAAATATGTCACGCACACTTTTCTGTCTGAGCCGGTTTAGGTGTGTCTCTCGGATAAGCCAGAAATAGAGGGACATATCTTAGAAAATCAGTATGCCGTAACAATAGAGCTGGACAAAAAAAAACATTTAAATGAAATAACAGGAGCTGTAAAATGTTTGACATAAATATATGATAATTTAAAGCACTCAGTTCAGCAGAGAAACAATAATAGTGTCCTGCAAATGTAAAATCAACATGCCTGTGAGGTACAGACTCTGACAATATCATACTAACTGGAGTTTAATTTGCATTTCTGACAAAAAAACATTATTCATGCTGATTATGAATCATCATCGTTTCATCTTTTACTTTAAAGTCACTCAACATAAAACCACTTTTAGTTTCTTCCCGTCGTCTTATGAGTCATTTTACAGGTAAAAAAGTGACTCTTTCTTCTTATCTGTAAGGATCTGCTGCTCTTTCCAGAGTTATGTCGTTGTAAAATAAGTGTGTTCTGGGTTTGGACTCTGTGAACTGAATGAATGAGCCTGGGTTCTGGGATGCTGCCAGTGTCCTTTTTTATTAGTTTCTTGGCATTTCAGGCATTTAATGACAAAATATTAAGGACTGTGAGAGAAAAACAGATTTACTCTCAAAGATTATAGCTCGCTGCGGATTAGAAAATACTAAAACCTTTTTAAAAGTTTGGCTAATAAGTCTCAGGGCTCAGCATCAACAGCAGGTCCATGATCCTGGGCTGGCAGAGGAGTTCTGCGACTGTACAGCGCCCCTGTGTTATCCTTCCTGTTTTTTTTCCATCCCTCTATCTGTTGATCTTGTCCTCCCTGTCTTCACATACCCGGTGTCACTCCCTTTCATGTAGGTTGCCAGTTTATGGTAGCTAACTGGACTCTGACCTACACAGTGATAATAATCAGACAGTATGATTCTGTGTCCCAGTATATCACATTTAATGTCTTCTGTAGGCCCAGAGGAAACTCCTGAACCCTGTGGAGTTTGTTTGTTGCTGCTGTGTGAGTTGAAACCAGCATTCAGTTTGTTGCCACAAGCTTCCAGCATGTTGTGGTCCTGTTTTTTTATCCGCATTGTCAACAAGGATGAACACTGTGACCTTCCCCTCTAAACCCTGGCACTAACATTGAGGCCTCTCAGGCTCCTGAGCCGCAGGCTTTTCTGTGGGCCTTTCCAAGCTAGCCTAGTTTCATCTCAGCTCTCCCATGGGTACAGTTATTTTCAGCAATATGTGGTGTTCTGCTCCCGTTTTGTCTATGCATTGTTCCTCTGTGTCAAACAAGGCCAGTACATTAAAAATGTATAGAAGACAAAGTCACCCTGTTTTAACTAGAACACCTTCCAGTCTATTAGTGAGCACCTGCTCCAGGTGGAGGAGTTACCGTATCAGCTCTTCAGTCAAATGTGTCCTCCTGGTTGTGAGGGCAGCGCACAAGAAAGAGTGAATAGGCAATTCCTGAGCCTTGCCAAAGCTCGCCATGTCTGCGGGAAAAGTGACGCAGTGGGAAGTTTTGTGTGATTATAGACCGGAGTGGCAGCGTGCCAGGAAGTGATCGTGTCGCCGCCACAGGTCAGAAAAGAGCGAATTTGATCTCATGCTAGACTGTTAAATCCTGTTAAGGACAATGTTGTTGTCTTCTTCAATATTTAACAGCATTTACAGTGAAGTTCTTCTTTTCTTAACGGACTTCTCTTCAGTTCATTTGTCACTTCGCCTCAGCTGACAGTCTCCACAGTCGTGATCTTGTGTCGTATTTTGAAGAGCTGTTCTCCTCTCATCGGTCAGAGGCAGATTTCTGCAACTCATGCCACCCACATGCTGGTTATGTATAGCCCACACCTACCCCTATCTGCCCAGTGGTTTGAAAACAATGCTTTGTGCAACTCAGAGGCTGCTATTTGTGAAACCTGGATCATGCACAGGGGTCTTACCATGTTACGCAATGCTCCCCACTCAGCCGTAATCCCTCTTATGCTGAGTGAGCCCCCCATGTGACGCTGTCCAAGGGTTGGGAGAAACAGGGTGGCTGTTGGGACTGTCGGCAAGGCACGGGTGCTTTTTGTCGAATCCAGCTGGTGAGGCCGCCCCACACACACACCGCACACACACCTCACACACACACTCACAAACAAACACACTTGCACACTAAGCTTTGGCCTGTGTATAAGAAGAGACGTTTATCCTGGAAAGTGCCTTACTTGAATCTGAGATGCTGGGTGGAGGTTCACCGCTGATGCTGGTCCTGACTACATTGAGCTTATTTCCTGAATGAACTTCGTTTGAGCCGCAGGAATGGATCTTTGGATTCGTTTGAAGGAAACTTGAAGGTTCTATTTTCGTCGCACGACAAACTTTTTTGATTTCTTGCTGGTCGAAGCTGGTTTCTACTTTTGAACTGTGGATGTTGGTGGACTCCATCAGACATGTTCTCATTGGATTCTTGTTGGTAATATTTTCGATAATATTCATTCATGTTTTTATTTGTTTCTCCCCTTACAGGAACCATCAATGTGGACTGCAGCTGCTGATTTGTGAAGCCACATATCGGAGCTCCCCCCGAGTCTCTCCTGTCCCCTCTCCCCTTCCCTTCCCTCCGTCCCCCCCTCCTCCTTCCTTCCCTTGTCAATTTTCTCCCCAAATCCCCCCTTTTACCCTTCCCCAAAGATTCACCATGCTCATCAAGGAGTACCGCATCCCCATGCCCATGAGTGTGGAGGAGTACCGGATTGCCCAGCTCTATATGATCCAGGTGAGGTCACAACGCCACGCTCTACCCCCAGATCTTCATCCAAACACACGCCAAAAAAAATGGACACATGACGCAGAGGCCAGAGAACGAAAAAGGTGCAGTGAGAGGAGAGAGAGACGTAAATACAGGGGGGTGTTTTCAAGAGGGTTATCAGACTGTGTGCAATTATGAAATGATTGGTCACACGGTGTCTGACGCTGGTGGAGCAACGGAACAAAGAGCGCCTGTGTGCCGTTAGATTATCCAATTTAAACTCTCTGAAGCTCGCTGTTTCCACCCCGTCATTGGCTGCATGTTTTTTATTCAAGCAGGAGGAGCAGGGGCACCCCGCTTTTTCTGCCAACTCCGAACACACACCTACTGCTGCGACGGAGATAGACACACCGCTTCGCCCGTGTCGGACAGTTTTATTTGTCAAACCGGGCCCTGACTGAGCGGGAGCCTGGGGGTCTTTGAAAGAGCTTTAGGGTTTACAGCTCTGAGCAGGAACGGCTGACTTTTTCAGCTTAAGTTATCCTCTGTAGCAACATATTTTCTCTTCATATGTGTACTTGAAGGAGGATTTATTTAATCCAGTGGTACTGCCAGGTGCACCGTGAGAAGCAGCGCAGAGAGGAGTCTGGGGTAGCAGTCCCAGTGACTCAGACTGTGGTAAATATTTTGCATTATTTAGGTACATCTGTTGGGACATGGTTTACACACTTAAGCATTTAGATGCATTTTTGTGTTTGAGATCTTTTCCTCCAGTGCACACGCTGATCTTGGCACGGTTTCAGCAGCTGTGTGAGGATTTCAGCCGCATGGTTACATAATGTGTGTATCACAAGAGGTTTTACATTAAGTGAAGAGCAGGTTGAATAAACAGGCCTGTTGAGACCCAGGTTGAGGCTTTTTATTAGGTTTAGTGATTTGATTTTGTGTTTTGGTGGAAGTGCAACTTAATGACAGCTTTAATCATTAACTATTGAATATTATGAGGGCAGAGAAGTCATCAGATAAATCCACGAAATATGATGAACTCACAGAAAACTTCCCTTACAGCCAAGACAGTCAAGTAAACAAGACTTCATGGTAACACCTTACTTGACGCCTATCTCTATAACGCATTATAAATATATGTATGATGCATTATAATCATGTTATAGCACTGTATAACTATAGTTATAGACACTCATAAATGATCATAATGCTTTTTAGCAATAATCATAACACATTATAAAACATTTTATCATGACTTACTAGGTCAGGTATTATAATGTGTTATTCTTATTGTTATAAAGCCTTATGATAATTAATGAGTGTTTTTAATGATAGTTATACAAGTTTATAAGCAAATTATAACACAAAGTATCATGTATTATCTATGCGGGCATTATCAGTCAGTTGTTAACAGTTTTAACACATTATAATACCTGACCTTGTAAGTTATACAGTGCTATAACGTGATTATAACCCATTACACATATATTTATAATGCGTTATAGAGATAGGCGTCAAGTAAAGTGTTACAGACTTCATACTAAGTTTACTTACAAAAATGTTTATGTGCAAATCTGACCTTTTAAAGATGTTTGACTAAATAAACATACACGTGAGCTGCAGTGTTTAACTGAAGCCCTCAGGAGACAGCTTCATGTGAGAAGTTGAACCTTTAGACCCTGCACGCATGCCTCTAAGCGGTGGATCTTCACATGAGGAGGCCTCCTAAACACCTGTTAAACTCTCACCGAAATTGAAAAGTGATTTCTGATCAAACTGACCAAAACGGATATCAACTTTCCAGTGAACCAACACTTAACAGCAAGCTTTGGTTTTGTTCAGAGAGCCTCTCCTGATTTGCATACACTATTAACTGTAATATAAGACAGTGTTTTTTTAAGTATCTGAATAGTCAGCTCCGTCTTATTTGTTTAAACATTATGTAATTGCCGAGGCAGTTCTTTATCAAACCTGCATCAGTGACGATAAGAAGAACATGTAGTCCATATTTTGCTCTCTAAAACAGTATCAGACGCTCATCTAACAACCTCGTCGGTTAATTCTGTTGTTTTTCTTCTCCTCCCCCCTGAAAGAAGCAAACAGACGGGTAATCCAGTTGAACAGCGGCTGATTGGGAACATGACTCAGCGACATGCCCCAAAGCAAGCAGACATTTCAGGACAGCACAAACCAGTCGCTGCACCACACTTCTGTGCACTCGCAGGTTCTCTCTGGCACCTTTTTGAAGAGCGTGTCACAGAGCATACTTGATCGACTCCGGTATTTGTTCTGAGCTCCTCCTCAGTTCTCTGCGTGCTCTCTGTCACACAGGTCACGGTGCAGACATCGAACTTGAACATGCAAGTTTTACACAAAGGAACAAAAAAAAAACGTACATGCATCTTCAAAGCGTATAAACAAATCATAGGAATCCTCACATGAGTGACCAATAGTTACCTCTCTCCCTGACCTCACCCTCTCTGCACAGCCTCGTTGCTGTGAGGCTTCTGTCACTATGGCAACCGTGACATCAGCAGCGTGCCGGTGGTCAGGTTTTGTTCGAGAGAGGGAGTGAATGAAAAGAGGAAATGGAGGGTAAAAAGAGAGGCTGCCTGCAAGAGAAGGGAGGGAAAGAAACGAGAAAGACGGACAGAAAAAGCTGGAGAGAGAGAGAAAGAGAGAGAGAGAGACACCTGTACTCTCAGTAGAGAGGATTTTGTCGGTGTCTGTGGATACTCTTTCTTTATTGCTGTATGTTACCAGGGCAACTGCAGCATGTAGGCCTGCCTGCTTGCCATCCGTGCCTCTTGTTAATCTCATAGATGAAGTTGGGGCCTTTGGACAGTGTAGCTCTAGCTGCACCCCAGCAGACAACGCCACACCCCACCTCTCTGCTCTTTTTATTTAATCTTGTTTTTATCATCCCTGTAAACATAAGGACTTAATGTACAAAGCAAATGGGGAGAGAACGCGCTAGAAACTGAGTTATGAGAGGATCTCGCTGTGTCTCATTCATTCACACACATCCTTCATGCTCTGACTAAGCAACTGTGTCTGCGGAGGGAAGTGAAAAGCGGCATCTCAAACCGGAAACACGCCTCACTAACTTGATAGCAGGAGAAAAAAGGCAGGATGTGACTCTCATCCTGTAAGCGAGGTCAGACCTAAACACATCGAGAGAGCTTTGATCCTGTCTGCTTTAATTTAGGAAAGGTTTGATGGCTGTTGTTGATAGAAATGAGAGAGTGATGATGTGAAGTTCAGGAGTAGGTCTCGCCACACTTTGTCTTCTTCTTCTCAGCTGAAGAGGATTTTTAATGAGACTCGCTATCTCGACAGATTTTACTTTGACGCTATTGCCGTTTCCTGACAGGTGGTTTTCATCAGCGCAGCAGCGAACAATGCTCAGTTTTCTCCGAAATTCAAACATTAGATCATCTGTTCGTTCATTCTTTGTACGCGATCCATCTTCACTTTGCTTATTTCCTAAAGCGAGCAGCTGAGCCCCTGGCCTGTGTTTTGTTTCTTCCTCCCGGTGAGCTGGAGAGAATCACACATCCCTCCAGGGGGGGAAGAAGAAGTGAAACTGCTCTTGGCAGGCTGTGGTCACCTGTCAGACACCTCATTAAAGACAATCCATAGCCTGCATGTGAAGTGTTCAGCTGTCTACTACGAAAAAACTATTTTATTTATAAAAATCTAACCATAATTAGTGTGAAATAGAGCATTGATAAGCCATCTGATATTAGTCAAAGTTTAAAGACACGCTTTATTTTTGTCCTTAATAATCCAAAGCTGTGTGGACTCTATGTTTACAACTGCGTATTTCTACAACTGCAGACATTTTTACAGCTTGTGTGCAGATATGACACTTTTAAAACTTGACATATCCATCAGCTTCACTTAAACAGCGGGTTCCTGCGTCGTGCACCGACTGCATGTACAGTCAGTGGCGTCTGTGCAGTGTCACGGATCTGTGTCTGGGCTGTTGAAAGCAGGGCGGATGGCTATTGAATGACCTGTCAGAGGTAATGAGGTCTGGAACTCCGGGCGCCTCATGCCTGCCTCCTCCTAGCTTCACTGATTCACTTTTTTTTTTTTAGCCTGTGACGCATCTCCTCACCGGACTAACAGGAGAAATCTGTTTTTCTTTACCGTCTGCTTCTATATTCTTACAGTGGCGTGTAAAGACGGGATGTTGGCTGATAAAAGCAATAGAAAAGTCGATTCATCAATTACCTTTGACATTTATAGTCTTTGGTCTTTGTACCCTATGATTTTGAAACCGTCAGCACTTGGACTGTGCCCCTACTCAGTCTCTATCCTCCTTCCTCTTGCCATGTCGCTCATTCTGGTGTTTGGCGGTTTGAGTCACCTCACTGCTGGTCTCAGCTAAATCTAAAAGCTCCACCCAGCCACTCTTCCTGTGTGTTCGCACCTGGAATGTAAATATAGGAAAGGTGTGGCTCTGTGAGCTGGTTTTGAGCTTCCTGATTTGCAATTCAGAACTGACCAAGCTTTCATTCACCTATTGGGTTCAATCTATTGGGTGGTTTTCACTCTTTAGATTCTCTTTCAACTTAAATTTAATTTGCATTTTTTAACCGTAACAGAAACAAGACATACGGTCGAAAATTGTCCATGTAGCCTCCATCAAAGTTGTCCATTTTTTGTTCCATTTGTTCCATTTTTCCCACTTTCGATTGTTTGTTTCTTACTGGAGTCGTAGAGCGAGTGTTAGTTTCTCCATTTCATATAGTCCTTCCATCGTGTCCAGCCAATTTTTCTGATTAGCTGGATTCCTTGTGTTGGCCTTCTCTGATGCTGCAAGAAGTATTTCAGTCAAGTATCTGTCTTTAGTTTGTATGTTTCCATTACCTCGAAGGTCATGGGGAACTCATATCCTAATATTTTTCTTATTCCTTTGCTTATTCCTCTCACTTATTAACTCTTTAGATTCTCAACTGCAAACAGCGTCGTGTGAGTTTGTTTGTATATAAGAGTTCTTGCATTCTCGCATCTCACTCAGACAATATCATTTCATGGTTCCTCTTGCAGAAGAAGAGCCGAGAAGAGAGCTGTGGGGAAGGCAGCGGTGTGGAGATTTTAGAGAATAAGCCCTACACAGATGGACCGGGTGGGACGGGCCAGTACACCCACAAGGTCTACCACATTGGCATGCACATTCCCAGCTGGTTCCGCTCCATCTTGCCCAAAGCAGCGCTCAGGGTTGAAGAAGAGTCGTGGAACGCCTACCCTTACACCCGCACCAGGTGAGATTTTTGCTCCTACTGAAAGGCCACCTCCACACCTCTTCAGAGCAGGAGTAAGAGAGCGTCAAACCCTGCCAAGGCTGCGCAGAATGTTTTTTCATCTGTTCTTGGAAATGTTCTGTGGTAAAAAGTAGAGCAGACACAAAAAGTCAAACCTTCCTTTTTATCGTACAGATAACAATTAAAACCCAGCTGATATTCAGTGTGATACTCCTAGAGTGCCATGAGATGAGCGCTCTGATGCCCAGTTTGAAGTCCTGATCAAGCTGATGTCCTTTTATAGACGCCAAAAGAAAATAAAGATCTTAGAACAAGCTGTCACAATCTAACTGGGCAGAGCTTCAGATCAGCAGGAGACGAGCAGAACTCCCAGGCTGCCGAACGCTGACGGCCCCTCACTCTCAGGGTGTCTGTGTTTGTCTGCGCGGCGCCTGACAAACACAAGATGTGAAGGTGCTGAAAAGAGATGTGCCCTTGACTATGCTGTCAGGATATTGATAGACTGCAAGTGCCTGTTGACACATCTGTTCAGCCAGCGACAGCTTTTGCTTCAAAGAAAAACAGATGGGCACGGCTCACACCTTTTCTCTACTCCGCAGTGAAAGGGTGATGTCACTCTTTATAAAATAGTTCTGCTCTCGAGCGAGTCAGTTTTTAACTAAGTCTCACAACGATGGCAGATGTCAACCACACTGCACGCTTCTTCTGCTTCAATATTTTTGCCTCTTCTTCTCCCTCAGATACACCTGTCCCTTTGTGGAGAAGTTCTCCATCGACATCGAGACCTACTACAAACCCGACACAGGCAACCAGGTGGATGTCTTCAACTTGTCTGCAGCAGAAAAGAGGCAGAGGACCATCGGTGAGACACAGGTTTAGATGTTGAAATAACCGCTGTGGGTTGCATGAGTTATTTAAGGTGACAGAGCAGCATCTGTAAGTTCAGACTGGAGGTGTCTTAATATCAGTTGTGGTAATATTTGTGGTAACACTGCGTGTGTTTTAACAGTCTGACGCTGCAAAGCTGCCTGTGAATGGTTTGAGGGCATGAGACAACATGGTTGCAAAACAGAGTATTATGAGGTCAATAACTGATTGTCTGATTGTCAGACTGGGAGTCAGTTATTTAAAAAATGTCGAGCCGTTGATCACAAGTTCATACACGCTCTGCTACCTCACCCACAATACATCATGACATAGAATAGAAAACACAAAGTATGCGCAACACATTCCTTAAAAAAACCTCTCCTGCAGTCTTCATGGTGTTTTTCTGAATATCCTCCGTCTCTGGTAGACCCTATCGACATCGTGACAGATCCCATTCCCCCTCATGAATACAAAGTTGAAGAGGACACTCGGCTCTACAAGTCGGTGAAGACCCAGAGGGGTCCTCTGCAGGACGATTGGATAGAGGACTACAACAATAACCCAGGGAAGACCCCCATCATGTGTGCCTACAAGCTCTGCAAGGTGGAGTTTCGGTACTGGGGCATGCAGTCCAAGATTGAGCGCTTCATCCATGATGTGGGTGAGTGTGCAGCCACAGGTGTAATAAGAGGGCGTGTCATCCATTACATATTAACAAATATTAACACATATTAACGTCGGATCATTGTGATGTTAAGAGTCACGTATCTAACAATTCGAGTCGTCCTCCCTTAGGTCTGAGGAAGGTGATGGTGCGTGCCCACCGGCAGGCCTGGTGCTGGCAGGACGAGTGGTACGGTCTGACTATGGAGGACATTCGGCAGCTGGAACTAGAGACCCAGCTGGCCCTGGCCACAAAGATGGCCCAGTTCTGTCAGGCAGAGGAGGCCACCGAGGCCAACGGAGAAGCTCCGTCTCCAGACAAGGAACAAGAGGTGAAAGAGGCCATCAGCTCCATCGAGTCAGAGGAAGTGGTCGTCAGTACAGCAGGAGACACTCTGCAGCCACGGGGCGTCTTGACCAAGCAGTGGTCCACTTCATCCCGATCGTCCCGATCTTCCAAGAGAGGAGGTTAGGACTGCGCCATCTGCACTCCTTCAGTTTTGTCACTTTACCATTAGACAGCGTGTGCGACTGACTCATTCAGAGGCACCGACGTTTTTCCCCCGCTCAGTTTCTTTCTGCAGCTTTTTGGTGATAGGTTTCCTCAGAGCCATACTCCTTCCGTCACACATAATCACATCTATATTTACACTTCATCATGTCCTATTTGTTCAGTCAGCCATCTGACTTCCTCCATCTTAAAGGTTAAGGTTGACTAACAACAGTAAAACTGCTCTGAAGGTCTCTACAGAAAGAGCTGGAGGTCCTGTTGAGTTTATCTGAGTGATAACAGACGAGAAGATGTAGTATCCAGAAAGAAAGAAAAGTCAATAATCATCAGTCTGAGAATTCTGTCATCACTTCCAAACTGAAAGACACATAGTACATGTCAAGACAGCAGTGACAACATAATAATCTCTCACATTGTTGAACAAACTCTTAACTTCATCTTGATGGAAGTGTTTCACATCACAACAGAAAACTTTCTACAGAGAGTTTGACTGTGATTTGTTCAGTGTGCGTTTAGAGCTCGCCGTGTTGGACATGTGTTAGTGAATTTATACACCTCCTGAGCAGACTTTATGCAGATCTGCTGAGTTTCCACTCAGATCTACATACGCAATACCACCCAACTCACCCCGACTCACCTCTACAACTCTCTCGATCTTACCTGAGTTATTTTTAGCTGCAGCATCACAAACCACATGTCCAAACACACCCATCTCCAGTATCAGCCCTACTTCAAGGCAGTGCTCACTGTAGCCGCCACCTGGACCCTGAGTCCCATCCAGCATGCCTCGTTTTACCCTTGCGACTACCCCTTGTGGTTTTTCTGGCGCTATTTTTAGCAGCAGCGCTGACATCACAGATTAGAGGAGGCTGACGCTTTTCACAATGACCCTCCCCTCCACCAACACGGTTTCCGTACGAGCACTGCCAGTTACAGCTGTACCCCCCTCCCCTCCAGGCCTCCTTTTAGAGTGACCTCAACCCCCTTAGACTAATTATATATTTAAGTCGGAGACCGAAGACACATGCTCAACAAGTCCTGCTTTTAGTGTTTCCATTTTCTCAGCTGGCATTTGGACGCCAGTGCGCTCACTGCTTATCTGTCGGGCCTCACTTTTCACACAACCCTCTGATGGACCACCAAGCAGTCCATCTGTGATGAAGCAATGTACCACAGAGACCGTTGCATGTTTATATAACACCGTGTGTGTGTGTGTGGGCCGGGGGAGATTGTGCAATATTTCTTTTTCATAGAGTGTGTGTGTGTGTGTGTGTGTGTGTGTGTGTGTGTGTAAAAGAGAGAAAGAGAGAGGTTGAAACACATGTCCCAAAATAACAGTGTATCTCTTGTTCTTGTGCGGTCTTCCAGTGAGTCCATCACGTCACAGTATCTCCGAGTGGAGGATGCAGAGCATAGCGCGAGACTCAGACGACAGCTCGGATGAGGAGTTCTTCGACGCTCATGGTAACCACAGTTTTGATTTTGATGGTTTCATCAATAAAAGTCTGTATTGTGTTCAGTTTTTCCCAGAAACCTGCTCGCTCCCTTTCCTCCTCCTGACTCTGCATGCATCTCTTCAACCACAGATCAGTTCTTAAGCTTCCCAGATACCCAGCATGCTTTGGGGCTGCAGTTGAAATAGGTTGGTGTGGTGCGACACTCATGCTGTCTGCTGGATGGGTTTGGACGAGGACACGGTCCAAGTGTCTCTTTTCCGGTTCAGAATCACAGTCACCTCCTACCAACAGTCCCTGTCACCAACACACTCCCTGTCCCACATCATCATCATCGACACACACACACACACACACACACACACACACACACACACACACACACACACACACACACACACACACACACACACACACACACACACACTCACCTCCGCAGAGTCCCACACGATTCTTTCTAAACCTGGGTCATAACATTTTATTTTGCTGTGATACTGAAACAATAAAGTAAAATGTTGTTGTTGTTGTTTTGCTGATACTGGAGTATCACAGCTGATTATCTTCTCATTAGTTTGTTCAAAGGTGAATAAATCTCTGCTCTGGCTGTCCTGAGTGACTGTGAAACAATCATTAGATGCAGCTGTGTGTCAGTATTTTATCGTGTTTCGCTGTTTTCATGTTTCTTTCATGTTTGTATGAAATAAATGCACACTGGGGATCTGATGTATAAACACACCATATTCAGTCAAATGAATGAATGAGGCTCACTGACAAAACCTTGTGTCTCAGTGACTGTTAGTACAATAATTAGGGCTGGACGATAAACCAAAAATTTACCAATGACGAAATTTACGACAACAACCAACGTCATTTTACCCATATTGGTATACTTGGTGTCAAAAAAATAAATAAAAGTTGTTTTTGGATGTGTGTAGGTAGGCTATGGTTTCATGTCCTTTTAAGACGCTGTCCTACGTCAGAGACGAGACTCCACCCCATCCAGTCTGTAATAAAGAGGGAAAGACAGGTGAGGAGATGGAGGACGGTTCAAAAGTTGTAGCGGCTGAAGTAGACGAAGTTAATGTGGGAGGGGGTGAGCAGCTTGTGAAGTAGTTATCATCCATTTATCGTTATCCAGGTGAACTGATCAATATATTGTGATATTGATTTGAGGCCATATCGTCCAGCCCTAACAAGAATGATAGTTGTGCTGCCACAGTGTCGGGCCCAGTACAGCAATGATTCAACACAGCCAAATGAAACGATCAGTTATTTAAGAAGGGTGAATAAATAATTTGAGGCGCAGTGTGTAAACGTAAGCGGGTCTTTGTCCTCTGGATGATTACATTTGGAAACACAATGACTTGATTCAGGGTGTTTTTGACTCCCCAGATTTCCATCATATCATGGACTTTAAATTTTTTCCTCTATAGCAAATATAAGAGTAAGAGCGCACCGACAAAACTCAGTCAGTGTGTTTTGTTCACTTAGGCTTATAACTTGGTGTATTTAATCGACGACTGATATTGCACAGTGATTTTTATAAGACTAGTGCTGCAGCAATAATCCTGCTGAAGAAAAGAAATGGAGGATTGATAAAAGAATCCTGTGCAGATCATATAAACTTACAAAAACTAAGATCAGATGCTTTTACCCAGTGTTTGTGTTCCCATCTTGCTGACCTTCACTCCGTTTTCACTTGCAAAACAAGTCACCAAATAAAATGATTTTTATCGCTTCACACTAGTCGTATCGTTAGTTTTTACTTCCTGTAGAGCTTCACTTACATCTAACTGAATTTCCATGAAAGATAAGGTGAACAGCGGTTGCCTGTACATTCCTTGTACAAATCTGAACATGTCTTTAAAACCCACTATGTCTGGATTCACAGCAAAAGGTGGATAACATGTTCTCAAACAGAATTAGACGATTGTAAAAGAAAAATATTCACATTTGAAATTTTTATCCATCAATAAAAGGTATGAGTCAGAAATAAACACAAAAGTTTTGCTATTTGTACCCGAAGTTTCACCATCAGAAGCATTTGGAGACCAGAGCTGTCTGTGATACTTGACATCAAACTGCTGTTGTAATACCAGATTCTTAAACCCTAACTGACCCGTACACTGAACTTGACTGGACCTTTGTTTTTGACCCTGCAGAGGATTTCTCGGATACTGAGGAGGTCCTCCCGAAGGAAATCACCAAGTGGAACTCCAACGACCTCATGGACAAGATCGAAGCTGCAGACACAGAGGAAAATGCCGGTAAACAAACACCATAATCACTAAAATGGACATTTTTGCTGCTTCACTTCTTGATGTAAAGATTGTGTGTTTGTGTTTTTGTGTGTTTGCAGGTGAGCTGTTCAAGGAAATGACAGTGGACTATGAAAGAGCTGCCAGTGAGGACAGACTAGATGAGGTATGTGTGTCTGACAGTGTTTGTTAGTTAAAAAACAACAACAACACTGTCCTGACTGAACTTCTGTTATGCAGAAATGTGTGAAATGATTATTTCTGCAGTAGAGTCTACAGGAAAAGCCTCTCAGGACTCTTCTAGACTTTTTTTTTGTTGTTGTTTTTTTTTACCAAACTGTGACAGAAAGGCTGTTCGTCCCTGAGCCTCTCTGTCCTCTTGTGTTCAGATGCGTGGCTCTGTTAGCGGCCAAGCTGATAGCTCTCCCATTCCCACCATCATGGTAACCAGGCACCAGTCAGTAAGTCAACATTTTCTCGCCCCAGTGCATTGTGGGCCTCAGAGTGACTCCACAGAGATCCCAGAGCCCTCTGAACAAACCCCGTACTTACTCGCCCCTGCCCCTGTTTTTCCTCATCGTTGCCCGAACCCAAAACATGTGTCGTCCTCAACCTCACCACCCTCTGTTCAACTCCGTGTTCCTGCGGCTGTGGTGTTGTGTTCATGCAAACCTACAGTTTATGGTGTTACATATGTTGTCTGCAGAGAGCATCGTCGTCCAGGTGGAGTGTAGGTTTGCTCTGTCCTGTCACCCTCCGTGGTTCTCCACCGTACTCTGGTTGTTCAAATGTTTTGTTGTGTGGTCCAGATTTGGAGAGATGGACACAAACGTCTGACTGACAGATTAAAACAAAACACAACTAATGTCAGTGCACGATGGCGAAGGAATAATTAGAGCATGCTGTCTCTGTTCATGATGATTCAATAAAGATTTTAATTTATAGAACGGTCTGCAGGAGCTGTTCCTCGTCTGTAATCCTGCTCCTACTGTCTGTTCTCAGGAAAGCTCGTCTCAGCAGGGTTCGCAGCCCTCAAAGATCCACGTTCTGATTTTGGTTCTGCACGGAGGGAATATCCTGGATACAGGCGGAGGGGACCAGAACAGCAAGCAGGCCGACGTCAACACCATCAGCACGGTTTTTGACACAGTCATGCGTGTTCACTACCCTGCTGCACTGGGACGCATCGCCATCCGCTTGGTGCCGTGCCCTGCCATCTGTGCCGAGGCCTTCTCCCTGGTGTCCAAGTAAGAGGACACACACATGCACACACACATTTCTGCACACTACAAACACTGAGTGTAATGAGTGAAGGTTTCTGTTGTTGACAGTGAGCGCTGTTGATTTACAAAGTCTGATATTTAATATGAAGCAACTCCTGCAGGTTTAGAGCACAATGAAGGGGAGTGTGCGTGTGTGTGTTTCGAATTAACAGAAATCATAAATTACATATGCGAGTTCCTGGTTGTGCTTTCCTGACATTTCTTTGGAAGAGACTGAATGGATTCACAGTAGAGATGTTAGATGAAGATACCGCATTGCTTTGAATTATGTTTTCATACTCATTTTCATAATTTCCATACCACTCCCTTTGACATCGACTGGACTGCAGCTGAAATATTGTCTCACACTCTCACACACATCAGGGATTGGAGCATTAATTCAGTTTCATAAAACATAAAAAAGGTAAGAAAAAGAAATGTAATAAAAAAGGAGGAGTAGAAAGCAGAAAGCAGGATAATAAATATAAAAACAAAATCAATAAAAGGCATAATAGGTTAAATAAGTATAACAAAGGCTAAAAAGACAGTAAGTCCAAATAAGATAGAGGTAAAAGAGATAAAAGAAAAAAAAGGAAGGGGAAAGTGTTAATCTGTCAATTCACTCTCAATCAGTTTGATAACCAGCTTTGTAGGACCGTATAATGCAGGTTCAGTAAAGCCAGATAACCTAAAGATACCCCGGGCATGTTGAACTTGTCTCATAATATGAGCCACAGATGTTGCTAATGACTGACTTCCCTCTCTCTTTTGAGATATCTCTGTCACTAAATTTTCTCTATTTCATTTTTAATCTTTGCTCAGCCTGAGCCCATACAGCTACGATGAGGGCTGTTTATCCAGTAGCCAGGACCACATCCCCTTGGCAGCCCTCCCCCTCCTCGCCACATCTGCGCCACAGTACCAGGAAGCCATAGCAACTGTCATCGTCAGGGCCAACCAGGTGTACACAGACTTTATAAAGTCTCTGGATGGTGCCGCTTTCTCTGGCCAGGTGAGTTTCCTGCCAACCCGCTCCAATTATGATACAGCGACAGTTTTTTAGTGTTTCCTGTGATGTACAACAACACAACAAGCTGTGTGTTTTCAATATTATTCTCCAAAATATATATTTACACAGCACATACACTGTTTGTTTAAAGTGCACACAGTGTGTACAGACTTATTACATGTCAACACTCTGTGTGTGTGCATATATACTTACTCAGGTACACAGTGTGACAGCTTAGGTGTCCTTTAATTTGTCTAAAGAGGACAATATCAAGACTTTTGGATTCTTGATTCACATCAGAGTAGAACTGTTCATGTCTTCTCCTTCCCTTTGTTTTAATTTTCAGTAAAATCCCTTTTTTTGTTGTAGATTTGATGATGTGTTAATTTATCATCTAAACCTGAACTCTAGATTGAGTTTTGTTTTAATCAGGTTACATGTGGGCTTTGTCCTTTCTAGGTTTGCCTCATTGGAGACTGTGTGGGAGGAATCTTGGGCTTTGATGCACTTTGCAGCAGCAATCAGACAGTTAATGAAAGCCAGAACAGCAGTCGCAGGGGCAGCGTGGTCAGTGTGCAGGTAAGAAGCAAAGATGTTTTTTTATACTAATTATAGAAGGAGAATAAAAGGTTGACTCCTCTCTCCTCTGAATATATTTCTGCCTGAACTTTCTCTCTACATACTGAGACATCTGGATTTGTTCTTGAATCGTATGTGCAGGACCAGGACCTCCTCTCACCTGGCATCATAGTCAACAGCGGCCACGGTTCAGCTTCTCCAACCTTGGAGGGTAGCCGTCACCTCAGCCGCAGTAACATCGACATCCCTCGCGCAGGAGCGTCCGATGACACCAAGAAACAACTGCCACGCAAGAGAAGCGACTCCTCCACCTACGAGCTGGACACAATAAAACAACACCAGGCCTTCCTGACCAGGTACGCGGAGTCTGGGATGACACATGAAATGAACTTGGGGGATGAAGAACTCAGTCTTTGAGTCGTTTTGGGTTTACACAACAAAATGACTTTGTCCCGTCCTTCCAGCTTACACTCCAGTGTCTTGCGGAACGACTCGGCCTCGCGCAGATCGAGCAGCAGCACCATGCTGGACGGAAGCTCCCTGGGGAAGTTTGACTTTGAGGTGTCCGACTTCTTCCTGTTCGGCTCTCCGCTAGGATTGGTGCTCGCTCTGAGGAAGACTGTCATTCCTATGCTGGATGGTGAGTTTTTGCAGAGAGACGTGATGTCCTTTGTAACACTTTTAAACGATGGTAGAGGTTATTTACTTTATATATGGCTTATGGAAAACACAGATCAGCTTTAGGAAAGAAACACATTTGAGCAAAGTTCTTCGTCATCATAAAAACTGATGACTGTCCTCCTCTCAAACTGAAGTGAACCTTGTTACTCTGTAAGAAGGTATTTTCAGTAATAATTGTTGAACTCTTCCATCTGAGGGGAGGAGTCTGCGGTTCTCCTCCGTCCTCTCTGAAATCTTTGGTTTTATTTCTCCCCCTAGTGGCCCAGCTGCGGCCTGCCTGTCAGCAGGTTTATAACTTGTTCCACCCGGCCGATCCCTCCGCCTCCCGCCTGGAGCCTCTGCTGGAGCGGAAATTTCACCTCCTGCCCCCGTTCAATGTTCCCCGGTACCAGCGATTTCCCCTGGGAGATGGAAACTCTGCCCTACTGGGTGAGCCCTCTGCACCAACAGTGTAGAAACGTCTTATTATCATAATTCAGTGAATATCCTGTCAGTTTTAAATGATTGATGAAGCTCAGAGTGGAAATCACATGCACAGACACAAATGCCAAATGCATTTCAATGTAAGGGCTGTTTTAATTTCTCCTGTTTGAAATTAAGATCCCATCAGCTGAAACTTAAGACACAGATATTTACCGACTGTCTTGTTTCCGACTGATGCATGCTTTAGTCAGTAAAACGCCTTAAAACACCTCTTGTAGCAAAGTCTGAGTCCCTTTACACACAGACTCATCATCGTCTCAAAGAAAAATGCATCATTTTTCTGCTGTCTGTGCTTCAGCGTCTTTTGTGAAGCAGTTGATTCATCTGAATGTGGTCGTAGTCCCGCTGGTTGTTTCTGTTTTGACTGGTCATAAAAGTGGAGTAACCCTCAGAGCCTCAACCTGCACTGTTTTATAGGAAGTCCTGTTTGTGATAAACGAGGAGTAATCTTACTTATGAGCAGAGTTGAGTCTCAGAGCATCACTTCTTGTGTTAAAGAGCAGTGTGATAAGCTGGACTAGCATGAGGACATTGTTTAGAGATTGTAAGTCAGGGGTTTGACTTGTCTGTAAAGGGTTTGTCTTGTGAAACTGATTAGAGACGTTTTTAGTGGAATTTTAAAGACAAATTCAAGATAAATATCCAGTTAAAGAGGTGTAGGTTTAATGATAAATTGATTTTTAGGGCGTCTACAATCTTAGATCTCAGAAATCTGGCGTTTCCTGGGCTCCACTTGACTCTGCTTTCTTGTCTCACCTTTGGTTGTTCTTGCTTCATATGTTTTTGTGTCTTCCTTGTCTTTCCTTTCCTTCCTTTCCTTCCTTCTCGGCCTCTTGTTTCCCACATCTATACACTTGACTCTCTACCTCCCAAAACCCCCCCTGACCTCTGCCCCCCTTCTGCCCCTCCAAAACCCCCCCTCTGTAGTGGAGACAGTCCAGAGCAACGCTCAGCTGCTGCTTGACAGTGGGCCTCCTCTGTCCTTTCGCTGTCAGGAGACCATCAGTGAGACCTGCATCCCTGTGCCTGTGCTAAACTGGCAAGAGGGCTACCTCAGAGCCACACCTGCCACTATGGAGTGTGTGTAGCCTCTCCCATTCACCCGTCCTGTGTTGACTTTGTCTGTCCCATCTTTGTTTCTCTCATCCCCCAAAATTCAGATTCATACCTTCTTTTCTTGTGTTTCCAAGTATTCCCACTGCTGATGTTTTAAAACCTCAGGGATGTTATCAAATCAAATAAGTTTAAATCCTTCCTTCCAGTATTCTGGATAAGCATTAAGCATTAATTTTAAAGAGCCACTCTGATGGAAATCATTTTGTTGTTGTTTTTTACATGTTCATATGGCATTTTTCTGATGCTACAGGAAATGTCATGAGAAAAATAAGAGCGTATTTCTAAATTCAAATCGCTGTGAATCCCTTGCAGACCCAAACGGCCGGATCAGAAACAGTCAGTACGTTTACATGACACTCAAGAAAACCGAATTATTGCCTTACTCCGGTTAGGACAACTCAAGTGCATGTAAACACCTTCGTCCAACTATAATCGGAGTTTGAGAACTCCCAGATAATGCGATTGGAATTCGATTTCCTCTACCATGTAATAAGCGTAAGCCTTAGTATGATCAGACAATGCATGTGCGTGTGAGCCACACCCCCGTAACCCTGGAACAAAAACACCAGAGAGGAGGAGTAGCATGCATCTCATCTGCAGAAAAAGTAGCTTGTACATCATGTATGACAAAAACAACTCTGTACGATGCTCCATCTTCTTGCTCAAAAATGCCCAGCAGCAGTTGTAGACACTTCTGACGTCTGGCATGGACCTGCTGTTGTTGATGACGGTTGTAACAGCGCCACTGAAAAGACCCAAAACGCCCCCTAGTTTTGAAAAAAAAAAGAATTCTGAGGTTAGTCCGATTAAGCTGTGCATGTAAACGCACTGATTAAGATTTCCTATGTAGCAAATCCAAGCTCCGCCCCTAGAGCTCCACAATGCAGGCCAGACTTGGAGAAGTAGAGAGGACGATCGTGGAACAAGCGTGTACGTTAGCGGATTGCAATGATCGTAAAAAAGTTCATTATGATATTAACTTTCATCGTGCCCCTAAAGACAATCATGTCCGAGAGCTGAATAGCTCCAGTGTTACCTGCCACTTCTATTACACCGGCAACGTTAGGCTGCGAGCTAGCATGAAGAGGAGCAGAGCAGCGCTGTCTCCGCCCATGACTCAGAGGTGAATCGCTAATGAGCTACTGGAGCTCTGCAGAAGAGAAGTCCTTGAAAATGACACAGGTAAAGTGATTTTGACTAAAAACTTAATAATCACAATTTAAAGACCAAAACAAAAAAACAATGGGAGTGGGACTTTAAGCATTTAACAATCGGCCATGGGAATACTTGGGCGACCTCGATCCATATCTCCTGTGGTGTTGGGTTTTGATGTTTCCGTCTCATACACTCACGAACTGTTGAAGGACTTGAGCATTTGTGTTTGTGCTGTGGTTTTAAAGACAGATTCTGGTGTGTCTGCATCATCTCTGTGATATCAGGATATCCATGTAACAAACTGCTCATGTTAATTCTGGAGAAATCTTCATGTGACGATCAAGTGGTGTCGTGTTTGCTTGTAATGCTGTTTGTAGAGCTCAATATATACATCCTTCATATACTGGTGCCTGTGTTTTCTTTGTGATTAGGGTCAGAGGTCATCTGATTTTTATAATAGTCCGCACATAAAGTAAGAATTAGATTCACTTTGCTATGAAGTAACACAAGCACACTGCTAGCACATAAACAGGTGTGGACATTCGTGATTTGACATCTACTAAGTGTTTGATGTGCTCATACGCTCGTGTTTCCACCTGAACTGAACCGACTGACCTAAGCTGCCTCACTTCTGGTTTCACATGTCCTCTGAAACCACAATGTGTGCTGTCACACGCCCCTCCTGTCACCCTAATCCACTTTCCCCACCCACCCACCCATCATTGTGAGTGCCCCTTACCTGTGTCTCTGTCTAATGGGATCTCCTTGTTTCGGCTCAATAGCGGATGTTGTTCAGTCTCATGGTGGTGTCTTCATGGACAGTTCGTACCCCTCATCCCCTGTAACGGGCCCCCTCTCCCGGGGCCAGCGGAGGGCCAGTGAGGTCAGCATTGCCAGCCAAGTCTCAGGAATGGCAGACAGTTACACTGCCACCAACATAGCCAACAGTAAGTGTCCTTGATACCAACGAGCCTCTCTCTCTCTTTCCTCCACTCACACAAACATTGATCTATTTCCCCCCTCTTTCTATCACTCTCCTCTTTATTCCGTCTCTCCTAAATCTCTCCCTTCCTCTCACTCATCTTTATCTGAACCCCGTTACTCTGACTCTACACACACCCAACACTCCAGCAGCCTACCCAGCCAAAACGACATGAACACCCCTGTTCCTCTTTTTACTTCTGCTGACTCAGACCGAGCACCTGCATTTTAACCAGAGGGTTCTGAAAGTCCCCCTGAAGAAGAGCAAGTTTAGCGCCGCTGCCCACTGTCTGTCTTACTCTTCTCCACCGTCTCAATGTAAATGCAAAGAACGAGTGCTGCATTTATCTGATGTTGCGATGCATGTGACACCTGCCTCCTTCAGCCATTCCTGCATTGTCCACACTCCCTACTGCGACGTGTTTGCTCCGATGAACTGTTTTCTGTTGTGTTTATTGTGAAACTGTCCTTCCCCAGTTCACTTTGATTGTGCCTCACATGACTTCAGTACAACCCTGGGAATGCAGAGCTCATTATGGCCGATTTTCTCTCATTCTTTACCAGCAGTACCCTGACCCGCTGTCTCAATACTGCACTAACGATATTTTCTTTTCAGCTTTGACTTTCACAGCTCTGTCTGGACACTTCCAACATCAATCTTCAGACTCAGTATAATGTCACGAATGTTCACGTGGAAACATGCCTCTGTTTGAAGTTCTGTTTTGTCTCTTTGTTTTGTCCCCATAGCCAAATCTTACCAAAATAACCAATCCAAAAAGTTCAGCCTTTTATCCCAACTCGCCCTCTCGTCACAAAGCAAATTCTCCCTGAAAAGTCCTCCTAAGTCCCGAAAGAAAAGAGGCGCCGACCAGGCTGAGAGACCTCCAGACCAAGACCTGCAGGCCGAGCTGGACAGTGAGACCAGCGAAGGTTTAAGTCCCATTTGCCAGTACGAGAACTGCCTGTCAGCCGGGCTGGACTGTGCTATATCTGATCTGGTCTCACTGGACTCCCAGGCTGAAGTGGACCAAGGTATTTTATCCTAAGGGAGGGGACGTCTGAAAACTGCGAAAAGCTTCAGTTCTTTTCCTCAAATACTAAATCATGTGCTGCTCTATAAGAACGCTCCTTTTTCCTTCCCTTCACTTGTTTGATTCACAAGGATTCAAGAAAAATAATTAACACTGATGAGCGATAATGTGTTTCTTTTCAAATCTCTGATCCCTTACTAACATGAATAACCACCTTGGATTGCTGATGAAATCATGCATCAGTTCTAACTCTTTTCCTCCTCTCCTCTTGGATTTCAGCTTCTTGAACTCTGGTTACTGATTTAAAATCCTGATTTCCTTTTTCCAGCTGAAGAACCGCTGGGATTGGTGATGCTTGTGGTTGAAGTCTAATGTCTTCTTTTTGCTTTAGCTTCAGAGGTGTTGCATCTTTACGTAGGGTAACATAAATCCCACTAATTCTGACATTTTCACCTTGTATATCTACGCCATCACCCATCATAGTTGCAGCACGCTGGTGGGGAACAAAGCGGCTGGACTTTGCCCTGTACTGCCCCGACGCTCTGACAGCTTTCCCCACAGTGGCTTTACCGCATCTCTTCCACGCATCATACTGGGAGTCCACGGATGTTGTGTCTTTTCTCCTGAGACAGGTGAGACAACATCAGAATAATTCTCCTCTGTTCATGGTCTCTAAAGACAAGACTAGCTCCAAACTCTATGAAATTCCTCTTTCAGGTCATGAGGCACGAGAACTCGAGCATCTTGGAGCTTGACGGGAAAGAGGTGTCTGAGTTCACCCCCTCCAAACCAAGAGAGAAGTGGCTCCGCAAGAGGACTCATGTGAAGATCAGGGTAAGCAGAAAAAAAGGAATCGAGTGTCAGCTGACTCAAAGGTCTCCTATTATGGCATTTTTCATCAAGTTTAAATCAGTCCCAGAGGTCCCACAAAAGTAAAATTGAAGTTTGTTATTTGTGGATATCAGCCAGCCTGTACCCTCCTCTTTTTTTAAGCTCCACGAAGAACGGGCTGATTCTGCGCCTGTACCTTTAAATGATAATGAGCTGTGTGTAACCACGCCCCTCTCTGGAAGGGGCTACGGCTTACCATGCGGTAATGTTTACAGCTGTATGCAAGGGGAAAAAACGGCAGATGCTACCTCAGCGAAGAAGTTTTAGAGGGCTGGGCTAACGATTATCGGGGGCGGTGCCACCAACATGTAGGAGGGGCTTATGCTCCTATGTCATCATAACCGCAGAGCTCTTCTGTTCGCCTGTTTGCGCTCATGTTTTCAGAAAGGAGGGGAAAGCAAGAGGGGTTGTCGGCTTCGTGGGGGTTCATATTATTGGTAGAAGACCACCCAAAAGTGGATTTTTCACAATAGGGGACCTTTTTAAATTCAAATATTCTGGTTTTCTTTCATGTCTTGAGCTTTTTTTCTCTCAGCTTTTTTGTAGAATTCATGAAATAAACGAAAGACATGACGACATTCTGCATCATTTCAGTTTCTTGACCCATCAGATTTTTTCTTTTCCTCCACTGACAGAACGTGACAGCTAACCACCGAGTAAACGACGCCGTGTTCACTGAAGACTCCCAGCAGGTGGTAACAGGACGCTTCATGTACGGCCCTCTGGACATGGTCACTCTGGCCGGGGAGAAGGTGAACTCTAGTTCCTCATCAGCCTGATGTCAGGAGTGCCAGACCTGCTTGCTAATAATGTATCACTGATCTCTGCAGGTGGATCTCCACATAATGACCCAGCCTCCATCAGGAGAGTGGGTCTACTTCAACACAGAGGTGACCAACAGCAGCGGCCGCGTGTCTTTTATCATCCCAGACGACAAACGTTTGGGCATCGGCGTTTACCCGGTCAAAATGGTCGTCAGGTAAGATCTGAGTTCTTTCAGTAAAAACCTTAAGTCGATCGAAATACAAAAAAATATTAAGGCTTAAGTTTTAGTGATTATTTCTTTAAATTCTCACTCTAAGTGTCCAGGATGTCTGGATTAAGACTTGACATTTATTTTACTCATAAACTGTTATCATCATGTAACACAATCTCTGCCCTAACCAGACAAATCTTGAAAACTTCACGAGGCGTTGTTAATAAAAGAATCAGAATCAGAATCGCCTTTTTTGTTTGTGTAAAAACATCACAAAGGGATTTGGGTACATCTCCAAGGTGCTTTTGAGGTAGATAAAAACAAGATAAACAAATATAGATAAATGTACAACTAAGTAAAAGAATAAAAGAAAATGAAATAGTTTTCGAAACAGAAATTTTAATACTTTTACCTGAGAAATCCTGACAGAATCTCCCCGGATGTTTTTGTTGTTTGCAGCCTGTTTTACTCAGTATTTGTGTTTCATCTTCCTCAAGGGGAACGTCACTGGGTCAGCGTGTTTCTCCATTTTTTTTCACTCTCTGTTGTTCTTCTCATCCCTCCAGAGGCGATCACACATTTGCTGACAGCTACCTGACTGTTATCCCACGTGGCACAGAGTTTGTGGTGTTCAGCATCGATGGGTCATTCGCAGCCAGCGTCTCGATCATGGGCAGTGACCCCAAAGTGCGCGCAGGAGCTGTGGATGTTGTCAGGTACTGAACTGTTCTTCTTCTGTCGTTGTTTTTGTGTCTATTCATGGCATTGATAGTCTTGTCTTAATGCTGCTGCTCTCTGTGCCTTCTTACTGCAGACACTGGCAGGATTTAGGTTATTTGATCATCTATGTGACCGGACGACCTGACATGCAGAAGCAGCGGGTCGTGGCTTGGTTGTCTCAGCACAACTTCCCTCATGGAATCGTCTCTTTCTGTGACGGCCTGGTCCATGATCCTCTACGGCACAAAGCCAACTTCCTCAAAACCCTGACTGAGGTGAGAATGCAAAAAGTGGGCGCTAACAGAAAGGTTTTGTAACTTTGCAGCAGTCATTAAGTTTTCCTGTGTTTTTTTTTTTTTTACCGTTAACAGGCTCACATGAAGATTTTCGCTGGCTATGGATCAACCAAAGACATCTCAGTCTACACCTCCATCGGCCTCCCTGCCTCCCAAATATACATCGTTGGGAGACCCTCCAAGAAGATGCAGCACCAGTGCCAGGTACGGTTTTATTATTTCATGCACAACATGGGCAGAAATTAAAGGGATATTCCGGCGTAAAATTAAGTTAGGGTCAAACACACCGTAACACTGAGTTAGACGTCCTGTCGAGAGATGAATGTTGCCGACCGCTTGCTTCTCTAGTTATACCAACTTTAGTAACGACCGCAGGATAGGAATACAGAGCGGTCTGAGGAGCCATAAACAAACCTCAACCAAAACGCCTCGTACGCTTATTGTATTGCTATCCTGCGGTCGTTACTAAAGTTGGTATAACTAGAGAAGCAAGCAGTTAGCAACATTCATCTCTCGAGGGGGTGTTTAACTCAGTGTTACGGTGTGTTTGACCCTAAATTAATTTTATACCAGAATATCCCTTTAATGTGACCAAATAAGAAACAGTCATCTAAAACCAGAACCTGCTCTTATCCACTCCACAGTTCATCACAGAGGGCTACGCAGCTCATCTGTCCCAGCTGGAGTACAACCATCGCTCCAGACCAGCAAAGTCCAGCAGCGCGCGCATGGTGCTACGCAAAGGCAGCTTCGGCTTGGGCGCAAACAGCGACTTCCTGAGGAAGAGGAACCACCTGCTGCGCACCATTTCCTCCCAGCCGGCGCCTAGCTCCCCGACCGGCAGCATCCACAACCGGCCAGAGCGCACGCAGAGCCAATCGGACGGCGATCGGCTGGAGCGGCTGGAGAGCATCCACAGCCACAGCCAGGGAGCAACACAGCGCAGCATGAGCATCACCGCCAGCTGCTGGGGCCGCAGCAGCAGCACCAAGCTCGAACCTGGCGTCCTAAGCCCCAAATGACATCAGGGGGACACAAAGAGGGCTCTTTGAATTGAAAAGCGCTGAGGAGAAGACTCATAACAAACAAAAATGCAAAGCGTAACTAAAGGTTGGCTCGCACCTGGTGGGTAGATACAAAAATGACAACATTAGGTGCTACAAACTACTCTTTATAAACCAACGCCAGTCACACTCCATGAACAGAGGTTATGGCTTTCATTAAAAAAAAAAGGGCAAAAGGCATTTCAAGGGGCATCTTCCTCAAACAGGAATGTGCACACACATAGACATAGCATATAAGTGTAAGAATCCAGACTAAGTAAATCTTTTTAGGCTTGAATATGAGTTTTTTTTTGCCTTTAGATTGGAAACGGGGTAACACACACAAGCACCCTCATGCAACAACAACAACAACAACACACAGCCTGTATCAGGTCCGAGCGCTGATACTTCACTGTAACTGACTGTTGTGGCCACTGCAAGCACAAAAACGTCGACAGAGATTAACCGGGTGCAAAATGGTTTTAAATCTGTTTTTCTTTTTTTTTTATGTGACGATCAGATATTTCTTCACGTCTGTGAGCCAAGCTGAGGAGGATCGAGTAAAACTGGACTGAGCGCGCTCACTCTGCACAAAACCAATCATTGGAAATCACATCATTCATCAACATTAAAGATAATGTATCGATGTGCTGGGAGCCAACTCTGAATGATTTACCACTTATGTACAGACGAAGGGATTTTTCAGCGAACCATTCAGTCCAGTTTTACTTGTTTTTTCTTGTCGTTCCTCAGACCAAAGAATCCTCCAAATATCACATTAAACCGCTAACATTACCCTTTAACCGTGGTCGCAGCAGAAACTGTTCCTGAGCTCGACAGCGAATCAGCGTTTGTGTTGCTGCTGTGACTTCCTGAATCAGAGTGACTCAGCTATAGGGAAAACTCCGACTGTATGGTTAATGTGCCAAAGTCAACAGTACAGAGGGATATGCTGTACGTGAAGGAGAGGGAGGGTTGGGGTCTCCTGTGTAAAAATGGAATACACTGTAAGTATGTATCTGAACGCCTTAATGAGGCTTGTACATAGTTGTTATTCAACAGTGCAGATCTGGTATCTGGTCCACTGAAGACCAGCTTCAAGTGTCTTCTTTACTCTGGAGGTAAACACCACCTCATTCAGGATACACTTTATTGATTGATGATGATGATAATTATTGTTATTTAAGATAATAGATATTTTAAGGTGTCTGGATTTTGTGAACAAAATGTGTTTTAAGATAATTTTTAGGTGTTTTTTTTTTTCCTTTCAAACTTCCGTTGCAGCAGCCAAAACTCAGAGGTCTTTGCCTTGCACAGTATTGTATTTTTATTTATCTTCAACATCACCAGAGTCGTATCAACAGAACTGCTATCTTGTGACATAAATATATTATGTTTGGTATCATCTATTTTGGAAAATCTGGGGTATGGCTTCTCCATGGTTATTCCCAAGCTGTAAATGAGGCGTTGAATGTTTTCATAGATAATCCTCCTTAGGTTAAGATCGATTTTTTTTTTTCTGTTCTGCTGCATCTTTAGAGGGAGAAAATTCTGCAAATTGTAAATTGTGTACAATATGCTGTCCGCAGTAGGAACACAGAGCTAAGATTTACTTGATGCTGTTTTTCCATTGACTTATCAAAAGGGTACTGGGCTGTGATGAACTCATGTGAAAGGTGATGTTTTTTTGTGGTCCCTTGAATAGGCATGTACAGAGCTGAGTGCAATGGACCAATGGTGGCCTAAATGTTAAGGGAAAATGTGCAATATTACTGAACCACACCACAAGATGAAACTAAAACTATGTGAAGGGAATTTCCCAGCATTGACAATCAGATCATGAGGCACATATTCTGAACGCACGCCATCTTTCAGGTAACACAGGTACATATGAAGTACACGTTAGTCTTTCAAAAGCTAGAGATTATCCAATAATCCTAAAACTAGAACAACAGGTTTTCTCTAGTCGCCGGACTCGCCACTCTTTTTGTGGATGTTTTATTTCCAAATATTAAAGGGATATTCCAGCGTAAAATTAATTTAGGGTCAAACACACCGGAACACAGGTTAGACACCCCCCTCCGCTTGCTTCTCTAGTTATACCAACTTTAGTAACGACCGCAGGATAGCAATACTCAGCAGTCTGAGGAGCCATAAACAAACCTCAACCAAAACGCCACTCTATAGCCACAAATAATGATCAGAACAGCACCTAACTTCATCAACAGGACATATAGGGTCCCAGCCATAGTACTAGCCACCAAACATCTTCTTAACTTTGACTAATTTCTTTTGCAAAGAGATGAAACACAACTCACTTATTCTCTTCCGGCAGCTGCTTGTTTGTAGAGAGACCTCGGGGGAGTCCATCGACTTCAGCGGGGTGACACAGCTCAAGGAAGAACATTTATGATCATTTCTTCATGGAAATACAATCAGACCGAGACGCTAAGGCAGAAGAACTACCACATCTGCAGTGAAAAATGATTAATATGGTGATTATTAGTTCGAGGAAATGATAAAGAAATTATCATTAATGTTCTTCCTTATACGGTGTGTTTGATCCTAAGTTAATTTTACACCAGAATATCCTTTTAAGCAGAAGATTAAGAAACTGCAGCCTCTGAACATGAGGCAAGAAATTCAGCAACATAGCTTAACTGACAACCTTAGACGAAGAGGCTCAATCGTTTAGAAGTAAACCAAATAATGTCTCTTTTTAAATGTTTCCTTGTCCAAAACAAGGCTTCATAATGTTTTATGATCCCTCCCTCTTATAACGGGGATTATCCCAGTATAAACAGGTGTGATTACTAACCCGACGGTGTCCATCTGCACCTGGGCTTGGAGCCACGAGGATAATTCTTTCAGAAGTTATGTAAACAAGTCTTTCTGAAGCTGCTGATTGTACCTTAAAAGTACATTTAAAAAAGGGAGATGCAATGCTGGAAAACATGCACTTATTTAAAGTTGTTTTCTGCTGAACCATAACCCCCCCACCTCAGAGAAATCAATCACACGGATACTAAATCCAGAGAATGTAACGACGACTGTGCTAGACGGTCGCTCCGATCTGTTACTGACCCACACGATACCAGAGGCCTTATCGTTCCCTTCTCTGCCTTAGATTGGCCATGGTGTGGCGAGGCCTAAAACGAACGCTGCTCACCCCTGAATCGATTTTATGGAGAAAAGTGAGACTGTTAATGCAGATTTAACTCAGTAGAAAACAGAGTCAGCTATACTTTCTTGTAAAGGTTTGAAGAGGAAATGTGCAAATGAGAAATCTGTTTCACAAAGATTAGGCAATCTGTCTCAAGCTCTGTTCCCCATCACAACTGTTACAACAACAGTTAGCTCTCAGAGGCTGTAAATGTATATAAACCACAAATATGGTAAATATTTTCATTGTACAGGGTGTGAATCTTGTAGGTTTTGGATAACTTCATTTTATCCACTCTCTTGTGTTTTTATGTACAGTGTATAAAGAATATATATGACAAACAAAGTCAGTTTGGCCTTTTTTTTCGGGGGGGATATCAACTTTTCATTTCACACAGATTCAGATTTATTCAGAGATCCACAATGCAACAAAAAGTAAGACATTGAGAGAGATTTCACAAAAATAAAGGGGTTTCTCCCACTGATATGCATGAAATCATGGACAGAATAAATGAGCATTATTCAGTGCAAACATTTCATCAAATGTGCAATTACAAAAATCTACCTTCTCCACATCTCAGCTGACATATTCAAGTCAGCCGTTAAACTCTTCTGCAACTCTCTTTTGTGATTAACACAGCTGACACGACAGAAATCAGTGGGAAATACCTTCACCTGGGTCGAACCGGCCCAGAGTGCGTTTCCTGATTATTCTGTACCCTGACTTTCACATGAAGAAATTGCAGAGAGTGTTTTGAAATTATATAAAGATATAAAATCAGCTTATAGTTGACGTTCTTCTACCTGTTGATTCCCAATTTCTTCTGAAAGGCGCTCCCGTCTCCCTTGGTGGCTTGCTGAGAAGACAAACGGGAGCTCGGTAAGACATGAGACTCTTTATTTTTACTTCACTGACCTAAGGCGGAAACTTTGGGTACCTTGTTGATTTCTTTGTGTTTTTCTCGGCTGACTATCTCCTCTATGATCTCTCCTTCTCCTCTCACCAATCTGGAGGAAAACACGATAGTTGGCATTAAAACTAAAAACAGGATACGAACAGTAGACAGAGAATGTAGTTTTAAGTCAACTTGTCTTACAGCGAGTCTCGGGTTGATCTCTGACTCACCTGGTGCGACCTGTCTCTGGGTCGACCACCCTGCGGATCACGCTCTGTCTGGCCTCGTACTCTTCTTTGGTGAGGGGCCTCTTAGTGGAGAATCGGGCCTTCTGCTCATCTGTCATCACTACAAAGGGAAACAGTAAAAAAACATAAAAACAGATCTTGAAACTCAATTTAGACAAACATTCATATCATATCACTGACAAAAATAAAAGCCTAATTCAGATGTCCATCCCTCACAGTTAAAAGCTCCTATGGGGAGTTTTTTTTAATGTTTATGAAAAAGACTAAAATTCATGATATTTGATAGCAAACAAGACCATCAGGACCAAGACAATAAGTGAAAGGCCTGAAACTGGTGCGAGGGGTAGGAGTCAAAGCTGAAGCAAAAGCCCAGTATTGTCAAGTTCTACCTTAAAGGGATATTCCTGCATAAAATTAATTTAGGGTCAAACACACCGTAACACAGAGTTAGACACCCCCCTCCAGAGATGAATGTTGCCGCTTGTTTCACTTGTTATACCAACTTCAGTAACGACCACAGGATAGCAATACAGAGAGCCACATGCTCAACCAAAACGCCACTCTATAGCCACTAATAATGATCAGAACAGCAGCTAACTTCAACAACAGTACATATAGGGTCCCAGCCATAGTACTAGCCACAAAACATCTTTTTAGCTTTGCCTAAATTCTTTAGCAAATAGACTAAACACAACTCACCTACTCTCTTCCAGCAGCCGCTTGTTTGTAGCGAGACCTCTGCCAGTCCATTACAGACTACAGCGGAGTTTCGCAGCTCAAGGAAGAACATTTATGATCATTACTTTCTCATTTCCTTAAAGTAATAATCACCATATTAATCATTTTTCACTGCAGACGCAGTAGTTCTTCTGCCTTTGCGTCTCAGTCTGAATGCATTCCATGAAGAAATGATCATAAATGTTCTTCCTTGAGCTGCGGCACCCCGCTGTGGTCTGTAATGGACTGGCCCGAGGTCTCGCTACAAACAAGCCGCTGCTGGAAGAGAGTAGGTGAGTTGTGTTTAGTCTCTTTGCTAAAGAAATTAGTCAAAGTTAAAAAGATGTTTGGTGTCTAGTACTATGTCTGGGACCCTATATGTCCTGTTGATGAAGTTAGGTGCTGTTCTGAGCATTATTTGTGGCTATAGAGTGGCGTTTTGGTTGAGGGCGAGGCTCTCTGTATTGCTATCATGCAGTCGTTACTAAAGTTGATATAACTAGAGAAGCAAGCGGTCGACAACATTCATCTCTCCAGGGGGTGTCTAACTCTGTGTTCCTGTGTGTTTGACCCTAAATCAATTTTACGCCAGAATATCCCTTCAAAAGCGCCTATGAGGAGTTTTCTTTAATGGTTATGAAAAAGACTAAAATTCATTTTAAAGTCTTTTCATGATTTTTCAAAGCAAACAAAACCATCAGGACCGAGACAGTAAGTGAAAGGCCTAAAATTGCTGCGAGGGGTTGGTGTCAGAGCTGAAGAAAAAGCCCTGTATTGTCAATTTCCACCTTAAACATTCACAGTGAAGGACATATTTGACAGTTACAGTTCAGCAGGATGAGATCTCTCTTGAAAGTTTCATAAAAACAAAGTTTATAGAGGTGAAGAAAAGCAAAGACTTCTCCATCCACCACACCTAAACTTCCTCACTTAACTGAACAATTTTCTAAAATAAAAACATTAATTATTTCTGCCTCACCTGGTCCCAGCTCCACCGCCCCCTCATCACTCTGCCACACCTCAAGGAACGAGGAAGGTTTGTCTGCAGAAGGAGAAGGAAAAGGAGGAGGAAGAGGAGGAGGAAGAGATGAAGGAGGAGTAGGGCCCACCATCATCTCTCCTTTCTTCTTCTTCTTCTTCAACAGCTTCTCTTTCTTCTTCTTCTCCTTTTTCTTCTGTTTCTTCAGCTTCATCTTCTTCTTCGTCTTCTTTCTCTTGGCTTTGCTTTTCTTCTTCTTTGACCTTTCATCGCTGGATGAGGAGGAGGAAGAGGAGGATGAAGATGAAGAGGTGGATGATGAAGAGGAAGAAGAAGAGCTCCTCTTTCGTTTCTTCTTCTGAGTTTTTAAACCTAAAGACACAACCGGAGTCAAACATTAAACTCTTTTATTTAAAGAAAACACTTTAACTTGTTTTGTTTCCTCACCTTTGTGTGAAGTTTTCTTTGCGGATCGACTTTTACTCCTGCTGCTCGATGAAGATGATGAAGATGTTGATGAAGAAGAGGAGGAGGACCGTCTCCGTTTCCTTTTCTTCTTCTCCTGTTTTTTCTCTCTGCTAGTTCTATCACGTGATCGGCTGCGGTCCATACCTGAGATTGAACTTTGACAAAAAACACACAAAAAAACCCCTCTAAAATATGAAATTTAGCGGCTTTAGTGTTTCACCGAGAAATGTTCAAGTGATTTACGGAAGTGCGCCCGTCTTCAGTTTCCTTCCGTCAGCGCCGAAGTGTCCTGTACTTTAGTTCCTAGTTCCTGTCTTAACTGACTAAAAGCTAGCGATAATAATCTTTGGATCAAATTCATAGCTTGATATTTGTCAAAGTATAAAGCATTAACAGAGAGATGAGAGATGAAAAATAGTAGGCATTTATTTTTGTCAACTGACTATTAGTTTTGTCTTAATTGGTAGTCATTAATACGACCTCATATTTGTGGCCTGCGGCCTTAAAGGGATATTCCGGAGTAAAATTAATTTAGGGTCAAACACACTGCAATACCGGGTTAGACACCCCGTCGAAAGATTAATGTTGCCGACTGCTTGCTTCTCTAGTTATACCAACTTTAGTACCGACCGCAGGATAGCAAAACACAGCGGTCTGAGGAGCCTCAAACAAACCTCATTATTTATTGATACTTTCTAGCCTCTGTTTGGTACCAGACTGGTAGATACTTTATCAGTAAATGCATTTGATAACTCTCTTTCAACAGACTATTATTACAGTATAAATACAGTTAAATGAATCAACTCTGTGGAGAAGGGTAATTCCTATAGATATGTTAACATTCAAGTTTCATTTGTTAATTGGAGTTAATGGAGGTGTAGGAACGTAGCATCTGTTTATATCTTGCTGTTTAATCTTCTATATCCTGAGCTGTGTGTGGAGAATCAGAACGAGCTCTCAACATGGATCTGTGGGGACATTTTGCTCTCTTTTGAAGGAGAGGAATCCTCTAAAAATACCAACTGTTAGAAGAAAAGCGAACTCTGATCAAACTTGTATGAAAAGTATCACCTTTAATGAAGGTTCACAGGTGACCCTGATGTCAAAGGATCCCGAACAGCAATGTCTTCCACTGATTTATTTGACTAAAATCATCTCAACTAATCCTTTTATTGTTTCTTTGACATTTGTGGAGCAAGGCAGGTATAACAGATGCATTTATTTTTTAATCGCCTGCAGAGATCCACCGAAAACAACTACAAACTAAAGAAAAGAAACAAAACATTAGGAAATCAATTCAGCTAATGAGTTTAGTCTTTCTGACACATGAATTCTGGTTAAAGAATTTACTTCTTGAATGTGAAAAGAGATGTCAAGCTTCCTGTATTAAAAAAAGTAAAACATATAAACATACTGAACTGGATAATTATCCCCTGATAATGGTCACACTGATATGTGACTTATAGGAAGTTTTCATAGTGTAGTTATAAATTTAAATTAATGATAAAGCTGAGTGTGTAAATTAAGCTCACAGTTATATTTGTTTTTAAGCAGGAGTCTGACTTTGCAGAGTGCACTGTCATTTCCTACAGAGTAAATGAAGACACAGTCAGTGTGCACAAATGTGCGAACATATTTGTTAAATTTATTTCAAAGTTTTTACAAAGGCAATTGTGAATCTTTAAAGCTTGTATTTTAATAAAACATAGTGTTCCTGATGATGTTAGCCCTTATCACTCATGGTACATAAGGCTAAACCAACTGAAAGAAACCACAGACAGGCCTCTTGGCTCTTCAGTCACTGGAAACCAGTTTTGAATTAAATACTTTGATGTTTATCCTCCATTTAGGTTTAAATATCATGTCAATGTAGAAATAAATAAAACAATCTTTCAAGATTCTTTCAAACTTAACGGAAACTCATAATGCGCTTGATAAATACTCAGAACCCCGTTACAAGGAGCACTCGGCTGCATGAGTGATCGTAACAGTCTAAACATGGCTGGACTTGAAGTTTGGAAAGGTTACAGAGCCGTAAAGCTGTATCATCTTTCCAGTCCCTGTGCAAGGGGAGCCCGTCGGGTCGCTCCCGGTAAAAAGGAGGAGGCGGTGTCATTGAGGAGTGGGTGGAATGTGTCTCTGTAGCTTGGATTTTCTTTATCCACATTAAGATGCAGCTGCCATGCGGATCCTCTCTGGGGGAAACAGCAGAACGTTCTTCGCTGCTTTGATAGTGTTCTTCATTAGCATCGCCACAGTCATGGGTCCCACACCTCCGGGCACTGGAGTGATGAAGCCCGCCTTCTGCCTTACACCTGAATATAGACAGGAAAGAGCTGATGTTACAGAAACCCGAGACTTCTAGGATGTCTGCGGAGATCTTGTTCAACCTTCACCCTCACCTTCAAAATCCACGTCTCCAACCAGCCTGGCCTTCCCGGTAACTGGGTCCTGCACTCGGTTTATTCCGACGTCAATCACTGCCGCTCCCTCTTTAATCATATCGGCTGTAATGAGGTTTGGAATTCCTGGTGGTTCAGAAACATGAACAGCAAAGTCAGATCACAGGATGGATTCGATTTGAAGAGTTTAATCTCGGTCAGATATGGGAGGTGAAACGAACCTGCAGCTGCCACGACGATGTCCGCGATCTGAGTGTGGTGGCGGAGTTGCTCCTTTGGAGTGTAACGATGAGAAATGGTGACTGTGGCATCACCTAGAAGGAGAACAACATTTAGCATATGTGTGCGCTTAAGTTAAACGTTTCTTCTCTGAGCACTCAAATCGCCCTCACTGACCTCCAGGCCTCTCATGGCGGCCGTCTGTGTGCAGTAACATGGCGATGGGCATTCCTACATTCTTGGAGCGTCCTGCAACGACGACATTCTTCCCAAGAGTGGGGATACCTGCAAAATAAGAAGGAAGGTGGTTTCTTTAAACTCAACTCAACATTTTAGTATTTTTTTGTTCCAACATGCAACCCTAAATTCTGAACACAACAAGATTTTAGCAAAACAGCTTCTGTCCAAAATAGAAATGACCGACAGACTGTTTATGTTTTTAAGAAGAGGCTCAAGTCTCATCTTTTTAACCAGGCGTTTCACTGATTGCCTTTTTATATTTCTCTTGTTGCAAAAGTTCATTTTAATTAAAGTTCTTATTGTTTCTTTTATTTAATTCTATCAATTATCTCTGTTCTTAGTCTTTTTCTTTACTCCCACCTTAGAGGTTTTTACTTCTTTTACCCCTTTTATATGGTAATGAGCTCTTACTCATCTGTTCATTTAATATTATTTTCTTATTTCAGTCTTTCTATTTACCATTTTTCTCTTTTATCTCCAGTGTTTCCTAAAGGTAGCTCTTTCTTCATGTAATATCTCGGCATCAGGCCATGTCTCTATAACAATATATCTTAAATTCTCACTTTGTGTGCGCCTGTGTGTTTCTGAAAAGTGCCCTACAAATAAAGCTGAATTTTAATTTGACTTACAACAAGTGAAAAGTGAAATGTCAAAACAGTCTTTCTACTCTTAAGTAAATAGGAAACTTTGTCATAGGGGTTAAATGTTTTCTCTTCCTGCAATTTACCAGTAAAACAACTTGTTCAGCAGCATTTTAGCGGCAAGGAAGTAAACAACCATTCCTGTTACCTGTGCGTTTGATGATTTCCCACACTCCCCAGGGAGTCGCAGGAAGCATGGTGGACTGATCGAGACACATGCGACCCACATTCACCACATGAAAGCCGTCCACGTCCTTGGTGGGGGAGACTGCATTGCAGATGGCGCGCTCGTCAATGTGGTCTGGCAGAAATGACACACAAGAACCCGTTAGGACGCGCAAATCGACTCACATGTGTCTGCAGCCTGCACGTGCCGAGAAGTGTTCCAGTTTTTTTTCATACCTGGCAAAGGCAGCTGGACCAGAAGGCCGTCCACACGATGGTCTGTGTTGAGTTTGTAGATCAGGTCCAATAACTCCTCCTCACTGATGTCTGAGTGTTTGAGAATCGTCTCACTTGAGATTCCTGTGGGAGGGAGAAGTGAAAGAAGAACTTAAAACCACAGAAAAGTGTTTGTTCTTTTGTTGTTTTATCTCAGAGAAGAAAAAACATGTGTTTACATGCAGGAAAAAAGGCGTGTAGGAGGATCGTCTTACCGACATCAGCTGCGGCTCGTGTCTTGTTGAGGACGTAGGAATGACTGGCTGGGTTGTCCCCCACCAGAATCACACTCAGGTGGGGTCTTCTGTTGCCAGACATGACCCAGCTCTCCACATCGGCCCTGGCCTCCTCCCGAATCTGTCGGGCAAGTTTCTTCCCTGAGATGACCACTGCCTCCTGTCTGAGAGTGGCAAGGGAAAAAAATACGGAGTCAAAACTTTTGCACTGTTACAAGCTGAGACGAAGTTTTCGATGACCGACAGACTCGCTCTTATATGAAATTAGACTGTAAAGACAGACAGTTCACTGAAAATGTTTAAAATGTTATTAATAGACCCTAAAAATAAGACTTTAAACAAAAAGAAAATGTGCATGTGTGTTACGTTCTTCTAAACTATGAATACGTAGTAACCCACATATCTACTTGACAGGGTTCACTTGATAACCACCGAAAAAGAGCTCAAGATACCAGAGACTTGTAATCTATCTCGACCATTCAGCCAAGGCAAGCACCAACCCCAGACTAATTTTAGCCACTGTACCTCTTCACCTGACAGAGACACATGCTTCACGGACTGTAATGTAGAGTTACAGTATCACCAATCAGTTCAGTCTGGGATTAAAAACTTTTCTATCTACAAATCTAATCCAAGTACGGTCAAAGAAAACTTAAGTACCAAACGGAAAAATCATTCTTCACTGTAGTATTCTTGTATAAACCGGGCCGACCCGCCCTGCTAGGAGGAAAAGTTTCCACAACGTAAAGCCCGACATTTGTTATGTAACAGCAAACAGAGAGCAGCGAATAATAACTGAGAACTAATGAGCCACAGAAAGTGATGTAACAACCTTTTATTCTGCCAAAACCAATTAAACCTCAGCAAAGTTTCACATCTTTGTGAAAAATGGGGCAAAACCAAAGGGGCCAGTGTACCAGGACCCTCAGGAAATGTGTCGAAAAGTTCACAAAGTGGGAGAACCTCTCCCTTTTCTGATGTGTCTCATACTATAAACTGTTTGGTACCATTTTCGTTCAGCGTTTTATTTAGTATTTCTAAGAATAAAAACCTTCTTTAACTTTTATCTCATATTTTAATCATCTGATTATTAAGTTTTTATCAGCTGCAGTATTGTTTTAAAACTGTCTGCTTAGTTCAGAGTTTATTGAGAGTAATAAACTATTTCTGTTATTTTGCATTTATATAATATCATCCTGCTATATCTTGTCTATAAATGGTTTTGGCTTGCATCTGTACTGTGATATACAGTCATGAGGTATGCATAACATGACTTAGGTCTCAAATTAACTATCTTGATTTGTGGGGTTGGAGATCATGTGCAGGGGTTACACGAGGTTTGTGTTTTTTTAAAGCATGTGTGCAAAATTAGTTCATCTTGTGTCGAAGTCATGCTCCAGTCTGCACGTTTCTAATAGATGCAGACATGGGACGGTGTGCCTTAAATTTGCAGTTCCTGTGACTGTCTGCTCTCTACTGTAGAAAAGAGCCAACATGAGGTTCTTGGGAACACAATGGTCCTCATGCATATGCATGTGCTTGTCTTGAGAACAGAGCAGGACCCGGGTCTCCAGCTGAATCCTGCCTCCTAAAGCCACAGGGTGCAAGCACCAAGACCGATTTCATCAGCCAGCCTGTCCCTGCAATGTTACCGGCATACCACTAGGGGCGCACCGAAATGTGACTGAATGCGGACATTTAGTTCAATAAATCAAATAAACCCTTTTTTAGAAAAGCATGATCTCATCCATATACACGCAGTATTGCAGAATATCAGTGTATAACAAAATCTATTAAAATATACAGGTTTTTAGTCTGATTTAGAGAAGAAGAGACCTCGAACATGTCGTATAAGTGGGATAAAATGAAGCCGAATGTGAGGAGGTTTCAGAACCGGTGTTTGGACTCACCTCGAGGCGGACGTGTGCAGCTTACAGAGTTGATGCTGGGAGTGTTGGCACAGTTTCCTGAGGGTCCTGACCGCTGCCATTCTGACCGGCTGAGAGACGAGGAGAGACACCGGGGCCGATTATGAAACACGCACCGCCGAGAGAGGGAGAGACGTCTGTGGGAGAGGAAGAGGAGCAGCAGAGAGCTTTTAAAGACCTCCCACTCCACGCTGCGTCACTGTCATATCTGCTGCTGCTGCTGCCACACCTCCAACCCACAGACTGTAATACTGAACAGTTTCAGTGGAGGAAAGGAGGATGGGCCCTAAAGACAACTGCTGAGTCTAGACATGCAAATATCTATCTATCTATCTATCTATCTATCTATCTATCTATCTATCTATCTATCTATCTATCTATCTTTGGAAATGCTCATACCAAAGTTATTAATTAGTAGTGTCACTCATCACAGATTTGTTGTTTATTTTCCAGCCCCAGTTATAAAATGATCAAAAACTATTTTAATATTTAGTGACCCTGGATTGTTTCAAGGTTTGCATAGACAGACTGTTTTGACAGGGTGCTGTAGTCTAAATCTGTCTGGCACCTTCTCTATGGCAGTAGATTTGTTTTAGTCTATTTATATGATCTTTATATTTTTACTTATTTTACTTGTTTTTATCTACTTATCTCTTTATTTTTACATATTTGATCTTTTATTTATCTCCCCTTTTTACTGTATTTGCACTGGAGTACTGTGACAAAAAGCAATTTTCCAATGGGGATTATTAAAGTATTTCTGATTCTGATTTCCACCAAAAATATCCTCCCTGGACTTTGGCATTATAAGCTTTAGCTGGTTGTCCAAACTGCACATCACCTAAATATAGCTTCATAAAAACTTAAGTGTGTTTTGAGTCTGAATTCTGCTCAGTAGATTAGTTGTACCACTCTACTTACTGCTGCAGTGTAGCTGTAGTATTATATGGAAAGTTACCACTTCAGTTATACTCGAAGTCGATGGAGGTTGTAGTAGCGATATGAGGCCAGAAGGGGGCGACAATCTGCCTGCCGTGCTTCACTGGACACTCGATAGAGGAAGAGCCACAGTGGGTGCAGCAGTTCATGTTAGCCTAACCGTGAACAGTTAGCAGCAGGCACCGCAGTAAAGCGGCTCATAAAGTGGAATAGTGTCCGAATTTCAGCATATAAACCCGGGGTTAGGAGTTGTGACTGAGGCCCTCCGACGACCGCTTCGCCAAGATGAGCTTCCTGTTGTGAGTAAAGTCGTCAGCCGCGTGCGAAGTTCGAGCCGGGGCTCGCGGTTAACGTTAGCTTCGTTGAAGTTAGAAACTGATGTTAAAATGGGACACTGTTACAATAAAACAACACAAGAGACAGATTTATTACGATAAAGAGTCAACAAGTGATGCCATGGAGGGTTGTAATTTGTTATCGTAACTTTATTAATGTGTGTGTTTATTTATAGGTCCCCGACAGTCGCCAACTTTAAAACAGTTATTAAACCGTTAATTTGGTTAGTCTGATGATGACTACACCAGCTGTTTAAGGAACCTTGACTAAGACTGTATTTTTGTTCATGTTAACTTTGGCCACCTTCTCTAACTTTGATGTGTTAAACTGAAACAGAGAAATGTTTACTTGGTCTGGTTACAGACACTCACATTTCCTGTCTGTCGCTCTGAGCTCAGTCTCTAATAACCTCTCTATCATTTACAACAAACACTCTAGAGCCATGCTAGTCCAAAACAAACTTTACAAAACTATTAAACATTATTATATTGGCTTTTTAAAATGAGTACTCTCGGATGTAAATGAGAACTTGTGAGAATTGTATTTTGCTAAGTTTATGTTGCATTAGTTACGGGGTAATTGTACTTTTTGATTGGCTTTTTAAAATGAGTACTTTCGGATGTAAATGAGAACTTTGCTAAGTTTATATTGCATTAGTTAGCATGTAGGGCTGGGCAACAGGAAAAAGTTTATCACAATATATTTATTTCATATTAGTCGATATCGATATATATAAAAAATTAAATTCAACAGTGTTCATTGGTAGCATGTCTTTTGCAGTACAATAAGCTACTGCATCTGTAAGGTCTTTGAGTCTCCTCAGCGTTTTGTAGTAAGGCATTGCTAGAGAAAGTGGACTGAAAGGTCGGTTCAGCGTGGCACAGACCCGGAGCAACTCCCCTTTTCATTGAATATTCGTATAATCTACCATAACGTGGCAGAATACTGACTATCAAGAAGCATTTTGACCATGTTTTATATCGATATCAGGGAAATATATTTTTGATATACATCATTATCATTTTATCGCCCAGCCCTATTACCAGGTAAATAAAAGTGAAAAGTTAAAAGGGTACAAGCTTACCATTAACAACATAACTCCATGCCAACTGGATGGCATCTACCACTTAGTGACAGTGAACTTAGGTAGAGGAGAAGAGCAATTACAACACAAGATAGTCAAGTTGGAAGTACACTCACAGGTTTAGTACAGAGTAACTGTATTTTTTTTTTACTAGAGAGTAATATTTAACTACTCTTTCTATCCTTGATTAAATGTCACCATCAAGACAGGAGGCCCTTGAGGAGCATCAGACACAGGCTAAGACGATTGTCTATAACATACAGCGCTCATTCTTTGTTCCTTAACTCTATGTTTATGTGTTTATTTGTAGTAGCAGTCGCTCAAATAAGACCTTCAAACCAAAGAAGAACATTCCAGAGGGATCCCACCAGTATGAGCTGCTGAAACACGCCGAGGCGACCCTAGGCAGTGGGAACCTGAGGCAGGCTGTCATGCTGCCCGAGGGAGAGGATCTCAATGAGTGGATCGCTGTGAACAGTGAGTGGACTAATGCAATAAAACTCAAGCTTATTTTTGTCACGAGCTTGAGAACAGAAACTTACAAACCTTTTTTTTTTTCTCACAGCGGTGGATTTTTTCAACCAGATCAACATGCTGTACGGAACAATCACTGAGTTCTGCACTGAGACCAGCTGCTCTGTGATGTCTGCTGGACCAAGGTAACTGCAAACAGTGTTTTATGTGCGTGTGCAGCTTTGTTTTGAGAGGTGGCGTCTTACAGGCCCCTTTTAAACAGCCTATTATGACCTAGTAGAATAAAGAAACAGAAACTACTTTTGTGGTTTTGGGTCTTGGGATCGTATACACCTACTCTAACACGGTCACGGCATTATGGTGTATTAGGATACTTGTATAGAATAGATGGAGTATTAGTGTTAGTTGTGTTGTCCCTGTGAGAATAATCAACATGTCTGCAGGGAGACAGACCTGTAGCCTTTATAATTAAAAGAAAACATTTTTTACAGCATTAAAAATCATGAATCGGTCACAAACTCACTCCCAGCATCATTTCCAAAATAAATGTAAGCCAGTATGAATTTAAAACAAGAGAGTCATTGATAAAGTTTTTTCGCTTTACAGTCATATATCAATAGAGCTGTTATCAGTCAGTAAATCATTTTGGTTTACTTAAAGGCTTATAATTAAAGAAGACAAAGAGCTGTGTGTGTTGAAAGGACATCAGACATGTAGTGAAAGTTTAATCTTGAACTCCAGTTTTGCTGTTAAACATGACTTTTAAGGAAGCTTTATATCACTCAATTGGAACAAGGAACCTTCTTCAAATTTTCTTAGTAAGCATTTCATCCAATCTGAGGAAACAAGGAACCTCACATGCGGTGACGGACACAGAGTGTGCGTCATTCAGCTAAAGCATCTCAAGTAAAAGTCACAATAGTTTCTGGTATTTTGTCCAGAATTGAGAAATAGTGTGTGGTGTGGAAATGAAGCGGAGTATGGATGAATGTTTCGAGTGTTTGAGACAGCTGGAGTTTACATCATCTGAATGTCACATGAGGGAAACGGGAATCAAACTTTGCATGTGGAAGCTTTTTTAGTTTAAATGGAGATCTCGCACTTCCTCTATCCTCTCCGGCCAAGACTGACTGCGCTCACTCTGTAATCAGGAGGAAGACACATGGGTTCACTTCCTGTTTACATAGCCACTATCAAGACTATGACCGTAGAGGCTTTTGCATTTCCTCTTCTTGCTCTTTTTTTAGCTAATCGACCACCAAATGATGTTTTCCTGTTTACCTGACAGACGGCAGAATGAGAGCATGCTGTTTGCAGAGTTTTTCTGCTCTTGTTTCTTGACCTGCTGCAGAGAAGAGAGAGGTGTTGATCCTTTTCTGTTTTCTTCCAAAGATATGAGTATCACTGGGCTGATGGGACCAATATTAAGAAGCCTATCAAATGCTCCGCACCCAAGTACATTGACTACCTGATGACCTGGGTGCAGGATCAGCTGGATGATGAGACACTCTTTCCTTCCAAGATTGGTGAGTTTTGACTGATTTTAATCTTAAACTGTTTGGATGACAACATATGATTTTTTTATAATATTAATTGCAGATAGGGTTTGGTATCAAGCAGTACTTTGGGTGCTTAATGTCAGCCAAGCAACCAACTAACTACTTTTCCTTATTGTTGGTTCTGTTAAAATAGAGACAGGTTACCTTTGTCTGTCCCCTGTATATTTTAGAAGCAGTTCCCTCTGCTTCAAATCAGTGAACGCGTGAGAAATATGCCTGTTTGTCTGTGTCATCCCTGACCCTGACCCTGACCCTGCAGAAGATGCTCAGCTGAGAGGAGACTCCACTGATTGGTAGATCTTGGAAAAATGAGTCAACATAAGCAGAAGAATTGCGTGTTTACATCACAGAAAGGGAAAATCTGCATGTTCATAATGTGCAGTTTCGGTTTGAGTTGTGCTTCAAAGAGATGACCTTTGATACTGGCTGACTCACCTACAGGTTGCTGCAGAAAAAACCTCTAAACCACCAGAAACAGCAAAGTGATGCGTGCACAGGAAACATTAGGAAGCTTACCGATACACCACATAGTCAGTGAACGAGGCGTGACTTGTATACTCCATCACAGCTGTTTCCTCTGTTTCATACCACTGTGAAAAGATACTGTCCTATAACTATTTGTACAAAAAAACAAGGGATGACACACAAATACACAGGAGTGACCCATCAGGCTGTGGGAATAGGGAGGTTTTGAGTTTACTTCTGATTGTGCAAATAAAGAAGAAGGACCTTGTGACAGCAGGATAACTGTAACTGAAGACACCCTCACCAAACCTGGCAGCAGCCAAGAAGGAAATCATTGTCATGTCAAAATCAGTCACCTGACTCCAGATCACGTCTCACATGCTGATGAGCAGAGAGATCTTTTTATTCCTGTTCCCCTAATTTGATTGGGTCAACGAGTTAGGGGCACCGCGTCTCATCAGACTTCGTTCCCTTTGATTTGTAGCAGAACGGGTCAGTTAAAACAGCGTGCTTCACATCTGTACCTCCCTTCTCTGTTTCACAGGAGTTCCCTTTCCAAAGAACTTCATGTCCGTGGCCAAGACCATCCTGAAACGCCTGTTCAGGGTTTACGCTCACATCTACCACCAACATTTTGACTCTGTGATGCAGCTGCAGGAGGAGGCCCACCTCAACACTTCCTTCAAGCACTTCATTTTCTTTGTTCAGGTGAGAGTCGCTGGCTACAGCACCCACTGAAAACACCACTGTGCACCTAATGCACGTTTAATAGTCTCTCTCTCAGTGAAGTGACAAACACTGGCTAACTATTGATTTAGCAACACGACATGTTGATAATAGATTACATTCTCTTACTCTCACTTTTTTCCGTAATGTTTTAATGGACAAGAGACCCCAGCATTTTTATGACCAAGTTAAATTTACACAAAATGTACATAACTACATGACTAGACACTGAACCACCGAAACCGAGAACAGAAAGACTCAAATCTACTTTTACCTGTCGAACCATGACAGAATGGAAGTCAGTACCTAATCATATAAAAAATTCAAGCACAAAATTGGTTTTCAAGAAAAACTTAGAACAACACTTAGATGAGTTGAAGCCTGTACTAATGTATTGTATATGATCCTGTCTTATTTCAAATTGCTTCCTTTTGTTATTTCCTCCTAACACCCTTTTTTCCAATTTTTATTGAATTGTTGGTAAATGAGTGATTGTGTTATCATGGATGAATGATTTTGTAATGTTTTATTTTCTGTGTAGGACCCCAGGAAGACGAGCTTTGTCTTGACAAATGCTAACAGGGATCCTAATAAACACTAAACATAAAAAAACACTATCAGTAATGAGATACAGGCTGTTGTGATCAGGGCGGCTCATTGGTTTTTGTTGTTTTTTGATAAGAGGACACAGAAATGATTGAAATTTAGGCTTCTATGAAAGGAGGACTAATTTTGTTACTCTCAGTTAACACCAACCACCTGAAAATTATGTTTCTGTTTTCTTTTAGGAGTTCAACCTCATCGACAGGCGAGAGCTTGCTCCCCTGCAGGACTTGATCGAGAAGCTTGGATCCAAGGACAGATAGACATTTCATCACATGTTCCCCCACCCCTCCTTTTTTTTAACTCCTTCTTTTCCTCCTCTGTCTCTGTGTGACCTCTGCTACCTCTTTGACTTCTGGGCTCAACTCTTAAAATCTGTGCCTTCTTCTACCTTTCATTTAATCCATGTTTGTACTGTATCCTTTCTTTTTTTTTTCCTTCTGTTGACTTTTATGCTGTTTGAGCCGATTGTTTCCCATTTTTCCACTCATATATTATAGTATGGTGTAGTGAGAGTATTTTTTCACAGCACTGTGTTTAATGACTCTGTAAGAGCAGTTTTATATTGGACCAAGAACATTTTGGAGTTTAAGTGAAAAAGATTTTTTTCCTCATAGGCTGATGTATAGTTTTTTTTTTGATTGACTGAACACATTTTAGGTAGGGATAGCCAGTTTCCTTTTTTAACATTTAGCTTTGGTAATTACAAACACTGACCAAATATCCCAATATTCAAGTTTTTTAATGTCATATACAGTCAAGAGTAACAAAAAGATGCCAGGAGAAGTGACACAAAACAATAATGGCACCAGGTGAATGGTGAAAGCTGGCGCAATAATTAACCTGATATAATATAAAGCTCTCTCTCTCTCTCTGCCACATGAACTAGCACACTCATTTAAACGTGCTTTCTATTGACATACTCTTCAACACTGTGGCATGTAGAGATAACCACAGGCAGTTGAGCGATGCCTCTGTGGTCGCCCCACGATAAAACACCAGCAGCTGCTTGATAAGAATTTAATTTGATTTGGTCGTCTGTTATTGTGTTTTTGCACATTTTTGGCTATTTTCCTAATTAAGAGAGATAAATTTAAGGTATGGTGCTTACAGGGAAATCTAAATCAGCTTATTATTTTTGATAAAAGTAAGAGTCTTAGAGTTAATATGAGTCTGAGCTGATTTAGGAGTAGATTTTCCTAATGTAGATCTCCTGTTTTATAGTCAAGGTTTAAATAAAGCCACATATTTGACCTTTCAGTGCTGGTACTTTTGAATCCTCACTATCCCCCCTTCAGATTAAAAACTATTTAATGACCGATTCACCTGTAGAGAAGAGAGACCAGAGTCACCAGTAGTTCTTCTACAGGTGTTCCTTTGGTGTATCAGAGTGATTCCCTGTACTTAACTCCGGCGACAACAGCAGGGCTGTTTGTTCTGCCATCCTCTGAAGAACTAACATAGACAGGACTTCTTCATGAATGTTTTATTCGCCATCGTTGAGCAAGGGAATGGTCTGCAATCTTTTGGACCACATTTCATATCAGACAATCATTTAACACATTAAGAGCTGTAAAATAATAATGCATCACCAGGAACCAACCAGTTCTGTTGGCCTCAGTTCAGTATTTGATTCACTTTGACTTTGATTTTTAACCACTTTTAGGGCCTCCAGCTGCTTGGAAAAGAAAGCTCGCTAAAGTTAAGTTAATAATCTATAGGGATATCAATATATATCACAAGACTGAGTTATTTTAGAGTTTTTATTTGAATAAACAAGTCCTTTCTTTCAATTTAGAGACATTTTTTTCAATTTTCTTGTCATAGTGCGTTGTAAATTACATAATTGACTTTACCTTATTTAAAAGAGGATAAAGAGGCTTCATTGAATTAAGTCTTGTTTGTTAACAATAAAGGTCCAATTGTTAGGCGGGAGGATTTGTGAGGATGTAGCTGCTGCATCCTAACATTTACTGTAAATACTTTGTTTTGAACAAATCAGTGTGCCTTACAAAGAGAAAAGGTTTGATAGGACAGTATTGGTTGATCAAATATTCAATAAAAACGGAGAGGACACTGCTGTGTTGATCTTTATTTGTGTACAGAAGAATGCTGTTTATGAAGCATTTATATCCACATGTCTATAGATTTCTGACTTTCTGTGGATCTGGATGTTGGACTCAAAAGGGTTTTATGACAGTCCTTTTCATACCATTATAGTCTTATAAATTCGCAATCAGGATTAGTCCTAAAATGCTAACTAGAGAGCTGATGCCAATCTTTCTTTTTTTCTCTTTTTTTACTCCAGCCAAGGCAATTTCTCAATTTGACAATATCATATCACATTGCAACATTTCTTATCCATCGGTTGGAAGGGAGCAGGGAGAAGATAAATCTTGTATTATCAACCCCTCACTCAAAGTCTAATTGTGTCAATAATCTATCACTGAACAACATGTTTACCACAAAAACAAAACAATAGCAACAAATCCAACAGAAACAGCGCTTCAAATTGACTTATCGGTCACTAAGCTATACTTGAGTCATACCATGAAGTAAACAAAACAAGCATAAGAGTAAATATAGATAAAAGACAGCATTTCAAGCTGACTTTCTACATGAATTATTGGTTACTTTTGTCATAATTTCTGATTCATTTTTCTTTAACATTTTCTCGGCTTGTAAAAGATTTGTACAGGTCTTCAATTACAGCGGCCGAGAACCGCCACTGCTGCAGATAAAAAAGAATGCAAAAAAAAAAAAAACTGCGCAAGGTACTGATGCAAAAAAAAGGAAAGAAAAGAAACGGTGTAGATAAAAAGAAAAAAAAATCTTTAACGGAAGTTAATGACGCAAAAAAGTGGTGATGCAAGTTACTTACTGTGAAAATAAAAGGACGCAAATAAAAAAAGCCTGGAGGATGCCGGTGTAGTGTTAGCTTCAGTTCAATTTCATATCGACTCAGGCACTATATGGCCTAACCACATGATACATTAAACGCACAAGAAGCGAAACTTTTCCACTAACTTCTTTGCTCGTCTTCTCGCCGTTGTCTTCTGTGCCTAGATCGTAAAACACTGGTCCTTTTATTTTCGCAGTAAGTAACTTTCCTTTTACATTTTTTTGCGTCGTTAACTTTGGTTATGGCTTTTTTATCTATTTCATCTTTCTCCATTTCTATTTTTATTTGCAGCGGCCTTCGGTTTCTTTTTTTTTGCATCAGTAACTTCCGCTGTGACTTCTTTTTTTTTTTTTCTTTAATTTGCCGCAGTGGCGTTTTTTGGCTACCGTACTCAATCCATTACTTCAATTCAATTACATCTACACATCAGATAGGCTCTTGAAAGCAAGTTAAACTATCCAGGCTGTGTTTGCTGGAGGGAAGTATAGACACAAATGTAAGATCTAATTTTAAAAAGTATTCCATAATGTTATACAACATTTATAATAATCACCGGTTAAAGAGAGAGGACTGTAGTTTCATCAGTGCATGATGTAAACCAATCAAATTCGACCTCTGCGAGAACCTGGTATATTTTGCCCTGAGCTTAGACTTACAGTAAGACCGAGCACATCACACATCGAACAATTACATTAACAGACATATTTGACGCCTTTAAAAGAGGCTAAAGTGGTATTTTAGGTCATTTTTACATCTGTAAAGCCAATATGAAAATGTAAACAGGTTAATGGTGGCACCCAGAAGCCTGACGGAACAAACTGAGGGTTAAATATTCTCTCCGCATCACAGCGAGCAGGAAGGAAATAAAATGCCTTTTTCGTGCCATCATCAAGTAATTCAAGCTAACTGTCGTGTCTTAGTTTCTTTTTGACAACATCTGTGTTTTTTCGGAGTGGACCTACCCGTGAAACGGTCACACCACCACGGCTGTCTTCGTTTGGCACCGGGCGGGCGGCTGGAGCCCGTAGAAGACGTCCCGTTTCTTCTTCCAACGGAAAAAGCTAAAGTTAGTCCATGTTAGCTCAATGCTAACGGTTTTATATAGTGTCTATTGGGGGGTTACCGCAATTCAAAGTTACCAGCTGAGCTGAGGGCAACAAGGTCAGCTTTGACTAAATGTGTGGTGATGGTTCAGGATGTTTGTTAATTAATGTTAATGAAGATTGTCAGCTAATGTAATGTTAAAGAAATACAGAGGAAGAAAACCGAAAGAACCGTCACCAACACTGTTTTAAAGTACGGAGATGTTTACCTAACTCTTAACATAAAGTCTGATTAATAACATGATTATTGTTCATTTAGACCAAAACACATGTCTGTGACTGAAGACTAGAACTAATTTAAGCCTGTTTAATTCTATTTTAGGAACTGACATGATGAATGTTCACGAAGAATCAGATTAAACAACCAATTCAGAGAAAACAAAAGTAAAAGCTGTTCTCATATAGGAGAGACAATTCTTGAGTATTATCAAAAGCTAACACTAACTATACTTGATAATATTATTATCATTAATAATAATAACTTTATTTTTATAGCACTTTTAAAAACAGACGTTTACAAAGTGCTTTGACATAGGGGAGAGTGGGGTAAGTTGAGCCACCCCCTGTTGCTTGGAAATGGTAAAAGAAATTGATCATGTGACCAAATATTTAGGAGATGTGAAGGTTAAAAGCACATGGGTGAAGGGGTTGGACATTTATTTACAAAAAAAACCAAAACATTTTTCACTCTTGAAATGGTCAACTGAATGGTCAACTTACCCCATGTGGGGTAAGTTGACCATAGGAGACCACTTTTTTTTGGCATGGTATTTATCAAGACAGTTATGTTTACACTCATTCTGTTGGTTTGCAGGGATGAACAACATCTTGAAATATATGCAGATAGACTAGTTAGAGACACAACTATTATTGCCTTGATGTAGTGATCCGAAATATGAAAAATGACTCATCTTACCCCACTCTCCCCTATAGTCATAAAGCACATGGAAAAAGACAGATAAAAACAAAAGCTCAGTTAAAACGGAATTGAAAGCCATTTTCATAAGTCATAAGTAACCCAGACAATACAAGAACCATAGATTCAACATAATATAAGACCATGAGGACCAAAATAAAAACATAAAATAGTTAAGAAAAAGAAAATGCAATTAAAAGGGGGGTTGAAAGTGGAAAACAGGATAGTAAAACTAAAAGACAACATGAATAATGATAATAGAATAATAACAAGTCTTTGTCTACTTTGTCTACAGGTCTTCGTAAACTATGGCAGATGAAAATACTCAGTTCTGTGGGAACTGGTAAGTTGGACGATCGTGAAATCGGCAGCCAGTCAAGCCTACATGGTTATAACACCAGGTTCTCATATAAGGTTATTTTCTTTTTTAGCAAACACGATATCCCAGAGGCTAATTTCACCACCCACGAGATCCACTGTAGAAGAAACATCGCGCTGTGTGATGTCTGCCAGGAACCGGTGCCCAGGTCAGATCTTCAGGAGCACAAACAACAGGAACACACACAGGTACTGTCAGAGCACATCAGTGTTAGATCCAGCATTAGGTGTTAATGCAGTTTTTCAAGAACAGGTCTCATACTGAAAATGTTAAAATAGGCGATTTCTTCTGAGCCCCATCAGTATGTGTGAACAGCGTCCTATTTATTACAAACACAGAAGCCAGAATACTGTTAAAATGAATTATAATCACTCGTCTTCATTAAGTATCACTCTTGCAGAAGTTACACTGGAACATATAAGCGGGTGTGAAAAACACAAGCTCTGTGGATATATTTTTAACCATCACTGGACTCTTTCATTGTGCTTTGGTGCTAATTGACGAAGCAATTTAGTTTTAGAGATATAGCTAAAGCTGTAATATACACAGACAAGGCTCTGGTCACATAAAATCTACTTTCAGGCTTCCAAACTATAACTTTTGTTGACATAATTATACAGGTAATTATTGTTCGCGAGATGTATTGAACTGAAGACATACTGGGTGGTAGTGGTAAACTAGAGTGTGTTAAATTATAAGTATTATAAGGTGTTCCATATATATCTTGTCCATTTAATAACAAACATGGGGGAAGCAGAATACTTCGAACACCTTTCAATATGTTGAACCTCCAACTCCCACTACAACCTTCATAATCAATGTAACGTTCAGTAATCAAAAGAAGGAAATGTTGATGCTTTGTCGTTATGCGTATGTCTCATATTGACTATGAAGTAGGTCGAGCAACCTCTGTTCATGGAAAACTGTGTCAGAGTTGCCACAGTTTTCACCCACTTATGTTTTCAAATTCTCACCTCGATAAATCAATAACAAAAAAGTCATATTAACCTGAAACTGTGGGCTGCAACTTCAAACCATTTTTAACTTTCATTACAGATTACATGCAAGTGCGGCTTGAAGATTGAAAAGAATAATTTTGAAGTTCACCAGGTATGTCTTTAACCCCTCACATTTCTTTGATTTAATCACCTTGATGTAATCTTACAATTGCTGCAAATCGTTTCTTCCTCTCCTTCAGAGCTCTGAATGCTCTCAGCGGCTGGTCCCATGCCAATACTGTGAACTGGAGATAGTTTTCAGTCAATCCAAAGAACATGAAGATTACTGCGGCACTCGCACTGAGCTCTGTTCACACTGCAAGTGCAACGTCATGTTACGGGAACAAGCTGTTCATCCTGTCCTGTGTGGAAGCCTTACACCACCCCAAGAGAGAAACAACAGTCGGACTTCTCGCAGTCCTGGGGAACCACAGTCCCCTGGGCCATGGTTTGAAGCCCACTCCATCCGAAACCTCCTGAGAGCCCAAGAGAGAGGCCCAAAGAATAACAACATCAGTGCAGCAGAACAACAGGCTTTTTCCCGGCCCTTTGAATCCAGAGTTTATAACACCTCAAGAGGACCTCAGGGTTCAGGAGGGTGGAAGAATACCGCCCCGAGACATGCATTCAGCAACTGTGAGTTTACTGTTTGCAGTTTAGTGTTTTTCACTTAAGAGAAGTGATTTGATAGGCAGTTGAAATATACTCTGTGGTACATCATCTGTAAACAAACATCATTTTACTTCTGTAAATGAAACACACAGCTAGTCCAAGTTCTTACTCTGTCATACTGATTTAAATGATGACTCTGTTAGTGTAAATTCTTAGGCTGAAACATACAGGATGCGTATTTGGAGCGTGGCAGCAGCATTGTGTATCACACAGCAAATAGGTTGCCATTCTAATCAGTGCAGGAAAGCATACAGGACGCGTATCAGCTCCGTCGCAGCATCGTATTGAGAGCAGCACTGCTAAAGATACACGTCAAGTGTTTTTTTGCTGCTCTACACTTCCAGTGCTTGTCAATCCACACAGAGAAGATCGTTCTGGACAGGAAGTCAAGCACGAAAACCGGGCATGTCATCCGGTATTTCAAAATAAAACACCATATGCTGACCCCTGACTGTGTCAGTTTGTGTAGATGAGAAATACTTCCTGGTAACACAGAACAGTCTGATGGTCAATCCCTGATCCATGTGGACCCCAACAGGACTTTGAACTGCTAACTCTGTCTGAAGGTAACGGCATAAAGGAACATAGTTTACTTTATTAAACACGAGTAAACCTGCAAAAACCGAAACTGTAAAATCACATTGTTTTTAACATACAGTAACAGGCTCAACAGTCACTGAATTATATCAAAATTAGCAGGAAATAGACCACAGGAAGGGGAAAACAACCTGTTGTGAGCGTGTTGTCTCCTCTATACTGAGCCCAGCTGACTGGGGCTGCACTGCGCTGCTGCTACGCTCCAAATACGCAATACCCAACGCTGCTTTATGGTGCAAATACAGAATGCGCTATATACGGATCCCGTATGTTTTTCGGCTTTAGCATACATTTTTAGCTGCTATCAGTCCTCTTAGCTGACTTCAGTGGTGTTACACTTCTTTTCACATTATTGCCACCATCTATAAATCATACAAATCATTAAATTAACAGCAAGAGTGCATATAATCAATGAATTATAAATTGCAGGTCACTCTGAATCTCTCACAAGCAAAAAGATAACTCAGTTTCTTCTTTGCAGTGCTGGATCAAAGTGATTTTCTGACGAGCAGCAGCAGTAGTACATGGCCACACAGTGAGTTCACAGCAGATGAAGATTCATCAGGCCTGGACTACATGTTGGCTCTGAGCCTGCAGAGTGATGGAGACTCAGTAGCAGGAGGCATGGAGGGCAATCTGTGGAGTGGTATCTGGGACGACAAGATCGGAAAGACGTCCAACCTAAACTCTTCGCTCATGCCGCCCAACAACAACTATCCCAACTTCTCTACAGACATAAGCACAACTGCACTCCAGGACCATGACCAGACAGGTACATCAGTGCTGTTTTAACATTAAAAGTTGTTCTGGTACAGTTTTGTTTATCTCCCTCACACTGTTTCTACAGATACCATGCTGCCTTGTGAGTTTTGCGAGGAGCTGTTTCCAGAGGAAGACCTAATTTTGCATCAGGTAACAGGAGTTTATTCACTTGGCTACACTGTTGCTCAGCAGATTTGACCTTTGATTAGAGTTGCTACTACACCAAACTGAGTGCTTAACCCTTAGTGGTACTATGAAGACAAACATTTGTGAAAACTGCAACTCTGCAGAAAATAATAATCCCAAAAGTTTTAAAGTAGACTAAAATAAATGCTGGATGATCATCTCAAGTGTACGAAAAACAGGGAAAGTGTGTTTGTATGAAATGATTGAGCCATCATCTGGCGAACAGTTTTAGCCCCATATTACAATTGTGAATTCAAGAGCCAGGCATCAACTTCACACTGACATGATAACCTGATGATAGCTTTTTCTTGAGAAATTCCTGTCCAAATTAAAGTAACACATCTACAGTGTTGGTGGTACAAATGACCATTTTGGAAATCTCCACTTAAAACATGTGACCTGAGGAAAACAGGACAGACCAGTTGATCATATCCACTGATCATGAGACGCATATAACAAGAGCAAATACTTTGACAAGCTCCTGACTGACAGATGTAACCGACACACTCTGGTATTTACTTTGCTCTGATGACTCCAGCACATCTGTGGTGTCCTCTAATTATTCGGGCCCAGGTTCCCCTTGCTTCTCTGCGTCCTCCATCTTGACCTAGTAGAGATATTATTGTTTAAAGTCGAATGAACACAACTTCTTACTGCTGTCCTTCTTGTCTTTGTTCCAGACGGGATGCAGTCCCGCCTCTGCCTTTGCATCTTTCAGTAAGCATCCTGTGACTCCACCGAAAGAGGACAGGATGAGCAGGAACACTGCAGGGCTGATGCACAGCATTCCTGACACACTCGCTTCAAACATCCCCACCTTCCCTCGCTCAGTCTCTCCGGCCTCTTACAGTCCCCCTGCCAGTCCTCTAGAGGGCGATGTGGTTATTCCCTGTGAATTCTGCGGGGTAGCTCTGGAGGAGGCTGTTGTTTTTCACCATCAGGTAAGGCACGATACTGCTGAATGCACAGAAAGTGTTGTGTCTGTAAATAGATATGAAACAATAATTAAATCTTCTTTTGTGTTTTGTTTCTTCAGGATAAATGTGATATGCGTCCTCAAACTTCCCATCCACTGAACAACGTCACTAAAGTGTCTCACAAAAAAACACTAAATCCTAAAGACAGCTTCGGCCAATTATCTCCAGATTTTTCAAGGAGATTAAAACATCAAGGTAGTATGCAAAAATTATTTCACTCTAGAAAAAACAGATTCAGATGAGCTAAAAGAAGAACATTTATGCAGCAGATAAATGACAGTTTAATGTGAGAAGCATGTTTGCCATAAAAGGCAGTGAACAGTGTCCTCCCACTCTAAGACTCCAGTGTTTTTTATCTGTTAGGAAGTTGGTTTTTATTTTTCTGTTTCAAGTTGTTTATTCAACTGTGGTCAGTGGTTTTGCATGAGTTTCAGAGGTCGAATTTTGACATTTAAAAAACATGTATATCATGGACAAAATAGGATCTTTGTGTGTTTCTTTACACATGTTTTGCGTCTGATTTCCCAGTTGACTTCTCAGAGGGGAACTTTGGATTTGACAGAGACTCTCCACCTGAACCAAACTTAAGGGAGTGGCCGAGAGGCTACATCGGACTACCGAGTCAAAGAAACACATCCAGCTGCGATGCCTCACTCAGAGACAGACCTCAGCACGGGCGGGAGGCTGATGGGGCTCAGTCCTCGATCTGTGACACAGAGAGGTCTGGATCTGCACCTTTAAAGGGGTAAAATAAAAGACTAAGATTTTTCTGAAAGGCTTTAAGTTTGCTTTCACTTTATTAGACCGATTTAAAACATCCTCCTCTCAGTATTCTCATTTTACTTGTTGCTCATTCACCAGACTCCACCTACCAGAAAACAAAGAAGGGAGGAGGAACATAAGGAATCCAACGTCGAAGGTAAATAACATTTTAACCTTTGACTGTCATGACCAATGATATGTTGGCATTCACTGTCTGTAGGGATGATGTTATTGTTAACTGTCAACTTTACATCCATCACCAAATACTTTTGAATTATACTTTGGAATAAAGGCCAAATATTTTAGGAGATCGTCTGCTGGCCAAGTAGTTTGTTGTGTAAAATGTCAGTCAAGAATCAAAATGGCAGTAAAAATGAAAGAGTTTTGTCTGATCATGCTGGAAAAATAGAAAAACATGTCAAGTACTCATAGTGTTTGGTCATACTGTTACTGTTTTGTGTTTTCTCCATGCAAACCAGATTTGATTTGAATGTCAGTGAGCGGTCAGTGTGGTTATAAGAAGTTAGTCAGTGTTTGCTTATTTAAAGGAAAACACAAAGAAGCTAAAAAAAAGGGGTCTGTATTGTTGGGCTCCTGAGAATAAAACAAAAGTGTATCATAATTTTTCACAATCAGTACAATATCTCAACTTCCTGCACAGGAAGTCCACACAGTATACAATCCATACGAGAACAATCCTTGGAAAAATAGAGGAATGAGAGAATAAACATTCAGAAATAAATATGAGTTTCTACGCTTGATGTAATTGCAATTTGTAAAGAAATCTAAATATAGCCATAAATTTGCATGTGAAAAAAACTGGGTAAAAATGGGACGACTGTTAGAGCTTCTGTAAAATTTAAGATGCTTGATCCTGTAAGACCACATCAGGGAATGTATTTCAGTAACGATTTCTTTCTGTTTTCAGTTGCTCAAGAAGCAGAACGAAGAGCAACAGGAAGACTGAGAGAATCTGGAGAAATAGAAACCAAATCTCCCTCTCTGCTTCTTCTCATGTATCTTTTTTGCACACTATTGAAAATCAAACATATACCTATCTTATAAGTGCCTGTGTATTGGTATCTCGCAGTTTATATTTGGATGAATTTTACCATTGAACTCTACAATAAGCAAGTAATTTGAGTCATTCATGCATAGTAAGCTCTATTTGAAGATATGTTTCAGATGATTGTATGTCTAACATATTAGCCTTAACATATAAATTATAAAATGGAATTTATTTACGCTGATTATGATTTTATGTTTTTTTTCTACTTAATACTTACTTATCACAGAGAACCGTGCAAACTTAGAACCTGGAAACACAATTTTTTTTGGTGCACCTGTCTGAAAGACTCTTTTCCTTGTTATTCCAGCTGAAGACATTTGTTTTGTTTTGTTTCCTGTGTGATTGTTCAGGTTCTCCGGTGTTCCTGTTGGTTTCTGAATCTTCATGTAACCTGAAGCACTTTGATAAAAAGTATTTTCTTAAAAAGGGCTTGAGGAACAGATTTAATAAATGTATGCACCATTGACCAAGAAAAAAAAAACACTTTTATGGGACGTTAGTCTTTTTATACATTTGTCATTAATACTCTTGGATAATACCTTGTTTTTTAATCATAACTGTAGAAGTATATAAGTGTTGTGATGGCTTTTGAAGCAGTATCTCCTGTCTGTTTTTTCTTTTACGTAGTTTTAAAATGTTGTAAGTTGCTCCTTCTATTACAGTTGGTGAAATGTACTTTGTATGTAACATAGAGTCCTCTTAGAAAGTACACGACAACTAGGCAAAGTTATGCCACTGAAGGTTTAGGACTGGCAAAGTTTTCTTGAGGCTAAAGGGGAGCACCAGAGTGTGTTAATGGTTTGACTCTTATCAGTAACCTAAAATACACATGGAGGGAAATCAGCTGGTGTGGTGTTAGGTGGTGTTCGCAGCACTCTTCTGGTTATTCCTGTTTGAGAACAACTGTCTCTTTGGTCACGTGTTGGTATTAAATGTTTAATGAGAACATTTGTGGCTCTGTTTTGTGATCTGTCATCACACTTCACTCATATCTCTCACCTAATTTAAAACCACATGAAGAAAGATCAGTTATCAAAATTTACCGTCACTTGACTATTCGTCCGCTATGGTCCCATATGTGTCTCCCCTTCTGTAGGGGGACTGGAAAATGCAACCAGAGAGCATGAAAAAAGCAATACACAAGTAAGTATTTATAATAACAGTGTAAGTATGACTACCGCTATAACTACAGCGGAGTTTCGCAGCTCAAGGAAGAACATTTATGATCATTTTTTCATTGAAATACAATCAGACCGTGATGCTGAGGCAGAAGAGCTACCATGTCTGCAGAGCAAAATGATTAATATGATGATTATTACTTAAAGGAAATGATAAATTAATGATCATAATTATTCTTCCTTGAGCTACGTCGCACCATTGTAGTCTGTAATGGACTGGCCTGAGGTCGCTATACAAACAAGTGGCTGCTGGAAGAGAGTAAGTGAGTTGTGTTTAGTCTCTTTGTTAAAGAAATCAGGCAAAGTTAAAAAGATGTTTGGTGGCTGGGACCCTTTATATCCTGTTGATGAAGTTAGGTGCTGTTCTGAGCATTATTTGGGGCTATAGAGTGGTGTTTTGGTTTAGAGCGTGGCTCTCTGTATTGCTATCTGTGGTCGTTACTAAAGTTGGTATAACTACAGAAGCAAGCGGTTGTCAACATTCATCTCTGGAGGGGGTGTCTAACTCGGTGACAGGTGTGTATGACCCTAAATTAATTTTATGCCGGAGTATCCCTCTGAATCACAGGTCATGTAGTGCAGCCCAGAGTTAGAGGAAGTGGAGTGTTGATAAACAAAGAAGTTTTCTGTTGTGAATTTTTGCTGTTTTTATTTGTTCATTTGTTTAGTCACAAGACAAGGTGCTAGGGCGCTGCAAATCATATTTATTTTTATTCATTTATTTAAGGGTTGATAAGGCACCCCTCCAGCGTGTGGCGCTCTATGTGACCTGTATATTGTCTATGCCGGTAGCCGGTTCTGGGCACTAATTATCCTCCATACATGTCAGTTTGGGAGTCTTTCCGCAGAGCGGCGCGCTTTAAATGTTCGCCGGGAGAAGCCGGACGCAGCGATGTGGGCGGGGCTACACCTTTTCAGTGGGAATCCTCAGTTCAAAAAGCTGCTAACGTCTTCTTCAGGGAGAGTGGGTCTGTTTCTGCTTTCACTGCAACTCCACGGACACAACAGAGGACCGAAATATGCTGACCGAGAGCGAGATACGGATGTGTTTTCATTGACAGGAGAACTTTTTGACTTCGCTGATTCAGATAAAAACTGTTTTTGTTAGAGAAAAAAAAGAGAGGAAGAGAAAGAAGAGAAAGGAGCAACAAGTCGTGCAGGTGGAGGACAACACGTTGACCAGGGAACCAGACCACAGCTGACCCACCATCCGAAGTCTAGTTTCACCTGAGCCGAAGCTGAGTGATAAAAATGTCCGTGGAGAGTTACTCTGCCCTGGATGAACCCTCCCTCCGAGCTCTGGTGAGTGTTAAAGATGCTCTAAAATACTGATTATGTTGATGTTTGATGGAGGTCTGTAACCTGCCGAGGGAAAGATCTTATATTTACAGTAAAGTCTCTTTTAAGGGAAGACATTTTATTATACTGGCAGACCAACTAAACACTAATCCCCTAATAGGGGAGACTGGGGTAAGTTGATCCACCCCCTGTTGATTGGAAATGGTCAAAGAAATTGATCAATTGACCAAATATTTAGGAGATGGGCATCAATTCGTGGAGTCTGTGAGGGTTAGAAGCACATGGGTGAAGAGGTTAGACATTTATTTACAAAAAACTCCAAAAAGATCAAATTTGTTTTATACATCAGTTGTGGTATCTATGAGCTACAACATAAAAGTCCACCATTTTATCTTAGAGGACTAATAAAGTCATCATAGTAGTTCTGGGGTAACTGAGAAAGTAAAGGAGTCTGATGAGAGGATCAGAGTTTCAGTTCAGATTGTTGAAATGTTTTTACTTTGTCTTTTCAAAAATACAGATCTGTGAATGTTCTGAATCACTTAAAGACATTCTCATGTTAAAATGACTTTTTACAAAACAGCTTTTTATCAGTTATATGCAATAATAATAAGAATTATTGTACCAGTTGAATAGCGTATAATAGATAAAAATACACATGAATATGAAGAAGTGACTGTTATTTAGGGAGAGAGAAGTAGTAGGGATACGGCTCAACTTACCCCGCTCCTATGGTCAACTTACCCCATACACGGGGTAAGTTGACCATAGGAGACCATTTTTTTTTGTCCTGCTATATTATCAAGACAGTTATGTTTACACTCATTCTGTTGGTTTGCAGGGATGAACAACATCCTGAAATATATGCAGATACACGAGTTAGAGGCAAAATGGCTCATCTTACCCCACTCCTCCCTACTACAACATAGCACTCTATACGTTGTTGAGCTGTTTTGTTCAGCATGTCTCTCCTTTTGTAACTCAAAGGCGTCATATCATATCTGACAGGCTGTCAACACACCAGGTGCCGCTCGTTATTATTTATACTATTACACTACCCTCCAATGTAAACCTGAAACAACTTCTCCTTTTCTTTAATCTGTCTGTAATCATTTATTTTAGTCATGTTTTAATCTGTTTTAGGCTTGGGTTATTGTAAACTAAATGATCTGATACATCAAGGGTTGGGAGAAAAAATCGATTCACATAAGTGTCACGAGTTTTTGTTTTACAATTTTTAAATCAATTTTTATGTTTGAAAATCTTTATTTTTTCAAATTTAAGAATAAATCTGACTTCCATGTAATGTGTATTTTTGGGGGAATATGGTTCCTGTAAAAGTCAGTAGACAATCATAATTATTCGAGAAAATCGATAATATTGTAGAATCGCAATTTTAATCGAATCGGCATCCAAAAAATCGTAGAAGAATTGAATTGGGAAAAAAGCTTATCGTCCCAGCCCCATTAAATATGTTATTTTTCAGTGGATATAAATACTCAGTTATCATGAGACGTACCTGTATTACACAAAAGGGGATGTTTTAATCATAATAATAATTATTGTACAGGTAGCTGATTCATAATTATTCATTACGTCACAATCATAACTGAGGTAGACATTATGTCACAAACTTGAGCTGTAAATCGGCATTGTCTGTATGAACATGTATTAAGACACGGCTTCCTGTTTCGCCGTGATATTAGTCATGTCCAAATAATCTCTGGAGGCAGAATCAGCCCGTCTGACACAAACATGACACCTGCAACACTGACACTTTTACAAGGATGCGTGAGTCAGCCCGTCTGCGTTCAGACAGGATACACACACTTCCTCTGAATCACAGTAGCATGTATATCAACAGCTGTGCATGAAACATCTGTTCACTCCTTCTGTAATAATTAAGCGTACAGTATCTGATCGTAACTCGACATGCAGAGTCATTATTCCGACAAACGTTTTGAATTCTGTTTCTCGAGATAAGGAGATGAAGAGAAGGCTGTTTACTTTGGAGGGCGGCATGGCACTAATGTAGTGTTTTGTTGACCTACCAAGACTCTTTTGACTGTGTAAATACAGACAGCAAATTATTATTTGTCCAATATTTCCCTAAAGCCTCAGGGCTTTCTCAGGGTAAATCACTGAAAAAACCAAACCATTTTCAGAAGTGACATTATAAATTAGCATGGCAGCATGAAGATATTCCACAAATATTGTTTTTTCTTCCAGCCTCTTGAGCCACAGTTTTGGTTCTTTTGGTCATTATTTATATGAGTTTTATTTATAGAGGAATAAAGCAGGAAAGACTGAGTCACAGTGAGGACAGTGGGGAGGATATTAAGAACTGTCAACATGGATTTCATAGACAATCCGAGGTTTTAGCTAAAGCTGTTGTTGTGTTTTCAAAGTTTGAGTTTTTGTCTTAGTTTCTTTATTATAACACGATATTTGACCTCAGCTCTTTAAGTTTAGTCTGAGTCATCCTCTGTGTGTCCTGTGACAGCTAGCTGTAAAAATACCAGTATTGTTCGAGGAGGCGCTGGCACAGCAAAACAAAACCCGTATCACGCAGACGCTGGAATCCATCCGTGTATTTATCATCGTATGACACTGACGCTCAACACATTAGTGAACCCGGTTTGACATGCAGAGTCTTTTCTCCCCCACTCTGCATGAAACCACCAGCCTAAAGGTCAAACAGATCCCACAATTTCACTGATGATGTTGGAGGTGACTCTAGTGTCATGGTTTTCCACAGTGAAACCAACTCCGATTGAAGTCCATGCGAGTCCAGGGACCAGAACGGAGCCTCCTTATGTTTAGTTTTAAAAAATCTGACACTCTCTGATTCTGTGAGTCTTTCTGGGAGACTATGATGGATGTAAGGAGATGTCTGGCTTAATTAAACCTCCAGTAAAGCCGGGTGGAGGAGCTCCCATTAAACAACTCCAGCCCTGTGTTGTACTTAATGAACCAAACAGTCAGAAGGTCATATGGCGGCCTCTCTTAACGCCACTAATCCCGTCACTCCGCTTCTATTCAACTGCCCAGACTGCCTTTTATACTGCTCATTTAATCCCCTCCATGGCAACAAGGGAAAGCATTTTTTTCCTTTTCCTTACCCCCCTCAACGACTTAGATATTCACAAAAATAATCAGTTGGTGTCCTACTTTCCTTTGGAGAGGATGTTTGTTGCTGGTCGTCTGTTTAACATCTGTGGACACTAAAACACAAAAAGCTGCTGCGCTCAGAAGGACGCTCCTCCAAACAAACAGCTCAGACAACCATCGCTTAAAAATAGATTTTAACAGCTGATTAAAAGCCGGCAGGGTGATGATTATCAGCGTTAAGTGACCTGAAACTGCCGTGTGGCAATAGTGCGTCAAACCTGCAGGACGAGCCGGTGTAGTTGCGGCAACAGTACACCTGTCTACTGGAGGAAGTTTTGACTAAAGCATCTGTCATCTACACCGAGACCTCCCCTCTAATTATCTCTGAACATCTCCTTACTCTCATGTAACATCAATACCTGCAACGTCTTATTGCTTTTTACAGCTTGCGGTCTCCTAACGCACCAGTCGACCTCTTTTTATTTGATTTGAAATGACCGCCTTCAAACGTTTCCGTCCGTGGCGCCTGCTAGGCCGCTTTCTGCGTCTCACATAATGATTTGTGACGAGTCTAGTCGGCTCTGTGACTGTCCCCCTCTCCCTGGTGAGCAAAAAAGCATTCACACATGTTTAAAATAGGGCAATTTCACTCTGTGGTCCAGTCTCAGGGATCTATGGGACCCCTGGGCCTTCTTTTTATGGCTCTCTGGACCTTTTGTGCGTTGACAAGAGCTCAACGGTTACAGTCGGAGAGGAAGAATGGGGTTTGTTTTGTGTGGTCTGTGTCTGAGTATGGTCCCAGGTTCTCCTGGACCCCCAGGAGACATGTCCAAATGTCAGCCTCATTATCAGGATCCAGTAAATGGGAAAGGTTATTCTGCATGATATCACTGTTGTCTCATTTTTAAATATATGTGAGCAGTGACTTTTTATGTCGTTATCTGAGGTCATAAATGAAAACTCCTCTTTCTCCATTACTCAAGTTAAAGTCAAAGTTGCAGCCATCATTCAACGTACAGATACAGATAGTGAACTCTCTGGGAGAAACCTTAAATCCCTGCAGTGTGATGCACCCAGAGAAAGACCAGAGCCTCCTCAAAAAATCTGTTTTTCTACTTTCTTCAAAGAGACTGCAGAGTTTCACATAAACAAGCTGCTGCATGCAACGGATCTTCTTTGAATACAGCCCCCTAGCTCTATGCTAAACACACACACACAGACACAGAGGCGCACGTACGTACACACATGGAGTCACAGAAAAGCCAACTCTCCTGTCTCCTGACCATTGATAACACCTGCTGCTTCAACAGTTGGTCTGCCTTTGACCTTAGTGGACGTTTACAGGCTGTTTTCTGACTGTTTCTCTCCCCTCGGATCATAAAATGTCCTTTCAGCTCTAAGCTACAAACTCAGTGTTCACGTCACAGCTGTCTTTTTTTAGTCTGCTCTCAGGTATTCGCTCTATCCTGCGGTGAGGTTTTTGCAGAAACAAACAAGCAGTAAAGAGTTAATCATTCAGGATCAGTTTTTCCTCCTGAAGTGACACAGTAGAAACACTAGAGTTATCTACAATTTTGCATTGACTCAGGCCAACAGTTGAGTTACAGCCGGCTGACTTCTGCTTCTGGCAGTCCATATCCAAATACACAGGCAGGGAGCGAGAGATAAGCAGTCGTTTGTTTATTTGATTAAACAGGAAACTTTTGTTACTGGACGCTACTATAAATAGGCTGCCAGTTTTGGCTCTGAAACGATGAGAAAAGAAAGAAGTGAACTTTGAGATGATGTGCAAATAAACTCCAACAAAGACTATTTTTGGTCCTTGGCCTTTAGAGTCTGTTGCTCTGCGCAGTAACTCAGAGCAAATGGAGCAGATTTGACATGAGCGTCAGCAAACCTCTTCACTTTTACAGTTTGGATTGAGATCACTCTTTAGTAATGTAGATACTTGGTGTGAAATATGCAGCGGACACTCCAAAAACATGAGCAGACATTTAGATAAGCATTGCTAACATGATAGTGGACATTAAAAGTGTCGTGTGTGAGGGTGTAATTAAAAATTATGCGGCACTTTATCACAGAGTATAAGAAACAAATGTCAGAGAGGTAATGGTCTCACACTCTCCTCGCAGTATGTGAATTAATCGTCTGTATTCAAGAACGTAAATTATATTTATTGCCGCTCTGTCTTAATCAATCATGTAAGAAAACACATTACAAATCCAAACATCATCAGCGTGTGTTTGCACAAAGCAACCTTCTGGAGGTTTCTCATTTACAACTGAAAGTTTCACTTAGAGTCACCAAAATGAATTCAGTAAATGCGTGACAGATGGGTTTGAATAGACTGAACATTTATCCTGATGCGTTCGGCTACAACAAATTATACACTGTGAAATCATAACAGATGTGTTTTAGTAACTTTGGCGCACTTCTACTTTTCTTGGCTTTTACTCCTCTGCAACTGTCAAAAAATTAAGATAGCATGATATCAGCTGCAGGATGGAGGAGATGATGACTTACTGTGGTGCGGTTGACCGGAGTTGCACCATCAAGTGTCCCTTTAGGTGTCAAAACAAACACAATAACCTCAGTTTGTCTAAGTAAGCAGGAAGTTGCTGATGATCCGGGTTCTCTTGTTTTGATTGGCAAGTTTCAAGTTGAGGAAACTTTATTGATATTTATCACTGAATATCATTTACACAACAGTGCTATTTTTTGAATGTTACCTGATAATATTAGGAGGCTCAAGTACAGAACTTTGTGGAACTCCAGCGATAACGGCATGAAAACATGGTTACAAAGATATTTATCCACTAACTCCCACAGGTGACGACAGAATCAGTGGAACAGCTAAGTTATCTTTTTTATAAAGGAGGCAAAGAAACAGATTCACAAAGAAAAATGGCAGCAACTGCTGTAAAACTGGCCTGAAGTGCACCAAGGACACAAATAGGGGTGTCCTGGTATGATATTGATATCGGATATTGGTCCGATATCAACAAAAAAATCAAATATTATATCAGCCTGCATCTAAAATCTCAGATATCAGCACTCCGATACAAGCAGTCCTAAGTACTAAGGTACTAACAAAGTACAGAGGAGTAGGAGTGATGTTGGCTGTGTGGCAGTATTTTTCGTTTAAGTCTGAAAAAGATGTTGCAGCTGATGAAAACTTATCATGCATGCAGGCTACAATATCAGTATCATATCGGAGGTAAATAAGTTGTATTGGGACACACTTAGATACAAACCAGGTCAGCTGACAGACGGACTCTGCTGCCAGAGCTCCTCTTGTCGTTTTGTCTGGTAATTGATCCAGCAGAGGAGTCTGTGAGGCTGATCCCCATCTGTCCGGATCATTACTGTGCCAAATGGAAAAGGTCTGGATTAAGGATTGAAGGTGTGCTATCTGTCTCCGGTCCACCTTTAAACCACCAGGTGTCTCTGGCTTGTGTGTAGTCCCAGTTTGACTTTTAATATTAAAGCTGTTAAAGTTTTGTTGTCAGCTCCTGTTTAGACTTTCTCCAGGTGTTTTGGACTCAGAGGAAACTGAACAGATGTGAAGAAAATCTGCTGTAGGACTAGTGATGTAGAAGTCTCCGTGCCTGATCGGTAATGTCCCAGTTTAGGCTGTTATATTTGTGCAAAATCAAATCATTCAGTCGTGTAAAAAGATGACGTTTAGAGAAGAGGGAATCTTCAGACGAGTTAAAGTGTAGTATGTTTTTCTGGAGAACAGCAGGTCTGAGCTGGATGGTACCAGCAGGACTTGTTCAGTCGCCGCAGTCTTTGACTTTACATTTTAATGTTAAGGTGTGGCTCTGTGAGTTTGGAAAAATAGCATACAGGGAGCAACATGCAGCTCTCTGCAGGTTTTGAAATGCTCTGGGTTTTGTGCCAACTTGCATGATAAAGTAAAGCAGTTGAAATAGAAGATACATCACATAAGAGAAACACGGGTCTTTGAAACAGGAAGTAAAATAGATGGAAGAGAGATAAAGACACATTAAAGCAAATTGTCAAAACAGTGTTTTTGGCCTTGGCCGTGGTGATTCCCTCAGGACAGAGCCATTTCCTGAGATCCAGTAGTAATTGTCCAGCGGATGTTGATGTTTGACTCTCCAGCCCACTGATGCTAACAGCTGATCTGTTCGGGTTTGTTTGGCCTTGTCTTAATCTCCATGTGGGCCTTTTAAAGCTCATGTTGTAGCGGTGGATAATTTGTTGGATTTTGGGAGTCAGCATGGCTGGCTCTCATGGATCTCTTAGTACAAACTGTTTGTGCCCCTGTGGCATGCCCCTTTCACCCTCTGGCTCTTACCTCATTAAGCCAAAAGAGACAGTCACGCAGAGCTCCACCGTGACCAGGGATGCCCCATATTTGGAGAAGATTCATTATGCTGTAGCTCCTGTTATGATCTGGTTCTGCTCTCAGGGCAAGGCTGAAGTACACGATCCAATACAGTTTCTCTTATCTCAGTTCTAGATTCAGGACTAGATCTTTGGCGTGTGAGTGGAAATAAAAATATACAATGATAGAAACTCTGGACGGTGTCCTCCTTTGGTTGTTTATTGTGTTTCTCTGCAGCTTATGTCATCTCCAGTGCCTCTACAGCACCATTTACTGCTCCAGCTTTACAATTACCCCCAATTTCCACCGCATCTGGAACGGCTACGAAAGGGCCGTGTCCACCGATCGTAGCTGATCATAACCATTCAAGTTAACGTGTCAATTTCCACCGGCTTCTTTCCATTCTGCTGCAGATTGCCAGATTCCGCAGCTGATCGCAAGAGTTTTATTTTCTCCGGACGCCCGAGCATGCTGGGTAACTTCCGGACAGATTAACCCGTGCTGGAAAGGAAGTCGGGCACAGACACAAAATAAAACATCCAGGTTCTTTTCAAAATAAAACACTATGTATTTCAGGAGGATTGTATTTCACACCCTGCAAACTGGCGGCGACGAACAAGTGAAAGGTTTAAAGACTTCATTTCATCCCAATGACACCATAGATGAGGAGATGCTGATTTTAGAAGTCTAGAAGTAGATTTCCTCCTCTGGAAGGACACAATCTACTGTTAATATGGTTAGCCTATGTGGCTAAAGACAACTTGTTACTGCGCGTAAATCCGCGGGTTCTTGTAAGTTCTTGTGATTCCTGCGAGAATCCGCCACGGAATTCCCTTCAAAAACGGATCTGGTAGGAATTGGCGTACCGCGAAAAATTGCTGTTGTGCCGGATTGGGTGGAAATCCCAGGTTAGGGCTGTCCCAATAAGATATTGATATCGGATCGGTCCGATATCAGCCAAAAAACAAATGTTGGATTTTGTCGGTCTGCATCCAATAAATCCGATATCAACACTCCAATACAAGCAGTCCATTCTAGACTCCACTTCAGCACCTCTGGGTAGCATCACCCGGATCTAGCATGCAAAGCCCATGTGATCACAACAACTGTGTGTAGTGTACTAAGATACCAACAAAGTACCAAGGAGTAAGAGTGACGTCGGCCATGTGGAAGTATTTTTCATTAAAGTCTGAAAAAGACGTTGCAGCTGAGTGCAAAGCTTGTCATGCTCAAGTTTGTGCCAATATCGGATCAACATCGGTATTGGCCGATACTAAAGGCTACAATATCGGTATCGTATCAGAGTTAAAAAAAATTGTATTGGGACACCCGTATCTACAATGTACCCAAAGAGGCTCAATGTTCTTTCTCATGTTGTTGTTGTCTGACATAAAACCCTCGTCACAAAACCACCTCTCAAATGTGGGGCAGGGTAGTCCTGTCCAGGCTGTAACTGACCTGGATCCCTCTTTGTGAACTGACCTGCAGCTCAGGGATGAATCTATTCACTCTAACATGATGGATTGTTTGAAACCAGACAGCCGAAATGGGCCAGAATGTCTCATGGAGGTGGTGGATCAAGCCTCGGTGAAATATGCCTCTCTGCCTGTGAGTAACTATAGAGTTAGTACGTATGCAACCATGCTGCAAATTCTCAACCCCTTTGAGGTCCTTCACGGAGCTGAAAAGTCCTTATTTAAGCGAGATGTGAACATTTACCATGTATGCACAATCGTGTTTGCACTGGTGAGTCCAGCAGCATGTGGAGTCCGCCGCACTAATGTAAGACTTAATGTGATGAGCATAAGCCTGCAACAACGCGTGTGAGCTCAGGTCTGACTGCGGCGCATTTTCACGGTCCTATAGGAGATTGTTGATGCCGGTACCCCCCCCCACTCGGACCCTCATGCATTCCTCAAAGGGCTCGTTCTTTATGCCTGCTACCTCAAGTGTAAAGAGGACACTGTTTCCCCGGGTGTGCTGTGGGCCTCTGTCCTCCTACCATCCTCTAATAAATAAAAGGTTAAGTCTCCCACATGTGTAGGCCAGCTGACAACAAGAGCAGACATCCTCCCTGAGTCGAGTATTTCATAGGTACTCCCTCTTTTATGTCACCCCGGACAATACGGCTCAGTGTTCGCCGCTGTTACGATGAGTTGAACTTGGATCTGGTTTGTCTCTTTGTTAATTTTTCAGCCGAGAGGTGACTGAAACTCCCTCTTTTAAAAGAACAAGGAGTCCTATGCCTCTCAGGGCTCTCATGTATCCTGATTATATTTCCATTTTTTCTGTACACCTGTATGTGTGTGTGTGTACTGTCATCCTGAGGCATTTGCGCAATGATTTACTCGCTTCCACCTGATTTAGATGAGTTTTTCCCTTAAGTGTGGCGATAAAGAGACAAAAATATTTCCGAACTTTCTCACCCTTTTGCTCTTTCTTTGTGTTTATTTGTGTCTGCCTCAATGACTGTACGCAGTCCAGTTTCTTTGGTGGCAGCTGGTAATCCACTTCAGCTTTTCTACCGGGAGTGTCCCGTCTGACCTTATAAGGACAAACTCACTTGTGGGCTCAACACAAGTGAGTTTAAAGCACTGATCCGATCTGCTGCCTGGCTGCTCTCTAACCTTGGCGAGCTCTGGAAATTATTACTGTAGTCCTCATTACATGCACAAACACACAGAGCCCCCCCTCCTCTAACTCTACACACGTGGGCTCGCGCTCAAACACACACAGTTCTTTAAGAAAGCATACATAGGGATGCTTTGTTTAGGGAGTTAGTGCAGCACATGGTTCACACAATAAAAAGTGTAAGTAGAAAAACAGCCGAGTTCATGCTCACCCACTGAGAGTCAGAAGGTCAGGACTCACCCTGAGGGGTCAGCGTGCTCCCAGACGGGGCAGGGTGGGTGTGTGATGGAGGAAGAGTAAAGGTAGATGTCATCTACACACAAATCTGACCTAAACTTTGACCTAAACTGAAAATTTACCAATACAGAAATTTACGAAATTTCTTGCATCATAACCACCGTTACGTTAGTTTTTGTTTTGCTGGACTTTTGGTGTCCTTAAACTCATCAGGCTGACTCAGTCTGACTAATTTCATCAGCATTTCACCAAATTTCTGCTCTCTAATGTGGTGTCTTAGAGTCTGTGTACTTCTTCAGTGCTTTAGTTTCTGTGCTGCTACTTAAATGCATGTGGGAATAAGTGAAGGACTCCTAAGCACCTTTTATAAAGATTAAAGAACGGCACCTACTGTGTTTTCAGTTTGTTATTCCGTTTAGGGCTGGGCGATAAACCGAAAATTTACCAATACCGAAGTTTATGAGAATAGCCAACGTCATTTTGCCCATGTGAACATGTATGTAGGTAGGCTATGGTCTCATTTCCCTGTAAGACACTGTCCTACATCGGAGACGTAACAAAGAAAGAAAGACAGGTGAGGAGATGGAGGACGGTTTGAAAGTTTTAGCGGCTGAAGTAGACGAAGTTAATGTGGGAGGGGGTGAGCAGCTTGTGGAGTAGATATCGTCCATTTATCGTTATCAAGGTGAACTGATCAATATATATTAGGTAGACCATATTCTGGCTTCCCAAAAAGAGGACACAACTACGCGGGGGTGGAGTCACGGAGTCGCACAAAGTTAATTTTGAGAGTTTTTCGGGTTGGATCAATTGTCTTTTATGCACTTCTAACCTATTAAGTCTATGTGACACAAACTCCAAACTTCCGTACAAAACTGCGGACATTTAAAGGACTGTATAAAGTTCCCCAGACAAAGCTGGACAAGGTTGTAGACGAAGTTAATGTGGGAGGGGGTGAGCAGCTTGTGGAGTAGTTATTGTCCATTTATCGTTATCAAGGTTTATTGATTTGAGGCCATATCGCCCAGCCCTACATTGATGACATAGATAACTGTGGCACACAAGCCTGTTTAGCATTTAAGAAACACTCCAGCATATATCAGAGAGTCTCTGTGGGTGAACCAGGAAAAAAATCAATGTATCCCAGCAATTCTGGATTATTTTCAAACACTGTGTCCTCTTCACATTGTGCAGTTTTAACCTTCAACTTTTTTAAAATGTGTCCCTGGCAAATATTAAAAAAAGCCCACACTTCAGAATTCTATAAAATCCTTCAGTTTCAACATTTGTAACGTCTTCGCAAACTATAGTTTTAACTCCTCAATATATTGTGATAATGATTTGAGGCCATATCGCCCAGCCCTACCACAGACACACAACACACCCGAAGAGACACACAGATAGTTTGCTTAAAATATTGTGATAGAATGATGTTTTGGCATTGACATTTAAATAAGATGATATCCTGCAGCTTCTGAAAGAGCAAAAGAATCCCGAAGGTTTGAGTAATAGAATTTAAATGTCAATACTATAGATGTTTGACTGGCAGAAATAGAGAAAAGATCAGAATTCACACAGATCTGAGCTTGTTGGGTATTTGCTCTCTCTTTGCAGCAGAGTGGTCTGACTCTTTTCACTTTCCACAGATTTTAATCCCGCTTTAGTGCTGCGCCCACAGGTAGCCGTCTCAGCGTGTGCGTTAAGCTCAGCTGCAGACTTTAATAGCAGCTCAGTGTATTTTTACCACCTGAGTGACCTTGAGTCGTTGCTGTCTTCGACCGCTTCTGTGTCTGTTTCCACGCGCCGCTCGATAAATCAAACCGACCTCGTGAACTTTTGGAAACACAGACCTTAAATTTGTTTCGTTCATGTGCAGCAGATGAGCTCACAGGGTGTTCCTGTCCTCAGGAGTGTGTCGCCAGCTGGTTGGGATTACAGCTAAACCATGAACTCTCTCTAATTGGCCGTGATTGATTGAGCTGCTTCAGTGGGATCTATCGGGATAGGTTTGTGGTTTTTGACTCCATAGAAAGCCGGCTCTCTCTGCAGGAAGTGACTCAAAGCAGTCGTCAGTACAGAGCGAGCCTTAACAAGCCTGTTTGTAATACATTCAAACAGTTCCTGTATGTTTTCTCCGTCCCGCAGCGTGATCCCTGATGAATACGGGAATTAAACTGTTTTTTTATGAGCAGCTGAATATAAAAACACGGATCCGGAGGCAGCTGGCCTACTTTCTACAGGCTTTTCTCTTCTGTCTTCACCTTTCAGACTCCTCCATCTGAGTCAGGTGGCTGCTGCTGTCACACCTGTAGGCCTCAGTTAGTACAGGTCCTCCTGACATCAGCATGACAACCCCCTCTGCGATTAAAGGTGCTGACAGCTCAGTGATGTCTCGGCCACGCCATCATTTCTGTAAAACATATTTGTGTTTGTTGTGTGAGTTATTCTGACTCACTCGTCTGTTAACACTGTGTGAGAGCCTTCTGTCTGTCCGTCCATCTGTCTGTCTGGGTTTAACGGCTGCTCTCTGGGTCACGGCGTTGTTGTTTGGAGACAGAGTGACGGTTGGTAACCACGAGGTCTGGGACACGGTCAGAAAAATGCCTTTGAGACTGAATGGTAAAAGGTGCTGTCACTTTTTTTCACGCTGACTGTGGTGGACGCTACACCAGCGTGTGTTTCCGTCCATGGTGCTTCAACGGTTGGTCTGTTTTCTTTGGCAGGCGCCCAAGTTAAAGGTGTGTTTTATTTGCTCGAGTTACGCCCACTCATTAACTTCCTGTGCTGGGAAGTTATTGGTCAAGGCCATTTTTTATTTCCCTTTTTAAAATACGTAAAAGGAAAAGTCTGTTAGAGCTGCTTTTCTGGTGCCAACCGGATCAGCCGTTTGAATTGAATGTTTACATGTTGCAACCAATCCACACGCAGCCATCTGTGACCTGATTGGCTGGTTTGAATCTTTGTTTGAGAGCAGGTTAAAGTCAAAAGGTGCTGATGTCCACATGAAGGGTTTGTTTTACCGCGCTTGTATTCAGAGAGATTAGCAGAACTGATTCAGACAGTCCTGCGGCTCGTCACATGCTCTCTGTTTGGTAGTTGTCCTTCGGCTTCTTTTCCTCTGATGTGGTTTTGGTTCATTTTAAACCGGTATGCTCAGAACGCAGGCCAAACAATCTGTTTCAAAATGCAAAGTTGAATTTAACTGTTTCTGAGAAGAGGCCCCGGGCTCGAGGCTCTTCTGTTATATCTCAATAATGACTACAAATAAATCAGTCAGTGCTACAAACTTGGCAGGGAAACGGCTGTATAATCAGATCGTGACATGCATTCAGCAAAAAGCTTGACAGTGTGGTTACAGACAGCAGTGTTTGGTTGATGTGTGTGTGAGCAGAGACGGTGGACAATGGTAGAAGTGAGCATGTGTGTCGTCATGATTTCCTTCCTCCACAATCAGAAATGTTTTTGTTAGTGTTCCTGGTCATTGAATCATCTCACTGCTGGGTTGGAACTGAACCCAGATCCTGATTTGCTCATTTCACTACCATCTCTTTTCCTTGTGAGTCAGCAGGAATGTGAGGAATGACCCGTACGAGGTCTGGTCCTTTCCCACCCTGCACTCATCTGCCCATTTTTAGGCATACACAAACCCCGTCTCTTCTTTCACTTTTCTCTTTTTCACCATGTCATCCTTTCTCCCTGATAACCGCTTTTCCTTTCTTCCTTTTATTCTTTACCTCCTTCGTCTCCTTTTCACCGAGCGCTCTCTCTAAGCTCACCCATTATTTTTCAGTCAGCTCAGCACTTAAATTTCCACAAATTACAGTATATAGGAGAGCCCCTCTGAGCTCGTGCAGCGCGGGCTGAATATTTTGTAAAACCACAGCGAGACCTCAAAACCGCTGCCCCCCTTCATCTCTTGTGAGAAACCCCCTCCTCTTCCTCGTCATCCTCCTCTGGGCCCAGCAGGGGGGGCACATCAACCCTCTCTCGGCCCATCAGGGTGCGAGGCTTAGCTTAACAACCTCATCCTGCGTCTTTTTAGAAGAGAGCAGTTGGCGTGCAAAGGTTTGTGTTTCGACTCTGCAGGTTTTAACCGGTGCAGCGGGGAACCTTTAAGTGTGTGTTTGTGCGTGAAGTGTATCCAGAAATCCTGAGCCAGATGAGCCGCTCATCTCTGCATGTGTTGACAGGTTCTTGCTGCCGACCAAAAGAGAGATCTGTCTCCTATTTGGCAGGAGAGGGCTCCCCCCTACTCACCCTACCCACCCTCGCTCACGGCTGTCACTGACATGAAAGCGTCCGCTCTCTGTCTGCCGCCACGTGTTCAAAACACACACATCCACACACACCTTATTACTCCTCCTTTGCTTGAATAAATAAACCCTTGAACTAATAGTCACTCAGAGCAGTGAAATGGCTCACTGAGTGTTGTTAAGTGAGCCTTTTCAACATCTGAGTCTCTGGGGCCTCCTGCAGCCTGGCTTCTGTTCAGCCAACATAAATTACAGCCAGAGAAGAAGACACCTGACTGGTACGTCCACCTTTCTTCTGTCTTACAAGCATCAGCTGTTAAGCGTGCCTGTTTCTCCTCCTCTGAACTGCACTCAGGTGCTCCCGTCTGTTCACATTAGTGAAGTCAGCTCACCTGTCATCACTAATCCATAAGCTCTTCATCTGCCCTGCTGACCCTCTGACTGCCTGCCACACATTCAGATCCAAGCCAGGGCTGGTTAGTTTAATACTGTCTGGACGTCATTCGCCTGATGTTACTTCAGGTATCGGCTCCAGCAGTCCTCTGGGAGTCAATCAGAGACTGTATCTACTATTCTTTTATATATACAGTCTATGGATTCAATTGAATGCTCACAACAGCCATGTTACATGTGCAAATTTCTTGATCAGATTGAAGATTTGAGGGATCGGATAATCTGAATCCACTGTTGAAGCATTCAGACATGCACAGAGTTTTCTATCTTCGCTAAAACAACCACAGAAGAAGAAGAGTTGTATCTTCGCCTGTGCTGTAAACAAACCAACAAACGTGATAGTGGCTCACTCCATGCAATTCAGGAGTTTTCCCTCTGTTAAATGTTGTCACTAGATGGCGCCCTTGCGTACTTATTTTACTGTTCTGTCAAAGGTTGCTCTGTGCGTGCAGATGTGACGTCATTACGCTGTTTGTACGCCTTGTTATGTTACCAGGAGGAGCTGACACGGTACCTGCGTAGGATCAGCATAAACCACCCGTCTCGATCGAAACACGATTTCTTTCTGATTGAGCCGAATTGGATCAGAATCTTCACATTTTTATTCCAATCCGGCACTTATTCCCAGAGCTGGCCCAAGCCTCAATGGGGCCCTAAGCAAAATTAGATTTTGGGGTCCTCTATTTCTGCAAATAATATTGATTGTTGATCATTTACACACCATCACAAATCTCTTTGATTAACATACCATGACAGGCATACATACCTTTATCTTGGCGTTTTCTCTCTTCTTCCTCTTTCTTCATCTTTCTTTTTTCTGCTCCTAAAAGATATGTCCTTTTTTTCGACATTGTTTTGCCCCACAACTTCCTGCGCTTTGGATGCTCAGTGCACACCGCACAGCAGTAGGCACAAAACGGTAGCGGGGCTTTGACATATCTGCAGTAAGAGTTATATACTAAAATGTTTTTACTTTATTTTATTTTGTTTTTCCAATAGTATATATTTGATCATACAGACAGCATCACTCATACGTGCAAAAAATAAAAATTATCTTATTTTTTTTTTTTTGTTTGATTGCTCTTGGGGTCCCCCTATTGGTCGCAGGGCCCCTAGCAGGTGCTTAGTTCGTTATGCCTTGGGCGGCTCTGTTTATTCCGATTCTTTGTGCCCATGTAAACGCAGCTATGACAGGAACATGCATGTCAAGCCTGCTGGTGGTGCTAGAGTAAATCAGGGATGAGCTTTTAGGAATAATCCTACAAGAAATTAAAGTTTTACAGAGTTTGAGGAAACAGTTTTCATGTGGCGATTACAGCAGCAGCTCGTTTGAGGACTTCTGCTTTTGTATCAGAGGTCACACTGGCTCAGAGTCTACTCCGTCTTATAAACAAGTGCATTATTGTCCTGGTTTGACAGGGATAATTACAGAGACTGCAGAAGAGACTGACAGAAGTTTGAGCCGCAGATGTACGCTGTGTGCCTTGTACTTCTGCTCCTTCACCGCCCTGTACTTAAACTGAGAACAAACCAGTGACCTTGAGCTGTAGTAAGAGATTTTATTAAACTGTGGCCTCTCACCCCAACGTGTTTCTGAGGTTTACTCTGACTGTATACTTTAAACACGTCTTTATTTTTATTTCTCTGTATTGTATATGCAGCTGGATGGAACCGTTGACCTGGACGAGAGACGCCTCATCCGTTCAGCCATCCGGGATTTACGGAGGAGGGAGATTGAGGACATGGAAGCTGCTCTGGCCAGCAAGAGGTTTCGTCCTACGCGCCTCAAACAGCAGGAGGACAAGGAGAACCACCACAGGTAAGACCACACACACACACACACACACACACACGTGCAAACACACACACAGACACCTGTCCTTTATGGCAACCTGCACCAGAGCGGTTAAAGTGGAGACAGTCACTAATCCAGATGCAGCGTTCCTGAACTCTAGAGGGAAAATAGAGGAGACATCTGGAAAAGTGGAGTCTGGAAATGATGGGTGACAGAAAACTGCAGCAACGGTGAATGTTAAAGTTTCCATTGTGTGAGCACATCCCGCAATGATGCCTGTCGCTATTGAGAGTTTCTCCGTATGACATCGAATTACCCCGCTGTCAGCACTTATGAGAAGTCACATTTCTGAGATCATATGTTTGTCTTTCTTCTCCTTTTCGGAGCTGCTTCTGGGTTTTTCCAGTCCAGTGATCTTTCAGCTCCTGTCTGTCTGTCTGTCAGCTGTGAAATCTGAAGTGAATAAATCAAATGTTACTTTTTACTTTTGTTCGACATGATCAAATGAAGAAGAAACAGGACAAAAAAACAGATCTTTGATGGTTGAAGGTTTTAAAACTCACTGATAATGTCGTGAACCTCAGCAGATCAAATATTAAACATTATCTCATATGAAGCAAACCTACAACCTCGCGCTCTCTTTCTTTTTCACCGTTTGTGTTCAGGCCTAATGATTTCCATCCACTGAAGCTCTCAGACGACTTAGGTTACAATAACAAAGAAGGTGCCTCACTGAACTTGCTAAAGAAGCATACCTACTGCAGAAAATACACCCACGTGCCTCGAAACGCGAGCGCACACACACTCACGGGAACAGTCTGAAAGTTGCATTATCCACAGAGTGCCTCTGTGTGGAATGTGAAATATTCCACTCAGATGTGTGCCACACATCCTTTAATACCGACGAGTGGAGAAAAGCAGAGATAATGAGAGAGAAGTATGAGCAATAGAAACCGACATAAAAGCCTGCAGTGAAATGGAGAAAATGAGGCGATAAAGACGGAGGATGAGAGCGGACCTTTAAAGACGCTCTGTGTGTCAAATCTGTTCCAGCTGACTCTCACTTTCTCTGCTCTATTTGATTGTCTTTAATCTGATGAATTTTCTCCCTGCCAAGTTTATTGTTTTAGGATATCCTACACCCTGACTTCTCTCTCTACTCTCTACTCTCTCAGGTCAGAATCCAGCGATAACTTGGACGTACTGTCCCGAAAACTGCAGTCGATTCAGGACATTGATGAGCTCACAAAAATGGTAACTATCGAATTTAAAAATGACACAATATTATGACTGAGTACGCTCAGATCTGAAGTCTCTGAAACTTTGAATGTTTGCTCTCAGCTCCGTGCAGCCAGTGAGTACGAAGAGAGGAAGATGATCAGAGCAGCCATCCGACAGATCAGGGATGAACCGCAGCAAGGTGAGTCCAGCTTTATGGTACACTGGGGGAGGCATGCTGAGTCTGTGTGGATTAGATATATTGATTGATTGATCGATTAAATTTGATTCTTGAATATGCAAACCAAAAATATAAAGATTAAAACAAGAAAGGTAGGCAAACCATTTAAACATAAATCATAGAAATACATATTTGAAAAGGTGTGAGAAGAAGAATAACTTATGGACTCCCACACCTTCCCCTCCACATCAAGCTTCCCTGCAACTTGTTTAGATGTGCCTGATAATTATAGATAAATAAAGTACATTCATGACTTTGTATTTCAAAACAAAATCTACATCCACTTCATACAGCACACACATAAAAACAACAAAACAAAATAAAACAAGAAAGAAATAATAACCTCATAACATTTAGTGCTACCAAACACATTCCCTCATCCCTGTACCTCTTAAAAATAGTGTCTTTAGTTCTCATTTTAAACATTTTAAACTCAAAGTGTGTAAACATGTTTGAGCATTACTTTAACTCCATGGAAAACCTGTTCCATAGTCTCTACTTGTATTTTACAGGTTTAGATTGGATTACAGAAAAAATATTGAATAGATGTTTCGGTTTTCACTGTTTTTTGGCAGCTGAAACAATAAAAATTAAGACGTAACTGATGAAACACAACAGAAAACTAGCATTTCACATCTATTAGTCTTTTCAAGTGCTGAGAAGTGGGCGATTAAGCTAATCTTAACCCGATTAAAACCCAAACTTGAAATATAATCTTACACTTCACACACAAATGCTGCTAAATATCCAAAATTTAAAACTTGTTAAATATATCTGGAGCAAATTGCACGTCAAATTCTGATTTCTTGTTAAGTCTGAAAGGAGCTGAGGTGTAAAACGGTGTAATAATCTCGTGTGCATGCGTAGCTAATGTCGTTGAGGTTGCAGGTAGTCTGTCAGATCTATAATGCTGGATCAGAGAGTAGATTCCTGTCATTCTTTAGTGCCGTCTGGTCTGTGTGAGGCCCCTGTCACTCTGAAACACTATGATACACCCAGACTGGACAACTTCCTCCCTTGAGGACACCTCTAATCATGTTATTTGTTATCACCTAAGCCTTGTTTGCTCTTCTCATCCCCTGAAGCCGGACTCTGAGGAGGAAACTGTGTGCCCGTCTTCTTTTTCGCTTTTGCTACATCTGTTTTTGTGTGTTTTCAGGGTCCTTGGAGTGCGGAAAAACTCCTGTTTGTTGCAAAGAGTCTGAGACGGTGGAGCCCCAGAGCAGCATTGGTACCGGGGTGAGTAATATCACAATCTGAAGTCCACTAGTCTGGACTCGACAAACCTAAACTCGACTCCTAAGCCTTGTTCACGGTGGCTTTCATTTGCAAAAAAAAACTGAAGTCAGCACAAACTAATTAGCGTCTGCTGAGCTTGTTTGCATGGCAACAGTAACCGCTGAGATTTCTCTGCTGCCGCAAAGAAGAATGCAGCAAACAAGAGGCATTGTGTCTTGAGTCACACACTGTGTCATGAATGTAACCACGGAGCGCACACAAAACATATGCTTTGTCTGCCACGGAGCCAGGAATGTGTTTTTGTTTTTTACATCCATATTCAGGTCTGGCTGAGTGTGAGCAGAACGATAAAATGTACTTTAAACCTGGTGTTTAAAGAAGGCTGGGACGTCTTCCTGACAGGAGACGAGCTTTACGCCGCCGTAAGCAGCTTCTCACACCTCGAGCCAAAAGACTCACAGAGCCTCAGAGGACCTAAGACATTTAATCGAATTGATCTAACCTGATTAGCATAAATACTTTGACGCTGTTAACGCATCAGAAATACATCACTCACCTCTCAGATGCCTCTCTCATTTAATCGGCCCTCTAGTGGACGATAACATCTGAGTTTCCTGAGCTGAACTAAATTTTTATCTCTGTCAGCCAATCAGATTGAATTATACGGTTGCTGCAGCTAACGTGATGTGAAAACATGAGGTTTGACTGTCTGAGGGACTCTGCCAGGGGGGGCAGATTTAATCTAATCTGCTGTGTTTGATCAGAGGCTTCTGATGAATGCTTGCTTTCTAGTGGTTGAAATCTCTGTCTGTGGAGGAAAATACTGGTAAATTTGAAGTGCATGTGGTCTCTGTTGTTGCGGATGCTTGAACGTTTGATTGATGGGTATGTAGGGACAGATAGAGCGCTTTATCTGCACTTTAAAGGGATATTCTGGTGTAAAATTAAGTTAGGGTCAAACACACCGAAACACCAAGATAGACACCCATCGAGAGATGAATGTTGGAGACCGCTTGCTTCTCTAGTTTTACTAACTTTAGTAATGACCGCACATAGCAATACAGAGAGCCACGCGCTCAACCAAAACACCACTCTATAGCCACAAATAATGCTCAGAACAGCACCTAACTTCATCAACAGAACATATAGGGTCACAGTCATAGTACTAGACACCAAACATCTTTTTAACTTTGACTAATTTCTTTGGCAAAGAGACTAAACACAACTCACCTACTCTCTTCCAGCAGCCGTTTGTTTAGAGGGAGATCTTGGGCGAGTCCACTGACTACAGCGGAGTTTCGCAGCTCAAAAAAGAACATTTAAGATCATTTCTTTATCATTCCCTTGAAGTAATAATCAATATATTAATCATTTTGCACTGCAGACACGGTAGTTCTTCTGCCTCAGTGTCTGACTGCATTTCAATGAGGAAATGATCATAAATGTTCTTCCTTGAGCTGCGTCACCCCGCAGCAGTCGATGGACTCACCCGGAGGTCTTCGTACAAACAAGTGGCTGCTAGAAGAGAGTAGGTGAGTTGTGTTTAGTCTCTTTGCTAAAGAAATTAGTCAAAGTTAAAAAGATGTTTGGTGGCTAGTAATATGGCAAGGACCCTATATGTCCTGTTGATGAAGTTAGGTGCTGTTCTGAGCATTATTTGTGGCTATAGAGTGGCGTTTTGGTTGAGCGCGTGGCTCTCTGTATTGCTATCTGCAGGTTACTAAAGTTGGTAAAACAAGAGAAGCAAACGGTCTCCAACATTCATCTCTCTCTGAGGTGTCTAACTCTGTGTTACGTGTGTTTGACCCTAACTTAATTTTTTGCTGGAATATCCCTTTAAAGGAAAATACAATTAGCAGCATAATAAGGCGTCTGGTGGTTCTGATTTGTCCTCCTCAGAATAACCCGTGAGTGTGTGCGTGTGTGAGTTCATTGTCCTCCTGAAGGAAGTGATGATATCACGTTGTCGTCACAGGATGCACTCGCATTCAGACCCTCTTTACGTCACTTCCTGTAAGACAGCTGAGTTGTACATTGGTGGTGTTTGGAGCTACAGGTGGTGTGATGGATGAGCTGAGATTGGAAGGAGGTCTGGATGAGATAGGAGACAGGGGGCAAGGTTCTGAGTGGGGGGGTTGTTCGAACAGACAGAGCGGCAGCCCACCAGCTGTGCCCCAGCAGTGATGTCTGCGCTGAGTTTGGATTGTGGCCAAAAACAACATCATCCTGCAGCAGCAGCAGGACTCCTTCCACTCACATCACAGCGGCGGATCTCTTTGAGCTCTGGGCGATTGTCCCGTGGCAGATGCAGGTCTCAGATAGTCCCCCACAGCAGCCAAAAACACACTTACGCACAATATTTGTATACGGCGAGCGAGTTGAGACTGGTGGTCGAGTGATGTTACTTTTTCAGTATCTGATGCTGAAAAGAAAACAGATTAGCTGATGGCTGACATCACATTTTTGCTGTTTTTCTTTTCCTGTTGTTGAGCAAGACTAAAAAAATGAGAATTCAAAATTAAGTGAATATTTCTTCATGTAGATTTTTAGGAAACAATATTTAGCCCAGTTAAATGAATTAATTAAACTTATGCAACTTACGTAATTTATGTAAAAAGTTTTTAGAAAGCTTTTCATCACTGTGGCTACGACGGAGGATTAAGGCCACATTGAGAAAAAAAATCGGAGACTTCGAGAAAATTACAACTTTGAGATTAAAGTCATTAATTTACGATAATAAGTCATTACTTATGAGAATAAACATATGAGAAAAAAGTCTTAATAAAGTAATAACTTATGGGAATAAAGTCGTAATAAAGAAATTACTTACAAGAATAAAGTCGTAGTTAAGTAATCACTTACGAGTATAAAGTCATAATAAAGTAATTACTTGGGGGATTAAGTCGTAATCAACTACTTCTACTACTATACTTTTGATAATGTGGTGCTGATGTGCCAAAAGATTTAGTATCTCCTTGTTTGAGAAACATTGAAGTACATTTTCACGAAAGCCAACATTTCAACAACTGTCATCGTAAACAACAGGTTAGAATATGAGGATTTTATTCTTGTAAGTCATGATTTTATTCTTGTGAGTTAATGACTTTAATCTCGAAGTTTTATTTTGTTTTTTCTTAGTGTGGCCCTAATACTCTGTCGTACTGTGGCAGGTTAACATTCGGAGGACGTTAATAAAGAGTAAAATGTTTCTTTGTGTGCGCTTTATTGAAACCATACTTTAACAAGTTAAAAAACTTAAATATAGGCCAAAAAGAAACAGAATAAAACAGGAGAAAAGGTCTTTTTTTAATCATTAAAGGTCAGACACGTGTAAATGAACAAAGAGGCTTTACTGTAACACATCGTCTGTTTTCAGAAGAAGTTCTGTTAATGAGAAAAAGAGGTCAAAACAAAGACAGTGTGTGTCTGAAGTTAATGTGTCAACCAGGCAACCCTTTAACCTGGAAGAAACGTGTGTGTGTGTGTGTGTGTGTGTGTGTGTGTGTGTGTGTGTGTGTGTGTGTGTGTGTGTGTGTGTGTGTGTGTGTGTGTGTGTGTGTGTGTGTGTGTGTGTGTGTGTGTGTGGTGGGGGTCAGATCCCTGTTGAGACAGAATGGGAGGGAGGGGAAGTCAAGGGAGTGGCTTGTGTGTAGTGTGTGTGAGTGTGTTGTTGATGGTGGTGGCGGCGTGCGTGTTTGTGTGAGTGTGTGTAATGTGGCTGAGGGAGTAGAGCAGCAGAGTAGCGGACGTCCTGACTCCAAGAGGGTGACTTCTGAGAGAAAGAGAGAGAGAGAAGGAGAAGGAGGGAGTCAGTCTGCTCAGAAGGTAAATGTCACTCTGAGTGATTCTCTGCTGCTGTGTGTCACGGCTCCTCTCTCAGTGTCTTTGCTTTGATTTTTGAAGAATGGGACGTGTCTGCCTCTCTGACTTCTTCTCAGGTTTGTGACCTTAATGCTTCATTTGTCTTCTTTTTAGTGGACAGTTTAACTCTTTGACAGATGACACTCATTAATAAAATACTATAAGTTTACCTCTTTAGGATTATAAAAGACAAATGTAAAGATTTAGAAATGTTGTTTTGATTGATTCATTATTTTTGTTTTCTGTGGTTAGAAATCAAGGTGTGTTGTGAGAGTTCAGGTAGGCTGTTTGGTTGTTTGCTCTCTGATCCCTTTTCCCAAGATGACAGCAGAAGAAAGAGCGGCTTTGTCGTCTCAAAGCCACTCTCTTATATGTTTGTATCTACAGAGTTTCGATGAAAGCGCCTGGAGGAAAAAAGAGAGCTTAGGTTGGCATGCGATGATGTGCTGCGAGTAAAGAAAATGGAAATACGGCTCAGAGTTTTTGCGGGTTCTCCTCACTCCAGACTGACCGTGAGTGAGATGACTGCTGCTTCATCCAGCTCCTGTATTTCAGAGTCTGGAGGTGAGCCGAGTGTGTGGTTGCTCAGGCTGCAGTAATGGAAAAAGAGCTGTCAGGTTTCTCCTCTCGGCCACGTGGAGGCACGGGAAACCCTTAAATGATCTGACATTAGTGCAGCAGTGTGTTGATGGATTTAACTTGAATGGAAAACTGAAGCTTTTAAAGTCAGAGTGATGATCCGAGCAGAAGGTGTGTGCCTCAGCATTGTTGTTGTTATTTTTTGTGGACTTGAGGGTTTCGGTGGAATCCAGATGGCCCACGCCTCGCTGTGGTCACGGCTGAGGACAGTTGTTTTGTGTTTTTGTGCAGTTACACAAACTAAGGGCTCCTGAGGCCAGATGAGTGGGACGGTGTCAGTGTCGGTTCTACTCTGTCAGGTCTGGACTGTTTGGGGAAGCCGCTAATGACATGGAGCTCGGTCGTTGGCAGCAGGTCCTGCAGCTCCTGCAGCTCTGCTCAGCGTCTCCACTTCTGCTCTATCTTCTCTTTTTCCCTCTTGGGTTTCAGCGTCTGTGAGAAATACGTTCCTTGTGGTTTGGTGGGAGCTGTGAAATGACGGCTGTCTGTCTGAGTCCTCTGCAGAGGAGGGGTGGGTGAGAAGAGGCTCGTTCTCTCTAATTGTGTTTACAGCTCAAACACAATTATACCCCCCTGTGACTCTTTGATGGAGAGACTCCACTCTGGAGGAGCCGGCCTTTTGTGAGACTCTTGCATCATTACCGCCGTTCCTTTAGTCTTTTGTTTTGCTTGACTTTCGGTGTCTTTAAACTCATCAGGCTCTGTAATGACTCATTTCATCAGCATTTCACCGGATTTCTGCTCTCCAGTGTGGTGTCCCAGAGTTTGTGTACTTTTAAAGTACTTCAGTTTCTACTTAAATCCATGTGGGGAAAAAGAGAAGAACTCCTTAGCACCTTTTATAAAGATTAAAGGACATATACAGTGTTTTCAGTTTGTTATTCCTTTTAGGGCTGGGCGATAAACTGAAAATTCACCGATACAGAAATTTACGACAACAACCAACGTCACTTTGCCCACGTCAGTATATTCAATGTCAAATAAATAAATAAATAAAAGTTGGTTTTGGATGTGTGTGGGTAGGCTATGGTCTCATGTCCCTGTAAGACGCTGTCCTACATCAGTCTATAACAAAGAGGGAAAGACAGGTGAGGAGATGGAAGACGGTTCAAAAGTTGCGGCGGCTGAAGTAGATGAAGTTTATGTGGGAGGGGGTGAGCCTGGGCTTGACACTAACTTTTTTCACATATGCTCCTAAGTTGAAAAAGTAAGAAACACACAAAGAACTTTAGGGGCACAATAGAAATTGATCAAATAATGTTTGTCTTATTGGTCGACCTTAGTACTATTATTTAAAATCGATTTTAGGTCAATTGGTAACGTGACATGGAAGCTATTGAAAGAAAACAGCCGGTAATTTAGTGATGGTCCCTTATTCAACACCCAACGTTGACAGCGAGGGTGCAGAGTAGATTTAACCACGCTGCTGCTGCTATTCCCGGTTATGGAGAGTGAGAAGACACCGGTAGATCCGCCGTGAATGTCTGACTAATATCCAACCTAAAACTAACTGCACTGCGGTCTTTACATGAAAAAACATTTGTTGCCTCGGCTGATTTTTTTTGCCCTTAAATACATTTTACAATTCACACACATCTATTTTTAGTCACAAATCTGAGTGAAACGGTCGCACTGTTGAGCAGATTGTGAAGTAGTTATCGTCTATTTATCGTTATCGAGGTGAACTGCTCAATATCCTGACATTGATTTGAGGCCATATCGCCCAGCCCTACTCTCCAGTGTGGTGTCCCAGTGTGTTTACGTACTTCTTTAAGAGCTTCAGTTTCTGTGCTGCTACTTAAATCCATGTGGAAAAAAGTGAAGGACTCCCAAACACCTTTCATAAAGATTAAAGGACGACACACACTGTTTTCAGTTTGTTATTCTCTTTTTCACAAACACAGATGGATTTAACATTTAAAAGTTATTATCTTGTTTCTTTTTGGAGATCCTATCTCTCTCCTGCCGCAGTCTCTGATTACGTTTTCTCCTCGGAGATGATGGAGCCGCTCAGCCCCTGTAATCTGCTCAAGGTGGGGAAGGTCACAGTCAGCAGAGCAGAAAGCCGCCCGTCCTTTCTCACTTCTGCCTCCCACTTTGTTTTTTGCTTTGTGTTTGGTCACACCATTAACTCTTCCTTTCATGATCACACACACTACATTGATTAACAGCTGTTTAAAGACACTGAGCTGGGATTCATGACGTTTTCACACTCTGCTGGTCTTTTGTGTAGGGTTACATTGTTTACACACGGAGAACTGATTGTGCAGTTGGGTGTGTGCGCCTTTTTTCTTGCTCTAAATCCTGTGAATGTGTTTTTTCAGAAGCCTTTTGAAGTAATAGCAGGCTGTAAGTCTGCTCTAAGTATTATTTTTTCAGTCGGTAAGGTCATGTCCTGCATATTTTTTCAGGATCCACCCAAACTTTGTCAGACTTTTCTTAACCTAGATCCCATTTTTTAAGCACTTCTACAGTTTTTGATGTAAACGGGACATAGAATTATTCACACAGCCTGAGAACATATTTTCCCTTTAATAGTAAAGTTTATAAGTTGTGGACATGTGTGGGAGTCATTTAAAGATCGTCTGTGTGTGTGTGTGTGTGTGTGCACGTGCTCAGAGGAGGCTTGTTTGTGCAGCTGATACTCCTGTGGAGTAGCTCAAGGTCAGGCACCGGAGGCCCAACAGTAGCGCTGGCATCTCTCTTTCTCTACACGTCCCCTGTTTCCTCCATACGCAAAAACACCCTCGTCTGGGATCTCCCTCCTGCTGTGACTCTCCCTTTCTGGTGCAGACTGAGCTTTATTTATCACTCTGTAGGTAATCTTCAGGGAGAAGGAGCGAGCCAAGTCTGGAGGCCAGACTCCAAAGCTGAGATCTGAGACAAAATTGAAACAGATACGAACTGTTGGTCAAGCGTGTGTGTTTGTGTGAATGACGTTAAAGGGATATTCTGTCGTAAAATTAATTTAGGGTCAAACACACGGTAACACCAAGTTAGACCCCCCTCCAGAGATGAATGTTGCCGACCGCTTGCTTCTCTAGTTATACCAACTTTAGTAACGACTGCGCAATAGCAATACAGAGAGCCACGCGCTCAACCAAAACACCACTCTATAGCCACAAATAATGCTCAGAACAGCACCTAACTTCATCAACAGGACATATAGGGTCCTAGCCATAGTACTAGACACCAAACATCTTTTCAACTTTCTTTGGCAAAGAGGCTAAACACAACTCACCTACTCTCTTCCAGCAGCCACTTGTTTGTAGCGAGACCTCAGGCCAGTCCACTGACTGCAGCGGTGTTTCACAGCTCAAGGAAGAACATTTATGATCATTTCTTTATCATTTCCTTGAAGTAATAATCACCATATTAATCATTTTGCACTGCAGACACCATAGTTCTTCTACCTTAGCGTCTCAGTCTGATTGTATTTCCATGAAGAAATGATCATAAATGTTCTTCCTTGAGCTGCGTCACCCCGCTGTAGTCGATGGACTTGCTACAGACAAGCAGCTGCTGAAAGAGAGAGGGTGAGATGTGTTTAGTCTCTTTGCTAAAGAAATTAGGCAAAGTTAAAAAGATGTTTGGTGTCTAGTACTATGGCTGGGACCCTATATGTCCTGTTGATGAAGTTAGGTGCTGTTCTGAGGATTATTTGTGGCTATAGAGTGGCGTTTTGGTATAACTAGAGAAGCAACAGTCATCTCACGACGGGGTGTCTAACTCTGTGTTACGGTGTGTTTGACCCTAACTTAGTTTTTCACCAGTATTTCCCTTTAACCTTAAGTTAAAGGACAGCCGTTAAGAACAGCCGACCTCAAATCAATGATCACAGAGCAGATGTTTCCCCTCCAATAAAACCTGCGGACACTACAGCATCAGAAATGAAACTTTAGTGAAAGTAGAGAGTGTGTTTTGAGTTCTCCTCTTTTTTGTCCTTTTTCCAGGAGACAGAGCGTGAGAGCCACAGCGAGCGCGAGCGTATCAGATCTCAGATCCTGGAGTTACGCAGTCAGCAGACACAACAAAGCCGAGAGCATCAGAGAAAAGGTGAGTTACGCTCCTTCAGAAACAAAACTGCTCATCAGTTTAGTCATTTCATCTCTTTGGCAATCGCCTGACCCATTTCCTCTGCGTGCCACACACACTTGTGTCATGTATATCCATGCCACACCTCCAGAGCTGTTGACACATGAAATCTTTTGTATACTGGAAACACTCACCAAAAGGTCAGGTTTCGGTTGGTGTTTCTAACTCAAAGCCAACACTGACCACCTTCATACATCCGCCCTTGATGCAATTTCCTCCTGGCTGCCTGTTAAAACAGTCGGCTGAAGGGGCCTTTCTCCAGAGGTGGCAGTCAGTAGGTCATCTAACTTTTATTAACTGTTTGTAGTCACTCACAGAGCCGGTATTAATGACTCCGGCCTCTTAAGAGTGGAGTCGTTTCATTAACCTCCGTGTTAGCATTAATAAAGACGCATGAATGAAAGCCCTCAGGAGCTGATGAATGTGCTTCCTTCACGCGGGGCTTTTGAAACTTTGCAGGCACGGAGCTGAATACACGAATGGCTTGTTAAAAGTCAAAAGTGTATTGTCAAGGACTCATAAATAGAGTAACAAGTCAGCTAACAGCTTATCAGTTTGGAATCCAAAGAAAACTAATCTGAGAGGAGTTTATCTAACTGGTCTCTGGCAGGAGATGAAAGTGTTTTCGTCTTTCATCGTGGTTTGGTCCCATTTAACCTTCTCCCAGTCTTAGGCTGACATATATAAGAATAAAGTCATTCTGTGTGGCCCGGTCTGGCTTGGACTTGGCTCCCAGTGTCCTCCTCATGGACATGGGCTTGGCCGTGGGGTTATGGGAAGCAACAGAGGGAAACCCAGCAGCCACACCTCTGCTAAAAAAAGCTGATACCAGAACTGAGGTCTTGTTGACTCGGTTGAGAAAACTGCCCACTGTTCCTGATATATCCCTGCCTTACAATTTAAACCGGGGTGAAGCTAGGGTAAACAACAAAAAAAAGACCACCGTAGGAAAGTAAAGAAAGAAGGCGTTGATCAACAAAGACATTCGTGGTCAGGAAGGGACGGTGGAGTCATGGTGGGCTGCCGGTTGACTCTGCAGAAGGGAGAAAGTGGCAGAAAATAAAAGATTTGGACTTAAGCGGCCAGATCTGCAGCACAAACACATACCTCCACTTATATTTACAAGCTCTACTTCAATGAGCATGTGTCCAGCTGGTTTACTCTTCAGTCCAAACTGTAACGGGTAAGGCTGTGATTTAGGAAATGAATGTTTGCAGAGTCTCTCAGTGGAATTTGCTCTGTAGCTCCAGTTCCCCAAGGAGAAAAACCGGCTTAATTTAAAGTCTGTCACCACGAGAAATTTCACACTTAAATCTCTGTGAAGGACGGAAGAGAGAAGAGTCTGGTTTATCACTGTTGATAGAAGAACAGAAGTCAAGCACAGTTTTCAGATTGTTTTCTCTCTCGATCCAAAATCAACAATAATCAAAACTTTTAAAACACTTGAGAATGACTAAAATCTTTTAAGCACTTTATTGTTTATATTCTCACACCCAGTGATGTTTGCAGCTGTTCGGGGGTCAAACCTACGATTGATATCTCGAAGTTACGAGCCAGAATGGTGGCAAAGTTGACTCTCTTATAGAAAGAATAATAAAGTTTCTACTCCACAGAAGTTTAAAGGTGGGGAAGGCAGGAATCAGTTGTTGTTTAAATACAAAAAAGCTTTTAATATCAGTCAATAGGTATTAGTTATTGATGATATATGGTAATATCACAATATCACTGTGTTCTCTTATTCCTGTGTAGTCAACATTTTGGAGGCTGTCCGGGCTTGTCCGGCTCCGTCCGGCGAAGTTTATAAAATCCTTAAAAATGTCCGCGGCTTTGTATGTAAGTTTTGCTTTTGTGTCACATGGATGTAGTGAGTTAGAAGCACGTAAAGGACACTCGATCTGACCCGAAAAACTCTTAAAATTAACTTTGTGCGACTCTGTGACTCCGCCCCCGCGTAGTCGTGTCCTCTTTTTGGGAAGTCAGAATATGGTCACCCTAGTCAAACGGTTCTGCTGTAGCGTGTTGTAGCGCCGCTAAACTGTCCTCCCTCGGGTCCTGGACTATGTCACTTTATCCTAGTTGTAGAAGTCCTGCAAATATTGTGTTTGCTGGTAGTCTGTTGGCATCTACAGTAGCACCAATGCTTTTTACTTTCACGTTGACTGGGCGTAAAAGTATTTATCTGCATTATATCTGAATTTAATTGAAACGATACAAGCAAGCAGAAGCGTCTGTTTGTGGGCGGGGCTTGCTGGAGCAGAGAGGGAAAACTGGTTGGGATGGCTAGAGTTTACATTCAAGATTTCTCCCAAAAACCAGCACTTCCTCAGATCCTGACTACACCACCTTTAGGTACATGCAAAACTTTATATTCGGCTTGTGTTCACACTCACTTTAATTACAACTACCTGATACACCAGAGGCGGCGTGTTAAACTCTGTTTAAACCCTGAGAGAGATTGCAGCTGAAGCAGTGACCTTGGGTTTAAATAAAACTTTGGTCAGCCTTTTGTTTGTGCTCTAAAAATCAACTGTCCGGAGAGTGGCTGCTTGTGGAGCTGTTTTAAGGCAAAGAAGCTAGCCTCTCATTACCCAGAAGCAGTGGGGGATTTTCCCAGAAATAACTACACAATGGGTCTGAGAACTTTCCAGCGACAGAAACGGGAACAATAACGTGAGTTTGGAGAAGAAAAACGTGTGTTTTGGCTCTCAGTCCAGTTACAGTGAAGCAGTAATTGAGTTTGGGTTGAGCGCATCATTAGACTCAGACACTGCTGTCTGTCCAGTGGACCGTTCGTGGTGTCACATGTAAGAAGAGCCGCCATTAATTGTCCTAATTGAGTGTCATAATCATGTTTCCATTCAGACCGCGTTACATAACTGCTGGGTGTTTGATCAACAACTTGCAGTTATTTATAAACTTATTGTGCATGAATTAGCGGTCTTCTATTTAAGGGCGGTGTTACGCAATAAAGAGATCAGCTGTTTTACACACAAAGCTGTGAATGTCTCAGCTGAGAGGGTTTTTCTGCAGCCGCTGCCCAGACTGGAGTCCCTCTTTGATCTGGTTTGTAAATGACGGGGTGAACGCTGTTTGGTTGCAGAGTTGGTGCAAACACGGGTCACGCTCCTGCCCTGGTGTGTTAGAGGGGGAATGTGGGAATCAGATACCTGATGTGGTTTTTACACAGCCTCTGATATCCCCTCACGGTGTTAGAGGTAGAGGCTGTCACAGAGGGAGGATGTGGGCTGCACCGAGTTGTTTGGAGAGCGGTTTCCTGAGGAGAGGAGGAGAACTGAAGGAGCCTGGACAGAGAGGAGGAGGAGGGGGAAGTACTTAACCTAGTCTCTATTTCACACTCACTTCCTCCTCAGCTCCTTGTACTCGCTTACCACCTTCGATCGAGCCAGATGCTCCGGCTCTTTTGTTATGACCACTCCTCTTTTACGCAAATCCACTGACACAATCTCACAGATCTGCTCAGGAACTGAGGCCAGTCTGGAGGAAATGCCTGCGTCCCCTCATGTCTCCACATGCCTCCTTCTGTGATCCTAAGGAATGATTTCTGGTCTGACCTCTCGTGAGGCCCTGGTGCCGCAGAAGTATTTCAGTTCCAATATCTCAGCTTCCCCCAGTTCCTGTTTCCTTAAAGTCACGGTTGACGATCTGAGACGCAGTTGATAAAAACTGAGCTATTGAGGCAGATTTGAAAAAAGCGTCCCACCCCACCACACACAAACCTCTTCCTTCTGTGCTCCACAGTAACTCCCCCCCGAACCTGTATCGCCCTCTCCACGACACGCCCCCTCTGGCAGAGCAAGAAGCGGGCTGGCAGAAGATCCTACGCTAGCTTCAAATAAGATTCACCGCGTCAGAAAACTCTGCTTTCTCTGAATTTTCTCCACCGCTGGAAGGATGACCCGATGTTTATTCAAGTTAGATTCCTCGCTTGGTCACATTTCCTCTTCGACTCCGCCCTCTCTTCTGTCCCTCTCCATCACAGCTCCTGTAGCTAAGCTGCTAAGCTACTTTTAGCCGCTCAGAGCTCCGAGGAGGACCGGGAGAGTGGGAGGGGACGAGTCAGAACTACGGGAGAGGGGTGTGTCGAATACAGCGAGGTGATTGGATGGAGAGGCGGAGCAGGAGATTGACCAATAGGATCTGTCCGGGATGCAAATTTTTTTTTGTGAGATGGTAGGGGAAGGTCCCGCCCTCCTTCACCTCTGATTGGCTAGAAGTGCTGGGCTCCGATTGGTCATTCCCTATGGCTGTGAAACGTCATCGTCTATTGGGTTAGGGTTAGGAGATTCAGAAGTGCGATAATGTTTTGTAATGTTCTGCTCGATGTACAGAGCCGACAGCCCGCGTTTCGCTTGAGCGTGTGATGACGTTTCCAGCTTTTCTAGCCAATCAGAGGCGAAGGAGGCGGGACTTTCCCCTACCATCCCACAAAAAAGAAATATCGCGTCCGGGACGGATGGCTCCCATTGGTCAATATTTTTGCAGCCCTGCACCTGCTGGGGTGAACGGAGTTTTTCCTTTCTTTTTTCTCTTCACTTTGTGGAGATCGCACTTTAGGACCATGATCACCATAGAAACGAAGTTTATAATAATTACCAATCTCTCCAATCATCAACCATACCTTTAACTCAAAGCCTTAATACTTTGTGTTTTATGTCCTAGGGTCAAACTCAGGTATGGTGCTGGTCCTGGATCACCTGGTGAAGGATGACAGCCCTGTACCTCTGCTGATCCAGCCTCAGAGGGAAGCGATGGCCACCGAGCCAGACCTGGTTCTGTCTCATCGTCAGAGATCAGATTCTTCAGCATCAGATCGCAGCGCCACCTCAGTGCTCTCCAGGTCTAACCTGGATCCTGTGGTGTCAGAGAAGAGTGTGAGCTCGACCCACAGAGCTCGGCTGGACTCTGGAGCCTCAGACCGGAGCCAGAGTCCCTTCCAGCGTGGTCGGCTGGATTCTGGGGCGTCAGAGAGAAGTGTCGGCTCCTTGTCCCACGTTAGACAGAGACTGGGCTCGGATGTCTCCGATTCTGGTGTCAGATCTCGAAGGGGCTCAGGGAGTTCAGATGTCTCTGGTCTGTTGACGAGGAAACGGACAGACTCAGGGACGTCTGAGCACAGCGTGAGTATGTCCTCTGAGGACAGGGGTCCAGCGGAGGAGGTGGAGGTCGCCACAAGTGGTTCAAATTACAGCACAGATTCAGAAACTGAGGGCAGGAGCACCATCAAGACTCAGTCAAACCAGGATCACCACATCGAAGACCAGGAGCAGCCTGATGGGGCGGTTTTATCTCGAAGAGATCCAGTGAATGGTCTGCTCAACGGCAGTGCCAAAGGAAAAACTGACCCCATCAAACAGAAGGTAGAAAACCCAGAATCCAAACACTCAGTATGTTTGTTTTATCTGAACCTTCTGTGTCTCAGCACAGTCTGGTCCAGCGAGTAGGGGGTGTCTGCAGAGCCAGAGAGCCCAGCAGATCCACAACCCTCTTTGCGCCCCTGCTGGATGGAGTAGCTCATTGCATGACAGATCCACAAACTGAAACACGTGACCGTCCCTTCTTGCTGCTTCTTTCTTGAAAGTTATCAGCTCGAATGGAGCGACATTCTGATCGAGTACTAAACTTGAATCACATCATTTTTTAGTCATCAATAAAACTGTCGTCTTGAATTTGACGGAGAAATAAGTGTCAATGTGACAGGCTCCGTTTATGACATTTTCCCTGATAGTCCTAAATGAACATTGAATCTCATTAGCTTGTCGGAAGTTGGAAATGTACCATTCGACTCGTAGGCTATTAGCATCGTAGTGAATGAAACATAAGTGCGATGACTTATAATGTGCATGAGGTTGCACATGAAAATATACGAGAAAAACACACAAAATATAACAATCATACAACTCTGTAGACACATACTTTTGCATTCAGGGGGTCAAAATCATCGCTAAGGAATGAGTAGTATAAAAGCGAGGCCAATCCCTATGATGTTGGGTTAGATATTTTGGTAGAATAAACCCAAAATACTATAGGTAGGCAGAAAATACATGAATAGATGATTATAAGTAAAAAATTGTAAAATTAATAAAATCTAGATTGATATCTTAATATGTGACTTTGGGCACTTTTTTATTTTTAAAATAAATTTAAAATCCTTGAAAGGAAGTGGGCAGAGTCCCAAGAACTGAACACTTTCTTCACAAATTTCAAAGACTTTTTATTTTGATTTGATAATAATATGTGACTGCGATCACTTATTTATTCATTAACTTGTTTATTAAATTCAATTTCTGGGCACAAAAACAGATGGTTAAAAAGAGGGTTGTGGATCTGTCATGCAGTGACCTACTCTGTCCAGCAGGGGCGCAAAGAAGGTTGTGCATCTTCTGGGCTCTCTGGTTCTGCAGACATCTAATATTGACCTGATTAACATCTGCTACACATCTTGCTAATCATAACTGCACCACTAGAGTGGGGTGTCGAGCTGAACACGTCCAGGACCAGTCCTCACTCCTCTTTCCTCTCTTTCCTTTCCTCTTTCCTCTCTCTTCATTCTTTAAAGACACCCGGCTCACATCAGCGCTCATAAAGACACCGTGCCGAGCTCCTGTTAGCTGTTGTTTATCTGCAGTTACTGGGCTACCCGAACAAACCGTACACCTGAGAGTCTCTGCTTCACCTCAGCAGAGTGTCAGCCTCACCTGCTGTCAGAGGGGAGTACACAGGATTATGGGCCAGAGGTTCTGTATCCCCTCATCTCAGAGTGCAGGGATCACACAGAGCTGAGGTTTCTGCACAAAGTGTTCGCTAATAAGCAACATTTCCCATCTTAGGGACTCAGGTCTGGGTGACGCCATCATGTCGCTCTTCTTAATGTGTTTACCTAAGGCCGGTCCCGGACTCCTTTTTATTGTTCCCTGCGAGATAGGCCGATGCTCAGTCTCCTGAGAGTAATGTAAACACTTGGGGCCCGTCATGGCCCCCTCTGCCAAAAAAAGAACAGAGGCCCACCGCTCACTCCAAACACAAATGTTACATAATGAAAACACCACCAGTCGATCCTCCTTTTAGCACTGTGTAAATCTGTGTGTGTAGTGTCACTCCAGACATGCTGTATTTGTACACTGTGGCCCCTCATGGTTGTGCTTGTGTTCCTCAGACTCGGTGCATGTGACTTTTTTTGATACAATTCTGTTTGTCATGTGACTTTTATGTTTTGTTTCTTTTTAGATAACAAGTGACAGAGATGTGCCGCTCAGTCATGGCAAAGCAAAGGACTCTGGTAAGACACTGGTTAATGCTTAATAAACTGATATTTCATACAGTTCATATTCAATAAAGTGCATCTACCATATCTACATACCTGTACATAGGGCTGGGCGATATCGGAAAAAGTTTATTGCGATATATATTTTTTCATATCAGTCGATATCGATATATATCACGATATAAAAAATGAAATTTAACAGTGCTTAGTGGTAGCATGTCTTTTGCAATACAATAAGCTACTGTTATGTTATGGTTGTGTGTAGCTGCTATCTCCTACTACGCTGCTGTTTGCTACTTGGTTCTAATTCAGCACATGATTGGTTCAGCACGAAGCAGACCAGGAGCAACTCCTCTTTTCATTGGCTATTCATATAGTCCACCAAAACATGGCAGAATACATCTTAAATATGTTATTGACTGCAGCCTTTAAGTCTATAATCATCAGATGGTTGAAACCAGAACCCCTCTCGTACAATATCTGGATTCAGAAAGTCTGGGATATTTATCAAATGGAGCAGATCACAGTTTCAAAATACCGTCAGAATTTGTGCCTATAAATTAGGGGTGGGAGAAAAAATCAATACACAGAAGTATCTCGATTTTTTGTTTTACAATTTTTAAATCGATTTTATGTTCAAAAATCAGTTTTTTGTTTTTTTTCAAATTTAAGAATAAATCTTAAAAACTGACTTACATGTGATGTGTATTTTTTGGGGAAATATGGTTTCTGGAATAGTCAGTAGACAATCATAATCATTCAGCTGTTTCACTGGTGTTAAAATTGCAGACTAAATATCGAGAAAATCAACAGTGTTTATAGAATCGCTATTCAAATCGAATCAGTATCCAAAAAAATCGTAGAAGAATCAAATCGGGACATTGTTTATTTGCAATGATTTCTATTATTACTCTCTTTGTTTTTATCCTACATTATTTGTGGATGTTTGTAAAAATACACATGCAGCTGAAAAAGGGAAAAGAAATGTATTGAGATGTCTACACATTATTGTTGTGGTTAAAAATTTAATAAAAATTAAGTTCAGAAAACATGGCAGAAATGCATATTGACCATGTTTTATATAATTAATTTTGATATATATCATTATCGTTTTATCGCCCAGCCCTAGGATCTACCAAATCTACATACCTGTACCTTAGGATTGTAGCATTTCGCTCAGCTAATGGACTGTTTATTACCGTCATGTTGATCATGAGAACTTGAGAGTGTGTGATAATGTAACAGACGGTTTATAGACTATATGACTCCAGTATAAGGAGGCCTTACTGTGACCATGTAGGGCGTCTTATAGGAGAAGACATTTTCCCTCTTTGTACCAGACTGCTCTTTACTGTGTCCACTGTACTATAAACTGTGGTTTTCCTTTAAAGCAGCACATCTCTTTTTCCTTTGTTAGGATGACCTCAGAGAATATCTTCTCCTCTAATCACTAATGCTTTTTCCATCAGAGGGTCGGTGCCAAATTCATGAGCTTTGTACACATTATCTGACAGTATTAAGGATCAGAGAGTGAAAGAATATCCATGAGTGGATGAAACATGTCCTGAAAAGTCCATAAACTAGGAACTGAGAGAAGGTAAAACGGGGGAGGTTAAGTCAAGCAAAATAAAGGGGCTGGAACAAAACCTGGTGAGGAGAGGGAAAGAGGAATGGGATTTGAGGGGGGGCTTGTGATGCGGAGGAGGAGAAGATGAAAACAAGGCTGTAGTAGTAGTAGTAGATAAGGGTTCAGGCACTTTTTAACTTAATACTCCTGCATTATTTCTTCACAGCGCCTGAGAAAAAGGATGTTGTATTGGAGCAATTCAACCGCACCAACTCTGTCCGTGACCGAATGCGAAAGTTCACAGAGCCCAGCCACAGCGCGAACGTCCCAGCTCTGAAGAAAACTCCTCAGAGAACGACCTCCAGCAGCAGCAGCAGCGTGAATCTCTCCAAAGCTTCAGAGATGTTTACACAGACACCAGCAGCATCCCTAAGCACATCTGGAGCCGGGCCAGCAAGGCCACATGTGGACTCCACGTCACACACCTCTGCTGCATCTCAGAGTCAGACCACGCCTCAGCCGAGAGCTGTCACTAACAAACCTCTGTCTGCAACCAGCCAATGGCAGAACTCCGTGGGTGGGACGAAGCATGCGGCTGAAAAAGATGTGAACGCCTCCGGCAACTCAAAGGAAGACAGGACCCCAGGGAGAGCAGCTGGACAGCAGGTCACCCAGGGAGAGGCAGACCCGGACATGAAGACTTTCCTCACCATCGAGATCAAGGATGGGCGCACCACCGCCTCCTCGACGTCCACGCCGAGGGGCAACATCGTACCCATCTCCACCATGACCCCACGCATCAACAGTAACATCCTGGGACAGAGACAAGGTAGGACCACGAACCCAAGAATAACTCCTAGAGAACAGACCTCGGTAAACATGTTTAGTAGGTTTGAATCTTCACTCGCTAAGAACGTCACTTAGATCACAATGGAATCCCAGTCACTGTGGGACGTGACCGGCACCAAGGAATCGGTCACAAGTGGGATGATGAGAAGAGGTTTTGTGAAGCTAAACAAGCAAAGCTCAAACATGGATGAGTGGGGATAGATGCTGCGGCTCAATGAAAACGCACGGTTGTACTGAAGAGTGTTTGTTATGAAGTGGGCATCGCTGCAGTGAAGAGGGAGTGAGGTCAGTATCGAGTGCGAGAGTGTGTCGAGTCAAAGGAAACAACAAGTGGCTGTCTCAGAGAGGCTGAATAATCACTCAGCTGCACAGTGCAGGGGTTTGTTTCTTACATGCTGTAGATATCGTCTGCACGTCCTCTCCAGCTCAACAAGCTTCTACCTCCTTCAGTCACGTGCATTTATATATCTGTGTACTCCGCACTTCTCCTGATGACAGATCAGAAACATGACTGAAAAAAAGCAGGGGTCGAGTGATAAGAAGAAGATTCATTCATTAAGAAGGTATTTTTAGGCATTTTCTGTCTTTATAGTCGAATACAGTAGGAAAATAATGGGTAATAGGTAACTGGAATGATATTAAACAGACAAACCAATACTGAAATTTAAATACGTTAACAATATTTAACTTTAATAGAGTTTAAAAACAATTATTCTTTGCAGCTGCAGAAGGAAATGCTTCACCAAAACATGGATCTTCCTAGAAATGGAGTAAAAATGCATCACCTTTATGAAGTTATGAAAATATGTCACTTCACGATAAAAAACCTACTTAAATATATGGATTTTCCAGGATGTTTGAGTCACAGCAAGTGTTTTAAGGGGAGTACTTGGCAGGTACAAGTGTGTTTGAAGTTTAATGATTAATTGGTTCTTTAAGCCGAGCAGTAGTCTCTTAAAAACACCGTGTTCCTGTTGCACAGCACAAACAGGACCAGCAGGGATTCATTAATTAGAGAAGAAGAAGAAGAAGGAATCCCTGAACTGTATGAATCTCTGTCGGGTTCAGAGGCAGACCTACATCAGCTGCAGTTACAGTCTGACAAAACATGTTGAGTTGAGTTTCAGCTCTTTCCCAGCAGTCCAGGACCTCCAACCCAAACAGTTTATTCCAAACCGGAGATGAACCTTTGCGATTACTCTCGGCTCACGAGGATCTCATGTTATGGCTCTCCTTCGTGAGGGTCCCACCGTTTGTTTTGGGTTTAATTTGTATTAAAAGTTTTCTGCTCCTTTTTGGGACTTGCCTGTCTCTTGCTGATTTAACACAGCCTGAGGTTTTGTCTCCGATTACTCACTAAAAGCACTTACAGAGGGTCTTAAATGTACCCAGTGCTGCGCTGGTGTGCATCAGTCCTGTTTTTTATGGCACATGGGGGTTCGTACGCGCACGCTCTCGCAGGAGAGGAGAGCTGTTTAAGTGAAAGGTGTCGTAAAATACATTTCTGCTCTCTCCTCTCATTAGACGCCGGTGCATGTTGTTTATGAAACAATGGCAGCTTATGTAACTGACGGATGGTTACCACCAACATGGAGCGAGACTGTACACACATTTGACCTTTAACACGTGTAAATAATGCAGAGCTTGTTCATTATCAACCCCCTCACTGTGGTCTGTATATTTCTGATTCTGTGTGTTTCAGAGTTGACCCTCGGCCTCAGAGCGACGCCTTTCAGGATCTCCTCATCCAGCATCTCCTCTGGAACCCCCATCAAGGTACAATCAAGATTCATTTACGATGCTTTTATACCAATTAATCTGCACACAACCACTCCAGAAGCACATCTCCATCTCCATCTCCAGCAAAGATCTTAATCTTACTTTCATCCACCATTTCATGCCTCCTTTATTCACTTGGATGTCTCTACTGCATCCCTGTAGCAGCAATCACCTATAAAGGCCTGAGAGGGGAACGAGCCGGGACATTAAAAGACAGACAGAGTGTGAGAAAAGCCCGGGGAGGAGGGAAGAACAGTGTTTATCAAACACAGAACGGGTAGCCAGTCACATCTGTCCTTGTAGGGTATGTGAGGAGAGAGAGAGGGATGGGAGGTGCTCTGGGCATTCCTGCTTTTCTCTTGGCAGGCCATGCCCACTGAGATTTATCCGGGAACAGTTTCCTAAATCACACCTGTCTGTCTTCATGCACATAATTACTGTCCAGCTAAATTAAAGAACCTGTTGAAACAAGTGTCTCCTGACGGGGTGGGAAATGTAACGTGAGCACAAACAGTTCCTCTAATAGAGTGACTCTTGGGCTTTAGCAATTACTGCGAAACTCGCACTGGCGTTGTGTTTTCATCTCCCGGCTCCTTGAATGAATGGAGAGGTTTGGAGAACAAGGAGAGAAGTGTCCTGTTTATTCTTCAGAGGCTGTGTGTATTACAGCTCCTTGTGTGGAGCGCAGCGGTAATCCCTGTAATGGGATCACAGAGCTGGTTAATGAAAGCGGGGTGAAGACTCGATCTGCATGGCTGCTGGGTGGATTTAAGGTGTTTGGGTGAGATGTCTTTATCAGTTAGGCTGAGACTTTCCTGGAGAAAATAGATCATGTTGTTAGAAGTCAAAGATTCTCTCTGCATTACCTCTCGCAACCTTTAAATGAAGTCATACAGGTAATGTACTCGTAAGTTATCAAATATGTCTGAATCTGACGTATTTATTTTATTTTCATTACACCCTGTGTACACCAGCCAGCATATCACACAAATATAAACACATGAAGCAGTACACTACCAAACTCCCACCCAAAGTCCCTCCAGCATACACCAAAACTTCCTTTGAAAAATACACAATGGTTTTACGACAAATCCATGATAGAAAAAGAAAGTAAATAATCGAAATTCATAACCCAACAGTCAACTAAAATAGAACAGAATAAACTGAAAACAGACAAAAAACACACGAGTTCAGCGACAACATTTTAAACAAAATCATAGGTATAATTTCATACATGTTATTTCCTTTCAGTATGTCCCTTAGTGACGTCTACGTACATTTTCTAAACATGTTACTAAAGGGAGGCAAATCTTGAAAAATATAGCCTCTATTAAACTTTTCTAAAGTCAGTCTCTCTAAGGGTAGGACTCTGAAATCTGCTTAGGAAATATAGTAGAAGTCTGGGGGGGAATTCATTTTTCCAAAATAAAAGAATACACTTCTTGGAAAAATATGATATTATTATAAATAATCTGCATTTTTTTCTTATCAAACTGAAAAACTGGATTGTTATTTAATAAATACACACTGAGTGTTTGATCAAATTCTGTTTTTAAAACTTTTTTTGTGAAATAATGAACACATTGCTGAAATAGGTGCATAAATGATTCTTCCTTAAATTTACATCTTGGGCAGTTTGGTGAGATATCTCTAAATATTTTATGAATATGACGTATTTTAAAGTACAGTGCAACCTAATATAGATGCACAACAAAATAAGCTCCTTGTTTTTGTGAATTTCGTCTTTTCTTGGACTTCTCATCGTTTCCTGCAGCAACAGAAGAGCACAGTTTGCATTACTGACAGCTTCATGTGTTACTCACCAATTATCAGTTTATCCTTTAACGGCCTCGGCCCTGATCACTCTTTTGTCAGTCATAGTTTTTGGGGATCAGCGTTGATCCGCCTGCATTAACTCTGTCTGTCTGCATCCTCATTGTATAGGCTCAGCATGAATGCCTCCTCTGATGAACGGCTGTTTCAACACTCAGCCGAGCTCATGTAACACCTTCCTCTGCCGGATCTGATCGAGTTTGACAAAACAATCACTTAGCCTGAGTGACTTGACAAATGAGATTGTAAAAACAACAGCAGACACCGTTAGTTAGTTAGCGTCAACCTCGGGGGGGGATGGGGAGACAGCTTGGTTTCCTTCAGCCTGATCCAGAGACCACCTGTTCTTACTTTCCACGGTTAAGTCAAAGTTCAAGGTTGTGTGAGAGGAAGGATTCGTTTCAAAGTAGCTTATTCAAGTTCCCTTTGCACAGCAGTGTATATATTCTTTAGTGTAAGAGGAGGAAATATGCTGCAGTGTAACATGAGTTTTAATAAGCCCTGTTTGGTGTTGTTAAAAGATGTTTATTGACCACAGTGGTTCCTGTCTGGGACTCTGATCCGTTTGGGTGGTCTGGGTTTCTCTTTGGTGGTCTCACTTAAGTACTTAAAACCTCCATTATTTCCTCGTGCAGTGTTTTTTTTTTAATCCAATAATAAAATGAGCAGCCGTTTAGTATCAACTCATGCTGTATATTGTGTGAAGTACGATCTATTCAAGGCTGCACAGACAGAAACAATCAACATGAAACGAACAATGGAGTGAAGGAGACTGAGCCTTTTGTTATTCATCAGAAAAGCCCGACGAAGTTTACGGCGAGGTCAGGATGCTTGAAGGGTTTCAGTGCAGCTATGAGAGTTATATCAGACAGGTGAGACTGCAGCTGATTATTGATGCCCTCAGTGGCTGTCAGTGATCACAGCTGCTCCTGCTCGTCTCAGCTGTACGCTCAGACTGAACGCAGCGCTCGGCCTTGAACACAAGCATCAATAACGCCTCAGCTTTATTACCCAGGTGATGACAGGACAGCCACTCTCTTTCCTCTGGTCGTAGAGATTACTGCAGCGCGAGCACACAGAGCACACAGGCCCACTGTCAGTGACAGATTATCTCACTGTCACATAGAGATGCATGAGGACCCCATTGTTCACATACTGCTGATCCAGGACACACGCTGCTTGGCCAACAACATCACATGTGACACAGAATCAAACCTGAAGGTGTGAGAGGAAACATATAAAAGTTTGGATTTCTTTTAGAGAAGTTAACTTTACTCCCAGGCCGATTCCTCTTCATGCAGAAACCAATGTACTTCTTTAACTTTAAAACTAATTTAACCTTACTGCGTTTTTTAATAACGCTTCAGGGGGTTAAAGAGGAATAATGATAGGATTAGTGTTACTAGATCGGCTTCGGCCAAGATTATCAACAACACAGCTGTATATTCAGAAGATCAGAATCAGAATGAATCAGATCAGAACGCCCTTTATTGTCATTATACTGGAGTAACATGAGATTGGAAATTCCATTTCCAGTTCAATGGAAGTAAAAATAGAAGAAGAGAGAAACAGAAACAGAATTAAAAGACACAATAAAAATAGGTAAAAAAATATATATACAGGTTAAAAATTCTTTAGTGCAATGCAAACAGTGCAATAGGAAGGTAAATAAATATGAAGAATACATGTTAGAATAGAATAATATTCCTTTATGCATGTAGTTTTTAGGACTTTCAGTCATCATGTCCTGTATCTTCTTCACTTTGCTGTATGCAAAGGGCCATGTTAAGGATTCTACTCTGTTTTGATTCAATAACAACAAACTTTACTGCCCAGTGTCTTTATTCCCCCTCTCCTAAAAACCAGAATTTACTCACTTGTAAATCTGAGAGGAGACTAACTTTGCCCTTTGTCAAACTGTTCTCCTATAAACTCCAGCGCTCTATTTATATGAAAATAGACTCTGGTTGCATGTTCATGACATTCAGTTTCAAGGTAGACATGTTGGCAGTGCTGTTTTCTGCTGTGCTTGTACTTTTGGGAATCAGTGTAATGCCTGTGATATATTTACATGTCACTGCTTTTAACGGCTTTATTAAGCTGTATCATGTCTGCCCTCATGCCAGGTCTTTATTCGCAGAAACAGCATGTACAGTATAATTGGATTTCTATGCATAGAGTGCTGTATGCACATTAGTCTCTCAGTAGGCAATGTAAAAGGCATGTCAAAGATCTGCATGAGCCTTTTACAGTATAGACAAGGAACACACAGATCTCTGTCAGCAGAAGATCTGTATTTCTGTGATCTCTCTACCAAACAACATAACCCAGAGTTGGAGAAAACTTGGCCTGATCTTATTGTCATCATCATGATTCAGTTTTCTCAGTTTTGGCCCCCTACACTTTGTTCCTCATGAACCCAGTCCTTCCTCTGGAGGTCTTCCCTGACTCACGGTCATGCAACACGGCTGACCCGAGGAGCTGGATGAATTTTGTCCAATTGAAGATGATTGACATTGCAGCATATAACTACTCGACTCAGGCCTAGAGCCACATCTAAACCCTCCCCGCCTGCCAAGGGAGGTGTGAAGGACAAGCCCTCCAAATGAAAGGAAAGTTGATAGAGGGGGGGGGGTGAGCTTTCTACATTTTTGCCGCTGCCTTTCCCCCTCTGGCGTCCACCAGTGCCCCAGGACTGACAGGATCAGTGGAATAATGGTGGGGCAGGAGATAAATTGGCATGTCCACGGCACCTGGAAAAAAGGGGGTTGAGCCGCTGCTGCCTGGGAAACCAAATTCCTTGTGTGCTGATTGGCTGTGAGCAGGTCAGCCAGTAAAGACAGGGGTATAAAGGGCGTGCATTGTTTTGGGAGGCCGCTGTAGACAGACAGACGGCGAGAATACTCTGTTACCCTCACATCTGACTGCTGATTAGAGATCCTGACTTCTATCTTCTGGACACATCTGTGGATTTACACCAACAGGACATCATTGTAATCGTGAGCGCAGCAAGTCTGGCCATGCCTGGAGTGAACCTGGATTTCCTCCCAGCCTCCCAGGCTCCAGAAGCGTTAGGCAGCCCAGATAGCACTTGTGCGGAGTCTGGCCTGGAGGAAGTGATCGGTGATCTACTTGCGCAAGAGGAAGAGGAAGAAGAAGACAAAGAGGAGCCGTTTTGTGAGAGGAAATTTGAACAGACGTTACGGTGCGCAGTGGGGGAGATCCACAGTGACCTGCAAGCCTTTGGTAAGCGGGTGGATGCTCGTCTGGAAGAGGCAGCAGCTCAGGTGGTTCCTCTGGCTGAGGCTGTTGCCCGGCTGCAGGAGGACAACGTACAGCTTAGGATTCAGCAAGAGAAGCTGATAAGGCAAGTGGAGGCCTTGTGTCAGGTGATAGGACTACCTGATCTGTTAGCACAGGCAGCTGACAGCAAGGAAAGTTCACCTTTAAGTTCATGTACCAATGAAACGCCAAACAATGAGCCTCCAGCTCCATCCAGTGATGTTGCAACGCCTCCCAGTGACCCCTGTACGCCTCAGGACGCTGCACTTGACACGCCTGAAGATCCTTCATGCTGCCCTCCTGAAGACCCTCCACCCTGTGAACCTAAGGACCCTCCACTGGATGTATCTAAGGAGTCTTTATCATGTCCCCAAGACTCAGAGTCTGTTTCCAATGAAACAAACACTTTGAAGACTTCAGAGCCTTCACCGGTCCAACACCCTCCCACCTTTGCGACCCGCCGCTCCCTCTCTGCCCCCTCTCTTATGGCAGACATACTCTGCCCCGACAGCACGGTAATAATGTTTCTGATCGTGTTGTCTTGAACTTCAGATAAGCAGCTTGTAAAGCGGGTTTGTCTCCCTGATTTGTAGGCCTGATGTTCATTTCTCCTACCGTGCCATCGGCTCTAATCCGTCACCCACTTCATTTAAAAAAGCTTGGCCGTCTCAGCTGTCGGTCAGTTTTAACAGCTTGTGTTTATACGGAGGACTCCAATGCAATCTGTCACAGTGGTATCCTAACCCTCTATCACCATGTGTTTCCGATCGTGTCCTGGCCAGCTCTCCTGTGTGTGTTTGCCTGTTTGCTGGCGAATGCTCTTCTTAAGTGGAAACACTTCCTGGTAGAGGCTTAGCAGTGCAATCCAACAAGACTGGAGACTCTTTCTAGTGGTTCACGGCCTTCAAATCATGTCTGTATTGTTTCTGGTCGGATATGGAGCATAAGTATTTTTCAAAGAGGGGCACTAAATTTAAAAAGTTGAGCTCGCCTGGCTTCAGGACATGAATAGGATTTGACATCTTACTTATCCGTTATGGAGATGGATGCTCACTTTCCTCATAACAAAGCCCTGTGTGTGTTTGTGTGTGTTTGTGTGAGTGGACTGGTGACATTTTGAGGGATGCTGAGGGTTTGTAGAGTAAGCCGCAGTCATTCAACAAGCCAAAGCGCGTATTCTTGTCTAATCTTGTGAAGACAGCTGGGTCTGCCAATCACCTGTTCCAGTTAAAGGGGGATTTTTCCCCTAAATGTTTTCCCCCTCAGCAGATGGATCGCGATAATGACGGGTAACCTTATCCGGCCTTTGTGCAATATCAGCCGCGTCCCCCAATGTCAGCTGTTTGTGTTTCAGCTGGTAGAGAGGTGTATTCTTCATCCACAACAGCGATTCACAAGAGTCGACTGAGGCTGACTCAAACATGTGTGGAGCAGAAAGGTTATCTGACACATTTTTTCCACCCTTCATGTCTCAGTTTGGCCGTTGTGTCCCAAAACATTCCTCATCGGTCAAGTCCTTCTCAGTTCGTTCTGTCCCAGGTCCAGAAAAGCCTCAGAAACCGGTGGTCACCCTTGATCACTCAGCACTGTGGCTGTGCTCGATGAGACCTGGCCCAGCTGGGGCCCGCTGGGAGGAGAGCTTGGTGGTGGAGGATAGGAACAGAGCCAGCTGTCTGAGCTATATCTGTACCAGGACTCTGAAGCATTAGTGAGAGCCCCCCTAGTCTGCCACAGGCACTCAGCCTCAGATGAAAATGTGATCAGTGTTTTCTGTTGGATTTATACTTGCTAAGGATATACCGGTGAAAAGACAGTTTTGCCTTCACAAACTATAATGTTGAGTTAGTTCTCACGTGTATTTATGTTGCATTTGAGTTAGAAGTCAGATGTTGGAGCTGAAAATGATGTAACACCCGAGTTCCCAGCGTTTCAGTAACCAAGTTGGAAAAAAGCGAAATCAGAGGCCTGAAACTAGATGGCTACATCTACGAAAGCTATTTTAGTGGTTGCCTTATATTTGGACAAGATGCAGCCATCTTGTTTCCGCCTCTGATATAGCTTTTTTCCGACTTGGTAACTGAAACTTTGGTAACTCAGGTGCGACGTCATTTTCAGCTCTGACATCTAACTTCCAAGGTAACACGAATGCAGCATTAGAGCTGGGACATTTGACAAAAAAATAAAAAAATAATATCATGATATATTTTGTAATATCGTCCGATCTCGATTATTATCACAATTTTTTTTTTTAACTAAAAGAAACTAGACATTAGTTTAACGTTTTGTTAACATACAAAGCTAACTGAATAAGATAGACTTTATAAAAACATTTTAACTCAACAGTACAACAAATGTAGATAAATACTAAATAATACAGTGAATTAGTTTACAGTCCTGATTGTTTTTACAGGTATGCAAGACCCAAAATAAACAAATGGCCCCTTCAGAGATAATGAAGACGCCTTAAAATGTAAACATTAGATGATGTAAACGTAGATGATACGATTGTTTGCTGCTTTGGTCTGGTGGCTGCACCGCTAGCTGTGGCTAAACTGCTAATGCTACTTGTGCCGTTAGCACTAACAGGCTGTGCAGACTCCGCTCACATTTTCATGTTTCCCGCTTAATCACTCGGGAAGTACTTATTCAAATGATTTAACAGATCCGCTGTAATGCTGATCTTTGAGGGCACCAGTCGCTGACATACCTTACACATTGGCTTAACTGCTAGACGTCACTTTGGAGATACCAGAACCACCACCACAGAATCGACGTTGAATGGCTTTCCCCTCAACAATGGCGTCTTTGGAGGATGACTCAAAGTCATGGCTGACATCTGTTTTGCTGCCCTCAGCTCCGCGTGTAGCCCCATGTTTGGTCATTCTGTTTACTTCTCCTGTTTACGTCTCTGATCGGCTGTTGTCACGCACATTTCCGTTACGTTTGATCGAACTGAAATTTATCACGATCATTAAAAGGGATCTTATAATCGCCCAGTCCTGATACTGTGTATTATTATCATCATTATTACGGTTTACTTACCAGAGAGAGTAGATGTTTCTTTTTCCTCAGAGCTGACATCTGCTAATGCATCGCTCTGGCGGTGGCGGTGTACCGTACCTGTCAAGTAAACATTCGGATCACAGCAGCTCTGTATCATTGAGACACTCAGGGCATCAGTCACACTCTGTGGACTCTGCTAACAGTAACTTGGCAGAGTCGCTGTTGCTCACATGTGCTCACTGTCACCCTCTCTGGCATGGCTGAAGGCAGAGGAGATGGAAGAAATGATGGGCTGTGGTGAGTGGGCAGGCTAAGAACAAAAAAGTGATTATTAGAGGGAGGCTGCACCACACACTCATGCCTATTATGGCTACAGCCAGTTAAACAAAATCCTTTCGTGCTTATCGTGTCCTGGATGTCAGCGAGCTTTACTTATGTTTTCCTTTTTTAGGGTTTCATTAGTGTAAAACTAAAAGCCTTCACCTCGGGTTGGGAGATTCTTCTCCTGCAGGAGTTCTGAAATGTCAAACATAAATCCAACCAAGGTCACAGATTAAACAAAACAAATCAAGACAACATTTCCACTCCGAGCTTCATAAACCTAACCAAGCATGTGCTTTTGCAGTCTTTGTAAGTGCTTATGCTTATACCGTATGTGTTTGTTTTATGCAACTTTCACAGATGGAGACGGAGCCAGTTGTGGCCTCTGTGCCGGTGTTTTCAGCTGGACCATCCGTCACAGTGGCTTGTCATGCCCCAGCTATCCCCAACGGCTCCAGCAGCATTCAGGCCAAACCTGACGAACGTTCTGGAAAACTTACTGCCGAACAGCTGGCTGCTGTGGAGGATGAAGAGCTCCTCGATAAAATGGTACCCCCCAAACTCTGCATACATACATACAACCATGTCAACAGGTTTGTGAGGAATGACATCTTACAGTTTCTGTTTTTCTTTCACAGCTTGACGAGTCAAAAGACTTTGAGGAGAGGAAGATGATTCGTGCAGCCATGAGGGACCTTCGCAAGAAAAAGAGAGGTAATAACTTAAGAAAAACACTCCTCGATCTGCGGCTCTAACCACATGAGTTTGTCCTCCTCTTTTGTTCTTTTCCATCCCTAAATCATAACAGGAAGATGTGCTGTATTGAAATCAAACATATAACAGTTTTCTCTAGCCTGTACCGAACATCATTTCTGTCCGTTCTGCCCTCAGAGGCCATGCTGGGATGTACTCAAGAGGAAATAGGTAGGGCAGGTTGGTGTGCCGTGTGAATTTACGAGTGATACTTGCCTGCGTTTGACTTTTTGTGTGCGCACCATCCTGTCATCGTCAGACCACGACAATTTCTGAACATCAAATCTGCGTGGTGGATGATGGAGGATGTGTGGAGGGTTTTTATAAACATGCATGAATCCTCGTTTTTTAACATGCAAAGGAAACATCTACTACCCTGAGTGACAGAAACTAATATAAAGACGTATTGACTGAAATACACGCTCAGGTAACTGCTGGATAAAGAGGTGCATTACCAAACTTTGCACTCTCAGGTGTGTGTGTTTGCTCTTCTTTATCTGTGATGTTTGTGCATCAAATACTACTCGACAGATTTGGCTCTCCTGTGAGCGTTCCACCTGCAAGTGTCTGTGTGTTCAGAGGAATTAAATAGTGCCGTGGAAAGAATCTTGAAATGCATCGTTTGAAATTTGGAGGTCTGTTTTAATCCATCTCTGTGGCTGTCAGATGAGCTGCTGTCAGATTGTTTAGACCTCTCGCTCTTGTATTATTTTCCATTGACATCATCTCCTCTCTTCTCCTTTTATCCAACCCAGACCAGAGAGAAAAAGAGCGCGAGACCCGTCTGCAAGAGCTCCGCAACCAGAGAGACGAGCGAGCGCAGAAGAGTCGGGCCGGGGTCGGCGCAGGAGAGGTGGTGATGAGGAAGGTGGAGAAGTCTGCAGATGGCTCCAGTCTTAGTCAGGTCACTAAAACAGACCGCTTCGCCCAGTCAGGTAGTTATTTCTCTTATTTTTATTCACAGTGACGGGAAAAGAGTACAAAATCAGATTTGTGTCAAAAATAATCAAACAAAATAAGAATTTGAGAGAGAATAAAACTCACTGAAGCAGAAAAAAAGTCATCTCAAAACTAAAAACTTGTAACTTGCAAACAAAGTATTTGTGCAGTTGTGTAAACTTCTGCTCTTTTTCTTTTTGTCATATAACCTTTTGTTTACAGTTTCCTCTGTTTATTTCTCGCTGACCAGATTTTTGCTCTCGCTGCCCGTTTTACAGTCTCGCTGACAGCTCTCTCATTTGCGCTCCCTGAGTTTTTGTTTTTGACAGAGACCTCTGATAGAATGTAGTAGGTTATATTTCTGTACAAAGTGAATCCACGCTGTCAAAATATGAGCTGGCAGCAGTTTGTGACTCCAAAAAATCTGAATTGTAACCAGAGTTATAACTGGATGCATTTTTCCCCAACAGCGGTTTTTCTGTCTGCTGAAATATGCATCCACCTGTAATACTGATTCTTTGTATAATAATAAGATTGTATTTTTGTTTGATGTAGAAAAAGTTTTGTTTGATTATTTTTGACTCAAATCTGATTCCATAAAAGAGCGATCAAACTGTTGAGTGCTTGAATAAACGATAATGTGCGTTTGTGTTCAGATGATGGGAGTCGATCATCACGCAGCACTGTTGTTGAGGCCAGTTATGTGCAGAAAACAGACAGTAAGTCAAGATTTCATTTTCATCTCTGGCCCCCTTTATTGATATATCGTACATTATTTGATTCTCTGTTTGTGTGTTTGTTATCTCAGGGGGGACAGTCCAGTCAAAGTCATACAGCTTCACATCCTCCACATCATCTTCGTCCTCCAATACAAGTAAAAAAGTGGGCAGGTGAGTTGAAATTCAACACAACAAAAGCTCAGAATCCATCCGCTTCAACAGCTAACTTTTAATGGATATCTTTGTTCAGCGTGTTTGACCGAGAGGACGATTCATCATCTCGTAGCGGAAGCAGCGGGTTGGCCGCCGTGGAGCGAAAGCAGGCAGAGAGGCGTAAGGAGCTTATGCGGGCTCAGACTCTTCCGAAAACCTCCGCTATGCAGGCCCGCAAAGCCATGATCGAGAAGCTGGAGAAGGAGGGAGGCGGGTGAGGATAAACAGAGAGATCTCGCTACCAAAGAAAGAGAAGGAGTCAGGTCTGATTATGTAAATACCAACACCAACCTCACTTTTCTTTCAGCCCTGGAAATCAAGCGGTCGCCAAGGTAAACAAAGTGCAGCGCTCCACCAGCTTTGGTGTTCCCAACGCTAACTCCATCAAGCAGATGCTTCTCGACTGGTGCCGCGCCAAGACTCGCTCATATGAGGTGAGCAAAACCAGCCCGCTGTGGACCGAGCGCTTATCTCTTGATTCAGATGATTAGAGCGAGAAAAGCTGAGACATTAATATTCGACCTCAGGAAAGTTTCCATCACGTCCCTCTCAACGACAGCCTCATTTATTCACTTTATCTCCTCCTCAGCATGTGGACATCCAGAACTTTTCCTCCAGCTGGAGCAACGGCATGGCTTTTTGTGCCCTGGTTCACAATTTTTTCCCAGAAGCCTTTGACTACAGCAGCCTGAGCCCCAGCAACCGCAGGCAAAACTTTGAGGTGGCTTTCAGCACTGCCGAGTGAGTAAACAGAAAAGAAGCTGTCATTTAACGTGGTAACGTGAGCACTAACGACATTTATTCCTTCAGTTTTCTGTTTGTTTGAAACTCGTGTGAAGTGAGAATCTGTGAAACTCTGCAGTTAAACTGTGAAGAAAACCAGCAGGAGAAGATTCAGCGGGTTTAACTTTCCTGTTCGGCTGAAGATCGACAATTTCTTCAACCTGAGGCGTTTGTGGAGTGAAAACACAATGAAAGACAAACAATCCAAGCCGCTCACAACTCAAATCTACACTTCCTCTCTCTTTGCATTTTACAGATTTTTACACACTTCCTTCATTCCTCTCCACTTCAAGCTTTATTCCCCCACATGAGTCTGAAACACAGAGACAAGCCAAAGCTCCTCAGCTGATTCTCTGAGGGTTTACTATTTCTGTTTTTCCCAGGTGTATCGCGCCGACTCAAGGCTGAGCGAAGCCTTATTACTGTTTCCACCTCTAAACCTCCACTCTCCGTCTGTTTCCTCCATCATGTGTAACTACTGTGACACCCTCCATCCACTCTAATCCAGAGAGCCATGAGCAAACTGTCCCCAAACAGCCACCAGGTTAAAAAAAAAAACGAGAATCCTTGGCTCCACCTCTCCTTTTTCTCTCTACTCTCTTTTTTTCTCGTCTGTTTCATCTTTTTTCTCATCACACACTTCACACTTTTTGATGCTTCTCCACACCTTTCGTGTGTGCGTGTGTTCACATACCCTCCAGTAGGATGATGTCTATCGTACGGCACCAGACTGTCATCGAACCACAGCCCCCGTCTTTCCACTTTTTGTGTTGCATTTTCACTCACGCCCCCTCTTCAGTCACTCCCAGCGGTTTGTTATCTGGAATCCCCACACACACTCTCACACACACACACGTTACCCTGTGCACCGGTGTGTTAGTAGACTCACCATATGTATGTATCTTTATTTATTCTAGTCCTTGTTGTTTTTTTCACTGTGACTTGTTTTTCTGTCAGAACAAAGTAGCCGTGAGATCGTCTTCAGTTTCTCTTAGTGCACCGAAAAAAACAACAACAAACAAAAAGGCTGAATGAGCATCAGCTGACGCTCATTTGACGTTTTGTTTTGTTTATGTATTTGTGTGTCTGTCACATGCTGAATGTGTCGTGATGTTCATGAAGCATGTCTACTCATGGATACATTTGTCACCACAGAGAATGTAATGTTTTTGTTTCTCTTTATGTCCTCTCTCTCTCTCTCTCTCTCTCTCTCTCTCTCTCTCTCTCTCTCTCTCGACCCTGAATCTTTGACATTTGGCTGCTCACGGCTTTATCTGTTTTTTTGTCCCTCCTCCTTCCTCTCCTTCCACCTCTATCTCTGTCCTCTCTTCATTTCTCCCTGGTTTGTTCTGCTTTTCCTTCTTTCCTCTCTTCTTCCACAACCTCCCCCGCCTCCCTGCCGGGTGCGGGCGCACAGGAAAATGGTGGACTGTCCTCAGTTGTTGGATGTGGACGACATGGTGAAGATGCGCGAGCCGGATTGGAAGTGTGTGTATACGTACCTGCAGGAGTTCTACAGGGGTCTGGTGACCAAAGGCCTGGTTAAAACCAAAAACTCCTCCTAGAGTCCCCACCTTATACTGAACCCATGGTGAGAGGGGGGGCGCCAAAGAAGGAACGCCACATTCTGGGGGGTGTATAAGTGTGTGTATCTACAGCTGATTGAGTTAATATATAAAAACATATATTCATGTTCATCTGAAATGACGAGGATCCACAGAACCAAACATGGTGTTTGTGTGTGTCCATGTGTGTGTGTGTCCATGTGTGTGTGTTTCGACAAAGCCAGAGTATGGCTCAGGCAGATAGCCAGGACCATCCGCAGCATAACGCTTTAAAAGGACCTGCTGCTCAGGGATGTTTCAAACAGGAGAGCTGAGAAAGAAAACAGAGAGCAGAGCGGCGGTGTTGTCCAGCGACTTGATCAAATAGAAGTTTACAGGTGTTTATACACTCGGTTTGAAAAGCTTTTTCAGATACCCGAATAGTTAAATGCAGAGTGACTTGTGTCTGCAGTTCATTAAATTACACAACAGATTAGATGTAGTTTACATTTGGGATTAAACCTCACTCTGTTAATGACGCTGTCTTTAAGAGTTTACTGTCTGTGCAGATAATGCCACCTTGTGGTTTATTCTGATTATCAAACATGAGATTTTTAAACAGATGGACTTCATTTCAGTTATTTAGATCTCCGTTAGCTCTGGCTAAGGACATTGCTATTCTTCCTGGAGTCTACATTTACAATTAGCTCTTCATCGCAGTGCAAAGACACAAAAAAAAAACCCATCACGCCACAAACACAAAGACAACGTTGATAACCACAACAACTCACAACAGCCTACAAGACAAAAGCAAAACAACAAAACTAGAATAATACAAACAACATACACATGTAACTGGACCTTATTCATTTAAATATTAACATACATTCGACATAGTTGAATTAATTTACAGAAACAATACCCAATACTTAAGCAGACTTCAGATATTTCAGGTAAATCAGACAAACACTGATTGATTCTACAAAGTAGCGTCATCTAACTAAAGAGCTTTTTGACTAATAAATGTTCTTTTACTAGATCTTTAAATCTGTATTTGTTGTGTTCTTGGATAATTTAATATCACCATGGCCTTACACAGTACTGTACTTTCATCTAGTTTGTTTTTACTTTGGGTAAGGTGACTTTAACCTCCGTAGCATGTCTTAAAAGCTTAGTTTTTAAGTTTATTCACAGAGATCTTTAAAAGGTCTTTAAGTGGTTTAAGAAAGCTGGAGACAAAAAAGGGATTAAGAATATAAAGGGAAAGTCGAGGTTTTCAGTGTGAATGTGGGGCGGCATTAGTGGTGATTATAGATGATTAAATGTGAAACCAAAAAAATATCCTCCTCCTCCTCCTCTGTTTCTGTGGTTCTCTGGTCTTCTCCTCCCTCCCGTCTCTTCATCCTCCTCTTCCTCACAAACTGTTTTCTCTCTTTTCCTCAGGACCTGTGTAAACTGCATGCCTCTGCTGGAAGTGGAGGACATGATGATCATGGGAAACAAACCCGACTCCAAGTGTGTCTTCACCTACGTACAGTCTCTGGTTAATCACCTGCGCAGATACGAGATGTCCATGGGTCGGCCCTGTGACCTCTGACCTGTGAGCGTTTCACCTGTCCCCTCCATCTCGCCATCCTTACCTGATGATGCCCTGCTAAAGACAGGCTCTGTCACCGAGTCACACGTCTCTGACGGACCATTCAAGACGATGTTTGTGTGTGTTTGTGTGAGTTTGTTCATTATCTTTGTTGGCAGCGGTCGTGTGTATTCATTATTTCAGTTCTTCACACAGGCAGTCCAGGGCGCCAAAGGTTTTTTTTAAAAGACATCCCTCGAAGCTTTAAGATTTTACTCTTTTTATTGAATTGTACTTAAACTCACTTTTATATCGGCTGATATTTAAAATCCAGAGTCTGTGTCACAGCACTACTGTACAGAAAACACACCGAGAGAGGAAAGAGAAACTTTTTTGGTATTACCCCCTTTAAGTTATTTAAACTTTCACTTTTTCTCTGCTACTCTTTTTTAATTATTATAATTTTTCTAGTATTACAGGCGGTAAATGACCGAGAAAGAGCCTCACAACTCTGTGATAGCATCATGTGGTTATTCTGGTACTATTTCTTTTTTTTACCAAACTTTAAGTAAGTTATTATTCTCATGACGACGTTCTCTGTCAGATTTTGATATTTAATTCATGAGCACAGGGATGTTCTTTTCTTCACTCTTCAGATGAATGCATTGTTGCAGTGAACTGCTGAGTTATCTCACCTTGTTGAACCTTACAGTGCTACTGAGAACTTCTTTAAGATTCTTTTAGACGCGCTTGCAGTCCAACAGACTCTTTTTTTCAGGTCAAAAGGTTAAACCATATGAGTGTTTACATTCAGTCAGACAGCTGATTGTATCATCACTCGGTGTTGGCTGCTGCTGATCTGCCGTAATTGTACAAACACGAAAACAGCCCAGCCCTGCCGAACACACTCACACAGCTCTGTTAGAGGGCCCCCCCGTTTATGCTTCAGCTGATTTTGTTTTTTAAATATAGATATCTGTCTGTTTTAGTGTTTATTATGCTTCTAAAAGTCCAGTTTAAAGTGAGTCAGGGAGCTAAAGCTACGACAGTGTTTTGTGAAACAAATAGGGATAAATGTAATGAGAAGTTTTATAAGCCTGATGAAAGCCAACTTCCTTTTGAGACGTGAGTAATCAAGACTAAACAAAGCTATTAATTGTAAATTTTATGGTTTGAAGCATAAAAATTTTTAAATGAAGATTTTTATTCTGCTTGTAAAATTAAGATTCTTTGGAAAGATGTTTAAAGTCTGACTGTTTCAGAGTTAAGTTCGACTAAACTTATTTCATACGACTCTGTTTAAGCTGAATTTGAGAATTTATTTGAGAATTATTCCACACTGCCGACTGAGAAATGATGTATCTTCCAGGAAGCGGTGAGAGCTGTACATAAGAGCTTAAACACATTATAACGAAATGTTTCTGTGCACCACAGTTAAATGTGAACAGACATTAAAGCTGTTTGAGGAACGAATGAGTTTGTGGTGGATTATTGCTCCGTTTCTGAATCACTGATGTAGATTTTTGTGCAAACTTACACTCACACTTTTCTCAAGTTCAACAGTAAAGACTCATCAAACCACGAGCTTTCAGTGATGAAAGGATCAGATAAACAGAGATATTTTTTAATGTTTTATTCCATCATTTCCCTCTTTGAAACACCTCAGACTTGACTCCTCTTGTGTGCGCGAGTCCAACCCACTGGAACAAGTAGCATCAACCTCAGGCCTGTCCGACAGTTTTCAGCCTGAGACTTCATTCAGTTTCACAGCAGGTACAGAACAATTACACACACAAGAGAACTCAAACTAGGCAAAGACCCGACAGACAGCTGATAAATCAAAACACACACACACACACACACTTCCAGTATCTATGTGAGGAGTAGAAAAGTACACACAAAGTGACCTGTTGGGTTCTTATCACTGCAAAGCAAAGAAGAAACAAAGACATGTGCAAATTCAGACCTCAGACCTTTTTAAAGGTCTTTTGCTGATGCTAAAATTCCATCCTTGCCCAAACACTGCTCCATGATCTGCCGGCCTTATATCAAAAATGACAGACATCTCCGTCATGGACTGCAGAAAGCAGCTGGTCATGGAGCAGCTATGGGGCAGAGTGGTCCTGTGAGGTTTCTACTTTTCTCCGCCCTGTTAGGTTAAAGGTCAGTATGCTCGACCTCTGGGTCTTGCTCTGAGGAGGTGCTCTCTGTGACCAGAGAGGAAGTGGCAGGTTTGTGTGCCGGCTCATCTTTGAATGGGCTGTCTTTGGCAGGAGAGAAGCGGAACTCCTCTGGCACCTCATCCTGAGCTTTATCCTTCTTGTAGAAGCCGAGCTTCCCCATCAGCTCGTTGATCTCAGAGCGGGTCATGTCAGAGAGAGCGATCCGCTGAAGGACACGGGTTAAACAGAGATTCCAGGGTAAATGTCAACGTCTGTCACTGTTAAAGCTGCATCACATTTAACCAAGTTGATGAACAGGAGCATGTGATTATGAGCTCTTTGAAAGCAATCAGAGGTGAATGTTCATTTATATAAAAAGTAAATATAAATTTGATATAGTTTTATCAATAATTTCCCGTTGCCATGCTAAAGTATATGTGTTTTTTTCTCATCTGAGTCGTTCTGCCGACTGTGAAGTTTGGTATTAAGGTTCTGCCCCCTTGTGGCCACAAAAAGTATTGATATCTTAATTTCTCCATCATGGCTTTAGTCTCATTTTGAAATAAAATGTATATATCAAGCAACATTCATTTAAGAAGCTGCTATAAAATGACATTTTGAGCCACTTACTAGTTGGACTGGAAATTACACATTTAGTTAGACAACCTCCCCTTAACCTAGAACAATATTGCCGGCTGATTTTCATCTGACCAAACACGTTTACGTGATTATTATGATATTGTGTTTGTCTGAGTATCATGGGTCCCTGGATTATCCCGGGTTTATTATTTCGAGTAAAAATCACCCAATAGCAATAGTGATGGTGTTACTAATTTTAGTGATAGTGCTCTAGGGTTAAGTATCGTTTTAGCATTGGTCCAAACCTGGATCAATAATATAACAGCATATTATGACTGGATTACATTATAGCTTTCCTATTAAATAATATCATACCTATAAGGAGTACTGAGTGCACTATAGAGGAACTACTTACATCCAGCTCTTCAAAATAATGGTTCAGAAGAACAAGCTCAGGATCGGCCCCGGGAATGTGCTTCATCACCAGGTTATGGCTGAGGTAACGACCGTCAAGGAACGGCATAGAGGGAAAATTACAGAAATTAAACATGCATTAACAAGCACATTCAAGAAACAAGAGTGTACTTCTTGAGTCAAAGGATACTAGAGAGGAATGTCTTCGACCACAAAGGCTTTGACCTGCAGACAGACAGAGGAGAGGGTTAACGTTTGTCACTCAGTGCTGCTTTCACTGACAGCTCTGTGGGGATTATCTGAAACCTTAGATAGTAGAAAGTAAAACGTTACACAGTGAGGAAATGCTCTTAGGCAGGGATTAGGCCCCAGTATCCTCATACACTTGCTCTCGGTGTTCAGAGTGGTAACTTACCTCTCTGAGCCTGTTCAGCTGTCATCCACCACATGACTGCAGAGAGACAGAACATAAGGGACAGGAGGACATGATTACAAGAGGCTCTCCAACCGAGAAAGTAGGACACTTTGATTAGGAACGATAACTGACATCTATGCCACTTAAATATGTAAGCATGCAGGCCTTTGTGCAGTGACTTTCTTTATTGAATTTCTTACACAGAAACACTTCAGTGAGTCTTAAAAGCTGTGATACCACCACAGCATTGAATCTTTTGTGAAGCCCAGGTTTAGTCCTCTGGGAAGAAGGCCTGACACCTTTTTTATGGAAATCTGAGCCTCGCACCTTCTACCTTTAGCGGTAGGGCTGTGATTCACACAACAAAAGCAACAGATAAATGCTGGCAGGGTGGTGGCTAGTGTCACCCTGGGGTAAAGAGCTTAGTTTCTCACATCATGAGGGGTAGAATTACAAAGTTTAGAAATCAGATCCCCTGGCGATGAAAAACCTTTTGTCTGAGTCGTCCCAGAAACTAAATCCAACTGTTGCAGATTTGTAAGTATTACGATTCTTTCTAGTCTATACCCATGATATTAGACTGTAGATACCACACATATTGGGTAGGGCTGGGCCATAAAATGATGATGACACATATAGAAAATGAATTTCCCTCAATATCAATATGAAACATGATCAATCTGCCTTCCAATAGTCGGCATTCTGCCATGTTTTGGTAGACTACACAAATAGCCAATAAAAAGGAGTCTAGGAGCCATAATGATGCTTTGCTTATCGGTTATCCTGTGTTCAGTTACTTTTGTCTTGTTGCTACTGGTTCTGCTGGGTTTGGGTCGCATGGGCACTGTGTTTGAAAGCCGTTAAGTTATATAAGGAGCAGTCTCACCTGCACTGGGGTGGAGAGGTGAGCCTAGGTAACTGTGATTTTTGTTGACCGCGCTTTACGTTCTTTGTTTCCTATAATACATGTCGCAAAGTGTACACGTTCTCTATCTGATGTGCGCGCGTAAATCATTGGCGATTGTGGAAGCATTTTTTTTACAGGACCTAGTCTCTGCCTCAAGTGACTTTCAAAAGGTACTAGGAGAGCCGCAATAAGGAGGGTTGCTCCAGGGCCGTGTCGTGCTGAACCAATCATGAGATGAATTAAAAGTAGAGACCAACAGCGTAGTAACAGGCCGCAGCTACACACAACCATAGCACTTTAACACGTGAAGCTGACAGCACTGTGGGTGAGAAAAAAAGAAAATGAGTGCTACCCACGATGAAGGCTCAACAGATGACATCCTCCACAACACTGGCATGAAAATGTCTGTGGTGTGGAGGTATTTTGTTTTTTTGAGGTCGGACATGAAGCAGATTAATGTGCAAATTATGTCGAGTACATGTTCTTACAAAGTCGCCACCTGAAGCAGTACTATGCACAGAACGCGTGCAATGCAGTGCCTGTGCAGTGCCTGTGCAGCCAACCATTCAGTCTACTTTCTCTAGTGCAACGCCTTATGACAAAACGTCAAAGAGACACAAAGACCTCACAGATGCAGCAGCTTATTGTATTGCAAAAGACATGCTACCAATAAACACTGTTAATTTTCATTTTTTATATCCTGATATATATTGATATCGACTGATATTAAAAAAATATATCGTGATAAACTTTTTGTCCATATCGCCCAGCCCTACTATTGGGTCTCATTCAGCTCTACTCATACTACTTCCCTAAAAGATGCTCTCACGCATGCGCCTTACCCGGTAATCTATGGACCAAAACGCACCAGTTCACTGGTTTTCCGGAATCAGGCTCAGTAAATCGAGTGAAAATCTCAGTCATATGTCAATTCAGTGTGAAGTTCGGTGAAATCTAAGGCTGCTAAGATACTGTACCTCCACCCTCGCCTTCGCCAGCCCCTCCAGCTTCTTTAGATCCACATCGTAGGCGGAGGCGCAGTGAAGTAAACCGGCCAACACGATCAGCCACATTATGTCTCCCGGTTCAGGTCAGAACCAGGACTCAGCTGTGCTCAAGGACCAGCACGGACCCGTGGACGTGTTTCAGGTAACTGAGCTGCACGGAGAAATCGAGACGATGATGTGTAGCTATGTCACATCCGGATCTCTGCCACGTCAGATTTCTCCCCAACAGGACACGGAGAAGGAGGGAAGGACGGGAGGGAGCTGATTGGATATCCTGGAGATCCCCAACAAGATACAGATAATCCCACAAATCTGATGTATAATCTCTGATTAATCCTCGCAAATGTTATCATTTAATAGTGTTATAAATGAAGCCCAACAGTCCCTACTTATCCCTCCATTCATACACTTCTCTTACTTTCTATTTTCTCCCATGCTACAGAAGTTGTTCGTTTTTATAGAAGTTAAATAGTTTCAATGAAAAAAAGTGTTTAAAGCTCCTGTTAGAAATTTTTGGTTTGTGTCAACTTTGGCGCCCCCTGTAGTCAAAGCATTCTTTCTTTATCATGCCCTTCTTGAAGGGATATTCCGAGATGCTAAGGCAGAAGAACTACCGCGTCTGCAGTGCAAAATGATTAATATGGTGATTATTACTTCAAGGAAGTGATGAAGTAAGGATCATAAATGTTCTTCCTTGAGCTGCGTCACCCCGCTGTAGTCGGTAATGCACTCGTCTGAGGTCTCACTACAAACAAGCGGCTGCTGGAAGAGAGTAGGTGAGTTGTATTTAGTCTCTTTGCTAAAGAAATTAGGCAAAGTTAAAAAGATGTTTGATGGCTAGTACTATGGCTGGGACCCTATATGTACTGTTGATGAAGTTAGGTGCTGTTCTGAGCATTATTTGTGGCTATAGGGTGGTGTTTTGGTTGAGGTTTGTTTATGGCTCCTCAGACCGCTGTGTATTGCTATAGTGCGGTCGTTACTAAAGTTGGTATAACTAGAGAAGCAAGCGGTCGGCAACATTCATCTCTCAAGGGGGTGTCTAACTCAGTGTTACAGTGTTACAGTGTATTTGACTCTAAATTAATTTTACACTGGAATATCCCTTTAAAATCCTGCTGATTTTTTTTTTTTTTGTCAGATCTGTTAATTGTAAAACAGGGCTGTTTCTTCACCTGCTCCCTCCTTGCACCAGTTTTAAGGAACTAGAAATGTTGATATACAAATCATCCGTCTTGTCACTTATGGTCCCGTTTACTTTTGAATAACACGGAGAAAGGCGTTAATATGAATTTCAGTCAGTTCCATTAATGTAAAAAAATTACTCACAGTCGTTTCAAATCTTTAATTTATTAAAAATGAGTGATCATTAGCCATCAAACACAACAAAGAGTAACACAGTCAAATGTTTTTGTGATCATTATATGTGATACACCTTTTCATGTCAAATTATGTGACGTGCAGCTTTAAAGATTTCAGTGAAAAAATGGAGCACTCACACCACCCTCATTTAAATCCAGTGACACACTTATTTTCAGCCTCCGAGCATCTATGTTAAGCACTAATGTTAAGAAACAAGGGTGTTTGATTGGGTTGGAAAAGAGGTCTGAGTATATGGGACCCTCATGTTAGACAGGGCCATGTGTTTAACAGTGGAAAGCTGCTAATAGAAGAGGGGGGGTTTGAATTTTTGTAAACTAAATTGGAAACCCATAAATAATAATAATAATTATAAATTGAAGCCTGTTTAAGAGTCCTTAAACTGTTGTTTAAACCTAAGGTTAGACCTAAGATCTGACTTGATTTAATAAAGATCGAGCTCAGGGAGAGCTTAGTGGGAGTAAAACACAGTTTTAGTTTTAATGCTCACCTAACAAGATTGACCCTTGACCCCGTTTGTTGCTCTTGCTCCTCCATTTTCAGATTGAACTACTGGAAATGTGCCATAAACAGACAGCTGAGGGCCTGATTTCATTAGATTTTTTTGTCTTGACATAATGTTCTCACATAGGGCCATTTGAAAGACAGGTGCTCCTGTTTTACAACCTTCAGATTTAAATATTACACACTTCGCAATACCAACCACTAGGTGGCGGTGGTGCGTAAAGCATAGACCGTAATTATGTAGAGCAGCTCTTCCAAATTTACGCAGGTGAAAGGTAGCAATAAGGTCGGCACACGGCTGAGGTTAACGGATAATTTTTATTAGTACTGTCATGGTAACCAGATATTAATCATTGACCGAGTTTGCGACAGAGCGTGGCGAATTATCTGTTCAAAAATAGAGCAGCCATGTTTGTAGGCGTCGCTGCCATTTCTACCTGCTGTGTTTCTGAGCTCCTCTGACTCAGACTTCACTGTTTTTATTCTCAGACCGTTGGCAGGAAGGCACAGGCAGAGGCAGCGGCTGGTTTACGGAAGCGCTCTCGTGTCTTCGTTCATTTTTGAAGGGCACGAGACAGGACACACACAGAGAGAGGCGTGTGCGCGTGCAGCTGCAGACGGAGACGTTTGTATTACCGACATGTAGCGTGCCTGTTCAAATCTGTCGCGAGCATCTCTCTCTCTCTCTCCCCTCCAAAAACCCACCTGCTCCTCCTCACAGAAATCAGGGAGAAAAAGGAGGAAGGTGCAGCGATGCCGATGGTTTCATCCGGAGAGGAAAGTTTAGAGTGTTTTTCTCATTTTTAAGGTTACCTGTCCACCGAGGCAACGGACCCACTGTCCTCGACATCTGCAGAGACCGTTTCCTCATCACCCATCTGGCGTTTAAAACTCACCAAAACAGGTAACGGGGATAATTTTATGCATTATTCTGCTTTTTACAATGAAGTTCTGCTGCTATTTGTGAGTGTTAGTTATTATAAAACAAACCAACAAGGCAGGAAATACTGTCTACTTCTGTGTTTTAGTGAAAACTGACCCTCATGTTTTTGTTGTGTATTGATCCACTCCTTAAAGGTGTGCTCAGCAGAATTTCTCTTATGTTTTACCATCATCATAATCAGGGAGTCAGACAGTAGAGATATGCACTCGCAGAAAGTCTGTCTCTGTTATTTCCTCCCTCATCCCTGACACACACACATACACACACACAGCATGCACACTCAGGCACCCATGACTTTGATCATATCTGATGGCAAAACATTGAATAAACACAACCTTCACCCTTGTCTTATGCCTGGAAAATTGTCCTTGAAGTTTGAGTGTAACTATGGCAGATACTTCATCTGCTGCTGCCCTCTTTCTGCCCAGATCAGACATGTCAGTGTAGAAATGTGTGCATCCATCATGGGCTAAATACTAGTGCTCTGTAAATATAAGGTAGAGCTGTAGTTTGCATAACGGTTCGCACAACTGACATCAAATATCACCAAAAATGGTCTTGTTGTCTGGCATATTTGCATATCTACCTGCCATAAGCTGTTTTACATGATTGAATCTTCTTTCAAATATGTAATTGTCTGTAGATTTTGCATGCTTATCCTTATATGGCACCATTTCTCAGTGCAGAATGTATTCAGTCTGTGGTAAGATGGGTTTATAAGATGTATGGCATTAGTTGCACAGGGTCATAATTAGGCTGCAAACATGATGTTCAGTGACGACTCTACATTCCCAAAACAATGATGGACTGATATCAACTCACCTAACAGGTTTTTTTTTCGCCTGAAAAACCACAGCTGTAATTTGTGCATTTTTCTTAAATCCTATTTCCTTATCAGTGTGTTACTTGACAGGAAGGCATATTAATGAAATGAACCAACAGCTCTGTAAGATCGTCCTTTATTTTCATGCACATGTAGACATCTGTACACAGTCACTGCTTGATCTCATGCTCCATGTTTGTTATTTAATTAGATTACTTAAACTGGGTTAATTTGCAGACAGGTTATGTTGGACTAAAAAGAATATACAGAGCATCCCAATTACTGGAAATTGTTCAATGTATGCATGAAAAATATTCCTGCTTGGTTCTCCTCCACAGAGAGCCGCTGAAGCAGAGTGAAGCCTCAGTAAATGTTTCCGTTTGGCTGATTTCAGTAATTGTTAATTGACAGATTTTGAAACTGCAATAAAATTTTGCAGAGCAGACATTATTCAGCGTGTTGTCAGCACATGGCTTTAGTGTTACAGTGTAAGGCGAATCATCCTGACATCCTCCAGCCTGATGGGGCCTGTTGGATACAAAGGAGCAGGATACACAGTGGCACTAGGACCTGGAGGAGCCGTCTACAGCTGTGGCAGCAGCTGCCTGTGTCATTTCTGTCCAGGTCATCATTAGTATCCCTGTCACAGGGGCATATGGCCCTGGAGGCCCCGAACACTAACACTCTACTTGGCTGTAATTTTAATAACAAACTCCGGAGAGGTGTGTGGAGTGTGAATCATACTGTGGTTGGAATCACAGTGACAGCAGGAGGCGGAAACGTGGGTTAAAATGATCAAATGTGAGACAGATATGCTAATAAACATTTGTAACTGGAGATGTAACGCCATGACATGTGACCTTTGACCTTTTTAGTGCAACAATATGCAAAACAAACCACAACAATCCCACTGAAGGGGCAGGTCTGCCGCTTTCTGGGTTGCATCCTCCTTGTTTCTCTCAACCCCACCCCCAGGACAGTGCATGTAAACACCATGACACATTTGTTATTTTCAAATTATTTCCCTCTCTTCTCTACAGAATATGAAGTGTTAGTCTGACGTTACTGTTCCCGGTGAGACAAATATTTGGCTCCCGCTCTGTCATTTGCATTAGCAGCACATACATTTTTGTATGAGAAAGATTAACTGTGCTAAATTTGGACTTGGGCTGCAAAAAATGTAGAACACAGAGAACCCACTGCATGTGCTACCTCCATATCTTATCTCTCACACATGCTCTCCTTCCCATGGTCCCCTCCCCTCTCTTTCTTTCTCTTTCCCATGTACCCGCTCACACTCCAATGCACATCAGCGACAACTATGATCTACGTCCAGTTGTTTTGACGCTGGCTGCTAGGACTGTGGCTTATTGACGTCATTTAAAGTGACTGTTAGGTGGTTGGCTGAAGGAAACAATACAGAGAGCGTCGCTAGAAGAGCTCAAGTGTCACCTCAGAGCAGAGGCTGAATGGGAAAGGAGAGCAACAAAAACGATTTTAGGTCGAGAGGGAAAATGACGGCGTGTGAAAACGTACAAAGAACTGTTGGGGCGAACATTTAAATGGCCGTAAATGTGAAGGTGGGCAAGATGGAACAACAGAGTCTGGGAGAAGATGTGGAGAGAGTGGGATTAGAGAAATGGAGCGATAAGAGAGAGAGGGGGGATTAAAGCTTGGAAAAATAGACAGTGCCACAGGGAAGTGTGAGAGGATCAATTTGGAGACGTTCTGCAAAGAGACACAGCGCTGTCACTGAATGGGCTGTCTCGCTCTCGCTTCCCTCGCCTCGTTTTGCACCCACCCACTCCCACGTGTGCCCAATCGCCCTCCCACACTCCCCTCAACAAAATACCATACATGGACCATAAGAATACATCATGCCAGCCCAGCACTAGGTTATTGGTGGACTGAAAGACCCCCGTGTTTCTGGGTGCATGTTGAGTGCCGAGGCAGCCCTCCTCTCATGGCCCTCGTCTCTTCAAGGTCATGTGAATAATTATAAGAGAGTGATGTTTCTCCCCGAGCGCATGACCTCACTCTGTTTTCTAACAAAGAGCGTGTAAGGACATCTTTTTGATCATATACAGAATACAATGAGTAAACATCAGGAAGGGTTTTTTTCTGGTCAGCTCTCGTGTGTCACTACTACAACCACTGACTTATGGATCTGGGTTGAGTCGCTTCAGCATTTCGCCAAAATCAGCTGTTCCTTTAGGCTTGGACATTTTCAATAAGCAGATAACTATGACTCTGTCTGTATCTTATATTTTGATGTGACATCCAAGTAAAATTTTTGTTACAGTGTCATCTTAAGGGATGAAATTTATGGATGCGACGTCTTATTTTCTATTTGATTCAGTCGTACGGTGCTCTTGTTTACGGTCATTAAGACTTCTCCTACTTGACTGATTTTTTTGTTTGAATCTGATTTTTTGTAAACAAACTGTTGTTACTGTAGCACAATTCGAACATTTTTTACACAACAATTGGATCGACTGCATGTAATGGCAGAGATTTCTTCTTTTTTTATCTTCCAGCTCTGCTCCTCTCTCTCTTTCTTGTCGTTTATTTCCATGTGGTTGACTTTTGCTGTATTGGCCTGTGCGGCGCTCCTCGTGTCAGTGTGTGGCAGGTGCTGATATGAACTGACTGAGCATCTCGATGGCTATTGGGGGACTGCCAGGCGACTTACACACACACTTTAGTGGATGATAAACTGTGTCCAGCCCCTTTTTCCACCCATCCAAATCCTCCCTCTGAAAGCTCTGAAAATTCAGGACAGGAGGAGGTACATCCCTTCATGTCTCTGCTGCTGTTTGTATTTTATACCACAGACTGTTGTTATGTAGAATAGTGCTCCGTTCTAACAATCTTGCTCATTTTCCAGTGTGTATTTCCAAACATCAGATGTGTGCAGCCGCACTCATTTGATTTCAAGGCAGGTAACCGAACAGTCATGAAGGTTGGAGTCTGAGTGACTCACTCGGTTGTCCTGTTGGGTCAACAGGGTCTCATGACTCACCAGCCGGACTGACTGACTGTCTTTGTGAAGGAGGCTGCATGTTATTCAGTCCTTTGTCTTAATGGTAGATATCCTCTTCAGACCCTTTTGGCCTCTTTTTCTAATTTATCATCCCCATCAGATTTTTATCATCTCTACAGAGACTCTGCTTTGATTCTGAGTCTTGTGTAAGATCTCTCAGACAACTCTGATGTCTCTGTCAGCGGTCGGCAACATTCATCTCTCGGGGGGGTGTCTAACTCGGTGTTATGGTGTTTTTGACCCTAAATTAATTTTAGGCCGGAATATCCCTTTAAATTCCTGAAATGCAAACCTGAATTACTCAGTTCAAAGTTAAATCTTTCCTGTTTGCTTTTGTTGCAGAATCCCTGAGAAATGGACCAAGATAGTCCGAGCCAAAGCCAAACAGCAGAAGAGAGCCCAAATAGAGCAGCAGAAGCTTCAACAACTCCAGCTCCAACATCAGGTACAGAAGCTCCAGCCTCTCAAGCCACCTCCACCCAGCCTGCTGCACCCGGGAGACCTCGAAGGCCACAGAGAAGTGCTAGAGTCGAGGGCTCTGTAGACGTCTCTGAACCTAAATTAGAGCCCAAAGCGGAGCCCTCTCCTGAAGCCAACAAGGATGAGTGCACTCCAGATGGGTCGGTGCCAAGCAAGCCTAAACCAGCTCGTTCTGCAGCAGGCAAGCCAGCAGGAGAGCACCCCGGCCCTGGCATTAAAGCAGGTCCTAAAGGTGTAGGGCACCACCCTGTTAGAGCTGCCTCAGTCCCTCATCCACCTGCCAGCAGGCCTGTGCCCCCTCACCTGAACCCTCATGCACAGAGAGCCCTCTCTGTCGCTGGGACAGCCGACACTCAGGCCCAGATTATCGAAGACTTCAGGCAAGTTTTCTCTTCTGTGAATCAACATTCATGTCTCGGCACGTCTGCACCTTTTTGTTCCCATGCAGCTGAGAAACATCAACACAGTAGACAGAGCATTTGTTTTCATTTATTGACAGTCAATATGCAGCAGATAGAGTGTGGTAACTTTAGCAAAACTGTGTGATCGTACTTTTTTAAAATATATATCTTAAGCTGTATAGTTTGCACTTCCTTCCACCATTTTCTCACATATATAACACCCAAGTTTCTGTAATTTTCAGTGTACAAAATTCTGTGAGGAGACATCAGCTAAACTCATGAACTCTTCTAAGAACCCAAACATGTGCAAGCCTGTAAAGAGGAACACATTCAGTTTGATTTCCTGTGAAGGGATGACTCTCTTTTTTGTGGGTGTGCCTCGAACCATTTCCACTCTCAGTAGGTAGTGAAACTCCAAACACTAGAACTGATTCCTGGATTTGATCTGGCAGATTATTAGAAAGCAAGTTGTCTAAATTGTCAAAGAAGACAGAGATTTAGAGGTGCAGGTCCTACTGGAGCCTCATTCATGGTGTTGGTGTGAAGAAGAAACAGCTGACAAAAATGACTCTGATTTAGGTAAAGAAAATCAGAAAGACTTGCTGCAGCTCAGATGATCTGTATGAAGGGGAAGCTTTCAGATAACATTCCCAGTGTAGAGAGCATGCTGCTTTTTATAGGATATTCTTGGTATTGTCTTGGGAGCAGGACCTCGAGTGCCCTGCAACAACTGTGACATTTGCTCTTTAAAGTGTCCAATATGCTGAGCTGCAGTATCAGGTTTAGTCAGACAAACACTCTGACTTTAAATCTGTGTCTCTAATTCCAGTCAAATTTTAGTATATCACATAATTCAGCATTAAATGTAAGTATGTATTCATGGGAAGGAAACACAGTGAGATGTGAACAATTTAATTCCATTATTTTCTAAAATGAACACATGGGAGTAATACATGCCCTTATTTCATCCCCTGAGCGTCATGATACCCAGTCTGTTGATCACGCTGCAAGTGGTGTCTAACAGTTCAGTGTTAAAACTGCAGTTCCTAGAGCGTCCACTTGAGGCGGCTCTAGAAGTACAGAAGCTGCACCCTTTCAAAAAGCAAAACTAAACGTGCTTACAGGCTGGGACAGAAACAGTTTTGGTCTTTGTTGCTCATTTTTCTATTTGCACACACTCTACAGGTGGTGAATCATTTTAAAAATAATTTGTTTTTGAGGATATTAAGGGTACAGATTTGCATTATTAGGGCGGATGGCTGACTTAACTGACAGGCAGGAACTCTGGAGACACAAGAGGGTGACGTCACTGAGGTTATGTTTATGTTTTATACAGTCTGTGGTCTGAACCAGCACTTCCTGGTTATTACCTTAATGTCTGGTGTTGGTTAACCTCATAAGAGCAGAAGCTACATTTAGTCACATTAGATTTTTCAGTGATTTGACTTATCATCAGTTGCTGCTTAAAGGTGGGGTAGTCGGGATCGAAGAAAGTGGCCGTTCTTGGGAGAAATCTTGAATGTAAACTCTACCCCTCCCAACTAGTTTTCCCCTCAGCTCCTCCTTTCTGCTTCAGCAAGCCCCGCCCACAAACAGACGCTCCTGCTCGCTCGTATCGTTTCAATTAAATTCAGTTATAATGCAGATAATTACTTCAGATAATTACAAATGGGGCCGAGTCAACGTGAAAGTAAAAAGCATTGGTGCTACTGTAGATGCCAACAGACTACCAGCAAACACAATGTTTGCAGGACTTCTACAACTAGGCTAAAGTGACAAAGTCCAGGACCCGAGGTCAACAGTTTAGCGGCGCTACAACACGCTACAGCAGGTCCAGTTTGACAAGAAACACTTCTGTTACAGACACTTGTCTTACTTTGTTAAAGTGGTTTACCTGTCCAGCAGAAAGGTTACAGGGTCCATAAGATCCCAAAGTGTCCCCCATCGTTTATGTTGACCCGGCTTTTTAGCTCTTGTCCGGTCTACCTCCGTTTTAAGCGCCCGTTATTCCTCCAGAGTCTCTGGTATTTACTTTGTTTTCTTGTTTGTGTCGGCAGTCGTTGGTAAAGGAGGATTCAGACAGTTTTCCGAACTTTCTGGTTGGTTTCTACTGTCTGATTTTGAAGCACGCTAACTTTGTTTGGGCTTGTTAATGACATGGGGGAGCAGCGTCCACCTCACAACCAATCAGGTTGGGGGAGGCGGAGAACGGCTTTATTTACAGTCAGAAAGAGCGGGCCGCTCAAAAATTTTAAAATGTTGACTACACAGACATAACAAAACGCAGCGATATTGTGATATTCCCAAATGTCATCAATAACTAATAGCTATTGACTGATATTAAAAGCTTTTTGTAAATACACCACAAAAAAATATTGCTTCTTTAACGGATTCCTGCCTACTCCACCTTTTAATATGAGACATTTAAAAAATTATAGCAAGACTTCAAGAGAATCATTGGGATATATGAGTCTCAGGGTTTTGTCTCATTCGGAGTCTGCAGGTTGAGACACTGATGTGTGTGTTTATAAGAGATATTACATAACACTCTTTTCCAACAGGGTGCACATCATCACCTGGAACGTCGGCTCAGCCACGCCACCTGATGACATCACTTCCTTGCTGGGGTTGAATGTCAGCGATGGAAACACAGACATGTACATAATTGGGTGAGTGTGCTGCAGCAGTTATCCGCTTCATGTCAGTGTCATTTCTGTCCTCCTGTCCAAAAATCAACTGAGGCTGAGACCTGAAACACCGATCGACTTATATCACATGTCTGTCTGCTGTTGACCCCAGTGTGTTGTTATTGTGTGTCGTTTTCTCCCAAGGCTGCAGGAGGTGAACTCAATGATTAACAAAAGACTCAAAGATGTCCTCTTCACAGACCAGTGGAGCGAAGTATGCATGGAGAGACTCAGCCCCTTTGGTTATGTGCTGGTTAGTAATTGATTTTATTATTAACACATACGCACGCTCTCATCGGGAAATTTGGAGCAAATTAGATTCAGACTGTATGAAATTTAGGGACGCTGATGAGATCTCTACTTCCTGCTGCTGTTTTGGCTCATTTTGTTCCCTGAGCGATGAATGAGCTAATCATTTATAACAGGCATGTAATGTCAGTGTATCTGCTATCTTCCGCTGTCTGACAAGCTCATAAGTCAAGCTCTCAGTGGTTCTCTCTCTCTTTGTTCCTTTATGCTTGCACACCAGCCCCTCTTCCCTTTTATTCTCTTTTAATGACAGGACATACTCATTGTGAGGAGGTAGCATGCCATTAAACATGCTAGTCTCGTGTAAAGGGAAACCAAGGTACTGATATAGAAATACAATGTAAGATATGTATTATGTACCGTGTTTGGTGTCCATGCGCCTACATCTGAAATATGTCTCTGTTGGCATGGTGAGCCACAGAGTATGAATCAGCTGCTAGACAAATGTCTCCCAGGATGCTGTTTTATTTTTGGATCACGTTGCTGTCAGTGTTGATGGGCGTCTGACTCGGAGAGACTGACACTCCCCTGCAGCGATCTCGTGGTCCACCGTGTTGAAAGCTTGCTAAAGTTGCGTCCATGTGACTTTTCGAACTGTACTTCATGGGGGACATTAAAACTGCGGTCAGGTTGAAGGGGTGTTATTTTGCCTGTCGAGTCGTTACGTCGTGAACAGACGTGAAAGTAACAAGACACCCCATTAGGCTGAGAGGGTCTGCTCACCGAGACTCGTCGTCAGGTTCAAACTGTAATTGCTTAGAGGACAAGAGAGCGAACTGGAATCAGCTCTCTTCTGCAGAAACACAGAGTCAACAAGACTCTCCTTCTGTCTGTTCGACACAAAAGCGCTGATTGTCACATTATTTCTGTTTATATAATCGTTATTGTGGATGCACAAAATTAAAACAGGCAGTTTTTCTGGTCTTTATCTCTATCTGCAACATGGAGGGATGTATTGAATATGCAGCTTCATGACTTTGTGTATAAAATGTGATGTATTGGTTTGACCTTTTCTGAAAACTGTAGACTGGGCATTTGATTTATCACATCGTAAAGTAGCAAAGGAAACTGCAAACATTATAGGCCTATTATAGTCAATATTTTTGTTAAATAGATGATTTAGTGTTATTTAAACTGGTGTAAAGAGAATTTTAATAAATGATACGACTAAAAGCTGCAAGCACAAAATAATAACCACAGTTTTTAGTATGAGACTCTGAAGCACGGTAAATACTATTTTAAGGATCACTCACCCTGATAACACCAACACAGAAATGCTCATGTCATTTATAAACAGCCGTAAATCAACTTTAGCTTTCTGCATCTCTTCTGTAAGTGATAAACACACTTCTAATATTGATTTTGATCAAGAACTAAGGACTAAGATGTTGGTGTTTCTGCTGTAGTCCCTAGCCATGGGCAAAATTTCTTGATCAAAACAAAAATTTGATCGGATAATCTGAATCCACTGTTTATATGGGTGCTAAATCAAATAATCCGATCATGATGTGCCTATACATGCACCAAGTTTTATTCAGATTAGAAGCATTTGGACATGCGCAGAGTTGTCTGATTTCGCTAAAACAACCACAGAAGAAGAAGAGTTGTATTTTCGCCTGTGCTGTCAACAAACCAACAAACACGGTAGTGGCTCACTTCATCCAATTCAGGATTTTCCCCTCTGTTAAATGTTGTCTCTAGATGGCGCCCTTGCTTACTTATTTTACTGTTCTGTCAAAGGTCGCTCTGCACGTGCAGATGTGACATCATTACGCTGTATGTACGCCTCGTTTTGTTATCGGAGGAGCAGACACGGCACCTGCAGTTGTGTTTTATGTCAGAGTGTTAATAATAAAACCTCCTGAACTGACCTCAATAAATAAAGAGTGAAGATCGAGTCAGGTAAGAGAGTCACGATCGGAATAAGTGTTTACATGGACGCGTTCCGGAATAACGATCGGCATTAACCACCCCTCTCGATCGGAATACAATTTCTTTCTGATGGAGCCGAATTGGATCTGAATCCTCCGATTGACATTTTTACATGACGCCTTTGATTACGATCGGGCATTTATTCTGATTATTTGTGCCCATGTAAACGCAGCTACTGTTAAGGACTAGAATCAGTGAGATGTTACTTTGCCCCAAACTTTTTTCTCAGGTCCAACACTAGCCTGCAAACATCACACGAGCGACTCACAACTTATTTCTTAAATCATGTGTGTGTGTGCTGTACACGATCAAATAAACGCCACACACACACAGAAATACACACACACACACACACACACACACACACACACACACACACACACACACACACACACACACACAGACACACACAAACACTTGTCTCTGGGCTTGAATGTCTCTTTATTCAGAGCCAAGATGTAGCATGACAGCCGTCAGAAACACTGATGTTGAAGAAATGTCTTTTAACCAGAAGCCCTTTACCGCTTCAAAACTCTATGTTTATGATACTGAGGTTTTCAGGTGAAAACAAGATGTCACACTAAGTCTGCCTGCATGCATGACAGTTTTACACACCTTCAGAGTGTTAAAAACAGTAGGCTTAGGTTCATTTGTCATCACTGATCCACCCCCACAAACAAGGATCTGGTTGCACATAGCTGTGGACAGTCAGATTTTTTTCAGCACAGGTGTGCAGGTCTTAACAGCTGTAGTGCAGAGTATCTATGGCACCAGTGGAGGGTGGAGCCTTTAAAGGCCTAAAATGTATAGACGCTCTCCCTGAGGCCCTTCGTACCCCTAAACAAGTTAGTTTAGTCTGCTCTGGACTCCGGTAAAAGAGCTGATTGGACTGCTGTCTCCCATCAAAAGAGATCCTGGTTTCAGGTTGGGGCCTCATTTTAAGAGCCCAAGTGTTCTCGATTTCTTCCTGGAGAGTCGACAGCAGATTTAAAACAACCAGAGTAAACAAGATGGTACATAAACACAAACAACTACACACTGCAACACAACACAACACAACACAACACAACACAACACAACACAACACAACACAAAAGTGAAGTGGTTGGCTCTGGTGCCTGACAGCAAGATGGTTCAAGGTTCAAGCCTCAGCTGTGGCCTTTCAGCGCAGTCTTGGAAAAAGCTTTTGAACCACGATGATACACAGATAAACTATAACCCAAGAGAGCACTGACAGGCTGCACGGTGGTGTGGTGGTTTGGTCTTGTCTCTCAGAGAAAAGGTCGTTACTCAAAGCTGGCTGACCAGATTGATGGATTCATCGGTTGTGGAGGACATTGCGGGCAAAGTGCAGGGAGAGCGCAGGAAAGAGGAGAGGAAGGAAGGGAGAGAGAGATATAGGGAAATTGACAGTACAAGGGCAGGTGTCTCTCCATCCCTGAGAGGGTAGAAAAACTACAGTTTTTATATTTATACTCATGTTTTATTATACTCAGTTTTACTTCTTTAATATGTCTTGTGTTACTTGAAGTCACTCCAACATCACTCCAAAGTGTCTGGATGAGCAGACACTTTTTTTCTGATGTACCAAGTTTCACAGCATATTAAAATTAACACAAAGTGAACGGTTCAATGAGCTATTTTCTCTCCCTTATGTGATGATGAACTTGAACTTTACTTGAAAAACATGATAATTTCTCTCTTTTTGTTATTGATCCCTAACTCTCAGGGTGCTGCACAAAGTTGCAGTTTTCAAAAGCTTTTAATGGGTCATAATGGAAGTGTGGTTATAGTCGTCTTGTAGTTCTGGTTAGGCCCAATGTGTTTTCATGGGGCCAAGAATTTGTGGTGATCCCCCCGGGGGCAAGACAGGATCATTGTGAACTAGTGTAGCAGGCAGAGCAGAAAACCGAGTCTGTGTGTGCATGTTTGAGTGTGTGTGTGTGTGTGCATGTTTGAGTGTGTGTGTGTGTGTGTGTGTGTTTGAGTGTGTGTGTGTGAAGCGCTCTCTGCATGTTTACACATCGAGCCTCTTGTGCTTCTGCTGTAAAACCCTCCCAGAGTTAACAAACACTGACTTAAAAATCACAGAGATGCACGTCGTACACATTCACACAAATAAAGTCGGCTCTCTTTACGGTTCAGTTGAATCCATTACGCAACAAAGTTGTTCACATCCCCAGCCCGTATACAAGTGAAGGGGTCTTGTGTCACGTGGAGATGCGTGCCTCCATTACTGCCCACAGGGCATTTCAGCCGGAGTGCGATCATGCTGCTTTAGCCTGCGGTTGGGGGGTTGGGATGTGTGGACCACTGGAAAGAAGGAGGGGTGAGAATGAATGTCTGGAGAGGGGCTTGGCATTGTATGCAAATTCCTCGTCTTGTTCCTCTTGACAGATGCACCTGTCATATCTGCCCCTCTCGAACCGTACAAAGTATGTAGACTTTCCTTTTATACTGTAGATACAATAACGTCAAAGCCTTCATTTCATTATGAGAAGCAGGAGAGCTGCTGAGGATGATGATGGTGGTGGGTTTACAGAAAGCAGAGGTCTGGTAATTGAGTGGTTGAAGTGTGTTCATCATGTTTCCTCTACAAAGTGGTTTGTTGCAACAGCGAGGGCAGGCCACAAGCAACGGCCTCTTTAATGTGCAGTACTTCATGTAGAGAAGCAGGAAAGCTGGGCCACAGACTCCTGCAGGGGGAAATAGAAATGTAAGTGGAGAATAAGGAGAGAGGCAGAAAGTAAAGCAGAGCAGCAGAGATGGAAAACAGACTCTGTTGGGAACATTTGATATCTAAAAATGTTCATGCAAATTCAAATATATGCATACAGTTATCCTGGACTGTATATCTGCTGTCTCAGAATTATGCAAAGTGCCTCTGGATAACCGTGCGCCTATTTATATCACTTTATCTTACTCTGCATGTCTGTTCGTCTTTATTCTCATGTCCATCTATTGCATGTCTGTCCGTCCTTCAGGTGACCTCTCAGCGGATGCAGGGTTTGTTGCTGCTGGTCTTTGCCAAGTACTTCCATCTGCCCTTCCTCAGAGGAGTCCAGACCGAGACCACCCGCACTGGGCTTGGGGGATACTGGGTGAGATAGCCTGTGACACCACCCTGTGATCATCATCACTGTGTTCTCCATGAGAGTGACTTGGTTTAAGTGTGACGTTTTTGTTGCTCTAGTTTGACACACTTTTGCACCTGTTACTTTTGGTAGTTGTAAATGAAGAATGAGGGGCGAGCCACACATTATTAGAGACAATTAAGGTGACAAACTTCAGTCATATAGAGTCAAAGTAAAATCACTGTTATGATAATTAGACAGAGACACTTAAAGGTGGGGTAGGCAAAAAAGCTTTTAGTATCAGTCAATAGCTATTAGTTATTGATGAAATTTGGGAATATCACGATATCGCTGTGTTCTTTTATGTCTATGTAGTCAACGTTTTAAAATACTTTGAGCGGCCCGCTCTTTCTGACAAACAAAGCCGTTCTCCGCCTCCCCGACCTGATTGGTTGTGAGGCAGACGCTGCTCCCCCGTGTTGTGAGCCACGGTCCGCGTCCTTGAATAACGTTCATGAGCCCAAACAAAGTTAGCGGTGCTACAATATTGAACAGTAGAAACCAACCAGAAAGTACGGAAAATTGTCTGAATCCTCCTTTGACATTGAGTAACATGGTGCAAAGATCACAGTGGATTTGGATCATCAATGTTCCTCAGTTTGAAGTCAGACAGGTACCTGAACCTCCTGCAGATTTAATAGGGCTGCATCGTTTTTGTCTTAGCGGGTCAGGAAAACTGCGGGTCTGCAGGCTCACCATGTTCCCTGATGTGCACTTAACTGATAACATTAAGTATTGATGAAGCTGCTCACGAGTCCTTAATGAACAAACTTCCTGTTTGTCTGTGGCACGGACTAACATCACTCAGTAAAAACACCGACTCGCTCACATCACTGACTGTCATAATTAAACTGGGTTATTTAGTCCTGTTCTCTTAAGTAATACTCAAATCTCTGTTCGGGATCGTTTTTAGGGAAACAAAGGTGGTGTGAGCGCCCGCATGTCAGTGTTCGGTCACACCATCTGCTTCCTGAACTGCCACCTGCCGGCTCACATGGAGAACTCAGAGCAGCGCATGGAGGACTTTGAGAGCATCCTGCAGCAGCAGCAGTTTGAGGGCCAGGCTGCCACCGGGGTCCTCGACCACGAGTATGTAACACACAAACACAGACATGAACTCACACGTAGTTTTGTCACTCGGATTAGCAGTAACGAAAATGGAAAATTAGCTCTTATAGATCTGCGACAACTCTGTTTGTGTGTTTTCTTAACATGAATTTTTCATGAGAAAAATCATGTCACATTAGCATTTCATAAGTTCGACTACTTGTATTTTATGAATAATGTAACTCTGTTTTTTCTCTCAGTGTGGTTTTCTGGTTTGGAGATCTTAATTTCCGCATCGATGACCTGGAAATGCAAGTGGTAAAATCAGCCATCGACAACAACAAGTATACAGGGTTGTTGGAAAAGGATCAGGTAAATATAAAAACACTGTGAAGACAGATGAGTGCTAATGTGTTTTCAGCTCTTTTGCACGTGATCTTTGGAAAGGGCACTTAATGCAAACTACCCCCAGTTTCTCTGTATGTGTATGAGCCCATCATGTTGAATTCTGACTGAATTTTTACATTTCTGTGAAATATATCAACACTCTATGAAATAATACTCTTATTTTTTCTAAAATCTTGATTCATCCAAATGTTTTAATAACTAGAAGTTGAAAGAGAGGTGCATAGAGTCATATTTTGTCTGCCTGGTGGATGAACTGTTTAAATTGTGCCACTAGAGGGCAACGTAGAAACACACTTTCCTCTCCAGAAGGCTGTCAGTGAATATCAGGTATACTGTAAGTTTATCCTTCATGGTGTCCACTAATTCTCAATGTTTCAGCTCAATATGGCCAAAGACAGTGAGACAGTCCTGGAGGGTTTTCAAGAGGGGCCGCTGAAATTTCCCCCCACCTACAAGTTCGATGTTGGAACAAACACGTATGACACAAGGTAGGTGACGCCACGGGGGCTGTTAAGAAAAGGCCTCAATGAAACTCTCCCCTCTGAAAGGTCTTCTGTAGCCTGGGAGGACAAATGAAAATGCCACCATCCTCGTAGGATATTTAACCACATGCTTTTTTCTGCTCGTGCTCCGTCTCTCTGTTTCTGCGCCTCACCCAGCGGCAAGAAGCGTAAACCAGCTTGGACTGACCGCATCCTGTGGCGTCTGAGAGCAACCGCACCTGCAGGGGCAGCTCTCAGCGCAGGGAAGCGTGGCTCCATGTCAGGGCTGACCAGTGGGACCAAAGTTACTCAGCACAACTACAGAAGTTACATGGAGTACATCGTTAGTGACCACAAACCCGTGTCCTCCATCTTTACCCTGCAGGTAAGAAGCATGATCAGAACAGCTGAGGGTTTTACAGCCCAATAATTCAGTGTTTTCTTTCAGCACACTGGTCTGAGAATAAACACCTTACTGTTTTTTCTGTATTTTTAATACTTTAGAAAAACTGGACATTTCTAAACATTACCTTACCTTTTTAAAGATCTAGCCAAAGAGAATATAAATGCGGCCTGACCTTTCCTTCATCCTTAATGTGCAGATAAATGCAGTGAACAGTTTGTGCATGGTGCTGTCTTGAGTAGCAGACTTAATTGTGATAACTGCTGCTTCCTGCTGACTGTAATATCAGGGTGGACAGCTGGAATTAAACTGTGCACACTTGTTAACTCCCGGTAGTTTATCAGACTGGTGTACAGCACAGTTTACACAGTAAATATGAACTGAACGCAGTATTTAAACATGGTTGGCATGTGCAGAAAAATGATTTTATCGTGTGCGAAACCTTCTTAAAAAAACAAACTGGTAAAACTCCAAACTAGAGAAGATAAAAATCCTTTTGCTGTGTTTAAATGTTTGTTTTTTAATGTCTTTCGTAGTTCCCATACAAGGTGGACGTGCCCCTGGTCACGATCATAGTGGAGGATGAGTGGAATAGTATTCCTGATGCTGTAGTCAAATTTAAACTGGCGCCTAACTATGCTCGCAGCTCCTGGGACTGGATCGGACTGTACAAGGTAAAAAAATATAAAAAACAAGTCTGACTTATAAATGAAATATTTTATAGATACCTTTCAGGGCTTGATACGAACTTTATTCACGTTTGTCTTATTGGTCGACATAGGTACTATTATTTGAAATCAATTTTAGGTCTTTTGGTTGCGTGACATAGAAGCTATTGAAGAAAATTTTCAAAATTTCCCTTTGAATTTAACACAAAAATTTTATGAGTAAAAATTAGGGGAATAAAGAGGTGTGTCTTATCGTCGGACCTTAGTACTATTATTTGAAATCAGTTTTAGGTTAATTGGTCTCATGTCATGGAAGCTATTAAAGGAAAACAGCCTTTTCTGAGAACATCAACTGGTAATTTATTGATGGTCCCTTATTCAACACCCGACGTTGACCCGCGCTGCTGTTGTTATTCCCGGTCATGGAGAGTGAGAAGACACCAGTAGATCTGTAGTGAATGGCCATCAGATATCCAACCTGAAACTAACTTCACTGCAGTATTTACATGAAAAATTATTTGTTTCCTCGGCTAATTTTTTATTTTATGCGCACATGTGCCCCTAAATACATTTTACAATTCGCACACTTCTAGTTTTAGTCACAAATGCGAGTGAAATGGTCAATGGTTAAATTATGCATGAAGTCAGTGGTTTCTGTCTGTGCTGCTGCTCTCTTAGGTGGGTTTCAAGCACCATAAGGACTATGTGGGGTACGTGTGGGCCAAGCAAGAGGAGAATGATTTTCTTCGACAAGAGCAGCAGGTAAAATGGACGACAGAGGCTGATTTCTTCTTCTACATTGTTTTACTTGACGTCTAATAAAAACTGACTCTTTGTTTTCCAGGTGGTCTTTACCGAAGAGGAATTGCCCAAGGGCTCAGGGGACTTTATCTTGGGTTACTATAGCAACAATATGAGCACCATTGTGGGTGTAACAGAGCCATTCCAGGTGATCTTAACTTTGATGCTGCTTTCTAAAGGTTGAAATCATTAAGTGTCTTATTTCTCAGAGGGTGGGATAACATCTGATTTATGATTTTGCTGCTGATATTTCCATTTTTAATTTCCCCTCTTGACACCGTGGTCGGTCTTCCACCTCCTCCATCCTACTCATATCCTTTTTATTTTAATCTATTTGTAGATCCAACTTCCAACAACAGGTCCTGACCACAGCTCTTCAGACAGCTCTGACTTCAGCTCTGAAGACGACAGCACCGTCGTCCTGATGAAAACCAGGTCACGCAGTCCGAGTCCGCGCAAAAAGCACCGTGGCCACCGCAGCGACAGCCGAAGCCGCTCAAGCAGTCCAGCTCAGGCTAAAATAAAAGAGTCTGGTGTACCTGACGGATCTAAATCCAGCACCATGGTAACAGCTGATTGTGAGTCCACAGAGCGTCCAACAGAGGGCAGCAACAGCCAGGTGTCTGCTCCAGCTGAGGAGGAGAAAGAGACAGGGGCTGCAGGGGTGTGATGCACAAGTCCTGCTCCTGTCACAGGTTACATAGCCAACTGTTGTGTCTTCTATAGCATACATTTTACATTCTACACTGTATGTTTCCTGTAATGAAATGATACAGTTTCCAACGCCATTTTTTTCAGGTACAGCCCTCTGGTTGGTCCAGAAGGCTAACTTTGCCTTGAGTTGTAACGCTGTGCGCATTGTGTGTTTTTTATTTGGAGAACTTTCACGCCGTCCCGTGTTTCTTCTACCTTTGTCCGTTCTCAGGTGTGGACAGTACAGGGAGCCGACACCTTGCATAAAGAAATACTCAAGGATTTATAACAATGTAGTCATGTAGAGTAAAAGATACGCTCTTCAGAAACCATCTCCCCTACATCTTGATGAGGGTTCGAACTCTGCAGCGAAGTACTTAGCAGTTGTATCAGCAAACTGCATGCAAGTGTGAATCAACAACATTGCTCACCAATCACTCATTTTGCTTTAGAAGTGGATCTACGTGTATCTATAATGATATAAATCACTCATACTGATCGTACATTTCATCCCAAATTTCTGCAAATTTAAAATGGAGACAGCCATGCAGTTGGTTTTGTCGGCGTGATCCTACTTTAGTGGGTAATTCCTGCTTTGGAAATTCAGCTTGCATTATTCAACGATATGACCTGCAGGTGGCGATTTGAATCATCCGCCAAAGAGAAAAAAGCCCCTCCAGGTTTTATAAAAACGTAGCAGTATCAAGGTAGGGAAAGACTAGGGTTCGGGGATTCTGGAGGGGAGTTTGGCAGCAGCAGCAGCACATGTCAGAGTAGAGAGTGAATGTGAGCATAAAGGCCTTTAAATAGGGTGCCAAATCTGTGCAGGGAGATTTTATGCATGTGGAGAACTGGCTGTTATCTGACACTGCGTAGCTGCCCTACGAGTGCTGGTTCATTAGTAGTTGTTCAGTAACTCTGCTGGTAAGCACAGCAGGAATATCTGAGCCAGGGGGCATAATGTAGAGTGCTGTAACACATATACTGTTATGGGAGAAAACGGGGTTGAGCTCAACTAAACCAGCACCAAAGTTTTTTGTTTTTATTTGATTTTATTTACTCTGAGAAAAAAATGACATTTCTTTATTTTTATTTTTCATGCATCTTGTTTTAAACACAGAATTGTTTTACTGGCTGAAAACTGATTGGGATATGTTTAAAAGTGTGAGCAGCTTTAAGTGTGAGAAGCTTTAAACTACACTGTAAGTAGTTTGATACCACGCTGGCACGCTCCACTGTCACAAAATATCACAAAGCAGCCGTGATGTTTCTGTCCAATAAGAAACTTTCTCTTTATATGATTTCCAACTTTCCTTTTTACCGTTTTGTAAGGTTGTTTTTGTTTTGTTCTCTTGCTCACATCTGTCATTAATGAGCTTGGTGATTAGCTGACAGTTACAATAATCACAGTAGTCGTGTTGCATTGTTACTGTGTGACCTCTGATGCACCGTCTTAGACACTTTGTACTTTTGGGCTGTTAGCATATAGGACAGTGAATACTGTTGTAGCTGTGACCTCAGTGTGTATGTCTGTACTCAGTTTTTTTGTGTGTATGTGTTTTTATGGACATGTGTGTGTGTGCGTGTGCGTGTGTGAATGTGTGTGGCTTGCTTTGGCAGTGAATGAAGTGCAACTGTTTGCATGGTTTGCTGCTGGACATACTGTACATTCCGGTACTGTGATTTTTGTGCCGTAAAGTGCTGTTTTTGACTCCTCTTTGTTATAATAGTGGCTGTGACAAATATTAGAAGAAAAAAAAACACTGTTAAGGGCAGAATAAGAATTTAACTACAGTGTTAGTGTTAGGTAAAGAAAATGCAGGACAGTCGCGCTTGCATTTACTTGAAGTCGTTTGAATCATTTCCTGGTGCATTCATTTTTTTATTGAATGGGAAATCTTTTGGACCTTTTGTGTAGAGTGACACGTAATGAAAATGTTAAAGATTGTATGACTTTGTCCTACTCTAGATCATTTTAGATAAGTATGATCAGTTCTGCGGTCATGATCACTATTTGTTGTTAAATGTGATTGAAAAATCCTCTGTCTACAGAATGTTCTAGCTTCGTAATCATGTGGCTAAAATAGGTGAAGTATTTGTGTAAAGGAGAAATATTAAGTATGGTAGAAAACAAAATAGATGACAATCTATGCCACAAAGATTATTTTATTTAAATCATGTATTTATTTTCTTATTTAAAATGAGCCGAATTCTGCTGGCCAGTGAGTGAGCATCATTTCAGTGGAAATATAGAAGGTATATAACAGAATATTCATATTTATTTTCTATTAGGAAGTATGAATATCTCCAGTGATCACAAAAAGAGTGCTGTCCGTTCCTGAGTCTCCTCATATTTATTGCCATTGCTTGATAATCGGGTAGTTACAGTATGTTTCTTGTGATAGTTTTCTAATTAAAAAGCATGACATATTGAAGGGGCGGGGTGCTGGCGGGTTGTGATGAGGATGGAAGCGTAAAGACAGATAAGAGAGATCAAGAAACAGAAACCATGACTGATATTATTATGTGATTCAACGGAAAATAAAGTTGATGGCTTTAAAAACATGCAAGAGTATTTCCTTGAGAGAATGCAGTCTGAATGGATGAACGTTTGCACAAATACTTGCATATGTTTACAGTATGACTAAAAAAGTAAATTACACCAGTATTACAAATGACCTCTCATCCACTTCTTTGTTGTTAAATGAAATTGAAAAATCCCTCTGTCTACAGAATGTTATAGCTTCATAACACTGTGTTTTACTGTTTCAGGTGGAGGTTACTCACTGTGTTTCACTCTCTGTAAAGCCGTGGTTAAAAAAGCATAACAACACATCCTGCAGACGGCAACAGCAGGTGTATCTTGCATCATATGTTTGCCCTTTGAAAGGAAGGTGTCTACTCTGCAAATTCATGGTGACACCCAATGGTGGTATACTGATGCAACACTGGTCAGGGATTGAGTAGCTAGTCTGAGTGACACCAAAGGACCCCGGTAAGTGTAACAGCAGGAAATGATCTAACTTGAAGGGTATCTGCTGACATACTTAAGGGTCTGTGATGGAGGGAGAGAGCGCTGTCCTTCTCAACTTGATGTACCATGAAAGTCGATTATTGACAGTCTAATTTTGACTCCACAAACAGGAAGAAACAGCATTATTTTGTGTGCTGTAGGCGCCCCGTGATTTCTGACCTAAGATAAACCAATGTTTGGATAGCCCCGGTCGACACAGCGTGACAGTGTGACTTATTTCTTTTTATCCAACAAAAAGGGCGAGAAGGATGGACGAGCAATCACCGTTGGAGTTATCCTAGTGTGGAGCACTTAAAAACTCTTCTGTATTTGCTTCGTCATCCTGACAAGGCATATAAACTGTTACCTCAGACATGGAACAATTGATAACATGTTTAATAAACAAACAAATGATTTACCCCAGCTTACCTGTAAACCCAGATTGCGTAACAGTCTTTTTAATAACTTAATTCCGTCTTTAACATTTGCATCACAAACAAATGATACACCCCAGTTTTCCTGTAAACCCAGATTGTGTCACAATCTTTATTAATCCCCTGTTCAACATTTTCATCACACTATAAATAAATAAATATACTGTCCAGTTAGAAATCTTAAATTCTGAGATGTTGAATCTCTCACATTAAGTTAGTTAAAACTACAGACATAGAAGCAGAAATGAGTTCTGTTTTGGAGTTTATGCCATGTTTAATCAGTTCCCCTGTAAACAATAATCACACTCATCTGTTTCACAAAGGTACAACATGTTCATTTTAGGGGTTTGTATTATATTATACTACAGACCCTGAGGGGGTAAAAGCAGCATGGGAGCTTTTTGAATGACAATTTAATCTCGTTATATTGAGATACACCGTTCGTAGCCTCTGCTTCTCCGTCACTTGTCCAGAGTTCGTTTTGCTGCAAACGTTTTTCCAGGTTTAAGTGGTTGTTTCAGTGGGAAAGTACATGTTCTGATGTTCTTCTGATAGCCTAAATTAATGTAACTTTATTTCAGGTCAATTACACCCTTGTTAGTTTATGCAACACTCAAATAATGGTTTCCAGAAAACATTATTTGTTGCCTGGTACACTTAAATGATTAAATATGATCAAACACAATCACAGTGTTATACAAGACATATAAGAAAACATTCACCCACTTGTGTACTACAATTTCCATCTGCAAATTATGTTTTACTTTTGAAATTGGTCATTAGATGTTAGTTTTTAAACTGTCCCTGTATTGTTTTATGGTATTTGTCGGTACGGTGGCCGAGAACTGCCACTGTTGCAGATAAAAAAGAATGCAAAAAAACAAAAACGGAAAAAAAAAATGGCGCAGATTAAAAAAAAGCCAGAATGGAATTTAACTACACACACACACACACACACAAGTTACTTACTGTGATAATAATAGAATGCAAATTAAAAAGCCACAACGGAAGTGAGCTGCTGGGGACCAATAATGATGATGCACCGGTGTTTTACGATCTAAGCACAGAAGACGACGGCAAGAAGACGAGCAAAGAAGTTATTGGAAAGATTATTGGTTAATTTCGCTTCGTAAACTTTTCAGTGTCATTTGGTTAGGCCGTGTAGCGCCTGAGTCGATATGAAGTTGAACTGAAGCTAACACTACACCGACATCCTCCAGTTCAACTTCATATCGACTCAGGTGCTACATGGCCTAAAGTTTGCACCGTTTCTTTTTTTATTTATAGCAGGCTTCAGTTTCTTTCTTTGTCTTTTTTTTTGCATCGGTACCTTCTGTTGTGACTTCTTTTTTATGTGCAGCATTGTCGGTTCTCGGCCACCATATGTCTGAAACTGTTTGTTTACAGCATATCGATGCCATCTTAACTTATTCAAAATAAAAAAGGATAAGAATTGAAACAATACTGCAGGTCATTAATTTGAATTATTTTAAGAGCTTTTTACTTTAGTGATTGCTGTGAATTTTAAATATCTTCATGAATAAAAGCTGGTAAACTTGTAAGCCAACACAACTTCTAAAAAACCTTTCACCTGAAAACAAAACTGCTGATCGCTCACTGTTGTAATCACTCTGACGCACACACACACGGTAGATGAAACACGGTTGTTACGGTTAAAGGTCCGTGGTTGGACACCTCCCTTCACTGTAACTTCTTTTTATGAACACATGGTCGCTGTCTTTTTGCCAAACTGCACCACATTCCTGCTTACAGTACACCCCCCCTCTGGATAGGCTCGATGGTTTGGTCCGCCTCCTCATGACGTCAGTGCGTCTGCGTATGTGTGGATAAATAGCGGAGCTGAGACTGCGCCATGAGGCTGAGGCTTAACGATCGATACAACGAAAACCTGGGACCGGTCTTCCTCTGAGCCACACTGAAGCACGGTTATCTTACTCCCTAACATCATAACAGTTTAACGTTTACTCTCTGCTGCGGCTGTGAAGGACAATGAACGGGCAGATGAACGGTTTCCATAACTCCCTCATTGACGAGGACTGCTTCTTGTTCACCTCAGAGTCTGTGGGAGAAGGACACCCCGGTAAGACCCGAGATTGCATCATTTATCGGCCTGTTTTCACGAAAGGGGTTCAAACCACCTTAGACTTACAGTACAGGAAGTGTTGGTCGTGTTTTAGATTTTCTTTTATTCATAAAAACCTGGTAGATTTGATGTAAAAGCTGAATCGGCTCGGCCTCCCCCCGCTGCTGCTGCTGCTTGAATGTGGCCGGGCCGGTTTACTCCGCACGCGCCGCTAGCTAACGTTAGCTGATCAGGAATATAAGAATAATTAGGTGGGACTTTTTTTACATATAGTTTTGTTTATATCCTTAATAACAACCCCTGCGAGAAACATTAACGCCCTCCTTTTACTATCTGATAACGTTAACCATTAAACTTGCCAATTCACGGTTTCATCGTCGGGCCACACAAAGCGTGACACGATATTTTTATCCAAATATTATCAGTTAGGATTTTTGACATCGCCTTTTAACGGGTATGTGATTGTCATGAGCAGGTTTATCGTCTTTTATTAGATTTTTTACTGTTTTTAGGGGTTTATCCCTCGCCTTCCGGTCGCCGGTTAGTTGCGCGCGCTCCTCTCCTCACTACATGTGCACATGCTGCTGAAATGGCGACCGTTGAGGGGCTCGTGGCCACTCCCACTTAAGCACGAGTCAGGCAGGAGCGGTACAGTTTACAGTGCAGCAGATCTCGTGCCGGTGTTATGTCGTAGAATGTATCCTCTGCATTTCATCCTCTCATTCGCTTCTTAAAGTGGAAGAAAATTATCACATATTTAAATTAAAAACACGAGTATTGGATATGATATTGGACATGAAAATATGTCAAACAGAGCAGCAAACTTTAGTTCTGTTTTATGTGTCTTAAAAATACACATGTAGAGTTGTACTCGGGTATATAAACTGTACAGTAAGCTTTCAAGGTAGAAAACATATTTTCAGGACAGCAAATATTCCGAATCAGAGGGCTATTGTTTTCGGTTTATCTGAATAGCCTGACTGAAATTATTAAAGTCGCACGCTTTTGAATCCACCCGATGTTAAAGAAAACTTGGATTACTTCACTCTGTGTACTGTCAACCTACTCTGGTCAGGGGTGCATTCTACCACACAACACCGGTGTTTTGCTTGACCTGGATGTTTATTTGTTTTTTTCTTTTGCCCTTATTTTTTTCAGACAAGATTTGCGATCAGATCAGTGATGCAGTTCTGGATGCCCATCTCAAGCAGGACCCTGATGCCAAAGTTGCATGTGGTAAGAAATTATATTTATGTGGGATTTAATTAGAGATGCACGAATCCATTTTTATCCAATCCAATATCGATACTTTGGCTGAGCGTATCGGTCAATATCTGATACCGATCCTAAACTACTGTTGAATGAATGAACTGTATACCGTATTTTTCGCACTATAAGGTGCACTTAAAATCCTTTTGGCTTGTCGGAGCTCTGCAGCTACCATTGCCTTGCCTAGTTATTGAATGAGTTAAATAAAGTTTGACCTATCTGACTGTTTTGTTTGGCTAAATGCGCTTTATAATCCGGTGCGCCTTATGTGTGAAAATAGATGCGTTCTTTGATGGTGCGCCTTATAGTGCGAAAAATACAGTACCTTGCCTGGGGAGTGAAGGCATCAGGCTTGACATTAGCCTTGTTACAAATTGCACATTAGCACACAGCCAAAAGAAGTAAGACTTCCATGTAAACATTGAGTGCAAAGGATAGACAGACATAGAATATAGAGCGACCAGAATTGCTGTGTTGCTGTGCATGATATTAATTGAAAAAAAAAAAAGACTGGTTCGGAACGCTAGATCAGCGTCAATATCAGAGCCGATATCCAATCCAAATATCAGATCGGTGCATCCCTAGATTTAATCCAAATCTAGTATTGTCAGTTGACTTTTGAGAAAAATGCATTTCCCTTAAATCAATCTCTCCTTGTGAAGAGACTGTTGCCAAAACTGGAATGATTCTTCTGGCTGGAGAAGTGACCTCACGTGCCACAGTGGACTATCAGAAAGTTGTCCGTGAAACCATTCGTCAGATTGGATACGATGACTCTTGCAAAGGTAGGTGTGGCTTTATTTTTTCTGTGTGCTATTTTTTCTTTTGGGTTTGTCGGGTCGTTGTTTTGATATCTTGTTTGTTTTTTCTCTTGCACAGGCTTTGACTATAAGACCTGTAACGTTCTCGTCGCCTTGGAGCAGCAATCCCCTGACATTGCTCAAGGTGTTCACATTGACCGCAATGAGGAAGACATCGGAGCAGGGGACCAGGTGAGATGATGTTTTTGTTTGCTTTGTGCGATTTGCAACATCTTTTTTAAATGAAATTTGAGCTTTTTTGAGTCCTAAACATCCTGTACCCTGCAGGGCTTGATGTTTGGATATGCCACTGATGAGACCGAAGAGTGCATGCCTCTGACAATTGTCCTCGCCCACAAACTGAACGCTAAGATGGCTGAGTTGCGTCGTAACGGCACCCTGCCATGGCTCCGACCCGACTCTAAGACACAGGTAGAGCTGTCACACTTGCTGTTATCAATTGCTTCATATTATTACGGTTGCTGGAGGGTCATTTATATTGTTATTCTTATCACAGGTTACCGTCCAGTACCGCCAGGACCGTGGTGCCATGCTCCCCGTGCGTGTGCACACAATTGTCGTCTCTGTGCAGCATGATGAAGACATCTGCCTGGAGGAAATGAGAGATGCCCTGAAGGAGAAGGTCATAAAAGCTGTGGTCCCCTGCATCTATTTGGATGATGACACCATCTACCACCTGCAGCCAAGCGGGCGCTTTGTTATCGGAGGCCCACAGGTAAATCTTTGCAAATGTGTCTCTTAGAAGCTTTTGTTTCATGTGAGTCATTATCTGAGTAACCTGTTCTTTTATATTGTTTATCGTAGGGTGATGCTGGTCTGACTGGGCGTAAAATCATTGTGGACACTTATGGCGGCTGGGGAGCCCACGGCGGAGGCGCCTTCTCAGGCAAAGATTACACAAAGGTGGATCGCTCTGCTGCTTATGCTGCTCGCTGGGTGGCCAAGTCTCTGGTGAAGGCTGAGCTGTGCAGGAGAGTGCTGGTCCAGGTGAGCGGTAGTGACAGGAAGGCTTGAAAACGCCCATGGGCTTATACATGTATTTAAAAAAAAAAAGGTTAAATATTCTTGTGTTATAATGTTTTGTATGATCTAGGTTTCCTATGCTATCGGAGTCGCCCATCCTCTCTCCATTTCAATCTTCCACTACGGCACCTCCAACAAGAGCGAGAGAGAGCTGCTTGATATTGTGAAGAGGAATTTTGATCTGCGTCCTGGAGTCATTGTCAGGTAACGTTTAACATCTGAAGCCACCTGCTACTTAAACACATTCAGTAGCTCCTGGCTCCTCCCCTTTGTTCTTGTGCCTTAATTTTGTGTCCTGTCGTTGCACTACTCAGGATCTAAATTTAGTTTAACTTTTTTGTGTGAGACTAGGGCAAACTATTTTTCTACTGACATTTTTTGCTGTAATAAATGGGAGTTTACTGACTCTTATTTCTATTTAATAACATGGTAGAGTGTTGATAATGGCTATTATTCAATCAAGAGTTACATTTATTATAGTAGACACTTACCACACGCGGCGTTAGATACTTCTCCTTTAAAATGGATGAGTGTGGTTTCCATCTGCAAGCTTCAGCCGACAAACCTCTCAGGGATGAGTTTGGTTGGTAAGTGTTTGTATCACACAAGATTTCCTTTTTACTGGCTGGTCTACAACCATCTTGGATCCTTTTTTTTTTTCTTTTTTTATTTATTTACTTTTTTGGCTTTTGACACCCCCTGCTGGCAAATATGAGCATTGTGAGTGTGTGAGTATGAGTGTTTGTATTTGAGGTTGCAGGATGTGACTGCTGCTAAATATGTTGATTATGTATTCCAGGGAGCTGGATCTGAGGAAGCCCTTGTATCAGAGGACCGCGGCCTACGGCCACTTTGGCCGGGAAGCCTTCCCATGGGAGGTGCCCAAAAAACTAAAGTACTAAACCTGTTAAGCTTTTCCCCCTAGGCTTGTTGGTGTATACTACAGAGAAGCCTCCAAGGTTCCAGGGGTGAAATGCACTAATCTCTCATAATGGCATCATTTTAACACATGACTCCCCTCTCCACTCCAAATCCCTCCTTTTGTCTTGTTACTGTTTTCTGCTGGGTACAGTGGGTCTTAGAAGACGCGCCTCAGATACTTGATGTTGAAAGAATCGGGTGGGTTCTCATCCACCGCAGTGCTTCATGTCACCCCCTGTCTTGAGGTGCCCCCTCTCTCGTTGTGGTAGACCCCAAATAGCTGCGTTTAGTTGTTCTCCTTTCAGCATTCCACACCCGTCAATATTGTCAGTCTTATATCCACATGATGGTAGCCTGTTAGCGATATCCCTGTTGATTTATTGGTGCTATTGATGTCAGAAGTCTGCGCAACATCTCGAACTTTACACACCCATTAGAAGCATAATTTGATGGCTGAAGGGTTCCCTCTCCTTACCCCTGACACCCTCCTTTTTTAAAGATTTGCTTCCTTTCAAACATTCCTCCTCCTCCTCCCCTTTTGTCCGTCTGGTATACTTACTCACTGACCCAGTGTTTTTCTTCTTTTTTTGTTGTTGGCTTTATTCCCTCATCTTTTGTGGAGGATGCTAGAATGGCACAATTAAAATTCAAGGGTTGTTGCTGTTTTCACAAAAAAAAAAAATGCTATGCATTGCAGGCTGAAGGGTGAGCCAAATCCTAATCCAAGCTCTCAATGAGCGTTAAGCCTCAGATGCCTCTACAGACCTTTGCTGTTTTCTGACGTAATACAGAAAAGTCAGAAGCTGCTATGTCACTGCTCTGGTCTGCAGAGGTATTGATAATACTTGATAGTGATGAAAATTTGGATTGTTTATTGCATTGAAATTCTATTTTAAATGAGTCCTTTTTTTAAATGTAGTTACACTCGCTTTTTTATGGTTTGAAGTGACTGAAGGCCCTTTCGCTCCTTAAGAATATTGATGGCAGGTGTAGCTACAGAGAAACCTGAGAACCATCTTTGGCCTTAACGGAGTGCGTTCTTTGCCACAGCGTCTTATTGGCTCGGACTCAAACCTCAACACTATTTATTTGTTCTCTGAAACGGGGCGTGGATACAGAGAAGCCTCGGTTTCAGAAGGCAGCTTTAAACACATGGTTATTGAATCTTGAATTCCTTTTTGACTTGATCATTTTTCAGTGTTTGGCTGGAGGCTCCAGAGTGTTGTACAGAAAAGCTTTGGTCCGCCTTGGCTGGCTACTGTCGATGACTATTTTACAACCTTTTTTATTTTGGGACTGTAGATCTTGTTATGAGGTGGGTTAGTCTTGAAATCCCATTAAAATGTCTGGTGCAATTCTTTGGCTCTTACCTATCCTCATTAATGGGACGGCAACATTTGGTTGGTGTAGTACAGAGAAACCAGCCTTGTTTACATAGCCGTCCCATGGGTTGGATAGTGTGTCGAGTTTTTTGGTTTTGTTCCCTTTTGCCACTCAGAGGTCATCCCATTGGTACAGTAAGTGTAAGAGTGCCTTTTCTATTTCCTCTACTCCCCATTTTGCTTTTCTCTCTCTCCTGCCAACATGCATCTGACTACAGAAGGAACGAGTAGCTCATACTGTAATGTTTCATGTCTGGACTGGGTAGTTTCTTTATGTTCTGTAATAAACAACTACTCCTTTCAAACCAATCTTGTCGCCTCCATTTTTAGTTTGTTTATTGATAAACTTGCATTGAAATAAACAGACTAATAAAAAGTGACTGGGATGAACATTTGGTTATTTAACTTGATACTTAATTATCTACAACTGCTTCTGTCTGACTCTCTGTCAACTCTCTTTGAAAAGACAAGTGAGTAAAATGATCAAGAAATAAAATTACATATTCAAAAGTGATTAACAGTGTCATGGGGAGAAAAAGTTAATTAAATCTTAACTAACTTCAGTTTTCTTACCCAGTGCTTCATTTGAAGTTATAGAAAGTGCACAATAAGTTTGTCAAACCAAGGTCTATGTCTGAATTTTATTCCGAAGTACAGAATCCATAGAGATAAAGTTTTCCCTGTGGAATTGAGTGAACTAGTCTTACATCATGGGACTTAAATCTTTTCACAAGAATATTGTAACACTTCTTTTCAACTGTCTTACAATTATGAGCGTTTGTATAAAGACATATTTTATTTAATCCTCAGACAGAAAAAGACAACCCCTCATGAGCTTGTGTTTAATTTCCTGTTTAGAATAATTGGTGGCGGTCATATCTATGATAGCCTTCAACCACTCCTAATAAGCAGCACTTTTATTGGTATCCCCTCCTGACTTCATTGTGCAACAATAACTGATTCACCTGTTCATTATTATATTGTGCACAATCATCTAAGCCTCTGGTGTTACTTTGGTTCACCTGAAACTATCCAAAAACACAACGTCTTACCACATACTTGCCATCATTTTTATTGAGTTTATAGGATTGTTAACAGAAAAGTGTTTTTTTCACTCAGAAATAAACAGTCTCAGGTCTGCAGTTGTGGTCAGTGTATTTCTCCAGGACATGTTGCAGGAGTTTAACCCGAGGAAACCCTTTTCTCTCTCTCTAATTAGCCTCTGATGACAGAGTGAAGAGGCCCATAAAGAGACTGAGCTGTAGCCCTCACCTTTAAAAGCTGCTACACTGTCGAGTCTTGGGTTGCCCTGTTTAGCTGTTCTTGTGTACTGATGTTAATGAACTATAAGAAAAAGTTCCATTAAAAAATCTTTGCATCACAGTTTGAATTCATAGACTTGATGCACTTTTTAATGAACATCAATCACATTTTGTTTTACTTATATACAGTTAGAATTAATATATAAAATGCATAAACAAATGTAGTACTAATTTTTCTCTCTGGTATTAAACCGTATTGGCAACTTCCACTTACATTTGAAGTTTTATATTTGGGAAAATAGAGCAAGGAGATAACAACGCCAGGAAAAAAAAATCCATATTTCAAATAATGTTAGTGGCAGCGAAAAAGGCCATCACTAAAAATTGGCTAAAAACAGATGCACTAAAAATCGAGGATTGGGAAGAGGTAATGATCAATATATATATATAGAATGGAGAAGCTAAAAACACATACTTTTAAAAACTACTGGAAAAACTGGGTCGATTTTGTGTCTCAAACTTTGTGCAGTAAGGTCATTGTGTATTCTAGATTATTGATCCCCTTGGTTCAGGCTACAAACTTGTTCATTGTTCAAATGTTTATTATGTTTACCCTCCAACAGGAGAAAAAGTGTTTCATTTTTCCTCACCGTTATTCTACTGTAACTTTACCTGAGAACTTATGTCTAACTATGTCTCTGCTCCGCGATGGAGAAGTATGCAAATATTCTATACAGTTGGAAATTTGTTCAATAAATGTAAAATGTTGATGGAATATTGAAATAAGAAATCAATAAAATAGAATATTAAAAAATAATAAAGAAAACTAATTTTTCTGTAAGTGTAAGAGGATGAGATGTGATGGGACAGGACCAGACTAAACTGAACTGTAATTCAGAAAGAGGGAGTCTGTATCTGGTCTTTGTGCGACATCGATTGGACAACTTCCAAAGCCCATGTTGAGTACACGGTTTTACATATTTCTGTGCTTTCTCCCTCTGTTTCCCAGATGTACAATATTAATATATCATGTCATTGCTGATGGATGGATCACAGGGTTTATATTTAGTTTGCAGTTTGCCAAAACAAACAGAGATGGTTTTTTATGGTCCCATCATAACAAGACTTCAGGAGGCAGCATAATGTCCTCCAAAATAAACACAGTTTGTAATAAAACCTCAACACCAATCACTGAGATCTCTTTCAACTTTGAAGTTCGAGTTTGTAAAGTCCTTAAATCCAAACACCCACTCCTCTCCATCATTTCCCTTGAGTCTAAATAATCTGACAAGAACAGGGTGTTTCAAGGCTGACCGTTATCCAAAACAAAAGAGGAGTTCTTACACGTCAAAGTCAGCTCTGATTTGATAGCACAGCTCAGACACAACAAGACAAATTCTTTTCTCAGAGACCCGGTGGCCTTCTGCAGCTCTCAGCGGAACATTTGATACTTTGGTATCAGAGGCTCAGCAGGAAGAGCTCCAGGAGGCCTCAGTGTACCAACATAAAACACTGTATATGAGGAACGCAGGAACTGGAGCAAAAGTCAAGGTGTGACTCAAGTTTGTCTTCTTTTCCTCGGAAAGCTCTGCTGGAGTCTCCTCAATTGTGCAATTTTACATAACTCATACCAGACTGGGATTTATAGTTTCTTAAACTGGGACAAACTGTACAAAACCGGAGCTACAGTCGTTTACATTGAATGAAGTGAAACACTCAGGGCTGTTAAATATTAGCTAGTGTATTTGGTTTTAAACTTTACTCTAAACTAGCACTTAAAAAAAAAAGGCTGTGCAAAATTTATACTGTCAATAAAATCCTACAACAACTCCAGGGTAACACAAACACACCCCAGAGTGAACAAACAAGAGGAGTAATGATGCTGTGTAAATAAGTCTGTTCAGAACAGACACATTAACACCACAGCAGACCCTCGTGTTCATTCAAAGTCGACAGATTTTTGGAGATGTATTTCATGTGTTAAGGCTGCTGTAATGTTGCACATATTTCTGATCGACTGTAGCACTAAATGTAGATTTAAAACTCGACGGTCATTGTAAAGCTCTAAAAACTAACAAAGAGAAGGTTTCGACTGCATGATTGAACAAATATCGAATCACTTAAAGTAATTCAGACTTTTAAAAAAATATTTGGACATCCTTTTAAGTTTTCTCTCAGACAAGTTTGTACACTGCTCTCTTGTTAGCGCCTCAGGGGGACAAGCGTGGCGAGTGAACGACAGGTTTTAGGACTGCTGGAAACACTAGAAAAGTCTGTCATGTTTTCACCTCCAGTAATTTATAATTTCAACTCAAATGTTTGTCCAGAAAACCCGCTTTTTCGCTCCCCTCGGTTTTTCTGTGTGTTTTGCGTGCATCATGAATGAAACTTATTTGCAAAGAGTTTTTAGGATCAAATCCTGTTCCAGCCAAAGAACCTCTGGAGCCGTATCACTCCTAATCCAATGAGCTTTTTCATTATTACTAGCTTTGTTGCTGTGACACAAATCCTGCCGGCTCTGTAAATTACTGAGCAGATTTTGTGCTACCCACATGTTGTGGATACGCTTCAGGGTCAGGTTTTTGAAAAACCCAACATTACAGGTCTCTTGGTGATAATAGCTGCCCCATAAAACACAGAATTTCTCATTTTTATAGTTGTTTCATTTGTGAAACCAAAACCATTTGTGTAAAATGATAAATCCTTTTCCACCTCTATTCAACTGAATACACTACAGAAACAAAATATTTGTTCAAACTAATATACTTTATAGTATTTTTATAGTATTTTTTTTACAAACATTCACTTGAATTTGAGGTATGTAACACTTTCCAAAACGTTTGGACAGAGTCTGCAAAAGAAAGATTGAGGACTGCTCTAAAAACACCAGTTTGGATCACTCCACAGGTGAACAGGTTAATTGGAAACAGGTGAGAGTCATGATTGGGTATAAAAGGAGCAGCAAAGGAGTCATTCAGAATCAGGGACAGAGCTGGGTTCACCGCTTTGTCAACAACTGTGTCAGGAAATAATCCAATTAAGATTGAAAATCATCGCCAGTGAACACAGGACATCTCTACAAGTTCAAACTCTACCGTACAAAGACAGAGACAGATATCAACAACAGCCAGAAACAACGCCGGCTTCTCTGCTTGGTGAAGTTAGGTGCTGTTCTGAGCATTATTTGTGGCTATAGAGTGGCGTTTTGGTTTAGCCCATGGCTCTCTGTTTTGCTACCCTGCGGTCATTACTAAAGTTTATACAACTGGAGAAGCGAGCGGTCAGCAACATTCATCTCTCGAGGGGATGTCTAACTCAGTGTTATGGTGTGTTTGACCCTTACTTGATTTTACGCCAGAATATCCCTTTAAAAAGATGAACGACTGCCATTTGATGACCTAAAACTATTCCTGGAAGTACACCTCGTCTCCACGTCAGCTCCTTCTACAAAGTTCATCCCTACAGTTACAGTATATCAAGCTATTAGAGTTCAAGCTCAAGTAACAGCATCAAATTCAGATCTGCAGTCCTGTCTGCAGCTGTGCACTTCCACTAACACACTGGTCTATATTTAACTGTGAATGGTGGAGGGTTGCTCCGGGGTGTCACTTTCACAGCCTTGAATGGGCACGATCACCTCAACACTGCACTCGTATCAAAACCCTGCTGCTGCTGCTGCTGCACCTGAAATACTCTCTGCTGCGATTAAAAAAAGTCCAGGATATCATTTCTCGAGGGTATCACACCACACCGATGCTACTCCTGATCTGAGGGCGTACATGATGATCAGCACAAGCACTGCACCACCTGTTCCCTGTGCAAATGACAGCAAACAAACACGAGGACACCAAAACAGAGCCATGCAGAGTTTGACGTTGAGACCAAACATCCCAATAGATGACAGATAACGTCTACATGTGCATGCACTTTTCTCACAACTAATGCCGTGCACACTATGCAGCAGCATGGCAGAGGTGTCACGGTGTAAGGTTAGGACTCAGGTCAGAGCGACAACTTGATTGACAGCTGATGCAATATCTGTGGCGTCTTGCGTTTGCTCTACTGTAAGTTAATTTAAGGTCTCTGTCTGAGCTCCGTTTCCTCTTTTCTTACATTTCCCTGCGGCTCAATGTTTGTTTTAATTTATATATTTATTCAAACTTACTCTGTCAATGTCAATGTCAATGTCAGCTTTATTTATAGAGCACATTTAAAACAGCCAGTGGCCTCCCAAAGTGCTTTACAGTAAAATAGCCAGGAACAATAAAAGCTTCAAAAACAATAAAGGCATAAAACATATAAAAACATAAAACAACAATAAAAATAAACAAAGCAAATAAATAAAAGTAACTTTACGACCCCAAAAAGTAAACAGGTGCATCTTTAGAGGAGTGAAAAGACATAACTCTTGACAATTTTGGCGTAACCTTACATAAAATCAAACCTTATAATTCCACATTGTACTATTAGAGTATTCAGTGTAACATGATGTGTGTTTAGTGTGTGAAGTCAGCTGTAGATGTTCATGTGTGTCTTGGGTGGGATTAATAACACATCATGTCATCACCACAATCTTCTGTTTGAAGAAAGCGACAAATACAAATTCATCGGCGTCATCTCGAACGACTTTACTGCCATGCAAATGTTTTATCACAACTGAATCAATCAAACTCAGTGGAGCGTCAAAAAACCAGCCTAACTTGTACACAACATTATGTAACATCCGTCTTTAAGGTTTTGAAAATTATGCTGAGAGAGCTTTTAGAAATTAACGGTCAAAAATAACAACGACCTAAACCAAACTCAAAAATGTGTCCTTTATCCTAGATTATAAGCTTATTAAACGAGATTATTTCAGTTTAGTTGCATAAAAAACAAACATGTAAAGTAATTTGTCCCTAAGCCTGAAGCTGAGATAAGAAAACAAATAAGAGAGACAAAATGGACGGTAAATATGCTCATTCAAAACGGAGAGCAAATTTAGTGTTTGCCAAGGAAAACCAAATAGACGCACGACAAATACTGTGAAACTCAAAGTTTAATGGTGGAGTTTGGCTTAAATCAGAAAGTTTGGCATCTTAATATAATAATTTTCAAAGATTACGAGACAGCAGCGGAGGAAAATGTGATGGGATTGGTGAGGAAAACATGGATAAACCTGATCTTTGTTTACCCACTGTCGATGAAACGTTTGTTTTTAACCTGAATAATGATGACACCTTCAAGCTAAAAAGAATGAAAATGTCTTATTAAAGAGATAAACTTGTAGATGACACATGAAGCAGACAAATGATTGAGCCAAATGCTACTTTTCTTCATTGTATGTGAGTCTGTTTAAGCAGTAGAAAGCTCTTAAATATATATGTACTGTAACCAGGGTGTGAATCCTAAAATTGTGTAATATTGCTATTGTACAGCTACACAAACAGTCGACCGTGGGAAGGTTAAGAGTTATGATTGGATCATTTCAGCCAATTGAGAAATAGTGAAACAGGATATAATCTGACAGGGAGCAGAGTAGGTAAAGAGGGGAATGAACCCCCTCCTCTCATAACTGGAGTCACATGCCGAGTGAAGAATGAGGAGCGAGCAGGCGAAGGAGGTGTGGCTCAGCTCCACCAATAGAAGCACAGATGCTGCTCCTCCTTGTCAGGGCTTTGCATAACACTTGGCCAGCAAAGTGGCCGGAGGATGAAGTTTGCATATTTTCATGCATTAATGAAAACAAAGAGTTAATCTCCTACTCTGGCGTGGATTAACAGCCTGTCAGTTCAGATGTCCGCTCTGCTTTGCCTGTCAATGTTAGCGGAAATTTCTGTTTCAACTTCCGAGCTCGGGGTGAAAAAAGGGCTGCTGTTCATCTGATTTTAGGATACAGACAAATTGAAAGCATGTAATGTGTTGGTGGTCAAGTTTTAAGGGGAATGTGAGAGTTAAAAAGAAATGGATCTGTGCTCCACGGCTGAAAATCCCCCTCCTTAACATTATTTATGGGTCTCAGAGCTCCTGGGAATCTGAAAGGAAGAGGATTACTGGAAACACTCCTGGCTGGTTTTAACTAGCTCAATTTGTCTCAGCGGGTGTTCTCCCAGGTTTGGGAGGCAGGGGGATCAGACGATGTCTGACACCAACACAACATAGAAACTGATACCTATGAGGAAAGTCAGGGGGGAAACTCCTCACACAGTAAAGGGTTCACTGGGTAGATGAGATTCAATTGAACTGTTTCTCTTTCATTTCCACAGAAACAGAAGGCTCGTACCCAGGAAAGCTGACAACTAAGTTTTGAAATGAACATTAACCTTTTTTTCCCCCTTTCTTTTCATTTAAACACACAGTTTAGATGAGAGTTAGACACATACTTTTTCACTCTGTGCTCTAAGTCCTTTCACATTTACATTGTCAGACACAAACATCTACGATTATACATCACTGACCCTGAGAAGTCGAGGTTTAGCTGCTCAGTTTCTCCATTAAGATTTTAAAAAGTCCTCCAGGTTTATGCAGATGATTTTGGTATGTGCTGAACTGTCTTTTCCTAAAGTAGAGCATCTAAGATATCAAAGAAAGTTATGTTGTGAATAGAAAATGACACATTTCACTTATTTGTGTTCCTTCTCTCACTTTGCACCTATAGAAAAGACCTTACTCAGCACTAAAAGAGAAGTTGGTACACAAGAAAGAGGCCTACATATCTAGAGCTGTTTCACACTGCCACCTGCTGAGGACATGATGAGAAACCCTTCACTCACGTTGTAAAAAAAAATATATATTTAAATACCTGTACATACCTGATAAGAAGTGGCCAAAGTTAGTGAAAGCACTGATTTATAAAACTATCACAAGAAACCCAGGAACAACATCATCATTCTTAAAACCCACAAATGCATGGACGATAAAAGCCGGCTTTATGTGTATTTGATTTTATATGAAAATTTTGTGCCCTCAAAAAAACATTACAGTATCAAAAATATAAATTTTCTAAACATCTCATAATAAATAAGAAACTCAAAAACTCAAAACAATGAAAAATGACAAAAACCTCATGACTATGGCAACATTTTCTAAACATAAAAAAAACCAATTCTTCTCACATTTCTTCATTGTTAGATTGCTAATCCACTGATGTTTTGTTCACAGCATATTGTAAAAAAAAAAAAAGGATACAAAAGAAATGATATTTATGAAGAGTAGGACTTTGTAAACACGGGAAACAAAGGGGCCGCTTCATAACTGAGAAGGATGAGCAACAGAAAAACTACTCCTCATGAATTTGACTGTCAAAGCAACAACTGAAAAAACAACTTGAAGGTGTACGATGACGACTCAGAATATGAGGTAACAGAAATATTTTACACAGTTATCATTATCTGACGGACTCGACCCTATGTTCCACTTTCCTCCTCTAACATCGGACAACCGTTTTCGTATTTTGGGGTCATCTAAAACAGATCTCCACCATGACAGTCATGAAATGATCCCAGAGTCCTCAGTTATGCATTCAACACTATGTCAGTGATTTACAGAAGCAATAAACTCTGAGAGAAGTATTGCCCTCGATTAGCTGTAGTCCCTTTGAGTGCCTGCAGGATTCCCATCAGCGTTTGTCTCGTCTTTTGTCGATCTCTTTTCGTATTCGAGTCTCAAGTGCCGCCCTCATGGCTGCATCGAGTATGTTCTTCTCTGCAACGAGTTCCACCACCTTCGCAGGCTTGTCCTCCTTTAGAAAGTGAGAGAGGAGCAGTAAATTATGAAGCTCAATCAATCAATCAATCAATCAGTCTTTATTTTAACAGCGTTTTTCATACACAACCATGTAGAACAAAGGGCTTTACACAGAAAAAGGAATAAAAAGAACAAAGAATACCCAAATCAACCCCTTATTACCACCCCATGATCTAAATGCAACAGAAACAGTATAAAAATGCAAGTCCATGTGTCTATATGTGTCTATGGACAAATATCACCAGGTTCATTCAACAATGTGACCTGCTGATTATGTCCATTTTTAGAAATTAGGCACAGTCATAATGTAAAGTACGTTTACAAAAAAAAAAAGTACGTTTCAGTTTGGTTTTAAAATCATTAAGATTAGGTGCAGTCCTTAGGTCCTCATGTAAGCTGTTCCATATAGGGGGGCTGTAGTAATAAAAAGATGCCTCACTGTATGTCTTGGATTTAACTTCAGGTAATGTTAACAGAGAACTTCCTGAAGACCATTAAGAGCTTTAAAAACCAAAAAGCAACCTTAAAACCTATTCTAAAAGACTCTAAAAGTTTAATGCATCAAAGCACAAGAAATAATCATCAGTGTATCGACTGGGCTGGACACTAACCTTGTGCACAAGAAAGGAAGTGATGGTCCCAGAATCTGCCTGATAGTCAAGCCAGAAGAGCTCGGTTCCATGAGTTTCAGTCTCTGTGCTTGACCCACTTTCATTCCACTCTTCAGCCTCAGCGCTAGCACCTGGCTCAGATCCATCTAGAAAAACAGAATGAATACACTCACTCTCTTCGCTGTTTAACAAGTGCGGTCTAAAACACAACAAAGCAAAACAAACTTACGTCTGCGTCTGGGGTTGTACACTTGGATGTCAGGACGGCGGGGTCGTCTCGGGGTTGTGGTGTGTCTCCTTCGCTGAAGCTCTTTGGCTTGCTTCACCTCCTTATCGTAGTCGTCTCTGAAAAATATCAAAATGTTATCTGTTTGAAAACTCAATGCCCAAAAACCATGCTTCAGTTTCTTAAAGTACTGAATCATAACAATCATAGCTCTAAGGTACTGTTGTTGTTATTATTACTAACTTACTGTCTTTTAAGCTTTTGTTTTACTTATAATCCTTTCTATTTAACCATTTAGGCCTTTTGTTGATTTTATTGTTACTGTTTGTCAAAGCACTTTGTAAACTTCTATTTTTAAAAAGTGCTATAAAAATAAATGTATTATTATATTATTATTATCATTAATGCTTGCTAACAACTAACAATGCTAACAACACCTAAATCCCCCATATAAGACAAAGTATTCAACCAATATTGGTAGGGAGGAAAAATCGCAGAGCTTAATTAAAGGTGCAATGTGTGTATTTTTTAGTCCATTGAGGTTCTCTCTGACGGAAACAAACATGTCCAACAGAGCCCCCCTCCTCTTATGTGGACTTAAGAGTTGCTTCAGCCCCCTAAATCAGTGGTTCTCAACTGGTGGGTCCCGACCCAAAAGTGGGTCGCGGACATGTTATGGATGGTTCCGAACAGCAGGTCAAAAAAGTAAATATTTAATGGGCATCTAATGTTTGACATGTCTCTTATTTTGAAAAATAGCTTATTTCAAAAGGCATTTGTTATCTTATTAATGTGGCCTGAATGCAGTGTGTTTTTTGTCTTTATTTTGTATTTATTAACTTTTGTCCATGCTGTTGCATGGTCCTCCCCAGGTTCTTCTGAATATGCTCTGAATGCAAAGATGCATAAAAGTCGTTTTTATTTTTATTTTGCTGGTCTCCATTTTGTGCGGTTTGATATTTTCTGTACACGAAACTTCAGTAGTTGTCCTCAGTTCATGTGCTCTGTAATGCACTTTACTCAATAAAGTGGGTGTATTAATGTTAAAGATTTAGGTCTTTAAATGTTTGTTTTTAATGTCTAATTTGCTTGGTTCTAATTTAATAAAAGTTTTATAAATGTGGGTCCAAGAGTGAGACCAGTTGAGAACCACTGAAGTAAATCATGATGAACTTTAATAATCAGGCCTGTGAACCCCAAACCACACCACTATAAGGCCAGAGAGCCACTGTAGGAGTCTCTATGTGTTCTACTGATGACACTTTGTTTACCATAGAAGCCTCTCTGAGATCATACTGAAGCTGTGATGATCTAGAGTTTGTGATTGATTATTTCAGATCTTCCAGCTCGCTAACAGCACAGAGGCTCACCGAGCAATCTGGTTCCTCCGGATATGGTGCAGGAAGCCGTGGCTCATATCCAAACGTCCCCCCGGTTTGTATTTTAGCTCTTGCGACTCCTCATCCCTGAATATATCCATTTCAACAAACAGTTCCAGTACGACAACACTATTTTTTATCAGCTAACATTCGTTGTTATTTGTAGGTCCATGGACGCTCACAAAAAGCTACATGCTAGCAAACGACAAGCTGTCGTCCAGTTGAAACTTTTCCGGAGTTTCGACGTATTTATAAATATTCACATTCAGGGAAAAACTACCATAAAAAAATCAAAGTGCAGACAATATGAAATTGAAAATGAAGATCTCCGATTCATGCCATGAAATCTCAAGTCAGTGCGACCGTAGACCATTAGATAGCTTATTTGGGAATCTTTAACTCCGGGATAGCTTTTCATCGGCCATTAAGCAACTGAGACGTACAACCATAGATGTATATACAAAAGCTAGATGATTACGCACGCTGTTAGCCGATGGAGACCGACGTCCGAGCATGGCGGCCATTTTGCTACGGGATTTTCGCCCACCCATGACATATATGATGAGGTTTAAATAACCATAGATTGCTTAATTTTACACCGATTTTCGAACAGTTTGGTTTGTAACAAATCTCAGAGTTTTGGTTATGTCCCTGCAAACTCAAGAATAATTTTTAAACATGGATTTTCATAAATAAACATTAAGCAGATAGGTAGAGCAATAGACCTACACACACAAGGCAGTTATATTAAATCATTTATATTTAAAACATTCAATCATTCCATGTATGTTACATTATTAATATTTCTATCATACAAAACCATTTGTAAATCTGTCAGGATTTCAGCGAGTAAGGAGTATTTTTGATCATGCAGATTACTCCATAGACCTTACCAGAATGGTATACTGGAGTAAGATGGCCGCCGGTGACTCAGCCTCGAGTCATCTAGCCTGTCTTATAGATATCTATGCGTCCAACCACCGCGAGTTTCGACGAGCACAGAGCTGAAGCCATTCAATACTCCAAGTTAACTTTAACTGTCTCTTCTTTCTCTACGTTATCAGATTTTTAAACATCTGCAGTGATGGTATCTGTGAAAAGAGAAAGAGAGGCCGAAGTGGACGACGATGATGAAGACAGAGGTATAAAATCCACCAACGTCTAACAGCATGAAGGCTAGGTCCGCTAGCATGTTTTGCTAGCTTATGTTTACCTCAGTACGTTGGTTTTCCGGTTAATTTGTGTCCCTTTTTCCACTTTTCATTACAGTTGCTCCCAAAATCATCAGAGGACGTGTAGTAGAGGACAGAAGAAGCCGTCACTGTCCTTACCTCGACACAATAAACAGGTAAGGTGAAGATTTTAGTGTGTTTCATAGTTAGCTCTGTCCTCTGCAGATCTGAAGCTGATTCTCACTTTGGTTTGTTCTTTCATCAGGAGTGTACTGGACTTTGATTTTGAGAAACTCTGCTCCATCTCTCTATCACACATCAATGTCTATGCCTGCCTTATCTGTGGGAAGTACTTTCAAGGTAAGTGTGTTTTTCTCTTACATACAGTCACATATTAAAAACAGCTTGTTGTTGTTGTGTTTGGTGTTTAATTTGCTCCACACTTCCTTTTCAGGTAGAGGTCTGAAGTCTCATGCATACACTCACAGTGTTCAGTTTACACACCATGTGTTCCTGAATCTGCACACTCTCAAGTTTTACTGTCTGCCAGACAACTACGAGATCATCGACTCTTCATTAGAAGATATCACAGTAAGTAAAGTCAGGCCTTACTAACCATCTTCAGCACCTTTCAAACTGATATCCCAAACCGGATGTTTCCATGATTAGAGAAGTCTATGTCTTTAATGATATGTCAGGATAAAGTTTACACAGATAGATACATTTATCACATACAGTAGAGCCGCAACGTTTTATTTCATCCTGGCCATAAAGGTTACATCAGAGTCAAATTGTGCAAGCTAAAACAGTGTTGTCTTCAAGGGATATTCCGGCATAAAATTAATTTAGGGTCAAACACACCGTAACACCGAGTTAGACACCCCCTCCAGAGGTTAGTGTTGCCGACCGCTTACTTCTCTAGTTATACCAACTTTAGTAACGACCGCAGGATAGCAATACACAGCAGTCTGAGGAGCCACACACAAAAAGCCACTCTATAGCCACAAATAATGCTCAGAACAGCACCTATAGTGTCCCAGCCATAGTACTAGCCACCAAACATCTTTTTAACTTTGCCTAATTTCCTTAGCAAAGAGACTAAACACAACTCACCTACTCTCTTCTAGCAGCCGCTTGTTTGTAGCGAGACCTCAGGCCAGTCCATTGCCGACTACAGTGGGGTGACGCAGCTCAAGGAAGAACATTTATGATAATTTCTTTATCATTTCCATGAAGTAATAATCCCCATATTAATCATTTTGCACTGCAGACGCAGTAGTTCTTCTGCCTTAGCGTGTCAGTCTGATTGTATTTTCTTGAAGAAATGATCATAAATGTTCTTCATTGAGCTGTGTCACCACGCTGTAGTGTGTAATGGACTGGCCTGAGGTCTCGCTACAAACAAACGGCTGCTGGAAGAGAGTAGGTGAGTTGTGTTTAGTGTCTTTGCTAAAGAAATTAAGCAAAGGTAAAAAGATGTTTGGTGGCTAGTACTATGGCTCGGACCCAGATGTCCTGTTGATGAAGTTAGGTGCTGTTCTGAGCATTATTTGTGGTTATAGAGTGGCGTTTTGGTTGAGGTTTGTTTATGGCTCTTCAGACGCTGTGTATTGGTATCCTGTGGTCGATACTAAAGTTGGTATAACTAGAGAAGCAAGCGGTCGGCAACATTCATCTCTCGACAGGGTGTATAACTCGGTGTTACGGTGTGTTTGAGCCTAAATTAATTCTATGCCAGAATATCCCTTTAACTATTCAAACAGAACTTCTATGTTTGTCCACTTGTTTACATTTCTCTCTTTGTCTCCGCAGTATGTGCTGAAGCCAACTTTCACCAAACAGCACATCGCAGGGCTGGACAAACAGGGAAAGCTGTACCGAGCCTACGACGGTACAACCTACCTGCCGGGCATCGTAGGACTCAACAATATTAAAGCCAATGACTACGCCAATGTGGTGTTGCAGGTATGAACAACTGCATCTAGACTCAGTCATAGACTTTTTAGTTATCCCGACCATTTCAAATGTATTTTTTTGCTCCTTAGGCTTTCTCCAACGTTCCACCTTTGAGAAACTATTTCTTGGAGGAAGAAAACTACAAGGGGATCCGCAGGCCGCCGGGGGACATCATGTTCCTCTTGGTGCAGAGGTTCGGGGAACTGATGCGCAAACTTTGGAACCCGAGAAACTTCAAGGCTCATGTGTCGCCGCACGAGATGCTTCAGGCTGTGGTGCTGTGCAGCAAGAAGAACTTCCAAATCACGAAGCAAGGTAATGCTTCAGCCTGTAGGGCCTGTTGTTCTGTACTATGGTAACACAACACGACACAAGCCAGATTTTACACATGCTGCACTGAGTTTTCTGGGCTGGGGTGCTAATAATTGTTCTCTGCTCTACAGGAGATGCTGTGGACTTCATGACGTGGTTCTTGAACGCTCTGCACGGGGCTCTAGGAGGCACAAAGAAAAAACCTTGTAAGGAGGATTTACATTTCTATATAGATTCTTTATATAGATTTAAAATATCAAGTATAGCTGCGTGTCATTGAAAAATTAGTATTGTGAGAAAATACAGGAATTTATACCAGATGAATGTTGTGTAATTTCAGAAATAGAGGAGAGGGAGTGCAGTTGAAGAAAGACTTAAACACATAAACTTATCAGTTAAAGGAATCACTTACTTTTGTATAAACAATGAACAGAATATCTGTGGATGTTAAAAACTAAGTTGAGTTTGCTTCAGTCACCCTGTGATGGTTCTTGTCATATAATAATTCACCGCCTTCTTCTGCATATGATTTATTTTTATATCACTGAGCTGCATGTGCACTGTAGGTTTAAGTGCAAAAGTAAACTCTCTGTGGTCTGTCATTTTATCAGTCCATATGTGTTCTCCAATCATAATAAACACCAGGAGGACATAGATGAGACTTAGTTAAAATCCGCCTCACATGGTTGAGTGTTGTTCAGATGTTTGTGAGAGTGGCAGCATCCATGCAAGTTGTCAACATGCATGCAGACTGATGTTTATCATAGATTCACAACAAAGAATCAGTGATAGCTGGTCTTTCTCGTGTCCTCTGATGGGACTGTTGTGTATGCACATGTTACAGTTGCAGTACTTGAAAGATATTTAAATGATGTTTTGTATTTTGATCTTATTGTAATTGAAGTAACATCTGTACCCATGTCTTTCTGCTCTCATAGCAATCATTACAAAAGCGTTTCAAGGCTCCATGCGAATCTTCTCCAAGAAACTTCCACACCCAGATTTAGTAAGTGTCCTGGACGTGTTTGTTTCCTGCCACCCCTGCAGTTTTAAATAGACTCCAAATGTTTTTTTTGTGGTGAATTTTAACTGATTTATCGGTTTTGTTTTGCAGCTACCAGAGGAGAAGGAGGCGTTGTTGGTAACGGAGGAGTACCAGGAGCAGATGTCTGAGTCCACCTTTCTGTTTCTGACCCTTGACCTCCCAACAGCTCCACTTTACAAGGATGAAAAAGAGCAGCTCATCATCCCACAGGTTCCTCTCTTCAACATCCTGGGCAAGTTCAACGGCAGCACAGAGAAGGTAGCAAATCATTCAGACCATCTTTTCTTGGAAACAGAAACGGCACATGAGAAGAGAGTCAATTTGTCATTATTATCCAGAACAAAATGCAATAATGGCAACAGTGTGTTGTTTCCCCTTCTGAACACTAAAGATTTGTGGACATTTTCATGTTCTAGGAGTACAAAACCTACAAAGAGAACTTCCTCAAAAGGTTCCAGCTGACCAAGCTGCCTCCGTACCTCGTCTTTTGTATCAAAAGATTCACCAAGAACAACTTCTTTGTGGAAAAGAACCCCACCATCGTGAACTTCCCAATCACGTGAGTGCTGCTCAGAAGTGTGTGGTGAAACTGAAGATGTCGCTCTGCTCTGAATGGAGTCGTGTACTCTGTCGTGAACATAAATATTCACTTCAGCTCTGCTTCAACAGGAACGTAGACCTTCGCGAGTACCTGACAGAAGAAGCTCAAGTTACAGAGAAGAACACGACCTACGACCTTGTTGCCAACGTGGTGCATGATGGGAAACCTACTGAGGGGGCCTACAGGATACATGTGCTTCACCATGTAGGTTTAAGAAGGACATCTCTGACAGTTGCCTGATTTCAGGGGCCATTATTGAAAACAATAATGGACCCTGTCAGTGTTGTCATGTAATGAATCGTCTCACTGTGTTTAATCAGGGAACGGGGAAATGGTACGAGATGCAGGACCTGCAGGTGACTGACATTCTCCCCCAGATGATCACGCTGTCTGAGGCCTATATCCAGGTAAGTCCCTCCTCGTATTCTGCTTAAGTCTAAAAACCAGACTAGGAGGTTTTATTTTTTTACATCATCAGTCATAAGAATCACCACATTTTATTCACTGTTATTCACAGAGCAGTCTTATGATTAAATAAAAAAGGGAGTTATGCAGCACAGCTTCTTGTTATGTTGTTCACTACTGACAGGGCGTTAAAGTTCATTGTGGGGAAATTACAGTGATGTGAAATGAATAATTGGGCCGCTACGAAGCTCAGCGGTTAAAGCTTGTGACCTGTACACAGGATCATAAACCTTATCGCAGTGGTTTCTTTTTCAACTCCCTGCCATGACTGTTAGCTGTATGTCATCCTCCTATCTCTGTTTTCCACATTTTCTGTCTTGGCTGTCCAACAAAGCAACTTAAAAAAAAAAGACAACTTAAGATAGGCAGCTGTGGTCTTTACTGCATCATGAATAGATACAAGATATCAGTGATCTTAAACAGAAAACTGATCAAAACAAGTCCGGCAGAGTAAAAGGAGGATTGTGGTTGTTGTTTTTCCACCATCTGTTCTTTATTTGATCCTTTTACTTATGCAAGTTTGAAAAATAAAACTAAACACGCACTCAAAAGAAACCTCGAGAACCGATGAGGTGAAGCTCTCCGGTAGCTTGGAGCTGCAATTTTCAGAGACTCGGCGTCCACTGCTGGAGTCAGAGAAAGCAGAGACAGCAAAAACAAGTTCTGCTGACTTTAAAAGTTTTCCTGCTTCCCTGAAGTCAAGAGGTGGAAACATTTTGTCTACCTGTGTGATGTGCGTCCGCTAATGCATGAATGAGAAAATGAAAACAATTACTGGATCTGATGGATTTCTGCAGGTGAGAAACTAAAGCTGTGGTTGGAAAGTAACCATCCGACCTCTTGTATTTCTTCTTTTTTGTGTTCGATTATTAAAGCTAAAATGTGTAACCATTCTGTTTATAATGAGCTTAACCGATTTGAACGTGTCGTTAGGATGTTTTTTAGATTTTGACGACTAACAAAGTCTTTTTAAGAGGGATTTGAACATGTAATTGACATCTAGAATATAATAACTCATCTGTTGATCTGTAAAGATTAGGACCTGATAGTTTTTTATGTCTGTCTCTTTTTAATTGAACTGACTGAAAGTTTTAACAGTCATTATAGATCCACGAGAACATAATATCGTGAATATTAGTCGTTCTTGTTCTTTTTTCATATGTATAATTACTATAGGATAGTCTTTGTGCAGATATAAATATGTTACATTATCAAGTTATATGATTATATGTGTGAATATTTTCATGATTTAATTTTAAAAATAATTCACAAATGCTGTTTTTTTTCTCCTCTCACAGATCTGGAAGAGACAAGGAGGCGATGATGACACAAACAACCACACGGTGGCGTAAGTGAGGCAGGATTTTCCTCAGCTTGAAAGACCGAAAGTGTTGTCACCATTTTGGAAATGAACTGAGTATTTCATCAGTGGAAAAAAAACACACACACACAAAAAACAAAAAAACAATAATTGTTTATGTCTGTTTTTTCACAATTTTATCCTTTTACTTTTCGGGAGTTTCTAAATAAACAAACTCAAAGACACGTGTTTCTGCCTTCGTTTTAGATTTAAATGCCAAAGTGTTCGATGGAAGTTAAAGCACAAAAGAAACAGTAACAGAGATTTTTTAAGTGGTCTGTTGTCCAAACATTTATTAACACTTACTGAATTATCATCACATTGAATGATAGATAGCGACTCTTTTGTTTCCACATTCATAACAACATATTTATCATTTTACTAAATAACACAGTGCACTAAACTCTTCACCCCTGCAAGACTGATGTTCTGGGCTGAATTCCAGCCTCAGTCTTCTGACTCTACATGCAAGCTGGAGAATTCATGAAAACTATCCATGACTTCAGTGACTGAAAGTGCATTTAAGCTTATAATTTTCTCAAGGTTTTAAAAAGATTGATCAGTGCATGACATTTACAGATCTTGAAGCATGATACAGTGCGATGAAACTTTTTGAAAGTGCAGAAAACTTCAGGACAGGGAGGAACTTTCACTGCTTCCAAATGTACTTCTCACAGAAGGCGTGGTTCTGCAGTTAAAAACAGAAATGAGAAGTGAAACAAAAACACATGACTCCAGACAGAAGGTAACAGTGATAAATGCATGACTTAAATCATGACTGACTGGACTGAACTTACTCCACACTTCTTAGCAGTTTCAATGTCTTTGCACCAGTAGCTCGGTCCCCAAGTGCAGTGATTCTTTCCCAGCAGTTCTGCTTTCTTGGAGGCAGCGCAAAGATCCGCTCTCTGCGGGACAAAGGGATAAAGAGCTGAGAAAATGACGCACTTTAAAACATGGGATAGAAAACTCTAATACTTGTAATTTCTGTGTTCATTCTGTTTACTGCAGAGCAACTGTATGAAGACATGGATCTTAAATTCTTTTTGTCACTCCAGTTGAAAAGGTGGTTGTAAATATGATGGTTTTATAGAACCTTACTTCACATAGTAGTGGAACATCCTCCTGGTTCCTCAGAACCTGCTGCAGTCGAGAGCCGTAGATTTTGATGAAAGCCTCACACTAGAGAGAGAACAGGAGAAATTGACAGAAAGGCGAAATCAGCAGAGAACGAAATAAATAAACAGAATAAAATTTGATAGCTGGTTTGAACTCTGATGGAAGTTTGTTTTGTTGGTGGAGCTCTGATGGATAAGGATGTACAGACAATCAGACCTTAGGGATGGCTTTAGGGTGCTGGGCACACACAGACTGGAGGAAAGAGGACACTTCAGGTTGGGTGGAGTTAAGACCCAGGTGAAGTCGGCTGAGCACAGCCAGCGTTCGGCATGAGTCACAATCCGAGGGAAGGGAAACTTCTGACATAACAAAAAGGGAAGTGTGAATTTGAGGAGGAACTAATAAATTAAAAACAGTCAAAAAATATTTATCGAAAGCATGTGGCTTACCTTGAATAGTCGGCTCCTCGAACATACAGAGGTGCAAAAGAGTGCATATTGTGTGCGGTGCAGCAGACGACAGGAGGAACTCCACGATCTGATCGCCGTATTTGCTGACAAAATCCTCGCATTGGTCCTTGTAGCTCTGAGGCATAAGATCACACACCTCCTCCATGAGCTTCATCAGGGCATCCTGCAGGAAAGGAAGATGAGACGTGATACAGAGCGACACTGCAGAGTGTAGGGAGTGTATGTGTCTCATGATACTGAATAAGAAGGGTCACCTCAGTCATATTTTCAGGCAGCAAGGTCTCCAGTTTCTGGATAACAAGAACACACAGGCTGCAAATAGGGTTGAACAGCTTCTAAAGAGAGGAGGGGGAGCAGAAATGAAGAGAATATCAGAATGAAAGCAAAAACACGGCTTGTATGTCAGTTTTAATAATCACTGTCACACTGACTTGAGTGTTGGCAGCTGTGTCAGGGTTGGATATGTCTTTATCAGCGACGTGTTCGGGAAGTTTCAGCGTCTCTTCCTCTTTACGGGCAGAACAAAGTCCAAACGCCCCACAGGCCTGTTTTGGTTTCTGTGTAGACGCGGTAAAGGGCATCAGTGAATGAAAATGCATTAATTTTTCTTTCATTAGTAGTAAAGCGTGAAAGGGTTAAACTCACCAGGTGACCGGGTGTTTGCTGCAGCATTTTTGGCAGATATGACTTCACCTGTGAGTCACACTCAGATGCCTGTTCTTCAGGAAGACGATAGCACAGGCCATGCAGAGCTTCATAAACAGTTTCCTGCAAAAACACAGCAGTGAGCTAACACACGCACAAATGAACACTATTTACACAGATTAATGTTGTTAGGTATGTTGTGTATTCTCCTTTAATTCCTCTTGATATGTTTTTGTTGTATAAACAGGGTGTAACTTGTTCATATTCCACACATACTCTTACCTTGGTGTCTCTGCTGGAGATCATGTTGGCGGAAAGCTGGACGATCTGGCTGCATTCTGAGCAAATATCCAGTGACTAATGAAAAAAGATTGCAGTTAGATCATGCATATTTAGAGACACTCATACCAAACTCGTTCATATGAATCAGGCTTTGTTAGTTTTGACATTTTAATCTAATCTAGTTTTTAATTTGAATCTGCTGACTGAGAGCTGAAGACTTTGAAAACTAGGTGCGGCAGTAGCTCAGGAGGTAGAGTGGTCGTCCAATAACTGGAAGGTTGGCGGTTCAATTCCCTCCTATCCCTAGTCTGTCTGTTGTGTCCTTTGGCAACACACTTAACCCACTTTTCTCCCAGTGTGTGTCCTCCACTTGTGTACGATTGAGTGTTGTGTGGTGGTCGGAGAGACTGTAGATGCAAACTGGCAGCCACGTTTCCGTCAGTCTACTAAGGTAGTTTACCACCACAGGGTGTGACTGTGTGAGCGAATGAATGATGTATCCAATGTAAAGTACTTTGAGGGTCTCTGATAAAGCGCTATTTGAAATCTGATGAATTATTATTATTATTATTAAAAGCCTTATCCTGTTTTTAATGAGCCAGGATAAAGGTTTTCTAACGGTGCTACATATTACTAAAGCAAAAATCATGAAAATCATTCATAGTGAGTGATAAAAACACACTTGCATATGCAGGAAGATAGAAATAAAACATATTTTCCCTCAGAACAGTGTCCTTTAAAGCTAAAATACAGTTTTCTATTGGTTTGATGGCCACAATGATGAAAATGTAGGAGATAAAGACGGGCTTACCAGGTATTTCTCTGGGTCTATGATGTATTTGCAGTCTCCTTCAAACACAGACAGATAAATAAAATATACAGTTAAATATAAGATTTAGATGGTGGCTCACGATCTTATTTAAAGGGCATTTCAACATGGGTACAAATGACACAGGTGTAGGCCTTCTCATAATGTTCACCCAAAGATTTAACACGGAGATAAACCGTGAATATTCAGGTGACAGTGATTTAAAACACTGAGGTTATTTCGGGTGAAATGCCCACAGTTAAGATGGCAAACCGCCGTTAATTGTCATAAAGAAAAAGACTTTTTCGGTAAATGTCCATCTTACCAGATCCCAGAGACAGAGCGAGGACAGCCAGGAGAAAACTGGGAGCGGACATGATTGAAAAGAGGGAGAAATGATCCAAAATGTCGATGTTTTTCTTTCTGTTTTCACATCACCACCGCTGTTATTAGGGCAGTACCGGAAATACAGGTTCATCGTATGATCCAATCAGAACAGCAGATCGAATGCGCAGGCGTGGTGGAACACGTAATTAAAAATTAATCTTCATGTGTCGCAGGTTTTCTGTGGGTTAGAAATGTTATTTATTTAGCCCTGTCATACTATGACTTCATGTTTTTTTTCTATGATAATAATAATAATAATAATAATAATAAAAGGAACACCAATAGCGCATTTAAACCCAACAATATCTAAAGACCATACAGCAATATTTTTTAGAGTTTCAGGTCCTAAAACCTATAAAACTTAGGCAACTCTAATAAAAAACTAACAAACACAAAATGTTGGCCCACAGTAGGACAGAATCAGAAATACTTTAATAATCCCCAGGGGAAATTGCTTTTTGTCACAGTAACTCCAATGCAAATTAAGTAGAAAGAGGAGATAAATAGTAGATAAAATAAGGGAAAAATACAGAGATAAATAGATAAAATAAGTAAAGATAAAGAGATAAATAGATCAACTAACTAAAAGTAAGTAAAATTAAAGAGATAAATAAAGAGATAATATACAAGTATGTTCACTATATACAACACAAAATAGTAAAACAGTATGTGAATAAAATGGTGGGCAGAGTCCAGGTAAAGACTACTGACTGAGGGTGTCAGAGTCTCTGAGGAAGGAGTTAAAAAGTCTGATGACCACCGGTAGGAAAGATTTCCTGAGGCGCTCAGTGATGCACCGTGGAGCGAGGAGCCCCCTGCTGAAGGTGCTCCTCTGCAGGACCTAGGTCTACATATCTCTGATTTTATGAATGTTCAGAGACATAATCTTACGGATAATCATATGCATACATGTCGTATGCATTCTAATCTGGTGGCTGTCTTGGGTTGAAACAAGGACAAATAGACTGACGAAAATTGCAGCCCTTCATTTTATTCAGTCAATTTAGTTCAATGAATATCTTCATGAAGGGATCTAAATGAACCAGTAGATGGCAGCAAACTAAAGCAAAAGTAGGCTATGGTGCTTTACCTTGTTTGACCCTCTTGTACAACTTTCTCTCTGTGAGTAAATAAGAAAACTCAGTATCACACATTTAGGTTATTTGTTGTCGTACTCTTAAACAGAATGAATTAATGTGGCTTTTTTATTAGACTTGCAAGAGGAAGAAATAAACACTTAAGTGAAACAAATTTGTAATTAAAAGTTAATTTTAATGAAAAAATCAGGGGAACCCAAAACATTTTAATCAAGATTTATCAATATCTCTGTGTGTGAACCATGCAGGCTCGATCCTCCGAGATTCTCGCATTTCCCTGAAGTTGCTCACATGTCTCATTTGTTTGTCAGAAGTTTCTTTGTTCCTGCTGTTTACTGCATTAATTCACCACCTGTTCATTTGTGTTACTGATGTTTACTGAGGTTGTTGGTCTTGCACTATGGTAACAGGTCCCTCCCTCTGTCAGGCAGGTATTTAGTCATTAATGATCCAATTAATTACCAATATGTCTTTAAGACTTGTTTTAAATACCAAGTCCAGGAATCATGTGAGAGTTTGCACTGCTTCAATCCTCCTAAGTAGATATATTGAGAAAAAATAAGATCCATCAATGTCATAACCTTCTGAAAGGTGTAACTGAACACAAAAGTCTTTTTTCAAACTCTGACAGGAATATCTCCCTGTTATGTGTCTGATTTTGGAGATAATTTAAACCTGAAACACCCCCAAAATTTCTGTTGTGTTGGAAGTGTCCGCACAGTCCGGCACAGTGATTAGAGCTCACTATGTGACAAACTGCCAGAAGTGTGAGCGTGTGCAACTACTAATTTAATCAGGTTTTCTAATTAACCATGTTACACGTGTTTGCCTGTTGAGCCTGTACTTAATCGATGACTATTATTTTAGTTACTTGTGGTAAAATTAACTGTAATTGTCTGATTTATGCACGCGTGGCCATGTTCTTATATAATCTTAGAGGATGACAACTGTTACGGAAGATTTTTTTGCTCAGTTCCAGACTTACATTTGTCCCCTTGTCTATAAAATTCTTGTGCAAATTCAGCTCCTTTCAAATTCGAAACATCTCGGCTGATTTCATGCAGGCTCCGTCATGAGAGAGTGTTTGAGATTTGCTGCATGAGTTGGTCTGGAGCCAGAGAAGAGGCAGATCAGACACACCTCACAAAGGCAGATATGTGAGTCAGCATTTGATAGAATCATGTTGAGAAGATGTTATTTATCTCCAGTCAACACGCCTATGTTAAGATATGGTTGGGAAATTTTACAGTGTTGACAGCAGCAAAAGATGTTGTCTGTGTTTTTAATGGCAACACCCAGATTCACGAGGCGTCTTCACAGACCTGCGCATAGTTATCATAACTTAAATGCAGTGAAAACTTTCAGACGTGACTCAGGTTGATACAGCGTTGAACCTTCAGGTGTCTTTTGGCTGCGCTAGGGTACTCAAGGGCAGGATTTCAACAGCGCTTTGATTCATACCTGCAAAAGCATTGATAATTATAATAATATGTTTGTTTGTGCAGCACATAAAAACAGTGATTTATTAAGTGCATGAATAAAACGCTGCATAATAACAGAGGAGAAAAGGAAACCTGTGAAAAAGAGCCGATATGACACATTAAGAAACCAAAAGCACAACAAATGAAGTGAAGAAACGTCTTAAAAACACAGAGTAACCTAAATAAACCCTTAATGAGCCCATTGTTTTTACTCAGTTAGTAATGTCAATAAAGTAATATAATCTGTGTGCTCTCAGTAAAAACAGTTTGTATACTTTGTTTGTATCAAGAGAGAAAAGGCTCTCAGAGGCTTTACCAAATCCTGGTTCTCTGTCTTTTTGAGTTTATTATTATTATTTAATTACTTTGTCCACAATGTGCAACATGCTTAATGTGCATGAAATTATATCCTTTTTTTTGTTTAAGTAAATTTTTTTGTGATTTTTGCCTTTATGGGTAGGACAGTGTGGAAATATGGGGAGATAGAGAGTTCTACGTCTACGAGAGTCCGAGTTTTTTTCTCATATCTAATTGGAGCGTTTAACCACGAAGTGTTAACGGGTGCATAAGTCAGATTTCAGTTGTAGAGTGGTCAGAGGTTAACGGGTGCATCTGCAGCACTGTTCCAGAACCTTTCTGCCTTAACATGCAAATTAGACTGAAAAGAAAATTTAATGGCACGCATATACGTAATTTTATAATTTACTGGCATGTCTTTGGACAGGATTACTTCATAAAAAAAACATGATCCTTGTTATATATTTCATGTCTTTTAATGATTCTTGGATTGTGTTAAAGGAAAGAAATAGTGTTTTTTTTTTGTGAGTGATTTATTAGTATGACATCATGAGAAACAGTTCAAAGATGAGAGCAGATAGAGCAAAGTTTGTAGTCAGAGGTTAACAGGTACATGTGCAGCACTGATCCAGATCTTTGCTAAGATTTGCTAATTAAACTGAAAAGAAAAATTTATGACATGCATATATTTTATAATTCACTGGCATGTTTTTTGACAGGATCATCTAATTAAAAAAACAGTACTGCTCCTTGTTCTGTCATTCATGTCTGCAAATGATTCTTGGATTTTGTTAAAGGAAGGAAATGTTGTTTTTTTGGGTAGTGGTTTATTAGCACGACAACATGAGAAACAGTTCAAAGATGAGAGCAGATAGAGCAAAGTATGAGGAAACATTTCAAAGGCCCTGACTTTCCAATTCCAGTCTGTGATGTAACATCAAGAAGGATCATTTTTGACAAAAGAATGACGGAGTGAGGAGGAAAAAACCTGCACGGGTTCGTACACGGGTGAATGCACACACACACGCACACACAAACAAAATCAAACACCTGTCACCAGTTATCTGTTCCTAAGAAGATCCTCACTGACCCCTCCGCCCATCAGTCCTTAACTATCATCTTCATCACCACAACAGATTTCCTCCAAACTCACATGATTTCAGCTTAAAACTCCTAACCCAGTCTGGAGTCATAAAGAGCAGGGTTCCTATGCAAGTATGAAAAGTATGGAAGTAATTTGATCAATTTCCAGGTCTTAAAAAGTATGTTAAATGAAAAATAAAGTATGGAAAAATATTAAGGTTTCCAGGAAATTACCAGACTGAAAAAAATACACTTTTCTAAAATAGAAAAGTAGGTATTTCCAAAAATAATTCTAAAAAGTAAGGTATGGAGAAGTATGGAGATTCGAGCTGTGTAGGAACCCTGAAAGAGTCCTAATACCCTCACGTCTACGCTCTGAGACTTAATCATGTCTTTATAAATAAGTTTTGCAAATTTCACACATGCATTAAAACGTTTTCATACACTGATTGAGGGTCATATATTATACCTATTTACTGACCCTGCAGAATTCACATCTTATTCATGGAAACAGAAAAACACATTAATTATTGTAGCAATAACAGTTAAAGACCAGCTGAGAGATCCACTCCTCTGTACAGGACGTGAAATATGTACCCGTAATTTTCATTTTTAGATTAAACTTTCAGATGACTAAATCATTACACTCTTAAATCATATAATATATAAGCATTTATCACTGCATCTGCTGTGATATCAAAGAAGGTGACAGTCTTCTTGGTAGTTGAGCCAATTTGTAAATGACAGTCTGTAATTGTTGCACGTGTAAAACCACCCTGACACGGAGCATAATTACTTTTTTCCTCATCATTACTGTACACGTGCAAACATTGTTAACACTGACTGAAACCTTATCATTTACACATTCCTTGATGATAGTTTGGATTATGAACTCAGGAGTCATTATTTCATTGTCACATGTTCACATTTGCATACTGTTTTTTTTTTTTTTAAATCTTTTAATTCCAGCCTATGGCTCTCTGCTCTCTCTTTCCATTCCCTGCTCTGTTCACTGTCCTAGACTCTCAGTATAAATACAATGAAACCCCCAATATATATATATATATATATATATATATATATATATATATATATATATATATATATAAATAACTTTAAAAGATCATTTATAGAACTGTCTTTTTGCTC